TATTGACCAGAAATATACATGTTTACCCAGGATCAATCCTTTATCGACCGAATATATTTTTTATATCAGGATTCATGAATTAATTAATTAAATGCAACATTTATGCATCGTATGAATCGCCCATTTACCAGGATGCATTGTTTATTGACCAGACATACACAATGTTCACCTAGATCGATCATTTGCTTACCAGAATTTGCTCTCAATGGACTGGTAATTATAGTATTTGAGTCATTTAGTTAACCTAACCCATATTTCGACTAGGATAAATACAATTTGGGTCATTTAATTAACGCAGCCAACTTTTTGACTAGCATCAAAACAATTTGGGTCAATTAGTTAATCGGTTTATTATTAACTGGTATTAAAGCAATTTGGGTCAATTAGTTAATCGCTTGCTTTTATTAACTGGTATCAAAATAATTGGGGTCATTTAGTTAACATGACCCACTTTTATTCACCAGGATTCCCCAGTTGGGTAATTTAATATACCAGACCCGCCTTTTATTTAATCTGACCATGCTTTTATCTACCAGGATTCAATCATTTGGGTCAATTAATTAATTAGAGTATAAATAATTAAGCAGACCGCATTTAGTTTAAGCTTATCGCCTTTTAATTAACCAGACAACCGTTCCATTGACCAGCCTACCTTTAATCGACCAGACTATGCTTTTATCTACCAGGATTCTACCATTCGGGTCAATTAATTAATTACATATAGTTAATTGACCAGACTACCGTTTAATTAACAAGGCTACCTTTAATCGACCAGGATTCTACCATTCGGGTCAATTATTTAATTACATATAGTTAATTAACCAGACAATTGTTTGATTAACCAGACCACTGTTTAATTGACCAGGCCACCGTTTAATTGACTAGACTACTGTTTAATTGACCAGGCCACCGTTTAATTGACTAGACCACTGTTTAATTGACTAGACTACTGTTTAATTGACCAGACCACTGTTTAATTGACCAGACCACTGTTTAATTGACTAGACTACTGTTTAATTGACCAAACTACCGTTTAATTGACCAGACTACCGTTTCATTAACCAGACTACCGTTTAATTGACTAGGCTACGATTTAATTTACCAGCCTACCTTTAATCGACCAGGATTCTACTATTCGGGTCAATTAATTAATCACATATAGCTAATTGACCAGACAACTGTTTAATTAACCAGGCTACGGTTTAATCGACCAGGCTACGGTTTAATCGACCAGGCTACGGTTTAATCGACCAGGCTACGGTTTAATCGACCAGACTATGCTTTTATCTACCAGGATTCTATCATTCGGGTCAATTATTTAATTATATATAGTTAATTGACCAGGCTACCGTTTAAATAGCCAGACTATGTTTTTATCTACCAGGATTCTATCATTCGGGTCAATTAATTAATTATATATAGTTGTTTAACCAGGAAACCTTTAGTTTAACCATACTACCGTTTAATTAACCACACTACCGTTTAATTAACAAGACTACCTTTAATTACCAGACTATGCTATTATCTACCAGACTATGCTATTATCTACCAGACTATGCTATTATCTACCAGACTATGCTATTATCTACCAGACTATGCTATTATCTACCAGGATTATACCTTTTGGGTCAATTAATTAATTACATAAAGTTAATTGACCAGGCTACCGTTTAAATAGCTAGACTATGTTTTTATCTACCTGGATTCTACCATTCGGGTCATTTAACTAACCAGACCGCCTTTACGTTAACCAGAATTTGCTTTTATCCACCAGGACTCTACCATTTGGGTCATTTACTTAATTAGATTATAGTTAATTAATCAGATCGCCTTTGGTTTAATCAAACCGCGTTTTAATTAACCAGACTGCCTTTAATTTAACCAGATCTTCTTTAAGTCTACCAGGATTCTACCATTCTGGTCAAATAATTAATTAAGGTATAATTAATTAAGCAGACCGCCTTTAATTTAAGCAGACCGCCTTTAGTTTAAGCTGATCGCCTTTAGTATAAGCAGATCGCCTTTAGTATAAGCAGACCGCCTTTAGTTTAAGCTGATCGCCTTTAGTTTAAGCTGATCGCCTTTAGTATAAGCAGATCGCCTTTAGTATAAGCAGACCGTCTTTAATTTAAGCTGATCGCCTTTAGTTTAAGCAGACCGTCTTTAATTTAAGCAGACCGTCTTTAATTTAAGCTGATCGCCTTTAGTTTAAGCAGACCGTCTTTAATTTAAGCAGACCGTCTTTAATTTAAGCTGATCGCCTTTAGTTTAAGCAGACCGTCTTTAGTTTAAGCTAATCGCCTTTAGTTTAAGCAGACCGCCTTTAGTTTAAGCTGATCGCCTTTTAATGAACCATACCACCTTTGGTTTGACCTAACCGTATTTTATTTAACCAGACTGTGCTTTAATATACCAGGACTATATCATTCGGGTCAATTAATTAATTATATCAAAGATAATTGAGTAGACCACCTTTTGGTTAAGCCAACCGCCTTTAATATAACCAGACCACCTTTGGTTTAACCAGACCATATTTTATTTAACCAGACCATGCTTTTTTCTACCAAGATTCTCCAATTCGGGTCATTTACTTAATTAGACTATGGTTAATTAATCAAACCGCTTTGGGTTTAAGCAGACCGCCTTTTATATGGCCAGTAATATACTGTTTGGGTCATTCATTTAACTAAGCCGCCTTTTACTTAACCATATCCACCTTTTACTTAACCATATCCACCTTTTGTGTAATCAAACCGCTTTTTATGTAATCAAACCGCTTTTTATTTAGCCAGTATAACCCTATTATACCCGATTATTTTGGATTATTTTAATCTCCTATATAATAATTTTTTTTTATATGTAATTAATCTACGGCCATACAGATAGTAACACACCGGATCCCGTCTGATCTCCGCAGTTAAGTCTCTCCTGGTAGCGTCAGTACTATGGTGGGGGACCACATGGGAATACGCTATGTCGTAGGTTTTTTATTTTTTTATTTTTTTATTTTTTTTTTCTATTTTTTCCCTTTGCATTTACATATCATAAATACATACGATATATTTACTTGCTTATATTAAAACTTTTGCAATTCGTATTCAATTGATCTATAAATTTAATATATCGTACATAATACACAACTACACATTATGCAATAGTTTTATTTTTTTTATCTCATTGCCTTTGTCCATAACTTCGACGTATCTTGTTTTCCTATCTTAATCAAATTTGTCTTTTTAATTATTTTTATATCCACCCCATTAAATCAATAGCTTTCCTATTACTCTCTCCCCCATTTATTTCTCAAACTAGTTTTCTGTTTTTTTTCTGTTGCTTTACAAAAGTCTTTTAAAACTTGCAGTATCTTTAATTAAACTATTGGCGATATAAGTCTTATTTATTCTTCTTCTCTAAACTACTTACAATTAATTTTATTATATATTTTATTTCACAACATTTACCTACTAAGACTTTCACGCATGAAACAGTTTTAGTATTTTCGTATTTGGGTCAGAGCTTCATTATAGTAATTTTCTACATTTCGCATAAACATTGGAGGTGTAATTTTGTCCAATCTTATTTGTTTCTAGTATCGATTTACTTGTTCATATTTCTTTTGTTTAATTTTATATTTGAAAAAGCAATAACAGGATTTAAGTTTTACATTAGATGGGTGGTTAATTTAATATTGTTGTATTTAATAATTTAATATTGTTGTATTTAATAATGTAATATATATGTGATTCAACTTTATAAATGTTAAAATTTATTTATCTTAATAAGTTTAGTTGTTATCAATATTTATGTATGTGTAATTATGGGCTGAGTATAGTTCGATAAGTTAATAAATTTGTTTTGTTTTTAATTTTCATTAAATGTGACGTATATGTGACTTATATAATATTTGTGTTATTTTGTAATAAGCTGAAGCTCAGGCTTATTACAATGTCTTGTCCTCGAAAAACAAACGTCACTTTATTTTTATTAGGAGTTGTGAGTAACAGGTTACTGCTAAAATCTAAATTATTATCTAACCAATCAATCCCCCTCTAGAATACTACAGAGCCCTGGAAGTTTCCAGTATCTGGGATGTTCGGACACAATTCTTTTAAGATAGTATAATTACAACCCGCTTCATTGAATAAAACCATTTTCTTTATTCTTTTGAAGACTAATTCTGTGATTCTTCTAGAAATTTAGACAAATTTTAGTCCCAATACATTACTCATTGTAAAATATAAAGTAATAATAACAGTGATAATATTATATTATCCGAAAAGTCACAGACTAGGACTGGTTGTGAAATGCTGAAAGTATGGACCAAAGTAGCAGTCTATCATTATATTCACACTCAAGCATTTATTGACTTCTTTGCTAGGGCCATTACCCCTCTCGGACATGTAATCGTCGCACTTTTCAAACCCCGAAAAGTCGTTTTATTTCAAACTCCGTGATTCTAACAAGATATTCGTATAGAGAATAGGCATAGCATTCAAATAAAAGTACTTTCATTAAAATCGAATCAGCAGAAGATGAGAAAAGTAGAGTTTAAGTTTGTAATTATTTAATTTAATTTAGTATTTTTTAATACATTTAGACGCAGACTAAATATAATTTTTAATTTTTAATTTTTTTATGATAAATACTCTTTTGATCTTGTTGAACTAATATTTTTAATTTATTTAAAAAATCGCTTAATGGCATATAAAACATGTAGAGATACAAGAAAAACGTAAGCGTATTTAGAGAATAAAAATAATTCAGAGTATATAGAAGATAAAGAAAATAGAAAGAAAATAAGTTATACAGAACATATAGAAATAAAAATGAAATAAAAAAGGTTATAAAATGGAAAGATTGCCCTTTGTAACATGTATGTAATTTTCAAAGATGTAAGAAGGCACACATACATAGAACTGATTTCCTTTTGGTTGGTATTGCACTAGCCTAACTTAATGGCAAACGTCATCTACACTTATTACTGCATAAGTTGGTTTTGTTTAACGGCTTGTCGTGATGTTTTGTGACCGCTGTTTAACAATGGGTACAGACGAGGCATGAGCAGGAGCGTCATGTTCCTTCATAGCCTCAACGAATACATGGAAATGGAGAGAGCCGTGGGAATTCTTGTGTTGAAAAAAATAAGCACCATACCAACAAGTCATCTGTGAAAAGATGTAAGCAACTTTTGATTATATATTGAAAAATATCATACTTACTTTCTGTAATGGCAAGTGAACATCACGTAATGATTGCCATGGCTGGTCTCGTTTTTTTTTCGGTACATACATGCGGAATATATTTTTGAATCATTTTTCTGTTTGTAATCGTTGAATCCATCCACAGACGGGCAACAACAATAACAGCAGAGTCACCAAATTCGTGGCCAGCCAAGCCTGTGTTTTTTTGATAGTATTTCAATAAAGCTCCCTTCACACTAGGGCCGCTTACACCTTCCATTGAATCATCGTTCAAATCGTTCAAATGACCAAATCGATGAAACGGCTCCCGCAACTGCACACTACTAGGATCATTATAAAAGTCCATTTAACTTTCTTTGCCATATGGGTTGGTTTAAATGATGTTTATTTCGTTGTGGACACATATTGATAGATATGCTAACATAGTTGTGTATTGCAGAACGCTCAGCAAAGAAGCTAGAATTTCGACTACCCTTTGATTTGGTCTTGTTCAAATTTGAGTATACACCAATTATTATCTCTGTTGAGCGAGTGGAGTAAAATTTCAAGGGGCCTTGTTATTTGATAATATACGGTATAGGGACCGGGTAATGTTGGACTAGTCGTAAAACACTACGATACGGGGTATTGGTCTGGTCTTGTTGGTATAAAAATCTGTGGCAATGTTTAAAATGTTTATTATTATCAAAAAAGAGCTAATAGTCAGTTATGTATAATGATATAATAAGGAGGTGTATAATGACTTACGATTCAATCTCATCCAGTAACTCGGAAGTTAAGGTCCATTGTAAAGCAATGGCACAACATTTTACAAGAGACAAAGCAACAGTTTTTGCGGTTCTATTTGGTAAATAAGGTACGACTGAAGTTGGACGATATATAAAAGAAATTCTAGCCAGTAAACTGCGCGAGTACCATTAATCTTGGCAAATACGTTGTCGGGACTGTCGTGGAACAAGATGGGTATATATTTTCGTGGGCTGGCGATGGAGTTGCCAATTGTCACAAGGTTTGCTCTTGGTCTATGAAAAAGGTATTCGGTGGTAATGAAGGTATTGTCTGAATTGGTATAATAAAATTTGGTTCCTTTTACACTGGAAAAACACCCCTGAATACACTTGTGCCGAAATAAACCAGTGATAGTGTATACGTGGAGTATTTTTCATCTCAACACCGTTTTTTGTGTTCAAATAAAGAAACCTACTTTTTACTACATTCTTACGGCTCGGATATAACAAGCAACAAAAGTTATTTTATTTATTACTATAAAGTCTTTGTGAATAAATAAATGTAACACCTATTTCCCTTTTATTTCATTAAAGAAACACAAACGTCATGTCTTTTACTATCGAACAAAACTTTGAAGAGTGTTATTGCACCGAATGCATTAAGAATTATGATGGATACACCTTAGTGTCAAATAGAACTGCCCAGCGTCATGGCAAGAAAGCAGCTTTAAAAGATGCTATCATACGTGGGATTGGTATGTCGCTCACAATATAAACTTTGCTTTTTTATATTTAACAGAGGTGCCCAGAGACATTTAATGAACACTGATGCAGAGTGTAAAACGTTTTTATTTGAGTATAAAAAAAAAGGAACTTTCTTGTTATATTCCATATTTGTAGCTAATGTACTCCAAGAATCTGGATCCGTGTAAGTTCTTGCCCGTCAGTCTGACTTACCCGTTTTAGATATCTCCCATATGTCAGTTGACAACGTCTCTGTTGACAATGAGGTCGATGGCGATTTCAATGACATGAACATTGAGCATGAGAGCAATGAAAATGACGAAGATATCGTTGGTATTGAAGTTGAAGAGGTCGACACTGAATGTTCGTACGAAAGTTGAAAAAAAAGAGTGAGAAAAATTATTAATTTTTTTTTCTAATTTAAAAGATATGTTTTCAAACAGCAGTATGCCTGAGAAGCATATACACAGATTCATTGCAACATTCAGTTATTTACATCCCGCTAGGTGGTCAACAAGGGCGCAGTTGTCTTGATCGAGTTCATCAACGAGCTCTTGAAGATTTACGAGCAGGACTTTCAGCTTCCAACAAGTCTGCCTGGTATTTAACGTATGACGGGATTCTGTGAGCTAACCAAAGGCATAAGGCGATTTTTGGCCTGCGAGGATTGCCACTCAATCTACAAAGAAACTCAGTCTGTTCCTCCTCGCCGCATTTTTGTAAAGACATATTATCGTGCAGCTTGTAATTGTGAATTGATAAAGAACTTGTCGCCCGGTGCTTTGGTACCCAAGCGTAGCTTACATTGCCAGTCAATCAAAATGCTTTTAGAATCCTCTTCAATCTCCCGGACTTTGAAGAAAAGATACGTCAATGGAATACAGAGCCGAAAGCAGCAGACACAATGTGCGATGTGTATGGTGGAGTATGGAAAGAGTTCAAAGATAGTAATGTCGTTCCGTTTGTCGAATAACCTTGTTCGCTGATGCTGACACTCAATATAGACTGGTTCCAGTCGTTTGACAAGGTGACATATTCTTGCGGTGCAATCTACTTAGCCATCAACAACGTGCCTCATAATGGGAGGTTTAAACCCGAAAACGTCATCTTTGTGGGTCTTATGCCTGATCCCAAAGAGCCCAAAACAAACAAAATAAACAACCATATTGAGCCAATAGTAGATGAATTGATACAGCTGTATCACGGAATAAGAATGCCAACGATCGAGTTTCCTGTCGGTGAGGTGATTCGCGCTGCATTGATGATGGTCGCCTGCGACATTCCAGCTGTCAGGAATACCAGCGGATTTACCACACTTAATAGCTCATGCGCGTCCTTTAAGCGCAACCGTCATTTCACTCGCCTTGACAGCACAAACAAGGTTGATTTCCGTGGATTTAAAGAATCTGAGTGGTGTCGTCGTAGCTGTGAGTATAATAGACTGCATGCTGAGGAGTGGAAGAACGGAGTTACCCTCTCAGAAAGGCAGCATCTGGGAATCGAAAATGGTGTTCGATGGTCGCAGTTGCACCGCCTTGGATACTTTGATCTAGTACGTGGAACGATCATTGATCCCGCGCACAGCCTATTATTGGAGACAGCAAAAAGAATGATGTATCGGTGGATCGAACATGTTATTCTTGGAGAGAGGGGTTTCACTGCCATGCAAAAGGTAGCAGATAAGATGCTTGTACCAAGGGTATATAATGCATTGAGAAGCGAAATCTGCAAAAATATTGCATTTATGAAAGCAGACGAGTGGAAGTCGTGGGAGTTTGCGTATTCCCCTGTGGTGTTGAAATCGGTTCTCCCTTCCTTGCATTTCAATAACTGGATTGAATTTGTCCATACATGCCGTCACCTCGTAAATCCCAGTATTACATTCGATGATATTAATGCCGCTCATAGACATCTCGAACAATTTTGTGAATAATGCAACACTGTATACACCGCCACAATCCTTACCTGTAACATGTGCATACACATACATGTTTGTAAAACTATTCTCCGTTTTGGATCAGTGTATGGTTATTGGCTTTTTGCATTCGAGAGATACAATAACTTACTCAAAAATATCAGCACAAATGGCAAGGACAGTTTTGAAGCCAAATTTATGAGATGCTTTGTTGAAGATATAAAAAAGTGATTTTGTCAATTCTGCTCTTACATGTCCTACTCAAGCTCCCTTTCTTCCTGTCCTTTCCAAACTAGCCTTTTTTATCCACACCTGTCCTTACCTAGCCATCTCCCTCTTCCACAATTTTTCAGCCACCATTCATTTTACAAGAATTTGTGGATTCTTTTGAAACTACCAGAATTCCTATCATAGGTAACGAACCCCTCCCACATACATCCTCACCACTTTCAGTTAGTAAACCTTCCACAATGGGTGATATTGATTATCTCCATTTGTTGAAATACTACAAACTTGTATACCTCACCCCCGATCTCGTCCATTATGAAAATGATACCGCCTCTCCATTCTTTGTCGATGATCAGATTATAAAGTTGAAATCAATCAACATTCTTGGCCAAGTGTACTATGGCAATAATGGCACCACTGACCGTGGATTATATGTAAAATACTTGTTTCTTGACATTGATGGCATTACCGAAACTGCATTCACTTGTCAGATCCAGTACATCTTTATTCACTCCTTCACTCCTCCTCCAACCTCTCATTATTTCGAAGCTCACCTCACCCATCACGACCAGCCTGTATTTGCATTCGTCAACTGGCTTCCTTTGATTGCAGATAGAGCCTGAGAAAAGGATGGAATTGTCATTTGTGATTCAGCACCCTCACCATCTAACTATCATTCAATTCTGCCTATAAATAGAATCTTTTTAGAAGTAGTAATTGCAATTCATAAAACAGGACTTGTCCGAAAAAAGATGGTAGTTGCCTTACCAAAAAAGCTTTATGCTTAAAAAAAGCAACAGTAATTTTCCTTCTTTCTTTAATTTCTTTTTTTTTTTAAAAAAAAAACAGAGCAGAATAATTACTAGCTCTATATAAATCGTCAGCGTTGAGTTTGTGAAGATGAGAATAAATAAGACGAAATAAACAATTTTTTTTATTGTGGCCCATATCTAAGGTTCCACGGAGGGAAACGTGACGCGACGTCATCAGGAACTGGTTTCTCAGAGAAGCTGATGAGATTTGTGTTTAGCAGCTGGCGAATGTTGCTGCCCAGGTTTTCTTTCACAATATCATCAATGATGATGAGCTTGTTAAACTAAAAACATTTATGTATATATATATATATATATATTGCTAAACGCTATTCAAACATAGAAAAATATTTCTTACAAAAACATTTGCCTTATCACTTCTCTAAAAAGGACGGGCAACCTTGACAATGAATTTGCTAGGTCTCCGAGGAAACTCGTCATCCGATTCGTCTACAGACATTTCTGATTTAATCATCAGTCCAGAACAGTTCCTCTTCATCAGAAAATCAACATCAGCCTTATTCGATACATACGCCATTACGCGGAGGTTGATGTGATGTAATTTTTTATTTTTATTTTTATAGTAATGTTAATTCTATGGCTGAATTCGGACTGAAATATAAAACAACACTTATTTCGGCTTTTCTTGCATCCCGTCTACCACAAGCGTTCGTGACAACTCTCACCTTAGGATCTTTTCTGACCTTACGAATTCTGCCCCGGAATTTTATGTGAAGCATTACACGGAATTTGCTTTTTTTGATACCCTCCCCAGCGAACTTTGGGATCAGGTAACCAAGGAGATTGGCAACAGTCTTCTTGTTGGGACTTTTATTAGAGTGGACATCGGTTGTCCACTTCAGCTTTGCCTCGTTTGCACTGAAAATGGCAGGATTACTGGAATTCAGGCTATAATTCCACGTGTACCCTCGAATCAATTTCTATTTAACAAACTTGTTTAACGGTTGAGACATTGTATATATTAATATTTACAACGACCTTGTCTTTCTTTTCACGGCTGATTTAAGAGGCGATGCCATCAGGAATTCTGTCAGCAGAACCGGCGGCAACAAGAGAACAACCAAGAGAAATAGAGGCAGATGTTTGGGATTCATTGTCTTGTCCAAGTCCAACACAGATGGCTGTATGCATTGTGGTGAGTTCACCACGTACATTGGTCATGGATTCGTCCATTTTTACCATCTTAGCTAAAAGATCTTTGTATTCTTCGGATGGGTAAGGCGGAATTGGGCGTATTCCAGTCATTATCTATAGTATTAAATAAAGCGTATTTTTCAGTTATTTAATTTTTAATTTACAATGTTTGATTTCAAATTAATAATTTGTTTCTTACGTACAAGCAAGTATGTATGTAAATAGGTGAAAGGGTGTGTATATGTGCGTGTGTGCGTGTCTGTACAAGAAGCATTATGATATTGTAAAAAATGTCTTTATATAAGTATACCAAATAGAGCTGTAAATATATCCAAAATAACCTCTCGTAACTTTGGGATGACAATCCGTCATTATATTATCTTTTTGGACTCAATTTGATTTTTTTGTTTCAAACACACACACATACTTCTTTTCTGTTCCTGTTTTTTATTATTATTTTTATTTCTCTGTTTTCGCTTGTGTTTCATTTTTTTTCTTGTATTCTCTCTTTCGAAATTTTATTATATTCACGCGTCTTTCTGGTAAGGCACGTACTTTTTTTTTAGTAAAATAAAATACTTTACAAACAACAAAATAATTAATTCATTTTACTGTCATAAACAACCACACACTTGCTCTGCCTCTTTTACATTTTTATATCCCTCAATTTTTCTGGTAAAACTATCTCTTTAAAATACTTTATATATATATATATATATATATATATATATATATATATAACTAAAAAATAATAATTGTTTCTGTTGTCATAGACACTCAAATTTTGTTTTCTTCTGATGCATCCTCTTCACAAGCGTCATCCGGATTAGCCAAGGTTAGTAAATATACTTCATACCGCCATCCCATAAAATTATTCTAACCTTTTTTCTTTATTTCTTATAGGCCATATCACCAAAAAAATCTCTACAATTAAACACGACCATCAACATGATAATACTTTATATTTCTTTATATTTGTTATATTTTGTTTTGATATTTATTTGATAGAATATAATGTCTATTATAGATGAACGCCCCTCTCCCAAACATGCCATGGATCAAGAACTACCATCCCATGCTACCATCATTGACATGGTAAGTCTTTTTTTTTTCTTTTATTCTTTTTATATATACCGCTATATTATTTATGCTGTATATTAATGTAATACAATATTCTACTAGAGTCTATATCAACTCTTGATAAGTACTATTGATGTTTACATATAAATTGTTTTGCTTTGGGTATGTAAATTAATTTCCTCTGATCCTTTTCATAGTCAAAGAAAATCGGAACAAACGCCATGTTTAACATTCCCAGTGCCTTTTTGCTCAACCCATTTGTATCTAGTATTTTCAATGTAAGTATAAATTAAGTATATATTGATTTGCAGAAATCACTGGAAAGTATACTATCTAAACTATATAATTAACATATTGCCCATGTTTTTCAAAGGCTGTTGCATCCTAGCAAAAATCCTATAATTTTTTTTCCTAGTGATTTTTTCTGTGTGGTAATCTTCAAATTCATACAGTATCAAGAAGATCGCAGAAGAAGGGGCCCAAAATATACAATACTATTAGCATACCATCAGCCTAGAATTATTCTATTATTCTGTTTTAATAAACTTTAAATAAAACCAGAAAACCCAATAATTACGGAATATTAGATATATGAGAGTATGTTACAGGTGGAGAGCAATAAGAAGGCTTTCATGATTGGATATATTTGAAAAAAAGTAGCGTATAGGTACCTATACTCTAGTGCCGAAGATATGTGTAAATATAGGAAGAGGAACCCCATCAGATCCATGATCAGTTCGCACCTTAAAGTATTTTAATAAAACTATAAGTTTTATACAAACGCTTATAGCATACATTCGTAATTGTCATATCTGCGACACTTTGCTTTGACACCACTCTAGTGTTCAGCTCGTCACAAACCAAGTGTCTAAGGTACTCTACTGCACAGTATACGGGTCACTTAAGACTAATGAGTATTTTTTAAATTAAACACATCGGTGTATCCATTTCTGCTCATGTGTACGTGAACCCATTTTTCTAGTGGTGTTAAAAAAGCGCCGGTGCAACAGTCGCGTAATATCCACTCTTGAACTACCAGATATTATTTGGGCTTTATAAAGAGGTATATAAATATTTAGGATAATTAATGGCCAAATAATTTATGGAAATATATTTTTAAATAAATCAGCAAGCCCTTTCTGATACCGAATACAAAGAGAAGCAGCCTTCTAATAATTAATAGTAAAAAAAAAATAGTATTGTCTAAATACATTGGTAGAGAAGACATATCTATATATTTTTATCTAGTAATAACAGTATTTTTGAGATAGTAAATAGTATATTCAAGCGATAATATATATTTTTGATTTATGTATAAAGCCTAAATATAGGCTATAGATGATGAGCGCTGGAGCCTGATACTCTTTTACTGAAATCATCAAGATTGGCTATGCTGGCCGAAATACATATTAATTGAAAGTGGCCATGCGAGTTAAAGCACATATTTTTTTTCAAAATATACAATTCCAGTCAAAATAACCCTTGGTAAGTAATGATAACAACAGCCAAAATTCTTTTTGATGACAATATCAGTTAAAACACATCTTGGTCAATAATTATGACAAGTATGATATTGATTTGTCTATCGTAACATTTATTTTAAAACATTACTAACAAAAGGTCAATTAACTATATGCTTTTCAAACTTCATATTGCCGCTATAAATAATATCTATACTAAAGTCGTTATTTTAGCTGGTATAGAGTTTTGCCATTGATAACTGTAAAAAGATTTCACGCCATAGCTATAACTTGTATAGAATTATATTGTTATATCCTATGCTTTAAGAAGCTTAATGTATAGACAATACAAGGTATAAAAAGGTATGTGTATTTAACAAAAACGAAAGGTATTATGCACTTTATCTTTATCTTTCTTGTCGATTTGCTGTGTGGACACCAAACGATTGTACCCCAGACCGCATAAACTACTGCAAGCAGATATATACAAGTGCATAGACATCCCTTCTTTTGTTTGTTCTGCCTGTATCTATGCCCTCATTTCTTTCGTATAAATAGCTATCTATTTATCGTTATAAAAAATGCTTTTCTCAAGCTCAAATATCTATACTATCCTACTTGCCCAAACTATAATTTTTCTTTCAAATTCACTGCTCATAAATATAACAAAACACTTTAAGCATGTCCGATATAAACACTATGTAAAAAATGGCAGTTATGTTACCATTTTTCTTAGCCGTAGTGGCGCCATTGGATAAAGCGCTTTCTTGACCCGCACAAGTCCTTTGGGAACACTCGCCTTACTTTAATGTTTCCAAAACTTCGAGCCCCACCCTTATAAATAACGAATGGTGCCTTTTCTACTCTCATGTGTGCTTTGGACTCTATCCCACGGGACTTTTTCTTCTCACTTTAAAATACCCCATCTGAATTTCTCTGATTTTTCTGGATGTTTTAACCTATACAGCGTCCTATGCACCTCTCACCTATAGCTGGAAACAATTTAATGCTTCTGACGCATTTATTTTCTTACCAAGACCGGCAATATATCTGCCCCCAAACGCAAGTCGAACGACCTATCTCGTCATATCTGATAGGTAAGTTGTTTAGGGACATAGAAAGCACAACCACTGAGCTCACATTTTTCTTTGGCCCGCTACATTGCATTCTAATGACCACCCCGAGTTGCAGCTATCAGCTAATTATTTGATTGTATATTACAAGCCATTCGTCGGAGGCCTTCAAACTGGATGTAAGCACTTGACCGACTTTACAACCAGTCGATTTCGGGATGGATTCCGGGGCCACACCCGATAACCTCTTGTACCCCTCCCTTTGCAAGCTAAACAATGGTGTTCCTTTTGGGCCTTTCCAATCCATCGCACCTCCTGAAACATGTGGTATAGTGCTATACTTAACTCCTTGTCTTGTCAGTACACCCTCCACAACCGTGCTCTAGCCATTTTTGTCACTCCAAACTGCCCCATTTGCTTCTCTTAAGTAGACACACTTTCTCATTTTTTCTACCAGTGCCCACATAAATGGGCAGTATGGGAAGGTACACAGATAAAACACTTTGGACTGTCCCCATCGACGTTTGATAATCATCGCGCACTCCTCTCTGGAAATCACTAACCACCCACTTACCTGTCTTCCTTGCCCGACCATGTCAAATGATTGGAAGCAGCATCCTAGTCATGTGGTGCACTCCCTGGAGCTTTATCTTTGACAGCCGGCATTTTCAAACTCCCTCAATTAGCTCTAAAATAAATACCCTTGTTTCATACCTTTCGTCTGACCTAGATTTAACTTAGACTTCTCTTGGACTTCTATTTCTATTTTTTCAAATCCCTCAAAAAATTCAAAAACAACTGTGTAAATTGGGTTCCTTTCACTAACACAATAAGAGCATCCACAACGGTATGTGTAACTAAAATAATTACGTAAAATAAAAAAGCCGCATTTAAAAGAGATAATTTAGACCATCCACAGCGGTCTGGGTAAAATTAGCAGTGTATGTAAAAAAGCCCTGGATGTTTTTGTGAATTGTTAAATTTAAAAAGACGGTAATTATTATTGAGAAATAATCAGTTAAAACTTTTAGTTAAGCAATACGCTGGGGATGAAAAATCTAAATTTTCTGTCTAAATTAACATTCTTGTTAAATTTACACAGACCGCTGTGGATGCTCTTATATTTTCTTTTTATCTTTCTCAAGAGAGCAAGCTGCAAATTGCTAACATTCGGGCTTAAGAGCTGTCAGAGGAGATCGATACATATTCTCTTTTTCTGTTAATTGCTTGGATTACTTCTTTACATAAACCAACACTCCCCGTCTCAGTTAAGAGTATATTGTAACAGTTTCTTTTAAACAATTAAATATAACTGTCTGGCTAGATATTTTTTATTACAATCAATTCTCATAAATCTACGGGAGTATCTTTACTAAATATACTAAAAAAAACAATAAAAATATTACCAAATTCCCACCTAACAAATGAAAAGGAAGGCACAAGCGCCGTACTGTAGTGAATAATATACTGGGGGTACTCAGCAAGATTGATCGATCAAATTCTTGTGTGAATCTTGGCCAATGGTATCAATTTGTAGTTGAGGACACCAAAAGACAAAAGTACAAAATTCGTACAAAATTCATAGATTTTTATAGCATTTATAGAATAATCTATGCACATTCTGATTTCTTCTTTGAACCTGTAGGCATCTAGACTCTCGAAGAAGTCAAGTGCTCTTTCCCTTTACTCAACATCTGGCAATACATTGTCAACCTTGTGTATGTATTTATTGGCTTTAAGTGTTTGTTTAAGCTCCTTCGCGGCAGCCATCTGCTCCAACTTTATATTAACTTCCTTTTTGATTACTTCTAAAATAACTTTAATAAGCTCGTCTGCACTTGCTGATAAAGACTCTACCAGTGTTTTTTTTTCACGATAAATTCCCTGATTTTATGCGATTTCTTCTAGGCATCAATTGCTTGTTGCTTTGTACTATATTTTGGCATGTAAGATGGAGAGAAAGAAGTATTATATGACTGTTGGCAATACATTCTATGATTTATTAAGGAGAAAGATAAAAACAATATCGTATTGCATATAAAAAAGTAAAGATTAAGTTAATCAGAGAGCCGTACGTTTTTCGATCAAATTTTGATCGTCGCTATTACAATTGTAGTCCAATAATATCGCGTTCTGAATTCAAAATTTGATCGATCAATCTGGCTGAGTACCCCCAGTTATTTAGATGAGCCTGGCACAGGCTCCATTTCAATAAAGCAATACATACACATTATTTTGCCTAAATAGTAACATATCTTCACTCAATAAAAACAGTAAATTAAAGAACCAGGTGTCTATAAGAGCGACAATAATCTGCTTTCATGAATGAACAGTACATATAGTAAGCACTATTTCGTTTTTGCATTATTTGTACCCTTTAAAAGTGACAAAACTTAGTACTATGATCTCTTTTGCTTCTTTTTCTTTAACCGTGCTGGATTTGCTAGAACATCTTTACTTTTAATCTCATTTGAATAATCTCATTATGGTCACAAATATTCTTGCGTAAACAATCTAGTTCAACTGGATATCCATACATATATTTAATCTCTTAAAAAAGATACAATGTCGTTATAAAGAGGTTTTTTAGAGGGGTATTTTAAATTCAAGACAAACAGAAGCCAGCAAATAAATAAGCATTATATATCACACTCATCCTTTAGGAAGTATAAACTATTAAATCAAAAGGATGCTTTGATAACTATCATTTCTTGTAAGTATTGAGCACATGTATTGGAAAGATCTTTGTGATAATTTAGAATATAGATAACTTTATAATAAATAGAAAAGGTACTTCATATAACAGCGTAAAGAGTTTTAGAATATGAATAATATATGGAATAGTAACACTGCCACAATCTTGCCGTACGATTTTTTCTTTAGCTATTGTTTTTTTATTGGATCATATTTTTTTTGAAAGGTTCACAAGGATTAGAAATTAAGATTTGCTATAGCTATATTCTGTGAATACAAACCATGTAAGAACTCCGTGTATAATAATAGTAGGCTATCTCACAAAGTTCTATTTCCTACTTTTTTCCCTTTTCTTTTTCTTTTCGGGAATTTCTATTTGAAACACTCGCTATTAAGAGTTATTCTAGTGTCAACAAGTTGATTGATTCAACAATATCAGCAAACAAGCTTCTTTGAAGATACGGCCACAAAACTCGAACACTCAAAATCGATATAAGTGATTGTCTAAGAAGCAGCTTTACACCTTTCAAAAACATTTTCCGAACATACATTACTTCAAATGGAGTAATACACGAATCAAACCACCTCTACCTACCAATTTTTGTGGTTGAAATTTATGGACAGAAACACTCACACATCTTGAAATAGCCGTAATAAGCTATGATTCTATTGACCTATCTCATATATATATATATAATTTAATATGGTCGAATCTACACCAACTAAAACGGCTACACTTTGATTCGAACTATGGTACATTGCCTCCATGTACCTTTGGCAATTTAGGGCTATTTAATGATGAACTACATGAATTGACATATACGCTGCTTCCTATTTTGTTTGATAAAATGGAGCCAGCTGAATTATTAAAAATTAAAGAAGTAAAGCCTGAATCTTATTTTAAAGCCTTGAAAATGTCGATCTCAAAAACTACCTGAGAATGGCTCTATTGCATTGCTGTAAAGTATCCAAAAATCAGTACTCTCGGAGGCTTTAATTACAGCCAGTGCATACCTGACGTGTTAAGTTCTTGAGCGCTGAAAATGCTCCCCAAGCTTTCATGTCTCTTTCAACGACTGGAGAACATTGCTGTTCATTTCGAAAGTGCGAAAACTCAAATGTATCTTGACTTTGTGAATTAACTTCGTTGTTCAAATGTTCAGATAGAGATAGTTTGTCTTACTTTCTATCCATGTTTTAGAGGCAATAGCTCGGCAAGCAATATCCTAAGTTTAACAGAACTATTTACAAATACGCTGAAGCAAATTCAAGTTACATCATTTCAAAGTGACCAACTATAGTTGGGGTTTTCTGATGAACTTAAGTATTGTTCTCATCTAGATGATCTGGATATCAAAAATGACAGTGTTACAGCTCTGATGGATATTATCTTGGAAAAATGCCCGGCAATAAAGATCTTTAGAATTATGGGTAGTGTTCTTACTTTCAGGTCAGGATTGTTTATAATTCAAATAGGACATGGGCTGTGCGATTTATGATTAAAAAGTATGTCTATTGCCGCTAGCACACTTAATAGTATATATAACCAATATATATATAATTTCACTTTAAGAAACTTTGGTTGAATCAAAGGGGTTAATCGATAATAGGGGGTTTCACCAGCTTTCGATGCTTGACTGTTGGATATAGCGGTAGTTTAATTTGAAAAATAATTGGCTGTGACGAATCTTCAAAAAATGAAAACTGGCTGGAAGCGCCTTAATGTTTCTGATGCTTTCATTTTTGACCAGGACCTGCAAGCTATCCGCTCCCGAACGCAAACCGAACGGTCCATCTCGCCATATCTGATCGCTAAGCTGTTTCGGGACCTTGATAACACAACTGCTGAGCTCACGCATTTTTTTTTGGCATGCTACTTTACCTCCCAATGACCATCCTGAATTGCTACTGCCAGTTAACCCTTTGATCGTAGATTGCAAGCCATTCGTTGGAGCCCTCCAAACTGGATGTAAACGCTTATCTGACTTTACAACCAACCGATTTCGGGAGGCATGCCAGGATCACACTCAATCTCCTCTTGTGCCCCTCCCATTGCAAGCTAAACAATGGCGTTTATTTTGGGCCTTTCCCATCCATCACACATCCCAGAACATATGGTATTGGGCTATACTTAACTCCCTGTCATGTCAATACACCCTCCACAGTCGTGCACCAACCATATTCGTCACTCCAAACTGTCCCATTTGCTTGTCTGAGGTGGGCACACTCTCTCATTTTCTCTACCAGTGCCCACAGAAATGGACGGTGTGGGAAACTGCATGGATTAAGTACTTTGGACTATCCCCGTCAACATTTGATATCCATCGCGCACTATTCTCTCTGGAAATCCCTGACCATCCATCACCTGTATTCCATGTCCACCCATGTCAAATAACTAGTAGCATCATCCTTGCCCTGTGGCGCACTCAATGGAGCTTTATCTTTGACAACAGGACTTTCCAGACCTCCTCGATTAACTCTAAAATAGACGCCCTTGTTTCGCACCTTTCCTCTGACCTAAATTTAACATAGACTTCCCTTGGACCTCTATTTCTATTTTCTCCAAACCCCCAAAAAAATCCAAAAATAATTGTGTTCCTTTCTTAACACACAATAAATACAAGGACCAGTTCCTCTTTACAAAAAAAACCAAAAATTAAAAACGAGCATCCAAGCATCTAAAAAAATAGTTCGACATGGCTCTTTTCACTACCACTCTGGAACCACCTGGGGCCAAAAACCCCTCCACCACTTGCTCATCTCCACCATTACAACCCTCATTCACACCAATCTCACCCTCTTTGACACCTCTCTACTCACAAGTAGCTATTTAGAACGCATCTCTACTCCTCGAAAAGCAACCTCATGTTATCTTCAGCTCTACGAATAACACGACTCCGCGTACCTGGTGTGTAGGGTCCTCTAAGTTTTCTGTTTTTTTTTTTCATCGCCCCACCAAAATCCTCACCCAAGTTCGACCCTTTCTTGGGAGCTCTTCTCTCAACTTATCCTCGCGAGGTTAACATGGGCATCACTCTTGGCTCTCGCTCTTCGCCTGATACCTGTGAGCTCCACCTACCTACCAATGCGAGCTGCGAGAGAGCGTGCTCTCAACCTTTGGTAGTTGGTGATTCGTCTTTCCCCGCTCAACCTGCTGTTCCCATTGGCACAATTGTTCGCTGTGTTTTCCTAGCCAAGCTTCCTCATGCTCCTTATCATAAACTTGCTACACAACTCGCAAAGTGTATGTCTCCTTTTGGTAAAGTGTGGGAGATCGCTGTTCATGAAACATATAGGTTTTTTGATGGTTCTGGCCATGTTGTCCTCGCCAATACCCCTACCAACGATGTGCCATTGGATTCTCTGACATACCAGATTGCATACAATGATACGCAAAAGATTCTTGGTTAGTGGCCTTCCATGGGCTCCCACTGCACTTACTGTAAGGAAATGGGGCACGAAGTCACAAAATGCACCAAACGCCCAGCCAAAACCCAAACGTGTTTTGGATGCAACAAGACCGGCCACCTGCAAGTCAATTGTCCGTCCAATACTAATCCTTCCAAGACATCCAAGACGTCCAACAAGCGCTCCCGCCACCCCAACTGCAATTCGAAGCTCGATCGCCCCATAATCGCACCTAAGCCTTTGATTCCCACTGGGCTCTCACTCATCTACGGAGGATCCGAGGCTTCCAAACACAATCCTCGTCAACCTGCTTTGCATGAGTTGTCTGAGCTGTCTCCCACAACAACACCCTTAACTCTGATGACACCAACTGAGACGCCCACGTCCTCTGGCCCTCGCCCTTGAAGCCATTCTGTTGACACCCCCACGCGTAGCTGGGACAAAGAGATAGACGACAGAATGATAACTAATCTCCTGGATAGAGATGAGGCTCGGGCTCTCCGGCTCCAGTCTGCCTCTCGCCACATTCATCCCCGTTTTTCCCAGCCAGCATGTCCAACAGGCCGCAATACATCTCTCTCTCCTCCTCGCTTTACTCACCCACAAACCACAAAAGCCCTCGGCGCAGAGGCCAACATTAACCAATGATTAAAATAAGCACTATGAACTGTAGGGGTCTACCCAAAGTTGGACACCCTGAATCACGCTCCTTTTTCATACGCCATTTATGCTCACAGGGAATCGATATTTTAGCCCTGAAAGAAACCCATGCCTCATCATCTATGCTTCAATCTACCTTTGTCCAACAATTTCAGTCCTCTTCATCATTATGGTCTCCACACTGCGGTGTTGTATGCCTTTCCCCTCACATCATCTTCACTGACCCTCTATTTAGCCCATGTGGCAGGTGTATCACGACCGCCATCACGCATGTGGATAATACTTTCTCTCTCTTCAGGATAGGTGTCATCTATGCTCCAGCTTCTCAAACTCCACATTATCGTTTTTTACCTCTTTACTGTCCACCCCTGACCTCATCCTTCTCAATCCTTCAAACTTTATTCTATTGGGCGATTTTAATCATGTAAGTTAAGGTGCTCTCGGAATTGTTTTTCGATAAAGAATTCTTTATCGTGACACGGGTGTTGTGTGTTCTCCAGCTTCGCCCACCCTGATTTATTTCCTTCTTCTCCGATCGTTTCCCTGCCTATTTTTCTCGTTCATCACTTCTACATATTATCACATTTTTACATATACTTTTACCTTTATTATCACTTCCATTTCATCTCCCGCGCATATTCTCCTTTTGGCATCTTTACCCTTTTTACATACATCTTCCCATTTCCTTTTCCAGTTTCCAGTTTCTTTTTTCTCACACTACTTATCTTTCAATATTACTGCTATTAATTTCTCATCTTGTATCCCATCTTTATTACTCTTTTATTACTATTCTTATTGTATTCTAACATCTTACCTTTTACATTTTACCAAAAACACAACATTATCCCACTCTTTCCCTTGACATTGACATTGACATCTACCCGCCTTTACATAACATTCCCTCTCACGCTATAAGTCACCTCTACAATCTCTAAACATTTTATTCTCATATTTTTCATTTTACAAAAGGTATATAAGAAACCTATTTTTACAACAATAAACATCATCAGTTATCTCTCTCTTAAAATTACCGTCCCTGAATTGCTCTCTGCCTGACCCGTAGGAAAGCAATCATACATCGCATTAAAGTCTTATATCTCTGTTCAAAACCCTCTTCCCCTTTTTCCTCTTTCTATCTCTTTGTATCTGTGTGATTGTCCTGAGTGAAATCAACAGCGTCCTCTTAAATTCTCCTCTAAACTTATCTTCTCGTACCTTGCTGTCTATCTGTCTTGATTGTCCCGAGTGAAATCAGCAGTATTTTTATTTACTTCTTCTACCTTACCTTCCTATGCCTTGCTGTTTTACCTGTTTGGATTGTCCTGAGTGAAATCGACAGTGTTCCTATACCTCCTTTCACCTTCTACCTTAACACTTTTATTTCTTTTCCATCCTCAACTGTCCCAAGTGAAGTTGAACATTCAATCGCCCTTCTAAATACTCTGTATCCCTTCCATATTCACCTTTCTCTTTATTATCCTCCTTCCCACCCGAACTCGTACTCCAGGATTACATTTTTAATTCTTCTTCAATATCTTTTATTCTTATTTTCTGACCAAGTTGCACACACAACAAACTCAACACGCGTCAATCGAAAAACAATAATGTTCCTTTTTTAGAAGATTAATATGTGCCAAATATAGATGTCGTGTAATGAATAATACGTCGGTGTTATAAGGTGCTCTCGGAATTGTTCTTCGATAAAGAATTTTATCAAAAAACAATAATAGAGACGTTTGTGGACTCAGATTTTCAACTTTTTGCATGAGCTTATTGCCTTAGAAAGGAAACCCGATGTTACATACACATCTATATAGAGACACTACTCTACCAAACCTTATTCAAATTGGTAGCCTCTCATATTCGTTTATTTTCTGCTCTAAACTAACGGCAAGCTGATAATTATAACACCGAAAAAAGTCACTTTTAATTTTAATTTTATAAACATCCTACTATCATAATACGCGTTTTTACCACTTTTCCTTCACTTGGTTTTAAACATGAACGCACATATGAATACTTTCGCTGCAGACGCTCCCATCAGATTTAATTACAAGATAAATCTGATCGCTGGAAGAGACAGACTCCTTGTGGAATCGTTGATCCACCGACACCCCTCATATGCTGGTCATGGGCAATCGGGTGCTGCCTGGGATGAAATCCTCAAAAAGGTCAAAGATGCCGGAGGTAAAGGCAACGAAATTGGTGTCTCAACACTCAAGCAGAGACACAAGAATCTGGTCAAGCAGTTCAAAGCAAGACAGACCCAAGAAAAAAAAATGACAGGGTCAAACGAGAGCTACTCTGATCTCGATCAGCTTCTCTTTCAGCTTGTTGAATTGGTAATCTTCACGTTGTATTAGGTATATTCGTCGAATATCAATGTGTTTAATACTATAAGTTTTTAAAGGAGGCTGAAGGAGATCGGGGCAAGGCCATGAAAAAGCAATTGGCTTCCGAGGAAGAAGTCCAGAAGCAGGCAGCTGCAGGTAAAGTCGTGGAGAGAGCGACTTTATTAAAGTCCAACAATCCGTTGAGAGTTGTAGAACAAAAGAAATGGACAGATAAAGTAGAGGGCAGTTCTTCTGGACATCTAGTCGGTCAATCGACGGCCGACTTTTCTGATGCCAGAGAAATGTTGAAGTCCTTTCGGGATGAATTGTCCAGTATGGTGGCTGGAATAAGTGATGGTGAGGTACTTACCTCAATGCGCAGGTTGGAGGAGAATGTTGAAAGAGGATTTCTGGCTATCGAGACAAGGCAGAGAACACTGGAGCAGAGACAGACTCTGCTAGAGGAGAGACAGGCTCGTTTCGAGTACAATATGCAGAGATACCTGCTTTAAGGTCTTAAAAAACAATAAAAATATATATACGTAAAACATGTCATAATAGTCATCAAATTTCTTCACATTACAGATAGTTTGGAGTAAAAAAATATTATTGGTTTAATAATCCATAAATGTACTGCTCTGGTGTAGGAGGAGCAACACCGTACTTTTTGCTTGTCTGGTTTCCTCCATTATAACAGACATGGAGGTTCTTCAAGAACGTTCCAACAATATAATATAGTCCCACTGGGGACTGACCACTTCTTTGGGTCTGTGAGTACTTTAAGAAAGCCCACAGACTCCCGGAATGAGCAAACTCGTGCTCCACGGAAATTCGCACAGCAGACATACTTTTGTTGATAGCAAGTTCTTGCTCATCAGCCGTTTCTAAAACAGACAATATGCAAACCATAAGTCTTTACCGTCGAGATAGATAACTGTACAATACTTACGTCTTCTGAAAGGGATCATCATATGGTCTGATGCGGTATATGCCGGATCACCATACAAGTAATAGCATGGACCATTTATGCTTGTAAAGTCAAATGCTACGCACATCATGGCATCCAATTGACTTTCGCGGTACATGCGCACGTCGTGATTCCTACCACTGTCTGGCCCCATAATGGACGAAGTAATACCATCGGGTGTTACCACTGCTTGGTACTTCAAACCATGTCCTCGCTATAAAGAGTATATAAATTGAGTAAAGACATGTGTCAGATCTATATATCCAATCTTTCACTCACGTAATGGCCATTGTATGCCCCCTCTTGATCAACAATGGGCCTTGCTATCTTGTTGAAGGTTCCATCAATAAACCCAACACAGTACATTGCCAGTGCTTTTATCCAAATAATATATAAAACGTAAGTACTATTAAACTAATATTATATTTTGCAAGTGTTATTTACATCTTTCTCTAATGGCTCGGCTGAAGCGCATCAGGTTTGATTCCCGGAATTGACAGTAGTCAAACTTCAAGGCTGGATAGAACTTAATATAAATCTTCTCTATCATTTCATTGAAGATGACACTGAGAGTAGACTTTCCCTTTCCAAAGAGCAGAGATAAATCTACTAAGCGAGCAGGGAAAACCATTCTGCGAAGCACAATCATCAGAGCCAGTGTCATTGGCAGAGAAAATTCACTTGGAGTGCCTTCTCGAAAGTAGACGATGTCTCCCATTTCAAGAAGAGTGGCCAAGGAGCGTATCTGGTTTTATAAATATATTAAATTAGTACTTTTTTTTTTCTTGAAAGCAATGATTTAATTATACCTCGGGCTGCGTGAATCTAAACAAAAGTTTAGAATCTTCATCAGACAAGGTGCTTGGGTCTAAGCAACCTTGACAATGCAAGAAGACAGCTATGCGTTCCCCTTCCTGCTCACGGTCTCGGGCATATTGAGCAAGTGCTTCTTGAATTTCTTCATTGGTGGGCTCTTGATCTTCGTAAACATCTGCATGTTCCTCTTGCTGTTCAGGAACAGATACCCATCCTCGCTCTTGTTCTTCAGCAATACGCCGAGAGCTGTGATTTATGTAACGATCCGTTAGTTCGATAATAGGATCAAAACGAAACATTTTAAGATTTTGTTAAAGAAAAAGAGAAAGGTGCTGCCCTTTCAAGTAACGGTAATGTTTTCGTTACTGAATATCAAGTCACAATTGATAATGACAGCTTGTACGTTTAGTTAAAATGAATGTCCTACAATTTTATGTAACATAAATAAGCTAAATACGGCAATACAAGTTGAAAATTTGAGTTTCAAAAAAAGCCTTTTTTTAGCTAATATTCTGTGCAACTCTACAAATCTGAGTCCACAAACGTCTCTAATGTTCTTATTTTAGAAGTATATTTTTTTTCAAAAAAGGAACAATATTTTTAAAGACCGTACTTTTTATATACCTGCTCTAGGTGCTCACGGAGTGTCTAATCGATTAGAATTATTCTAATCGATTAGATTTTAAATTTCTTTTTGGTAACTTTTCAAAATACAAATTTGGTACTGTATACGTAATAATAAGTCGGTGTTATAATAAATACTATACTGAAAAAGTATAACTCTTTGAATGCATAATAATTAAAAGTTCTTTCTTTTGCTTTTACCCTCAATAAATAAAGTATACTACTCTCAAAAATGTCTTCAACAACAAATACACTTTCCAATATAGACCTCTCTGAAGAGGACGCGGCACTGATAAGCCTTATTGTTAAGAAGTCTGATGCTATATTCAAAGAAGTATCCAAGACAGATGAGCTTGAGGACGAGGAATTTGATGAAGAACTTGACGAAGAGCTCATAAACGATCAAATATTGCCACAAAAGCGCAACGAAAGCAATAATTCTGCTCAACAAGAAAAAGTAGAATTTATTTCAGCTATCAATGAGCTCTATTTGCAACAGACCTTGAAAGCAATGAAATTAATCAACCAAGACATCTTCTTCTTGATCTACATTGGCAGCGTGTCTATGATTCAGGAACGGGTAGTGATTCGTAGACGAGCTAACCAAGGTACATACCGTTGGTGGACAATCGACCACCCAAACCTTACTGACGAAGAGACTGGAGAGCGTGCCTTTAAGACCCATTATCGGATTACGCGATCAACTTTCGAGAACCTTGTGAATCTTCTAAAAAACACAGCTGCATACTCAAGGTTCACTGATGAACAAAGAAGCACTTGGAATGTTGCCCAACAGGTTGCTGTTGTTTTATGGAGATTCTGTAACACACACTTTGGTTATAGAATTGCTAAGGCAACACTTGGTGTTGGCCACGGCTCCTACAATGAGTTTACAGTACGTTTTATCAATACAATGACAAAAGAAATTGCCAATAAGGTCATTGTATGGCCATCAACCATTCAAAAGCAGAGAGAAATTGCCAACGGTTTTGCTACTCGTACAAGTACCAGTATCCATGGCCATGACCACTTGAAAGACGTTGTTGGTGCCATCGACGGGAAACTCGTACAGATAGAAAAGCCAAGAGTAGATGGAAATTGATATGTTGATCGCAAAAACCATACGTCAATGAACCTGATGGCAATTTGTGATCACAATAAAAAGTTTCTTGATATCTGTGTTGGTGCACCAGGTAATAAATCTATATAATCTGACTATACTACTTGAATACTTATCTATTAACCAAATCTTTTCAGGAAGTTTTCACGATGCAAAATTTTTTAAACTTAGCCAGATATATCAGGATATGATCTCAGAAGATGAAGGAAGGAGACCGTGTCTTGATGGTACCTATATTATTGGAGGTATAAACAATTTAAAGTTAAACAGTTTTTGTATCTGTCTTATATCATTATGTCTCACTGTTCATGTTTAATATTTACCTAATAGATTCGGCATATCCTCTTCTCCCGCAGATGATGACTCCTTTCACAGAAAGAAACAGCACAGAAACCCCACTTACCGACCAAGAAATAGCGGCCCGTAAGAAATACAACAGCATGCAGTCCTCTACTCGGCAAAAAATTGAGAACACCTTTTCTTTACTCGTACTTCGATGGCGATTTATGTACAAACACCTCTTTGTCTTAAAAACCGATAACATGGCATTGATAATCACTTCTTGCTGTGTTCTTCACAATTTATGTATTGACAATGGTGATTCCATCATTGTGGATGCTGAAGAGGATGTCGAGATGCGCAGATTTCTGGAAAATGAGGCTGATGATGACGTGGAGCTATTAATGGAACCAATGAGTAGAGATATGGAGACTGATATCCCTACAGTCAATGAATTTGGCACTAGAACTAGCCTTACTTCTCGCTTGAGACAACTCAAGGATCAGGGAGTAATAAAAAGAAATGAAGTTATGAGCAGCTTGTAAAGCTTATACTTCCAACAAGACTGCTTGACTTTTTTTAAATTCTAATATATAAAATGGTGAAAACATGTACAGTTTTTATTTTATGCCTCACCATTGTCATTGCTTTGGATGCTACTGTCTTCAATGTTTCTACTAACAAACTTAGACAGAAGGTCTGTCATTCTTTTGTGATCAGCAAGGAGTTCGTCGTCTCTTCTTGCCCGTCTTGCACGCTCCAGTGATCTCTCCTCGTTCTCCTTCACAAACAAGTTCACCTCCATCGTTCTCAACTCCAACTCCAAAGCTACTCTTCTCTTCTTTTCTTCTCTTTCTTCAGCTGTACCAAACGCTTCTGTAAGCTCCCGTGTAGATACACGGATATCTTCTCTCATTGCTGCATATGCTGAGCCCATAAGCTCCAACATGGAATCATAACGATCACCAGCAGGCAACCGATCATGTGCAGGTGCTACAAGCAAGGGCACACTGGGCGGGACGGAACTATAGCTGTTGGCTACTGGATCCTCAGCTGCAGGCTCCTAAGTTACTGGCTCATCGGCTACAGGCTCCTCCGCTGCCGGCTCCTCAGCTGCCGCTTGTTCTTCCTCAAGAATTTCCAAAGGCTGGGAAGTTCCAACATGCTCCCTGGTTATTCTTCCAGTTGTCGATGTACGCGTGATTGTTACTCCTTGGGACATAGTCCCAGTCGAAACCAAGCATGGAATGCTGTACGTGGGATCGTTCAACGTAATCTCACGCATTTCGTTGAACCAGCGCATACGAGGCAGGTATGCATTACGGCCTGTTTGAGCATATACTCTGCCCGAATCTGCTTTGAAACTAGTTTTCAACAACTTGAACTTCGTGTTGCATTTGTTGCTATCCACTGTCGAGTTGAAGGATAATGGCAAGTTTTCAAAGTCAGTTTCAGCCTTGAAAGCTTCCACAAGAGTATTCCAAAGGTGACCAATTTTCTTCTTGTTTCCACCTGCAGCTTTAACCAAGTTATGATGGTCTGTTTGCAAAATAACTTTCAAGAGAAGACGGGTCGCGTCCATAGACCAGAATTGACTAGTGCTGACCTCAGGGACATCTTCCGTACTAGCAGCTTGTTCTGCATCCTCATCGTCTTCGGAATGCAAAACGTCTTCTTCGTCAATGGCGTCTTCCAGTTCACCATTTCCAGTTGCTTCAGCAGAAACAACATCTGGGAATGTGTCAAACACGGCCTCATTTGAAGTTTCTGGGAGGGATTGACTATCCTCTGTTGCAGGCTGAGCAGGGTTGACCGAAACAAATCGAATTCTGTTGTATGACATTAGTAAAAAAGGGTTATGGAAAGAACAAGAGAGTGAAAATAAGATATGGTTGCAAAATAAAATGACTCTCAAAAGGGGTGTTGATAGCAATCAAAATCTGAACCATATATGGCAATAAAAAATATTTTATACTGACACGTAGGGTACTTGAGGGAGCAGGTGTAACTAATTACAAGTCTACTATAAGGAAGAACGCTCTAGTTGAATAGTGTTTATGGCCGGGTTACTAGCTAGCAAGGGTTGTATTCCCAATTGGAGGCGTGGTAACGAGGGTCAATAAACTACAGTTAAGAGGAAACGTTCTCAAGACAATAGAACTGCACTCAGTATTTAATTAGGGGTGTCAAATAATATTTATGACTAGGCGTATGGGGATGGAATCAGTTGTCAAAATGAATAAAAAATGGGAAAGTGTTTTTAACGAGGTAAAAAGGTTACTTTATTGTCCTTCACTAAACTTCCTCTGATAATGGCCTCCTTTGCCAACTTCGTCTACCTACTCTACATCCACTTCAGTCTCCTCTCGCCACTTCTCACTTTCTCCGCAGTGTGGCGGCCACCAACCACCACGCCCACCGTCTCAATACCTCGTAGACAGCAGAGATAAAATACACGGACGTTAAAAATAAATTACCATATCTAATTGTGTAACCTTCTAACTATGGAAGGTACATTCTAATCGATTAGACACTCCATGAGCACCTAAACAGTTGTATTTGTAAACCTTGATAGTTCTTGTCAAGAGCCGATATAGTCTCTTGTAGAATATTGTATTATATTAATATACAGTGTAATAATATTACGGTACATATAAAGAGAATAAAAGAAAAACAAGTCTTACCATGTCAATGACAGTAGCATGAGATGGAAGTTCTAGATGCAGAGAATGTTTGAGAGAGGGTAGTTCATCTATAATAAAAGTTATATTTTGTTACATAAATATTGAAACAAAATGTAATAAATAAAAAGAACTATAAAATATTACCGTGTTGGTTGCCATGTTTAGTTGTAGTGTATGTTTTTGGCGACACGGCCTATAAAAAAGTCAGCAAAATTTTAGATGACAATGCTTACTAACGTTTGCTAATCGGGATGGACATTGTGAAGAGGATGCATCAGAAATAAAAAGAATGATAGTGTCTATGGCAACAGAATGTATCAGTATTTTTTTTAGCTGTTTATGAAAAAAAAGACGCCACCTTACCATAGAAACCCTGACATATAATAAACGATGAATAGAAAGATGGAGCAAGTGCCTATGGCAGCCAAATATATAAATATTCTTATTTGTTATCTGTGATGAAGCTCTTTTTAAAAAGAATATAACTTACTAAAATATCCAAATATAATAAAACTTGAAAAGAGAGAGAAAAGAGAAAGAAAAGAGAAAGACAAGCCAGAATGAGACAAAGAGAAAAAAAATAAAAATAAAAATACAAATAAAAATAAAAATTACAAAAGAAGTAATAAAGAAATCAAAACAAATGCTTGCCCTCAAGAGAAACTGAAAGAGTGTAATGAAATAAAACCCAAAAGCAATATTTCCATTGTATCTTACACAGAGCTTGTGTAAGAGAGCAATTTAGATTTATTCTTGAAACAATCTCTATTGTCAATAAATATATTTTCTTTCAAAATATTAATTAGCTTCTTTGCTACACTCGCACTTTTACAAATACTCACACTCACACTCACACTCACACTCACACTCACACTCAAACATATAATCACATTCACATACATACAAAAGACCATATTTTACAAGTACTCTTATATACAAAGAACACTATGTTGTATATATAATGTTAAATCATAATATAGATAGTTCATACTTATTTGTTTTTTTATTAATTTATAGAAAATGCCTAAAGTCAATCGTACACTTGCTCCCCGTCCATCAAAAGAACACGCAGATCTGATTGCTAGATTAGATGCAATGCAGCAAAGCCTGAAGGATATGGATTCCAAAATTGGCTACGTTGTCAAAGGCAACGCTGATGATTTAGAAGTTCTGGATACTCTTACTGGAACTTCTGATAATGTTCTTGAGATTGCTCCCGCCTCTGCTCCTACCTCTGCTCCCGCTGCCACTTCTACTGATGTTAATCAAGAAGTTTACAATCGACTTTTTGTGAGTAAAGCATTATCAAGTAATTTATCAATATACTATCTCACACAATATATAGTCTCTTATCCGAAGCCGATTAAGGGATCCAAAATTCAGATCAAATGATGCAGCTTTGATTGCAGCAAATGACAGCAAGTCCAGTTGGAATACTGAAATTCATTTCAATCGTTCCCTTAATAAAGAACTGACACTTGCACTTATGGCTTACCTGAAGCCAAAGTTTGCTGCGGGTAGGCTTAGGCCATCTGAAATCCACAGTAGTATTTATACTAACTTTTGTGGAAGATGTTCTGCTGAACGAAAGTCGCCGTCAGCCCTTGATGCAGGAAGATCAAGGTCAAGGAGAGCAAGTCGAGCAACCACTGTATGTTGTGTTGTATTTTGATAAAAATAATAATATTGAGTAATATTAATAAATGTGTGTTATTAGAACTTTGACTGCCATGAGCTGGCCTACAGTATATACAAGGCTGACATTGATACGTTGATGGGAAAGGATTGCGAAGGGCTCATCAACAAGGCAGCAATGTCTGAGGATGAGTCGAAGGATGAGATACCTGGAGTTCCAGGCAATTGTGTGCTCTGTACAGTGCGTCCATTCTGGAGAAGCGATGAGGTAAATACTTTTATAAATAATGTTAAATGCAATCTATTGTCTTTTAGTAAAATAAACATAATATTTTTATTGTAATCTAGTACAATCAGTTTCTGGAGCATGTTAACAAAGCCATGCTCAGATGCTTGAACCTAAATGTGCGCCAGATGGCAAAGAAGACCTTTGGCAGAGATGCTGATTTAGCAGTCCCGAGTCAACTGAAGTACTCTCTTCCCCAGTGGGCTTTCAGAGATAAGCTCTAATAAAAAAATTCTCTTTCATCCTTCGCATTATAATTTCAACAAACACAAACTTATTGCGAAACATGAATGCTACAATTGTCTTTTTCTCTTGGATTCTTTAAAAAGGAGAGATAAATTTTATTAATTTCTATGCATAGTGTTTTTTTGGTAAAGGAATGACTAGTATTTTTTTAACATTTTGATGTGTTGTATGCTCAGCTGTAGCAACTTGCAACAAAATTCTATGCACTGACAATATGCTTTGATGGCTGTCATGAGAGAACGTAGGATAACAAATATTAACATGTTAAAGTGAACGAGAATGATTGTCAGCTGGCATAAACCATTTGACGAAAGCAAAAACATGTTGATCATAATGCATAAGCCGGAATTGGCAATTGTTATTGTTGGTAGGTGGTGGGATAAAGGAATGTGTGAAAAAGTACTGAATTTAACCTGTGTATGCGAGTACACGCTGGCCTGTACTTCCATAAAATTTGGCTTGAATGAGGGAACCATGATGTCCTGATTCATTCTGGCCTTTATAAGTCTGGCCAAGAATGTTTACTGATTTAAGCTTATTTATCAGGTTGTCAACAAAGTACGGTGATGATGAAGCTTCTTCGTAATGGACCAATGCTTGATTTCGGTATGCAGTCTTATAATATTCAAAGAGATGAAGATAGTGAATATTACTCATTGGTGTTAATGCTGCTGTAAGGAGTGGGAAGGCGGAAGGAGGGAAAGGCTCATTGCCTTTGATGACAAGATCTGGATTTTCGGAATAATCAATAAAGGATTGTAGACGTAAGGTACGTTGACGGATGGTAGGGGCGGTAATTGACATAGAGGTTGGCATAGGTGTTGGCATAGATGTTGGCATAGGTGTTGACATAAGTTTAAAAATGAATTGGCGGAAGGAGACTTGGCTTGGACCTCGAAGAACAGCATTGACATAGTCTTCCTTGTGTACGTCTTCAACAAATTTTCGCATATAGGTTTCTTCAAACCCAATTTTTCTGTTTGTTTTCATATTTTTTAACAGACCGTTAAATCTCTCGAACCCGAAGAGCCAATAACCATACACTGGTCCAAAATCACGAATAACATCGTGAAGATGGAGGTGCAGGTGCATGTTACAGGCGAGGATTTTGGTTAGATACGTGGTTTCGCATTTCTGACAGAATCTTTCAATGAATGTGTGGGCGTTGCTTAGTTCAAGGAAAGTGATGGTTGGTTTTATCAATAGGCGACATGCATCAACGTAGTCGATCCAGTTGTTGAACATATTATTCGGAATAACGCCCTTCAACAAAACAGGAGAGTAAACGAGCACCCACGACTTCCACTCGCCTGCTTTCATGTACGAAAACCCTTTGCCGATTCTCTTCGTCAAAGCAGTGTACTTGCCAGGAATCACTATTGTCTCTGCTGTCTTCTGCATTGTGACTAGATCGTCTTTCGAAATCTTCTTCTCAATCCACCAATCCAGCATCCTCTTTGGAGTTCCCAGGAAAAGATTATGCATGGGATCAATGATCGTTCCACGTACTAGATCAAAGTATCCAAGACGATACAACTGCGACCATCCAACACCATTTTCGACCTCCAGCTGATGCCTTTCTGAGGGGGTACTAGCACTTTCCCACTCCTCAGCATGCAACCTGCTTTCTACACCATTACGAAGATTCCATTGAGAAAAGACAAATCCACTAAAATCGACGTTGATTCCATTTGGCAGACGAGGGAACTGGTGGTTGCACTTGTAGCAGGCGCACGTACTGTTGTGAGAAGTGAACCCGCTTGTTTTCCGAGCAGCTGGAATATCGCAGGCCACCATCAGCAGTGCTGCACGAACATTGACTCCACCGGGACATTCGAAGGTTGGAATCTTCATTCCCACGTACAACGTCTCCAACTCATCTACCAAAGGTTTGAGATAGTGATTTATCTCTTCAGACTTTGGTTCCTTAGTACCTGGCATAAGTCCAACCAGAATGACGTTCTCTGGCTTAAACCGTTCGTCCCGGGGAAGATTGTTGATAGCAATATAAATTGCACCAGACGAGTGAGATACATTATCGAATGGCTGGAACCAGTCGATGTTGATAGTTAACATTAATGAACGTGAATCTTGGGTGAATTGCACGCCATCTTTGTCTTTTAACTCCTTCCACATAGCTCCGTCGTAGATATCGCACATGGTATTCATCATCTTCAACTCGTGGTTCCAATGTCTGATTTTTTTTTCGAACTCTGGGCGAAGGAAAAACGTCTTTAATGTCTGTTTGATAGACTGGTACACATATGACCGCTTAGCTATCAAAGCACCCGATGACGATGATTTTATCAATTGACAACCACAAGACGAGCGCGCACCAAGCTTCACAAAATCACAATGAGAAGGAGCAGATACACTTTCCTCGTACACCTTGTGGCAATCCTGACACACAACAAATTTCTTTACGCCTTTGGTCATGGCTGAGAAACCTGTCATGCGCTGTAGACCAGGAAGGCTCAAGGGCAGTTGGAAATCCTGCTCGTAAATCGTCAAGAGCTTGTTGATGAACTAGATCAAGACAACAGCGCCCTTGTTGACCACATAGCGGGAAGCGAACATTACCACAAATGTAGCAATGAACCTGTGCACTGGGTTCTCTGGCATATTGGGGGTGGCAAAAGGATCTAGTGTAAAAATTGCAAAAAAAAATTAACACCCCCCTTTTTTTCAGATTTTCATTTTTCAATTTTTTAGTAGCACAGCACCAACCTTCATCAACAAGTGAAATTCCTCGACTTCAAACTCAACAACATCTTCATCATCATCTTCGCTTTCTTCGCCATTGCTGCTTTCATCATCACCACTGCTCTCCTCAGCATTACCACTCTCATCACTATCGCTTTCACTGTTGTGAATCTCTTCATTCCCAACCGAAACATTATCATCGTCAGACTCTGAAGCACCTTTCCAAACAGGTGAGCTGGTCTGACCATACGCCTCTTCTGTGGTTCCATATTGCCGGGTTGGAATAGCTATATATAGAATATGTTTCTTAGTTAAGCTCCATTATTTTTATTCAAATTAATATTTTCTACGTTCAACATCAACCTCCATCGCATTTCTTTGGGGAGAAGATTCTATTAAAGAATGCTATTTTGTTTAAACTGCAAAAAACCCAAATAAAATCTAATACAATAATACTAAAAACTGCGTACCACTTTCACATCTTATAGCATCTAATCTTGCTCTTTTGTTATGGCGCTAAGCAGCTCTTCTGGCAACAAAACTATAGCCTAGTTCGTTCTGACTACATTCAGCACAATAGCACTTTTCATTGTAAAGTTGGGGGATTGAGGACATGGTGTTTTTTGTTTTGTTTTGTTTTTGAATATTAAGAGAAAAAGGAAACAAGTGCTACATATACTTTATTTACTATGGCCTTTATAATAATAAAAAAAAAATCTTTGTGCTAGTTATATCCAAGCCAATAGAATACAACAAAACTGCGTTTTCAACATGAACATAAGAAAACCCTGCTGAGATGAAAATTGACCCCACATTTTCCATTGTTATCAGGTAACTGTGCACATTGGAATTTCCTCCCTTTTTTCCAGTGCGATCATTGTGGTAGCGGATTTTAATGATAGAGGGAATGCGGAAGGAGGGAGAGGTTCGTTGCCTTTTACAAGTACATTTGGATCTTCAGAAGCCTCGACAAATGACTGTATGCGGAAGGTACGTTGACGGATGGATGGAATGGTGGCGGGTGTAAAGGAATAAGTGAGTTTGGTAAGGAGAGAAAATGCAGATGTCTGGTGAGTACTCTGAAGGAAACTGTTGACAAGATCGTCTTTGTGCACATCTTCAATGAATTTCTTCATAAATGTTTCTTCAAACCCGATCTTCCTGTTTGTCTTCAAATTTTTTAACAACCCGTTAAATCGCTCGAACCCAAATAGCCAATAACCGTACACTGGTCCAAAATCACGAATTGTATCACGAAGATGGAGGTGTAGGTGCATATTACAGGTGAGGATTTCGGCGTTGTACAGCTCGTCACATCTGGTGCAAAAAGTTTGAAGAAACTGATGGGCAGTGTTGACTTCATTGAACGTGATCGTTGGCTTGATCAACAGGCGGCATGCATCAACAAAGTTAATCCAGTTTTCGAATCTGTCTTTTGCAAGAACATCTTTCAACAGAACTGGCGAGTATACGAGCACCCATGACTTCCACTCGTCTGCCTTCATATACGAAAACTGCTTTCCTATTTTCGAGTTCAAAGAGGTGTATTCACCAGGCACAATCATCGTTTCTGCAGTCTTCTGCATTGCCACAAAATCGCCATCTTGAATGTCTTCGTCTTTGATCCAACGATCCATCAATCTTTTAGGCGTTCCCAGGAATAAATTATGCATGGGATCGATGATCGTTCCACGTACTAGATCAAGGTATCCAAGGCGATGCAACTGCGACCATCAAACACCATTTCGACCTCCATTCGATGCCTTTCTGAGGGGGTACTAGCACTTTCCCACTCCTAAGCATGCAACCTGTTCTCTACACCGTCACGAAGCACCCACCGAGAGAAGTCAAACCCACGAAAGTCAATATTGACACCGTTTTCCAAGCGAGGGAAATGTCTGTTGCACTTGTAACATGCCCATGTACTGTTGTGCGAGGTGAACCCACTTGTCTTTCTTGCTGCTGGGATGTCACAGGCCACCATCATCAATGTGGCATGGATGCGGACACCACTAGGACATATCACTGGAAAAACACCCCTGAATACACTAGTGCCGAAATAATTCAGTGATAGTGTATATGTAGAGTATATTTCATCTCAGTACCGCTTTTTGTGTTCAAATAAAAAAAACCTGCTTTTACTACATTCTATTGGCTCGGATATAACAAGCAACAAAAGGTATTTTATTTATTACTATAAAGTATTTGTGAATAGATAAATGTAACACCTGTTTCCCTTTTATTTCATTATTAAAAAAACACAAACGTCATGTCTTCTATCGAACAAAACTTTGAAGAGTGCTATTGTACCGAGTGCATTAAAAATTATAATGGATACACTGTGGTATTTCAGGTACGAAACAATAGAAAAATAATAAATTTGATAATAGATGTTGTGGTGGTTGAAGTTGAAGAAGTTTTTAAGAGGAAGAATTGAAGATTTGAGATTAGGAACGAAGATTCGTGAGAACTTGTGTAGGTTTTGTTTATTGAGAAAGGATTTTGTATCAAAGTTTGACGAGGTTCCTACACTGAACTACTACTGCTATTTATATTATTTTGGATCGGGAAAATTATATGACTGGGGTCAGGTAATCGATCCTATCTGAGTCTTAATCAGAGCAACGTGATCTTGGGATAATTAATGTATGATTAATTATATAAATGTGTGTAGTCCCAATGAAGTATTAACATCGAAAGTAAATGTGTTTATGAGTTATAATTATGCTTATAATAATCCACTGATGTATCCCATATTATGGTGATATCATCATATGAAATATAATCACTATCATGCATGCTAAACCTGTGTGTTAAATAATAAAGTAATCGGTAGACACCTTTGACTGGAATAGCTGAGGCCTTATATTATTTCCTTCAGACTTATTCTCAATTACAGCAGTAGTCAATACTCATTTACAACAATAGAGATGTATAGAAATACTTTGAGACTGTATATCAGTTGTCCTTTATTCATAAATAAAAAGTGTCCCTTTTTATAAGAAAACACAATCTGCTCTTGTCATTACGTCTTAGTTTCTTAAGGCTTTCTTCCTTTACTATATTTGGTTATTAGAGTGTATTTACTGCTTAACTAGTGTCAGTGTTACAATTATGACATCAAGTCATAAATTGTACTTCTTTAGCTTTTAGCTATTCTTTTCTCTTTTACACTAGAGCTTTAGGACTTCCTACTAAATTAGCTCCATATCGCTCTGACACAGTTTACCTGGCAGTATGATATAATTATCTTAACAATCTTTAAGATATTATCTACAGTACTAACTGTAATAATTATTGGCCTGATTACTTAATTGTTTATATATATATTATACTGACAAGATGATAGCTACTACACTATCCCAATATGAATATGTTCTTATATGTGATAAATCCAACATCCAAGTATCTGGATCACCACAGCACATATACTAACTTATATATTAGTTATACGAGTAATACATATCTTTAGATATATCAGCTATGGATGGCAGGACTCTTCTTTAGGAATTATAATTGTTGATGCTTTTCTATTAAAAGAACGTTTGTTATATTTTTAGAAAAGAAAGAAAAACAAAGTGCAGACGAGAAGTACGGTGAGACTTTGTTTATTGATGAAAAGAGAGATGATCTTCTATTGCTATTTGCTATGTGAGTTTATATAGACATTGCGTGTGTATTTAGGATAATGATATGAGTATATCATGTGATGTCTGTTTTCTTATATCATAGATAATATATTGTTAAGTTATTACCCACGCTCTTGTTTGAGTGATTAGTGATGTTGACTAAGGTGTGTGACCTTGTTATCGGTATATTCTTTATTTAATGATAGTGTGAGAAATAATGTATAATTGATACTGGTCGCTTATTCAATATGTCTTTGTCTTATTGTCTGTGCGCTCTATTTGAATCTACGATTATGTTGGATACAACACCATGTGCTTCCTGGAGAGTGAGGGTCCTACCCCCATGAGGGATGTAGGGAGCATTCACAAAGCCAAAGGAAGTGTAAGTTATGAAATATCAAGAAAAAACCACTAACATCATTTTAGAGACCTGGTGGTGGGAGATACAATGCCTTTGTAGAGTTACCCACACTCACCAGTTCTGCTTTCTTTGGTCAGGACGAGATGCACCTCCTAGGTCATGGAACAGGGCATCAGCTCTATCAAGCCCTTGGTGGCAAATTCTGCCCTGGGACTGCAGGCCTGGGCAGAAAATCCCATGGAATGCACCTCCAAGAACGCCTGCAACGACTTGAGTACCCCTTTGCCCTGGATGTTAGCCTAGATGACATCGAAAAAGCAGTCAGCACATCCAGGGCAGATATACCAATGGCATTTACTGGTACGTGGAGGTCAATGAAGGAATCGAACGGCAAGAGGAAGACCATCAATTGGATGGACTTCCTCTTGTTCATTGTACCAACCATGGTAATCAATCACCTCTGCTTTGCAGATGCAAAGCAGGCCGTGAGAGACCTGGTGCTGGCATGCTTCATTGTCCAACAATGGAGCATCACCACCAGCGACATTGTTGCCGTGGAGTAGTAAGTCGCTTAGATATATATTTCTATCCGGTTTTTAATGAGTTTTATAGGGCAATTGGCCACTGGCACTCCTTTCTGAGGTGCAAGATTTCGGATGGTAAGCTGAAATCCAACATATTTGTGATGAACCAGCACATGCTGGTTCATCTTGGTTTCATGTTGTGGGAAATGGGCCCTTTGCAGGCTTACAGCTGCCGTCCGATAGAATACACGATTGGTACCTATACCTCTGCGATCAAGTCCAGGAAGGAGCCCGGAAAAAACATGGAAAATGTTCTTTTCCAGATGGCGGCCATCAGCCACTGCCGCGGCAACTGTCCAGCCAGGACTGGACCAGCTGACAGAAGGACCAGCAACTTCAAGGTTGCAAGTGATGATATTGCTGGTCCTCAGCTGTGGTCCAGTCTGACCAGGTATAGCATGGCCGAGTTGGCCAACACCATTGGCATGGAATGGAAGGACCTCGTCCAACAGTTGTTGCCTTTCTGGGCAGGAGAAGGAGTTTCCTCCTTTGAGGAACAAGACTCAGTGGTTTGCACCACGAAGATGTGGAAAGACTCAGTGGTTTACAGAGTCCAGTCCTCCTTTGACAGTAGACATGTTCAAGCTAACAATCTTGTTGTGCTCAAACATATGTGGGAGTAAGTGTTGTTAGTTATATTCTACATTGTTAAAAGTTGATATTAATCATAATTTAATTATGTTTTTTGAAAGTTATGGATTTGTCCGCAAATTCTTTTCCCACATTGTCAAAGGAGTGACCAGGCTCTTTGCAGCCACCGAGAGTCTTTCCGATGTCAGGCCCTTGCCAGGCATGCTCTTCCCTGTGTCAAGCAACTGCTCGCAGGGCGAGATGAGGATAGTGGATGTGAAGTCCTTCAAGGGGATGGCTGGCCTCGTCCATGATACTAAGGACGGGGCCATTAGACATATCGTCTGGCCCTTGCCGACCCACAACCAGTAATTTTTTTTCTTCTTTTTTTTCCCTCTTTCTTTTTAATAAATGTATATAAACCTTTCATCTTATTCAGATATTACTCAATGAAGTTGATTGTCATTATCATTTTATTTAAAATTGCGCATCACCAGAAAATCCAAATTAATGATATATCTGATTGATTGGCTATATTTGTAACATTGATCAAAATTGTAAACAAAAAAGAACAGTCATCTTTTTTTTCTCACCTAAAATAGACGTCTGAGTTTAACACATGAAAAAAAGATTAATTGCGGGTCTACAGCTTCTAAAAGGGGCTTAGAACACTCTAAATTTAGTAAGATTGATATGATTTTTACAAAGTTACACGGATTTTGCAGATATGCAATTATTTCTGTAAGTACTTGCACTTTTTTTTCTACAGTGTAGTGGTTATCATCAAGTCTGTATTCAAGATTCCGATGTGTCCAAGACTGCATTCAACACACGATATGGCCAATACGAGTTCCTGGTCTTGCCCTTTGGTTTAACAAATGCGTTGCCTACCTTTCAACATCTCATGAATAAGGTTCCAGGAGATTGCTTAGACCAGTTTGCCTTGGTGTACCTGGACGACATTCTTATATTCAGCAAGAATCCCAAAGAACATGAAAAACACATATGACATGTATTGAATCGACTCCAGGAAGCCAAGCTAATCACCAACCTCAAAAAATGCGAGTTTAACAAGAAAGAATTAATCTTTCTTGGATTTAATGTATCTGCACAAGGCATACTCCCATCACCAGATAAGGTCAAGTCCATACAAGAATGGATGCCATTGTTGTAAATGAGTATTGACTACTGCTGTAATTGAGAATAAGTCTGAAGGAAATAATATAAGGCCTCAGCTATTCCAGTCAAAGGTGTCTACCGATTACTTTATTATTTAACACACAGGTTTAGCATGCATGATAGTGATTATATTTCATATGATGATATCACCATAATATGGGATACATCAGTGAATTATTATAAGCATAATTATAACTCATAAACACATTTACTTTTGATGTTAATACTTCATTGGGACTACACACATTTATATAATTAATCATACATTAATTATCCCAAGATCACATTGCTCTGATTAAGACTCAGATAGGATCGATTACCTGACCCCAGTCATATAATTTTCCCAATCCAAAACAATATAAATAGCAGTAGTAGTTCAGTGTAGGAACCTCGTCAAACTTTGATACAAAATCTTTCTCAATAAACAAAACCTACACAAGTTCTCACGAATCTTCGTTCCTAATTTCAAATCTTCAATTCTTCCTCTTAAAAACTTCTTCAACTTCAACCACCACAACAAACAGAAAAAAAATTCACAAGAGAGATCAGGGAAAATAGACAGCATCTTTAGAGAAAACTTTTGTATCAGAAAAATTTGACAATTGTTTATTAATTGATTTTGAAAGGTTATTTATACTACTTCTTGGATAAAATTTATGGCAAAAATAGGTTGCACTGATGTCTAGGGGATAATTGTAATAAAAAGATAGATAAAATAATTGTAATCAGAATTCATCATAAAAGAAAAATAATTGAAGTTATAATATATAACTACAGAGAATGGAAAAGATCGGGAAGGAGTATGTTATAAAAAAATAGAAAAACTATAGTTAACAATTCTGGTAAAGTAGTGTTGAGAGGAAAGCGTCACATTTAGTGCATAAGAAAAGTAAGAAAAATAAAAGAGGAAGAAACTAATTTCAGGAAAGAATAAAGGGAAGGGAAATTTGTCTTCAGAAAATTGGAGGAATAAAAATAAAAATAACGAGAAGTCAAATTTTTAGAAAAAGAAATAAAATTAATATAAATAAAATTAAAATTAAAATTAAAATTAAAATATAAAATTATAATTGGGGGTTTGAGACTTTGTGACTGATTAAAAAGGTTGAAATCGATTGAAAAAGGGACTGGTACTGCGGCCGATAAAAACTACAACGCACCACGTTATTATTAATACAGTCGATTTGTCCGAGTGGTTAAGGAGTGTGACTAGAAATCACATGGGCTCTGCCCGCGTAGGTTCAAATCCTGCAGTCGACGTGTCTTTTTTGCCGTGTGTCGGTCATTATTTTTGTCTTGCCCATGTCGTTCCCGATCTGGGTTGGTCTTCCTTGTCAGACATTATTTTGATGAATCCGTAAAATCTGAAGATAGCTAACCGCAGTACTTCTTTATGCGCAGTAATATCTTCCTGAGCATTAACCGCAGTATAATGACTATTTCTTTAATTAAATATAAATAATAACTACTGCAGATAATGCGCAGTATTAGTTTAGAAAACTATATAAGACAATTCAATTCATATCAATAAAAAGTATCTTTTATCCTCTCTTTGATTTTGCGTATACTCCTTGATTCCCAGTGGGTTTGACCTTTTGACTTTGTTATAGTAAAAGGATGTTGTTCCCGATCTGGGTTGGTCTTCCTTTTACTATAACAAAGTCAAAAGATCAAACCCACTGGGGATCAAGGAGTATACATAAAATCAAAGAGAGGATAAAAGATACTTTTTATTGATAGGAATTGAATTGTCATATATAGTTTTCTAAACTAATACTGCACATTATCCGCAGTAGTTATTATTTATATTGAATTAAAGAAATAGTCATTATACTGCAGTTAACTATCTTCAGATTTTACGGATTCATCAAAATAATGTCTGACAATTACACAGAACTCTCTTTTGCTCACAAAAGAATTAGAAAACATGTCAAGTCTCGATCTGGTATTTCTTTTCTGGCACTTGTAACTAAGTCACAGAATCAATACTACTGGGAATCGTCAATTTCTTAAGAATAGTTTTTAGATAAGAAAATAAAGATGATTGTTATTAAATGTAATTTTTGACTATTTATACAAAACAATTGTTGTATTCTAACTAAAAGAATAGCTACGATAATACATAGCTTGTTAATAGAGTCGATTAAGTTTATACTTCGACTTAGGCTTATTGGAGTATATATTTTTCTTATACTGACTACAACTTCCTTTTTTGATAAGCCTAAGTTCTTTCTTTTGACTTAATCTAGTCGAATAGTGAGAACCTTATCCTACAAATTCATGAAGATATATACAATAATTAATTTTCAATACTCCTTGTATAAAATCTATTATAAGACCCTTAATAAACAGATATTAAAATTCCAGGGTGAAATATTAATTAACTGTCTCTAAAAGTCATTATGTTTCTCATGTAATAAAATAATAACATAACATTCCAAGCCTTGGGTATAAAACTCATAATAAATCGATCTTTTTCTATTTTATACATCACCTTTTTTACAAACCACAATCTTTATCATTGTCATATCTTTATTACTATCTAATCAATCATGGGACCAAAGAAAGCCAGCAATACTACCAAAAGAAACAAAAGAAACTCAGTTATTTGCCAATACACACCACCTCCTCCAAGTCGAAGTCCACAAGGTCAAGAAGGCAAAAAGTCTGTTCCTACAGTCAGCCTATTAGGATCTCAAGGTAGCTGGACTTACGACAAAGAGCTAGTACTACTTCAAAAGTATGCTAGGATATTTCCTCCTACCTGCCCCAGAGGAAGTATGTCAAGTGAATGGCAAAAAGGCATCAACACAGTCAATGCTGTAGCACCCAATGACAAACCTCTACAGTATGATGCATGTTGGCGCAAGGTTCATTTCAATGAAAACAAAGAAACCTATTTATCTGGAATTAACCAATACAGAAGTCCAATTGAAAAGGCGGCAATTCAGGTGTATAAAAAGATAAAACTTATCCAGACTTTCAATGTCTTTCAGAATGTATTATTAACTTGCAATGAATGCATTTATCAATTTAGGAACTGGAATATGACGTGATGAAGGCAAGAAAGAAGGATTTTATCCAAAAGAAAGAGGTTGTGAAGAACGAGTTGGAGAGGTTGATGCAGACGAGATCCTCTGCTGGGTGGGAACACAGAAAACAATTGAACAGAGAGGAACGTGATGAGCCAATGAACATGGTCACACACAACAGAGGTGCAACCATTGAGAGCAAAGATAGCATCATGGAAGACTCGACTGGCACTGTTAGTGATGATGAACACGAGGCCATATATGATATGTATATAGACAAGCAAACACAATTTTGGCAGAAGATGCTCGAGTCTTTAAGCTCACAAAAGGAGTATCAAGAAAAGATGCTTTGATATGCGAGTGAGCAGAAAAGATCAAACACAAGAATGAAAAATATGATGGAAAAGCTTGTAAAAGAATTAACAGACAAAAAATAAAAGTAAAACAATTTATTTGTATCAAAGTGTATGTTATGTAACACTACTCTATGTCTTCTCCTTCGATTTTATCTCTTGTCAATCCAGAGATATAGTCTTCAAGAGATAGTGGTAGCTGTTGTGGGGAGAAAATAAAGCAAAATATAATATAGACAAAAGAATTCGTGAGAACTTGTGTAGGTTGTTTATTTCAAAAGAAAAGTAAAGAATGATAAAATTCGATTGTCTTTCTACATGGAACTATCTACTGATATTTATATGTTTTTCTAATTTGTAATTCAGTGTGTGCTTAAGTAATCTTTATCACGATGAGTCATATTCCAGGAGTATTGTTCTTCTGGAAAGATCCGGAAAGACCAATTGATATGATACTTCTCCAGTCAGATCAGTCCAAGAGTTTTGGTAAAGAAGAGCATTTATGCTATTGGTAATATTTTAGTATTCCGACCCAGATACTCGGGTAATGTTTCATAATATTAGATAGTTGTAGTTGTAGTCTCTCAATTAAGTATTTGTATAATAAAAGAAATATGTAGATGAAATATAATGATGCCATATATATAATGTATATGTATTTGTATATCCCATGTCATGGTGATAATAATAAATAATCAATTATGTGTATGATGATCTGTGTATTAGATAATATCATAAAGGGAGATCCGTTTGACTGGAATAGCTGAGGATATTATTTTATCCTTCAGTCTTACTCTCAGATTCAGCAGTAATCAATACTCATTCACAACAGTAGCAAATTAAAATAGGAACTGGTAGACAACTTTTTGTGATTAATGCAATGATGCATATTTTTAAATATTGATGACAACTGGTAGATTTTTGCCAGGTTGTTTTCTCTTGTCTTCATTGCGTATTTGTATTTGCAGTATTTAAAATACTTTTGTACTTCTTCAAACTCCCACTCAACTGCAACACGAACTTTTGACATAGACTTATTACAAAACTTGTCGTGATCTATTATTTATAGTTGAGAACTTGTAGATATGCACACACATTATTTATTATAGACTTTACCATTGAGCACAGCTCCCAAGTATGGACTGTATAGATGTACAGAGCACATGTAGGCAGTGTCACCATATAATGCGTAATACTTCTCTGGGTCTGATGTTGGGGCCAAGTATTTCTTCAACCTATCTTCAATCTTTGAGATGGTATTGATAAAATAGTCATGACATGAGCCAATGAAAGGACCTAGCAAGCTGGAGGTGATGCCATCTGGTGTTACAATTGTCTGAAACTTTAATGCATAAATATACTTCCAACCATTGTATAACACAGATTAATTATCCTTGTCTCCAGTGGGGCGGCATACTGTTTGCATGGTTCCATCAATAAACCCAACAATGTTGTCAAAAGCAGCACCCTTGTCAAAGATAGCCTTTGAAAACCTTTCCATATTTGATGGAGAAAAGTGGCAGATATCAAACTGCATACCCCACCTCATTTTTTCGAAAAGCAGATCTTCCATCTCTCTGCAAACTCTTGATATATTTTGAGCATTTATCCCAAAATAATGTGCCATGTCATCTAGGTGCCTTGGAAAAGAGTATTGGTTGAGAAGAATTGCTAGTCCAAGATTTTGTTCAATTTTTATCCCTGGAAAGTTGCAGGTTTCATCCATTCCAAGAGCATTTGTGATCCTCTGGATATCTTCAAAGGAGAAATGGAAATGGGAGATACACTCTTTTCTGCTCAATTTGTGTAAAACCAATCTCTTGCATACACTTCTATGTCTACTCCTTTGCGCAGGGGAAGTCATCCTATGATAGCTTTGACGTAGCTAGCTACGCTTATGGACGCGTCAGGCAAGAATTATTTCAAGAGGATCACACATAGTTAGATAGGTTGTGATGTGATTGTTAAAGGTAAAATAAAGTTCAAAAAGACATAAAATTGATGTTTAATCTACTTTATATATTGCTGATAATTTTAATATATGCATAAAAAACAGCTTTTTCAAAATTTAGTTTCTTTATTGTAAATGTAATGCATAAATACAGTTAGAAAGAGCATAAAAAGCTCAATACCAACAGAAAACATATATACTTCTTTACAAATCTTCTGACATTAATTTGACAGATTAATATATATTTTCACTATAAATTTCTAAGAATATCCAAATAATTTACAAAAAAAGTGGACAAATAATTGCCACAATCATAGTCTAGTCCTAAGTCAATAAAGTAATTCCAGTGGCAAAAATAAACGACTGCTAATTTTGGCAGGAAGAAGTTTGACTCTATTAACAAGCTATTTAATATGTCTTAGATGGTAGCTATCTAGTAATAGAGAGGGTCACTACCTATTCATTTTTGAAAATTATCATTTTTATCAAATATCTGAGTTTTAACTGCAAGAATTGAATCACAGAAACCCCTATTCAAATTTGGATTATGAAAAATGTACAAATATGGAGTACTGTTTTATAATATAAATAGTGCTTAAATATACAGTATCATTTTTAGCCTATTCAAAATTGGGTTGAAAAATTACATCTTTTCCTTCAAAATCGAGTTCATTTATGAAAAACAATCGTAAATTTGAAGCAATCCAAAATAGGAAATCCTTTATTTCCTGTACCTTTTGCATATTGAAGTCCACCCGGACAAGATAATATGACCGGCTTTTCTTCTTTTTTTTTGGCTCTAAGGATAATAATAATTACCCCTTTTTCTCTATTTTAATACACTACTGAAACACCACCAATGTCTGAAGTAGCACTTACAAGAAGAGAACAACAAGCCTTAAGAAAGGCAGCACTTGAAGCAGCACCTGTCAGAACCTTGAGAGATATTGGATCTGCATTGGAACCTTCAACAATTCCTAATGTTATGAAGTTGAAGTCTAACATTGTTTGTGTTTTTGCTTCTGAGTGGGAACTTTACAAACAAGAAATTGAAGAACAATGCTGCGTCAAGTGTATTGTCAGTCGTCCTAATAGACATAGTTCCGCTGTTGATATCACCAAGAAGAGGCATGTGCTCTTTTCCCAAGTATACTCCTGTCATAGAGGTGGAAGCTATGAACCTGAAAGCAGAGAAAAGCATCCAATTCAATGTAAATCGAAGAAAGTTGGCTGTGAGGCAACTCTCACTATTACTTGTTATGCTGACAAGTCTCATGTTTATGTGTTTGATTTTATTGTCAATCACACCAACCATATTCCTGAGAATATTAAAACCGATCTTGGACTTATTCCTTTAACTCGAGGTCATGTTTGTTATGTATGAGATAAAAATAAGATATAAAATAAAACAAGTGCAGACGAGAGTACGGTGAGACTTTGTTTTATTAGAAGAAGTGAAAGAATCAGAAAAGAGATGCTGTTCTATTGCTATTAGTATTGTGCGTTTATATAGACATTGTATTTAGCTTGGTGATGATATGATGATATCATGTAATATCTGTTTCTCTACCATTATCTTCTATGATTTAGTTCTTATGTTTTTAGTGTTATTGACTAGAGTCTTAGTATTTGTCTTAGTATGTTCTTTACGTAATTTCCTTGTATAAGGGAAGGTATATCTTTTAGTATTGTTACTAGTTGTCGGTAACTCAATGTACGTATTTATTGAGTGTCTGTACTTTTAATTTAAATCTACGATTATGTTGGATACAACAATGTTGATGATATTGTTGCCCATTTGACAGCCAGTCCAGGCTCACCAGCTAGAAAAATCAGACTTGAGATTCTTTGCAACATCGACCAGCAAGAGTATTCTCTCAATGGATATAAAATCAACTACTTTGATATTTACAACAAAATACTTGCAGTAAGTTTTATACTGCAATTATTCTTCAACTTCTGAATATTAACAGTTGTTTTGATGTATCTGAACTATAGATCAACCAAACAATCTTTTGTTTGCACGAGGACGACTTTAAGTCTATGAAGATGTGGTTTACCAAAAAACTTTCTCCCAAAGGTTTTATTATCTTTGAAGGTAACCTGCAGACATATTCAAACAACAAGAGCCTGTATGCATGTGGATTTACCTCACCTTTCTAGCAAAGCAAGATAAAAGCTGCAGCAGCATTCTGTATGGATGCCACCTACAGTATCACTCAAAGATTGGATGACATTCTTTATACTATTGTCATTTGTGATGAAGAACTTGATCGTGGTTTCCCCTGTGCATACATGCTGACCAATGACCATTCCTTAGGTCCAATTGTCCAATGGTTGAAGCACTTGAAAGACAATCAGTTGATTGTAAACCCCTGGCAGTTTACTATTGACTGTAGTGATGCTGAGACAAATGTACTCATGGCAATCTTCCCTGGATGCCAGATCCAATACTGTCTTTTTCACGTCAGTCAAGCATGGTACAGATAACTAAACCTGAAAGTCAAGACAGGAAATACTGCTGCCCAAAACCGTTTGGTTCGAGGAGAAATGATAGCTTTTCTTAAGCATATCATGTATGAAGAGCATATAGTTGTATTTTTTGACAAGATTGCTAACTTCATTTGAAGATATCAGCAAAGTCAACCTGATTTTGTCCGATACTTTGAGACCAATTGGTGTACCATGGCTAAGTATTGTGTATGGAGTAGAGCTTTTTATCAGCTTGAATTCTCTTATATGCTAACAAACAACTACATCGAGTCTTGGCACAACCAGCTAAAAACTCATTTTTTAGGCCGCAGTTGCAACAAAAGATTTGATTAACTGATTTTCATACTGACAAACGAAGTAGAGTTCTACTTCAAAGAGGAGAGTATCAGAATCAATATGCGCAGTGGCCCAATGACAGCTGCCCAAAGACAAAAAAGAAAGATAGAGATGTCTGCTGAAGCTGTTCCAGCATACATGCATGCTAATATGATTGTTAGCCCATCAAAAGCAATGTCTCTGAACGCCACTCTTGATGACACTGATGATATTCTTGAAGATGGGTTTTGGTTCATCAACTCATTTACCAAGGATAGTATTACCTATCAAGTTGAAGTTAACAACAATGTTATTCTTTCTTGTACATGTTATTCTTGGGCTAGGTATATGAAGCCTTGTAAGCATATGCATTTGCTCCGTATCCATATGTCAGGCTTTGCTTTCTTATCTGTGGCTCCTGCAAATAATGTGCTGCCAATCACAATTTTTGGTGAGCAGTTCGTTAATGACAACACTATGTTGATTGATGGCACAAGGGAGAGTACTGGGCGTAGGTATGCCATAGATACATTTGAGTATGCAAAGAATTGTTCGTTAACAATTAGACATAATGAGCAAGACTTGTATCAACTGATGCAGTATGCTACAGAAGAGGAAGCAGAGGTTATCAGAGCAGCATATGCTGCTCCCATAAAGACTTTTCAAGAAATCAAAGCTAAATATGAAGCTCATTTTAGAACTTTAAATACACAACGTCATTAATAAAAAAATCTTCTGCTTTATTTACAATTGTTCTCACAATATATAACTATTCCTATCACCTTCTTAACATTGTATATTTGGAAATATATGTAAGTATAAATTTAAGCTGTATTCTTGGCTATCTTAATATGTTATTATTTTGGTTCTATATCTCTGCTTTTTTTTAAGAAAATGCAAAGATAACATGTGACTTAATTCTGAAATTCAAATTTTGGTTGTCCGGTATGCAAAAGGTACAGGAAATAAAAAGATTCCCAAAATAGGATGTGCAGAATATCAGAAAATTAAAATCCCATTTGGATGATTTTCATAAACTTATTCAAAAATGAATAAGTAGTCACCCTCTCCAATAGATAACTTGGTCCTTAAGATGCTCTTCAGCAGTCTTGGTAAAATTCAAAATTATGTAATAAAGAAGTTTTATCCAAATATAGTAATTATACACCAAAAAATCATGAATTACTTTCCAAAAATTGTTAATTCTACCAAGTAGTTTTACATGCGAATTTGCAGGGGAAACTACTTGGTATAACTCAAAGTGGTGCTAAAATAATAAAGCAAATTTAAACTATGGTTTTGCTAAAATATCTTCTAAAAATTTCATTTTTTATGCTCTACTCTTTTTACTCCTTTTTACTTTTAAAATATTCAAAATAAACAACAAGACCTTTGCTTACTATCTGAAATTAACTTTAGTAAAGATAAAATTATGCTCAATATTATAGGCTTCTTAAAAAAAAAGAAACTTCTATGCAAATATTACAAGAACAAAGATAAAAGATATATAAAGAGATTTATTAAAGAAAGCCACCAAAAATGAATAGCTATTTTAGCAGGCTGCAATTAGTCCTATCATTTCTAATTATAACAGCGTTTTTTCAATATAATTTTATCAAGTAGTTTCCCAAAGTTTTTTACTAATCAAATCATATAATTAGTATCAAATTTTGGAACAAAATCTATGACAGTGTATCATAATTACTATAAAAAGCAGTCTCTCTACTTTATTTGTAATTTCCCATTTTTTTTCTTATAACCAAAATAATAGGGAGATTTGTGCAATTTTCTTAACAAAGTTAAAAAGGAAATTGCCTGCCTAAAAAGGAATAGTTTGTTTCATACTTTCAAAAAAGATTTTGTCAAAAGGGCACCTTTTCCAAAAATTTTGTAAGCCCAATTTAGGCTTTACAAAGTGTCTTCAGCCAATAATTGAAGGTTATTTTTAACTGCTAAACTAATGATATATTCAAAGGAAGATGTAGAAGTAAAATATGTTAAAAAATATACTTTTAACAATGTAAATATTATATTAATATGACTTCTTTTATGTCATTCTTTAAAAATTATATATTTGGATTATATATATTACGTACTCTATTACTAATTCTGCAATTAACAATATAGTTTATGTCAATTGATTGACCAAGCATTACCAGACTATCAACTTAACCATTAATACAAGTTAATATTTGTAAGTTTAGCTGCATTCTATTTCCCGACCATGACGTGGACCTCAATATGGAAATGAAACTTCAGAAAATTGGTAAGACATTTCTGTCCATATTAGTACATTGGAAAAGAGATTGGTAAAACAAAATTACACAAACCTCCCTAATTATACCAAGATTACTGAAAGGCACCTTTAAGCCGAAAGTCGCGGTTTTAATATAAGTGCTCATTTAAACCCAGTTGACCTTATATTCTTCAAAAGTACCTGTTTTATAAAGGCTACAATAACTATAGAGTATATATGTATTGCAGGATTTTTTATATGAACTTTGTTCTGATACTCTTTTAATTGTTCAAAAAGTCTTATAAAACTTTTATCAAATGTCTTTAGAAATATATCTTCGCATAGTAGTTTGTAACAGACATTGAGAGATTCAGGAACAAACTGAAAATCATGCTTCAACCGAGATGCAAAGAAGGAACCATAACATAGCCTATAACAGACTTGAGTTATACTTACTCAACGAAGCTCAATTCATTGAACTTTTCAGATTTTCTATGCCAGAGATTAAAAGTATTACCATAGTACTTGGCCTGGAATCAACCTGTCATATTTCAAAAATAAGAGTCAGCAACATCTTTGGCTTTGCCATGTTGATGTATTAATACAGTTCTTCCAAACGCCTTTTTGGCATGTCTCTTATTTTTGGAATGGACCCAATGAGTATATCAGCTGTTTTGAGAAGAATAGAAGACATGATATATGAGAAAATAAGATGAGGAATTCAGTTCAATACATATCTTTTTCTTGGTGGTTTTTTAGATGTTTGTATCTCTCTTTGATGGAATATTTTAAATAAAAAAGAGCTTAGAATATAGAGATTTAGCATTACTGCATATCCTCTGTCTTCTTTATAATAATAATAATAATAATAATAATAATAATAATAATAATAATAATAGATCCTTTTAACAAATAATTATGTATCTCAAAATATAATTATTTTCAGTTAATTTCAGCCGAAGATTGACTTTAGACCCTACCCCAAAAGGAAATGTTTCAGATTTATGTTGCACAAAATACTTGATATAGGCATAATGGAAACTCTGTGTCTGAAGATGAAAATTTGTAGTTGAAGATTAATTTTTGGACTAAGGACCAAGTTATTTAATATCTCCACAAGTATATTTCTCATCTTCAATATCTAAAACATAGACAAAAGACCAATTGGCGAAGTCAAGATCTTTTATCCTAAAAAGTCAATCTTTACTGGCTGCTTGTAACTTCCGATTTTGGTCACTGATGTCAACTCTGACAAACATAGCTTAATAAAAGTAGAATAGAACCCAAAACAGATATTTATAATAGCTGAGTAGGTTTAGAAAAGATATAAAAAAGGATAATATTTCATTTAATAAAAGTTATCTATCTTTTTATTCTTTTTTTTGTTCTTTTGTTAATAGATACAACCTCTACTCAAATAAAACTTGATACAAATTTGTTTTTAGAAAATTTAGTCCTTAAAATCATTGTAAACTCAATCCTATACATTTATAATCTTCTCCAGCATACAGGCCAAATTATTTAAGAATGGAAAAAAGTGAATAATTGCAAATTTAGCTATTAAATTACTTTATGTAGTAGGTTTTATGACATAATTTTCACTTTGTTCTAAAAACGTAATTTGGCTCTGAACATTTGTGATCTTCTACATCAAAAACTTTATTAATGTCACAAGAGAAAAGTTAACATACTCTTCACGACCCCGGCCCCTTTCCTTTTACATCTCAGCAGACCCATTCCCAAAACGTTCCCAAAACAATTTTAGAGCTATATGTTACTCAAGATATTTTTGGAGTACTTGATCTCTAAAATTCCATCATAATGTATGCATTTTTTTGTAATATTTCTTGTGTTCTTTATTTTGCAATATTTTTATTAAAGCAAAACGACAATGAACTACAACTACCTTATTGACTTTGTTCTTGGAGAAGGAGGAGCCGAAGATTTTTTACAAGCATTGTATAATGCTTGCCCTTAGATTTTTCTAATTAACAAATGACTCAGAATAGCAAACATGTTCATTTAAAAGGCAATGCAATAGAAGTAAAGAAATAAAATAGCACATTAACATAGCTATTATTCTCATGAAAAGTAACAGTGTAACTATGACTGTCTAGTATGCTGTATATGGGATGCTATTTCCCATTTTACTTCCTGTCAAAGGTGTATTTTCACCTTCGGCAAGTACAAGATTTTTTATTATTTTGGAAATTTTATGTTACATAATAGAGGAGGTGTTACAGGATTTCCACTCCAAAAGTTATATTTTTTTTCAAACTATATATTTTGCAAAATCAAAACTTTCATTTTGTGCTCCGACTATATATAAAAAAAATCAATTTATTTCTTGGCTATTTGTACATTGGGGGAAGAAGCTAATGCTATAATCAACCCAGCCTTGGCAGTTTTCCATAGCAATATGGCGGGAGCACTCAGCAATATACTCCAAGAATTGACCATATACCAACCTGGGCTTTCTCTTGACCAGTGTTTTGAGTTTGGAGAAACACTCTTCAATCGGGTTTAGGAAAGGAGAGTATGGGGGGAGAAAGTGTAGGTGGTGTCGTGAATTAGCAAACAATTCAGTGACAAGGTGAGATCTATGGATCGAGACATTATCCATAATGAAGTTGTGAGGGGAAGCATTACTGTGGTTGAGCAAATCCATAATCGTCTTTACAAATTCAACAAAAATTGGTCCTGTCGTGCCACCAGGGGTCAACTTTGCCTGCACACTCTCAACACCCTGGTAAGAAATACTGGCAAGAATTGAGATGTTTAGTCCCCTTTTCGACTTCGTCTTCACAATGCTGGCCTCGCCTTTCTTGGACCACTCTTGTACTCTGATCAGGTTTGCATTAAAGCCTGCTTTGTCCACAAAAATGCAATTGGTTTTATACAATAAACCATTCGTGTGCATACTGTCTACATATACTTTTCTCAGCTTAATAGTCTTTGGGTCATTTCTTTTTTCCTCAACCGGCTTGGTTCTCTTCAATGTGAACCCAATGTTGTTGATAATGTGCTTATGTAAGCCACTGATGCTCAAGTTCTGCTCTTGAAGATCTGGACATTTTCTAAACAGTTCCTCTCTCATTTGACCAAGAGTCAAAGTGCAGCATTCGTCCAAGAGGTCTTGAATGAATTTCAAATGCTCATTGGTTATCTTAAGACTTTCTGCATGCAAGCCGTCTCGCTTCTTGGGCTCTATAGTAGCATCCCTCTCGAACTTGGTGATGATGTTGTTAATCGACACCCATGAGACACCAAATGCCCTGGCTGCTTCGGCTCGGGTCATAGACTCTTCTATATAACATTTCTCCACAATTATGTTCTTGATATGGATTGGAAGAACCTTTTGTGGTCCATTTCTCTTTCTTCTCTTAACAATAGCAATTTGATTGGGGTTCATGTTGGAGGATTTGAGTATAGAAAAAGATAATAGATAAAAACAGTTCTCAAAACCATATTACAAACTTAGCATTATATACTTTTCTTATAACAATATATTGACATCGCATGTTTTCTTATATTGTTTTTAATAAACAGTATAGACATTCTTTAAATACTTTATTGCACATATTAGTATTGTGGTGATCCAGACACTCGGATGTTGGATTTATCACATATAAGAACATATTCATATTGGGATAGCATAGTAGCTATCATCTTGTCAGTATAAAATTTATATAAATGATTAAGTAATCAGCCCAATAATTATTACAGTTAGTACTGTAGATAATATCTTAAAGATTGTTAAGATAATTATATCATACTGCCGGGTAAACTGTGTCAGATCGATATGGAGCTAATTTAGTAGGAAGTCCTAAAGCTCTAGTATAAAAGAGAAAAGAATAGCTAAGAGCTAAAGAAGTATGATTTATGACTTGATGTCATAATTGTAACACTGACACTAGTTAAGCAGTAAATACACTCTAATAACCAAATATAGTAAAGGAAGAAAGCCTTAAGAAACTAAGACGTAATGACAAGAGCAGATTGTGTTTTCTTATAAAAAGGGACACTTTTTATTTATGAATAAAGACTTATATACAGTCTCAAAGTATTTCTATACGTCTCTATTATCAAATATTTTATTTTTCTATTGTTTCGTACCTGAAATACCACAAGTATTCTTCATGCTCTTTATTAATTTGCTTTAAATTTCTTTCTATCCACATTAATTAATTTATTTTTTTCATATATAGTCGGAGCACAAAATGAAAGTTTTGATTTTGCAAAATATATAGTTTGAAAAAAATATAACTTTTGGAGTGGAAATCCTGTATCTAATAGAAAAAATGTGACTGCTAAAAAATAAAGATTGGACAAACCCAGTAAAAAACAAAGCACTCCAGCAGCAGTTGTGGAAACTTATCAATTGATGAGAACATCATACTGTGTCAAATATAAGAAAAATAAATCCTCATAAATTTAAATCTTTTTTTTTTTAAATAAATTCGACCCTGAATTAGGGTAGCAGAAGAGGAAATTGCTTTGCGTCAATTACAAAAACGCAGTGGGTTAAAAGCAGGATTTTTTGTTCAAACAATTTTTTATTAATTTATCTAAAAGAATCATGCTTCCTATATAGAGGAGATAGGTATCTAGGGAGATACTGAGGAAAACATATAAGTAAGAAAATATAAAGTGTAGAGACAAAAGATTAAAGGAAGAGAAGAAGTAGAAACAACAGATAAAGGTGGCAAAAGGATGATAGGAATAATTAGCTTGTATGATGGGATGCCTGAAAGGAAGAATATAGCGATCCTTTCACAAAAGCAATTACATTGGTAGAAGCAAAAATTACATGTCAAAAATTATTTCTTTAATATTCCTTACAGAAAGTAGCAAGAGGACCATCCAGAACGTATCACGAGTCAATATTTAAGGAGGGAGATCACAGGCAAAAAAGATACGAAGTATTGTAGGTGGGCTGGTATAGTGTTGTAGTCGATATTTTCAGCACAAAACTCCAGGCCTGCCAAATGATAGGACAGTATCCGGTTAAGTGTATCAAAGTCTGATCGGAGTGGCCGAAGAGGCGATACCCCTGAGACATGATAAAGTTTTGGATAAGGATATACGTGATGGAAGTGGAGAAAAATGAATCATATAAGAGACGATAACATGTACTGGGAGTGACAGCGGATATCGTCCAAGACTAGAGGCACTCCCGTCGTAAAAGTAGCACATGTGATAGTACAGAGTGACTTGGTGGGTGTAGCTGGAAGTGATATAAAATTCGAAGGATGTGTATTGAAAGTTTGGGTTTTTATGGAAGAAGCAAAAAGTGTCAACAGTAAAATATGAGCGCTCATAGGATGTAGTAGAATGTGTGTGTGCGGGGAAGAGATGGAGTGGAAAAGAAATGAAGTAAATGGTGGCACTGAAATGTATCAGGTACCATCTACTGGCACAATATAGAATTAGGAAGAAAATGCTTATATAGTATAGAATTAGATATAACATTAAAAGTAAGAAAGATATATGTTGCAAAACACAAAGAAGGGAGGTACGCTTAATGGAGACCTATTTAAAAAATACATAAAAATATCGGCTCACAGCCAGCGTATAAGAATTGAGAGGGCTGTTGGCGAAGAAATAAAGAGAGAAAGAAGCCATCGAAAATAGACGGTATATTGGTGGGCGGCTGTATCAAATATACCCAATCCTCCACCAGGTTGAGAAAGCCATAAGGCGGAATACTTTATTTTTGGGAATATGAAAACGAGATATTAAAAAGGTTGCTCTAAACTCTTGAGCTACAACAACAACGAAATATGAAAAAATCGAAATTGAGACATACGCACACATGTACATAAGAATAAAAGTAGTTTTTAATCAAAATTCAACTTTAAAATAATCTTTAAACCCCCAAAGGCTTGTAAGAATATCCCACAGTCGCCCTTTCTTTTTTAACCAAAGTATATATATATATATATGACTTATAAAAATATATAGAAAGACAAGAAAATAACGACAACTTGCATAACACTCTTCTATTTAAAACAAGGCCTTAAAAACCTATGATTTATCTTTTATTATTGATTTTTGCGTAACTTTAAGTTATAATTCTAATACCATAGCTTTTCTACAATTGCACCACCTATATTATGACAAATAATGGCCAGCATCCAGAGAAACGAGCAAATAATCCAAAAGAATGTATTTCTAGCCGTTTTAGCAAATTGAAAAGCAACGGTATGAGATGATCTGACGATTGGAGTGTAGATGGAAGGTAATATGGGTGTACCAAGTCCCTCTCTGACTGAATTATTTTGGGTCTATGATATATTTTCGGTTATTATTCATTTTTTAGTGCAGATAAGATGTATCCTACCCTCATAAAGTACGACGATGAGTTTATTGAGTTGCAAGATTAAAGTGTAGTCATCCAACAGAAGCCAACGGAAGTACAAAAACAAGTCACGCACATACTTAAAGCCTATCCTTTATTTTCAAGAATATCTACAAAATGACATATTGTCAAAGTAGGAATAATGGCTGAAAATATTTAACATATCAGAATATTTATATATTTTGTATTGTATCCATATGTATAATACTCTAAGAAAAACAAAAGTATATATATACACACACTTTCTGGGTATACTTCTTCTAGTCACGTGATTGTAATACAACATGGGCGACCATCACGTACGCGAAACGGCGAACTATTGCTTCCCATGTCCAACAATAATAATTTTGCCTTTGTGAACACGACGCCAAGTGGATTTGGGCCTCCTCTTCAGGCACGTCCTATGCAACCACTAATTCCAAATGGATCTTACTCTCCAAATGTAAACAGCAACCAACAACAACAACAACAACAACAACGGTATGCTCCTCCACAACAGCCATTTGTGCATTCGCCTGCAATGCAAGGGCGTCTACCATATCCACAACCATACCAACAGATCAATCGAAGACCATCCGAAAATACTCAGGGGTTATTCTCAACTTATCCAGCTCGTCTGAAGAATTCTGATGATAATGCTCTCTTATTACCATCTACATACCTGAGCAACAAACGACAACGATTCGCAGGTGAATCGGATGATGACTTTGATGAGATGATGGATGATTCTGATGAGAGAGATACTCCATCGTCTGGCATGAGAACACGTTCTGCAGCCGTGGGTTCACTTCCAGCTACACCCGCTCAATCTGGAGCTACCACATCAGATTTAAAAAGAGTGATACGTAAAAAAAACCATATTTATCCGAGTGAACCTGAAATGGAGAGAGCTTCAGGGATGGAAGAGGTTCTTGTACCTATCCGCCTTGACATTGACTTGGATGACATTAAACTTAGAGATGCATTTTTATGGAATATGAATGGTAAAGACAAATACAGGATGTGTATTTATATTTGCTAATTTGTAGATTAGAACAATTCTTGACGCCCGAGAAATTTGCAGAGATCTTATGTGAGGATTTGGAGCTTCCAACAGTCAAGTTTGTTCCACCTATCGCAGAGTCAATACGATCTCAAGTGCTGGATTTTGAAGCTATTCACGAGATCGAGCTCCCATCAGAAAATATTCGAGTGGTTATCAATGTAAGTAAAGCTTGCACATTAAGACCAAGGGTATTAACACATTGTAAATAGCTTGATTTACAGATAGGCAAAGTGAATTTGCGTGATCGTTTTGAGTGGGATTTGGATAACACGATATCAAATGCACCCGAAGTATTCAGTCGACAACTTGCATCTGAGCTAGGTGTTGGAGGAGAGTATGTGTCAATTATTGCTCATGCTATCCGTGAGCAGCTTTACCGACACAAAAAGCAACTGGTTGATGAAGTAAGTTTAAAAAATCCACCTTTTTAATTTCATTTATTTAAACAAGTTGTATAGTATGGATTTGATGGTGAAATTGCAGAGCCTCTTTCTTCAGGATTCCGGACTGTGGAGGATGCTGGAGTGTGGACTCCTCAAATGGAGATGCTCTCCAATGATGAATTGGAAAAACTTTTGATCGCTCAAGAGCGCAACATTCGGTAAGTTCTTTTCAGGATCAAATAACTGGGAAGGGAGTGGCGGATACTAATATATTATACAGACGATTGCGTAGAGAAACACGATTCAAGAGATCAAGACGACGTACGTCAGCTACACCTTCGCGTCGAATGGGAGCCAACAATGCAGATACACCTTCCTGAGTCTAAAACAGCCTCATATTGTTGTTTCCCTCTTTGATTTGTATATACACAACTACAGCACATTTATCTTTTTTTTATATATTTAACCGTCCAAGCAAAATAAAATACAGTCCTTTTCTCCGAATTCTGCTGTTTATCTTTTCCCACAACACACTTGAATACTCTTTAGGGCCGTGTGTCAAGTATAAAAAATATACAATATATAGATGTGTAAATAAAAAGAATCTATTGATTTTGCCGACATTTTGTATTCTTGATAAAGTACGTCTTTAGACTCCTCATCTTTAATATATTCGTTTAATGATGTTCGTCGCCATGGTCCTCGCCATGATGATCCCATGGATGTCTCAAACCCTAAAATTGTACATCAGTATAATACACCTTAGCCCAAATATCCCGAATATGATATGATTACCAAAAGGACAGCGCCATCTTGCTTAGCGCGATACATCATCCAGAACCACATGGTAGCTCCGAGAGCTTTACCACCGAATCTGTGCCAAGCACCAGCAAAGTGAGGATGGAAACCAAATGCAGCACCGCCAGCCATGTTTGTTGTTATTTGAATTAAGAGTGGGGAGGTTGAATGTCTAGAAGACTCTGTATTGAGAACGAGGGCACCCACATTTGTTTTCACTACGTCACAAATATGAGTGTGTTATTTGCACATTTTTGAATCCCCGCATGGGATTTGCCAGCGGTAACAGTGCTTCTCCCTACAAAAAAGCAAGCCACTATGCTCAGGGTCACTCATTATATAGACAAACTTTTATTACGCATAAACGTTTAATAAACAACTTCTTACATAAGCCAAATGTCATGTATACTCAGGTTTATAGTCATTCCTATATTCATTCAATCTTCGTCTTCGGCTGAATGAAGCTGAATATTTTAAAGTCTAAGATCAATATTCAGCTTGGGCAAGAAGTTGTAAACGATCTGCTATCGATTGAAATTTTCGACTGCATAGTCCAGCCCCGTGACCATCTTAAGTCTTGCATATATATATATATATATATTTACCCGTTTGTCCTTTTTTTTCACCAAATTTTTTAAAGTATTTTGGTGAACCACATATTCACTGACTCTATAAAGGATAATTACATTACAGTTTTTCCACTTGATATTGAGACGATGTTAGATTTTTTTTTTGACGAATGAAACTTAATTTTAGACAATTTGCTTACTTTTTTTGGACAAACGAAAAAGAGAATTGCGACGCAAAAGAATAGAATTTGGGATAGAAAGGGGATTTAGTTGAGACAAGGTAAAAATAACTAGAATCTTCTTTACTTGTAAGCATATTTAAGTTCGTCCACCGGAGTGAGGAGCAACCACGTTCATTGTGGCGCTTTGTGTTGCTGTTGTTCTTGTTGTTCTTGAACTTGGCTGAGGATTGAACATTTCTGGCTTACCATTGCCACTCCAAATTTCCTGCACAATATAGAACATGTTTTTGCCGCCATGATATCTTTATCCCAAAGAAAATATCACAGTTTTTGCAAGCTAACATTGGATGGATAGGTCTGTCGTTTGAATTTTGGAAATATCTTAGGTATTTGGCCTTACAGGAGCTGCGAACTTACAAAATCAACATTGAACATAACGAATACAACTTCAAAGAAAAAGTGCATAAATACCTTTGACGTGTTAAGTTCATTGATGTCCAAAAAATACAATTCCCCGATCTTCTGCTTTACAAGAAGATTGCTGTAATTTTTTTTCGGATACTCCATGCCATAAACTGTGAAATCTGACACTTGATTTGTTTGTAAGCCCATTTCCAAAGACAATTAAGGGCATTTTAGAAACGTTTCCGGTTATAAAGACACGTTGGTGAGAGTTTCTGTAATATTTTAAATTATTAAAGTGAAATTAGATACAAGCAATAAGTAATTGACTTATTACATTGGTTGGACAGGTTGGTGTGTACTTTCAGGATTCCGCCTGTTTGCTATACGGCGTATCTTCTTTCGATTTAGCCTTTTCTTCTTTCTTTGTTATACTTTATACACCCATGAATAAGAATGTTGGCGCAATTGTCTAGGGCTTTCTGTCGACCTCTAATTTTTTTCCAATATATTTCAGCTACTCTGAAGTTATAAAAATTGAATAGAGTAGGCATATTGGCTATAATATATTGGGTGAGTCTTAGAAATTGCTCTCCTGATGTTGTTTTTACTGATGGGATATATGTTCCAACTTCCTTAATTCCTTGGGCCACCTTCCTTGCATCTTCATTTATCATCCGCTTAACGCTACCAGATGCACTATAGTATTCTTTTCTTGTTAAGCATCTTATACCATCATCACCATAATATGCCTTGAAGGCATCTCTTCTTCCAGGATCCACCGTACACACTCGACAATTCTCGGCAATTTCCTGGATGTTAAAGTCATTTGTTGTGAGCTCAACATAATTGAGATGATCAATGGCGGTCCGTCTCGCAAACGATACCCTGAACATATATCCGTCTGTATATATTGAGTTCAAGAACATCTTACTTTTTTCGTTTGGGAGATTTATCAAAGCTTCAATATCATTGATTTTGAACTTCTTAAAATTGAAGAAGTGGAAAAATAATCGTCTTGTGTAGGCTACAGATGATTTGTCTCGAATTTTCTGTGGACCTTGCTCGAAAAACGATTTAACGTTCTCACTGTCTACTTTAATAAATCTTCACTTAAAACTAGACGAAGGGAACAATGCAAAAAGTCTTGGGAGTATATGTTATTGTTATTATTGTTGTGGTTGCTCAGGTGGCTGTACACAAATATTCAAAACTTATCTCAAGACATGCATAATTGCCTGAAGATTTCTTGAAAGAGTAGCCTTGTTGACTGGAATTTTAGGCAGTATATTGCGGACTGGTGTGATTCTTTTATTTAGAAATGCAGAAAGTCGAGGGAGTTTAATAGTCGTGTTTTCTGGCAATATTTGATCTGGGATTTGAAGGGGAGCTGGCAGTCTAATCAGTAAACTGTCCAGTAAATGTTCCTATACTATTTTCTTTATTGCCGTTATGGAAAGATCCTAAAATTTGATACAAGTTTATTATACAGATATATGTAAATAAACAGAACAATAATAATATCTTACCCTGAAATTCGTTCTTTTTATATACATAAAATAGTTTGCTATTATATTTTCAAAGTTTTCTACATAGTAGTTGTTGTATGTAATCGCAATAGTCTTGCATGCAGAAGATACTACCGCACCATAGTTTTTAAGGCCATTCAAGTTGACAGTAAGATTAACCTCGTTAGTTTGAATCAGCTCTGTATATAGTGTCTGAAGATGTTGTAGTCTAGGGTAATGGTGTTGAAACTCTACTATCGTTAAACGACCATAAAGCACTCTGCAAACTCGGTACCAGAAATCTTGATCAAATAAATCAGTTGATAAATCTGAGACGCCTCAAAGGATATATTAATTGATAAAAAGCTGTACTTTATACACCACTTCGCGTAAGAAAGACGATTGCAAGACAATTCTGTCGCGAGCACGTTGTACATGAACATTATTTAAAATAAAGGAACTGAGAGTAATAGACAGGGTATATCGTTGATGAGGACCAAGATCCCTATTTAGCAGCTGTAGTAAAGTCATGTCGTGGTTTGGGTATACAGGACTTCTTTTAGTTGAATTACCTCGAGCTTTACATGACTTGTAAACAATTAGAATGTGAGCTTCATCTGGTTCATTTGTTCTTGATACGCGAACAGCTTTTTTTACTCTCAACTCATCAGGAGTATCTTTGTGCTTTTGTCCTAAATAATAAAATAATGATGAACACTAGTTTCTTGCATAGTACATAGGGTACACTTCGATGAATGTTTCAGTTTACTTTTTCTTTTAGTAGAAGTAGAGCCTTCTTCCTGGGGACCTTGTTATTTCTCGTTTGATTTTTGTTGCTTTTTACTTCGAATCAACTCTTATGCTGCAGGATAGAGAATAGGACGCATCTTAAGGTAATATTGAAAAGAAAGAAATAAAAAAAAAGGTGCTCAAGAAGTGAATGAGAGCATATTCAGCAGTGAGATATCTTTTAATTTATATAAAGACAAATACAGTCACTTTTCCCAGCAGTTAAATATATCTGTTTCTTTAAAAATGGATACACATTCAAGTTGTTCGAAAAATTGGGGCGTTGCTGACGACTCGACAATGATTGAGGGTGTAGTATTGGTTCTCCAAGTCGCGCTTTATTTATTGTAAGTTATTGTTATACCCTATTCATTATATCTTTCCAAGTTGCGCAACGTGAACAACCTTAAATTACTGTCAATGCTCTTACCAGTGAACAAATTGTAGAGCTCCTTGAGCTTACCCGTAAGTTCAAAGTCCAAGGCAACAAAGTGCTTCTGGGTGGGATTCCACCAGGGGGTCGTCTGGAGCACTTTTCCAGACATTGGACAGCCAGACAAATCACCAATAGTCAAAGAGGGTGGCCGAGGAGGCTTTCCGAATCCAATGAACAAATACCCTACACCTGTGGAGGAACAGACATTTCTGTGTATCAGAAAACAACCAAATGGGGGTGGACACTGCCGTCGCAAAAGTCATTCAAGCCGGCGTAATAGAGTACTCACCAGAGCAGAGTCACGATTATCTGTCAAACATGTTCATTCTGGACGAATAAGTCAAGAAGGGACTGATTCTAGGCTGCAAGCGAATACATTAATACGCCCAGTGTGAGCACTTCAAGATGGAAGGAGTTCAATGCCTGAGAGAGATGATTCTTTCAGACTAGCTAAATCTTGTGATGCAAGAGCCGATTCCAGCACTACTTATGATAAAACGTAAATCAGATGTGAAATTACCATCTCGCAACCAAGACGAGATATGGTTACTGTAGCCAGTCCTCCAATTGTTAGATTCTTGGCGTCCCACGGAAGAATTGTCTCTTATACAACTCCAACAAAAAACGGTCATGCTACTTTGTCTTGCAACAATGTGTAATCCTCAATCAGATATTGGTAGGCTAAAATATCAGGATGTGACATGGGTGTACATAAATGCTAGGGTAATAGGGGTTAAAATACTAGCAAGAGAACTCAAGGAGGCTTAATGGAAACAGTCGAAACTAGGGATCACCCAAGAGAAAAACTTATGTTTTGTGATCACTTTACGTATGTTTGTAGAAAAAACAAAAAAAAACTTTCGGTTCATTATTCCAAAAGACCACACCTTGTTCCTCACGTATCTAGATACAGAAAAAATTTCAGCCTCCCCCAAACCAGAAATGATGGCTAGCATTGACAAGCACATACTGAAATAATGCAACATCTACACAAGAATCTTTAATTTCCATTCAACAAGAGCTGCCGCAAGTACTGTTGCAGCACAAGGTGGCATGGATATAGTCGCAGTCAAACAGCATGCAAACTGGTCTCTCACAAGCAACACCTTTGAGAGATACTACTACAAGCCAAACTCCCGGTATGAACAAGTGGCAGAAATGGTGGACCAAATTATTTTTATGGATACTATATACAATACCATATCAGAAGGAGCTGGAGAGGAGGCAGCAATCCCTGTGTTATAAAGAATACACAATTTTGAATTCTTGTCAAGTTTGATTTTTATTTAAAATAAAAAATAAACTGCTGTGAGTACCAGTTTTAACTAAATATTTAAATTCAAGATAAAAGTGTAGTTCGAATTGACCACTGAATATGCTCTTTATATATTTATATTTTTTGTATGATTACCAGAGAAAGACAAGCTTTATCGATTAACTACTCTATTAGTACCTTTTAGCAGAATCTCATTTTTACCTTGTCTCAACTAAATTCCCTTTCTATCCCAAATTGTATTCTTTTGTGTCTCAATTCTCATTTTTGTTTGTCCAAAAAAGGTAAGAAAATTTCCCAGAAATTAATTTTCATTCGTCCAAAAAAAAACACACACACTAACTAACATCGTCTTAATCTCAAGTATAAATACAGTATATAATATATAACCAGCCAAAAAATAATAATATCAGGGCATACATAAAATTCATTAAATATAAATGTATATGTACAAGTGCAAAGCATCGGCAGTTTCCTACAACTATACCTTTAATAAAAACTTAAAGTAATTATCACTTTAAACATATCCTCTTTGATTGAGACCTTTTTAATGAGATGTAAAGCTTGACAGACTGGCTCCACCACTCAAAATGGATAATGTCGGTGTTTAAATAGGTCCGGCCCAAGGCTGGTGAGAATAACTACTTGCCAGAGGTACAATCCAAGCATCCTCCTCTTCCAGCGTCAAAAAAGGTAATATGACGCTTAAGATATTTGTTATTAATGGATCCAACATAAGAGAGAACGGATTGATTATCGATGTGGATTTGTAAAATAAATAATGATGAACAGCATAATCGACAATTTAGTATATAGTATTTTGCTTAGTATTCAACTAAATGATCATCCAATCCCAACACTTTCAAAAAGCATTTAAAGAACAGTTATTTTTCGCCCTGTACATCATTGATGCTCATGTATTAATTTTTTCTTTGGAATCCAACAAAGGTCAATATGGTCACTCCTGCCGTGAAGCATACCATCGTGAAGAAGCGTACTGCTACCTTCAAGCGCCATCAGTCCAACCGCTTTATGCGTGTCGGTGTACGTACTTTATATATATTGAAAACTTTATCATGATCGACGATGAAATTAGATGTTTTTTTTTTCTTTCTCTAAACTATAATTCATAATTTAGGAGTCATGGAGAAAGCCCAAGGGTATTGATAACTGCATGCGCAGACGCTTCAAGGGTAGCTCCCCCATGCCCAAGATTGGTTACGGTTCCGCCAAGAAGACTCGCAACTTGTTGCCCAATGGCTTCCGCAAGTTCACGGTCTCCAACGTCCGCGAACTCAGCCTCTTGCTGATGCACAACCGCACCTACGCTGCCGAGATTGCCCACAACGTTTCTTCCAAGAAGCGTGTTGCAATTATTGAGCGCGCTGCCCAGTTGAACGTTAAGGTCATCAACGCTGGTGCACGCCTCAGATCCCAGGAGTAAATAGTCTCGTGTATATGTAGAGGCTATGTGTTTTTTTTACTACAAACAAATACATATATTCATTTGATATGATACATCTGAAGAATGAATTGAATCAAATAAAGGGCATTTGATGGCTTACAAATGAAAGGGAGAAAAATACACGCGGTGATAAGGCTGAGGTTTTGATGAGTGGCATTGTTCTCGGGATACCTTGTTAAATTGAAAAACACAATATTTTATTGGGATTATTGGAACTAGATAGATGATCATGCGCGCTACTCTATGCTGGTATTATTATATTCGCTTTTATTACGTAAAAAGGCTCGGCCAAATAGTCAAATAAGACCAAGTCGAGATTACGTTATAAAGTATCCTTTTTATTAATTTACCTTTCATTTGATGCTTTTTGAGATAAGAACAACGGTTTTTATCAGATTTGCACGCAGGATGGTGGTCTTGACTCGCTATTATTGGACTCTTGGAGAATTGGTCTCGGACGCTTTTCAAAGAATACCAATTATCCTATTTGTGAATATTAATGTTTGGACTGAGCAAGAAACAATGGAAGTAAATTAGCCAGACTATACAACCATATACACCCTATGCATATGGCTTATAGACAAATATATATATATATATATGTTTATTCTCAAAAAATGTTTACTCGGGGTCTACCAAGTATAATAAATATTGGCTATTTTGTGTATATTAATTATTTGTTTAACAGTTGCTTAATGACTGTTTAACTTTGAAACAAGCCTATTATTGTATAATACACCTATGACAACATTTGTCAATCAGTATATATAGAGCTCTTTCTTCGCGTATTTTTTCTTAATCTCTTTACATTGAAATGACAACAAGACATACCCCTCTTAAGACTGCTAATAATCCAAGGTATCAAAAATGTGTGTGTGAGCGGTGTTCAAGGTCTGTCGATGGATATACGTTACAATTACCTCGGGCTGCTAGAATACATATGCACTATTATCCACCTAAACAATCTATAAAAAGAGGTAATTATCATTCCTACCTGGGACTTTTTTTGTTGATTAACCTAATCGTTATTAGTATATGCATATCACCACTATATTCCTCCTAAAGATAATGCCTATTTTCACAACTTAGGTACATTATACATGATCAATTGCATAAAGATAATGCTGATTCTCGGAACTGCGTGTTTAAATTCTATAGCAACTACCGTGATCAACTTAAATATAGAGGTTGATGGGCACAATAAGGATTCTTATATAAGCAAAAACTTTGGATCCAGAGACTTTCCTAATGACGACTGTGCTTCCATATACCGTATTAATATTCAATATCCAAACCATGAATTACACTTAAATCGAGATTGTACCCTCGATTCAGAATTGAAACGTAGCTTAGATCCTGAGCTTTACTAAGAAAAGCTGCCCTGGAAAGTATCTTAATTAGTTAAATATTTGTCACAATAGCTATTATATATGTATATAACCTCCTACCGATGATAATGAACTTTCCCCCTCATTATCTGGTTTTTTTCCTACGTAAGACAATATCTGGCTACTTTCCTTCCTTTTTTTTTAAAAAAAAAATGGCCTATAAAATAAAGCTACAGTCAAAGCTCAATATAGTTGGTGTGGACAGACTAAAAGTTCAAGAAAGGGCAAAAAAAGGATAAAATTTTTAATCGACTCTAATTAGCTAGTTTTCTTCCATTGCCACTAGGATTGAGAAGAGAAGCATTTTTTTATGGAGGATGTGCCATATAATGAGAGGTCTAGAAAAGCTCGTGATAAAAGGTTCTCACTTAATGACAGAGACGGGATTATATGCACAATTTTATCTAATATGTATTTTGAACTCATTTTGAACTTTTTTTAATAAAAAAAAAATGTGGGGACAGTCACAAATTAGTCTGATTGATTAAGTTCTGGATGAAGTTGTTTTACCCTTTTTTTGCCCTTTCTTGAACTTTTAGTCTGTCCACACCAAGTGATATTCGATATAGTAATACTCACGATATAGTGATAATTTTTTTGAAATTTTGGAACCGTTCCTGATTATTATGACTATTTTCTGATATAGTGATAGTGATAAAAAATGAATCCATCATATATCACTATATCGAGCTCTGAATTTATTTTATATTATGGGGGCACTCAGTCAAGTTGTTCGAACAATTGGCGTGGACAGACTAAAAGGGCAAAATTAATTAAACCTCTCGCCCAATGATATGGCTTAAGATTTGGCTCTTTTTTTGCCCTTTTTCTTGGACTTTTAGTCTGTCCACACTAAATTTATAAATTAAGAAAACAATATTATTGGGCTATAATTGTAATAGTGACGATCAAAATTTGACCGAAAAACGTACCGCTTTCTGACTGGCTGAATCGTTACTTTTTTATATGCAATATGATAATGTTTTTATCTTTCTAATTAATAGATTATAGAATAGATTATCAATAAACTAATATAACACTTATTTCTCTCCATCTTACATGCCAAAATATAGTACAAAGCAGCAAACAATTGGTACCTTAAAGAAATCGCGTAAAATCAATGAATTTATCGTGAAGAAAAAAAACACTGGTAGAGTCTTTATAAGCAAGCACAGAAGAGCTTATTAAATATATCCTGGAAGTAATCGAAGAGGAAGTTAATGTAAAGTTGGAGCATATATATGCCGTGAAGGAGCTTGAACAAATCCTTAAATTCAATAAATTCATACACAAGGTTGGCGATGTAATATATGCGCAGAAAAGAAGTATATTGGGCTCTCCGAGAAGCTAATACTACAATACATTTTAAGTTTCAATATATCTCCAAAAATAAATGATATTTGGATTATGTTACAAGACGTATTTTATAACAAAGAAATTTAAAGCGTTTACATTAATCAATTAACAAGCCATAATTTTCTTCGGATCAATATATCTGTGTACTTTTTTTTAGTCTAACTATGTTTTAAAATGAGAGAAATAAAGTATTTTACAGATGCTTGATAGAATAAAAGAAAAAAAACAAACTGAAATGCTGGGTAAATAACCACCCAAGTAAGGATATGTTGTTATTTATTTATTTTATACAATTTTCAACGAGACATTTAGTGCTAGGTATATGGGAAGTTCTATAATATTCACCTGTTACCAAAAGGTAGATATTAATTCTTTAGATCTGTTAGATGCTAACATTATAAATAAAAGCAACAACAGGGGGAGTCATCGGTTGTATATACTCGACTTTCGAAGGTGTCATTAAAAGTGCACTAGACTCCAGTGGCCACGATTCACAGTCCATATTTTAAATTTTTACAGTGTAAATTAAAAAAGAATACTTTTATTTGAATATATTCTTCAGTATCAAAGAAAACTTTGGTCCCAAGATGAATTGTATTGATTTATATTTTCTGACAATCTCATTAAGACAGAACTTAAAAACTATCTACCTGTGATTTTATATCATTATTTTTCTTATAGGCGTACTTATAAAAGACCAGAGTTTATCTTAAAAAAACATTTTCATAATTATTTAGACCTTAATTACGATACATAGTAGATATGTTAGATTATAAGATCCAAAAAAAAATCTAGTAGTTCATGAGAAAATTGTCTGTCGCTGCTAGGGTCTGATGGGCCTTTAACGCTACTCCTCGACTCCTTTAGCGTTATTTTATTATGCTATAGCAACCCAATAGTCGTCGAAGCAAAAGAAGAAGAAATGGTGGTAGTCTACCCATAGTGCAGAACAATATTATAGATTTTTTTAAAATCCTCAGCTTAGATTAGACATGGTAAGGTATACTCTTTTCTCTAAAAAAAATCGTTCATAACTATGATCATCAGCACCACTGTCTTTCTTGATGCCGTTATGGCTATTTTCCCTTTTCTCTTCAATATATTGACGCTTCTATAGCTGTTTATATGAGATAATTTTGGAGATGTAGTCTTCAACTTCAACCGGTTTATAATTTGCGCTTTTTTGGTTTTGGCTTTCAAGACGGACATTTTTCGAACTATTGTCTTGCTGAAATCAGTATTGTTTGGTTGATGTTAGAAATTTCCACCTAACAAAATCAAATAAAAAAATGCAAATAATTAAACAAGTTTTATTTACGTCAGCCATTTCAAATCCATCCGCGACTTCTTTTTTGTCCCAGTCTTCAATTCACGAAACTGATTTGAATAATTAAAAGATGTTACTTCTTGGATTTTCTATAAGTCTTTGTTGATAATATTTATTATGTATATGTTCCAAGATATGTTCATATTCTGCGTATAGAATCATGGCGTTATCAATCTTGTTTAGTGGTATAAATGGCATTTGTTTGAGGGCTGCGTTTAAGTGACCCTTTGTTGCGAGTATAGACTTTAACAAGTCTTTATGAATTTTTGAATCGGCGGCGGTACATCGAACTCGCAATTTCTCCCGTAAAAGCATCAAAGACTTTTTTGTTAATACCAGTAATGATAATCCTGATTTCCAACTTAAAATTGAGGCTCAAGAGTGTTAAACATAGTGATTTGGTATCATATCTGTATACAGAGCTCTATTAGCTTACATAATTTATGACAGGAATATAGCATTTATCCTACCATTGAACAAAGCATTGATTCGGATTAAAGTATTGTTCCATAATTGGATCTTAATAATGTATTAAAAATGACGCTTCTGATAAAAATCTTTGTGTAGAGATAGTGGATAATATGGGCTTTTTTACTATTTGATTCAATATTTGCATGTAGCTGGTTTTAATAGCTCTTTAGTCAGTATTACTATATTTATAGTTCTTCACAGTTCTTAAACAAACCTTTGAGACAAAATGGCTGTGACCAAACGTTTGTTAGGTCAATTCGCTTTTCTTTTACATACAGAGCCATATTATGGTGATTTTTCTACCTTTTCAACGATTTTATTCAGGGTTTCAGTGTCTCTACTTATTGTTGGTGCTCATTATATTTATTTATACTACCCAGCATCCAAAAGTGCGACTCTTAGAGAAATAGAGATGATAGAGAAGTACTAAGGTATAATTCCACCAAGGTATCTAGGGAGAATATCAAGGGAAAAAGAAAGAATAGGTGTCAATGAGGGGCTTTTGAGGCAGTGAATGAGAAAATAAGCCTGGCCACTGAACTATCCTTGTGATAATCACATACATACCTCAGGGTAGATAACATAACCTTCCATATATTAACGTGTGTTCTTTACTGTGTTTTCTTTGGTTTGTATGTAGACTTTAGAGAAAAAGATCTTGGCCAACTTTATACCAGGTTCAAAATATGGAAAACTATAGGCACTTTTGTCAGAAATATTGATGCCTTAATTGGGGTATTCTAGGACGATTTGTTAGTTCGCCATTCCAATGTCGTGAGGCGCCAGCTCAACAGCAATTGCACCGGAAATGCTGAGCCTGACAGCAACCTTAAATTCTTTAAGTAAGACATCAAAATCAGTAATGTAATATAGCACGGTAAAAAAATAAGTTGACTTGAAACATAACATACCATGTGTCAATTTTAGTATGAGTGTTGTGAGATTTCCCAGATTTACTCAATTTTTCTTTTTTTTACCTGATTTCTATTATTTTTACTGTATATTCTATTAGCAATAGACATGTGAAAATATTTTATTGTGGGTTTCTCTAGGCCTTGCGCATTTTAGCATATTGGCTACCCGATGAGAGCTGAAGAATAAATGAAATAATAAAAGTAACCCCCTAAATATGAGGGGAAATAAAAAAATATGTAAAAAGTGAAGGATAAATAAAGAAAAAGTATGGAACATGCATGACAGAGACAAAGATGAATAGTCAGCAAAACGGTAAGAGAGCACGTAAAAAACCCCCTGTGGGGGAAAACGGCTTTTAGAAAGACTAAGACTAAAATAGATAATACAGCTGGTAAGAATACAGGTGAAATAAATATATAAGATAAATAAATGACACGAAAGAATCGAGAATAAATAACTAGGTACTGACGGCACCAGAATTGGGAACGGATTTCAGCAGGGATAGGAGCTCCAAAGAGGGATTCCTTTTAGAAACTCGGGCGATCCATTTATGGATCCAGAATACACAACGATACCGGACCAAGTCAGTCCTCCTAGGCACAATTTTGGGCGGACACATATGGAGGGGGTTGATGAGGAACGGTGGAAATTTCGGATAGAAGATGAGGGAACGGATCACCAGGAACAGGTTCTTGGGTGGGCGGCGGGATGCGGTGGGGACGGGTTGGTTTTGTGGCACGGAATTTTGCTGCAAGGTCGATGAGGATTTGACCATGAGCTTTTTCTTCTGGCAGTTTGTAGGATGAGGTGGTTTGATCAACAGTACGTAGCAAGGCAAGCAAGCACGGCCACCAATCGCACCACATACAAGGCGATATGAAAGATCTGGGGAGACAGTTGAGAGCATAGTCGATGAGATGAACCTCTGGGGGAGGAGCAGGATCCATCAAAGACCAGAGTTTTTGAACGAGAGTGATTGTGGCGGGGCATATGAGCATGTGGTTTTGGTTACCCTTGATAGCGCCACATTGGCACTCAACTGATGGTGTAGGTGGTAGCCAAGCAATTCGCCATTTGATTAGGTGGCGTCGTTCTGAACTAGTGCACGGCAGTAGTAATACCGGATCCCAGACAGGTTTCACAAGCCTCTAGCAATGATCACCAGACGGTTCACACTCGCAAGCTGCATGTTGATTTCTTTTTGGCACAGTAGAACATAAGCTTCTTTTAATGGGTCCTTCAACCGAGGTTGATGTTCTTTCAGAAATTGGGCCTTTTTCCAGAGTATACTACGACGAAGCTCACCCCATGTCGTTTTTTCTTTGGAAAGGTCCAGCTGCGTGGTAAGAGCTTTGATTAGGGAGTCTGAGGGTAGTGTTTTGGCACGACGAAGAAATTTGGCTTGAAGAGCATGGGAACGGGTGAATAGGCTGGGTAGAGCAGCTAATGCAGTGATATAAACTACTCCCTTCGTTGCATTGGGCCGTCGAATACATGTCCGGAGACACGTATTTTGGGCCTTCTGCAGGATCTGAACGTCGCTCCGGCTAGCAGGAAAAATAGCTAACCGTACTCAGAAATGGGGCGGATAAAAATGAGATAAGCTCTGAAAGCCGCATGGAGACCAAAACCGTTCATGTGTACATCCGAGCTACTAAGCTTACGCATTGCTGCACAAGCTTTTTGCTGCGACTTGAGGAACATGTCGGCTCGATCTATCCTTTGGCTAGTGAAAGGGAATCCTAAATATTTAAAGGAAGGGCAGGTGGGAATAGTATTCCCATATAAAGAAAAGGAAGAATTGGGAGGGGCATTGAGGACCTTGCATTTGGATAAACTCCACTTATACCCCAGAAGGTTTGAATGTGTCTCGGCTACAGTCAACATTTTTTGCACATCGTCGGGTGTGCCTATAAGGGCAACATCGTCAGCGTACAGAAGACAGTTGATAGGAGCCATTGACATAGGAAGATAGTCTGGTGCATCCCCCTCCGTCCTGGGAACACTGAACACATTACAGGGGACCGTCCTAAGCTCCTCCAATATTGACAAAGGAGTGGCTGTTGGGCTGTCCAATGCATACATACAGTATGAGGACAAGCGAAGGGACCTTGTTAACGAGGGAGACGGGATGCGAACGTAGTATGGTTGGGTGGAGACTCCCCGAAGTAAACGTGGTAGTGTATCAATAAAAAGTAAATACAAGAAAGGTGAAAGTATACTACCCTGCAGGACTCCATGTCTCGGCGTAATACCACGGGACACTGCATTTTTCATCACTACATTAACAATAATATCATTAAATAAATTTTGAAGTAGCACTAGCAAGGGTTCTGACACAAAAGGTCGCAATGAGTCCCATATGACGTTACGATCCACACTATCATATGCAGCTTTGATGTCCAGAAAGATAACAACTGGTGGTTTGAGCACTTGCTCTCGTTCAGGGTCGGGAACAGAGTATTTCCTCATTAGTTCGTAGGGACAGAGAGCCTGATCTAGGGTACTGCGGCTAGCATGGAATCCTCTCTGGGGTATGTCTAACTCTGGGATGGTCGAAAGGAGTTCCTCAGCCAAGCATCGCTCCAAAATCTTCCTGAACACCGAAATCAGGCTGATGGGCCTATAACTGCTGGGATCTGCGTGTGCTACTTTGTTTTTGTAAATAGGTATTGCCTGTGCCGTTCTCCATGCAACAGGCGTCCATGACCATCTCCAACACAGCTTGAAGAGCATGTGGAGTAGAGGACCTAGAGTTGATACAAGAGGCTTGAGTATCTCTGCCCTAATATGATCAATATCTGGTGCTTTCCGTCATGGCAAACGACGAATAGCTTCTTTGACTTGGTCTACGTCCCATGGTACTTCCCTCTCCATTGGTGTAACCGCCTGTTCAGTCTGTATTTCCATAGATCCACCAAAAACATTCTCAAGGTAGTCGATCATGTTATTAGCAGCTGTAAGTGGTCCTTCTGGAAATGCCAGAGAAATTGGAGATCGTCGCCAAATCTTTATTCTCTTTAACGCGCTCACCATCTCTGAAGGAGCCTTTTGGATTTTGTCGCAGAAATCGTACCAGATTTGTCGTCGTGCCACCCAAACTGCTGTTCGCAGATCTTGGTTTGCTGCTACATACTCAGCATGGGCTTTAATGCATTCAAAGTCGTGCCTACCAGGCGTCGCCAATGGTAAAGTTCTTGACACCGGTCAGCTAGGTGTTGTAATTCAGCATTCCAAAAGTTCTTTTAAACCTTTGGTTGTGGTGATGCTCGCCCAACAGAATCATCCGAAGCCTTATAGATTGTCTCATTGAGACGTTCTGAATAGACCTCCAAGACAACAGGACATGATATGGAAGTGTTTTCCAGGGTTTGTTGGATCTCTTGTTGAAGTGTACCTGAACCCACTTCAAATCGTCTTTGGTATTTTTTGTAGACCTCTTCGATTTCCAGTCATTGAAGCTTCCAAAGTTGACAGACAGAGTTTTCTGTTGGGAGCTGTGGTATGAACACAGGCCGAAAAGATATCTCACAAAGGTGGTGATCAGAGTCCAAGGCGAGTTCGTCATGGATTTTCATTTGCATATCATGGAATTGCTCCTCTCGCAACAAGAAGAAATCAATAATACTTTTGAAGACCCTGCCAGATGTATGGACTCTCTTGTATGTTGGGAGGCCAAAGGCCAACTCCGAATTCTGCAATGTTAAATCCTTACTTCTAACCCACTTTGCCATAATTTCACTTCGTGGTTCTCCTCGAGTGTCCCCAGTTGTGTGGTGTAGTCGAGTGTTGAAGTCGCTGCAAACAATGAAGTCGTCGACGGGTAACAATGCCAGCCACTCTTGACACTCAGAGGATGTCAATCGTGGTGAGAGGTATATACAGTGTATAGTATAGGGATCGATCCTACATGAGACACCGTGGGGGTTAATGATTAGAAGGGGGTGTACATGATGAGGAAAATCTGGCCTTATAAGTAGCGAGATGCCATCTATTGGCTTTGGTGACGTCGTTGGAATAGCAAAGTTGTGTATCTGGGTCCAAGGGCACTGGAGAGCAGGAGCACTCTTAGGCAGGAAAGTCTCTGTAACAAAAAAAATATCAATATCGTTCGTCTCACAAGCATCTATCACATTCACCAATTTGGGCTGTAGTCCATTGGCGTTAAATAAACCGATCTTCAGTCTATTCATGTGTTGTGGTGATTGGCGTTTTGGTGGACTCTATGCCGTCCATGTCATTGGTCGGGACTATGGAGGCGGTGGTGCTGGTAGTTTTTCAGCCCTCCAGGTAGTCAGAGACTACAGTCTGCAAGATCTTTACCACAGCCTTTTCGGACGAGAAATGGTGGATGACACTGTGACCAAGATATGTTGACATGCTGAGACTTGCCTTGACCAGACGTGCGTCAAATAGGTCCTGAGCTTTTCTTGCCCTAATCTCGATGGCCTCTTCCTTCAACTTGGGATCTGCGATCACGTCTGCTGTGGTCAGATCAAAGTTCCCCAGTGGGACAACCTTGGCTTTTCCAAGCAGTGCAATGAGTTCTTCATGGAACTCTCCATTTATGAGGAGGGCCACCATCCCTCTGCCCAGGAATTGGATGTCAAGAATGCAGGAAGTGGGGATCTTGAAGGAACTGAATATCTTTCTCATTTCTTGGTACTTAACGTATCTTTTGGCCGGGAGGTAGACAAATTCGTACTCAGATGGGTCAGTGGGTTTTTGGAGGAGTTGTTGTCCCTGGACTCTGCGGACTTGGACTTTCTGCTTGGCCTGCTTGGCATCTATGCCCTTCTTTGCTTGTGTGGCATATGACATTTGGCCAGCTACTTCGTTGCTGCCTGTCTTGTTTTGCGGGTTGCTCTTTTTGTTGGTATTATTTTTATTGCTGTTGTTGCTTTTGTTTCTGTTGTTTTGGTTGCTGTTGGTGATGGTGATGGTGCTGTTGGTGATGGTGATGGTGCTGTTGTTTGTGGTGGTGCTGCAGTTAGCGCATCGGATGCAGATGTTGCTGTTGCTGTCAACTGTCAAGGCTTTCGGGGCATGTTTTGATGCCATCAGTGAGTCCTTACCAGTTGACGCAAAGGCTGCTCTGGCAGCTCCAGTGGCTTGCAAAGCCATTAGCCTGTCAAGCTTTTCCAGCACGGATTGGTAGTTAGCTGCCAATTCTTCAGACTTGCAGGTCAAGTTTGCAATTATGGCCTCCAGAGTGGCACATTCCTGTTGACTGGCCGCTAGGGTCGTTGCTTCGTCCTTGTTGTAGGTGAAACCACCTTCGATCAAGTTTGCACGGTTCTTGTTGATCATGCTATGCGTGCTGACTGCTTTTTTCTGCTTCTAGAGTGCTAGAGTCTGGGCTTTATTTTGTTTAGCTGGGATTTGGGATTTGAGTTGTGAGTTGGCCTCCAGGGGTGTGGTGAGTGTCTCAAGATCCGTAGCAGCAAACTTAAAGATTGTGTATGACATGCTTTGTTCTTGGGCTTGTGGTACAGTTTCTAAGTGCATTGAGGCTGTTGGTGTGTCATTGGACAAATTGTTCTGATGTGTTGGTGAATGGTTTGGGATGAGGGTGTTATTAGCGACCTTTATGCATTTGGAATTTTCAAATGTCAGGTACTACATTGTCTTTGTCACACCAGATTAAATTGATCAAATTTTCAAATCTTTCTATATATATCATTGGATATGTAATAGGGAGTTTCACCAGCTTTGGATATAGCAGTGGCTTAATTCGGAAAATGATTGGCTGTGACGAATCTTCAAAAGTGAAAAACGAGCATTCAAGCATCTAAAGAAATAGTTCGATACTCTGGATGTTGTGACTTAGCCGAAATCTTGTAAAATTTGTACTTTATGTACAATTGATAGCAAAGTTCATATAAAAGCAAAGTCAAAAATAAAACGTAATCAATTTATATAAAAGTAGCTATCTTGATACCAAATTATAGAAGTCTAACTTACTTGTGAGAAATTTGGGCATAGGCACTATATTTATGGGTACTCTAATCAAGCATATTATACATATGAATTTTGACGTATATGAGAGAAAACATATCAACCAAGGGTCATTATATGTCTTTTATAACTTGATTTTTTAATACAACCAGAAGAGCATAAATTATATAGATATCTAAATTTAATCTAACTTGTTTCTTATCTCTTTTCTTTCTTTATGAACAGTTTCAGTATCAACCAAGTGTTTAAGAATAAACCGCAATTCATAGCAATAGAAATTCATATTGTGTATCTATTATCCTGTTTTTTTTGTATCAGTATAAACGTCAATAGCAGTTCAATAGTAAATGATATATAATAGTACCTGATTTTATCAATTTCTTTTTGTTTTCTTCACCTTTTACCTTACTTTCTTGCTTTTCTCCATCTTTATATCTATACAACAAGCTTATTTTTTTACTTGATATGTCTAAATTAAACAACAGACAGATTATTCTTACAAATCTCAAGCACAAAATTCTTGAAAGACTACTTGCTTGTCAATTGCTCATGGTGTCACAACCCAACCCCATTTTTAACATTGTCACCAATATCCCTGAGATTGCAATGTATCAGATCATATCTAGTCAAAGATATCTGTCAGCAAGAAGCATGATTCCTCGGGCTCTCTATCATATTGACTGGCTGATGAATAAGCTGGACAATGACAGATTCAGACAAGAACTTCGGGTGAACAAAGATTCATTCTGTGCCATACTTGCTATGATTCAGGGTCACTGGGTGTTCAGAAGCAATTCTTCCAAAAAGCAAACAGAACCAGGAATTCAGATAATGGTAGCATTGGAAAGACTGGGTATGTATAGTACTAGTGCCTTCATAGGATGGATTGCAAGATTGATGTCTATCTCTGGTATGTTTTAATTAACTAATATTCTAATATATATGTAAATCTTACTTTCAACGAATGTCTGTTAAATTATTTAGAAGGATCAGTCAACAACTTCAGCTGGAGATTCATTTTTGCAATCATGTCAATAGAAAAAGAGTATGTCATCTGGCTGGATGTTCAAGAAAGAAAAATAATCAGCAATAGAATTAAGTAGGCAACTATGTTCCCTTCGTGTGTCAGGTTTGTGGATGGGACCCTCATATCTTTGGAGTGCAAGCCAGTGTGGAAGGGTGAAGATTTCTACACTAGAAAATCATTGTATTGCATCTCGACAACTATTGTATGTGGCGATGAAAAGGTGATAAGACATTGTCATACCAGATGGGTTGGATCAGCTCACGATTCTTGTGTGTATAAATACACTTTCTTGTGTGTATTTCCTGAACAATATTTTTCTGACAATGAATACCTACTGGCAGACTTGGCCTATACCTCGAGCAGATATCTTGTCTGCATATACAAGAAGCCCCCATCAAGATCAATGCCTGAAAACAATATTGCCTTTAACAAGAAGCATGTCAATGCACGTATGGCCATTGAACATTGCATTGGCATACTAAAAGGCTGCTTCCAGAGCCTAAGAAGGCTAAAATTGATGATTGCAAACAAGAAGAAAGTGATGAAGATTGAGGTCTGGATCCAATGCTGTTGTGTCTTCCACAACCTACTCTTAAACTGTGGAGGCAAAAACTTCAATGCTGTAGACTGTGCCAAGAAAGAGACAGAAAAGAAAGTAGAAGATCAGAACACAGAGGATTTGCTCTCCAGTGAGCTTGGTAACGAAAAGAGGAAAAGAATTAAAAGAATTATACTAAAGCAATAATAGTAATATAAAAATATAAATTAATATAGATTTCACTTTTATAGTGAGATTCATAATGCAAGAAAGTTTAGTAATAATAAAATAACATTTTTATCTTGTTAAAACCGCTTTTTATCTCTATATACTTAAACAATTAAGTATAGCTTAACTAGATTTAATCAGTTAATCTATTTGATCTACTGTCTTGAAGATAGTATATTCAAAAGATATTATTCTTTGCTTTATCATATATATCTTACAGGGGGGTTAAGATATTTTATATAAATATCTTGTCTACTCTCTCTAACACTTCATTGGCAGAAAGCCCCAAGTCCTTTAGTGAGTTGATACATTCTTAATCAACTTGCTTCTGCTCAATATCCAGCTTTCTGTTCTGAATCCTCTCATTTTCTATGTTTGCCCATCTCTGCTCTTCATCCTTTGCTTTTCTGTGCCTCTCTGTAGACTCATGCTGTTTTTCCAACAGCTCCATGTGTCTGTTGTTTATATCAGCATAGTTTTTTACCACCTCGCAAATACTGCTATCTATATTATATTGAGCTCGCTTTGATGGCCTATGTGATTCCGAAGTTGTTGCTGTTGGTTGCTGTGTAGAGTTGGACAATGATGATTTCTTACCAATATCTTTGCAGCCCTCCAGCTCCCCTGTCTCTCTCTCTCTTCTCTCTCTTTTTCTTCTCTCTCTTCATTACTCATTATCAGACTATATGATAGTAGTGCATTATCATCAACTGGCTCTCTATTTTCCATGGAACTAGACCTGATTACCAATAGTCTTTTGCCCATTACTAGCTCCAGAATATAATAGTATCTGAATCTTTTTATAATGATCTCTATGAACAATAGCAAAATATCAATACTTAGGTTCCATTGTTTTTTATTATCTTATATATTAATTTAGAGGTTCACCTTTGAATGTAGTCTCATTCTGCTTGGCTTCATTGCTTGTTTCATCTATTTTATATCTTATTCCTTACCCAGTCTGGTTAATGAACTTGTATATATCATTGTATTTATTTTGGAGGTACTGGAGCTTGCCACAGATATCTTGATTGCTTTGATGTGTGATGCCATGCTTAATCATGATCTCTCTTATTTCAGAACAAAGTGTCTCCTTTATTGTGTCTTTTGTTTCCCCTCCTTTCCAATGACTGAAATTATTGTCTTCTGTAATCCACTCGATAACAATGTCTATCAAAATTGACCCATTGTTGACACCATCTTTTGCACAGTAGTTAATATTCTTGTGATCTCTAGTAGCTATATATAGTTTTATTAGTATATATAATATTTATTTAATCCAATAGCATATCTATAACTATACAAGTGTACTTTTTTGAGAGCTCATGTTATAACAGTTGTATAGAGTTATAAGACAGATAAGACAAGTAAGGTTAGATAAAGAGAACAGATTTAAGAAAGATATTATTTACTGATAGTCATAGTGCAAAGTATTTATACTTTTTAGATAACAAAGGTTTATCATAATCTACATTATTTTATATCTACATGAGGTGAGTATATATAAAAACAAATAATAAAGTTGATACAAATAATAGAGGAAACTATGATAAAAGTATGATAAATAGGATATAATTGGAAATTATTCTTTAATACAACAACGTTTGTAAGAGTGTTTATAAGAGTATTTGTAAGATCGAAGAGAGTAATATTTACTACATTTATTTTATTTGTTGTATTCGAATAAAAGGTTTTATAAATATAAAAGTCCTTCAATTAATGGCAAGACATCTAAAGTGATATTTATGACAGATACAGGATTTTTGGACCCAAATAAGCTTTTTTTGCAAACTTTCAGCTTTTGGTGAAAATTAAATAAGCAAAGTTCAAGTATCGAAATAGTAATATAGACTGGATTTAAAATGACATTAATTTCTGAGGGTTGATCTTTACCTTGTTGTAATTGGGAGTCACAAATGTACTTCTTGCAGCAGTAAAGGACTACTGCAAGCAGATACATCCATCTGCATAAAAACATTCTTCTTCTTCTATCTGTCTGTATCTCTATCCGTAGTTCTCTCATATAAATAGCTTCAAATTCTCTTGAATAAATATTATCTTTCACAAGCTCAACTTCTTTTTATTTCTCTTTCATATTCAATCTGATTGCCTAAGCAGTACTATCCCATCTCAAGCTCTACTTACATTACAACTTCTTAGTTACTTTTCCACTCAAACACAACTCAAGCACCTAAAAATAAAGCTACTAATATTGATAAAATGTCAGAATCCAGAATACTATCTGCCAATAACTAGAACAAAAAGACTGTCAAGAGATCTGGGCACCCACAGCTCACCAGGTCTACATATTAGTGATCTTATTATTAAAAAGAGTGCAAACCGTTCAAAGACTCCCACGCAGATTTCCTGAGGGCTTGATATTTCCAGACAGACAGTCCGTGGAATTATAAATAGGTTTGAAAAGACGGGAATAATCAAATATCAGTCATTAGGTAGTGACCTTAGAAGTATCATTCAGGATCATCATCAACAATTTATTATCAACACTGTCAATGAAAACAATATCATCACCCTAGAGGAATTAAAGATTCTACTTTTGGAAGAGTTTGACAACATTCAGAGCATTAGTGTATCCACTCTGTGCAACTTTCTAAATAATGTTGAAAGGATTACACTGAAGAGGTCGACTCCAATAGAAGAGAAGAGAAACAATGAAGAGACTCGTCACAAAATAAAGGATTTTATATTAAACCTTCAACCTGAAGGGATTTTATACAATTATAATTGTATTTTTATTGATGAGACAGAGTTTAATATCAACATGATTAAAGGCCGCTCTCAATCAAAAGCTGGCGCACCAGCCTTTGTTAAAACTAAAACCAAGAGAGCAACGAATGTGACAATTATATTTGCTCTTTCAGCAGAAGGCGTTGAATCATATCATGCAAAGATTGTGAATGGCGGCACTACAGGTAAGCGCTCAAAGAAGCAATATAAAGCATCTTTTTATCTATGTTTTTTCTATAAAAGTGGCAACTAAACTTAATATTTTACAGACCCAATATTTATAGAGTTTGTCTAGCAATTAGTTGAGAAGCTGGATAATGCAAATGCTGGCCCTTATCACCTGGTCATAGACAATGCCAGGATTCACTATAATCCCTCTCTCTATAACTGGCTGTAAGAAAGGAACAAGCACACACTCAAGTTTCTGCATCCATACTCTCCTTTCTTGAATCCTGTTGAGAAATGCTTTTCAAAGCTAAAGAACTTTGTCAAAAAGCATCCTTTGGATACCAAAGAAACCTTGTGCAAGAGAATACAGTCTAGTAGCTATCAAATAACTAAGCAGGATTGCAAAAGTTGGGTTAGACACTCAATCTTGTTTCATCAAAAATGTTTAGACATGGAAATAAATATTTGATTTTTTTTATTTTTAAAGATCATCATTTCAATACTTGAACTTTGCTCATTTAATTTTTACCAAAAGTCAAAAGTTTGCAAAAAAAGCTCATTTGGGTCCGAAAATCCTGTACTATAAATCGTATTAGAAAACAGTAGTCACTCACAGTGATATTAGAAATATCACTAAATAATGCACAGAGTAAGAAAAAAACATATTCGATATAGTGATAGTGATAAAATTTCTGTCCACCATCCATATCACTATATTGAGCTTTAACTGTAATTATATCATACTGCCAGGTAAACTGTGTCAGAGCAATATAGAGCTAAATTAGTAGGAAGTCCTAAAGCTCTAGTATAAAAGAGAAAAGAATAGCTAAGAGCTAAAGAAGTACAATTTATGACTTGATGTCATAATTGTAACACCGATACTAGTTAAGCAGTAAATACCTTCTAATAACCAAATATAGTAAAGAAAGAAAGTCTTAAGAAACTAAGACGTAATGACAAGAGCAGATTGTGTCTTCTTATAAAAAGAGACATTTTTTATTTATGAATAAAGACAACTTATATATAGTCTCAAAGTATTTCTATACGTCTCTATTATCAAATATTTTATTTTTCTATTGTTTCGTACCTGAAATACCACATGATATATCGCAGATATTTATGTGTTCATATATGGGCATGTAATAAACATGTATACTCTGACACTCTTTTGGAAATATGATTACATAAAAAATTTCTCTGGTGGTGAAAAAATGATTTTTGGGGGGTTTGCATTTTTTCAGTCAGTGTTTTTGTACAACTCTGAAAATTTGAGTCCACAAACTTCTCTATTTATAGTTTTGCAATTGATTTGTTGAATAATTAAATAAATAAAAATTATTGAAAGTTATAATAAAAAGTTATATAAGCAACAATCTATTAAACACCACAGCAGATTTTTTTGTGTAATCTTGTTCCTTAAAAGGATTCTTGTATACGGGGCGAATTTTGCCCATAACAGGAAATTCATTTTTTTGGGGGACTGAAAAGTGGGGGGATGGGGGGACTACTCTCGGCCAATAGATTTCTATTAAAAAATGTACTGCACAATTTCAAAAATGGTTCAAATTTTTATTTGTTTCAAATAATTTTGGGTTGTAAAAAATTTATTTTTTATTTTCGAAAAAAATTAGGCTAAAAAAAGCTAGACTGGACCATAAAATCCACAGGCAGTAGCACACCAGTATATCCATACCACTAGAAACACTAGTAGTATAACTGTTTGTACTTATGCCTGTAAATTATGCAATCGGTTTGCTGCAAACTACTATGTCTAGCTAATCCAAGAGACCCAGTGCCAGAAATGCCAATAAACCCAAAGAGCATAAAGATTTGAATTTCGAGAAAAGCTAAAGCAGAAAAACTAATAATTAATAATTAAACTTAGTTATATATATTTAACAGAATTTTATCTTTGACTCTATTAAGGCATTTGCAATAAAAGGCAGCCAAATCTCTGCAAGTGAGGAGTAAATAGCTAGTCTTCTGTTGCTTTGTAAGAGGAACATATAGTTATTACTTCTTTATTGATTTACCGAGATGATGAAAAACTAATTTATAAACTAGAATTGCATGATTAATAAACACAATGACATAAAAAACTTTGATAGAATAAATACCTTTGAGCTTACAGTCTTTAAGCAAAATTCTGCTTCTATAAATACTATAAACATACTGGAATATCTTACAAATGGAAGCTCATGCAAATAATAAACATTTAGTGGAAAATTAAGATAAAAAAGAAGACAAAAACACGCAATATTTTCTTTAAAGAAAAGAAGTAAAAAAAAATTCTAATTGGTCCACTGGCATTAAATATCGATCTTTGCACATTTTATAAATTCAATTATTTTCGCAAAGTCATGTTCCCCCTTTGTTTTTACAATCAATTTATTATTATGCAAAAGAATACAAGACAAGAAACGTATAAAATCGTTAAGACTCAACCTTCTAAAAGGCAAGGCGAACTTAACTTTAGCATCAATTCAGGTGTTTTTATCTGCTCCGAATGCGAAAAAGAGTTCGAAAAGCCTTGGTTACTGAAAAGGCATTTGAAGGTTCACCATATAAGTAATCAAATGGCAACCAATACTGTACTCGACGAACCCAAGCAGGCCGAATTGATAGTCGAGAACACTATTCCGGATGCTAATGCATTTGATTACTCGAGTGACGAAGATGACTCCTCCAGTATCGGGGATGAAGAAGACAACATTGTAGACGAGGAAAACGATATTGTCAATAATTTCTTTGATATTGAAATGAACAGTAATCCAGTTTTCAACGCGTTCTCTGACATGTTTTCTTCTGCTGCTGCTGCTGATGAGGTATCAATGACCGATGATGACTCTGAGATCCCAGAAGAAGTCTTTGAGACAATTGGCACTGTAAATGACCCTACAAGCTGTTATCCTTTTCGCGATCTTCAAACCATGATCCTTTTCGCTTTTATCGATGGGGATAATGACATGATCTCCCAGCAAATGTTGAAGAAGATACTGCTTGCGATGAACTTGATCATTAAGATCCAGCAAGAAACTCCCATAGGAAGAACATTTAAGTTACCTCGTTTGGATGCTCTTTTAAATTATCAGGCAAGAAAGAAGTCCAAGATGCCTGTCTTTCCTTCACAAAGAATATCAGTACCTGGATCAAATGGGAACGCATTCGCCCACATTAACCTTCCGTCCGACCACTTGAGATTTCTTATGGCAAACCCAAAGAAATCCAAGTTGATCTCGTCCATGCCCGATTGTACCCCAAACCAATCGATCTGTTTGGAACAAGGTGAAAAGTGGAGAACCCACCATCTCTTTCAGCAGCCTATGCACACTGTAAATGGTATAGATGTCTGGTTTGGAAACATCATTTACTTGAAGACAAACGATTGCAGCATCCGCTTTTTGATTGAATTGTTCCACATGACAAATAAAAACATTTTTGCGAGAGAGTATCTGGTCAGAGCGATTTCGATTGTATGCTATGGCGTTGAGGTTGCTGTTACTGATCTTAGAGTAGAGCAGATCTCTCACGTTGACACCACTCCTGTTGAAAGAGATCACTACTACAGTATCTCAAGTAGCCTTACCAAATTGAGTCCTGCTCATGACTTTCTTCTTTTTGGAGTTCATCCAATGAAGAAGCCTATGCCTCTTTCTGTTTTGCCCGGTAATGTAGATCGCGATGCAGTGTTTTACAAAGTTAGGATTGTTTCAATCATCCTTTTTACAGACGACACTTCTGGCAATCGTTCAAAGCAATACAATCCGTTTGAAAGCTGGTTAATGAGATGCACTGCCTTGCCTTTTAAGGATCGAAATTCGATAGCAAACATCCAGTTTCTTTCTACAATCCCTAAGAAAGATGGTGCAAATGGTATGTCTCTTCTGCCAGCAATCGTTGATGACTTTAAGAAACTCGAGAAAGGTGTAAAAATGTTCTCCGCTGAAGACAATGAGTATGTTCTGGTTGTTGTTCCCATCCTTTGGATTGAGGCTGACATGCCATGTCATTCGGAACTTTGCAGATTGCTTGGGCCGGCCACCACATTTCCTTGCAGAAGATGCTACATCGAACTTAGACATGCAAAAGACTTTGTGAAGAACTTGTCCTACTTCTGTGAGTGCCATGAGAGACGAACTCAAGAGCACTATGTTCTTGCAAACTCGTCACCTGGCAGAGACACTGAGATCCCAAATGCTCCAAAAATTGGAATGAACATGCCTGCAAACGAGATAAGCTTTAGAGATCGTTCGACTGGCCGCTTATTAGAATTGCAGTCATTTGATCCAGAAAAGGATACACCAGTGGAAATCCTCCGCACGATACTTCTTGGTGTTGCAAAGTATATGGTAATTGACTTGGTTAAGGTCGTGCTTAAGAATGACACAGCCACAATAGCAAGACTTTCAGAATTCTTGACAGATTACACGCGATCAACTGGTCTATCAAGAAAGTTCACCCAAAACTTGAGACATAGTGGTTCATTCCTCGGTAGAGATTTCAAGGTTCTGCTTCAAATACTTTCTGTAATTCTGATTACAGAATTCTCTGGAAATCATGAGCTAGACCTTGTAATACCATGCTTTGTTGAACTTGGCCAATTGTGTTCTCTGGTATTCGTTCGTCAGGTGACATCAGACTTTGATAACTATATTATCAGAGTAAATAATGCAGTGAAACGCTTGATCAGAGCATTATTTGACTACAATAAAGGAACCAAGAACGAGCTCCACAAGGCATATTGCACCAAGCCAAAAGTTCATTACTTGACACATCTCAAGGAAGATATAATTCGTTTTGGCCCAGCCCTCAATTATGAAACAGAAAAGGGCGAACAGTTCAATAAGCACATTCGCGAACATCTGTTTCATACGAATTGCCAAAACACTTCCAGGGATGTTTGTCTAAAGTTTGCAAAGCAGGTAGCATTGCAACATGTAATTGACGGCGGGTCGTGGATTAATAGCTCTGGCAACCGAGAGAAGTCTGGAACTGGAATAGAGAGGTTCATTAAGGACAACAATGAATCTTTGTTCTATTACACCTTTTTTGGCGGCTCGAGAGAGCTAAAGGACAACAACGACACTGGAGATATTGAAGATGACACCATCCAAAACAACAGTTTTGGCGCGTTTGTTTTTAAAGATGATCCAATCTCTCGCCCTCGTATAGGACTTGTCTCAGGCTCTGTTGTTAAGTTTCTTAGCATTGTTCCTTGTACGGATAATGACAGAAACAATAACTATGCCAAGGCTGTAATGACAGGTGAGCATTCTGATGTTGCTAACATGAATCTTGTTTGTAAGTTAGATTTGCACATTTTCCGCAACCCATTTTACATTGTAAATTTGAGCAAGTTCGGTTCCTACTGGTTCATTTTCAATAATATTCTTTTTGATGAATAAAATGATGCTACTTCTTTATTATTATTATAATTATTATTTGAACCTTCTGTTTTCTTCTTCTCAACATCAATTTTTTTGCGTAATTTCTGTGAAGTCATTTTTTGGTTACTCAAACTAACCCCCAACTTTCCTTAATAAATCCTTTGTCTCACTTGAACACTTTCTGACTTCCCTAACAGTTTTTTTTCTTACTTTAAAAGCCCACAAGTAGTACTGAACTTAATTTCATCCTTTATTTGGATGAAAAAAATTGAGTACAAAAACAAATTACAATATTTTGGCCTCTAAGCCAATCATATTGCTTAGGTGCCAATTTTTACCCAAAATGATAACAAAAATCTCTGGTGGTGAATGTGATTTGTTCTTTACTATCATTAAGTACAAATAAAATAAAATAATTATTAAGTCATAATTATAAAAATAATTATGCTTATAAAGAAAATATAATAAAAATAATGTTAATTTCAAGTTGATTCATTCAGTTAAATATAGTGAGAAAATAAGATACGATATGTAGTTATGTGAAGTTATTGTTGACAGAATGATACTTTTTTACTGTACTTATTGATGTTTTGCTCTACAAATAGAAAAAATACTTTCTATTCAGTCTCGGTCCCTGTCAGAAAATCAAAAAAAATAATAGAATATAATTTTTCTAGAATTATAAAGAATTCTGCAACATCACCACACTGCCAGACAACCAAAATTTTATTAAAAGCTGATTATTTTTATAACACCCCGTGTCATACTCTGATATGAATGGTACTTTGTTATGTGTATGATGTGTACAAGAAAAGCAAGGTATAAATAATAATAAGAATTGAGTTCTGTAATGAGGTAGGGTTATTTGAATTGAGAAACAATTGTGTTGTGAATGAGTATTGATTACTGCTGAATCTGAGAGTAAGACTGAAGGATAAAATAATATCCTCAGCTATTCCAGTCAAACGGATCTCCCTTTATGATATTATCTAATACACAGATCATCATACACATAATTGATTATTTATTATTATCACCATGACATGGGATATACAAATACATATACATTATATATATGGCATCATTATATTTCATCTACATATTTCTTTTATTATACAAATATTTAATTGAGAGACTACAACTACAACTATCTAATATTATGAAACATTACCCGAGTATCTGGGTCGGAATACTAAAATATTACCAATAGCATAAATGCTCTTCTTTACCAAAACTCTTGGACTGATCTGACTGGAGAAGTATCATATCAATTGGTCTTTCCGGATCTTTCCAGAAGAACAATACTCCTGGAAGATGACTCATTGTGATAAAGATTACTTAAGCATACACTGAATTACAAATTAGAAAAACATATAAATATCAGTAGATAGTTCCGTGTAGAAAGACAATCGAATTTTATCATTCTTTACTTTTCCTTTGAAATAAACAACCTACACAAGTTCTCACGAATTCTTTTGTCTATATTATATTTTGCTTTATTTTCTCCCCACAACAAATTGTAATAAAATGTAAAATAAATAAGAAAAACTACTCCTAGAATGGAAAAATAGAAAGAATTTCAGAAGGGAAAGAATATCTAGTGTGGTATTTCAGGTACGAAACAATAGAAAAATAAAATATTTGATAATAGAGACGTATAGAAATACTTTGAGACTGTATATAAGTTGTCTTTATTCATAAATAAAAAGTATCCCTTTTTATAAGAAAACATAATCTGCTCTTGTCATTATGTCTTAGTTTCTTAAGGCTTTCTTCCTTTACTATATTTGGTTATTAGAGTGTATTTACTGCTTAACTAGTGTCAGTGTTACAATTATGACATCAAGTCATAAATTGTACTTCTTTAGCTCTTAGCTATTCTTTTCTCTTTTATACTAAAGCTTTAGAACTTCCTACTAAATTAGCTCCATATCGATCTGACACAGTTTACCTGGCAGTATGATATAATTATCTTAACAATCTTTAAGATATTATCTATAGTACTAACTGTAATAATTATTGGGCTGATTACTTAATCATTTATATAAATTTTATACTGACAAGATGATAGCTACTATGCTATCCCAATATAAATATGTTCTTATATGTGATAAATCCAACATCCGAGTATCTAGATCACCACATCTAGAACTAGCAAAAGGAAATGAATAATGCTAATGTAAAATAAACTAAGTTAAAAGAAGTATTTAGAGAATAAAAGATTGAGAATTAACTAAGAGAATTTCTAAGATAATTTTAAAATGAAAAAATAAAGGGGAAATTTAACAAAACGAAAATCATAAAATATGAGAGGAAGAAAAATAATAGAAAAATAAAAGAGGGAAAAACTAATTTCGGAAAAGAATAAAAAGAAAGGAAATTTGTTTTCAGAAAATTGGGAGAAGAATAGAAATAAAAATAATGAGAAGTCAAATTTTAGAATAAGAAATAAAAATAATATAAGTAAAATTAAAATTAAAATTAAAAAATAAAATTATAATTGGGGGTTTGAGACTTTGTGACTGATTAAAAAGGTTGAAATCGATTGAAAAAGGGACTGGTACTGTGGCCAATAAAAATTATAACGTACCGCGTCAACTCCATCTAACCCGGCTAGCTCAATTGGTAGAGCGTGGGACTTTTAATCCCAAGGTTGGGGGTTCGAGCCCCCCGTTGGGTGTTTTTTTTCATTCATTACTGAATTCTTATCTGTCAGGTCTCGATCTGGTATTTCTTTTCTGGCACTTGTAACTAAGTCGCAGAATCAATACTACTGGGGATGGTCAAGTTTTTAAGAATAGTTTTTAGATATGAATCAAAGATGCTTTTTATTAAATATATTTCTTGACTATTTATACAAAATAATAATTGATTTCTGACTAAAAGAATAGCTACAATAATATGTCTTAGATGCTTGTTGTCTAGTAATATCTTCTACAAGTATATTCACTATCTTAAACATGTAAAACATGTATGAAAGACAAATTGGCAAAGTTAAGATCTTTTATCCTAAAAAGTTAACTATTACTGATGACTTATAACTACTGATTTTATTCACTAATGTCAACTCTGACATTTTTATATTATTTTAACTTGCATAAGTTTTACAATTACCACTACCAGCTAGGACGTTGTGAATAAATAGGAATTTAGAGAATTGAATGCTTTTTTATTAATATAAATACTACAGTATTTATATTAATAATATGATATATATGTCACAATTGAGTGAAAAACAGACTCTACAATGAAACACTGGTTTCTTCTTGCTAATTATGATATTTCAGATACAAAACAATTAAAAATAATAAATTTAAGAATAGAGATGTATAGAAATACTTTGAGACTGTATATAAGTTGTTCTTTATTTCTAAATAAAAAGTGTCTCTTTTTATAAGAAAACACAATCTGCTCTTGTCATTACATCTTAGTTTCTTAAGGCTTTTTTCTGTAAGAAACATCCAATTGGTCTCAGTCATTAGACCAATCAGAATCCCTTTCGACTATATTGTTATTAGACCAATCAAATCATTGCATCCATTTTCTTAGAGAGAACACTTATAGCACCAATCACATAATTATCCCTCCCAATCAGCAGATATAAATATTTGTATAAATACTTATATAATTTGATTATAGAAAGATCAAGCAAACAACTTCTTTAATAAAGAAATCTATCTATATTTCTCTCTCTGTTTTCTCTGTCCTTGTCTCTGTTCAGATCGGTTTCTGATATTTTTCTTTACTATATTTGGTTATTAGAGTGTATTTACTGCTTAACTATAGTCTAAGAAAGAAATGTTTTGCACCCTAGTGCACTATTTGCACCTTTGCTTTATAATCTATATTTTATATTTTTCAACATCTTAAAAAACTAATTAACAAATCTACTATAATGTCAAGCACACAAAAGAATAACTCTCGTAGGCCCTATAACATGCTTTCAGATTTGACAAAAGGAAAGATTCTTGGTCTTCAACTTGATGGAAATAATTTTGCTAGCATTTCAGTCAAGCTGAATGTACCCAAATCAACAGTTTGATATTTTTTAAAGAGATATAAAGAAAGAGGAACTGTTGATAACAGAAATTCTTCTGGAAGATCACAGATTCTCACACCTAGAGACAAGAGACATATTGTCTTGAATCTCAAAAAAGACAGGTGTTTAACTTTGGATGATCTTGTTGATGATGCTAGTGCTGACACGGGAAAGAATGTCAGCAAGGTTACTATGTATAAAGCTTTGCACAGCATAGACTATTTTTGCTGTAAACCTGTATCAAAGCCTTTTCTTACCAAGGCATACATTGCCAAACGCCGAGCTTAGTACAAAACCATGAAAGACTGAAATAAACAGTGGGAAACAGTCATTTGGAGTGACAAGTTGTCATTTATGCTGTATAAAAAAAATTCAAGCAGAAAGCTCTGGTGCAAAACTAGTGAGAGATTTGGTACAAATCACTTTGTCCCAAAGGTGCGAGGAAATGATAAAATGGTTATGGTCTGGGGGTGTATCTAGTCAGGAGGACTTAGTCCACTTGTTTTTGTAGATGAAAACATGGATGGTCCAAGATATGTAGAAGTTCTTTGAGACCATTTTCTTCCATTCTTGTATACTCTTTCTGTATCTAGCAGTGGTAGCTACAAGTTCCAAGAAGATAATTCAAAGACACATAAATCAAAAGTTGCAGGAAAGTTCAAAAAAGAACATGATATTAATGTTTTGCAATGACCACCCAACAGCCTTGACCTTAGTCCCATTGAGAATATATGAGGAATCATTGATTACAGAATCAGAGCAAGACGCCCTAGACAAAATTCTTTGAATGAGCTGAAGGCTGCTTTGTTGGAAGAGTGGAACAAAATATCAGCAAAAACTTGTAGAAGATGCTGCTTGAATATGTCAAATCGATTGGCCTTACTTAAGAAAAAGAAATTTAAGCAAATCCGCTATTAAAACTATATCTTTTTTTTTTACATTATTAATATATATGTCATTCAATTTTATTATTCCAAGTATTATATTTCAATAGGTATTGTATATCTTTAGAAAGGGATCTGAACTTGTGATATCTTCTTTACCATTTATAGCGGATGTTAAAATGCGCGAAACATGTGGTGATCCAGACACTCGGATATTGGATTTATCACATATAAGAACATATTCATATTGGGATAGCGTAGTAGCTATCATCTTGTCAGTATAAAATTTATATAAATGATTAAGTAATCAGCCCAATAATTATTACAGCTAGTACTGTAGATAATATCTTAAAGATTGTTAAGATAATTATATCATACTGCCAGGTAAACTGTGTCAGATCGATATGGAGCTAATTTAGTAGGAAGTCCTAAAGCTCTAGTATAAAAGAGAAAAGAATAGCTAAGAGCTAAAGAAGTACAATTTATGACTTGATGTCATAATTGTAACACTGACACTAGTTAAGCAGTAAATACACTCTAATAACCAAATATAGTAAAGGAAGAAAGCCTTAAGAAACTAAGACATAATGACAAGAGCAGATTGTGTTTTCTTATAAAAAGGGACACTTTTTATTTATGAATAAAGACAACTTATATACAGTCTCAAAGTATTTCTATACGTCTCTATTATCAAATATTTTATTTTTCTATTGTTTCGTACCTGAAATACCACAAAACATTTCTTTTTAATACTGTATTTCCTTCAGACTTATTATCAATTACAACAGTAGACAATACTCATTTACAACAATAGATAGTGTCGTTAAATGTTCTGAACTCACTAGAAAAATAGAGACATTTATAAGTTGCTATATTTGACAATCGACATCTGAAACAGGCTCAAAACTGCCTTTTTCAGAACCAGGATTTTCTCAAAATTTAGAAAATTTGTCCAAATTTCAATTTGCAAGAGTTATGCTATTTTTTCATATTAAATAAGACAAAGCTTATAGTGAATACATGTATGTATGTCTTATCTATATTGTGCATAATTTATAGCTACTGTAAATATATTTTTATGGAGATACAGCTTATTTATTCAATGTATCATGGAGGAAATATGAACAGAATATGCCAGGAAAACTATGCGAGACATGATTTGTTCTTATTTCTTTTTTTGGGAGCAATAGTTCAGAACAGTTAACAACACTATCTACTATCTAATAACTATTCTTTTAGCTAGAAGTCAAGTATGATTTTGCTAATATTAGGGGAGCAACATTTTCAGGGTGGGGCACTACCTTTTTGATGAAAAACGTTGTTTTGATTTGTTGTGAGCCCTGAGTCAGCAACTGTGAGGAGTGGATTGGAATTAGCACTCAGTTCCAATCCTCTCCAATCAGAAGCAACTACTTCAACCGCAGGCGTTGAGTGAGCAAAAGCAAGCAAAGGAGGAGCACTGCTCAGCAAGATACCGCAGTAAAAGGAACTTTACATAGAAACTAGGATACTGCGGTATCTCATAAAATAGTATAAATATCACCAACATTATCATCAATAAACATTATCTTTTATTTCCTTCAATAGTTCTATATTTCCTTTTTACTCTTTCAGCCAATCACCGGCTTCCTCTTACTGAGTTAATCCTAGTTTATTTTAGATTTTGCCAGACTACAGATTGTGACTTGCTGTTCAGTATCAGATAATTATATCTGGTCCGTAAGGATTCATTCTTATCATAATAAAGATATTTTAATATAAGGCAGGATAATAGCTTTGGATAAGTGTAAAAGCATTCTCTTAAATATATAATGATATACTTAAAGCCTTATACTACCTGCGATGTATTAACGGACATATAGAGAGTTATAAATAAGTTACCTAACATTCTACTTCAAGTTATAATATCATAACAAAATATGTCGTGCCCCACTCCAGAAATGTCGTGCCACTGTAACTTTCAACTGGTGAGACAGGAAGATGTTTTTGCGCAAAAAAAACCACTCCTCTCAATTGAAAAAATGGGTATTCTTATAAATATTTGTTTTTGTATGAGACAAAGTTTTATTATTAAAGTGCCCGAAAACAGATCGTACTTCCTAAAGAAGGAGAGGTAAATGCCTAGGGAGAGATTGATAAACACACAGAGTGTGGGGTCTATGTAGTAGAATAATGCGTACAAAAGGAGGAGGAAATGATAACATTACAGAGAGAAGGGAAACAGAATGAACAGAATAAAAAAACAAAGAAAAATAATAATACAGGAGAAAGTAGAAAGTAGATGGAGCACAAGAGTGAGAGACCTAGTCTAGGAGATGGGAAGACTGAAAGAAAAATTGAAGTAATTTGTTCACAGAAACAACTATATTGGCAGAAACAAAAGGTACATTGTCAAAAATTTTGCGCCAGTACGCTTTCCATACTGTGGCAAGAACACCATCCAAAACATAATACGAGTCAATATGAGGAGGAGAGGGCGAGAGGGTGAGAGCATAAAAGGCACGAAGGATTGTGGACGGTCGGGCTGGCCACTGTGGTATCCACCTGCTCATGGTCATAGTCCAAACTTGCCAAATGAGAGGACACTCAACAAGGAAATGTTCAGGAGTCTGGTTAGAGTGACCACATAGACGCCACTTGGGAGAGGTGACAGAGCTGGGGATAATAGCATGAAGGATGGAAGCTGAGGAAAGAGAGTTATGTAGAAGCCAAAACCATATGTTGCGGGTGGAAGTGGGCAAGGTCAAAGACCAGAAGAGATTCCATTGGCGAGGTGACAGGCATAAGACCGATTGGCGGGGGTTTGGATCGGGAAGGGGACATAGGAGTCGAAATGAACGTCAGGAATGTTCGAGTTGTTGTATAAAGGAAGCAAAGGATATTGAGAGGTGCATAGGATCGACTGTGCCATATGAGCCATCATGGGAAGCGGAAGGGTGGGAGAGCGGAAGGCAAAGAGAGGCAAAGAGAGGCAAAGAAGGGGTGTATAAGCTGTGTGTGCATGTCAACAATGCGGAAAAATCTGTTGATGAGGATTGGGCATGTTGTTCAAGAAGATAGAGGGAGACGAGGAAAACAGAGAAGTAAAGGATCGTAGTAGAAAGCATCAGAAACCAACAGTTGATGAAAGCAAGAATTAGAAAGAAAAGTATTATGTGGTAAAGAGTGATATATGGCACTAAGAGGAAGAGAAAAACATGTAGCAAAAGAAAGAGAAGGAGGTATGTCTAAGGAAGATGGTTTATCATAAGCAAAAAAGAATAAAGACAATGCAGAAGGGAAAGGAAAAGTGCCTTTTCGACTGGTAGAAAAAAAAGAAAAAGAACATATGATCAAGTAAATGTAAAGGGAAAGCGGAAGAGTACATAGAAATATGAGCGCACAGCCAACGGATAGGAATATAGAGTGTGGCACAAGCAGGAAAGAGAAGAGGAATAAGCCATCGAAGTTGAAGAGCATACTGTAAAGCAGCCGGATCTATGAGATCCAGCCCCCCAACAGACCATGGAAGACATAATGTAGCATATTTTACTCTTGAAAACATGGGGCGCATAACAAAATTACCAACAATAGACCGTAGAGTGTTAATGAAGGTCTTTGGAAACCAAACGAGACAAAGGACGTGCCAAAGCCGAGAAAGAATGAGAGAGTTGACGATTGTGGCGTGTCCACGAACTGAAAGATAATGTTGAGAGTGCAATTGTGTTGGCAAGTGTACATCATTGAGAAGTTTGGTGACAAATGCATCGCGTTGTGTGATGGTGTGGATGAGTGAATAGCCTAGATAAATTTCCAATGAGGAAAAAGAGCGATCATACCACGAGGAGATTCCGACATATTGGAGAGGGATCTGCCATTCTGGAAGTGTGGAACTGGACAGAGAGAGGCCATAAGTTTTGTGCATATTGACCTTAGCATTAGATGCTAGGTTGTAAGTGTGAAAATGTTCGTTGAGGCAGTGTAAATCTTCAGGATCTTTGAGAAAGGCGAGGAAATCATCAGCATAGACCAATACTTTAAGAAAAGTTGAAGGAATAGATTGGGGAATTGTGTAGCCTTGAAAAAGAGGATAATCAAGTATACAAAGGAGCAAAGGTTCGAGGACAAAGTTGAAAAGGACAGGAGATAGCGGGTCACCTTGGCGTAAACCTCGGAATTGAAGGACAGGAGAAGAAAAGTAACCATTGACATTAAAGCGTATGCGAGTCTGGAAGAAGAGGGAAGTAATAGAAGTGATAAATGAGTGTGGAAATTCATATTTGAGGAGGACTTTTTGAAGATATTGAGGATGGACGCGGTTATAGGCTTTTTCCTGGCTTAGGAGAACACCAGTTGCGGTATAAGAAGTCTTGTTAGCTTGTGGTGATCCAGACACTTGGTTGTTGGATTTATTACATCTAAGAACATATTCCTATTATTATAGTAAAACAGCTATCATTACAAGAACAAATGAATAATTTATTTATTTTACTTATGGTAAATCAATAAGACCAATAATTAATTACAGTAAGTACTGTAATTATGACAGCTCAGTAAGCACTGAGTTAATATGAGGACACTGCAATTAGATTAAATTATAAACATAGCAGTACCAGCTCTCTAATATCTAAATGAACTCAGACTTAAGAAATTAAGGTGACTGACAAAGCAGATCGTGTTTTGATATAAAAAGGACAACTTTATATTCTTTAATAAAGACAACCTATATACAGTCTCAAAGTATTCTTATATACGTCTCAATCTTTTTACTGTTGATTTTATTCTATAAAACTTCACATAGCTTGCTCCATAACCAATTTCACCAAAAGGCCATTATCCGCAATAAATCGAGAGGGAAAAAATCCAGTTTGATATGGGTTAAGGACAGTATTGACGATTGAGGTCATGCGGGCATTGAGGAGACGAGTAAAAATTTTGGCGCCAGTTACGGAGGAGAGACAGATCACCTTTCTTTGGAAAAAGCTGCACACACGTATCTGTCCAAGAAGAAGAAAATAAGGAGTAGATGAGAGCATCATTGTATACACGCGTAATTAAAGGGACATAGAGGGGATGTTGTAATATTAAAGCTAAAATAACAAGGCAAACCATCTGGTCCAGGACTGCTAGGTTGCAGGCCATAGAGACGCAGTGTTAAATGTCGCCCAAAGTAAAAATGGTGGTAAGGTGTAATGGAGGAAAGAAGCTGGTCCACCACGTGATCGTCAATAGGATTGGGAGAAAATAAAGAAGAATAGAAAGCAGTGGTAGCGGTCATCATAGTGTAGGGAGTAGTGCATAGTACGTGGGTATCTGGATGGTAGAGAGGGGGCAGATATTGTTGCTGCGTATGGGTGGCAATGTATTTTTTTAGATAACCGGCAGATTTCTCCCCATGTTATACCCAGCGAAGCCCAGCTCGAAGGGATGTGGCGTTAACAAGTTCTTGCTGGATTGCTGCTATTTGTTGGTCATATTTAGGAAGAAGTAGAAGACGAACAGCTAGTATAGGTTTTGACTGCAAAAACTGACTCCATTTGCTCTGGAGTGATTTGAGCAGTTTTTTTTCCCCAATATGTAGTATAGCGTCCACTAAATTTCTTGGCGGTCCTAATCGTAGTAGCTTTGACGATTTCCTACTGGCGTTGTGGATCATAATGGGGAAGGAGAGGAAAGAGGCGATTGAGAGTGGAATCGAGAGCAGAAAGAAAGTCGGGGTTTGAGGCAACAGAAGGGTGAGCACGCCTAGTCCACGCCTTTTGTCGGATGTGCCTAGACAAATAGTAGTTTGAAGCAAAGCATGATCAGTCCACAAAGGAGAGATAAACTGGATATCGTGGTTGACAATTGAGAGCGACATAGAGTATGCTGCAAACATACAGTCTATGGTAGTTGTAGAAGAACTGCGGCTAAAGATAGGGAGTAGTGTGGGGTCAAGAGAGGTGTGACAATTGACGAAGTAAGATCCAAGATAATGTTGCCAAGAAAGAGGTGCTGTGCATAGTGAGGTGGGTTTAAGGAAAGAGAAATTAAAGTCGCCCAGGATGAAGAGTCGATCTTGGATGATGGGATTATTAAGAATAGCAAATGACTGTAGATCAGAATAAAAGGTAGCGCGAGCGGCAGGAGAGGCGGTTTCATATACAACAAGAATAAAGAAAGGGTCAAAACTAGAAGACATATGAGTTACCTTGGCAAGGATAGCACGATAATCTTCAGGAATGAGGATACATTCAAGAGAGAGAAGAGGAGAAAGAGTAACTAAACCACATCGATAAGTCTAGAGAGAGCTGCTGGCACGAAATTGATTGTGTATAACGGTAGATAGTGAGGCGGAGGCATATGTTTCTTGTGGAGCAATTATATCGGAAGAGGTCTGACGCAAGAAACGAATGAGGTCATAACGGCGGCGGGGGAATCAGATAATTTTGCCAGGCTATTACAATTGAGGGTTGCAATGCTAACATTGAGGGCAAGGGCCAACATAATTATTGGCGGACGAGAGTGTTAACACCACTCTGCGACGGGTCGGTGGCTGTTACAGTAGCAGTCTTCATGATAGCAGGGATACTTTTCCCAATTTTTCCAAGCGGTGCTTTAGGTTTATGATGGAGTCGGAGGTCTTTAAGAGCTTGGCCATGTTTGCTTAGGCCTGGGAGAATCACTGTGTTGTGGGGAATGACAGTGGAAGTGCCAGTGGCACCAGCAGGAGAAGAGGTCAGTGCGACAATGGAAGCCCGGTTAGTCTCCAATTCTTGTTGTGTGGCCAGGGCCTTAGCCTCTGCTGAACGGGTTAGGGTAGCGTTTAAGGCCGCAATTTCGTTGTCTTTGGCGAAGAGGGCAGCAGCAAGGTTGGCGACAAGTGCATTAGCTTCCTGCTCGGAGGTCACCCGTTCTTCGAGTGCTTTGGAGGTCACCTCTTGGTCCATAGCTTCTTGGGCAGTGAGTTGCTTGGCCACAGTCTCTTGTACGGCAGTATGAGAATTCTCAGCATCGAGTTCAGCAGTGCTTGGATTGCCTTGATTGTGTTGTGTAGAGGGGCCTCAGTCATTTCAACCTCTGGTATGGTGTTGTTTGTCAGATGGGATTCTTTTCGAGGACGCGAATTCTTAGCTTGAGCCTGAGGGCACTGGTCTCTGACGTGCCCAGTTTGGTCACATATCCAACACTGTCGTTTGTTGGCCGGGCGTTTGGGGCAGCTCTGACGGTCATGATTGTCAGCATGGCAATAACGACACCAAATGGGCATGGTGCTCGTGGTAGTATGGAAACCGTCCGAGGTGTCCATCCACTGAATATTATGTGACATACGAGGGTATTCCTCCCAAGAATCAGTAGGATGAGTGTCCAGGATGGCATACTCTGTACCTAAAAAATGTTTGAAAATTGGGCTCGCGGCAAATTCCACCATTGAGAATGCGCCTGTACAGGACAAGACTAGTTTGTAGACCATACAACAGGTCAGCCAGATCGAAAATTGGCAAGCGGGAGAGACTGACACGCTGAATAACAGCGCCTGTTTCCAGGCCTGAGGTGGCAAGGACAGTGACGTTCTCAGCAGGGAAGTGAAGACCGGTTTGTCATGCTCTTTGAGTTTATCTCTAGAAGGCGACAAGGGCCATCTTTGTGAAAGAGAATACAACGGCGAGATTGGTATTGGTTATGGACCAATGAAATGAGCCCTTCTTGGGCAATCGATTTACGGCCAGTGACATCGAAGATGACACTGCCAGGGGAACGGCCATTATGCTAGACATGCGAAGGCATGATGACGGTGTTGGTTTTATTGTTTTGAGAGGGGTTGTGGTTGTGAGTAAGAGATACTCGTTCGGAAGCAACGATGCGTGACCAAAGTGTATCAGCTTTGGTGGGTGATTTTTGTTGGTGTGGTGTGCCTTGTTCAGGCGTGTCGGGTATGGTAGCGGAGGAAGCCATTCTGAATGTCGTCCCCGTAAGATTGCTGCTCTGCGAACAATATCAACGAAACCGTTAAAGGCACACTCTACCAGTTACATCTCAATGTATCTTACGCCTTGCCACCCATACGTATTCTCAAATTACTCTACCCTTCCCCACTCTTGAGTCGGACTACCTCACATCCATTGCTCTTGGAATTTTGGACCCTAACCCTTTGCCCAATAGGGGGTTTCATTATCTGTTTTAGATTTTATTTTATTTTTTCTGGGATTGAAAAACACTAATTATTGGCTGGTAAAAATCTCTCAAAAAATAAAATCTCAAAACTTGGCTTGATAATTTTAAGATTTTATTTTATTGGGGGTACTCAGCCAGATTGATCGATCAAATTTTGAATTCAGAACGCGATATTATTGGACTAAAATTGTAATAGCGACGATAAAAATTTGATTGTCTTTTTGAAAGATCAAATTTCGATCAAATTTTGATTGAAAAACGTACGGCTCTCTGATTAACCTAATCCTTACTTTTTATATGCAATACGATACTGTTTTTATCTTTCTCCTTAATAAATCATAGAATTTATTGCCAACAGTTATATAATACTTCTTTCTCTCCATCTTACATGCCAAAATATAGTACAAAGCAACAAGCAATTGATGCCTTGAAGAAATCGCATAAAATCAGGGAATTTATCGTGAAAAAAAACACTGGTAGAGTCTTTATCAGCAAGTGCAGACGAACTTATTTAAGATATTTTAGAAGTAATCAAAAAGGAAGTTAATATAAAGTTGGAGCAGATGACTACCGCGAAGGAGCTTAAACAAACACTTAAAGCCAATAAATACATACACAAGGTTGACAATGTATTGCCAGATGTTGAGTAAAGGGAAAGAGCACTTGATTTCTTCGAGAGTCTAGATGCCTACAGGTTCAAAGAAGAAATCAGAATGTGCAAAGATTATTCTATAAATGCTATAAAAATCTATGAATTTTGTACGAATTTTGTACTTTTGTCTTTTGGTGTCCTCAACTACAAATTGATACCATTGGCCAAGATTCACACAAGAATTTGATCGATCAATCTGGCTGAGTACCCCCATTTTTGACAGCATTTTTATTCAAATATTATAAATAACAAAAAGCATTACTTTACTCATATTTTCTGTCTATTTTGATAGAAGTAGTACATTATATTATTTAATATGTCTTAAATATGCTTATTCAAAGACTTTTCATAAATTTTAGCCCATCAGTAGCTTTATGTAAACAGTAAATATATCTAGAATAATAAACAAAAAAAAGTGATTTTTTAAAAGACTTTATACATTAAATTAGCTAACATGAGGGGGGTTCAGTAATATCTTTTTATATCTATTATTATTGGTTAAAACGTAAAGCTCAGAAAAAATAAAATAAAATCTAAAACAGATAATGAAACCCCCTAATATTGCCCAAGTAAAAACTCTGTTTTGTCGGGGATTATAATTACATCCTTAAGCTTATTTGATAAAATACAAACTTCAATTGTAAGCTTAATTTACTTGGTCAATCTTTAAGATTTAACATGAAGCATCCAACAAAAAGGAGTAATCTGAAGCAAAGATCGCTTTTGAATTTTTTTCAAACAGAAAATTTATTCCCAATGAACGGCAAAAGTACTGATTCTCAAGGGTAAAAAAAAAAAAAAGAGCATTAATACATAATTGACAATGTGCATCATCTATAAATGCTTTCAAAATGAATGATGCCACATTAATTAAGGATAGAGAAGAATAGAACACACTTTAAATATTTTTTGGCATTTATTTGTAGGAAAAACATCAAGCAAGATAACAACCATGATTCTCAAGACGGGGATAACACCAAAGAAAGTGTACGAACCCTTCCGGATAGTGTTAAAAATGCTACCGAAAACATCATAGGCCTTGGTGAAGCTAATCAAAATAAATCGAGTTTGAAAGAAGCAAGTTTTGAAAATGGAGGTGAAGTGATCGGCAGTACATCAAACGACCCAATAAGTGTGTCAGATACAAAACACATTGACGATAGAATGGGAGCCATAAAAATAGATGAATTTCACATGGACAGCATGGGTGGAGACTATTTTGAGGATTCGGAAACGCAAGACATTTCAATGTCAAAAAGCCTAAGGATCGAAGATAATAAGGTCATGAGTCCACACGAAAAATTTGAAACACAAGGAGTGTCAAGTGAGGATGATTCAGAAGAGGATGTTATTATGGCAGTACCAAGACAACGGATAAGAAGACGAGTTTTGGTAGATGAAGATGAAGATGAAGATGATTCTGATTCTGAAGATGAAGATGAAAATAAAGATAAAGATACAAGTATGAATATAGATGCATGCTTACCAAAACCTATAGAAGTATTGTCTAATATGCTTATGTAACTATTTTCTTTTTCTAAACAAATACGATGATATAGAGAATCCCTGTACCATGATATCTAGGCTACCAAAGACTACCAATATATCTGCTAATAAGAAACGTCGACTTATAACAAAAAAATCAGAAAATGATGATAAACCTGAAAGTTCAGAAGAAGACACAAAAGAAGAGCTGGCGTTTCTCAGAGAAAATGGTGAGGGTTGATACATATAAAGTGTTTACTAATAAATTATATATCTAAAAGATATCTACCAAGAGCGCACTCGAACAAAGAAGAAATCACGATACAGCCTAGCTCTGGGGGAACTAAGGGGTAATGATTATCACTATTGTTCTTTAGGTTGCTTAATGTCTGCTGTTGCATTGGCTCTTTTAGATCGAAAACAACGGTTACAATCATTCAATGGTGAAGCCGGCCCTATGGATCACTTTTGTCATGGTAGTACACAAAACCTATACTCAGATAGTGACCAGGATATTCTGTATGAAGATGAAACAGACAGCGAAGAAGGATACGATGGGTTCATTGTAGATGATGACATTATTGACGGCGAGAGACTGGATGAGGCTGAAATATCAAATGCCGTCTTGCCCGGTGAGTATTTAAAGTCTATTGATAATGAAGCCTTGAATCTGATTAAAGCTATACAGAGGAGTTTAGTATGAATAGCATGCAGAAACTATCCTACAACTTCAGATTGTTTGTGGAATATCTATTGAATTCAATACACGACAAAGACTTTGATACAAAAGGTGTGTGTATATTTGTAGTTTGTCTTGTGGCGTTGGCTGACACGAGACAATCTTTTTCTTATCTAACTAACTATCTTTGTTACCAGACAATACTTATAATACGGCCATCCGAGCTATAGAACGGCGCGTGAAGAGTTATCGAGATTCTGTTCTTACAAGCGATGCATGGAACATACCCTTTAAGGTAAAAGTGACAACAGCGTGATCACTTCGAAAACAATCTATTGAATTGCGAGTATTTTATACAGAGTGCATTAGATAACTACGTAAAATGGACCTGGAAGGGGTTCAGCGACACCTTTGTGGAATGTAGTGCTTGTAGAGGACGAAAACCAGCCAATTCTGATGTGTCACTTTCCAACTGTCTCCATAGCCGTGAACCAAAACAGGTCATATTCTCTGTTGGAAGTGGGTGTTACAAGCGAGGAAAAGCATATCATGGTCTTACGCACTTTAGGTTGCACATGTACCACCGAATCGAAGAAGAGATGAGAAGGATTATCAATTCGTCTCCAGAAATTGCCCTCGAAGAAGATACACTGGTGGCTAAAGTACTGAAAACTATGGATAACTCAGGGTTTGTAACAGATGTAAGTTATTTAAGTAAAATAATAATAATAATCGTATTTGTTATACTAGAAAAGACTACTTAATATATATACAGATATATAATAATATGAAGGCTCTCTTTGCGAGCGCTGATGGCAATTATCTTGGCGAACCAGATAGTGAGCCAGAAAATTAGTCCGGGTATGAGAGGAGCGAAGTAGTTTTATGCTTTACTGCTTTCTAAAGAAGGGAAGTATCAGGTTGTTTTCACAGCACCTAATTCGGTGTTCTGTCTTTCTTGTTGTGCTCACACAATCACTACTACAGTCTTGCTTTCACTCAGCCATTTTTTATTTATTTTTACTGTATTTATTTCTCTTTCTTTCTAAAATATCAAACCCTGCAATTTGAAAAAGACTAATTTTCACTCTTTTATCACGCAACTTTTTAAACAACTTTCTTAAATACTCTGCCATCCTATTGTATTCATTATAATACAACATCCTCTCTGTAAATAATAATAATAATAATAGTACAATGGGAAACAATATCGGAAAACCGGCAGATGGGCACGTTATCAATAATCATCGTAATTTTGAGCCAGTAAAGCAAAGACAAAAAAAGCGGGGATCTTTTAATAGTCGCGTAAAGAGATTATCCAAAGAAATCAAAATATACCAAGAGCCAACTATACTATCCTTTGACACACCCCCTTTGCCACTATCATACACTTCTTATATCCAGACGAAAACCCAGCCTATTATCTCAGCGCAAAATAACAACGACAAACCTATCGCAAAAGAGCATGATACGACACCACCGGCTCATATAAAAAATATTCGGATAGAACCTAACTCCAGTTCAAGTATACATGAACCAGCAGATAAGCCAGACATTACAATTTCTCTACCCGAAGGACCACCACTCTATGCAATGAGAAGACCAGCTAACGCAGGTGGAAGTGTAATGTCTTCAATGGGATCTTCTACATTGTATTCTCGTTCATCGTTTCCTGTAACCCTGTCTTCATCGGTTTTTGATAGCGCATGGTCATCTTCTGGCGGACTATTTTCACAAATTGATCCAGGAACGTCTACCATCACAACACTCACCACCCATTCTACTTTATCTCAACATTCACTATAGGCCGACGATTACAACAAACCATTATCGAACAATGTCAAGAATATAAATAATACAACTACAAAAGATGATACCATATCCTCGCAGTACATACTAAAAAAGCTTCTAAAATCACCAAAAGAAGCATACCATATACTTAAATATGCTTTTGAGCAGGCACAGTCATCTGATACACCAAATGCCCGCGCTAAAGTTTTTGATGCTATCAAAGAATGGTCTTTAAAAACAGAAGATAAGGCCGCCAAAGTTTGGATGGCACGATGCTTATTAGAAGGATGGGGAACACCCTGTAATCCTTCCTTAGGGTTTAACCAGCTAAAATCGCTCGCCACAGACCCAGAATGCTGGCAATCGTTTTATCCTCTTGGATTATGCTATCTAAAAGGCGTGCTTACTAACAAACCTCAACCGATTGATAAAGATCTTGCATATTTTTGGTTCAAAACTCTAGCGGATATGAGTGGACTTGTAGATTCTGAAGCGAAGCTCATGATTGGGCTGGCCCAATACCGAACAGGATCCATGTTGCTACAAGGTCAAGGAGTTAGTAAAGACCCAAATCTTGCCCTTGAATATTTTATAAAAGGTGCCAAATGCGGCAACAAGTAAGTACATTAAATAAATAAAAGAAGTGCTGTTTGGTTAGATCTAATAAGCCTCACGTTCTTCTTTTTTTAAAAAATATATATCCAGATATGCGCAGTATATTGTCGGATTTCATTATGAAAAGGGACTCGTGGTTGAGCAAAACAATAAAAAGGCCATCTATTTTTTTCTAAAGAGCGCCGAACAAGACTTTAGTGATGCCCAGGCTGCACTGGGAATCCGACTTGCTGAAGAGCTGCGGTATGACGAGGCTATACCATGGCTTGTGCGTGCATCTCAAATGGTACAACCCCCGTGCGACGACTTGATCAATATTTAGAACGTTATATTTATGCGCATTGTTTCACAACCCTAGGAGAATTCCTGTGCAATATTGAAGCTTGGGATAATGTACGAGACAGGGCAAGGTGTTAGACAAGACGATAGATTAGCATTCAAGCACTACGAAAGAGCAGCAGTTGGCAATGATCCAGTCGCACAATATATTCTCGGTCTTCATTACCGACTAGGAAGTCTAGGACTTAAACGAGATAATCAGCAGGCCAAGCGATTCATCTCTAAATCTGCTCAAGCCGGGGTTCCTCCGGCCCAACGTGTACTCGGTCTAATGTATGCTCAACAGCTCATATCATCGAGTGATAATGGACAAGCGAATAATACTAGGCGCAAGAATTACCGAATTGCCTTGGGATGGTTCCGGAGAGCCGCGTCACACGGAGGCGTGCGTGCACTTGGATTAGTAGGATTTTGTTTTGAGCATGGCTATGGTGTCCCGGCTGACCACAGAGCAGCATTTAGCTACTATCGGAAAGCTGTTAGTTTGAGCGGACCCTTTCAAAATGCGGCTTACCTTGCGATGGCAACACTTCTGCATAATATGGGACATCATAAATATGCTTTAAAGTTGTTTGAACGTATTTCTGCCTTTCCAGATCCTCCTGAAATTGGCACTGATTCTGAGCAGCTCCATCCAACTTCACCTTCTCGAACTGCCCGACTTATGGTGGCAAGATACAATATCCACGGCTGGGGTGGTCTCCCTAAGAACCCTCATGTAGCCTTCGAAATCCTTTATAGTCTAGCTAGTGAAAGTCAACAGGATGCTAATGCTCATTATTGGCTGGCTGCATGCTACGAAGAAGGAATCCCTGGAAAGTGTGAGAAGCAAATTGAAAAGGCTTTCGAACATTATCTGGTTGCAGCAAATTTAGGAGATACCGATGCTGAGTTCCAGGTAACAAATAACATTAATCTGGAGTAATTATACACAGTATAGGAATATGATTAACAGTAAACAATAAACCAAATTTGTATATCTTTCTATATATAAAAGGTTGCGTTAATGCTTGCCAATGGGCAAGGGATTAGTTGAGACAGACTTGCTGCTTTCAAATGGTACAAAAAGGCAGCCAACAAAGGACACAGGACAGCATTGTACAGCCTAGGTCTATATTATATCAATGGTCTCGAAGGAATAACCAGAAATATTCCCCGAGCCCGCGAATGCTTTAATCAAGCGGCACAAAAAGGATTAACTTGTGCCATGACAGCACTAGCTACTCTTTATCGTAATGCTTACATGTCAAATGAATTGCCTGAAAGGAAAACAGAGAGCCAATGCGAACTAGCCGTACAGTGGTATCAGCGTGCTGCACTTTTAGGAGATGCTACTGCCCAGCGGGAATTAGGACTGCTGCACGGTGCAGGACTTGGAGTACCAAAAAAACCGTCTTGCCGCATTTAAATTATTCCTTAAGGCAGCCGACCAACAAGACGCTCAAGCAATTCTTCTTGTAGGAAGTTATCACCAAAACGGACTTTATGTCGAAAAGGATCTTAGACGTGCAATTGAATACTATGTTGAAGCATCTCGCCTTGGCGCACCAGTGTAAGTTCTAAGTATAGATCCAACCTCATTAGACACAAATAAAGGTATTGATTCACATGGTTACCTTCTATTGTTTTTTTAGGGCTCCATTTGCTGCTGCCCAAGTACATCATACAATCATTTCAGAAAGTAAAGTTGCTGATTTCGAGTTTAATGTCGTACCAAAGAATTGCCTGTCCAACAACAGTGTTGACTGATCCAAAAATAAAGACGCGTTCACTTGTCCTGTGCCTCCTTTATTTCTACTTGTCGCTTAGAGCATCTGCAGCAGTAGCATTTAAATTTAGTTTTTCCCGATTTAAGTGCTTTTTGTAAATGCTTTTCAAAAAAATCTTCTGCAGCAGTAGCATTTCCGACAGCATGTATTTACATGCTCCGTGATTTTTATGACCTTGAGCATGGAAATAGATGCTCATTTTAAAAACTTGCCGAGCATTTAAATCGTTTTTCTTTGTTATTTTTTTCTTTAAATCGAATAATAGTATATAGCAACACTTACAAAAACTCACAAAAATTATGCTCACTACAAAGCTGATAGTCTCGAGAACATTTAACTTGTATTTTTTATATTAAATATAAAAGAAAATGTCTAATAATAATGAATTTTACTAGTGAAGAAGACTATACCAGATAGTATAATTATCTAAATGCTTCTTTTTATTATGCTACTGATATTTTACCCTCAATATTTTTACTGATTTAAACCTCAGATGTGGCTTATGAGCACTCAATTTATTGCTAATTGAAGTGCTACTGCTACGGATGCTCTTAGGTTTTAGAGCATCTGCAGCGGTTACATTAAAATTAATTTTTGCGACTGTTTTAATGTAGATTCCGAAATGTTCTTAAAAAATCGTCTGCAGCGGTTACATTACAGACAACATTATAGATAATGTAGTCCATTTTTAAGGTCAGGAACATTACATGTAGTGTTACATTATAAATCGATATTATCTTTTTGAATCGTTTTCTTCCCTCTCACATCCTTTGTTAAAACGAACAATAGTCTATAGAAATGAGCAAAGAAATTCTCACAAATTATGCTCACTATTAATCTGACAATATTGAAATTATTAAATTCATATTTTTAATGCATATATAGAGAGCAAATGTTCAATAAAATAAATTTTAGAAAAAAGAATATGAACATAATCATCAGTGAAAAACTGGAAACTTTAGACAGTCAAAAAGCCCAAATAGTTCCTTTGTAATGTAACCACAATTTGGCAATCTGTTTTTAACTGGTATTCAATCCCCGGTGACTATACTACACTATATATAATGTTTTCGATAATGTAACCGCTGCAGATGCTCTTAGTGATAGGTACACAAAATTCAGAACAACGAATATAAGACGCCAATACAGATACAAGGAACTAAATTTTATTTTGATATATTTGCAGGATAATAATGAAATGATTAATATCTTTAGGCAGCTCTCCTTTATATCAATCAATCATTATATTTATCCGGTCAATTATATACTATATTCTCATGTGTCAAAGTCACATACATAAAAGTCTATAAAAGACGGCACGATTGACAGGCAAGAATTTTAAACTCTACATACCTTTGTTCTTTACTCTTGTAAGTAATCTATTGACTGACCTGCAGCATATATACTTACCCGATATCTTAGTATATCACTACAAATTGGCACTTTCAAAAGTACTGCCCAAACCTCATATCTCTAGTCCACTGTGGATTAGAAGACAATGAACGAAGCTACCCCATTCCGAGCCATTACTGTCAAGGCATCAATAAAGGCAACGGGGTGGAGTCCTGAGTTTCTTGGACCTCTACAAGTCCTTGTCGCTAAAGTCCACACAATTGTCACCAACACCTTCGCACTTATGAGATACATATTTCTTACCAAGTTATCACGCAATCCATTATTCGATCTTGACATATATATTACGCAAAATATTTTTACTGATGTCTCTTTGTTACTGTTTGAGCATAGCACTGCCTTCTATATAACAGAAATGACAAGATAAAATTGTGAGCTTATTTATTGTCACGACTATGCCTATATTACTGTAATTATCTCTATCCTCTGCTTATTTTACGAAAATACCAAAATTCAAACCAACCAAAGATTTATTTCGCAAGTTTCGCCTTTCCTTCTATATTAACCAATCCAAAGCTAAATAATGTCTAGAAAGCAATATCAGTTCTGAATTTGGTTAACCTTCTGCATTAATGGTAAAAGACTGGTCTGTATCTCACAAACATAGTCATGAAACAACCAGTGGTGTAGTATTTAGATATCTACTTTGTAAGCATGAATTTGATCTTTGTTTGTTTGATACATTTAGTACTTCCAAGCACTATTTTTCGTGCTCCCAGATTTCCCTTCGAACCTTTAAGCAAGTCGAAAACTCTCGCTAATATAGCCCCACCCTAATAGATTTACCGGCACCATTAAAATTGTAAGTGCCAGAAGACAAGCAGAAGAAGATCTCTAGGAGGGTCGTCGTTTGAGACAAAGTCTGACTAGAATTCAACGAAGATAAAAAGATTTTGTCCTGGTTACCGCTTAGGACCCACCCAAGCTACCGCTGGTAAGCCATTAGATTTGAATAGCTTGGTATTTAGTTTTGCAATGGGTTGAAAAGGCTAAGAAAAAGATGTTTTACTTTGACTACAAAAAACATGGTGGGGTAAAAAAAAAGTAGAATATAAAAGAGATCGAGTAGCCTGAAATCTCACAAATCGCATTCGCTGAAGAACCTACGAGTACGGAGTTATAAATGCTGCCATTTACCACAGTGTTTGCCACAGTGTATACGTTTTTTTTTTGTTTTTGTTTGACAAGTCGGAGAAACAAATAACAACCCTTACATTTTCAAGTGTGAATTGACAAATCTTTTATTTTTTATATTATTAAAAGGTATTTTATATTCGGATATTTAGGGCTCGACTATTAGACGGACTTGGGTCCTTTGTCAGGTTCAATTTTAGGTGATTGCAGTGACAAAGAATCATTCTTATGCTAAAGTAAGCTTCTAGGTTTTTTATCGACTGATATACAAAAAAGAAAAATCAAAAAGACTGTGCAGATCCAAAAAGAAGAAAGAAAGCCACAACCTAATCTTCTTTAATTGATCCAAAAAATAGATTGTTGTTTCTTTTTGATACATATTGTACGTGTGTATTTGATAGATGAGCAGAAAATTCGTTATATCTTGGTACTACTAGGTTACCATGAATAATAAGAATAATATATATATATATATAAGTATTGTATTTTATATAGACACAGGTTCTAGGATCGTCCCAGGTTCTATGGGATCGATTCCCTCGTGTATCTAAAGTCTATTTTAGTCAGAGAATTTGCGGAGAGTAAGCAGGATATAAAATAAGAGAAGAAAAAAAGTAGGTAGATGATTCGGAGCCAAGAGCCACGTTTAGCTGGAGGTTACAATTGTGAAGATATGTAATAGTGTAGTGTAAAGAGGTGGAAGTAATATATACAAATTGGTTACCAGAAGTAGAAGTAAACTAGTAGTATATCGTAGTAAATATGAGCAACTCTTACCGTCTATCGTCGTATAGATTTGTTTTAGACAGCTGCGGTTACTGTGTACATACACACGTATATGTATATGTACATCGCCACATATTTATTCTTGCAATATTGGACAATGGATCTGATACACCCTTTATGTGATTGTGTGTATCCCTAATTCTATATCTATAGAAGGACTAAATAAGTGATGGTGGCTCAGTATTACACACACATATACATATATATGTGGCTACTCAGCATGGTACATTATATATGTATTTATTGATGATTCAATACGTATATAACCCTCAACTAGTAGGGCTCAGCAGAGAAAATTAGCACAAGCTGCACAAGCTGCACTGGAGAACGTGTAACCTGGTACCTAGATTTGATCAAGAACAAAAAAATAAAAAAAAATCGCGCTGCGCAACCCCTAAACCTCACATTTTGAGAATGGAATATAATCTTTATTTAGTAATATAATACTCTCATCATGAATTACTTTAAATGACAATAAATACTAAACTAACTCGATACATTTTAAGGTGGTACCTTGTTGTACAGTGAGAACGGTAAATTTTGTCACTTTGAGGAAATTAAATGCCCATAACCAAAAAAAAATACATTATTGTCCCTTTATGTTTAGAATTTTTGTCCTTTTGAAATAAAAGAAATATCACAAAAAAGGGGGTACTCAGTCAAGTTGTTCGAACAGTTTTTAAATGAAGAAAGCAATATTATTGGGCTAAAGTTGTAATAGCAACGAACAAAATTTGTACGTCTTTTTGGAAGAACAAATTTCGAGCAAGTTTTGACCGAAAAACGTACCGCTTTCTGACTGGCTGAATCGTTACTTTTTTATATGCAATATGATAATGTTTTTATCTTTCTACTTAATAAACTAATATAACACTTCTTTCTGTCTATCTGATATACCAAAATACAGTACAAAGCAACAAGCAATTGATGCCTTAAAGAAATCGCATGAAACCAGTGATATTTTTACGAATTTTGTCTTTTGGTGTCCTCAACTACAAAATAATATCATTGGCTAAGATTCACATAAGATTTTGTTCGAACAACTTGACTGAGTACCCCCATAAAGGGACAATCATTTTTTTGGAAAGTGCAATTTAATTTTTCAAAGTGACAAAATTTACCGTTCTCACTGTAGATTGAACGAACTAGAGGCTAAATTAACAAGTCCTACAGCAATAAAGCACTAAACTGTAGATGGTTACCTAAACGCCTCACATTTGGCAAAAGTACATCGGGGTTATTGTTGCTTTTGAAGGCAAAGAATTAGTGACAAGATATCAATTGCAGATTGTGTACCTTTTTTTCTTATATATTTATTTATTTTTCTTATTATGATTACCGCCAAGTGCCTATTTTAGACGTCAAAATCTCCTGGTCAAAAAACGGAAATTTCTCAAGAAGTCTATTTGAGTTTTTTTTTTTTTTTTTTTATATACAAAAAAAAAAGCCCTGCTCACCCGAGAATACGAAACGTTGGTACTCTCTCTCTGTAAAGGAAAAAAAAAAGACAACCAGCGATAAAGTTATTAGGATTCCGATTTTACTTGTATAAATTTTTTTTTATTAATTTTTTTTTGGTATAAAAGTAAAGTTGTAAAATCTTACTTTCTATCTACTGTTCTCTATTGTTAAACATCCTTTGAAAGCTTATATTTTCCATTTTTTACGCTTTTTCTTTTTTAATACTCCAAAAATCACACAATCTTATATACAAACAAGTGTGTATAATTTGCTTCTATCATGGGTAAAGGATCTTTCTTTGGCAGACTCAAAATTGGCAAAAAGACACGAAATGCCAAACTTCTAGCGCAACCAAACCAAACACAATCCCCTCAATCCCTCGGAAATACTTCTAGTAACTCGTCAGCTTCTTCGTTCCCTCGAACACCAACCGAAGATACGAGCAATGAAGGCCGAGGCATCTTCCGGACACTAGAGGCCGTCTGGTATTTCCGTACATCGCTCATTGCAGATTCTCCTTACAGAAACGAATGGACTCAGTTTGATGCTCAGAGCCAGATTATGCTCACACAAGCAGCATTGACCAGCACCACATGTCTTCTGCCTCTCAACGCAAGTTTGGGATCATGTAATATCTCATTTGCCAAAAAACCCAATCGGGGTCGGTCCATACCGTTGACATCGAGTATCCAGACAAATGATCCAGATTGTGAGACCATTAGGACACTTGAAATTGATGTCGACGTCCGCCAGATAGTATCTCCAGTGTGGTGGTATGAGGACAATGCCTACGACGGTACAAAGGAGATGGCCAGATTTGATTACAAGAACCAGGTCCGGCTAGAAGCACTTTCGGACGACAAGGATAGCTTGATTCTAACCGACGCGGCTTTTCCTCAATCTTTCACCGTCGTACTGGGCTCTTCCAAATCTCGACAAGCCCAAGAGGAGTGGCGTGGATTTATGCATCTCCATCCCGCACCGCCCATTGAATACATCTATGATAATATAATGCCCCCAGAAACCGGAAATATTGAAAGATATTATGATGACAAACGCTCTACTGCCTTTGAACAGTTTCTTGAGTTTGATGTGCCTCTGCAACGTCATTTCTCAGTTTAAAGATCCTCCTTGTCTCTCTTTTGTATTCCATATTTCATTCAATCGAATTTTTGTATTAGCATCATTCATTCCACTTTTCTCTCTCTTTCTTAGCAGCTTATATCTTTCATCATCACATGTACATTCCGCATCTTTTATATATATATATATATATATATATATATATATATATACGTTATTATCAATCAATCAATAAAATTATTGTATTTAACAAACTTGTTGATATCTGTAAAATTACACACAACTTACCAAGGGGTTAAAACATCCTAGAACCCGAAATAGGCGGCTATTTGTATTCCCAACTCTACCAAACAATAGCCGAGTATCAAAATAGATTATAATTTTTTTGGTGGATATCCCATTAAGCACTCTAACTTTGAGTCTTATACACCACTTGAAGTCGCGTGGTGTTGCACAGTGTCAAAAAAGAGTGAAGAATTATAATTACAATTTATTAACCGACTAAAATAATACAAAATAATAAAAAGGAGGAGGTTATTTGGTGTGATAGGAAAACTAAAGAAGAAAGACGCGTATTTATTAATAAGCATATCTATTGTAATAAAATAAGAAAGAAAGAAACAGGGGAGCTTTCTTTTAATTATGATTAATATTGGAGCTTATATAAATAAACATATAGTTTTTGAGTTCAAAATAATTGCAGTCAAATTTGAAAATGTTCATTTACTTTGGCTTACTATTACTACTATCTATTGCAACTATTAGTGAACTGTTAATTTGAAACAAAACATAATAATACTGCTTGAACAAGATTTTGATTATATAAAATTAATATGTCGTATTGTATCCATTACAAGAATATTATTTTCAGTTTCTGAGTATAGGAGATACAAACAGCAGCAAGAGATATATATATATAATCCGTACTAGTTCCGAATATACATTACTCATATATACTATCACCTTGTTTGTAAGCATATCTTGTTTTTTTTTTTAGGATCCCGTTTGTTTGTGAGCTCATATCGAGCCTATTGCTCAGCAACAAAACCAAAGACACTAACAAGCACCGAAATCAGAAATCAGAAATCAGAAATCATATAAGCAAATATACTTGTTAAAGTCAAGTCCCAAACACTTAGCTGTATATATATTCATATTCATATTCATATTCATATTCACAATTAAATAAACAAAAACCACAGCAACAATAATCGCGTTTCTTTATTCAAATATCTTTTGGCAATTACTCCAAGTAGTCTATATTACTGAGCAATATGTTCCTCCGAGATTCACAATATATCTGAGCCATATATCCCATGGCTATTCCTCGTACAACAAACATACTCACAAATTATAAGATTAGGGTATTTGAATAATAAGTTTTATACATGAATAGTATATATATATATACATATATATATTTGGAGAAAATAAATAAATCAATCGATCAGTCAATCAATCTAAGCTGCAGTACCCTCGAAATATTCTTGTGAGACTGCCAAGAGCATTATTCACACAGGTACATACATACACATATACATACATACATACATATATATATATATATATATATGTAGCCCTGTGACCCACCTATATCAACATAAAGAAAAGAAACGAAAAGAAAAACTGTAATTGGATTTTAAACATTATGATTTTATTTATTTATTTTATTCCAGGTAATTTACACAGAGCACAAGCCTAAATTTAAAGAAGTATGTCTATTATGACCCAATGTTTTTATACAAAATAGTAATAGCAGTAGCGCTGAGCCTTTTCTTAAAAGTCAAAGATGATACCAACAGACCAAGAAGATTCCATTTTGTCTTTTTTGTTTTTGTTTTGTTGCCGAGGATTTTTTCTTTTTCTACTCTTCTTGTTCAACTAGACGATAATTCCCCACCAGCTTCACTGTGAAGTAAAACATATTCTCTAGTAGAATTACCAAACTTGAGGACATCCTTAAGGCGAAGTTCTACATATCGTGTGCTTGGAATACGGGTCCCGTTAAGGAAAGTTCCGTTGGTAGACTCAAGATCAATAACAAATGGCCTAATAATAACAAATAATAATAACACGCCAAAGTTCAGTGTTAATCATTTTGCCCCAGCCCCAGTTCTAGTTCTAGTTCTAGTTCTAGTTCTAGTTCTAGTTCTAGTCGATCTCTATTTTTACTTACTTTACAACATGACGAACGTTATTACTTTTAGGATCTGATTCGGCCACACGTCTAAACTGGAGAACAGCATGCTGCTTGGAACATGAAGGATGATCTACGGGAATATCTACTACCTTAAAATCAAGCCAAAGTCTATTATTTTAGTACTTGTAAAATAAAACTATATATATATATATTCTTGCTGTCACATACCACACGGTCACGTCCTATCAAAAATGCACTTTGACGATGTATATGAAGTAATTCTATTTTTTGTAAAAAAAAGTTTGTTAAACGTTTTGTGTTAACAGCAATACGAATCAATTACTATTTGTACTAGTAGCTAGTACTGGTATTAATAGATCAAAGCTGAATTACATGTACAAAGTGTATATGTGTTCTGAGCCAAAAAATAATAATAATCTATAGTTACCAATCTGCTCGTCTCCCTTAAATACATAAAAGCGCCACTGCTGTTTAGGTTTTGCTGCTTCAGGAGGTTCATTGTACTTTAATTCGACACCTTTCAAGGTATTGGTTTCGGATGCAAGTTTTCCAGACAATCCAAAATTTGGTTCCTGTTTCTCTTGCACAGGTTCTTCTTTCTCTTCTCTGGATTCATTATCTCCGGATCGTCCCCACTCGTATTTTCTTCCTCGACCTCCTCCTCCTCTCTCTGGTCTGCGATCCTGTCGATCATTAGAGTTACGCCGCTGATGTGATGAACGACGGACTGGAGAACGAGAACGAGAACGAGATGTTTGCCGAGATTCTCGAAGACGAGGTGGCGATCTAGAATTTCTGTACCGAGGTGATCTAGAGCGCGATCGATGTTGACTACGGATTTTTTGGTGTGGTGATGACATGTAAAATAAACTTTTTTTAAAAAAAAAAAAGAAAAGAAAAATAAGCAAGTCAGTTAGATAAAGAGAGAAAGAGGAGAAAAGGGATCTTTAAAAACACGTCATGAATCCAAACTCAGAAGTTAAGTACACCCAAGAAAAGGTCGCGTTTGTTTGCAAAGCATTAAATCTCTTTCTTTCTATCTACCCTTCTTTTTGTTTTTTGGTTTGTGTAAAATCTAATGTCCAAACAACGTGGAAACATTGTGTTCGAAACCTCAATGGGCGTAGTTCAGATCGAACTCTATTGGGATCATGCACCAAAGTAAATTGCATAAGAAAAAAAAAAAAGCTTAAATTGTGATGATCTGTTAATGACACAACGTAATCCATAAATAGGACATGTACCAATTTTTACGAACTTGTATGTAGAATTGGCTTTAATTAGATTAAATTAACAATCCAGCTGATTTTCTTTTTTTTCTCTTTCTTCATCTCATTCAGGCTAAGCGTGGCTACTACGATGGAATTAGTGTAAGGATTACCATTGAAGCCGATGAACTGAACACTAATCGAATCATCTCGGAATATATATACACACATGAATACACACAAACGTACATATACATAGTTCCATCGTATTATTGCCGTAAGTTCATGTCAGCACGCTCAAAGTGAAAATCTTGATTCATTGTAATCACCCAATGGCTTACATAAACTGACAGGACTTCATGATTCAAGGCAAGACTCGATCTTTGAGACCAAGGGAAAGATAATGGAATGGGGTTCACCAACATGTTTGTGTTTGTGGTTTTAGGTGGTGATCCTACAGGAACAGGTCGCGGAGGAGCCTCGATTTATGGGTAAGAAAACACTTTTTTTTGGAGGAGTTTGAGGGAAAGAAACGAAAATGAGGTTTTGATATATATATACATGATGATATTTAGAAACAAGTTTGAGGATGAAATTCACCCTGATCTTAAGCATACTGGTGCTGGTATCCTAAGCATGGCCAACTCTGGCCCCAACACTAATGGATCCCAGGTAAGTTTAAAGATTAAAGAGAGAATAGGATTTTAATGCCGGATTGTGTTAGTTCTTCATTACACTTGCCCCTACACCGTGGTTGGATGGTAAGGTTTTTTTACATGCGAATGTTTTGATGAGAGTGAGAGAGGGAGTGAACATGTGTTTTTATTATCATTAGGAAAACACACGATTTTTGGTCGTATAAGCGATGGAATGAACATTGTCAAGAGAATGGGTCTAGTCCCTGTGGATTCCAATGACAGGTACAAAATGAGACTGAGTGGATGTGTGTATGTGAGCGCGCATACTGACAGATGTTTGATCAATAGGCCCAAGGATTCTGTCCGTATTGTTCATGCCCGTGTCGATTAAGATCAATTGGTATATAATCAATGCTGTTGTTTGGTTACTTTCATTTTCAAGAACGAGATTTTCTTTATGTATTCATATAAACTGTGGCATGGTTACGAATACATTATACTACGTTATAAAGCCGTATCTTATATATATATATATATACTCTAAAGCAATTACATGTATCCAGTTCTAATACTCGATTGATTGATTGGTTAGCGAGGGTTTATTACCATTATTCATCATTTTTGATGTAAATTTGTCTAGAGTGTGGACACAACAACAACAAGAATTATAATAATAGTACAACTATATTACTCTAGTTTGCTTATATAGCTTCAAAAATAAAGCTTTCATTTATTGATGTATTGTATTCGACTATTACTTTAAAGAAAATTATTCGACTAACCTCCTATCTAGTGTAAGTTTCTCGGAAAGCATTGACATCGTGCTGTAAAGAGCATGCGTATGGACTAGAATTCTCGATGCTGTATTGGATCAGTCAGTAATGTCAAAATTTTGTAGTCAAGTAAGCCTAAAATTATATATACTCTTATGGTAATTATACCATTAAAACGCTGTATGGAAATCAATGAGACAATAAAGATAGAAACTTACTTATTATTGACCGACTACTTTTAAAAAAAACTTTGGAAGTATATTTAAAAATCCCAAGAGAATATGTAGTGGTTACATTAAAATGAAATTTTATGCTACTTTCATTATAGTATTCTCTTTCTTTTTCCTTTCTTTTTCTTTAATGAAGAATATACGAGGATTTAGCGCTATGACAATAATTGAATATAAAACAGTATCTGTAGAACTATAGGTAAACATACACATATTACTTATAACAAAAGATTTGAATATATAGATATAGATAGAAAGATATAGAAAGTAATTATGTTCTTTGTACATATATCATTTTTCTTTGGTTTTAGTTTTACTGTGAATAAAGCAATAAGATGATAATAATAATAATAATCGGGTAGTAGGATTGTATTGTTCTCTTTGGTTTTTAAGAGTTACTGCTGCTAGATATTATTTTGTGGCTACTGGTGCAAATCCAATTCGATTCTTTCCGAAATCGAAAGAGGTAACAAATTTGCGTAAAAAGAGATTTCCGATGATATGGTTCTTTGAGGGTAAGATGAGAAGAATGCACTGGTCGTTTAACTTGCTGATCATGTCAGAGATGGGCACGCTAATGAATACCGACGCTTTGCTGTCAGGGTTTTGAGGATCGTATTCGGCAGGGAAATAGACACTAAAGCCATCAGTGGAAGTCAGGTAGGCACAGTCTACGATGTAGCGGCCGTCAGTGAGAGTAGCCTTTGGATCGACGTGTGTGGCCAGAACTTCAGCCTGGGTCTCAGGGAGGTATATGAAGTTGGAGCCGGTGTCAATGGTAAATGATTGAGTGCTGCTGAACGAAACCTTTACTTGGTTGGTGGAGTTTTGGAAAGTGAATCCCTGAACACCGACAGTCCAGCGAGTGTAAATAGAGCCAGTGACACCCTCTCCACTGTATGGTACCACATCAGTGTAGACCATCTTTCCGGATGTCTTTGAAAGATCGACGCCGCCAAATACTACTTCTCCTGTCCAGTTGGTATTGTCAGAGTCTCCAATATAGACCGAAAAGACAGGTTCAGGGATAAGTTTGTCGTACCACAGAGACATAGGGAAAGGATAAAAGGTCTTTCTGAAATCCTGGTACATGATGCTTCCGGCAGGATATCCAGCACCGAATAAACCGTCCATGATGAATCCGTCTGTTGCGTTTTGGGTTGCAATGGGACCTTCGTTCGAGTCAACATAGGCAACCAGCTGCTTGGATACAGTGAGGTCTCCAACGCTGACCTGGTCAACAAAGTACTGGCCGAGCGCACTTCCTCTTCCGTAAGTGATATTTAGTGGGAAGCTAGTGGGGTTATAGGTTGATGATTCGGCAGGGTTGTAACCATTTGATGTCTGGCAGCCCTGGGTTGCTGTACAGTTGTGAGATGGGATCCAGGTGTCTGAGCTGCCGGTGTCGAAGAGTAAAAGATATTTCTTTGGAGGGGATCCAACTTCGATGTCGATACCCAATTCACAAATATCAAGATCGTTCAGGAGAGGTGCGTTGTGAGATGTGAAGGTTGCCGTGGAGTTCACGAGCGAGTCGAGAGCGCTGTTGAGATCGCTTTGTCTTTTTGTGAAAGAGCGGCTACCTTGAGAACTGTTCCTGAGTCGACGGAGAGGATACCGTACGATTAAAGGTTGTGGTTGTATTGGCACACCACTGACACCAAGGGCGAGCCATGATGCAGCAAGACCAAGAGCAAAGGTAAGAGAACGCATAACCGGAAAAGTTGAAAAGTAAAGGAAAGGAAAGTGAAGGAAATGAAATACAAAAGAAAAGAAGAAGGAGGGGATGAAAGAGTGGGAAGGGGGAGTTAACCGATCAGAGTATCCTGTAGGTCGTAAATAGAACAGCGAGTGCTGCAATATCTGTGTGTGTGACTCTTTCTACTTTTATATTGGCTGGCTAGCAGTAATCAGTTTCATTAATGTATATTATATAAATAAATATAGATATTAAATATAGGTATATAATTAGATAGTCGCTGCCCTTTTATTAACAAGGCATTTGAAGGAGAAGTATAACACTAACAATAAACGTACAAATCAATGGTCAATTGAAGTATTTTTATTGCTGTTATGTTTTTCTTTCTTTCTTTATGTATATTCTTATAGAGTATAGGCTTGTGGAAGTTGAACGGAGGGCTTGGAGGGGGGAAGATTTTACAAAGGCCTTTAATTCTCAGATATTATATATATATATATAGTAGGTATATTCTATTAATAAGTTGATTTTTTGCAAATTGGTTTAGACAATACAAAATCACTTTCATACACACATCAAAGAAAGTAGGTTCATCTAAAGGGACCAATTAACTCAACAGTACATAAAGATTAGTACTAAAATATTCCACAATTCCATTTGCTCTATCCCAATTTACCTATTTTCCTTCTCCCCTTGGTCTTGGCAATACTACTTGCGTCTCATATATTCATTCATTCATTCATTTTTTAGCTATTTATTTTTATAGTATATAGCAGCAATTCACAAGCTAACAACATAGTATGATAATAAATCCTTTTTCTTTCTCTCAATTAATCTTGTAATAATAACAAACACGAGTCTTTAAACTATGAAAATCACAACACACATGCACAGAGTTCTAATTTTTTGTAGTAGTTTTTCTCTTTCTTCCTGTTGCTTTATGTACATATTAAAGTGAACGATCTACAGATCTGCGAAGAATCTTATTGCCATTGGCATCGGTCTGCTCCACTTGAATAGCAGGTGATTTTCCGGTGCTTGAGGTCACGGATCCAACATTCTCGGTATAATGCTTTAGTTTGTTATTGGTATAATCTTTTGCAAAGGTGAATCCTCCAAATGCACCTGATGTAATGTTAGTTAATAAGCTTGGTAATTTGAATGAGACTCACAAAGAGCAAGTGTTGTCCTTAATGTGTGTGTATATATAAAACAAAGTTAGAAAAAAAAACTTGACCATTAAACTGAAAACAACAACAGCTGTTTTTTTCAAAGTGATTACCATCCGAGTAAGACTGCCTTTGGGGTGTTCTTCATGCTGTTAAATGGATCTAGTAACCCTGGGAAGTTTAAAAATAAAAATAAAAATGAAAGAAGAAATGTATACTTGACCGACAGTCACTACAAGAAATATCCTTGATGATAAGATTCATTGGACTGCTGTGTAGAAAAAGACTCATATTTATACACTTTTTTTTGTTTTTTTTTGTTTTTGTTTTTATGAGTTAATATTTGAGGAAGGGGAAGGTTGGCGGGAAAATGCGACACAAATTATTGTAGATGGACAGATATAAATGCTGTGATAAAAACTACCTTTGCAATATCAAACAATAGGTCATTCAGGCAAGAAAATATTCTGGAGTCTCTTATTGGAGGTGGGTAACAAATCCAGCACCCACTATATATATATAGCTATTATTATTATTATTGTTGTTGTTGTAGTACTGTTGCTGTGAGGGTATTTTAATCTAGGAGGATCCAGGCATCTAATCCAATACAGGGATCCTTTGCACTTTCACCATGTACTAAAATGGCGATATCGATATCTTCTTGGTCTTTGACTATGACAAAGTTGCCATTGACATCTAGGTACTTGATCCCATAAATATTCTTCATGTCCAGCTTGGCTCTCAGTCGCTTAAGGAATCCTGTCCAGGTCTCTATTGCAAATAGAGCTACCATGCGCTGTTCAGTTGTACTGGTCATTGTATTTTCGTAATAGAGTCTTAGATAGTATTTGGTGTCATTTTTATAAGGTGGTGGAATATTTGCAGTCTAGAGAGTGTATATAAACAAACACGCATATATCCACATAGATACATATATACATACTCATACATATATCATTCTTTTATAATTCTACTTGAATCTATTCAATTTACCATGAGGCCATTGCTTTCTACAATACGGTCAGACATGGTAACAAAGGGAGAACGATAGAATCAAAAAAGAAAAGGAAAAGAAAGAGGAAACAAAAAAAAATAGATTCTATTTTATATGCGTACAAATAACCATAGTTACCTATTCACATGACATATCCTTTATATTAAAGAAAGAAAAAAAGGAATTAAACAGTACCGGGTGTATCGCTCAGTAAGTCAAGTAAATGCTGAGCACGGAATATATATAAATATATAAAGAAGCTTGTAACACAAATTACACTAACTTTTTGTCACATTCAGCCAGCCAGTCAGCCAGTCAGCCAGCCAGTCAGTCAGTCAGTCAGATCTTTCGTTTATTTCAATCATTTATTCTCTTATTGTATGACACCATAAATCAATCACCATGGTTATCAATATTTCTTATTTTATTAATTTTTTCAAAAATAAAAAGCAAAATTACAGAATAACTGATAAAACTTCATAATTACAGAATACGCTATAGAAAGAAAAATAGGCGATTTTAGTGAATTGTTGCGTTTTCCGGGGTTTAAGGTGTCTTGTAGTTGAATTTTAATTAAGCACCAATTTCTCTCTCTCTCTTGTATAGTCTACTTTTTTTTTGTAGTCAAAGCAAAACATCTTTTTCTTAGCCTTTTCAACCCATTGCAAAACTAAATACCAAGCTATTCAAATCTAATGGCTTACCAGCGGTAGCTTGGGTGGGTCCTAAGCGGTAACCAGGACAAAATCTTTTTATCTTCGTTGAATTCTAGTCAGACTTTGTCTCAAACGACGACCCTCCTAGAGATCTTCTTCTGCTTGTCTTCTGGCACTTACAATTTTAATGGTGCCGGTAAATCTATTAGGGTGGGGCTATATTAGCGAGAGTTTTCGACCTGCTTAAAGGTTCGAAGGGAAATCTGGGAGCACGAAAAATAGTGCTTGGAAGTACTAAATGTATCAAACAAACAAAGATCAAATTCATGCTTACAAAGTAGATATCTAAATACTACACCACTGGTTGTTTCATGACTATGTTTGTGAGATACAGACCAGTCTTTTACCATTAATGCAGAAGGTTAACCAAATTCAGAACTGATATTGCTTTCTAGACATTATTTAGCTTTGGATTGGTTAATATAGAAGGAAAGGCGAAACTTGCGAAATAAATCTTTGGTTGGTTTGAATTTTGGTATTTTCGTAAAATAAGCAGAGGATAGAGATAATTACAGTAATATAGGCATAGTCGTGACAATAAATAAGCTCACAATTTTATCTTGTCATTTCTGTTATATAGAAGGCAGTGCTATGCTCAAACAGTAACAAAGAGACATCAGTAAAAATATTTTGCGTAATATATATGTCAAGATCGAATAATGGATTGCGTGATAACTTGGTAAGAAATATGTATCTCATAAGTGCGAAGGTGTTGGTGACAATTGTGTGGACTTTAGCGACAAGGACTTGTAGAGGTCCAAGAAACTCAGGACTCCACCCCGTTGCCTTTATTGATGCCTTGACAGTAATGGCTCGGAATGGGGTAGCTTCGTTCATTGTCTTCTAATCCACAGTGGACTAGAGATATGAGGTTTGGGCAGTACTTTTGAAAGTGCCAATTTGTAGTGATATACTAAGATATCGGGTAAGTATATATGCTGCAGGTCAGTCAATAGATTACTTACAAGAGTAAAGAACAAAGGTATGTAGAGTTTAAAATTCTTGCCTGTCAATCGTGCCGTCTTTTATAGACTTTTATGTATGTGACTTTGACACATGAGAATATAGTATATAATTGACCGGATAAATATAATGATTGATTGATATAAAGGAGAGCTGCCTAAAGATATTAATCATTTCATTATTATCCTGCAAATATATCAAAATAAAATTTAGTTCCTTGTATCTGTATTGGCGTCTTATATTCGTTGTTCTGAATTTTATGTGCCTATCACTAAAAACTTACTGAGAATATGTGTGGGCGTGTATAATTTATCTTGAAGAATAGTGCGTAAGCATTGTATTGCTTGCAAACCTTCTCAAAGCCTTTTATCATAGGAATTGAATAATAATATTAATATGATTGATTTGAAGAACTTGTAACTTTGATACTTCTTGCAGTTAGGCTTAGGGTGATATTCAATTATCATTATCTTGGTTTTTAATCCAAAAAGCCATTTTACGTGAATATTGTATGCTAGACTGCTTACAAGCTGCAAAGTTGGATAAAGAGACAAACATGCCCTACACAATTATGTATATTTAATCTAAACTTAAAGAAGCCTTTGCCATCAGAAAGTAATGACTGTGATTAATTTTTAATGCATTGTTGCTTTTTTATTTCTTTTTTTTTCACAAGGTCTAAATTATTAAAGGTCTTTAAAAGAAACATACTTAATAGCTATCAAGGCTAGTACTGATAAAATATAAATCCGTGAAACTGACAAAAGAAAGCAATCTAAGAAGAATAGACAGAAAAACATCTACATCATGTACAGTTTGGTTGTCAAGATTGCTCGCATGCTCATTAGAGATTTTGGTAGATTGAGAGAATTGGAGGGAATCTGTCCTTTGGTTTTTCAAAAGTAGGAATCAGACATGACAATGTTAACACAAAGCAGGTTTATACTCTTTGATAAAAAGAATCAATTAAGCAATATACATACCTACATCAATATTATAGTATTTAGGGAATAGCCGTTTTCTTTAGATAAAAAACTTAAAAAGTATCATATAAAAGTATATATATGTATAATATTTAGTAAATTTATAGATTGAACTGCTACTAAATATCATAAAAATAGTACTTCTTCTTCGCATACTTCTTTATGTTTAACTTGCATTATTTGATCAATAAAAACTATAAAATTCCCAATATAAAACCGTGTATTTGTTGAACCAATTATAAGAATAGAGATACCTAAAAAAAATTGGTATAAATTTGCCATATTTAGGATATTTGATTGGATTAGACGCAAAAATAATCTGAAATTTCATTAATCGTATTTGACAAAAAACAAAACTAATAGGCCAAAACAGACATGCTATTGGCTATAAATATTACGAGTTCGAAGGTATAAATCCTGCCATTTCCAACAGCGATAGTTAAAAGACACACAGAAAAAACTCAACAATAAAAATACTATACATTTCACAAAAATTCAAAGCATACACAAAAGGGGTTTTATTTTTTAAAATGATTTTTATTATTTTAATTTTATGCAAATCTAAGCTGTAGTATTTATTCGAACAAGATTCAAACAAGTTTGAGCAGATCTGGTAATTGATCTATAATATCAGGACAAATAGGTTAGCACAAAATGCTTTGATTTGAAGTGTCAAGTATTAAAGAAAACAACAAATGTGTAGTAAAAACGAAAAATATTCAGATAAAAGGCAATATATGGTTGTCTTCAGTAAAAGTGCAGAACAGGTCTGTAATTTTTCTCATCAGATTGTTCGCTTTTTCAGAGAAAAGGGAATTTATAATTGTATTGATATAAAATACAACCAGAGTTGTATAGAATGGATAACTTGCCTGTTGAACTGTTTGCTTGTAAGGAAAAAAACTAAAACTGAAAAGAACTGGTAAAAGACCTCTTTTATAGGATTTCAAATTTGAAAGAAAAAAATTTATCTCTTTATACAAAAGTCACAAAACTATACGGTTATTCATTTTACCTTTATAAGAGGCTGAGTCATTTAACCTACAATGCAGTACAAAAAAAAAAGAGCAAAAACAAGTCACTTTTTGAGGATTTCACTGTACAAAAATTTCCTTTTTTTTTTTTTTTTTAAAAGTAACAAAAGAGAAATGGACTAATCTGACTGTCAAATTATCCCCCCCCCCCATCCTATACTCTCTCTCTTGCTCAATATATATATATATATATATATATATATATGCACATGTATATTAGGGTGTATATTGTCGTGTAGATAACTTAGCTTTTATTTTATTGGCTTCCGATAAAAAAAGACTTCTTTAAAAAAAAATGGGAAAAAAATAGATAGATAGATTTTATTGGTCAATTTAGACGTACACTGTAAAAAAAATCAAAAAATCAAAATGTATAAATATAAATAAATATAAATAAAAGTCTATCAAGGTCGAGAGGCCAATATTCTGTGGGCTTCTGCCAATTGTGCTTCAAGGGTAGTGATTCTATTTTGAAAGGCTACTTCTTTTGCCAAGAGATTGGCTTTTTCGGTGTCAAGGACAGCAACACGCAACATGAGAGTAGAGTTCTTTTGCTCTAGTTCGGCAACATGCTTTTCTAGACTTTCCATCTTCATCACTTTCTTTAGTCTCGAACGCCGAGCAGCATCAGTGTTCTTTTGTCGCTTGGCTGCCACATCATCCACAACACTGCCTTCGTCATCAACAGAGTCGGAAGACGTGGTCTGTTTCCTAGACCGAGGGTTAGCTGAGAAGGCAGGGGTTGAGGCACTGATGGTATGGGAGGGAACGATCGAAAGTGTGCTCGGTCGACTGGGTTCAGCTATTTCTTGCTGAGGGATGAACATGGCTGGCACTGATCGGGTTCTATTGTCAGGCCGCTGGTCAAACTCAACAACACCTTGGTAGGGTTGTGGGGAAACAAACTTTAGAGTGAAAAACTGGGATGGGGCAACTGTAGAGGTGGTTGTGGTTGTGGGCGTATGTGTGGGCGTGTGTGGATTCGTATGTGTATGTGGGTTTGTATGGGTGGTTGTGGTTGTGGTTGTGATCGTGGTGAGGTTGGAAGGTTCTGCTGGATATGATAGTAATGATGTTTGTTGAGGTGAAGATACACTCGAGATATCCATTTCATAATCATATTCTTTCTTTGGGGTCTGGTTTGTGCCATGATCAGTATTGTTGTTGTTGATGATGTCTTGTTGGACAGAAGGTGGGCCAAGATACATGTTTAGAGATCCTATTTCAGGGCTGGGTTTTGGACTGTGAAGGAAGCCAGACTGAGCTAGGTCTGTGGTGAGCCAGTCGTCAAGCATAGCATTAACATCTGGATTGATGATTTCTGCGTCTGGGTAGATATTATAGTTCTGGGTAAAAGAAGGATTATTCATGTTTCTTGTGTATAAAGGGTGTGTCGGCTGCTGATCAACAGGGTAAGGCGTGTTTCTAAAGTAAGAGGCGTCGGTTTTAAGAGAAGAGGTAGCACTGCAAAAACCGTCCAATTTCATCCCTGGCGAAATAGACAATTATCATGATCAGTAGCAGATGTGAATTTAACTCAGTGTCCAATTTTTTATTTATTTTATATATTTTATATTTTCTTTTTATATTTTCAACGGCGATGATTTTTTTTTTTTTTAAAAAAAAGAATGTTTTGCTGCAAAATACATAAATTACATACATTACATACAGTAAAATAGTATTTATTGTATTTTTCAATTTACGCATTAGAATTCTCATATTTCTAATTCTAATTCTAATTCTACTTCTTCTATTACTACAAGAAGACTATGCTTCTTTTAAAAAAGAAAGAAAATTTAGGAATCTCACCCTTCTTTGTTATTGTTGATGTTGTTGGAATTTTCCTTTATATTGTAATTCAAGTCACACTACCAGTTTAGAAATACTATTGCACATCATAAAAACGATCTCGCTATTGGAATCACTAGTTTGAAAGAATTCAAATGCAATTGAAAAAAAAAACTCCCCCACATACACATTTCAATGAGTAACATACTTGTTTAGGTTTCCAGAAAAAGAAAAAGAAATAAAACTTACATTGTACAGCTAGCTAGGTCCATCTTCATTGCACTTTAGAATATAGTGAAGTAAATAAGAATAAGAATAATGAGAAATAAGAGAGTACTAGGGATGAATAATAGGCAAGAGAATCTATTAAAGCAGAAACCTTTGTGCTTTACCTATATATAAAGAGTGAATACTAGATATACATACAAAAAAATAGGATTCTGGTCAAGAAAACACTATCATTACAACTTAAACAATTTGTAAGAGAAATTGTTGTCAAGCTGAAGTTAGATATGACAAGGGGGAGGGAAGGAATATTTGCAAGACGTTAAAAACAAACAAACAAATAAATAATAAAATTTGGATAGTGGTGAAATGTGAGGGCTGATAAATGAATTCAACTGCTGTTGATACACAAACCGAACGTATCTTGTGATTCCATTGGTAGAACACTGTAGCCGCAATACTGTAATAACCAGCACTAGGGCTAGCATCACAACCACCACCACCAGCAGGACCATGATACCTTATTATGGTTAATATTTCTATTCACAAAAGTACCCAGTTCTACATATTGAAATCCGTGATTGTACAACCATTTGTTTGTGTTTCCGTATTTTTCAATGCAAATACTTGTCAAAGGAAAATGCCAGTAGTTTGAAAAGGTACGTCTTCTCCTAGAAGCTAACAAGTCAAAAAGTTCTACAGTTCTTCAATAAAAATCTAGTCTTGTAGAATGTCTTTGTCCACAGTGGTCAAAAACAGCTCAATAATTAACAAATAATCGACCACTTTAATAAGTCTAAATACAATGTAATGCAATCAAACTATGAAAAAATAATAATTGCATATCTGACCACACCAACAGATACTCATACATACAGAAAACAATAACAATTCTTATAGTTTTTCTACAGTCATCTTCACAAGACCTTTTTACTTCCTCTTGGTTTAGAGATCTCTTGACTCTACCTGCCTACTAAATCCAATAAAATCTTACTCGAGCTAAACTTTGCCTAATCCATAAACCTGATTTTGATATTGATCATTATTTACCATTAGTACTTGGATTTACTCAACATGAGCTACACTTAATACAATTCTTCGCGTAGGCTTCAGAATGCTACCAAGATATGATCGCTGTATTCTATTGTTCTAAATAACATTTTCTTAATTTACTTGAACATCATCTTCCTACTTGCTGGTCATATATATATATAACTGATAATTTATTTAGCCATGATACCAATACTCACACAGATACCCTTCTAGATTTTAAATAAGAATAATGATAATAATAATAAATCTTAAAAGATCTTATTCATCAAATCTATAGCGTTTACTGCTTTTATCAAAGCTTCTTTTTTTCTCCTTTAAAATAAATAAAAAAAAAGACTGTGTTGATTACAAAGGGGTTCATGAACTGGTGCGGTAACCGCTTATTTAACCTTATTTGCTTCTTCACGATTCGTTTCATTGTTCTCTATGCTATATGTATGGACAAAGAAAGACAGAAAGAAAGAACAGGAGAAAAAGGTGTCGAAGTGTATGCGTGTGTTCGTGCGTGCTTGTGTGCTTGTGCGTGCTTGTGTGCTTATTTTTAGTTTTCTTTGGCGTGATAACGTATGCCTATTTCTTCCGATCGACCAATCATATCCGGCAATTATTTTTATTTTTACATTATTTTCCTTGAACTGGTCTTTGATGGAATTAGCCAACAACAGGAGCCAATCCCCATGCACGTGACACAGGTCAATGGTAACCTGCTGAATCCAATCGACTACTCTATTATCTAGTTCTCTTTTCTTAGTTTCACAGGTGTATTTTGCATCATCCAGAGATCGCGCCATCAATTAAGCTTTTGAGAGGATTACTCTACAAATCCATCAATGTCCTCACATTCAGTATTCAATGGCAGCTCAGTCTCTTCAGGATCGCCGTTGAACTCACCACTTGCATCACCACTTAGCTCTCCTTACAACTCACCGGGAGACTTACCATGGGATCAACTGCAGAATCAATTCTCACAACAAATGTCGCTTCAGCCACCTTCTACGCAACCGAGCAAGACTGGAAGCGGAAATACCTTTGTACATAAGTTGTTCAAGTAATCGGATCATCTGGACTTCATGAGCTGTGCTGTGCTGACCTGGTCAACATGCCTTTGTAGTATGGTGATTGACAAACAGTACCAGCATTTAATTGCATGGACGTACTCCGGAACATCGTTCATTGTGTGCAATATTACCGAGTTTTCGAGAGACGTCCTACCCAAGCACTTCAAGCACAACAATTTTAGTAGCTTTGTTCGTCAATTGAATATGCAAGTACTGTAGACTTTGCTGTCAATGGCTTATAAGTGCTTACATAAATTCATGTTTCTTGCTCCTTTTATATATACATATACATATATGTACCTATGTATATGTATATGTATATGTATATGTATATGTATATGTATATGTATATGTATATGTATATATATATATATGTGTGTGTGTGTGTGTGTGTGTGTGTCTGTATTATCTATGTGTTTCGGTACAGGTATGGGTTTCACAAGGTCAACAAATCTCCAAGAGGGCATCGAACACTAGCAGAGAATCAGATCTGGGAGTTCTCTCATCCGAAATTCATGAGAGGTCGCCCAGATCTGCTTGATGAAATTAAGCGTAAAGCATTGGAGGCTGAAGTAGTCCGCCGTGACAATAACGGCGATTTGAATTCACACATGTCTGTCCTGCAGGTGACTCAATCAGACATGATGCAGCAGCTGGTTCATCTGCAGGAAAATATTGCAGAGGTTGTAGGCGAGCTTGCTGAGACAAGGAAACGCCAGGAAGTACAACAGCAGATGATGAACAAGCTAATGGACTATGTATCCAAACAATATGGTTCTTCAAGTAAGCTTTTTTTCAAAAAAAAATTAATAGTTTAGAGCACATGTGCACAGTCCTCGATCGAGCATTGATCACTTTAAGCAGTGCAAGCACCACCCGAACTCTCCTTTGAACAGTATGCCATCAAGCCAGAACCAGAACGACCGCCTCCCATTTATATTACTTCTCCGGATGCCAATGGAAATGGCACACAGATGCAAAACATGTACCTCCTTAACAATCACTCTCCGAACCAACATCAGTATCAGCAACAATCTCAACAATCTCAAAATCATCAGCAACAACAACAACAACAACAACAACAACAACAACATAACCATGACCAACAACAACAACATAACCATGACCAACATCAACATCAACACCAGCACCAGCACCAGTACCAATCTCTCCACCAACAATCTCAATATCAGAATTCATCATCTCTGCCTACTCGTCCTGTTGCTCCGTTAACCGTCCAAACACAGAACTTACAGCAGCAGCAGCAGCAACAGCAGCAGCAACCACCACGTCTTAATATTTCCATACCAACCCTTGATACAACCCAACCTGTTTCGCCATCTTTGAGTGTATATCATTCTGCACTCAATACTCCCCTTTCACCTAGTGGGAGCCATAACCCTTTTGCACCTGATGAAGATGTTACAAGTGTATACGGATCACAGAGTCCACACACGCCTCACACTGTACTTACAACCGAGAACGCTTTTCAAAACAATGTTGGGTATCAACAATCACAACAGATACCCATTATTCCAACAGATATGCAACTTGGTTTCAATTTTGGTTTCAATGGACATGGTCAAACTTAGCCTTTAAAACACACTTACTTTCTTTTTCTTTTTTAGCCATTCATTATACTTGACTTACTCAGCCAAATTTAACCAAACTTACCCTCCTCAACATAAGATGTTTCCACTAGTGTTGTCTTGCCATTCCATGTCATGTTATTTTCATACTGTACCACAAACTCTTTATAAAATACACACATTTCTCTCTTTTTTCTTCTCTTTTCTCTACCTCTTGCTGTATTTAAATACAATAGATAGATCTTGGATTTTTTTTAAGAAACAAAACAAAATTGTTCTTACGGCGTATTAAAGCTGATTTGGCACACACACACACACACACACTCACTCTCTCTCTCTCTCTCTCTATCTTTCTCACATATATATATATATATATATATATGTATATATGAAAGCCAGAAAGAAACACTTGAAACCCATGGGGTTTTCTGCTGTTACTGTTGTTGTTTAACTGACAATGATGTATAAGGTTTGCCATGACTACATCAACGGATTGTGTGTTCATAGCGGCATTTTTGCCTATCTCCATGTATTTATTTCCTAAATTAGAATTAAAGGATAAGAAAAAATAAATCAAAAAATCAAAAAAAAGTAAATAGGATGTGATATACTATGATATTATCTATAAAGGAAAAAGAAAAAGACAGGACATCATTTTGTTTTATGTTTTTTTTATCGCAAGCTTGACAATTGAACACAAGGCCAGGGTATAGGAAAATTCTATAATATAATTATCATTTTGACCTTGAATTGTTTATCACACATAGACGGTTTCTAATACAATTCGTAAAAGTCTTGGTTTCTTTATCGATACTCAAGATCTTGTTTGATCTAATTAGACATTCACTTATTTTTACTTACTATTGAGAAAATATGTTTATCCTGAATATATACTCACCTAAATACAATCATTAGCTTCTTACAAAAGAGTACCCGAAAACGTACTTGGAATTATTATATATGTCTAAAACCCAATCAATGTCAGTAATCTTGATGAAATGCCTTTAATTTATATATAGAATATTTGCCTAAAATTTGTACACACCTCGAACAATTCAATATCATTATTATTGCTATTATTTGATAAGAAATAATAATAATAGTAATAGTATTAGTAGTTGATTTGGGTTACTCATATTGCCACATACGCAGGAAGAGATAAAATTAGGTTTCAATTAAAACGAAAGTAGAAAAGATATATATATATATATATTCACATCAAAAAAAAAAGTAAAGTCCATTGAATGGATATTAATACCATACTAATATTATGTTTCCAAGAAATAAATTCTTTTAATTATGTAGATTTAGTGGCGCCATTGAATAACCTGAAGTCTTGGATTGAAGGCGGACTTTCAGAAAGGGTGAGTTGTTCATCCTAAAGAGCACACACATCGTTGTATTGAAAACCCTCACAGGGCCCTGCTTGATTGTCTCCCCTATATATATTGAGTATAAAAATAAAAAGAGGGGTGGAGAGAAAGAGAGAAAGAAGGTTTCAGACAAATATTGAGATTTTGCAGAGGCAGACTAGATTTGTATATTTCAGATAAAAAAGAACAAAAAAAAATACAGAAAAAAAAACAGATATGATAAGCTTATCAAATTAAAACCAGGTATCATACTTGCTATATGTATATAGATATATAGACATAAAGGATGTCATTGGCAAATGATGTTTTCGACGTTAATTTTTTTGCTTGTTATTGTTATTCTTAAAAGCAGACCTTTATAAATGCTGTTTTAATGAGAGCAACATTATTATTTTTTATTTACCGTGTTGTCAGGACATATTATATGAATTAATTGTTCGTGTATTTGGGTCAGCTATTATTACTATTAGTATCATCATTTTCAAACGAGTATATGATCTCTGGGACACACACACGCATATGTATAGGTATTTATTGTAGTCTGTTCTAAAATTAACAAAATCAGAGACAAGTTAAAGTGTACTCCTTGATATCCAGACATTTATAATATTTATATATATTCACTCTTTTGAATTATAGGTCAATATCAATTTTACTATATATTAGATACTTTACTATTTGGTTGTTGTTGTGTAAGGATGAAATGCAAAGAATACTGTGTGTGTGTACTATATTATTTTTCTTAGTCACAATATATAATAGCGTCAAAGTAACGTTTTGATCGAAAGGATTTATCCTGAGAGTGGTATAGAAGAATTTTTTGTATTTGTTTGGTGTTAGAGAGAATGCAAAGAGCGACAATGGCTATAAAGATAATAGCTTGTACTCTTGGTGTGGACAGACTAAAAGTTCAAAAAAAGGGCAAAAAAAGAGTAAAACAACTTCATCCAGAACTTAGTCAATCAGACTAATTTATGACTGTCCACACCTTTTTTTTTTAAAAAAAAAAAAAGTTCAAAATTAGTTCAAAATACATAATAGAGAACCCGTTGTCGAGTGAAAATTTAGGATTTTCACTCACTTTTATTGTACACGGCGATTGAAATTCCAACGAAAAGATGTAAGTTTTACTGAGGGAGGCCATTTCATCACCAAGTCTTTATTAAAAACTGAGCCTGTTTTTTCACCTTCAAACATAAACATATTATAGTCAAGAGTCGTCTCTATATATATACTTAAGAAAACAAGTCTTGAAAAGCCAAGCTTATTAAGATGTATCTCTCTTATGTTTGTCACAGTACTTAGGTTTTCATTATGTGGTTGAGTTTTTTCTTTTTTTTGACTGGGTTTCACTAATAGTTCTTTTTAGCAGTCTTTGAAAATATCACATCCCAACGGGTTCTCTAATGATAATTGAATATCACCCTAAGCCTAACTGCAAGAAGTATCAAAGTTACAAGTTCTTCAAATCAATCATATTAATATTATTATTCAATTCCTATGATAAAAGGCTTTGAGAAGGTTTGCAAGCAATACAATGCTTACGCACTATTCTTCAAGATAAATTATACACGCCCACACATATTCTCAGTAAGTTTTTAGTGATAGGCACATAAAATTCAGAACAACGAATATAAGACGCCAATACAGATACAAGGAACTAAATTTTATTTTGATATATTTGCAGGATAATAATGAAATGATTAATATCTTTAGGCAGCTCTCCTTTATATCAATCAATCATTATATTTATCCGGTCAATTATATACTATATTCTCATGTGTCAAAGTCACATACATAAAAGTCTATAAAAGACGGCACGATTGACAGGCAAGAATTTTAAACTCTACATACCTTTGTTCTTTACTCTTGTAAGTAATCTATTGACTGACCTGCAGCATATATACTTACCCGATATCTTAGTATATCACTACAAATTGGCACTTTCAAAAGTACTGCCCAAACCTCATATCTCTAGTCCACTGTGGATTAGAAGACAATGAACGAAGCTACCCCATTCCGAGCCATTACTGTCAAGGCATCAATAAAGGCAACGGGGTGGAGTCCTGAGTTTCTTGGACCTCTACAAGTCCTTGTCGCTAAAGTCCACACAATTGTCACCAACACCTTCGCACTTATGAGATACACATTTCTTACCAAGTTATCACGCAATCCATTATTCGATCTTGACATATATATTACGCAAGATATTTTTACTGATGTCTCTTTGTTACTGTTTGAGCATAGCACTGCCTTCTATATAACAGAAATGACAAGATAAAATTGTGAGCTTATTTATTGTCACAACTATGCCTATATTACTGTAATTATCTCTATCCTCTGCTTATTTTACGAAAATACCAAAATTCAAACCAACCAAAGATTTATTTCGCAAGTTTCGCCTTTCCTTCTATATTAACCAATCCAAAGCTAAATAATGTCTAGAAAGCAATATCAGTTCTGAATTTGGTTAACCTTCTGCATTAATGGTAAAAGACTGGTCTGTATCTCACAAACATAGTCATAAAACAACCAGTGGTGTAGTATTTAGATATCTACTTTGTAAGCATGAATTTGATCTTTGTTTGTTTGATACATTTAGTACTTCCAAGCACTATTTTTCGTGCTCCCGGATTTCCCTTCGAACCTTTAAGCAAGTCGAAAACTCTCGCTAATATAGCCCCACCCTAATAGATTTACCGGCACCATTAAGATTGTAAGTGCCAGAAGACAAGCAGAAGAAGATCTCTAGGAGGGTCGTCGTTTGAGACAAAGTCTGACTAGAATTCAACGAAGATAAAAAGATTTTGTCCTGGTTACCGCTTAGGACCCACCCAAGCTACCGCTGGTAAGCCATTAGATTTGAATAACTTGGTATTTAGTTTTGCAATGGGTTGAAAAGGCTAAGAAAAAGATGTTTTGCTTTGACTACAAAAAAAAAGTAGACTATACAAGAGAGAGAGAGAAATTGGTGCTTAATTAAAATTCAACTACAAGACACCTTAAACCCCGGAAAACGCAACAATTCACTAAAATCGCCTATTTTTCTTTCTATAGGGTATGATACACCACACACAAATTATTTCTCACATTTACTCTTAATTACTCTATATATATAAGAATAGGATAAAACTAAGCAATTGGAACATGTTTATAAGCTTTTGTAAATAAATAAATACATAAATACATAAAAATGGATTTTCTGGATACAAAGACAGATGTCCAATTTTGTTATTCCGCAGAAACGGAGATGTCTATGAAGAAAGCTTTCTAACATGAGTCATTTTATGGATTTACGGAACACTTGCCTGCGAGGAGCTTCAAAGCGCGTGCATGTGTGCGTGCGTTGTACCTGGGTAGGCAGCCAAATAAATAACTTTGGCCCCACACAACTATCCACAGTTGGTTAAACACCAAGATTGATAAGAGTATACCCAACCTTTTCTCTCTCTCTCTTTTTTTATATATAAATTGTATAATCAAACAAAAGCGGAAATTGTACTTTGTAGAATTCCTTGGTTACAAAATAAGCGGTTTCATGTACACAAATATCTTAAATTACAGTCAAAAAACTGTACAATTGCATGAGTAACATATACTTCCTTTCAATAATGTACGCCAAATAGAATTCCTTTTTTTTGTTGTTTAAAAGATAAGATAAAATAAATGCCAAGACAAGAAAGAGAGAAAACCCTATATGTGCCTGTGCCTGTGTTTATATATATGATATATGAGTGTGTGAGTGTGTGTGTAGAGTCTTTCAATAGGCGCCCTGTGTGTAGCGGTCCTGTCCGATTTTATTATTTTTATTATTATTATTATTATTATTTTTTTAAATTTTTCTGGTCCAAATTCATTTTCTCTCTATTATTTTTTTTATTGACCTAATTTTCTTTCTAAATCCTCCATGATCGCTGTATTCCTGTCACCATGGCGACCAATTCAGGCACGAACCATTTGTATTCAGCAATTGTGCCAATTCTCTTCCACCCCTGTAGTCGCAACCAAACGAGCTCAAATGAAGCGCCCCAACATCTCAACTCTCACCAAACATCTTAAGCCCGACGGCATGACAGGAAAGGAACGTCGTGACATGCTCAAAAACAATATCAAGTCACATAGACCCAAGAGTGCCAATGCACCCTATGTACCAGTCAAAAGACGTCTCGAGACAATCAGATCCAATATCGATTCGAAATCAAAACCAAAAGAAATCGTCAAACCAGCACAAAAAGAAAATGTCCAGGAACTGACTGAGTTCTTGGCCAAACAGACATTTGATGATCTCGGATTGTCACCCGAAGTACTTTCGGCCGTAAGATTAGGTCACCTCAAAGACATTGAAGATCCTTTACCGACCGAGATCCAGGCCTTATCGATTCCAAAGCTGCTTCATTCGAATCGGCATGTGCTGTGTGCAGCCGAGACAGGATCCGGCAAGACGCTTGCGTATCTCTTACCTACCTTACACATGCTCAAATCGGACGAAGTCAACAAAGTAAAGCGACGTCTGGACCACCCCAGAGCCATTGTACTTGTTCCGACACGCGAGCTGGTCTCCCAGGTCGTCAAGACAGCCAAATCGCTTAGTCACCACGCCAAGCACCGTGCGCTTGGCCTGACTTCGCGCACACCCCGTCAGAAGCTTCTGGAGAGTCTTGCTGACGGACCTGTAGATATTCTGGTGACCATTCCCACCGCACTCAACACATTTGTCAAGAACGAGACGCTGTCGTTGGCCGATACACGGTACCTGATTATTGACGAGGCTGATTCGTTATTTGATTCCGGATGGGGTGAGGACTGCCAGTCGATCATCAAGCAGCTCCAGACGATTAATGCCCAAAAAAAGGTGCAAGAAAAGATTATTATTGTGTCTGCGACGCTTCCAAAATCCGTGCATGGTGTTCTGGACACCCTTTTCCCAAAGCTAGTCAAGATCACTACGCCTTCTCTGCATCGTGCGCTGCCGAACCTCAAACAGTCCTTTGTTGATCTTGCCCGATTTAACGGTAACCGACAGATGGCGCTGCTAGAGGTCCTGAAGAAGAACATCAAGGACGGAAAGACTCTTGTGTTCTGTAATACTAAAAAGGCCGTTGATATTCTCCACAATTGGCTAAAGACCAAGAACATCAATGCGCTGGCCCTGTACAAGGATGCAGAGATGAGCCGTGATGAGACCTTGCGTCTGTTTAGTACTCCAGCTGATACGATTCCAATTGAAGATGTGCGGGAACACAAGAACGAGGATGATGGGAAGGCTTTAGAGACTACAAAAAAGGAGGACATGACACTGAATACCAATGTGCTGTTGAGTACTGATATTGCTTCGCGTGGAATCGATACTACATTTGTGGACCATGTTGTGCTCTATGATTTCCCTACATCTGTTGTGGATTATTTGCATCGTGTGGGTAGAACAGCCAGAGCAGGAAAGACAGGAAAGGCCACTTCATTGATCGGACGCAAGGATAGAATGATGTCTGATCGTATTCGCCGCTCTATTCGTGAAGGATCGGTGATGACCTAAAAGAAAGGGAAAAAAAATAAGAGAGAGAGAGGGTTGACAATGCGTTTTTGTTGTGTGACATTAAAAAGGCAAGAGCGCCTATTCAAACAAGACATGTGTCGATCTTTATATATATATATATATATTTCTGTTTTCTAGTCCATCTTTATTAGAATCATTGAAAGTTGTGTTTTATATGTATATATCTTGAGTGTGCACAAAATAAAGGGGAAAAATTAATAGGAAAAGAGAAGGTTTACATATACAAGCAAAGGAAAATACATAGGCATAAAAAATTATACATAGAAGGTAAGCCGACAAGAACCATACGGATAAGGGAAAGCAAAGTAAAAGCAAAGAAAGATAGAAAAAGTCATATACAGCACATACAAAGAATAGTTCGGGTTAAGTAAAATAGAGAAAATAAAATAGAGAAAAAGATGATTATGAGCATAGGGATTCTGTCTGGTCTTCGGTCTCTACAAGACTCGGGAAGGAGACATAGTCTTCCTTGAAGGACCAGGTTTCTTTGTTATCTCGCCAATCGGTGGAAGATGCGATGGAATGGACAGAAGAGGAAGAGGAGTGGGGGACAGAATCAGGACCTTCTTTGTGCTTTGGTTGCTGTCTGCATCCTCTGGTGAAATCAACCAGACATTGCAACATCCTGATAGAGCCAGAATTTATGGGGTTTCTTTATGAATTATATGTATATATATATTTGGTGTTCAAAAATGGGAAGATCGGTAAGAACGGAAGGGGGGTAAAGATGAGAAAGAAGAAGATTTGATATATATATTTGATGAATTATGAGAAAGAGATGTAAACATTTACAAGGCCTTCTTTTATTCTTTTTTTTTTTGGATTGACAGGTCGATTTTTATATATAGAATGCTCTATTATAATATTATATTTATAAATTTTCGGCAATGTCTTTAATTCTTCCTTTGATCTATATATTGTTCTTGACGGGACACCAAAGACAGCGTACGAATAAAGAGATGACAACGTGCTTGGGTACATTTTACTTTAATGTACCAAAAAAAGAAGGGACTTGTCTTCAAAAACCCGTGAACACATGATCGAGACCTCTTGAAGGTCTATGAGGGCGATCCTTGGCAAGTCCAGTCAGTCAGTTAAAAAAGCACATACACAATATATAAATAACCAAGTTGTTTTTGGTCGGCGCACATCGATACATGGGGGGCTAAAAAAAGATTGGGACATTGGCAATCCGATCTAAAAGTTTAAAAGAAAAAGCAAAAGCAAAAGCAAAAGCAAAAGCAAAAGCAAAAGCAAAGCAAAGCAAAGTAAAGGGTGTATTTCTTAATAAAGTTATATATAGAATTTATGTCTAGAATGATTCGCCTATTTATTTTTAAAATCAAATCAAATTGAATTGAATTGAATGTTTTTAATATATGAATCATAAAAACCCATTCAAAGTCAAAACAGTAAAATAACAACAATTGAATGCTCACAGTAAGAGTGTGTACAAAGGCCGATTAGTATAGTCAAGTGATTGTGTTTAACAAAGGGCTGACAATGAGAAATTCCATATAATGATAGTAAAACAAAATAAACTGGTTGCTCGTGTCATAATCCTAGGACAAGGATTATAAGTTTTATTAATATTTTATTTATTTTTGAAAGAGCAATAAAAAAAAAATACAAGTCATTTCAAAGAGTTCTATAGTCTTTTCTCTCTCTCTCTCTCTCTTTCACTGTGTGTGTGTCTGTGTGTGTGTGTGCGTTTTAATCTGATAACTTTAGCTTTATAGAGCTATAATTAATGTAATACATCTTTATATATATATTAAATAACCAACAGAACAAAGAGGAGTCCTTTAAGCTAAAAATGATATTCTTATTCTTATTTTTATTTTTACTTTAAAAACAATAATAATTTATAAATAACATGGTAGCACCAATTTAAATATAGCACGCAGACACACACACACATTCACTGACTTGAATATTTACTGATATCTTGTAGCAAAATATATATAATTATATATAATTTGTATCTATGTATGTATGATACATAATTGTGATTTATCCGTAACATATATCACAAGTTAAATCAATACAATGTTTGTTTCTGCTTAATAAACATAGTACAGAAAATTCAGGTTATTAAATTAGATAAATATTATATAGATAGATTATGTTCTTCTTTATAGAAAAACTATTAATGTCTTTTAGAAAGAATAAAGGGAAAAGGGGGACAGGAAGCAATTTCTCAAAAACTGGTTAGGGTGTGTAGGGAAAGAGACCGGGGAGATGGAGGAGGGGAGGAGGATATCGTTTGGGACAAGTCTAAGCCGGACTTCGGACACAAAATCATGTAGAATTGTACTGTCCAATGTATATCCATATCTTGTTCTCTCCTAGTCCTTCCCCCTCCAAAGAAACAAACTAATTGTTTAATGAAACTGTGTCCAAACTGTCATCTCAGTACATATCATTCCTTCACCCTAGTCTACAGACTTACAAAACTATAATTTTTTTTCTTACTCAGACACACTTCTTTATTTTACTTTTCTTTAAGGATCTTTCTATTCTACCAGTAAACCCCGCATCTAAACAAGAGTTAACAAATAAGCAACAGAAATATAGCTTACAGATATTCACCTTTAATAATAATACATCTTCTTTTGTAGTTGATATTCATCTTGCTCAAGACAACCAGCTATTGGGATATTTGTGAATATATCTAGCCAATTATCCACACAAGCAATCTTTTTATTACTATTATTAATCGTGAATCCTGAACATACAAATTTGCAGAATCTTAACCTAAAATAAAACGAAACAATTCACTTGAGAGGTAAGGGAACAGAGAATACCAAGTCCATAGTATACTAAGCATATTTTACTGAAACAGCAAAAAATAAAACCATATAAGCTTCTATCATCTTATCTTCTTTCTTTTTTGCTGGTATTTACCACTGTCTCATTCTGTCTGTCATATCTGGACCTTTGGATCTCGCTCAGTTTTTTTTTAAAGAAAGCATCTCTGCTTTACGGGTGCGCTTTGAGTCGCTAGATATCACTTTTTTCCTCCAAGATTTAAACGATATTCTTGTCCATACAAAATATGGTTGGACTCCTTCCAAAACACGGTGGACACCCAGCTTGCTACTCTTCCCCTTGTCATCGAAGAATCCTAACTCGGAATCTCATTGCGTTCACACTTATCAAACGCAGGTTTGGCGACTCTGGATTGAGTAATAAATATGTTTTTTTTTGCACAAATCGAGCTTATCGATGTGGTCCGAATTTGTTCCTTGTATGATCAGCTTCTTGGTGCATCAACACTATGGAAGGTTATGGTGTGAGCACCATCAAGAGCTCCTTGTACAATGGTTCTTAAGCTCCATCTGGACACCACCTCTGTTTGTTGCCATGCCGATATCCGTACTGTCTTATCCAAACTTACCCTTCGCGCCACTCCTTTGCGATAGACCACGCCTTCCATAGACATCGATTCCACTCTCTATCACGTTATCTCCAGCTCATGTCCGTAAGAATTGACTCTCCCTCCATCCCCTTCTTCTGGCTCACTGTCATTTGAAATCGTTGGGACCTAAGTGTAATATTTATGTATCGGAAAAGTTGGTGCGATGACTACTTTGAGACTATTTTGTTATATTTGAAGAAGTTTCAAATCAAATAAAGTTATTAAAAGTTATTTTTATCTATTCATATTGAATATTAGTAATCATAACAATTCTGGTAATAATAGCTCAAGTACTTCTTGAAGATGATTCCAAATGATGGTAGATCCAGACATATTGCTATTTTGTTTCGGATAAGAGGTTCATATTGGATAATCATCTATATTTTACCTTTTTGACAGATCCTACTGCCTGGTTTTCGTATATGCCTACTGTACATTAAAGTATCTCAAATACAAGCACCAAGGCACTACAAAATGATCGTCGGATTATCAAGATCATAGCTATGTTAAGCCCAACTCTACCTTGGATCTCTACCCCCCTCACATCCAAGCTTTTTTTGTACCATTCGCGATCATCCCCGTGATTCCCGAGCTCGCCCTCCAAAGGTTTTTTTTTTCTGTCAAGACCCCACCAACCTTTAGTTCCAGTGCAAGTTTCCACCATTTCCTCCCTGTCGGACAATATCCTGAAGGTCTACACTCGAGAATTGGTGTCAGTCCGGTTCATTTCCTCTACTTCTTGATTTGTAACGTGAGATGTCGTTAGACGACATTGTTACCCTTGGAAATTGGTCAAGTCGGGAAGTTCTTCCAGCACCATTACAACCGCAACCAGAACTTCGTCGGGTGACTTCGCGAATGTTGTTTTGCGCCGTCCAGCTTCTGCCCTTGTCTTCTTTGTTTTGTAAACAAAAATAATATAGATATATATACAAGGGCTTGATGGGCGAAATCTGGAAAAATTCCGCAACATCCATTTTAACTTTGCCAGAAAATGTAACCAATCGCACCTTTTCTGTTTGTTTGTTTGAACCAACACATGAGCGAACTTTTTAGACAGACAGAGAGTATGTACCCATCTTTTTTTGCAATCGGTTGGGAGGATCAAATTTGGTCTTATGGGATTCAAATGATACAAAAATCAAGCCTATTTTCATTCTTTGAGACAACAACTGACCAGAAAGAGATCTGGAGGCATGGAGACGGGTTGGATTACAGAAGAGAACAGATCCGATGTTGTTGTAATAAAAAGCATCATATGAAAATACGACCTTCAATATGCTTACAGACTTAATACCAAACCTTTTGTTGTTATTGTTATCCTTAAAAAAGAATGGGCTCAATACAGCAGAGATGATTTTGTGTCTCTATTGATGTATCAGTCGATCAAAATCAGGATATAATCTTGAATTGGCAAGCATGTGTCTTTCACAAAGTATTCATATCTATACTACTATTGTTACTAATCCAAATACTAATACTGATACCAACGCTAATAATAAACTATAGTCTTTTTCTTTTAACCAAAATATATCAAAAAAAATATACACCTCATTAAGCGGTACAAAAGGTATATGTAATATGGAATTGGTAATTCAGTAAATAGATGTCTGTTAGACTTTTTGGAGATTGTTATATTTTGATCTTGAACTGATTTTTTTTTTTGGTTCATGCTCAATGAACTTGAAGCTCAAATTTACAGATGCAAAGTTATATAAATCGTCTTATACTGTATAATTCCCCCCCTTTGCTCTTTGCCTTCCGCTCCCCTCCCCATCCTTCCCCTCCTTATTTCCTAATATTGATATGTTTTCGCTATTTAAAACCAAAATTAACTCCCGCTTGTATGTCTTTTTTGTGACACTATTCTTCCATTAATAGAAGTTGATCGGCAACGTTGTAAAGTCCGTCTATAGAAGTGGAGAAAGTTTTTAAAGAAATTAGTTTGGCTGCGTTTAAATAGATGAGTTTATTTACACACGCACACAATAATTATAGAAGCACTATTTATAGAGTCACCGATCCCTTACACTCTATATGTGTATAATGTGAAAGCCATGTAAAATAAAGCAAGGTTTGTACCAAGTCGAAATACATATAAAATATATATAACTAACTACCTACAGAGTATTGTAAGGTACCTGTTCAATTTTTTTTGTTACTTTAACTTGAGATAATTCGATTTTATTTTAATATTGATTTTTGAACAAAAAAAATGATAGTTTTTATATATGTATATATATGTGTGTGTGTGCTTTTTCTTTTCAGTAAAATCAAATGTAAATATGAATCACTTCAATAGGGACTAGTGACTGTTGTTGTGCGATTTGCTTTTCCTGTTCAGGTTTGTCACGCCACAGCTTTCGTGACTTTCTGCGATCACTGGACTTTGGTGATCCTGATTTACCTGTAGATAAACCGCCATCACCATCATCAGAGTATTCGCTTTCGATGATTTCTGCAACATCAGCTGAGGAGACAATGACTGCTGATTCAACTAGGACTGATGAATCAAGCGCTTCTTCGTCATCGCTGTCATCCAAAGGTTGAATAAAAGATTCCTGGAGAAGAGAAGGAAACCAACGTGCCTCAATGTCATCTTCATCAGTGTCGCTAAAATTCAGATCGTCTTCGTTTTCAAAGGCAGCCATGTCTGACCAGTCTGTGTCTGCATCGCTAATCTCGTATGCGCTGTTGGTAGATTTGAGAAGTGAACTCGGTGAGATTTCTGGTTCACCTTGGATTTCTTGGACCAGAACAGACGTCACACTTGTTCCTTCTCCGTCCTGGATTTGCTCGCAGCTGTAAAGGTAGCTCATTTGGATAGTCTGTGTTTGCAGGTTTTTACAAAAAAAAGTTATCAGATAGAAAAGAAAGAAAGGCAGAGATGAAAGGTTAAGGGGGTGTTTGTTGGAATTAAATAAAAAAGAAGAAGAAGAAGTAAGAATCTAAAATAAATAAATAAATAAATAAATAAATAAACCAAAAACAAAAACAAAAAATTAAAATTAAAATTAAAATTAAAATAGGAATTCAATGTTTAAAAAGACTATTGTTGTAGATTGTAGTCTTTGACTTGACGTCATGTCATGTCTTTCTCTCCGCTGTAAGTGATAAAGCATGAAAATATCAATAGTAATAGTAATAGTGATAGTGATAGTGATATTTGTAGGTATTTGTATGTTATTTACATGTGTATATGTTGTGTATTTATTTATTTATTTATTTGGGAAAAAAAACAATTTATCCTTCTTGACTTTATCCATACGCTCAAATCATGCATAGTCATGCACTTTGCCTTGTCATTCGGCAACCCAATTGATTTGGCGCTGTACAAGGCCCAGGCATGGAATACATATAACAAAGGATAACATTGTTTAGTATTATTATATTTCAAAATAATAACGATAATTATGATGAAATATATAGATAGATATAATCATTATCTTGTGTTGCATTGAATTATTACAATCAAATTACGGATAATCAAGTACATAGTATATAAAGAAGAAGAAAAAGGAACTTACAAGTAATATACAAAGCCAGGCGGACGAATATCCGAGACAGATAATGCCTCGCTAGAAAACAACAAATGATGTTTACCAGTGTAATTGGCCCATTGTTTAGATATCTGAATCAAATAACCTCGGGCAGTACCATCTACAGCACAATAAAATTAAGAGTAAATATAAATTCTTTAGATATTTCTCCATTAATTGGATTCAATTCAATCTAGTTTTACATTAATGAACGAATAATTAATATATATAATTTTACCTCGAATTCCAGGACTGTAACAGATTTCAAAATAAATGTCTCGGTCAACTGCTGCTTGAACCAAGAGCGGGTCAATATGAAAAGGCAGTCTCTGAGAACAGTCCAAGGCAATCACATCCACTGCAAGTTTTGTGCACGCCTGTTCAAATACGCATGGATCACTTGTACGAATAGAGACCAGATCATAGTACTCGCGTGCCTTTTGGACAGCATCCTAATAAGATAAGCAAAGGCAAAGGCAAAGGCATATAAAAATAAAAATATTTTGAGTACAAAAATTTACAAATAATTTACATATATATATATATATATATGTATATATTACATCAGGTAAAGGAGTATTTGTATCAATTGTCAATCTAGAAAGTTGGTTTACTGGATATTTGACTTGTTCGAATACAATTGGCTCCATACGTTTGAACTACAAGTTTAGAAAAATGATATTAATACCAATAATTTATTAAAAGTTAATTATTATCTTTCTTCTGATTCACATTGTAGAACCTGCCTTTGTTGGATTGTAACCTTCCATCACATGGTTAAGTGCGATTGTACTTGTGTCCACTACAGAAAAAGAAAAACGAGATGAGATGAGTAACTCGAGTTTGGTTGATTTGGTTGTTATTATTACGTTGACTGAATCGAGAGAGGATTAGCAAAAGTCTCTCGATCGTTTGATGATCACGTTGAGCTGGACATGGGATGTTCAAATCGTATAACATCACGACTATTTCTGCATAACAAACTTCATTTTTTTTTCCTTCTCCTCTTTTCCTTTTTGGTTTTCCTTGTTCAAGCAGGTGGCTTGTATAACAATATAATTTAGAATGATTAAGTTTATTATACATTTGTGTATATATAAAATAAAGGTACCAGATACACAAATACACATAAAATTTACACAAATATATATATACACATGTAAGTACCTACGTACCTACTTATATATAGTATTTATTTAAGCTTAATTATAAACTAGAAAACATCAAGTTGTAATGGAAAGATTGAATGATATTATTATTTAATATCATCTTTTAAACTTGTTGGCCAAACATAGAAAGAAAGAAAGAAAGAAAGAAAGAAAGGGAATAAAAGAGCTCCTTTATATCCAGGTACTCTTTTACAGGGACTTGTAAAAAAAACAAAACAAATTGTACCTAATAAAAAAAAGAGTATTCAGGTGTCCGTCTTCTCCGCAAAGATCATCAAGGGATCATATACACATTTAAGTCTGTATATGCATATATCTATATGTATATATATATATATATATATATATATATGAGTGTGTGTGTAATAATGATAATAATGATAATGCTAACAATTAGCTGATATTACTATTACTATCGAGTTCCAGATAAGGATTATATATATATGTAAAAAGGTTTTTTTTATTAGGCGTTGAAAAAAAAAGAAATAGGCGCATTTTCTCCTTTTAGGAAATAGTGAGAAAAAAAATTGAATCAAACAAAGACCAATTGCTTTGAGTGGAGTTTTTTTTTTCAATACAGTAAAATAAAATAAGATAAAATAGAAATGGAAAAGGTAAATAAGTAAGTAAAGTAGATAAGATAGACAGGTAGTTAAGTAGTTAAGTAGTTAAGTAGGTAGTAAGTTTGTTAGATATTTAGAGAATAAACCCTCAAAAGAAAAAGGGGTGGGAGTATGATGAGAGGGAGACCGAGTAAAGTATTGGAGATAGAGAAATAGGATGGGCAAAGAGATAAACGTCTAAAACGATAAAGAAAACAAAGATTTATCTGAGACGACCGATGGGGAGGCTGAAGTAAGACGAGTCTTTGGTCAAGAGACCTGACAGGGCATTGTACCAAGCAATGATTGCTGTCACAATACCAAAGGCACCGCCGGCGATCTGAGAGTTGAGACTGTTCTGGAGTTTACCGACTGTCAAGAGAATAAAGGTAATGAAGAGGAAGAAGAAGAGTGAGACGAGGCCAGCAGAAGAACGGTGGGAGGCGATCAACATGATTCCAGTAAAGATAGTCCAGCCCAAGAGATAATAGCCCAATGACTGTCTGAGAACATCAGGATCAGAATAAGAGGCCAGGATATTGGTACTAGGAATGAACATCATGCCAAATGAAATCCAAAAGGCACCATAGCTCGAAAAGGCAGTGGCACCAAAGGTATTTCCGGTCTTGAACTCCCACATACCAGCAAGCAACTAATCAAAAAAAATATTAATACATAGTCCTAATTTTGATTTTTGGTTTGGAATTACTTGATTGTAATTAGTATTTACCTGAGCAATTCCACCATATCCAATGGCAAGACCAGTAACGACACCGTGAGGACCATCGGCAGGAACACCAGCGCCGGCATTATGAAGAGAGAGGACAAAGGTGGTCAGTGCGAAACCACAGAGACCAAGAGGACCAGGATTGGCAATGGTGTCGGGTTGCATAATGATGGTAGGCAAGCCAGAGGAGCCACTAGAGTGCTCGAGGTTGTACTTGTTTTCAACATCTTCGGTTGTGATCTGGCGAGTGGTTGTGGTGGTGGTGGTTGCCATGTTTAGTAAAGATTATTTGATTTGGTTTGATCTGATAAAATTAAAAGCGTATTTGTGTTGAAAGAAATGAGAAAAATCAAAATCAAAATCAAAATCAAAAGCAAAAGTAAGAAAGATGATGGTAAGAATGAAGAAGTAGAATAAAGGGAAAAAAAAACATCAATCGTATTTATAGGCCTTTTTTTTTCTTTTTCTTTTTTTTTACTTTTTGGGTTGGGAAGTCTGAATGAATCTGGTTGGTGGCAAGCGGTGGCATTTATTCTTCCCTGCAGTGTAAAAAAAAAGTAAAATAAAGTAAAAGCTGTGAAACTCTAAAATAATAAAAATAAAAATAAAATTCAAGATGTGGGAATTTCTCTTTTTTTAGATACTTCCTCAGCCATACCTTAGTATTTGTTGTTGCTAGGATATCAAAATAGATATACATAAGATATACATAGATACATATTGCTGCTGTTTTGTTTGTATCTATTAATCTGTCATATTAAAAACATATTAATTTTTTGTTTTATAGCTTGTACTAAGTGGCTAAGCACTTTTTCTGTTGTCGTTGTTGTTTTGAATACACCTTTCTTTCATGATTCATAATTCACAATTCTAAATAAATCATCACTATTCCAATGACTTTTTTTTTTTGTAATTGAGGCTTATTGTCTTTGAACGCCAACAGGATTGGTGTAATACAAGTCCCTTTTACACTCCTGCAACATCTTTGATCTCCTATGAAACCAGTCAAGTTCCCTTCCCCTTTAGACAAAAGGAAGGAAGGAAGGAAGGAAATACATATATTTTGTATATACATAAATACACATGTAAAATAATATTTCCTGCTCCATGTCTATCTATAAAACCATATAGCTTTATTAATATTATATATATATATATATATATATATATATGTCTGTTTCTTAAAATTGTTGCAGTATGCCGAATTATTATTATTATTATTATTATTATTGAACAAATCTTCTCTTAAACCCCCTTTATTGCGTCGATCTCAACAATACTAGGTTAATCTAAATGATAATATTAACATTATAATTATTAATGTATATATGTATGCGTGTGAGTGAGTAAGTAAGCGAGTGCTTGTTTGTCTGTCCATGATCACGGAGATAAGACTCTCACAGGCGCAAGTTGAACCGAAAATGGGATATTTGGATATTGGGCAGCTTGATTGGATAAACACACGAAAGAGTATCTTTTTCTTTATTTCGTTCTTTCTTGAAAAGGAATTGTACTACAGTGTGTGAAAGAAATAAAGAAATAAAGAAATAAAGAGAGAGAAAATAGAAGCAGGAGATTTTTTGGATATGCCTAATATGGCAAGGGTTGAGTAAGCTTTACAGTAAAAGTCAAAAAAAGAAAAAAGAAAAGAAAGAAAGGAGGGGATGGAGGGTTAATATGATTCGATTTTTTGTGGGGTAACAGATTAAGTTTCCATGAACTTGGATCTCAACTGTCTCGAGGTAACCAATTCGACCTTTGGTTCGATTCGGGTGGTGCAACCCGCTCTGCAAAAATGAGACCAACTGTGAGACTCCAAAGACTTCAAATGGAAAGCCGAATCTTCCGAGACTCAACCAAAAGACCTAAAATAAGATACGTAAATTTCTTTCTTTCCCATCCACACAGCCCAATAAGAATGTTTACCTAATATGAACCACTTCGTCCAAACCAACCAATGACAGCTAGAAGAAAGAATAAAGTACAATTTGTCGTTTTCTGGCTCTCACTCTACAAAGCACATTTTCACACTAACTTTCACTTTTACACACACACATATAAAGAGACAGAAGTAGAGAAAGATACATATGAAGGTGCGATTGCAGAAAAAAAAAGTATGATTCTTTACAACAATACAGTTCTAAAGAATAAACACTAGATGAACCCTATTGTTTTCTTGATATAGATAATACTAGTCTGGATTACTTAATATAATATACATAGGTTTCTTAGTAGTCTCTAATAAAGTATTTTCTTAAAGAATCCCTGGAAGAAAGCACTGTCTTTTTCTTCTTTTTGACGCGTCTAATTTTTTTTCTTACTTGTAAATTCTTGGGATCAAAGGTTCACAAAAAAAACTTATTTTCTTAGAGAATTCAAGCCTGGATCGGGTCTGGATCACAAACAGACAAACATATACAGGTGAAAATACACAAAACTGTCTTTATTTCTTTTGGTTGTTGGAGTATTCTGAGTGTGTATATTACTCCCTCTTTTTACTTAACATCGTTTCACCACTCTCACGCACATGTGGAGGTAAAGCTATTTTCGATCGTGTTTGTGGGTGGGTTATGTTGCAATCATAGGTCAAGCGGAATAAGTTTCCCTTTGATTACGTTGGCTTGACAGGCTACACAAATTGTACCACAACAACCGCACAACTACAGCTCCAGCTACAACTAGCAATAGAAACAGTAACCAAAGAAAATCAAACCAAGATGAAGTCAAAGATAGAACTTCCTTTTTGAACACGCCACTTTTACCCCGCCTATCTTAATTTGTATCTATCCGAGTCATTCTGCTGTTTACTGTTATTTTGGATCATTTGTCTAGAAAACTTCATAATGATAATAAAAAGCATATACATACATACATGTACATTTATCTCAAGACAACTACTAAACACTCAATATACATGATATACATATATCTTGCTTACAAGATTAGGAGACTATTCCAACACAAGGCATATCGTTGAATACAATCGTAGCATGACAATGTAACAATTGTACTACTTTGAAAAGGAAGTTGGGGGGAAAAATACACACACACACACACACATTTATATATTTGTATTATACTAGAAACAGTAATAAAATATAGTCTGTTTTCATTGTACTTTTTGTGAAAAATATTATTTGGCGGGAGTTTGAAACAAACAAAATAAAAATAAAAAGCATACACACACACAGAGAGAGAGAGGAAGTGATAAAGAAACAAAGAGAAATGGGATATTCTAGATAGAGAGATAGAAATGGTGTGGATTGTGTAAGCAATAGCAGTCATAGGTAACTTCTTCTTCTTTTTCATATTCCTACGTTTGGAAAAAAAAAGGACCTTTCATGTTATCCAAAAACCGAAAGAGTAAGAATAAAGATTATACATAAATATATAGATATAAAATTATGTATCTATCTATGTGTTGGGCAAAATAAGATAAAATAACATAAAATGGAATAAAGGAATGAAATGTACCGAGGGAAACACAGCAACGAATAAATTCATTCCGCCTCTCCCTTGATACACATTCACAATTCACATTCACATTTACATTCACACACTTTTATATATATATATATATTATATTATATAATGGAATCTTGCTATGTAGGACGAAGCAGGATTTCTTTTTATTACTGTTACTACTACTGCCACTATTACTATTATTGTAATTTGGTGAGTAGACTAAAATGATCGACGCTACTGTATTCTGTTTTGGTGGAAATTAGGGTTATCAACGCACTGTCCAAAGAGCCAGAAAGAGTAGCATACAGTATATACATACACATATACATATACATATACATATACATATACATGTATGTGTGTTTATGCCAAAATCCGAGTTTTGGTAACGTCTTGGCAACAGAATTTTATATCTTTCTTCCATTTTCTTCTTTATTTCTTCTTAATTTATCAATTTATTAATTTTTATTTTCTTATTTTCTCCAGCTATAGTTTATAATCACCATGGTTACCATTAAACATGCAAGTAACATAAAATAAAATAAAATTAAGTATTCCTTTTTTTTTTGGTAAGCACGTGCCTTGTGTTTCCATCAATTTCGTATGACGTACACCTCTTGATCTCTCTGTCTCTATTCTCTTATCTTACTTTTGGTTGCTCTTATATTTCTCTTATTTCAGTATATACATATACATACAATACATAAATACCATGGCAAGCTACTTTGGTAAAAAATAAAAAATAATAACAGAAAACAATAAGTAGCTTTATTATAATTATAATTATTAAAAATAAAAATAAAACACTCTTGTTTTGTGCCCATAAATATATTATGTTGTATTTACTGTTTACCAATGCTAATCATTAGATGACCTCAACATCAAACACAATGATCGCAAGAAACCCCGTTATGATGCTAATCTAGATGACTTTATGGCTCCATCAGGATCGTCTCATGTTCAACCTGTCGAGTCTATGCAGCAAATGCTACAGACAGCCACGTAAGCTTATTCCATAATAAAAACACATACACACAAACAAAAACAAGAAAAAAAAAAGCTTAATTGAGTATATTTTTGCAATAATAATCTAGAGATTTCTTTCTCTACGCACTTACTATCCCTCCCTTTTTTTTACCTTAAACTTTTATGTTGTACACACAAAACTAAAAACGCAAAAAAAAAGATTTTTTGATCAGTTTAGGCAACAAATGGCAAACCAGGGGAATGCTGATCAGGAGCAGTTTTTAGATAATATCGTTTCTCAACTCCTTGAGGAATCCCAAAGTGAAGCAAAGGGACCACCTCCAGCATCCCAAAGATTCATTGCCAATCTTCCAACCGTCAACAAACGATCTTTGGACAAGTAAGGAGGAGAAATATTTTTACATTTTTTTTAAAGAAAATATTATCTTATTTTGTTTAACCAACACAATATATACATTTGAACTAATTTTTATTTTTGATTTTACGTTCACAGAGAAGAGACATGTATTATCTGTAAAGATATCCTATACACAAGTTCAACAAAAGTAACACGAATGCCATGGTAATTGTTTTTTTTTTAAAAAAAAGTAAGGGAAAGGATCACAAATTTTAGATTTTTTAGTGGACATCACTTTGATGAAGATTGCCTTGTTCCTTGGCTTTCACTTCACCATACATGTCCCCTGTGTAGACACAAAGTCGAGTCTGAGCAGGTGGCAAAAGAAGAAGAAGAAGAAGAATCAAGAGGATGGATGTATGGGTAAAGTGATTTCTATAAACAGGCACACTTACACACACACATATATATATATATAAGCACAATAGTTTATTAGTAGTAATGTATCTATGACAACCGTTTCCATGATGTACTCCCACAGTCCTTTTATTTTATATTTTATATAATTTATACACCAAAAAAAATAGATAATAAGATTGGGATTGGGGGGGTTTTCATTTTGTTTTCCCATCTACACCATTTTCGAATTAAAAGCCTAATGCTATTGGTATTACTTTATTACTCTTACTTATTTGTATTAGTACTACTGTTATGGCATATGGTATAACACTATCTATTATGAAGCCATTATTGGCTTTTAGGAGTCTCTATCATTATAATTTGTTCCTAAAAAACACATATTATTGAATTAGAAAAGTGCATTTAACTACTTGACTTGGCGTGCGTGTTCAAATACATTAAACATATAATTACACCCCAAAACATCCCCTCAAAAAAATATATAGAAAAAGAAAGAGAAATAGCTTGGTATTCAATCATTGTTTTGTGAACTCGTACATCTTATCATCAAAATCAATATAAACTTCCCTTTTTTCTTAATATATAGGTTGTGTAAATAGAGTACTATCCCCACATTTTTACTTTTAATACATAGTGCTAAAAATTAATATTTGACTTTTTCAACCTTAAATCATAAAATCGCCTTGGACGAAAAGTATTAACACAGTATTATGATTTTTTTTTAAGATTATAATGTAATTTGGTCTGAAAATGAAACTTTGACAGTTAAAGCATTTGTATATCATTATTATTTTTTAAAAAAAAGGCAGTTTATCTTATCCAGATTATGTCTTATTCTTCTTCTATCTTTATCTTTGAGATCAATTGATATTGATTGTATGTAAAAATGGGTTGGTTTACTTTTCTTTTCTTTTTTACTTTGATTATCTTATTACCTTGAGCCTTTTTATATATAAAGCTAAGAAAAACAAGACAAGACAATGAAATAAATAAATAAAAAAAGACTGTTGGTAAGAAGATATACATTGTTATTCACACAAAGTTTATGTTCTTACCTATTTCATCATTTGTTTTTTTTTCTCTTTATTTTATCCTTAACCTCCCTCCCTTTCGTTTCCTCCTCAATATTCTGGTTGCTAGTAGTGTATATAAAGTATAAACATAATATTGATACCAGGACGCTATAGTTTGTGTATTCTTTTACTCTCTTTATAATACGTGATACTATGTAACATCAACTTTTTGATCTCACACAGATATTTTACAATCTTATGTTTGTGTCTGTATTTTGTATTTGTAAATATCTATCCTGCCCTTTCTTTTCTTTTTCTTTTTGTATCATGTCTCACTAGGATTTGTCTCCCCAATAATTTGTTCCACCGTCTCTGGTTCCACTACCACTACCAAAAAGCACAACTACAATCTCCTCCTTCAATTCTCCAATTTGTCCTTGTAATTTCATAATCTTTCCAATTTTAATTTTTTTTTTCTAAAAAAAATGAAGTGTGAGATTATCTATATGTACTGGTTTTGGTTTTGGTTTTGGTCCCACACTCTAAATGAAAATCAACAAAAAAAAACACCCCCAGATTTACTGCTACATTTATTATTATTTTTAATTTCACACGCGTTGTTTTGTATTTTATTTATTTATTCGGACTATATTTCTCTGTTGTAAGCACTTTTAGTAGAGCCTTTTGTGTTATAAAAAATGTATATATTGAACAGCTCGTAAGAAAAAAGAAAGAAAGAAACACAAACACACATACAGTTGTTACCTGTTACTTTTATTTAATTATTAAGAATAAAACAAGACGGTTTGAAGCCATGAGCTATTCACACAAAAACTATTATCTATATATACCAATTAAATAAAATAACTGCATATATATAAAACATTAATGTAAAAGTGATATGAACCTTGATTTACCGAGAAATACTTGTGCTGCACAATTATATAGACTGCGACCTTTTTCTTTTTTTTTCACTTATTTTAGAATTAATTTTGCAATTAATATTATTATATATATTACTTGCTTGCTAAGTTTAGAGAGAAAAATACAAGTATCAAGCTCGAGATTACTCTTAAAAGTGGTACCGAATTAGGAGGAGATGAGTATGAGGAAAGGAGAGGAAAGGGGAAGATATAAAAATAACAGTAATAAAGGAAATCTGGTCAAAGATGAATATCTATTGATATCGTCACATGACTCAACAAAAAGACGATCATAAATATACACACACACAGACACAAAGACTAAGGTAGAAACAACCTTAAGATAGTAAGATCAAGGGGAGAGTAGAACGAGAAGGCAGTTAGATACAAGAAAAAGAAAGATAATATATAAGATAAAATTGAATTGTTTTTGGGATTTTTTCCCCAATATCGACACATTAAACAAAATAATAATGATAATCACAAGCTAAATAGATGTGAAAAATTAATACAGGAGTAGTAGTGGGGCTATACATAAAGTTATGTATAAATGAAGATTGAGAGAAAGGTCAATAACTCAATAACTCAATAAATAAATAAACGTAGAGTCTTTCATAAAGGGGTGATGGAGAACAATAAGGTGGCAAAAACGATTCGAGTCGTTTCAAGTTAATAAATACTGCAGGAAGATGTCAAGAGGTTGATATTAACTTTACAAGCAACTTGGGGTTTGAAAGCCTTTCCCTAGTTGCCTAGTTACCCAATTACCCGGTTGCTAGGTTGCTAGGTTACTGAATTGCTTAGTTGCTATGTTACTGGGTTAGATAGCCACGCAGTAGTATGGCAATAATAGAATGAAAAGGGAGATTAACTTGAAACAATGACAAGTAAAGCAAAATTATTGATAAAAAAAAAGAAAAAAAAATATCTGGAGAGAGACAAGCAGCCAAGAAAACCAGCAGACCTGAATTTGTACATGAGTGTTTAATTGAGACTGAAGAGCAGAAATGTGGGGAACGAATAAACATCTTATGAAAGAAAAAGAAAAATAATAAGAAAAAAAAGTGTATTATGAAGCACCTAAAACCTTTAAACAAAAAGGCAACAAAGGTAAAAAAATTAATAAAAATTAAAAATTAAAATTAAAATTAAAATTAAAATTAAAATTAAAATTAAAATTAAAATTAAAATTAAAAAATTAAAAGAAAAATGCTCTAAAATCTTTTCTTTTTATTCTTTATATAAAATATATAGTCGCAGATTAAATACATCACATATATCTTCCAAAGAAAGAAAAGTTTAAAAAGTTGCGTTGACTAAAACACAATTCTATTGGACAAAAATGTGCGGAGTATATACGTTTAAGCGGAGTGTAGTCGTAATCGAGAATACAAGGTTTTTTTAACAGTAGGAAGATCAATTTCTGAGTACGAATATTTTCTTTCTATAGTGCGTGTTCTTTGATCGGAGGTATAAAATTAAAAAAAAAAGTCAATATATACAATATACAATATAGACCCCTTGCTATGCTGAAGTCATCAATCTTTCTTTTTTTACTGTCTGACTTTTTAAAATAAAATAAAAATGAAGAAATAAAAAAAAAAGGGGGGGGGGAGAAGAAAGGCGGAATGGAGGAAAAAATAAAAGTAAAGCGAATGGGCAAAAGATTTAAAGTAGAGAGAGAGATATAAATTCAGTGCCAATGAGACTCAACTTACAGTCCACCCCCTCCCCCCCCTATCCCGTCCCCCCACCTTTTAATTCCTCCACCCTTTTCTCCTCTTTTAAGTTTCTCCTTTCTTTTTTTTTTTTTTTTGCACCGTCAACACCACCATTAAAATGCTCTCTACCATTGTCCGTGCTACCCGTCGCTCTCTTGTTGCAGCTGCTCTTCGCGCTCCTGCTGTAAGTGTTAAGCCTGGAATCAATCATACTTGAAAAAATAAATTAAAATGACATTCTTAACTGGAATGTTCCAAAATATTAAATATATAGGCTCGCGTCAACGTTGGTGCTGTTTCTGTTGCTGCCCGTTTCGCCTCTTCAAAGCCCTCCACCGCCGAGGTCTCTTCTATTCTCGAGCAGCGTATTCTCGGTGCCTCTGCCGAAGCTGATCTCCAGGAGACTGGCCGTGTCTTGTCCATTGGTGACGGTATTGCCCGCGTTTATGGTTTGAAGAACGTTCAGGCTGAAGAGATGGTTGAGTTCTCTAGCGGTCTCAAGGTAAAGAAGAAAGTCAATAATAAGAATAAGAATAATATAATATAATATAGATATACTTGGAGTTAAAATTGGACTGAATTGAATTGAGTCCACCAAAAACAAAACAAAAAACAGAGAACGAGAAAATAAGAAAGGACAGAATGATTGACTCAAGATATAAACTTTTATTTTATTGTCATTATTATGGGGTTTAGGGTATGGCTCTCAACTTGGAAGCCGACAACGTCGGTATTGTCGTCTTTGGTAACGATCGTTTGATCAAGGAAGGAGACACCGTCAAGCGCACTGGTGCTATTGTCGATGTTCCCGTTGGTCCTGGTATCTTGGGTCGTGTTGTCGATGCTCTCGGTAACCCCATTGATGGTAAGGGCCCCCTTGAGACCGTTGGCCGTTCGCGTGTCCAGGTCAAGGCTCCGGGCATTTTGCCCCGCCACTCTGTCAACGAGCCCATGCAGACCGGTATCAAGTCTGTCGATTCGATGGTTCCCATCGGTCGTGGTCAGCGTGAGTTGATCATTGGTGATCGTCAGACCGGTAAGACTGCTGTCGCTCTTGACACCATTCTTAACCAGAAGAACTGGAACAACGGTTCGGATGAGTCCAAGAAGCTCTACTGCATCTACGTTGCCGTCGGTCAGAAGCGTTCGACTGTTGCCCAGTTGGTCCGTACCCTCGAGGAGAACGACGCCATGAAGTACACCATCGTTGTTGCTGCCACTGCCTCTGAGGCCGCCCCTCTTCAGTACCTCGCTCCCTTCTCTGGAGCTGCCTTTGGTGAATGGTTCCGTGACAATGGTCGCCACTCACTTATTATCTACGATGATTTGTCCAAGCAGGCTGTTGCCTACCGTCAGATGTCTCTCTTGCTTCGCCGCCCCCCTGGCCGTGAGGCCTACCCCGGTGATGTGTTCTACCTCCACTCCCGTCTTTTGGAGCGTGCGGCTAAGATGAACAAGGCTTTTGGTTACGGTTCCATGACCGCCCTTCCTATCATTGAGACCCAGGGTGGTGATGTGTCTGCCTACATCCCTACCAACGTCATTTCCATCACTGATGGACAGATTTTCTTGGAAGCCGAGCTCTTCTTCAAGGGTGTACGCCCTGCCATTAATGTCGGTCTTTCGGTCTCGCGTGTCGGTTCTGCTGCCCAGACCAAGGCCATGAAGCAGGTTGCTGGTTCTCTCAAGCTTTTCTTGGCTCAGTACCGTGAGGTTGCTGCTTTTGCCCAGTTTGGTTCTGATCTCGATGCCTCCACCCAGTTCTTGCTGAACCGTGGTGCCCGTCTCACCGAGCTCCTTAAGCAGCCCCAGTACACTCCTCTCTCCATTGAGGTTCAGGTTCCTATTGTGTTTGCCGGTGTTAACGGTTTCCTCGATAAGTTGCCCGTCGGTAAGGTTGTTGACTGGGAGAAGGACTTTGTCAGCTACGTCAAGACCCAGCATCAGGCCGAGCTTGATGAGATCCGCACCAAGGGTGTGATCTCCAAGGAGTTGGATGCCAAGCTCCGCAACATCTGCGAGACCCACGTCAAGACTTTCTTGTAAATCCAAACTAGTTTTCCCTTTTGTGTTTATTTCTTTAAAGAAGGAAAGAAAAAAAAAACAAGTAACCAACAATCTAAAATATAATAACACCCCACACCCAACTCAAACTAAATTGATCCAAAATGATCCCAGTTGATCCAATTCACTCACACATAAACACACGTATTACAGTATCTTATCATAATCATCATTATTATTTTTATTACTTTTTATTTTATTTTTCAAAATAAAGCAAAGAGAAAGCCTACAGAAAATATCAATATAGCAATATGTCTATATGTCCATATGCCTTTATGTCTATATGTATTTGACATAGCATTTGTATCTATAGGGTACAAGTAAGTAGTATACTATGTTCTGCTATAGGATAGGATAGTGAGTGTAATGCGTATTGTGGTGGTGTATCTTGTACATGGGAAAAAGAAGAAGAAGAAAAATAGTAAATTAATTAAATCTACTCTTAATTGACTTTGTTTCAATAAATGGGAATATTTTGGGCCTGAATGCATATTTAGATAATTAGCACACACACATATAGATATATAGATATATAGATATAGATATATTTCTTTTAATAATTGAAATAAAACCTGGATAAATTTCAGGGAAAATGATAGTGAAGTGATTAGTGAATAATACCATTTACAATCTTGCCAACAATTCAATTAGATTTCTTACAAGTTGTAATATGGATACTATTGTGTGTATATATTATATATATGCCATCTTGCTACTGTACTTGTATTCCAACAAAGGCCCTGCAGATTGGATATTTTTTATATATATATATTATTCTACTCTATACATTAAAACAGTGACATGTACACGCATAGATTTCAAAAGTACTGTTCTGTTCTGTACTTTACTGTGTTCAATTGAATTGAATATATAAATATATATGAAATTCTTTTTGGTCAGGAAATCAATTGAATAGGATAGATAGCCAATTCCATGTTATCTTTTCTTTCTTTCTTTCGTTATTTTTCTTTTTAATCTATCCCCCAGTATATTTGGTGCATTGTTCATCTGTTATAGTGCTTTTATTTATTTATTTTTGTTGCAAGACTGGGATCGTCTTAATGAACGAATGAAATGCAATAGTCCAATGACTTTGCTGGTTTAATAATGCTTTGTTATTTATTTATTTATCTACTCAATTCCTTGTGTATATACTTTATATATATATATTTGTTCATTTTTTTAATTTGCTTGAATTTCTTGATGAGAATGCGGGATTGGTGTTCCGAGAATGATGCCATAAAAGAGCAAGAAGTAGAAGAAGTAGAAACAAAAAAAAATAGAGAAAAATAAAAAAAAAGGGAATACGGTCCAGAGGTTGTGCCTCTAGGGTCTGCTTCTTGCCGATCGCATACCAATCTCCGTAGAAATGAATAACATAAAAACAATCAAGCACAGTGTACATAAATGACTACGGTAGTAATGAAGAACTAAAATAAAAAGTAAAAATAAAAAGCAATTATTGCAATCCAGGCCATGCAAAAATATAATAAAATATAGGCAAGGGATAGCCTAAAGAGAAATATAAAAGAAAGATAACAATAAAATATTCAATAAATAAAAAAGACATATGAATATGGGCATGGATATATAAGTATATATCTATATATCTATCAGCATTAGTATCAGCATCAGCATCAGCATCAGCATTAGTATTAGCATTAGTATCAGTATCAGTATCAATGTATGATGCAGTACAGTGTGTATAAATACTTGTATAAATATAAATATATCTCAATTTCACTTGGATTCATGGTCCTGCAGAACCAACATCTTCTTGTCTTGTTGATTTGCCGCCAAAACAGAAACGGGGCTGGGATTGTTTATGCAAAGAAGTATATGTATGGAAGTGATATGTATATATAAGCAAGGGCATAGCATCTTGAACGGTGCGTGCGGTATTTATAGCCAGCATAGAAGAACAAGGGGATAAAATGGATATATGAAAAAAGAGTTTAATAAATATTCCATCTACTACTATTTTTTTTATTTTTTTTTATTTTCTTTCTTTAAAGACCAACTCCTCTTCATCCTCCTCCTCCTCCTCCTCCTCCACTACCACCACTATCACTATCACTACCACTACCACTACCACCACCTCCTCATAATCATCAATTGCCTCCTCCTCCTTCATCAATACCACCTCCATCTTCATCTCCACCTTCGCCTTTGCCTTCATTTCCACACCTATAACGCGTGCCCTTTTTTATTTTTTTTTATTTTTTATTTTTTATTTTTCTTTTTGTTTTTATTTTATTCTCTCTGGTCACTAATATTACTGCTCTTACGCTTTACTTGCATTCAAATCTACTTCGTTGCACACAGTACAACCTCAAAACATGCCACAAGAAGAAGAAGAAGTCGCAAAGATCTTTGCCTGTCCCCAGTGCCCCAAAAGTAATATAAAATAAATTTCTTTAGCTGATCCAATTATATCAAAAACTCTCTTCTTTGCTTTTTTTTATTAACTATTCTTTCTTTCTTTCTTTCTTATTTATTTTCTATATCTGCTATTCGTTAATATCATTGCTCTTGAAATTACTATTATCCTAATTTACGAATCATTTCAAATCTTACAGTATTTGCCACCCGATCCAACCTGTACGTAGCACACCGCATCACTCGCAATCAAATTATACATATATTCATATATCCATATATACACATACATCTTATATACATATTTATGTATGTATGTATGTATGTATGTATGTATGTATGTATGTATGTATAATTTGAATCTAACAACAACAACAACAACAAAATAACATCTTTTCTTTGCCTTTCTTTCTTTTTTTTTAAATAGAAAGCGCCACATGGAAAATCCAAATATTCACAATATCCCCTACATTCGTAGCCGTGATCAAAAGCGATGGAAGGGCCATGCAAAAAAGGTCGTCTCCAAAGAAGAGACAACGGAGAGGTAAAAAGCTAGATTTACATATAGATATATATATGTAAATCATAAAAAGATAAAATAATAATAATAATAATAATGTGGTCCCTGCATCACAGAAAACTCAGTTATAATTTTGTTTTTTTTATATGTATTTAAATATATATTTGTGTTATGTTTTTTTATTATTAAAAAAAAAACTTATATTTTTAAATTTATATGATACTTTAGGATGCGTAAATGGCGTGCTGAAAATCGAGAAAAGAATCGACAAAACGATCTTCGTTGTCGAGTCTACCGTCTTGCACGTCAAAAGTTTGGAGAACATGACAGTCCAGAAAAGCAAAGTTTTGTTAGAGACGAAATAACTCGACGTCTTGGACGACGCATGTTAATCGAACAAAAAGAATCGCGCCAAACTGACGATGAATTTTGGTCAGAGGTACTCCCACGCACCCACCACCACCACCACCACCTTCATCATAACAGCAATCACGCATATAATAACAGCCAAAATCATAACCACAATCCCCAAGACCACGATGACCACGACCACGAACTCGACATCGAACTCGACATCGACCTCGACCTCGACATCGACATCAACCATACTCACTCACACTCACGCACTCTCACTCGCACTCGCACTCGCACTCGCACACACCCACACCCTCATACACACACACACACACACGGACTTGGACACGGACACGGACACGGACACGGACTCGGACACGGATACGACCATGACCTTGGCCTCGACCACAAACTCAAACACAATCACAACAATCACAGCAATGCCAATCAGAATCACCGCCACCAATGCCACTCTCCCTCGTGCGACCTTGTTGAAGATGAAGAAGAAATTACAGAAGGTGGGTTTATACGGCGCCACCTTGTCGAGCTGCCATTCTACAGTGCCCCACAGCAGACAATTGAACTGCCCTCAATTGCAGACATGCGCCAGCCTGTACCGGTTCCCTTCCACTTCAGTCGACCCTGGGCTTCCGAAACCTCCCCATCTGCCTACTCCTCAACATCCTCTCTTTCTTCCTCACCAACCTTACCACATCTATCGCCATCTCTACGCAGTCAGCGACGGACGAGCAGTAGCAGTGTCAGCAGTGTCAGTAGTCTCGTCGGAGAATCCCTCGAACTCCTTGTTCTGCCCCCTATCCATCATGCGTCGTACGGGTCCAGCAACACTGTCGAAACCAAAGACACCATAAAATATGTCGAACAGACAAAAATACTCGACGAATTCGTAGGTGTCGTTCTCCACTACGCCGACACAAACCAACGTCAACAGACCGAACCATCTGTCATCTAATCATAACTACATACCAATTCAACAAATTTAATGCAATGCAATGCAATTCAATTCAATTCAATTCAACCAAAACCCAAAAAAATCAAAATCCCAAAAAAATAATAATAATAATAATAATATTGTTAATCGTCAAAGGTCTTCCTCTCTCTAGCATCTAGACCGTATATCTTTCTTTTATTTATTTATTCCTCTTCCTCTTATTCGTTTTTTTTTTTGCTTTTTTTTTTTTTACTTCTTCCATTCATGAAAGCTAGTCTAGCAGATGAAGCCTAATCTTTAATTTATGCCAATAAACCACAAACACAAACACTTAGTACACACAGCACACGCGGCACACACTAGAAGAAGAATACAAAAAGAATAACATGTGACGCAAGTCTCTCTCTCTCTCTCTCTATATCTATTACTGATTATTTTCATTTTCCACCCCTTAATTCACTGACTTTGTCTGCATCATTGCGGTGGTTAAAATGACGTAGCCCCCTTTGTCCGCTCGAAGGCAGGAAAATGAAATGTAATTTTTTTTTAAAAAAAAAGAAGACTAATCAAAAAAAAAGAGCAAAATCCATTGGTTCTCCCTCTTTTATATTCTTCATTACAATGCCAATCATCAACGTAAACGTTAAATGGACCGGAAAGAAGTTTGAGAACATTGAGCTTGGTAATGAATACGTTTGTTCTTCTTCTTCTTCTTCTTCTTCTTCTTCTTCTTCTTCTTCTTCTTCTTTGTCTTCATCTTTGCCTTTGCTTAAATTTGCTTTACTTTGCCTTGCTTTGCTTTTTATAATCTGTAAAATTTGATTTCAACGCGTCTCATCCAACAAACTGTCTCTCTTCTTTTTCTTTTTCTTTATTACTTATAATAATAAAGATACCGATGAAAGCCCTGAGCTTTTCAAGAGTCAGATTTATTCTCAAACAGGTGTACCTCCCGAGAGACAAAAGATTATGGTCAAGGGCGGTATGCTCAAGGTACAAAAAAACACACACACACACACATACGCATATAAACACATATAACAAGCAAAAATAAGAAGAAAAGGATAGAGAAAGAAATAATGGGGTTGAACCTAACCCAATAATGTCTTTTCTTTCTTTCTATTATTTTATTATAGGACACAACTGATCTCAATGCACTTGGCCTTAAGAACGTAAGGCTATTTTCTCTATTCTTGGATTTTGATTCACTTTTCTCTTGTAAATACTAATATTTAAGCACGTTTTTTTTGTTTCTTTATTAGGGTCATACCTTTATGATGATGGGAACCGCCGGTGAATTGGCAAAAGCACCAGCCAAGCCTACCCAATTCTTGGAAGATATGACAGATGCTCAAGTTGCCGAAGCTGTAAGGGATCGCAATTCCACGAAAATGATAGTAGCATAGAGTGTGTGGATTCACAGTATCTAATAAGTTTTGTGTATGGATCTATTGTGTTTGGTTCAATCATTTAGCTGGAAATTCCTGCAGGTCTCGAGAACTTGGGAAATACATGTTACATGGTAAGTCTTGCAATTATTCATTCTTTCGTTCTTTATTATTCTTTTCTTTTCCTTGCATTTCCTTTTTGGACTCATACAAATCATAAAAAAAAAGTTCAAATTAAAATGCATAATAATAATAATACTAATACTAATAATTTGCTGTGTAATGTGGGTGATTAGAATGCTACACTTCAATGCCTTCGTGTGATTCCAGAATTACAGACCTCCTTGAACAAGTAAAGTATCCACCCATATACTTTGAAATAGACCAATATGTGTATGTGTGTGTGTGTTTTAAACATCGTCTCACCAAACTCGTTTGTTTGTCTGTCTATATATAAAAGGTATCAAGGCGGTGTTAGCGGTGTAGATAACAGAGGCAACCTGACTGCTAGTCTACGAGATCTGTTCAAAGATCTTACAAAAGCAAGTGACGGATTCCCTCCTTTGGTTTTCTGGCAGGCAAGTACAATATTTAAATAATAAAAATTAATAAATGCTATGTGTATATTTACTCTCTCCTTTATTCAATAGATGCTCTGCCAAGCCTTTCCTCAGTTCTCTCAAACAGGACCTGGTGGTGCACCAATGCAGCAGGATGCTGAAGAGTGTTGGAGTGAGATGGTTTCTATTCTTAAGGCCAAATTGCCTGCCGATCAGGAAACTGGCCGAAATTTTATTGAGCAAAGAATGACTGGTGAAATGCGTACAGAGTAAGTGTCAGAGAGAGTATATATATATATATATGTGTGTGTGTGTGTGTGTTTTATTTATTAAATTGTTGTAGGCTTCGTTGCCCAGAAGCACCTGAAGAGAACACTGTCTCAACTGAATCTTTTACGAAATTGAGCTGTCATATTTCTATCAGTAAGCTCTCTCCACAAAGAAAAAAGAAAGAAAAAAAGAATGGATAATGTGAAATGGGGTATTAATGTATATTACTTGTGTGTGTGATTAGCAACAAACTATATGGTTAATGGAATTTTGGAAGTAAGTAAAGATATTTTTTTTGAAGAAAGAAAAACAAGTTCTAGGGTTGATAATCTAACTTTTATGATAAAATTAAACAAACAATAGAGCTTGAAAGAAGAAATTGAGAAGACATCACCTACACTGAACCGCACTGCCAAGTATGAGCGTGTATCGCGTGTAAGCCGTTTACCCCAGTACCTTCCTATCCAATTCATCCGTTTCTTCTGGAAGCCATCCGAGCGTGTGCGTGCAAAGATCCTTCGTAAGGTCAAGTATCCTCTCGAGTTTGATGCATCCGAACTCTGCACACCCGAACTTCAGGGCAAGTTTAGCAAGGCTAAGCTGAAGCTGAAGGATTTGGAAGAGAAAAACGTGGCTAAGAAGAGAGATGAAAAGAGACGCAAGATTGATATCGATGTGTCAGGCGGTGCAGAAAGCTCAGCCGCAGCAGCAGCAGCAGCAGCAGTAGCATCATCATCATCATCATCAGCATCGGGATCATCATCGGCGGCAGCAGTACCAGCAGCTGAAGAGAAGATTGACTGGTCTGAATATATTGATCCTGAATTGCTCAAGGATGTCGGGTGCAATCCTACAGGACAGTACGAACTCTGTGCAGTCCTGACACACGTGGGTCGTTCTGCTGATTCTGGTAAAGTTTAATATACAAACATATAGAATAAAGATTTTGGTTGTTTTATTTATATTTTGTATTCATTTGTTATGCTTATATCTTATTTGTAGGTCATTATATTGCCTGGGTTAAGAAGGCCGAAGGTAAGAAAAAATATATAGAACAGGGGTTCTTTACAAAAAAGGTGAATTATTGGTCTGATGATATACTGTATACATTGTAGATGAATGGTTCAAGTTTGATGATGAAAAAGTATCTATGGTGCGTGATGCCGATATCCAGAAGCTTGATGGCGGAGGTAAATTTTAATAAAATGAAGTAAAATAAAGTAGAATATAATATTAACATTCAATTGATTCTACTCACAATCTCTATATACATGTAACAAATAAACTAATACTTTTTGTGTGTAATTTCTTAAAATTTTCCATTTATTTAGGAGACTGGCACACCGCCTACATTGTGCTTTACCGTGCCAAGCAGCTAGAGTAGACAATTGAATAAATAAACAAGTAAATAAATAAATGAATAAAAGGCCCTACACGTATAGAACGAGAGAAAAGAAATAAGAAGAAGTGGTTCAAGGTGGTTCAAGTAACAAATAAAATCAAATGAAGCAAAGTAAAGCTAAAGCTAAAAAGCTAATAAAAAAAGCTAAAAAGTTAAAAAGCCAGAAAGAATCGAAAGAATCAAAAAGTTAAAGGATAAAACAATGACTTTACTGTAATGTATCATACTGTATCGTACTGTATCGTACTGTATTACAATGTGTTACAATGTAACGCACTGTATTGCAGTTTGTCATAATGTAGTGTGATGTATCCTCATCTTCTTTAATTTTCAAGTCTTTCCAGGTTCACAAAAGCTAATTCATATTATTGGTATTTCTGTCAATAGTAATCATCTAGTCATTACATTGAAATGCTTATCATTGCCATTATCATTATCACTGCTGTTATTCATTTTTCTACCCTGGTACATGTCATCGATCGATTTTGGTCTATTCTTACACCACCCCCACTACCAAAAACAGCATCAAGAAAAAAGAATTAGATACATACATATGTGTGTATGTGTGTGTATATATTTATCACAAGTAAAATATAGGTTTATTATTTTTGTTTTGTTTTGTTTTGGTTTCAATATCGACTGAATGTGCAAGCTTAATTGAACTTCAAATGTTCCTGAAAGAATGTAAATTAACCATTGGAATTGCTTTAATCAAATTATAGTAAGATGAAGTTATTTGGTTCATAATTACCTTTTGGTTAAATAGACTTTAGAAGAATTCCGTTGTATATTGTTTTCATTAAAGAAGTATATATATATATATATATATATATATATATGTAAATGTAAAGTTGATAAAACCAAATAAAGAAATCAATGCATACATTTTTTATTTATCTGTTTGTTTGTATATGTACTTATGTATGTACATATAAAAGAGACTATACTTGAACTCGCATAAGAATAATCTTTTATACATACAGTATATATATATAATAAATAAATAAAAAAACAGGGAATTTACAAAGGGGTTAGAAGAAAGATTGGATTTTTTTTTCTTTCTTTCTTTCAGATTTGTAGTTATTCTCAGATCTGACTGATGAGTAAAATCAAGTCTCCTTTACCTTTTTATATGTATAATATTTCTACCTTTATCTCTACCTCTTTATGCACATTAATCAATTATATAGATTATTTTAAAATAATAAGCACAAAAAGAAAAGCGAAAAGGCTTTGATGTACACGGAATAAGAGTCAAAAGTTATCAAGTTGGTTGGTTGGTCAGTCGGAAGGAGAACCATGCCCATCATATATAAAAATAATAATAAAGGGCTTGGATAGATAGACTTGCTTTATTTGTTGGGCATCCTGCCTCTACTGTATCTGCGCTTCTTACTGCGCCTTTGAAAAGAAAAGAAAAGAAAAGAAAAATCGAGTGTTGATAGGAATCTATATTTGCGCGTGTCTTTCTAAAGAAAATCCCCTTCATTCCCCCCCTTATTTCTTCTTTTCTTCTTTTCTTCTTTTCAATCTTTCAATATTTTTTTTTTTGTTTTTTGTTTTCTCTACTGTTTAACTCCTTTAGTCTGCATGTACAAGCCCACATACAGATACATATTATCCAAGTATTTGTAACAGAAGGGACACATTTCTTTTCTGTATGTGCAATGTTACTCATTCAAAAAGCATCGGCCCTGATTTAGTCTTCAATTTTTAATTTTTTATGTACATTTGGATTTTGGATTTTGGATTTTATTACTCTATTTATACTTGAGATTAAGACGATGTTAGTTAGTTAGTGTGTTTTTTTTTGGACGAATGAAAATTAATTTCTGGGAAATTTTCTTACCTTTTTTGGACAAACAAAAATGAGAATTGAGACACAAAAGAATACAATTTGGGATAGAAAGGGAATTTAGTTGAGACAAGGTAAAAATGAGATTCTGCTAAAAGGTACTAATAGAGTAGTTAATCGATAAAGCTTGTCTTTCTCTGGTAATCATACAAAAAATATAAATATATAAAGAGCATATTCAGTGGTCAATTCGAACTACACTTTTATCTTGAATTTAAATATTTAGTTAAAACTGGTACTCAGCAGTTTATTTTTTATTTTAAATAAAAATCAAACTTGACAAGAATTCAAAATTGTGTATTCTTTATAACACAGGGATTGCTGCATCCTCTCCAGCTCCTTCTGATATGGTATCGTATATAGTATCCATAAAAATAATTTGGTCCACCATTTCTGCCACTTGTTCATACCGGGAGTTTGGCTTGTAGTAGTATCTCTCAAAGGTGTTGCTTGTGAGAGACCAGTTTGCATGCTGTTTGACTGCGACTATATCCATGCCACCTTGTGCTGCAACAGTACTTGCGGCAGCTCTTGTTGAATGGAAATTAAAGATTCTTGTGTAGATGTTGCATTATTTCAGTATGTGCTTGTCAATGCTAGCCATCATTTCTGGTTTGGGGGAGGCTGAAATTTTTTCTGTATCTAGATACGTGAGGAACAAGGTGTGGTCTTTTGGAATAATGAACCGAAAGTTTTTTTTTTGTTTTTTCTACAAACATACGTAAAGTGATCACAAAACATAAGTTTTTCTCTTGGGTGATCCCTAGTTTCGACTGTTTCCATTAGGCCTCCTTGAGTTCTCTTGCTAGTATTTTAACCCCTATTACCCTAGCATTTATGTACACCCATGTCACATCCTGATATTTTAGCCTACCAATATCTGATTGAGGATTACACATTGTTGCAAGACAAAGTAGCATGACCGTTTTTTGTTGGAGTTGTATAAGAGACAATTCTTCCGTGGGACGCCAAGAATCTAACAATTGGAGGACTGGCTACAGTAACCATATCTCGTCTTGGTTGCGAGATGGTAATTTCACCTCTGATTTACGTTTTATCATAAGTAGTGCTGGAATCGGCTCTTGCATCACAAGATTTGGCTAGTCTGAAAGAATCATCTCTCTCAGGCATTGAACTCCTTCCATCTTGAAGTGCTCACACTGGGCGTATTAATGTATTCGCTTGCAGCCTAGAATCAGTCCCTTCTTGACTTATTCGTCCAGAATGAACATGTTTGACAGATAATCGTGACTCTGCTCTGGTGAGTACTCTATTACGCCGGCTTGAATGACTTTTGCGACGGCAGTGTCCACCCCCATTTGGTTGTTTTCTGATACACAGAAATGTCTGTTCCTCCACAGGTGTAGGGTATTTGTTCATTGGATTCGGAAAGCCTCCTCGGCCACCCTCTTTGGCTATTGGTGATTTGTCTGGCTGTCCAATGTCTGGAAAAGTGCTCCAGACGACCCCCTGGTGGAATCCCACCCAGAAGCACTTTGTTGTCTTGGACTTTGAACTTACGGGTAAGCTCAAGGAGCTCTACAATTTGTTCACTGGTAAGAGCATTGACAGTAATTTAAGGTTGTTCACGTTGCGCAACTTGGAAAGATATAATGAATAGGGTATAACAATAACTTACAATAAATAAAGCGCGACTTGGAGAACCAATACTACACCCTCAATCATTGTCGAGTCGTCAGCAACGCCCCAATTTTTCGAACAACTTGAATGTGTATCCATTTTTAAAGAAACAGATATATTTAACTGCTGGGAAAAGTGACTGTATTTGTCTTTATATAAATTAAAAGATATCTCACTGCTGAATATGCTCTCATTCACTTCTTGAGCACCTTTTTTTTATTTCTTTCTTTTCAATATTACCTTAAGATGCGTCCTATTCTCTATCCTGCAGCATAAGAGTTGATTCGAAGTAAAAAGCAACAAAAATCAAACGAGAAATAACAAGGTCCCCAGGAAGAAGGCTCTACTTCTACTAAAAGAAAAAGTAAACTGAAACATTCATCGAAGTGTACCCTATGTACTATGCAAGAAACTAGTGTTCATCATTATTTTATTATTTAGGACAAAAGCACAAAGATACTCCTGATGAGTTGAGAGTAAAAAAAGCTGTTCGCGTATCAAGAACAAATGAACCAGATGAAGCTCACATTCTAATTGTTTACAAGTCATGTAAAGCTCGAGGTAATTCAACTAAAAGAAGTCCTGTATACCCAAACCACGACATGACTTTACTACAGCTGCTAAATAGGGATCTTGGTCCTCATCAACGATATACCCTGTCTATTACTCTCAGTTCCTTTATTTTAAATAATGTTCATGTACAACGTGCTCGCGACAGAATTGTCTTGCAATCGTCTTTCTTACGCGAAGTGGTGTATAAAGTACAGCTTTTTATCAATTAATATATCCTTTGAGGCGTCTCAGATTTATCAACTGATTTATTTGATCAAGATTTCTGGTACCGAGTTTGCAGAGTGCTTTATGGTCGTTTAACGATAGTAGAGTTTCAACACCATTACCCTAGACTACAACATCTTCAGACACTATATACAGAGCTGATTCAAACTAACGAGGTTAATCTTACTGTCAACTTGAATGGCCTTAAAAACTATGGTGCGGTAGTATCTTCTGCATGCAAGACTATTGCGATTACATACAACAACTACTATGTAGAAAACTTTGAAAATATAATAGCAAACTATTTTATGTATATAAAAAGAACGAATTTCAGGGCAAGATATTATTATTGTTCTGTTTATTTACATATATCTGTATAATAAACTTGTATCAAATTTTAGGATCTTTCCATAACGGCAATAAAGAAAATAGTATATGAACATTTACTGGACAGTTTACTAATTAGACTGCCAGCTCCCCTTCAAATCCCAGATCAAATATTGCCAGAAAACACGACTATTAAACTCCCTCGACTTTCTGCATTTCTAAATAAAAGAATCACACCAGTCCGCAATATACTGCCTACAATTCCAGTCAACAAGGCTACTCTTTCAAGAAATCTTCAAGCAATTATGCATGTCTTGAGATAAGTTTTGAATATTTGTGTACAGCCACCTGAGCAACCACAACAATAACAGCAATAACAGCAGTAACAACAATAACAACAATAATAACAATAACATATACTCCCAAGACTTTTTGCATTGTTCCCTTCGTCTAGTTTTAAGTGGAGATTTATTAAAGTAGACAGTGAGAACGTTAAATCGTTTTTCGAGCAAGGTCCACAGAAAATTCGAGACAAATCATCTGTAGCCTACACAAGACGATTATTTTTCCACTTCTTCAATTTTAAGAAGTTCAAAATCAATGATATTGAAGCTTTGATAAATCTCCCAAACGAAAAAAGCAAGATGTTCTTGAACTCAATATACACAGACGGATATATGTTCAGGGTATCGTTTGCGAGACGGACCGCCATTGATCCTCTCAATTATGTTGAGCTCACAACAAATGACTTTAACATCCAGGAAATTGCCGAGAATTGTCGAGTGTGTACGGTGGATCCTGGAAGAAGAGATGCCTTCAAGGCATATTATGGTGATGATGGTATAAGATGCTTAACAAGAAAAGAATATTATAGTGCATCTGGTAGCGTTAAGCGGATGATAAATGAAGATGCAAGGAAGGTGGCCCAAGGAATTAAGGAAGTTGGAAAATATATCCCATCAGTAAAAACAACATCAGGAGAGCAATTTATAAGACACACCCAATATATTATAGCCAATATGCCTACTCTATTCAATTTTTATAACTTCAGAGTAGCTGAAATATATTGGAAAAAATTAGAGGTCGACAGAAAGCCCTAGACAATTGCGCCAACATTCTTATTCATGGGTGTATAAAGTATAACAAAGAAAGAAGAAAAGACTAAATCGAAAGAAGAGACGCCGTATAGCAAACAGGCGGAATCCTGAAAGTACACACCAACCTGTCCAACCAATGTAATAAGTCAATTACTTATTGCTTGTATCTAATTTCACTTATAATAATTTAAGATATTACAGAAACTCTCACCAACGTGTCTTTATAACCGGAAACGTTTCTAAAATGCCCTTAATTGTCTTTGGAAATGGGCTTACAAACAAATCAAGTGTCAGATTTCACAGTTTATGGCATGGAGTATCCGAAAAAAAAAATTACAGTCATCTTCTTGTAAAGCAGAAGATCGGGGAATTGTATTTTTTGGATATCAATGAACTTAACACGTCAAAGGTATTTACGCACTTTTTCTTTGAAGTTGTATTCGTTATGTTCAATGTTGATTTTGTAGGTTCGCAACTCCTGTAAGGCCAAATACCTAAGATATTTCCAAAATTCAAACGACAGACCTATCCATCCAATGTTAGCTTGCAAAAACTGTAATATTTTTTTGGGATAAAGATATCATGGTGGCAAAAACATTTTCTATATTGTGCAGGAAATTTGGAGTGGCAATGGTAGGCCAGAAATGTTCAATCCTCAGCCAAGTTCAAGAACAACAAGAACAACAGAAACACAAAGCGCCACAATGAACGTGGTTTCTCCTCACTCCGGTGGGCGAACTTAAAGATGCTTACAAAGAACATTCTAGTCATTTTTACCTTGTTTCAACTGAATTCCATTTCTATCCCAAATTCTATTCTTTTGCGTCTCAATTCTCATTTTTGTTTGTCCAAAAAAGGTAATAAAATTGTCTAGAAATTAATTTTCATTCGTCCAAAAAAAAACTAACATCGTCTCAATCTCGGGTAGAAACAGTAAATTGGAATGAGAATATTTTTATTTTTAAGAATAGGTCACAGATTCATAAAGCACAAATTAATGAAAAATGATACAACAAATGGACGACAAAATCCGCCTGATCCTATGTATAGTACGATCAACAACCCACGGATTTCACCTCAGCCTAGCCTTAATGGCTCGCCCACCCATCTACACACGGTCTCCCCCTCTGACATCTCATCGTCGACATTGTCACAATCTGCCAAACCCGTACCAATTTTCGGCAATTGGGCTCGTATAGCCCGAGGAAAGCCAGTAACCATTTTTGATGATGCTTCTGCAAAAGCAGAATTAGCCCAGCAAAAGGCAAACCAAATGTGGATTTCGTCGAATGAAGACAATGCTGTTGTTTTTGACATCACAGATAGTGGCTTAGACGCTGCCCAGTTTTTTCAGGCCCTAAAGTCCCAGTACCCTAGCGTAGTAGGGGCCCTGGGTCAAGACCGTAGAGATAGAAATATAGCAATTGTTTCATTTGACACTATTGAAGATGTGCCCAGGGCTTGTTCAGAGGGCGTTGTCGTTGGACACCAAACTCTCTTAGCCACCCCTACATTTGGCGGGGATAGCAACATCCTTCGCGTACACCTTGATAAGTTGCCTCTCCGCAGGGCAGATAAATTAGAGCCTCGAGTTCAAGAAGTCATGGGCCTTTTCGGTCGAGTGATTCATATTGGTCTTTATATGGACCCTCAGTTTCAATTGTTTGGGGGCAAAGGCTTTGTCATGTTGGACACTGCTCCAAAGGAAGGGATTGAATACATTCCCCTAACACACAAGATTGACTTTCGTGGGGAACGAGAGATTTATGCCAAGTGGCAGAACATGCCTGTGGCATGCAATTATTGTCATGGAGAGGGCCATAGGAAAGCAAACTGTGAGAAGAGGACGAAGAGCCCTCGCCTGTGCTATGGTTGTAAAAAGCCAGGCCACATTCGGGCACAATGTCCTGATGAAACAATTGAGAAGGAACGTAAGCGTCAACGCCAAGAAGATCCTCAAGTTATCTCACCAGAGAATGGAGGTAACAACCGCCAGCTTGAAAAAGAACTGGCCCGTCTAGTCAGAGAAAATGCGAAGATGCAAGAGGCACTTGTGCAAAGTGAAAATGCACTTGAGGACAAGATTGCCCTCGTTGAAGAACAACAATGTCGTCTCGAAGGTATAACTGAGAGTAGCGAAATTACAGTCGGACCGACTACAGAAGCACAAGGAGGAATAGCAGGTGATGAAGACACCATAATGACTAATGAAGCTATGGCCAACCCACCCAAGGCGACTGGCCGGAAGTCCCGACTGAGAAATGATGTTGACCCCACTCTCATCATTAATGGTAAAAGAAACCGAAACAACAAACCCACCCAAGGACTCTTCCCAGATCCTTCAACTGTCCACAAGACCATCGTCGCTGATGGTTCAGGGCAGTAAATATGTCTAACCATCTAAGAATTGCCTCGCTTAACTGCAGAGGCTTAAAAAAGATGCTGACCACCTCTGGTCGACATTTCGCCCGCCATATAAGACAACAAAAATATGACATCCTCGCCATCCAAGAATCGCACACTGACACCGAAAATATGCAATCATCCATCTCTACACTCCTTCAAGCTCAATCTAGCACATGGTCACATCACTGTGGTCTAGTTTCCTTTAACCCCGAATACCATATAGAACCACATCTCAACTCCTTCGACCCCACACGCCTAGACGGCCGTCTGCTTACTGCCACAATTCACCACGTCCATAAAATACATGACCCGCTCAACTTCTTTGTCATTTATGCACCTGCCCACCCAGAGCAACGCCCTCTCTTCTACTCTCTTCTAGATCACTATCTAGCCTTTAGTTCTCCACCACTTCCAAAAAGTGTGTTACTCGGAGATCTCAATTACAACACAAGACTCACTTCCTCCCCACCCCTTCCAACCGCATGGACCCAATGGTTATCCCACCATTGGTTTGACGCCATCACTCCTGTGAACTGCACGCCACTCCCAACATTCACCACTGGATCAACCCTCGATTTCCTTTTTGTCACAAACGACCTAAAGATATCAGTACACTCTCCTGTGGTTGAATATGTTGCCGGATCTTGGACGGATCATTTCAGTATCAGCATCCAACTTTCAATTGGGTCACCTCAGCATGGACCTGGAATCTGGAGGTTCAACCCATACCTCCTGTCTGATAAAGAGTTTTGTAACACAATGACTACCTTCCTTGATGCAGCAGAAACACAGATTCCTAATGTAGCACCTCACATCCAATGGGACCTGATAAAGGCTAATTTGAAAGCCATGGCTATAGACCATAGTCGTAAAGCTAGAAACAAAGCCAAGACTATGCAGAAGATACTAGCGGAGCAACGATCTGCTATAGTAACACAGCTGCACAGTCAGTCTCAAAGTGACTCACAATCGAGACACCCAAGCAACCCACACAGTCGTCCACGCACACAGCATACGCAACATATCTCCAACAGAGAGGTAGCTCAGGAATACTTAGGGACTAGCCAACCACAAAGTCATAGAATGGAGGACGAACCCCACACCTCACCGACCCCACTGACCGAAGAACAAGAATACGTTCCCAACTCTCTAGACGACGATCCCTCCTCAGTCCTCCATCAACAGCTGCTTGAAGTTGAGCGTCAGATAGACCGCCAACAAGAAGTTGATGCCCGCATCCTAGCACTTCGATCAGGACATAAGTGGTGCGAACATGGAGAACGCTCAAATGCCTACTTCTACCGATGCTTGAAAGAACGCCGACAGGCACAGAACATCCGAGCACTGCAAGAAAATGGTGGCCTAACCGAATCCCCAGATGGTCTGGTTAAATGCGCTCACTCCTTCTATTCCGATTTGTATGCTGCCGAAACCATCGATGATAATGCCGTCGAGTCACTGTTGGCCAATATTCCAGATTCCAGCTGCCTACCTAGCGAAGAGGGAGAGACTATTACGGCAGAATGGGATGCTGAGGACATATTGAGAGCCCTTAATCACTCCCCCACTCGCAGTAGCCCAGGCGTAGATGGTATACCATACGAACTTCTTCGTTGGCTATTCCAGCACAAATTTGCCCAAGGCCTGATGGTCAAAGTCTTTAACCTAGCTCTCCAACATCAAGAAATTCCGCGCTCATGGAAACGGTCCGTGGTTGTTCTGCTGCCAAAAAAGGGAGACCTTACTTCGTTGTCCAACTGGAGGCCTATATCGCTGATATGCGCTGACGCCAAACTCTTCACTCGCCTTATCACATCACGCCTTCCAACCGCGATGAAACTCACTATCAACCCATACCAAACAGGGTTTTTGGGAAATAGGTTCATTGCAGATAATGGAATAGTTGCCAGAATAATCATGGATACGGCTCAAAGATACAAACTACCCGGAATCGGCTTACTACTTGACCAAGAAAAGGCTTACGATCGAGTTCACCCTGAGTACCTGCGTCGATGCCTTCTTCGGTTTGGGTTTCCTTCCACTTTCATTCTCGCCATCACAGCCCTCTTCTTTGACACAACACTTTGTGTCAATATCAACGGATATCTGTCAGCTCCAATCAAACAAGGCCGAGGTTTGCGACAAGGGGATCCACTCTCCCCTCTTCTTTTCAACCTGGCCCTCGAACCTCTACTCCGCACCATCCTTGCCACCGAACAACTCAAAGGATTCGTCATCTCAAATGGCCTCCCTTTATTGCCTCAGTCTATAGATGAGCCACCACCTATTAAGTTCTTAGCATATGCTGACGACGTAGTAGTGTTCTTGAACACGCCTGACGAGCTCGACACCCTGATGGATCAGCTCCGGGTATATGGCCGTGCGTCAAATGCCAGAATGAATAGACATAAAACAGTCGCGGTCTCCTTATCTGGTCGTGAACAACAGACTTGGAATTCTCATCTGCAGAACCACGAAATAACTTCATGGCATGATAGCCGTAGCTCGCAGCCAATAACATATCTCGGTTACCCTCTCACCAGCTCAAAGGCTCAACTATCCTGTGCTTTTGAAGACGTAATTACAAAGATCCGTAACCACGCACAATTTTTAGCACAGCGAAACCTTTCGGTTCTTGGTAGAGGGCTAGTCGCCAACTCACTTCTTCTGAGTAGGGCATGGCATGTAATACGCATCCTCCCAGTGAATACGGCAGACATAAGCAGACTTCGTTCAGAAGTAATTAAATTTGTATCTCATGGACGCTACCCATTTGTTAGATTTGACTCATGCACTCGTCCGCGACGAGAAGGCGGCCTTGGCGTCCTGGATCCTCAGACCCAATATTCCTTACTGCAAACCAGATGGATCCTCCCCTTGCTCGATCAGACCGCCCACTATCTTTCGCCGGCAAAATACTGGCATACATTATAAGGCAGTATTGCAATACAACCGACCCACTTCTTCCTCTGGTGTTTCCTGAGCTGCGGTCACCTCGCCTCAACACCTTTAGTATCTTTCCTACAATCTTCCGTGCTATGAAAACCATTCCTCTCTCCTTTGACTGGACTGTCATAAATCCTGTCACTGTACAGGAGTTACCTCTCAGCACAATTCTGGCCCCATCTCATCCTCTACCACTCTTCTTTACCTGCGGTAAACTACGTGTATGTAATGCATTCATATATGACTACACTCTTGGATGCATACGTCGACTCAACCAGTATGAACGAAGACGAGCCAGGTCTAACATAGACACGCTGTTTACCCTTTTGGATCACGGTGAACTCCGACTGAAGGAGTGGTTCTCTCTGCTCACAGTTTCTCCATTGCGAGAGCCTGGCTCAGTGATGGCCTCCTTTCCGACTCCACCTCGCCACTTTCAAGGCTTCCTTTCCTCTGGGATACCAAAAGTTCCACGGATACGCAATCTCTCTGCTCAAGTGATCCGTGCACACATAAGACCGCCCCTCACCCAAGTCTCACCCCCATTCCCGCATGCAGCACCAGTACACTGGCGTAGCTTTTGGGAATCACGTCTTCCTCTTAGAATCTACACCATCCGGTGGAGATTGATGCATGGAAAGGTTCCTAGTAGGCAGCGGCTATTTAGCCATAACGTTACGGATGTAGACGACCCACAATGCATTTTATGTGGCGAACTGGAAGATGATGAACATCTATTCTGGGCATGCCCTCATAAAAAGTTAATTTGGCATCAAATTGCAACCCGGTTCCTGGAATATCCCACATCGCTTACGTTTGACCACCTTCTCCTTCCTTCTTCTCCAATGTCAGTTGAAGTCAAGAATACCACAGTGTCCGCCTATAGTATTCTGGGATGCACAATAGGGGCCATTTGGGACGCTCACTTCCAACATATCTTCCATGATGTTCCTTTTGTCACTAACCGAATAGCTGCCATCGCTACCTTAAACATTAGAAAAATAGAATTAGAAGACTCACTCTTTTAGATAGATAGCACATGACTATGAAATTTCTTTAATAAACAATACAAAAAAAACTGTAAATTGGAAATACCAATCGATAACATGCATCCCGTTCTTTTTCGTTATGCTACATTGACAAAGACCCGCCTATCTGGACTGCACTTTCTCCTTAAAGAAGAATATTTCTTCATATTCTATCCCTCTTTTCTCTCTCTTTTGCCTTGCCTTGCCTTGCCTTGCCTTGCCTTGCCTTGCCTTGCCTTGCTTTACCCCTTTTTATCACGTATTGACTCCTGTAAGATAAGAAGAAAAATGAAAGTAATCAACCAATTCCTTTGATCATTCTCACTTTGTACCTGTAATAATAGTAACACACACAAGTATGTATGTATTTTCAAAATCGAGAAATGTTAGGATATAATGATATCGATAGAACAAAGATCTATGCACTTTTCGTTTTATCCTTTCTTTTTATTTTTATTCACTTTACTACGCAGGGTTCCAGTCACAATATAAAAGACACATTATGTATGTATACATATCGTAGTGTATAGCTCTTTAATTCAACATCTACCTCTACCTTTTTATTTTATTTTACTATGCATTATGTACTATTTGGTTTGATTTGGTTTGGTTTGCTACGATTTTCTGGTAATCTAGCTTTGACTGCAAATTATTAAAAATCACCGTTGCCAAATGTTGCACCTGAATGCCTTTGTGTACTCTACTGTACCATGCTGTGCTGTGATGTGCTGCAAAGTGTGTGCATTGAAACATAACAAGATACTGCAAAACCACGCTGTTCTTTATCAAAATAAACAAGTATCTCTTACATTAGCCATGTCAGTTGATGCTTGACATCGTACCATGATAGCATCCTGTATCTACACATGCATATATATATATATATATATATTGTTTTGTCTCTTATTACTACTATTATTTTCTATTTGGTTTGGATTACTCTTCCTTATCAATTAATGTCCTTCCACTATATATATATATATACTTAAGCAACCAATTGATCACATTTGAACATCTTAATCACAAGTTTTTGTACATGTGTATCGAAATAAGCCAAGTCAAGACAATAATTTTGAACAATTGAATTGCCATAATATAGCCGGGCCGGCTTCAATAATTTGTATCCAAAAAAAAACAGCGATCTTTTTCTACGTTTATGGACAATGGCCTTGATGCCATTTAAATCCCAGTGAACAGCGGCGTTGTGTTATATATATATGTATAATTTGTGTGTGTGTCCGTGGGTATCCGTGGGTGTGTGTATTTTTTTTACTTGTGGCAAATTGCCCTTATTCAACCTATATTTCCACTTTTTACTTTTATTTCTATTTTATACTTTTTTCTCTTATTTTTATAGCAGTTGTTGCTATTATAATTATTATCTCCTTTCCATTATAATCGAAAGAAAAGAAGAATACCAACACCAACAACAGGAACAGGAGCAACGACAACAACAACAACAACAATAATAAGAAGAATAAGAACCTTCATCTCCAACAATCTACACAAAACTGAATCCGAACCTTTTACTCTCTATCCAATTATCACCCGAATATAACCACCATGCGAGGTCTATTAGTATTTATATCCGACATTCGCAATTGTAAGTGTAATCAACTAAACAAAAACATCAAGTGCAATAGTAGCAAAAACACCACCACCACCAGTAGTATTAGCAGTAGTAGCGACAACAAAATCACCAGTAACATCAGCATACAATATTACAATCATCTCGCTCTCTTCCCTTTTTATGTGCCTCATACCAATACCAATACCAATACCAACAATAACACGCGATCTCACTATTCTCTGTTATTTTCTTCTTACTTTACTAGGTCGAGTGAGGGAATTGGAAGAAAAACGAATTAATAAAGAAATGGCAAACATTAGATCTAAATTCAAAGGTAAAATAAAATAAAAAAACAGAATGAGAAAGAGTAAACTAGAGATAGCGAGGGAGAAAAGAAGAAGAAGAAGAAGAAGAAGAAGAAGAAGAAACATGTTCCTGAAAGAATGAGCAAAATACATAATCATTCCCAACAATACTAAATGGACTACACATTATAAGATGGCAGCTTGAATGGTTACCAAAAAAAGAAATATGTGTGCAAGCTTCTTTACATGTACATTCTCGGCTGGGACATTGACTTTGGTCATCTCGAGGCAGTCAACCTTATCTCTAGTACAGTCTACAGTGAAAAGCAAATAGTAAGTTAGTTGTATATTTTATTCAATGATGTGTATTTATCAAAAGCAATTGTACATATTTGGACCTTCTTTCCTTACTGTATATTTTCTTCTTCTTTAGGGATATTTGGCTGTCACTCTTTTATTCCATGAGAACAGTGACTTGGTACGCTTGGTGGTCAATTCAACAAAGAAAGACTTGGATGACATGAACGAAATCAACAACTGTCTTGCTTTACACGCAATTGCAAATATTGGTGGCCGTGAAATGGCTGAGTCATTGGCTACTGACGTTCATCGCTTATTAATCTCACCGTAAGGGAAAAAAATAACAATCGTGAATATTTGCGCGGATTACTCAACATCTAGGTTTATGCTTATCGGTGGGATAATTCAATGTGATATAGGACATCAAAGAGTTTTGTAAAAAAGAAGGCTGCCCTTACTTTATTACGTTTGTTTCGTAAACATCCCGACGTAATCCCTGTTACAGACTGGGCAGATAGAATTATTGGATTGATGGATGAATATGATTTGGTAAGCGAGAGAAATATAGAAATATAGAAAGATAGATGGAGAGAGAGAGAGAGAGAGAGAGAGAGAGAGAGAGAGAGAGAATTAATTGCATGAAAAGGCAAATGTAATATTTATATATTTATACATGTACTTCAAATTTGTAGGGTGTTGCATTGTCAGTAACTACATTGGTTCTTACTTTGGCTCAAAGTTTTCCTGTAGAGTATGGTGGATGTTATGAAAAGGCAGTAAACCGAATGAAGAGAGTAAGTTCAAAATTAAAGCATATATATATATATATATGTGTGTGTGTGTGTATGTGTGTATGTATGTAATAGGATTTTAAACGAGGCTTCTGTAGACATTGGTAGACCGTGATTATAGTCTAGACTACATTTATTACAAGGTACCTACACCTTGGTTGCAGGTCAAGTGTCTTCGTCTTTTACAATACTATCCTCCGCCAGGTAAGAACACTATAAATGATAACAATTGGTGTTCATTTTTGAATATATATATATTGCTATTGCCTCGCATGTCTTCATTTATTCCTTTATTTAATCAATCATTTGTTCGGCTGTTTGTTTCTATAGAGGACCCGAAGCTGAGAGAAGACATTAGCGAACTTTTACAAATCATCATTACGAACTCTCAAGACGCTCCCAAGAATGTTCAGCACAGTAATGCTCAAAATGCTGTTCTGTTTGAAGCCATCAATGTCGCCATCCACCTGGATAGTAACTCAACAATATGTGCACAGGCCGCTGCTCTTCTTGGGCGCTTTATCTCTAGCAAAGAGACCAATGTACGCTACCTCGGCCTGGAAACCATGGCTCATTTGGCTGCCTGTGTAGATTCGCTGGAACCCATCAAACGCCACCAAGAGACGATTCTCATGTCTTTGCGTGACAAAGATATCAGTGTCCGCCGCCGTGGTTTGGATCTCCTCTACTCGATGTGTGACACCTCCAATGCAAAGATCATTGTGTCTGAGCTGCTGCGCTATCTCCAGGTGGCCGACTATGCAATGCGCGAAGAGATGGTACTAAAGATTGCCATCTTGGCAGAAAAGTTTGCAACAGCCTACTCGTGGTATGTAGATATCATTCTGCAACTCATCTCTACTGCAGGCGAGCAGGTCGGAGAAGAGGTTTGGTTCCGTGTGGTCCAGATTGTGACAAACAACGACGAGTTGCAAGAATATGCGGCCAAGACGGTTCTCAACTACCTTGGGTCTCCCCAGTATAACGAGACTATGGTCAAGGTGGGTGGCTACATTCTCGGAGAGTTTGGACACTTGATCGCAAACTATCCTGGATGCAGTCCGATTGAGCAGTTCAATGCCGTTCATTCCAAATTCAACCTCTGCTCGCTTCAGACCCGTGCCCTGTTGCTCACCACCTACGTCAAGTTTATCAATTTGTTCCCGGAGATCAAGGGGCAGGTTCTTTCAGTGTTTAACCAGTACCGCTATGTGCTCGACTCTGAACTGCAGCAACGTGCCTGCGAATACCTTGCGATCTCTACCATGCCAACGGATGACATGCTTCAGACAGTGTGCGAAGAAATGCCGCCTTTCCCGGAGCGTGAGTCTACCCTACTACTGAAACTGAACCAGAAGCACGGAGACACCGAGGACAAGCGTGTATGGGTTATTGGTGGCAAGGAAGCCAACATGGAAAGACAGGAGGGCCTCAAGAGAATTGCGTCTATGCGCATGAGCTCTGTAGACTCAGCCGGTGGTAACGGAAGCCCAACTATTGTGAATACCCCCTTGGCCTCAACTCCGCTCGCCATTACTTCTACAGCCACACTTAGCGTCGAGCCTGATCTTCTACAGCTTGGGGATATGACTCTCACCGATTCACCGGTATTGAACCAAGCAATAGTACGTCAGCCAAGGGCTGCCTCTATCCCCGTTATCCCCACCAACCTACCCTTGGCCCAGGGATACGAACTTGGTTTCAATCGACTCCAGTGCTTTAAAGAGGGTGTGCTATATGAAGACGGGCAGATTCAATTGTCGATAAAGACCGAATATCATGGATCTCAGGGAAGGATTGGTCTGTACATCAGTAACAAGACGCCTTTCCCGATGACAAACGTTTTTCTTCAGATACCACCTCATGCACAACTGAATATTCAGCCTCAACAACCAGAAGATACGTCCAATACGATTGGACCCCAATCACAAACACAGCGTCTAATCCAGGTCGAGTGTGTGGATGTATATAGCAGTGCACCCGACTTGTTTTGTACATACACACTCAATGGACCACCAGAGTTTATTCACCTCAAATTGCCAGTCGTTCTGACCAAATTCCAGGAACCTATTGAGGCTATGGATGGAGCCAATTTCTTTAAGAGATGGGGACAGTTGGGTGGCCCACCCCGGGAGAGCCAGATTATTTTCAAGAGTGAAGGAGGACCAATCCAGCTTCCAATTGCAGATGCTGTCTTGCGTGGTTATCGCTTTGGCTTACTACAGGGTGTAGATCCAAATCCTAATAACTTTGTGGGTGCAGGTGTAGTTGATGCTGGAACGACTGGAGGAAAAGTGGGTGTGCTGTTACGGCTGGAACCGAACTTGGAACAGAACGTAAGTTTTTCTTATTCTTCTCCTTCTTTCTATTATTTGAGTTTGTATAGTATAGATGAAATAGTAGCAGAAATCTAATATATAACATTGACTATTTACATATATATTCCTTACAAAAGATGTACCGCCTGACCATTCGATCTCCCAATGAACTTGTGTCAGATCATGTTCGTGCTTTACTTGAACGTACACTGATGTACGGTGCCTAAACACCAGCCAAGGTCCAATCTATAAAACAACTGCAACAACAACGATTATAATAATAATAATACTATACACATGAGAAGGAAGCCTTTTCTTTTAATGAAAAAAAATATAGCAACCACAACAACAAAAGAATCCCGCACCTTTCTTATATTTCTTCCCTTCAATTTTTCACCACTATTCTTCCCACCATTATCTCTGTCTCTGTATCAATTCTCTCACATTTTCTCTTTGCCACCGTGTGATCCAATACCAATCATATTATTTACAAAGCTTACAACGTCAACCTTTTCTACATTCTTTTATTTTTTTTATGTATTCAATATATTCAAGTCTTAAGCTTGAATATAAAATAGATAGCTACCCGTATAATTGACTTGGATTATCACGAGATTATATATATTATATATATTTCAAAAGTTAGAATACAAGCATATGACTTTGACTCTGCCTTAATTCTCTGCAAATTTTCATACTACAGTAGCTACTTTTCCCATTATTGAGATACTAACCCATAAACGATCCCGAATACCTCACCAGTCATTTCTATAAAGTAAATAAGATACTCGTAATAATAGCATTAAGAATAAATAAAAGCTCGTTTCTTTTAAATAAATCTTAATTTATTTATTTTACACATACTTTGAAAAGGAAAAAGGATTTCAATTTTTTCAAAAAGAAATTAATAAAATATTATTTTGGTAAATATCCAATAATCGTAGCAGAAAGGAGAAGTCCGGAAGAAATAAACAAGCCAAAGGCGATTGGTATTTCCAAAAAATTTTCGTAAGTATATATATCAATGAAAGGTCCAGCGCACATATATAAAATAAAATAAGGAATAAGAAAAGGACAAAAAACGATAGGGCTAAGGATCCAGGATAGCACAAGCCATTCTGTTAAACTGTGGCTATTATAATCAGCCCATATACCAATAAACACAAAAACTATTATTCCTGCAAGTATCGAAAGTCCGGTCACAAGTCCATCGTAATAATCATGTTTATGATTACATTTGTCCGAGCTGTTGTTATTTTTTGTAGATGAAGTAGATCCGGCCCCTTCAACCGATGCTTTATATTCTTTAGATAGGCTTAGAATTAAAGCTTCGTCTCTATCTTCATAGATACTGAATGCCGCAATTTGCTTGTGCAGTAAAAGGAGAGAAGACGTCTGGAGCACTGACATTATAGTGTATATAATAATAATGACCTTGGCCCATCTGTCTCCGTCTATATCCATACATTCAACTGTGGTATAAAATAGCTGTCCAATTGTAACAAAGACTTCAATATATGATGTATCGTCCATATTATGCGCCGTTTCCAGTTGATTGATCATAGTGTCCGTCATCAAATGAATTTCATCGGGCCTTGCTTTCTTTTGATATTTACAGGCTGCCCCTGGTCCATTTACTACTAGCTCTTCAGTTTTGCAATATGGATACATTATTTCATTCAAGGGTTCATCTTTTACACCAACAGTTATAGAGCAATTGAGGATACAATGTTTAATTTGCTTTGCTTTTTCGGGGCCCATTATATGCAAAAAAGCTGCTAGGTATGCTGCTTCAGTGTGTCCACATCCTTTATTTTTCATGTCTTTTAATAATCGATCCTTTAGACAGGTGGCGCTCGAAAAATCTGTGTAATGTCTCGTATCTTTGGTAACAATTTCTTTATCATTTTCGCATTCGAGTGTAGATGGCTTAATTAAAGGCGACGAGTCTTGTGAAGCTGGCTTGCTTGAGTTTAGTGGAATTCTGTTGATATCTTTTTTGGGTTTGTTGGTTTCTTCTTTGGCATAACTTTTTAACAGGGGTTTATATTGAGAAATTTTGAGTATTTTGTCCCCAAAGAAAGATTTATACATAGATTCCACTGCCAAGCCAATTCCACTGGAGGGGTATACAAGGGCAATAAAACGTCGATAGCCTGTAGGAAACTTGCTGACACCTGTCCTAGGGCGTATGGTTACAACATGTGATATGTAGCCAAGCAGTACAGTTTGTAAAATCGAAATTATGGGCAGTTTACTGGTGAACATATTATAATCTTGGTGAACTGGTGGAGCGGAGCATTTAGGTATAAAAACCAATAATAAAACACATAAACTGAGTAGTAATCTTTGTAGTAACATCATATAAGCATAGGAAACCACAGGAAGAAAATAGAGAGATAGAGAAAATAATATTTGCGCAGGTTTTATCAGAAGAATATGCGCATTGATGAGCAACAAGAGATTCAATATATATAGCGCTTGGCAGGATTTTATATAAGATTAAAGGTCTTAATAAACCAAGTGACGATGGTGTTCATCAGTTTAGAGCCCATGAGATAGCAGCTTATAATCAAAATAGACTTAAATATAGTTACGGCATGATAGTAGAGTACTCTAACCTTGTGTATTTATTGAAATAAAATGGCGTTTTAATACAATATACAGAATGAGCAGATATAAGGTGTAGTAAGGTGTAGTAAGTAATTTAAATTTATGACGATGCTTATCAAATAAAACAGCTTTAATACTTTTAAAAGAAACGTAACTAGTATTCTAGCATATAAAGTATAAGACAGAACCGTCTGCTGTCAGTACAAAGAAATACTCACACATACACACACTCACAAAAAGATTATTCCAAATGGATACATACTAAATAGCGGCTCAAATACAGCTTCTAATTATTGATGAGCAAGCTCTCAAGCGCCCCAAGATCTACAAGACTTTCTTTTCTTTTCTTTTGTACTTTATTGATGTAATCGCCGTGTGTAATATGAATCTCTAGAATTTTTACACCTAAATATATACAAGATTTTAGAAATGTATTTAGAAAAGACTCATCAATTGATATATTTGACTAAACTTTTAATCCTAAAAGGTTTGTGTAAATATTGCGAGAGCCTTCTAAAAAATCCTTCAATAAGAAAAGCAAAGAAGAGGTTTGTCATCTATTAACTGTAATTAATATTATTTATTTAAATATAATTCAAGCCTATACAAAAAAAAAATATAACAATTATGGCAAACACAGTAGGATAAATGTTGTTCCAAGGTAACAGACAGTCAGCCTGGATCATCCATACGCATAAACTCGTGTGCCTTTAGCCCTAAACTAATCCAATAGTATTCCCAAAAAAATAACAGAAAAACCACATATATACAAGTGCAGAAGTATGTGTGATAAATACCAAGTATTCCAAGCCATTTCTCTTTAAACTCTAGTGTAGCGTATGACTAAACAAACCTATTTATTTCTCTTTCTTCTTAAAACGAAACATTAAACATAAGAATGCGTATAGCCTCTTGTTGCGTATAGAAACCAATGCATAATGAAATACATCTTTTCAACATTAGGCTGTAGATCGAACGATTTTTATTACGAGTACTATATTAAAAGGAAAAGTCACTATTTTGCAGTTAAAATCCTGTACTTGAGAAAAACTCCGTCCAGCCACATAATTTTATATAAAACAAACAAGCAAACAGTAAAATATACAATTTAGATATTTGGTTTTTAGAGGACATGCCTTTTTTTCTATAGCCACTAATTGTTTAGCTAATCAGTCAACCATTTTAGTTAGATACACAATTGCTCTTCTTAAAATTTCCTTGCCCCTGGGGGGAATTTTTTTTTTATTCTAAAACAGAATAGACATCAACTAAACTACGTCTATTATAAATTTTAATGAGTAAAAGAATATGATATATAAAGAAAGGAATAAAGGAAGGAGGATGAAATGTTGAGGTGAGGGTGGATATGGAGGTGGAAGTGAGGGTGAAGGTGAAGGTGGACTCGTTTGGAATATCCAGTTGTCCAATTTATAGGCAAAATGAAGTGAGTGCTTTGGTTTATTCTAATGCTTGCCGGCCTTGAATTTGAGCAGAGGTGCCAGGATTTCCAAAGGTCCTGCCTTCTTGAGGAAGTCATGCTAAGAAAGTAACAGTACGAATAATGATAGTTTAATATTAACCAATAGCAATAATATCACTATTTTGTATATAAAATTTACCTCGATCAGTTCAGCAGATGTAGCTCTTGATCTAACATCAACACACAAGCACACTGCCAAGAAACTCTTGAGCTCACGCGAAAGTCTTTCGGGTGCCTTGAGGGTTGGTGTTCCATTGGTGGCAATGAGATAAAGTGCCTTGAGTGGTTCTTCATCCAGGTAAGGTGGTTCGTTCTCAATCATTTCAATAGCCATGATTCCTAATGACCAGATATCAACCTTGGCACCATACTCCTTTTGCTTGACTACTTCAGGGGCCATCTATATACAATTCAAAAAAAAAGGTTACACTCTTGTTTTCTTTCTTTTGGATCTCCAAAAATTTACCCAATATGGTGTGCCAACCATGGTTGCACGCTTGTTACGCTGATCTGTGAGCTTAGCACAGAATCCAAAATCACTAATCTTGACCTGACCGTGGGCATTGAGAAGAATGTTATCAGACTTGATGTCTCTGTGAATAATATTTTGAGAGTGCAAATGGTGAAGACCGGCAGTAGACTAAGAAAAATAATAAGAATAAGTATATGTGCCTGATTATATTAAATAACTTTATATATATATATATACCTCTAGACAGACGGTAGCAATTTGTTGTTCGGTCATGGTGTTGTTGTCGATAACATCAGTGAGTGCGCCACCCTCCATGTACTCCATAATAACCCAAAGTTCGGCATTCTTGACAAGGAAAGAGTCAAGGAAGTTGACAATGTTGGGGTGCTGAGACTCCTTCATAACCAGAATTTCATTGACAATCAATTCTTTACGGGGTTGATGAGCAAGATCCATTTGTTTGATGGCCACCTTGGTGTTGGTAGACAGTGAGATGGCAACATAAACAGATCCAGAAGCACTATATTATATATATATGCTTTAGTTTTGATTTCTTTTATATCCATACATACAAAGAATTAAATTTCATTACCCTTGGCCAACTCTCTTCAACTTCTTGTACATATCAGTAGGATCACCACGGGTTACAACAGAGCCTAAAAGACAGAATAAAAATCAGTTCATGTTCTGGAACTGTGTGTCTGTATGTCTATCACTTACGCAGCTTGTCCATAATTTGAGCTTCGGTCATTGTGCTTATTCTTTGTTCGACCTTCTTCTTTGAAGAAACCTGGGCAGCCGTCTTTTCTCTCTCGCGTTCTCTCTCACGCAATTCCTTTTCTCTCTCCTGTCTTTCCTGTCGCTCACGTTCCCGCTCACGTTCTCTCTCGAGTTCTCTTTCGCGAGCCCGTTCTCTTTCTCTTTCCTGACGTTCTCTCTCTCGCTCACGCTCTCGTTCTCTCTCACGCTCTCTCTCACGCTCTCTTTCTCTCTCGCGTTCCTTCTTTTCTCTCTCTTGTCTCTCGCGTTCTTGTCTCTCACGCTCATACTGAGCACGTTCGTCATAGGAAGAAGAATAGCCGCCACCGCCACCATTGCTGCTGCTATGGGAAGGTCTACGGCCACTGGTCTGGGATCGTGAAGGTTCGGGAAGGAAGTATGGGTTTTGTGGAGAATAAGGTGATCCTCCAGGGCTGAGATCGCGCGGTGAACGAGGATAGAGACTCTAATCGAGCATTATCATTAGTATTAGTATGATTTTTTTAAAAAAATAAGAAGGAAAAATCAGGTGAGATTGGTAAGAAATCATGCATGGAGTGATTTTTTTAAAAACAGATTATTTACTTACAGGAGACGAGGGTGCTCTGTCATTGGGATTGAGACGAGGTGAGATTTCAAGTGGGTTTGGTGTGCATGGAGGAGTGAGTCTAGAAGACTGAGTGCGATCCTATGTACACACATATATATCAATTGACTTGTTCTCTTTCTTTCTCTAAATTGATATATATATATCAATTGAATTAAACTAAACCTACACTTTGACTGACAGATAGTTCATCCATCATATCATTGACATCACGCTCAGGATAAGTTTGGGATGGTGGTGCTGGTGCAGGGCGAGGGATTGGGCGATAATTGGCTGCAGATGTAGGAGATGTGGGTTGTTTTTCTTGAATGAGAGCAGCCCAGCGATCATCGCTTCTACGCTCAACCGCGCCTTGAAGGTGTGATGATCCGTATTCCTCTGCTTCTCGCTTGGTTTGTTCGGTGTAAAATTCAAGAACGTCAAGAACTGCCTGAGGGTTCTTTGCTGCATCTTCTGCTGTAATTGCAGAGCCCTTGAGTAGTTTAGTCCATTGGTCTGGTAGCCCCTAATAGCAAAAAAAAAAAAACAAATAATAAAATTCAATACAGCACAATAGAATAGAATAAATGTCATTGACTGGACCACCAGCGCGTGCCCCTTATCCTTGTTTAGTCCTTGTTTTTTTTTCACTTCTTTTCTACTTACGGTGAATGCCCCCGTGATGGGATCAAAGCCGACGTGCACCTCGTGAACGAAATTAGTTGGACCAGAAGCCCCGACAGGAGATCGCTAAACAACCCCATCCATAGCAACCAAGAAAATGAAATGAAGATAGGTAAGTATAATATAATGATTTGCGGAATCTTCAATTTGATTCCAAATCAGTTCTGCGACTCACGTTGTAGATCTCATCCATCCATGAATATAACTCTTCGTCGTTCTTGCACGCAATGTAGTATGTCTTGTCCTTGTTTGTTACTTCAAAGCAGTATGGTTTCAAATCTGTGCGAGTCACAGAAGTGATCTCCTTTAGAAATATCAGGGCCACACACTGGCCACTTTGCTAATAAGAACAAGAGTAAATTAGTAAATTAGTGAATTATAAAAATAAAATAAAATAAAAACCAGGTACCAAAAGTTTATTTTAATTTAATATCAAAATTACTGTGCTTATGGATATCTAAACTACAGACTTACTTCGTTTCTATGAAATGTCAATGCTTGGTCTCTAAGAACACAGTATCGTTTGGACCAAATCCATGCCCGCAGACCATCTTCCTTGACGGATAGGTAACCGGCTTGAAGGATCTCAGTCATGAGTCAGAATGGTCGGTAATAAATTCAATCAACAAGGTCGTTGAATTCGTAGAAAAAGATAAAAAATGAAATAAAATCAAGGTATAATTATATGAATATTAAGTGGTAAAGAGCGAGTGAAAGACACGTTCAAGGCTCCAGTTCTTTTGTCTTGTTTGTGTCTGATTCTTGTTTAGATGAGATGGCAGGATGTAGAGTGGAATGAAAGTAGATGAGACGGAGATGAAAAGAAGGAGAGGAGAAACCAATAATTAAAATAAAATAAAAATTCAAAAAGTCAAAAGCTCTCTTTTTGAACAGGCAAAAAAAATGAAAGCAAGAGAAATAAAGAAAAGAAAAGCAGAGTATCTTTAATTTTTATTTTTGGTCCCTCTATACTTTCTTTCTCTTTCTCTCTCCTCTTTCTACCTCTAGATTATCCCCCTTCTTCTTCCTTCTCCTTCTTCTTCTTCTTTACCTCTACATAGAGTCATGTAATTATGTAGATCTAGAGGTCCGTCCATGTCATTGGTAGCGTGGCTACAAGCTATTGTATTATAAATACCTATTTTATCCATATATATATATAAAATATATATATTTTCCTGAGATTCTTGACTATTTCTTTTTGAATCAAAACTCCCCTTGTCTTTTTTCTCTCATTCTTTTTACCAACCGCCCCTTACTACACGTGTAACACTGTTGTTAATGAAGCTTTCTCCGATAATGAACTTACACGCCATTACCCCCCGTTAAAGATCAAGAAAGAAAAATATAAGTTATGGGAACAATAATCACATACACACTTACAAAACTACCCGCTCCATTCAATTACACAATACAAGTGTGTACAGATATTTGGGTATTAATTAAAGGTAAAGAATATAGACCTCTTTAAATCCAAAGGATTTATATTCAAGAGATTATATATATATATATATATATATGTATATATATCCCACGATACCCTACCTGGTTTAGACTATGTACAAGCTTTTTATAGTACTGGCCACCAAAACAATTGCATTTAATTGAGATAAAAATAATTAAAATATGGATGTAGCTGTATGAGTGATTTGGTCAAAGTAACTGAATCATCTCGTCATAATTTAACCACTACACAGATTCTACAAATTCGTACTAACGTACAATTATTGTAGGTACAGGTCTATCTAAACATGATTTATTATTCAGGTATGCTTGTCAATTCTCTATACACTCACAAATAGACTTTATATAACATTTAATAAAAGTCAAGAGTAGAATTGGCCAAGAAACAAAGAATATGTATGGTAATAATCCGAGGATTTAAAAAGTATATATAAAGAGACACTATAGAATGATTTTTAAGGACACTTTGTTAGAAGTCGAGTCCATGATGTTATATTATCTACATATTAATCTATGTGAGCCTAATAATAATGTCCGTCTATATACAAACCTTATACTTTTACAAGTCTTGGTTACAGAATTATACTTCTTTCGAAAATTACAGAATTTTCTTTTGATTAGAATTCCAACAAAATTTACACACTTTACAGATTAAAGTAATTCTTATGAAATTCTTATAATTTTTAAGAAAAAAATTGTCTGAACTTCAACTAAATTACCCTCAACCTCCCCTTTAAAGATTAAATGACTTATGTAGAACAGAACAGAAACCCCCAAGAAAAATAAACTTCTTTGTCAATCTCTCTTCTCTCGAATATATATAAAAAAATCTAATCACAGTGTATGAACAAACCAACACAACCAAAAGGAGAAATAAATATATATAAATACTACTCTTTGCCTTTCTTCTTATTAGTATTTACAATATATTAATGATGCTTCCAACTTAACTTGTGAATAGTTTATACAAAACACATTTATTCATTTATAAATACAAAATATAAATATACTTGTACTTGTACTATCAATTGCTTATAATGACTGACGCTGTTGAAACAATGGAGATTGGTACGATCACATAAATGCTCTTTAACAAACAACTCATCAAATCTACTTGCAGATTCTATCTTGGAGGAAGATCTCTTGGGTACTGATTTGGATAATGCAATCCAAGACGATCTAAATCTAGTCGAATCTACAGAAAAGACTCATCCAGAACAAGACCTCAGCACTCTCGACACAACACGCCAGGAAGCAATCTTTCTTCAAGGAGTAGATGAGATGAGCACCGAGGATATCTGGGAATATTGTTCTGGATTACCTTTGTCAAAGGTTGAATGGATTGATGATTCACATTGTAAGTAATGATTGATCCTTTTAAAAATCTAATACAATTAATAAATAATCGCGTCGATGTGTACTATGCTCTTTTAACATACATATTTTAACCCTTTTTTTGTTTTTATATTTTTTTTTAAAAAAAAAGGTAATCTTGTATTCTCCTCAGAAGAGGAAGCAATAAAGGCAGCTCATGATTTAGTTAGTTTTCCTCTTGCTGAGGATGAGACGTTATCAACGACCAGATTGCGAAAAGCAAAAATCTACACCCGTTCAAAAGATGGAGAGAATTTTGAATCTCTCCAGATCCGATGTGCTACAATGGACGACATCAAGATTCAAGGAGCAGGCAATTATAGTCGTTATTATCTCTTGCACGGCACAGACTCATCAATACGACGACAACAGCAACAACAAAGATCAACATCCTCAAACAAACGGACGGCCCCGGTCAGAAAGACTGACGAGGAGGGTAATCCTTTACCTATCACGAGTCGCCTGGGTGAGCGAAGAACCGACCAGCCTCAAAGAGAGAGAGTAGATCGACGTACAGAATATAGAGATGTCAGAGGTGAAGGCAGACGAAGAGAAAGAAGAGAAAGAGGAGTAGGAGGAGAGAGCGTGCTTAGCCGCCTTGGAGCTCGGATTTCTTCAAACACAGGTCCTGATGACAATGATCGTTATCCAGCATGGCAAAGAAGGCAAAGATCGTCGCGTAGACGGAGATCGATGTCCCCCGTACGATCTACAGAACCAGACGGTGATTCCACAGCAGAAAAGGGGCTTGATTGCTTGTCTGAGAGTCTACGGGGTAGACTTGGAACAAAAAAGACATCTTAGGCTATATAATAATAGTAATAATTTATGTTTTTTATTACTTTTATATACAAGGGGTATTAAGTTTATTAGCCATTATTGTGTTTAAAAGCAAGTTTATTTATTTATTTATATTCGTTCAATATAAATGTAAATGCTGTAGTAGAATCTTCATATACACACATGCTTTTTATGTTCTTATTGAAGAAGATACACGTGAATTTATGGGTCTAAAGATTAGTGATAGTATTATTATTATTTTAAAAAAAAATAGAGGTAAAATGATGATAAAATGATACACATAATATAATGTATATAATGTATATATATAAAGCATATGAAAAAGATATGCCAAGATAAAATTAAGAAGAAGTATGATCTTTGATTGTATTCTTTAAAAACTTTACTCCCATACTTTTCATTCAATTGATGTTCAAGTATTCATTTCATTTCATTTCATTTTGTATGTATGTAATAGAAACACTTCTTTAAAAATATATATATATATAAAAGGGTTTGGATGTGAGGGACGAAAGAAAAAGAGAAAAAAAAATGAATCCTTTAAAGTGTCTGTTTGCTTTGTTTGATTGATTGTTTATGCGAAATATTCTTAATCGCGGTCGTGGACATCTCTTTCGGGAGCACGTTCCACATCCTCTCTGCGTTCACGGTCTTCTCTGGGAGCAGCGTACTCACGGTCACGGTCGCGTCTATCACCACCACGTCGTTCATCGGATCGGTAGTCATCGCGGCGAGGGGATCTGTCGCGACCACGGTCATCACGGCGACGATCGTAGTCTCTGCCACCTCTACTTATGCGCTATTTATGAAATATATACATATGTTAATACTAATATATCATAATATAAGATTAAGTATTGACTTACCGAGGAACAAGATGTAGAAAAGACAAGAAAGAGGATAAGCCAACAGCGAACGGGATACAGCGTATACAAAAAGAAAAGAGAAAAAAGGCAATGCTTTGTGTCAGACGGTGGCGGAAACGGATGTTAAGAGGAACAGTAGAACGACGTGGCGGATTCAAGAAAAAAAAAGGGGGGAGTGAACGGTCCAACACTCATTGAAAGTGCAACAACATAGGAGCGGACGACACATTTTAAGCAGAGAGAGTAGAGGAAGACCACGCGAACGCAGTGCAGTGTGCAAATCAAACGCATAGACTTCTTTTTTTTTTCTCTTTTTTTTACCCAAGCTTTTTTTATAGAGTGAGAGCAACAGAGAGATAGAGAGAGATAGTAAGAGACAATATCGGTTATTTTTTGTCATTAATAACAGAACGCGCGTTCACCAAAATAAAAATCCCGAACAAGGTTACAAAGGGAACACGAGTGATTCTCATCATCATCATCATCATCAAAAAGGTTTCCCTCAAAAGCACGCACACACACAGCACAGCACACAGCACAAGGCACAGAACAGCAAGTTTTCTCACTCTCTCGGTCGGTCGGCCGTTCTCTATCTCTTTCTCTCTCTGTCGCTCTCACTTTCACTCACTCTCTTTTCCTAGCCTTTCAATACCTTCCCTTCTTTTCAAAAGGAAAGCACAGAAGTGCAAGAAGAAGAACAAGAAGGAAAAAAAAGGTCGCTTTTTTTGCTTCCGCTCACGCCGTTACATGGCACTGACAAGGCACGGAACACTGATGATATACTCTGAAGACGGGCTGTACCTTCTGTCACGATCACTTCCACGGCCTTGGTCGCGTCTGGGGGAACGGTCACGGCCACCACGGCTGCCATAGCCTCTGTCACCTCTGTCGCCACCGCGACCTCTCTCACGGCAATCTCTGGCCCAGTGACCTACAAAACATTTTTTTCATTTGATATTAATATTGTTGTTCAAAATAATGATTTGATTTTAAATTTTATTATTTATTTATTGTACACACACACAAGCGCGTGTATGTATAACTATATTTGTGTATATGTGTGTAATATATAATTATATAAAATTATTACTAATAATATGATTTACCTTCTTTGCCGCAGTGGAAGCACTCGTTCTCGCCGGCTCTCTTTCCACCATTCTTGGCCCATTCGACAACGAGCTCCTGCTGTAATATTATAAACAATATGTTTAAATTTTTTCTTGTTCTTTCAATATATATTTATATATAATACTTACAGATTCGTTGACGCCGTTCATGGCATCTTCAGCGTCACGCTTGTCTTCAAACTCAACAAAGCCGAAACCTATTACAAAATATAATTTTTAAAAAAAAAAAAGGTTAATGAGCAAGTAATTTTTTTTTTCGTTTTGATCTCTAATGTTTCTTTAAAGATGATAAACTTACCCTGCTTAACATCAAGACGGGTGATCTTGCCAAACTTGGAGAATCTATCTTCCAAATCACGCTAGATTGAGATGATTAATTTATTAGATGATGTATATTTATAAGAATTTTTTGAATAATAATTGTGAGATTGACTTACGGTGCCCATGTCTCTGGGGATTCTGCCGATAAAAAGTGCCATATTTGTGCTGTATTTATATATTACGATTAATAAAAGATGTAAAAAGAGAAAGTGGGTTTCTTCCTACAAAGATAAAAAGGTGGGATGTGGAAAGAGGTAAAAATAAAATAATAAATAAAAAAGATTGAGGTTGAGGGGAAAAAATTGCGGTCAACACGTGTGTCACTCTCCGCGACCAATCAACATTGACTTCATTGTCGCTGTCTGAACCTACAGGAGAGCAGGTTCCTTTCTTCCAATTCATGCCACACCATTACTACATTTTAAGCCGCACAAACACACACACACACACACACACATACGCACACTAAATGCTGAGCAATTGACCTTCAATAAAATATGAAGAAGAAGAAGAAGAAGAAGAGAATCATAGTAGCAACAACAGCAAGTATATATATACATATTATTATTATTATTATTAATGAAAGAGAGCAAAATAGAGAATGACTCGGATAAACAGAATTTGGTATTGATATATGAATATATAGTACGATTTTATTTATTTATTTTATTTATTGTCTATGTTCTATGCTCTTATTTTAAGCATATTAATTAGCACAACTGTTTGCACTACCGTTCAATTTTACAGTCACTTTTAACTAATAAGCCAAAAAAAATGATAAAAAAAAAAAGTAAACAAACCTACTCAATATAATATTAATCAACCTATTTTTCTGACGACGTCATCGCTATTTGTAATCTCAAGCCACTCATACAACAACTGTTCAATTGTCTCATGATGTAGCCTATTTTTTATATTTATTTTTAGATTGTTTAAAAAAAACCCCCCAAAAACAAAAGGTGATTTTATAATTTTCTTGACTTTATAAAGAAATTAATAGTAATAGTAAAAAAAAAGAACTACTGCTATATAAATATATATATATAAGATATATAATATATTTAGGTACAAACAAGGAGTACGCAGGTTCAGAATAATAACCTTTTTATTTATTTAATAATTTATTATTTAATTTGATTGGCTCGTAATGTTTTTCTGGCGCAAATTCTAATTTAAAAAAAAAATGAAATCAATATACAAATCACGAAACATATCGTATAATTCTGATTGAGCTTGACTGAGTTTTTGTAGGCCATTGAACGACAATTAATCTCAGATTACTAAGGTTGTGGTTGAGGCTCCTTTAGAAAACACAGAATTGATTTTTGTAAGATGAAGTATTAACTTTTGTCTAACATGGCTCTTTCCACTAACACTCCGGAACCACCAGGGGTCAAAAACCCCTCCACCACTGGCTCATCTCCACCATTGGCAACCTCATTCACACCAATCTCACCTACTCTGACACCACTATACTCACAAGTAGCTACACAGAATGCACCTCCACTCACCGAAAAGCAACCACATGTTATCTTTAGCTCTACAAATAACACAACCCCACGTACCTGGCGTGTAGGGTCCTCTAAGTTCTCTGTATTCTTTACCGCCCCACCAAAAACGTCACCCAACTTCGACCCTTTCTGGAGAGCCCTTCTCGCAGCTTACCCTCGCGAAGTTAACATGGGAATCACTCTTGGATCTCGCTATTCCCCTGATACATGCGAGCTCCACCTGGCTACCAGTGCTGACTGTGAGAGAGCGTGCTCTCATCCTTTGGTAGTCGGCGTTTCATCTTTTCCCGCTCAACCGGCTGTTCCCATTGGCACAATTGTTCGCCGTGTTTTCCTGACCAAGCTTCCTCGTGTCCCCTATCCGGAACTTGCTACACAGCTCACGAAATGTATGTCTCCTTTTGGTAAAGTGCGTGAGATCGCCGTTCACGAAACGTATGGGTTTTTTGACGGCTCTGGATATGTTGTCCTTGCCAACACCCCCACTGACGAGGTGCCATCCGATTCCCTGACGTACCAAATAGCATACGACGCTACGCAAAAGATACTCGGTAAGTGGCCTTCGATGGGCTCCCACTGCACTTATTGCAAGGAAATGGGACACGAAGTCACCCAGTGCACTAAGCGCCCAGCCGAAACCCGAACGTGCTTTGGATGCAACAAGATCGGCCACCTGCAAGCCAATTGCCCGCACTCCTCCGATCCATCCAAGACTTCTAAGACCTCAAACAAGCGATCCCGTCACCCCCACCGCAACGTTAAGCTCGATCGACCTATCCGCGAGCCTAAGCCTCTGATTCCGACTGCACTCTCGCTCACCTACGGAGGATCCGAGGCTTCCAAGCACAATCCGCACAAACCTGCTTTGCTTGAGTCTGCAAAACTAACCCTACCGGCAACCCTCCCTGCCATCACGACAATATCTGCGACAACCACGTCCTCCGGCCCTCGTCCCCGAAGTCGTTCTGTTGACACTCCTGTGAAGGGCTGGGACGATGAGATAGACGACGACATGATCACTGACTTCACGGATAGAGTCGAGGCTCGGACTCTCCGTCTTCAGAATGCCTCTCGCCTCTCTCATCTCCGGTTTTCTCGGACAGTACGTCCAATAGGCCGCAACACATCCCTCTCACCTCCTCGCTTCACTCCCCCACATAGCAAGAAAGCCCTCGACGCAGAGGCCAAGATTAACCAATGATAAAAATAGGCACAATGAACTGTAGGGGTCTACCCAAAGTTGGACACCCTGAATCACGCTCCTTTTTTATACGCCACCTACGCTCTCAGGGAATTGATATACTAGCCCTGCAAGAAACCCATGCCTCCTCTTCTATGCTTCAAGACACTTTTGACCAACAATTTCGGTCATCTTCATCTTTATGGTCGCCACACTGTGGTGTTGTATGCCTCTCCCCCCATATTATTCTCACAGACCCTTTATTTAGTCCTTGCGGCAGGTGCATCATTACAACTGTCACTCATACTGACAATAAATTTTCCCCATTCAAGATGGGTGTCATCTATGCTCCCGCCTCTCGAACTCCCCGCTATGATTTTCTTTCTTCCTTACTGTCGACACCTGACCTCATTCCATCCAATCCTTCCAACTTCATTTTATTAGGTGATTTTAACCATGCCATTCACTCTAACTACGCTCTCGGACGTCGTGCCCCACTAGCGTGGCTCCAGTTTCTGGACAACCATATGATTGACTGTGTCACTCCTCCTGGCCAGAACCCACAACCCACCTTTCATCGCGCCTTGTCTTCCACTACAATCGACTATATTCTTGCCTCTCCTGATCTTCACCCTCGCACTACTGACTCCCAGGTGAGATATATTCACCAAAACTGGTCCGATCATTGCCTGTTGACCGTCCGCTTGGCTCTCCCTTCCACCCAATCCTCTGGTAAGGGACTTTGGCGTGCTAACCCCCGACTTGCCAGGTTGACATCTTTCTGCACCGACCTCAACACTCTTCTATCCACCCTCATCCCTGCCCTTCCCGCAAACCTCTCTCCTCAAGCACGATGGGACTCGATAAAGAGCGAAGTCATACGCTTTATCAAGTGTTTCTCTCGCCACCTCCGACCCTCTCTCACCGACCTGGAAGCAAGCCTGCAACAACGGAGAGACAGACTAATACACCGTTTTCGACACCAGCCTGCACAGAATTTTCAGCTGCCTATTGTTGAGCGGCTTCTGCAGCAAGTCCAACTTGAACGAGTGGAGATCATGTCCCTTAGGGCTGGGAAACACTGGCGGGAACAAGGTGAGACCTCTGCTGGATATCTCAAGCGCACCATCGCCACTCGTCAGTCACGCAAGTCAATTGCCAGCCTTTGCCACCCTGCAACAAACGAAATATGTTCCACCCCCGAAAAGATGACCGAAGCAGCTGCCGCCTTTTATGAAGGCTTGTATACCCCGGACCCTATCGACCAATCTGCTCTGGACGACCTGCTCTCTCACCTGCCTTCTGACCTTGGTCTGTCAGAAAGTCGGCAGACTGCCCTCACTCGTCCTCTGTCATTGTCTACTATCCGCTCTGGTGCGTCGCGCACTCCAACCTCTAGCAGTCCCGGTCCCGATGGCTTACCCTACGAGATCCTTCGCTTGATACTAGACCACCCAGTCTGTGGTGATCTGGTTTCGGAAGTCTACAACGACGCCCTATCAAAAGGCATTTTTCCGGAATCCTGGCAATCCACCTGCGTTTGCCTGCTCCCAAAAAAGGGCGATCTCACCTCTTTGAAGAACTGGCGCCCAATTGCCTTGATCAACACCGATGCCAAGGTATTTACCCGATTGCTGAATGCTCGCATGATTACCACGGTCACTTCACTTGTCTCTCCTTACCAGACAGGGTTCGTTCAGGGTCGCTTCATCGCCGATAATGGAATGCTGACCAGGCTGGTCATGGCACAAGCCGCCAAGGAGGGATCAGCTGGTGTTGGACTTCTCCTCGATCAGGAGAAAGCATATGATAGAGTACATCCGGAATATTTTCGCCAAGTACTGACACACTTTCGATTTCCCTCCTCTCTTGTCACCTCGATCTCTAACCTCTTCTTTTCTACTAAATTGCAAATAAATGTGAATGGCTTCCTCTCGCGCCCTTTGCCTCAATCTCGGGGACTACGCCAAGGGGACCCTCTCTCCCCTATACTGTTCAATCTAGTTTTTGAGCCTCTACTACGACGAGTGATCCATGACCAGTCCTTCTCGGGCTTTCAACCATCTGTTCCTGCTGGTCTTTCTCCTCTGTCACCGATCAAACTCCTTGCGTACGCTGATGATTTACTTGTTTTTCTTTCTGACACAGGGCAGTTGTCTCGCCTCCACACCCACCTCAACACCTATGCTGCGGCTTCCAACGCCCGCGTAAATCTTCACAAGACGCAGGCATTTTCACTTTCGGGCTCACCCCTGCCAGACTGGTCCTCACATCTACGGACCCACAATATTACGGATTGGCATGACCGGACCTCCTCCTCTTCTCTTCGCTATCTGGGATATCCAATTTTCTCCTCCATTGCCCAACGAGACTCATTTGGCCAGGCCCTTCTTTCTAAGATTGAGAATAGCTGTATTCTACACGGCTCACGCACCCTGTCCTTCCGCGGCCGTGCCACTGTCATGAACTCTCTCATTCTCGCCCAACTTTGGCATGTCTTGCGCGTAGTATCCTTCCCCGTCTCTTTTCTCGAAAAAATACGCACTCTGATGCGCCGTTTCTTCCGCTTCCGTTCGTTCCCCCCCATTGCTTTGGACACCCTCTGCCTTCCTCGCTTTCAAGGTGGTCTTGGCATCCTCGACCCGATTACACAGCAATGCGCTCTTCAGCTTCGTTGGCTCAAGCCAATAATCCAGAACCCATTGGGTCCCCGTGGTTTGGTCCCCAAATGGATGGCTTCTCTCCTTCGCACTGAGAATACGGATTGTGATCCCCTTCTACTTTGGATCTTCCCAGACTCTAGACCTCGCACCCATCGCTCACTGGATTCGCCTCTTCATCTTGTCCTGAAGGCCATGGACCACCTCCCGCACAAGTTTGACGACGTCCTCACGAATCTATCCACGTGCCTTATGTTGCCCTTGTCCTCCATGGTTAATAGCCCTCCCTCTCATCCGCCCTACCGACAATCTTGGCGAGACCTGAAGGTTAACCACCTATACCAAATTGATCATAATTTGGACGTCCTGATGCCCATTGCCCCTGCTAGACCTCTTCCTCGATTTATCACTCTTAATCGTATCCTGCAAAGACTTCTCGACCGTTCACTTGTGGCTCACCCTATCCTTTTCAGAGCTTGTATTCCTACATTCATCCTAGAATCGCGACATTTGGATATGCCTCCTCGAGATGGGTCCCCCTTTGACTTTGATCCCTTCATCTCTGCTCTGGTCCTCGGCAAACCTTGGTCACGCTTGTCCACGCGCTCTTACCGGCTGACCTGTTCTCATCATCATGCTAATGCTCAACCACTTAGCCCCCATCTTAGCCCTCGCCAACTGCACTCTTTCTGGTCTTTCGCACTTCCTCACCGGGCCCGTAATGTTTGGTTTCGCGGCTTACACAACAAACTATCGTGCCGAGCTCTTTTGCACCACATTATGCCCTTCACTGTTTCTTCACCTCTCTGCAATATCTGCCAGATGTCAATCGAGACGCAAGAGCATTTTCTTCTTTCTTGTCCTTTGAAATCTGCGGTGTGGTTAGGCATTTGGTTAGAATTTTTCGGCACCGTCCCACCACCTTCTGCACTTTCCTCGGCATTCACATCCTTTCTCTTCCCTCCCACGCTGAACCCCAGTATTCCAGCCGCCTCGGTTTTCGGACTGACCATCCTTGCTATCTGGGACCACCATTGGGCACTCCACTTTAACTCTGCTCCCTTTTTACCTTCCTTGGTTCTTGCCACTGCTAGGAAATCAATCTCCCGCATCTGCTCAGAGCTCGAGCTTGACTCCGCTGACTCTTCCCTCGCATAACACCACATTAACATTTTAACAAAAAAAAAAAAAAAAAAGTTTAAATCACACAAAAACAAGTCAAAAACCAAAAAGCCAAAAACATCAAATAACCCCCATAAACCCTCAAAACAAATGTTGTAATTTTCTCTTTTGCCCTACTCATTCAGAGAACTTTAATAAATCTGAGCCTGTCACAGCTCCATACAAACAAAAAACTTTTGTCTAATATTTTACGCAATCTTTCTTTCTTTAAAATAATGATAAATTTATGGGAGATCAGGGCAAGCCCTGACCCTCTCAACTATATATCGAACATTGGCCGTAATGCTTCAGGCTAATGAACCGGGTTTTTTAACAGGTAATGAAACCAACCTAAAAAATAAGATTAGCTAAGCTCATATTACCACAGCCCATAAATTATATTTCATATGAATATCTTTCTTGTCCTATGCATTTTACATGGCAAGGATGTGCATAGCACCCTTTTTTTGAATTTGGTGATCAATGCAAAATACCAACCCTCGATTGCAAACATATTTAACTAGAGAATGAAGAAAATCCCAAGAGAAAATATAACGAAAGCTTGTTTTTTTTTTTTTTTTTTTTGGTTTGTATGAAAAAATTTTATTCAATTCTAGCGATTTTGTGTTACAGAAGCAACTATATTGGTAGGAACAAAAGGTTTATCAAAAAAGGCTGTTCTCTAGTATGTCTTATAAACTGAAACTAGAACGCCATCGGTTTCTAAGACCCACATGTATGCACATACAAAAACTCTTTTTTATTTATTTATTTATTAAGTAAATCTTGCTAGAAAAATCATTTGTCAATTTATAATGTGTTGGTAAAAAAAAAGCAAGCCAATCCTTGTGTACAGTTTAATTATCAACCTGCTATGTAGTCGTTACAAAGCCTGCTATCGCACAGTGCGAATAATTCTTGGTGCATACACTTTTCATTTTCCGACTTGTAAGCAACACCTTTTAGTGGTGGAAATAGCGATATCGTCTTTTTTTCAGTCTATCGATATCTTGATGAATATTTGTCTGCTATTTGTCAAAAAGGTACTGGGCGACGTCAATCAACTTTCTACAGAACGTTACTTAGTAGAAAAAAAAACAAAAATTTCAATATTTTTTCAGATGTTGCTCTGAGGAAAAGTGGGTATCGAAAATGGACTTTTTGGTGCAAATAGCCAATTTAATTAATAAATTGTTTTTTAAGAGTGAAAAAATAGGATGTTTTGGTCAATATTTGGACAATTCTTATCAAACAGCGTTTATATAATGGATCGTATTATGCCGCACCAAGTTACTTACAAATACTGAAGCACTTTGCTCAACCAATTTAGATATATAGCTGATGTTCAGTATTTAATTTGCACATCTGGATCAAAATGATCCTAATCGGCACAGTTCTTCCTTTCAATGGTAAATTAAACAACCCTTCATAGTATAATAGGTATCTATTTTAAATAAAGTATGTTTTTAGTAATGTGCTGCCAAGTGAAAGTGTCTAAACTAAGGTGAAAGAGTCAGAGAGATTCGCTCTTCACTCTATTATCACTATATCTAACCTTGATTGTGGTATCTCTGTATAAAATACCGAGTATAATGAGAAATGTTGGATAAGGGGCGTTTGTATTGTTTTCAGGGTGCCCTACTATAGCAAGAAAAAAAATAAGGCTTGGTAAATAATCCATATTATTGTAACCTTTTTCGCTCCTTTCTTTTTATCTCTCCTTTGTTAACACAAACAGAGAGAAAGAGAGAGAGAAAAAATAGGTTTGCTGTTTTGAGTGTTAACTATAAAGAAAATCATGCGAATATTGTAACTTTTGTGGGATACAGTTAAAATCAACTTTCTTATTATTTCTGAAAGAATATTGTATAGTTCAATTTACTAAAAGGTCTTTGTACATTGTAGTATTTAACGTGTTTGATAAATTTATGAGTAATATACAGCTTATGTGAATAATATGTAATGTAATTAGATGAATAGATATTTACAAGATCAATTGATGTGTCTACATACAGTATAGCAAATGATACAAAAGTTTATTTTTAGGGTTGACCAAAGTGTCTCTTTATTTTTCGATCACAGAAACACAGGAGATAAACTAGGTTTATGTGGTCCCAGAACGTCATTTTAGACACAATAATTGGTAAAGTTCAAGGATACTGAGAATAATATAAAGAAACCTATTTTTGTCAAAGATCAATACACTGCTGCTTTTGTTGTTGTTTTTTCAGAAAAAGAAGTATAATTTCAGTGTTATCTGTAAAGTTGTATTTAGTAAACAACTTCTTGTTAGCAATATGTTTACAGGAGCGCAAGGTTACTCATACGAGCAGTGTAATTAATGTTGCATAAAAACACTTTGGACGGTACATAGAGTACTAGAAACGTTGCACAGGGGCTACAAGTTTTAGTTTATTATTATTGTCATTATGTACTGATATTGTAGCCACCCCTCATAATATGTGTGTATACCCTTACTTGAATATAACAAAGAATATAGGGTATCAATAAACTCTCTCTATATAATATATAAACATATAATAACATAACAGACTTTCATATACATCTGTATAGTATATAAAAGTCGAATAAGCAATTGATGGTCATAGCTATTGTAAGAGTACTTTGCAATTCTGTATTCTTTTTGTAGAAATACTATTAATCATATGACCGTAACCTTGTAAACAATATTAAGTTGTCATTTTATTTTCAGTGCTACTATGTTATTTCTGTCAAACTGTGCTTTCGTTAGCAAAGTATAGGATAATAAACAGTGAGAATAATGAAAAAAAAAGAGGTGGCCTATTAATCATTAATTAACCCAAGCTTTCATTGTTAGCATTTGTAATAATAAAAAGACGGTGTATATAATACAAACATGGCTTTGCAGAAAATTATAAAAGTATGGCTACACCGGAACTAATCCGAGTACAAACGGTTAAATTGTTCGCAATCCGGCCATCACAGTGTAGATATTCTCTCTCAGTTTCTGCTTTTTTTGGAAGCCGGGCCGCGATGTATTAATAAGCTTTACCTTTCAAAAAAAAACAGAACAATAATTCACGCCACAGTCAGTCAGAATACGCAAACTAAAAGGAAAAGGAAACAGATGTGTATTAACCCAACCCAACCCAATTCAATGCACATTAAGCTAGCCATTGCTTGGGGAGTATGAAACAATCCTTGAAAAAGAGCTTATACATTTTAACATTCTGTGTAATTGTCTTACAAGAATTATAGGATAATTATCTCGATCGTACACTAATACACTTCACTGTGTGGTTCATGTTCTTTTATGCTATTATTTGCTTTATTATATCTCTGTACTAATCTCAGATACTGAGGGAATATTTAGTGATTGGAACAAGTATGGAACAAATGAAGCCTGTAGGTTTAACCAGAAAACATATTAGATGTTATGACGTCTTAGTTGACAGATACTCCCCAAAAAATGATCGACGGGTTGATTTCAGTGGCCTTCATGTATATACGTATATAGCCAATGGCTGTGACATATTCTCTTTCTTTATTTTCTTATAAATACAGCTATTTCTATTCTTCTTTATGCTCTCTATTATCAAACTTTAGATGCGTACTTTTAGTCTTTTAGCCATTTCACTTACTGTTTCCCTGCTCTTTTCCGAGACTCAAGCGCGTAATGTGCACGATATCAGTGAATGTCCACCACTGAAACCTCGCAGAAGTCCACCAAAAGATGTAACGGACCTTCGTATTGACGATATAAAAGTGATTGCCTCTCTAGGCGACAGGTAAGCAACCGAGGTTATTTTATCCTACAATATAAACACAGCTCTAACATAATTTACAGTACAATGGCTGGATTTGGTCTTCAAGAAATAATAGATGGCACAACCCCATTAGATGCTTTAGAAATCAGAGGAAAGAACTATGCTACTGGTGGCGATCCTGGAGCAAAGTCTTTGGCTAGATTCACAACAAACTACCAGCCAGAACTAAAGGGAGCTTCTGTTGGACAGATAGTTGTAACTCGCTGTAACTGTAAGTCCAAGGCTGTTAAATGATTGATAAAAATATTCATTCACAATATTTATTATTATTAGATGATTACTGCGCCCTTTCCGATTGTAAGTATATTACAAGTCCATTGGTTACTTTTAGTATGATATCTTAACTTGCTTTATAGACAATCCCGATGTGGATCGTTTGAACGGTGCAAAATCTGGGGCAATTGCCAAGAGAATCAAAGATGAGCTCGACTATGTGATTCCTTGTAAGTAGTCTATTATAACATACTATAATATGGCTATGTCGATGTATATACAGTCTTAAAAATCTTATAATTATGCTTATATTACAGATATGAAAGAATACCCGGGCGTAGATTTTGAAAACGATTGGAAACTCATTATTCTTCACATTGGTAGTAAGTACTTAATAACACAATTTCTTTTTTATTCTATAATACTCACAGTCTATATTCAGACAATGACCAGTGTGATTCTTGCACAGTCCGTGGAAACGAAAGTACTCCTGAGGTTTATGGATCCTACATTGATACTGCCATCGAAAGAATTTCTCAAAATATTCCTAAAGCAATAGTTACCCTTGGTGAGCTTTAGTTTAGAGTTACAATATCCAACTATGTATATACTAAATGATTATTATTTTTATATAATTTAAGTTGGAAATTTGAACGTTTCAACTCTGTATAACTTGGCCTCGAGACATCCTGAATATTGCCCCACTGAAGATGCCACTATTAATTATCTTACTCCAAAAGTCGAGTGTCCTTGTCTCTCCTCACCAGAGCTCATGCTCGGAATGGACGCTGTTGTAGCTGGTAAATAAATGCTTAAAGTGGATATAAAGTGTATTTGTAAACTTACGATAATTTATTTGATCCATAGAGTACAACAAACGACTAATCAAGATTGCTGAAAAATACAAGGCTAAGAAGGGATCAAACTTTGCTGTGGTATATCAGCCCGCTGGAATTGACTTTAGAGGATTTCCTATCAATTACCTGAGGTTAGCCGTGTTGTTACACTTAATTCGTACATAGTTTAACGTATATGACATCTTTACTTTATAGTCCCCTCGATTGTTTCCATCCCAGTATTCATGCACAGGAGTATTTTGCAAAGGTAAGCCCGGCATCCTAACAAGGAGATTGGAAAATAAGAAAATAACATTATATAATCTATCTTAGATCCTTTGGAACTCTCTTTTCCGTCCCAGTATAAAAAAACAGAAAGTATTTGAATACGATGAAAACTTGGCAGTAAGTTGGGAGATGTATAAGCATTGTAAAATCTTAAAAATAACGCTTATATATTTTAGATATACTGCCCAAAGAACTCTGACAGAATCTCTACCAAATAATCCACATAGCCTTTAGTTTTAATTGATTTAGTTTTAGTACACTGTACTGTACTATACTGTTTATGATAAATGTTGAGTATACACCCCAAATAAGCTATATTATACATGTATATATATATTTCCAGAATACAAGCCTAGAAGTTGAACATGCAGTAAAAGTGTAACTTTTCTCCTTTCTCTCAATGCAAGCATATATGTCTAAAAAGGGACTTTTATATCCTTTTACAACTCATATGCTGGGATAACAATAAATGTACATCTTTCATTTATGCCAGTAATATTGGCTATGGATCTCTCTCTGAAAAGTAAAGGACCTATGGTTGAGCGACTCCGCATATAACTGTTAAAAATAGGTCATATATTTATATATTTGTTGAAACAATAAAATATATTTTCCCCATCCTATTCAAGTATGTTTTTTAGCCTTTTTAAGATCAATTGAGCTCCATGGAGTATCAGGTTCGTCCGTCTTGTAAGCCCATGAAACACAATAGTGACTGGACAAAAGGTGCCATTCCTCTAATTCATCCAGTATCTCCAGTCGCGCAATTCTGGATTGCATAACGTTAATCGAGCTGAATATCTCATCGGATTACAACAATATCAAAGAATATTATTGTCATACCTGGACTTTTCTGTGACATCGAGCCAATGGTCATGCAATTCATTGATATCTACTGCCTTTGCTTTTTGCCAGCCTAATCCCATAAACCTGTTTTCCTGTGCACTCAAGTCCGGATAGGCATGTATACCCTTTAGTTCAATTGAACGTTCCTATATACTCAAATATTCTTTAGAATTCCTGCTATATATCTCTGGTTAGAAAGTACCTGTAGATTCTTAAGCATCATACGTCCAAACGCATCGTCTGGTTTGATTTGCTCATACAAAACAAACATGGCTTGCTTAATCTCACGCGTAATCCATTCAAGGATATACTGCGAAACCTCGGGTGCGATGTATATAAACACACACTCGGATAGAAACATAGTTGGAATACTAGTAATACAGAGATTATAAGTCATTGACCGTTATGGGTATTTGTCATCAGATATTTACGTAGGATCTAATCCATGATGAATTAAACGGGCAGCAACTTGATCCCATTCGCGTAAATCACCACCAACCAAGCAATAATCTGGCCCGATAAGCTCAGTGCCTCCTTTCTCTACAAAAACATTCACAGAAACACTCGTATTTATTCACTGGTCTCAACTAACTCTCTACAATTACATACCCAAACGAATGTCTTCTTTCGGACCCAATATATTGTGGAGAGCAGGATGCCGTTGGATAGACATGGCCTTCTTAACAGTCAGCTCAGGAAAATCAACCTCAAAGTACTTTTTCAGATTTTCAGCACCAGGACCTGACTTAATGATAAAGTACCGAGTGTCAAAACCTGCACCCAGAGCTACAATCTGTTTCTTTGGGCCTGGAGATTGTAAGAATTGTTCAACAAGACTGTCAAGGGCACGTTGGCGAATAAACGTGCCACGGTTGATGATAGGTGAGCGACGAACAGGACGTCGGACAAAAAGATGGACAAACGGATCAACCAAGTATCCCAGTTGAGCAGCAGAACTAAACGCGTTGTGTGGGTGTGTGTATACGAAAAATAAAGATATTATATGAGATCTAGTTTATACAAGTGATTTCTGGTTGTTGGATATCTGAATGACTTGCAGTCTGCTCACAGTGGCATCGTCATTTGTGTCTCGAATGGCATTATCCTGTCCTTCAAGATTCTGATGTGGGATCATTATAAGATGAAAGGTACGGGTATAAAATTAGTGAGAAAATAAAGCAAGAGAAGAAAATGAACACAATGGGGGCATACCCACAGTCTATGAAACTGGATTTGAAAATCTTCAAGACTAAAATTGGCGGTCATTTCACTTATGCTGTATTTTACCAATGTACATTGGGGGTATTCAGGTGAAAATATTTTTATTGTGGGTTTGTCTAGGCCTTGAGTATTTTAGCATAGTGGCGACCCAAGAGAACTGCGGCAGAAGAAATAAGAGAAAAAAAACAGAAATATTACTGATAAAACTAGCTAAGGGGAAGAGAAAGAATAATACAGGTTAAAATAAGAGAGACAGAGAGGAGGGGAGAAGACAGGACAAGGAGAGAAGACTATAAGCAAGCTTATTTATCCTATAACCATGGCAGTGGCAGTGTCAATGGCACTGACTTGGGGGCCAGATGGAAGGTTTCGGTCTTCCAGATACTGCTCAAGGCAGACTGGAGGGAGGCGAAGAGAGCTACTTTCCACTGTACAAAAGTGCCTCATGACACTTTTGCCCAGTGGGGCAGGGAGGCGAAGGCAGAGAGCGAGAAGACGTTGGCGGTGTAGCTTGTATGCAAGCTGTTGGCGTTCCTGCACGGGTTTGTGGGCATGTGCCGGATCAGCAATGATCCGATGGTCCAAGGGATCAAAATCTGTCTTCACAGACACGCCAATGTCTGCGAAGAGCTGGGTAATCTTGTCCTTGAAGTCGTTGTGCACAAGGAGGGAGAATTGGGGGTATTCAGTTAGGTTGTTTGAACAAAACCTTATGTGAATCTTAGCCAATGATATTATTTTGTAGTTGAGGATATTCAAAGACAAAATTACAAAATTCGTACAAAATTCATAGATTTTCATAGCATTTATAGAATAAGCTTCTGCACATTCTGATTTCTTCTTTGAGCCGATATGCACCTAGACTCTCGAAGAAGCCAAGTGTTCTTTCCTTTGACACAAGATCTGGAAATACATTGTTAATCTTGTGTATGTATTTATTGGATTTAAGGATTTGTTCAAGCTCCTTCGCAGCAGCTATCTGGCATTTTATCTGGCAATTGTGGCAACATAACCAACTTTTTTTTTATTGTCAAGCAACGATTATCTTGATCATAACACGAAATCAAGCAATATGCATGCTTTTTTATGTTGAATACTCTGAAGAAAATGCTAAAAAAAATGTGAAAAGAAAATTGAAGACCTTGGTGATTTTGAAATCTGTTACAATGTTGATCCCAAACAACCAATACTTGTTTTAAGGCAGAGGATTTGCGGTAACCTATTCCCATATCGTACATACTTGCATTCTGGTTATATACCAGATAAAAGTTCAAAAAGAAAAAGGATTGAATTCCGTAAGCTATGATTATTCGTAATTTTTAATTGAAAAAAAAAGTTGATTCTCAACTCTTCTATTGTAGAAACTGAAAGTCAAGTGATTCAATTCATAAACGAAGTATATCTACCTGAAGAGCCCCATAATACCAATATTTATGACATCAAATTGGTATATACCGCTGAAATATATGATACGGTCAGAAAACATGCAGCTATATTTGAAAATAAGGCTGTGTTATCATTTTCAAGATGGTGTTCAAGTCCTCGTGTGTCATTTCTGAGAGTTGAAGAAGAACAAAAAATAACATTCGAGTAAGATATTGCTATGTTACGGATGAGCAATTTCATGGCAAGCTCAAATATTGGTCTAATTAAAGTATTTTGTTAACCAATTTCTTGGTAGATGACATAAAATCAGCAGTTTGCCAATTTTTACCTCTGTATCAGGAGACAATCAAGAATCTAAAAAAAAAAGAGTTTGAAATAGTGGGATATGCTCGCAAGTCCCCTTCAAACGATAAAGATGAAAAAAGAGTGAAACTTCTGCAGAAAATGGTGGACAACTTGCAGAATCGCTCCTTGACAACCAGAGTATATGCCTCTTTTTCCAGTTCCGCATCCACTCCTTTCAGTGAAAGAGATACTACGAATAATAAATCCATGATTGCAAAGTTAAACAATGTGAAAGGAGATACTCAAGGTAAGCACCAATGTTGACTAAACGAAGACCGAAAATGTGATACATGCTCTCTGAACCGCGGTTTATTTTCCATGTAAATATAATAATAAACTATCTTGTTTCCCCTTATATCTTTCTAAGCCGCGCCTCGTGGAATAACTAATGACTGATAGCACTAATGGACAGACCAGAACGTACACCGAGAAAGAAGTCCTTCAACTCTTTCAAAGATTCAGAAAAGAGGAACGAATTGTTAGATAGCAAAACAGAGAACACAAGTCACTGCTAGTGGATATCGCAACATATTTGGAAGAGAGTACTCCACTCCAAATCTAAGAAAATTTTAAACGATATCAAGACAACGAATGGACCGCGGGCGAAGAGATCAACCGATCCATTTTACCAAAGCTTAAGTCATACACAGTGGACACGGCCCAAGTGGTCACTGTCATCTACAAGAGTTTAGGCACTCCGAAACTACGGAAGACCAGCAACTGAATTGTATGAACAATTGTCAAACACCCAGTAGGTATACTTCGTTTATGAATTGAATCACTTGGCTTTCAGTTTCTACAAGAGAAGAGTTGAGAATCAACTTTTTTTTTCAATTAAAAATTACGAATAATCATAGCTTACGGAATTCAATCCTTTTTCTTTTTGAACTTTTATCTGGTATATCACCAGAATGCAAGTATGTACGATATGGGAATAGGTCACCGCAAATCCTCTGCCTTAAAACAAGTATTGGTTGTTTGGGATCAACATTGTAACAGATTTCAAAATCACCAAGGTCTTCAATTTTCTTTTCACATTTTTTTTAGCATTTTCTTCAGAGTATTCAACATAAAAAAGCATGCATATTGCTTGATTTCGTGTTATGATCAAGATAATCGTTGCTTGACAATAAAAAGAAAGTTGGTTATATTGCCACAATTTCCAGATATATGTCGAATGGTAGCCAGCAGCATTCAACAAGAACCAGCATCGTCGTCGCCATTTTTTTTTACATTGGATAATAATTATGTTGTTTGACCTAATTATGACCTTTTATGACGAGTATATGATCCCAGTCACATGATCCTTAGTTGTCAGGACCGGATTGTAATTGACACTCAGTTCCAGTATTATCCAATCATAAGTCATTGTCTTATTAAGAACGTTAATATGTTGTGATTAAGAGTTACAGATGTACTCCATGTAGTAGTAAAGGACTACTACAAGCAGGTACATGCAACTGCATAAAACATTCTTCTTCTATCCGTCTGTCCCTCTGTCCGTAGTTCTCTCATATAGATAACTTCTCTTTATTTCTCTTCGTACTCAGTCTGGTTGCCTAAACCAGTACTATCACATCTTAAGCTCCGCTGTCATTACAAATAAGCAATGACAAAAAAGTAGTTAGTAATAAACCACTTAGTAATAACTACTTAGCAAATATCGCCTCTTAGTCATTCACCAATTATATCATATATCCCAAAACATATAAATATCTCAAATATTCCAACAAGTAAACATTATCTTTATCTTCATATTTGTTCCATTCATATTCTCTATTGTGTGACTTCTCGCACATTACATAGTGTGTGTCCGAACCCTTTTCTCCTTCACAGTCCTTCATATACCATTTCCCACCCATTTAATAATTTCTGTCAGTCATTACATGAGCTCTCAATTTCGACAATTATCCTAACACCAGTAAGAATGCGAAACCAAACATCTGAAATTACTTTTCTCCACGCTTTCGCAAGCTTCCGCAATTCGTCAGGGAATTCATGTCTGTGTTTTCCCATTCGCGAACCCAATTGTATGGCTCATCAATCTTTGCCGGACTGTTTCTTTCAATAGAATTGAAATCTGCTTTCTTCAACGAAAGGTTGAATTCACTTCTCATAAAGCTATAAACAGTGCTTCGAGAAACTTTAAGATCATAAAATTGCTTTAACAAATTCTCGGTCACTTCTACGACAGAAGCAGATGGATTAGCATCAATGAAGTTGATAGCAGTCATTTTATGATTTTCGGTCAAGATACATTTTCGGTCTATTTTTTTTAGCATTGTTAAAAATGGTATCAGGGCACATACTATACTGCTTAACCTGTCTGTACGCTGTTCGAATGTGTATACCCAACTGCTTCGCTGCAGCCGATGCACTCATACACTTTTCAATCTTCAGATCAAAAAACTGAGCTTTATCCTGGAGAGTATAACACACATAATCCTGTTTTACATTTGCCCCCTTCATACGAGTACCTTCGTCTTTTGGCTTTTCTATCAACATACGAGAAGTCAAAGAGGATTCACTCAAGGACACAGTTTGTATGTATTCACTGAGTAGTAAGTGTCTCAACAGCAAATTCATTATCATCAACAATGTAATCCATGGTCTCAGGACCACCTTCTCATCAACAACATTAACATGTCCATCTTCGTATAAAAATATGGTACTCATGTTAAATTAGTGAAGTATTTGAAAAACAAAAGAAATACCAAGTAAAAAAAAATATCCACCTTGTATTTATACTCTTTTGGTGCCAAAAATTAATTATGGTGATACAGTTTCTAAAAATATGACTTTATTTCTGAGTGACATTGATTTTGATTGGCTGTGACATTACTTGTTGGAAGCACTGTATGCTGACCAGAATAGTTTATTGTGGAATCATACCACGGGTAAAAGGCAAAAACAATGGGAATGTGCTACAAAATAAGCGTAAAAAAACCTTGATTTTATATAAAATAAAACAGAAGCCACAATCTGTGTACAGAGTTCATAGCCCACTTTATTACAAAACAGAATTCATGCCATATATGGCTCTGAGTGAACACCCGGTAAATAGGCTGTAGAGTAAACTAAAACGCTCCCCTTCAAATAATAATATGTAGAAAAAATAGAGAGAGAGAAAGGGAAAGAAGTTTTTTATTTTTTATTTTTTTTACGTCATTAAGGTTAAAATAGCTTGTCCTTACACTACGGTATTCATACCACAAGAAAATAATTTCCCCTTTCTCCTTCTTTTTCTCTATTTTATTTTATTTTTCTTTATCTCTTTATCTCTTTATCTCTTTACTGCGGCCCCTCTTATAACCTTGTATTATTAACAGTGATGAGTCGACCATCATACTTTTACCTATTATCTCACAAACACAAATATGCCCTGGATATCTACGATGGCCAAACAAAAGTAAGAAATGCTCAGCATTACTCCAGAATAACAGCCAATTTCAATTTAAGATTAACATCCCAAACTATTCACAACTGCATTGATTAGCCCGACGCAAACCTCATTGTCTGGCCACAGAAGTTTGAAGACAGTGATAACCAGTATGTACACACACAATAATATACTAGACACTAATCGGAAATGGATTTTTTTGCTTGTTTTATAGACTGTGGACATATGATAATGGATATATCACAAACAAAAAATCCAACCTTGGTAAATGAATTTCTTCTTAAATGATGAATAGCCTGATTACCATCCATACTAATATTCAATGCTTTCATCAAACTCAAAGTATTGGACATAAAAACAAGTAAGTTTGATAAATGATAAAATTTCACATATGAGAACACTAGAAAAAAGATACTAATGGATATAATAGGCTTCTTCAAGAAAGACAAGATGATTGCTCAGAATAAGCGGGTAGAAGGTCTTGAGACACAATTGGTAAGCATTGCTAGGATACATTGAAATTGCATAAATTCTAACGTTCGATTGAGTCAAAAGTGGGATATCCAAGATGGTTTTATTAGTTCTCAAATGTATCCTAGTATGGTTTTCACTATCAAGGTATTTTCTTAAGAGAAAAAACACACTGCACTCAACTACATTACATTACCTTGACAAATTTGTAGTAAATGTATGCAAACCAAGTTCTTATCATAACTAACATATCACAATAGAATAATAGCCCAAAAGGTGGTGCTCAGATCATTTTGTCAAATCGCAAGGAAGTGGATAATTTGGACCAATTGTGGCATAAGGAAAGCTATGGAATTTTTGAGAGTTCACTTATTGCTGTAACTGCTTCTGGCCCATTACACAAGAAAGAAGGGTTTGGAAAGCCAAGACTGGGTTATGGTGCTGAAGTGGGTGTCCCACCAGAGTTGAAGAGTTTGCCAGAAAAGTCTAATATTGCTGGCTTGGGTGCAAATGTTGATACAACTCCAACTCCCACCGTTCCCGAAAATTCCGCGGATTATGTGTACGATCCCAGTCTTCCCGAAAATATGGCCAATATGTATCCTCGTCCTTCCCAAACGCAATCTGGATACCAGGCCAAGCCAGCACCTCAACCATCATTCTCAAATGGTCCTCCCAGCAACTATTCTTCCTACCCTCCACCATCTTCCCCTCCAAACCGCTATCAGGCACCACAGCAGCAGCCAAATGGCTATCCTCCTCAACAACAACAAGAAAATGCTTATCCTCCTCAACAGCAACAGACATATGCTTACCCTCCTCCTCAGCAGCAGGCAAATTCGTATCCTCCCCCTCAGAATCAGTCAAATGTCTATCCTCCTCAACAGCATAAAAATGTCTACCCGCCAACTCAACCGCAATACCCCCCAGAAGGTGATTACCAACCTCAGCCACCATACTCTCCGCAAGGTGGACATCCAGGAGGATTCTCTCCCCAAATGGCATCAATGCCTTATCCCGGTTCTCTACCCCCAGGTCCTCCCGGTCCTCCTCCCATGGCAGGAGGTTTCTACCGCTCTCCTCCACCTGGTGGTATGCCTTCTCCAAGTCAGTCACAGACTCAGCCGCGCCCATATGTGCCATCCGCTCAAGATGATCCATACGGAGGCTATGGTCCTCCCCCTCCTCTTCCTCAAGAAAACCAATACAACAACGGCATAAATAATAACAACCATTACAATTACAACTATCAATAATATTCTCTTTTCTGTTATGTATATGTATATATAAGGACCCCTCAATAAAATAATCATTATCATTATCTTTTATTTGTATTAATATTACTATTATTATTAAAAAGAATAAATATATTTATATCTACATGTATTCTAAAAGAAAAGGCGTGCGCATGATATTACTCTTTCTCTAATTAAGAAAATGCATATGGGTGGGCGAGAGCAGAATCGGCTACAATACCAGACCACAAAAGCCCGCCTGTCCAAGTATTGGATTTGAACTTGTTCCAGCAATCAGCAGGATCATTATAGTTAACCGTCTTTAGCTGCCAGGCAAGATGAGTAGCCACACCTCCTACACTCAACAGATAAAAAGGAAGCCCTTGGCCGCACATATAACCCGAGAGGGCTGTCATTGAGACAAACACGGAAGAGAAACCAGTAAGCCATTCGGTTGTCTTGTCACCAAATCTCAGGGCAGTAGATTTGACTCCGATCTTGACATCATCTGCTTTGTCTTGATGGGCATAAATTGTATCATAAACAAGTGTCCATGCAACACCACCAACATACAATGGTCCAATCGCCGCAAGGTCAAGAGAACCAGTCATTGCAGACCACCCAAGAAGAGCACCCCAATTGTAGGCCAGACCAAGAACAGTCTGGGGCCAATAAGTAACACGTTTCATAAGAGGGTATGAAACCACAAGAGAAAGAGATGAAGCGCCGAGAAATATACTGTAGTTTGAAAAGAAAAGCAAGAAAAGACCAGTTAAAAGGGAAGTACTCATCCATATCGAACAAATAACTGTTTGATCCATTGACTTGCCTATACCAGTTCAATTGAGTCAAGACAGCAAGACCTACAGATAATTGGCATCCTAGAAATGCTATTGCTTTGGCAGGAGAGATTGCACCTGATGCAATAGGACGCACCTTTGTTCTCTCGACCTGTTTGAGTTTAGTATATAAACAGTCTTACGTATATGAAAATCGAACCTGCCTTGTCATCGATATCACGATCCCACAAGTCGTTAATCACACATCCCGCACCACGCATTGTCAAGGCACCTGCTCCAAATAAAGCCAGCATGGCACCCGTCTGAGTGACCGATGCATTAGTGGCTGAGGCTGCTAATGTAATACTCCAGGCTATAATTGCAAAGAAATTCATGTCATATTCATGCATCAGATTACTTTCTTAGTATGATAATGTCATTTTATGCTGTTATCTTTTGTTCGTTAAGAAAAAAGACATATTCAGTAGTTAGTATTACCGCATGGCCAGAATAAAAGCCAGGTTCCAATTGGTTTGTCTAATCTGAGCAAATAAATATATGGCGCTACTTTTGGAGGCAAACGATCGATCCAGTTGTTGTATAACTGACGTACAGGCTCGGCCGTAGCATTTGAAGGAGAAAGCTGTTCATTAGATGTCGAAATAGCCGGTGTGTTTGTAGCTGTAGAAGACGACTGAACCCATTGTTTTTGCTGTAAGGTCAGAGCTCTAAGAGGGATTACAGGTCGTGTGATACGTGTAGAAGAGAGAGAACGAAGGGTAGATAGGCGAGCAGAAGCAGAGGCGCTGACAGAGAACATGCGTGTGGCATTTTTGGTCCGGAGGGAAACTCTACCAAGACGCATGGCCAATGGAATGACCAATGGCATTGTCATTTAAAAAGGTTTTAAAAAAAAGAGAAAGAGAGAGAGAGAGAAAAAAAGAACAGTCGGGATGAAAGTTCAGGGCAAGTGCTAAACTTAGCGTTATGTGACTTGACTCTTTTACAGCTTTCAAGGGTCCACATAAAAATGTAGAAATCAGTAAGATGATTGATAGTATGGGCTTGTGTGTAACAATATATATTTATAATTCTATACATTTATGTAAGTGGCTATGTGATTACCATCAAAATGATAAAATCAACATGTTTATGCACTGAAATGCAATGCTAGAGGCGGTTGAGAAAAACATCGCTTTAAATACTTTAACGGGGATAAACATAATCTACAGTGTTCCTACAGACACTGCATAATAATAGCAGTAAAAAGCTAGCTCAATAAACACATATAAAAACTATTATATACGTATATACGCGGTGTGTGTGTATGCGGGCAGTTCTTTAACTTCTCATTTATATTCGAATTATTTTTGACAGTCAAAAGCTCTCGTGGCTGAATATACTTCTTGAACATTTAATGTTCTTTTTTTTTAAATTGCCGCAATGTAACACCCACCCCAGGCTGTTTTACAAAAAATAGTAAAAAATAATAATAATTACTACCTTTATTATCAGATTTTGGACTCTTCTTCTCTTGTCTCCACACGTTATATCTAATGGATTTCATTATGGAGACCGTTTCAAATGCATTTTCCACTTTACCCGAGGGTAACCTTCCCAAGTGGCTGCTGTTCACTTCTGCTCTCGGTATCTTTAATTCTATCCAGAACTATTGCACTGATTCATTGACCAAACGTGTTTACTCTGGAACACCCGAGTTGGGTGAGTAACCTTGTAGTAAAATAAATTTACAAAAATAATGTAAAAGAGCGTAAATAATAAATTATTCAAACATCTTTATATTTATATCTGTATATGAATAATCCCTAAGTTACTCCAATGACTGGTCGTATGTTTGCTACCTGGACCTGGTCTGTAAGCATGATCCGTATTTATGCTGCTTTCCACCTCGAACACCGTTTGTAAGTTGAGGATAAGATGATATGCGAACAATAATTGATTATGGAATACAGTATGTACGAGCTCGGTATCTGGACCTATGTGATTGCCTTAACCCATTACATGAGTGAACTCCTCATCTTTAAGGGATGCAAGATTAGTGTTCCTTTTATGTCTCCATTTGTTGTTGCGGGTATGTGAATGAGCTTGATGATGAACGATTTCTAAAAATATTGAATGTTTGTAGTGTCATCGCTTATTTGGTTGGCAAGTTCGTATGATTACTATGTAAAATATTAGCTATATATTTTTATTTATTAAAGGTATTATATCATAAGAAGATGAAAGGTGCTGGGATAAATATTTAATTTCTCGGGTTAATAGTGGCTATGTGCACTCCAAAAAGGAATTTGCCTACATTGCCTTGACTCGAAATTAGACAAAGAATCACACTCACTTCCATTTTTTTTTTAAAAAAAAAAAGAAGAAATAGTCAAGCTTTCGCTAGCCAAGAAGTATTTATCGCTAAATAGGTCTCTAAATTTAAAGGAGTCCGAGACGATTCTTAGTTATAGTCTCTTGGTTTATAGTCGTATTATACAATAATATCTTCCCTTGAAGGATAATTATGGGAAACAACAGACATTATTCAATGATATCGAATGCTGATATTTTATTTAAACTTGTTTTAAAATAACGATTTTATGTCAAGTATTTCAAAATACATAAAAGAAAAATGCCTTCATGTTTATTTTTAAGACTAATAGAGCTCTTCTTTATACTATAATGTACATCTTTGCATTAGGCAAACCTATATTTCTAGGTATCTTGCAGTAGATGATGTACTAAAGACCTTTTAAAGTACTCGTCAGAAAATCGTATTGTCTTGCTCTCTGTAGGATATCCAAACACGCTTAGGTCCCGTTTTATTTTGTATTAATGTTTATATACTTTAGTTTTGGGACATATGTTGTAATAGCATCTAAGTTGTGCTGCTACGTCGCATTATTTAAATGTTTCGTGCAAAGGGTAGTAGTTTTAAGATATTATGCTTACAAACAAGATTCTTCATATATTTAGTATAGCAATGTTTAATGCTTAACAACATGATTTTGCCAACTTTTGCAATATAATAATGATAATGATACTCGGTTCAGTATGTAGGGATTTAATGAAAAATTCCAGGTTTCAAAAAGTTGACAAGTATGTTTAGAGGTAAAATCGCCAATAAATGTACAGGAATTGCTTTTGTTCTGTAAAGAAAGTGTTTATTGTTGTCGACCTGCGACTTTAGAATTGGCCAAGAGCTACATTTTATTTTAGAAAGAAAGTGTGTGTGTTTTATAGGCCTACATAGGAACACACTAATAAAAAAAATAAAAAGGTGGATTGATTGGCTTACAAGATTTGGTATCCGACAAGGCCGCGGTGGCGGATGGTGGCCCTCAAGAAGGTACTGGTGGCAAGCCATCATCGTCCTTCCTCTTTACAATCAGTGACCAATGGTAGGTGACCATACAACTATCCCATCCCATCCCATCCATCCCATCCCATCCATCCCATCACATTCCATCCATCTATAAACGATGAGGATATCTACAAAATAGATGGCTACAGACAGATTTAGAGGAGATCGCTATATAACAAAAAAAATCGAGTCCAATACAAAAAATATATGGTCATTGTCTAATATACATATTTTTCCCATTTAAAAAATAAACAATAATATGAAAAAGGCTGGCGTCAAAGCTCACGAACTCCGTAACAAGAACAAGGCCGAGCTCTTGAAGGTTCTCGATGAGCAGAAGCAGGAACTTGCTTCTCTCCGTGTCCAGAAGGTTGCTGGTGGCTCTGCTTCCAAGCTCCAGGCCATCGGCCAGGCACGCAAGAACGTTGCCCGCACCTTGACCGTCATCAACCAGACCCAGCGCGACCAGCTCCGTCTTTTCTACCAGAAGAAGAAGTTGATCCCCATCGACCTCCGTGTCAAGAAGACTCGTGCTCTCCGCAGAGCCTTGACTCCTTATGAGCGTAGCCTCAAGACTGTCAAGTACCAGAAGAAGCAGGCTCATTTCCCCATGCGCAAGTATGCTGTCAAGGCCTAAATATCTTTCTAAGTATTTTGGGATTTACTTCTTTTTGTGAATAAAGAAAAAGCAAAAACAAACCACTGCATCATTCTGTTTTTTGTTGTTGTAATCATTAATGAAATGTCATTTAAGCAACTTGAGAATTCAAAGGAAACTTTAATATGTTTGGTGAATGAAGAGGTGGATGAATATATAAGGAGTACACACATATTTGTAAATATATATATATATATATATATGTATATAAATTTACACACTCATACAATCTTTTATATAAAGAGAACAAAAAATCAAATAGAGCCTTGCAAAAAGCCGAACTCCACAATAAATTTTTAACGTTTGGACTTTGTAGCACGCTCAAGCTCACCCTTCTTGGTAACATAGGTTAATTTATTAACAAGACCTTCTCTAACTGTTTTAACATTAAGGGAGGTATCCCCACAAGTATCAGTATTCAACAAAGAAAGGGGCTAGTTGGTACGACGGAAAGGAGATACATCAACAGCCTGAAGACGAATAGTACTCTAAGGAACGATGCGAAAGAAATATTCGCGGGGACCAATGTTGATAATAGCATCAACAAGGGATTTGGATGGGGATTCTAATCGGTCGACAAGTGAGCAATCTCAAGAACATGCTGAAAAATACGTACAGCTAACAACTTATCATTATTGTGACCATACACCATGAGAGAGTTGTTCGAACGCTCCAAAATGGGGCATCATAGCATGAATTCAAATTATATTCTCTCCAAACCCGTCCTTTTTCCTGTATATATGCATATCAGTCATATTCATATTTATTTTTAATTTTCTATTATTATTATCTTCTATCTTCTAAAATAGAAGATAATGTTCCCCTCGCCTGAGCATTATGGGAATGATTAGTAGAAAAATATTTAGTAGTGTGGGGTAAATAAACTTGTTAGCACTAACATATAGTTCTGGGGAAAGATACCTTTGACTTCATTCTTCTCGTAAGACTACTTGTTGAAAGGCTTTGGGGAGCTGTCAAACAAAGTGTAAATACTAACAGGTAAATTCAGAAAAGTCATTATTATTCGTTGTATCATTTTTTAGTTGTATTTTTAGCAGTGGCAGTAGTCGTGGTAGTGGGTAGACATTCATATATATATATATATGTTTTTGTGTGTGTGGGTATGTATTTTCAACATTGAACATAGTGATATTAAAGCAAAAATGTAAACATTCAAAGAGGTATCCAAATTGATCATAATATTTTTGTGATAAATGAAATCAAAGTCGAAATTAATTCACCCATTGAGACAAGACTAAAATATCCGAGTTGGTAAAAATTCCCGGTAAATGGATAAAATTGGGGAGAGTTCGATGCTGGTAAGTTGGGCGGCTCTTTTTATGCGAGAAAGACTACATGACTATTCTTTTTACCTGGCGAGTAAAGAGGAGAAGTCATCTTGTTACAAACAATTGTTTGTGGTTAAATCGCCATCGGATCCGTTGTGCTTCCGGATACACAGTCACGTATTATATGCTTATTTAACAGATCAAACAATGAAGCAAAAGGTTGAAATTACAAGACTTCAAACTGGCCTAGTAACTCTATCACACGGCTTAAAAAATTCTTTCATCAAGATTCTTGGTATTTGTGGTGCTGTTGGGGGGGTTTGTTTTTTTTTTTAATATTTTATATCTACATCTTTACAATGAACATTTCAAAGTAACTTGGTTTTTTGCAGAATATAAAGTCCCTTTAGGATGTCAAGGTAAAGACAAAGAGATAGATAGATAATCCACAAATTTCTTATTGTCTACGCTCCAAGTCGAACAAGAGTTCAAACTGAACATATGGTCTGTAGTTGTTGTCGTTCATAGTCTGAAGGTCGTGATCCAATATATCCTCACTCTCTGCCTGAGCTTTGGATGTCTGACCATGTACACCGCCCAGACGGCCGTACTGAGCTACCAGGACTTCATCTACCTTCTTCTCATACTTTGGTAAAGCCTAAATTAAACAGAAATGAATGAACAGCCGTACACACATATATATATGTATGTATATATATATTCAGGTTAACGTTACCAAGATGGAGACAGCAGTAAAATCTGGGGGTAGGCCATAGCGAAGTACAGATTCCACAAAGATGCGCAGTGCTTTGAGGTGAACCCAAGCACCAAAAACTTCTCCGAAATTGGTGCGTGCTAAACGGACCAACTCGGCTTGTTGTTCATTAACAGTGATCTTGGACTCTTCGAGTTCACCCTGCTGTTGTTTAAGAGCATCCTCATCGTACTTGAAGTCACGAACGATGAAACGTTCCTCACGTGCCTTTTGCGCAAAATCTTCAGCTGCACGCTGGAAAACAGTAACAGTAAAGAGACCAAACTCGTCGTCTTCAGCAATCTTACTATATATACATATAAAAATACAAAATTGCAAGCCATTAATAAATTTGATAAACGCACATGATATTTCAAGGGCATATTCTACCTCTATCGTACTTACACAGACGAGCGTGGGACGACCATTGGAGCCAAAGTCTCGTAGCTGTTGTTCCACAATTTGTACAGCTGTCTAAAATCATATACATATACACAGCATTAATTTTAATTTGTCTTTATATATTTATCTTTACAAACCCATAGACTATTTACCTTGGAACAGCAACAATAAGGGTGGTGATATATTCAGAGTTGAGGATACAATGCTGCTTCTTTACAATACCGTTTAAGCTCTTGACAGACAAATTACCACTATCGCCGCACATAGATAAACACCGCAAATAAAATGAGTTATCAATTGCTACTTTTGTTTTTGTTTCAACACGTACGTCTGCTTGCGCTGAAGGGTCAAAAGAGCATTCTTGTTGAGGGTATAAGTGTTCATCTTGGTCTTCATCACATTATCAATCGAAGCAACTTCCTACAAAAGTAGTTATACATATATATATATATTTAGCTTTCTTTTAATTCACGTCTTTCTCTCTCTTTCTCTCTCTTTGCATCACTTGTGGTCTTTTGCTTTTTTTATGTACCTGGTTGAGAAGAGTGGTGGTCTCCTGCAAAGATTTGTCAGTGCGATACTTCATGCTATTCCATTGGAAAGAACTGATATATTGATCAATTGTCTCTAAATAACAGTAGCAATAGCAGAAATAACCGAGATGAGTTTCCCTAACCGACTACTTTTTTTTTACTTCTTTTAAGATTCATCGGAAGAAACATACTGTCATTAACAAGAAGGAAATCTTGTACATTGACCTTTTGGTCCTTGACAAGGATGCTCAAGATATCTGCAATCTTGTTGGTCGCTTGTTCAAACACGGCGTCAAACTTGACTAGGTCGTCTGATAGTAAGACAAGGCCATCGAGGGTGCCAATCTTTTAATAATGAACGTGTCATTTGGTTATAGTTTAAAAGCTCATTTCTCTTAATTTTTTTTTCTTGTCCTTTTTCTACTCATTTCATTTCTTCTTCTTTCTTTCTTTTTATTCGTCGTCTTTGACTTTATACGTGTGCGTGTGTATAAAAATCTTCATTACCTTGAACTCGGGAATCAAGAGCTGATGAGTGTCGGCATAGTCAGCAAGCTTGCTTTTAAGGTTAGAGAACGTATTTTGCTTGTTTCCCAGTGCAGGGACCGAGACAAGGGTGTACTTCATATTTAAAATAAGAAACAGTAAAGGAGGAAATCCAAAGGAACGAAAACCAAAGCTACACGTTAAAGGGGGGACAATTGAATCCCCGGTAAGATGTTTCGGCGATAAGTTTATATACAGGTTTTTCGGGCCCAAATGAGCTTTTTTTTTTTTTTGCAAACTTTCGGTTTTTGGTGAAAATTAAATGGGCAAAGTTCAAGTATCGAAATGGTGATATTGGGATACTTGGGCATGAAAATAAAAATTATGAGATATGATTGTTTTATCATATCTTTATTTAAAATCAGCAAAAAGTTGATAGCAATACTTTAAATCTAAGTACTCCAATGTATATAGTCGATCTCTACGAGTGAGGTCAGCTAAGGGAAGGGAGGGTGGGGAAAATCATATTTCATAATTTCTATTTTCATGTAAGTGTCCAAATATCACCATTTCGATACTTGCTTTGTCTCTTATTTCAGTAATTATGAATCAGAAAGCAATTCTCTGTACAACTCTATATGTAACCCTATGATATTTTTTAGATCATCGTGACGCAGCTTTAGAGGAACTAAACGTGATATAAAGCCTTTATTGTGGAAAACACCTTTAGTTGACCTATCTCAAATTCTTACTCTTTCCTCGATCTATAAACAATTATGTCTTGTACCCTTATTTACAGGGACAACGATATAGTCTCCCAAAGTATGATGATCAAGATCTTGTTTGTCGTGAACATAATCAGCAAGATTCAGGCCGATGTTAACGAACAAGGAACATTCAAACTCCCTAAGTTGAATGTCCTTATGAATTACCACCGAGTGAAGAGGAACAGAATACCCGTTTTTCCTTCAACAGAAGTTGATGTTCCCGAGTCATTCCCCACGCCTTTACCTGCTTATACCAACCTGCTGTCTGTACACCTGCGATTCATGATGTCGAGCACATTGAAAGCCAGAAAGATCACATCTTTGCATGACCGAACTCTTGACCAGCCTGCCTGTTTCCACCAAGGCGAAAAAGGGAGAAGCTTTCCGACAGTTGAAAGGAACCTGAACAGACAACTGGACTTTCTCGCAAGTTTACCCGGCTCTTGAGACACTGTGGATCTTTCCTTGGTAGAGAGTTCAAGGTGCTCCTGCAAACTCTTCGCGTTGTTTTCCTCAAAGACTTTGATGATGATGAGGTAATTAAACCAATTTTTCCCTGCCTTGTTGAACTTGGTCGTCTATGTTCATCGGTGTTTGTTCGGCAAGTGGAATCCAAATTCGAAGAGTGCCTCGCCCAGGTTGACAGTACTGTGAGCACATTGATCGCCAAACTCCATGACATTTGACATGACAAATGTGAACGGTCCGAAGCACACGCCTTTATCCACTAAGCCGAAGACCCACAACGTGGCCCATTTGACAGAAGATATCAGACGATTTGGACCTGCTCTGAACTTTGAGACAGAAAAAGGCGAACAGTTCGACAAGTATATTCGAGAGCATCTCATTCATACCAACCGACTGAACACCTCGAGAGATGTCTGGCACAAGTTCGCAAAGCAGGCGGTCATGCAACATATCTTCGCCAACGGATCGTGGATTAACAGCAACGGACAACGAGAGTACCCTGGACCCGGAATTGCAGAATTTATCAAGCCCAACGACGATAAAGATAAAAATTTCCGCAACCTATTTCTTGGAGGATCTCAAGTGCTCGCAGACAACAATGATACCGGTAACATAAATACTTTAAAGGACAATTCCTTTGCTGCTTTTGTTATCAAGAACAGTATTGGCACGACTCCCAGCATTGGACTGATCTCTGGCTCAATGGTTACTTTTCTTCGGCCCACTGCTCGCACGAGTGAGGAGATGAAAAATAACTACCTTAAAGTAGAAATGACTGATGACCGTATGTCTCTCGATTCTCTCAAGCCTCTGTGTAGGATTGATTTAATGAAAGTTAATGATACTACTTACATGGTTAACTTGAGTAAATTTGGTTCATATTGGTTCTATCTGCAGCATGAATTAACACAGTTAATAAAATTGGTCCGTATCTTTTTGTCCGATTCTTTGCAAGCCCTTTTTTTTTGGTCACTCAAAACAACTTTTTTTTTCGATAATCATCTCGTCTCATTTCACTCGTATTTTTTTCTTATCTGAACAGATGAGTATTACTATAATCTTTTTTCTTTAATCATTTACCTAGAAGAAAGAGAAATATATACTAGCCATATTGCTTGGGTGGATATGAGCCACTGCTATTAGTACCAAAATATCCGGTGGGCTATCTCTTGCCAGCCTAAAGCAATCTCTCAGATCGATGTTATTTTGGCGTGACAGCTGTCTTCACCGAATAGCATATGTTCTTTATCGATTGTAATATAGTATTATAATATAATATACCAAGTTTAATGACTTAATTTAATATTTAATAATATTTTAGCTCTTGCTTAGCATATTGGTAGGTGCTGGTATAGGCTTTGTATGTATCATGTGCCTTGCATATATTTATGGCTTCACAAGCAATCATTTCTTCTTCTCTCTAAAAAAAAACATGTAGTAAGTCGATTACTTTTGTGAAGTAACAGTTTTCCCTTTTTTTTGCATGTAATTTAACAAATCCCTCTTCTCTAGGGCCAATAAAAACTTGTCTGCTTATGATTTTAACGTGGCTCTAAGCGGAAGGATATATTGCATATAGCTCAAGTTTAGTTCAATCAAATTATTAATGTATGTAACCCCCCTGTCTTGTCTCATAGTTTTGTTTGAAGACTGACAACTGTTCCACGGAGGGAGGGGGAAGGAAATTGATGGTCTGTGTAAAACCAAAAACCAAAAACCAAAAACCAAAAACCAAAATGACATGACATGACATGACATGACATGCTTCTTTTTATGTATGTGTCTTGGAATTTTCTTGATCTAAACTTCTGTAGTTTGTCCGACAGGGCGCGCGTGTTTCATCCCAGAATATGGGTTGCAAGGGAGGAGAGATTATCAATGTTTTTTGGGGTTGTATCTATAAAATAAAATAAAATAAGAATAGGGTTATTTAGTGATATTTAGAATGTGCTTCAATAATACAATATACTGAGCATTTTCGGACCAAGCTGTGCTTAACTAAACAAACACTCAAGAAGCTGACATGACTCTGCAAGTCGCTATTTGTTTATCATGCATTTGGTTTTTGGTTTACGAATCGTTGCAAGAAATGGCGATCTTGAAAGCAATTCTTTTTTTCTAAATGACGTGCAGATGTGCGTATGTTAATGTTTGGATCTAATATTCACAGATATTACCGAATTACATTTCTCTGCATTCTACTTACTTCTTTTTTCTTTTGGTTCTTTAATATTCGCAAAATATTCATCATATGAAGCAATATTTAGTTAAGGTTTCTTTATTTTTGTATTAAAAGAAAACAGCAACAAAGAATGGCTTACATATGTTGTAACTTGCTGATTTATAAAGCACCATCTGCTGAGTGTTGCTTTAGCCGTATCTAAATTAAGCCTGGATTATAAAAAATCCGTAGTCAATTTTCCCAGGTTATTTTCAAGAAAATGAGGTCTAATTTTTTTTTCAGTTTATAATTTACAAATGACCACTAGAAATAACACCTTCCAAAAAAAGAAGAAAGGTGTTTCATAATTAACCCAGTACAGAATAGAGGCTTATTGTTGGTTACTCGCTTGTGAGTGAGGGTTTTAAAGATAATAATATAATAGCTGATAGGACATATTTGTGTGTATGTCTATGTATATACTTATGCATGCACATATGTATGTACGTGTGTGCTTAGTAATAGCCGCCAATCTCTTCAAAAGCAGGGTGATATTCAAGTCTCTTGGCAGGTGGGTGCATTAACTTGGCATTCAAAGGATAATGTAATAGAGTGCATTATTAGCATTGAGATGGCTAAATCATTATAAAGTGATCATTTGGCTATTCATAGCAATGCCAACCAGCAAAGATTTATAAATAGAATAAATAAGATAAAGATGGCCAAACTTGCTTGTTGTATAATCTCAATTGCTTTCGAGTAAATGCTGCTCTATAGTTTAAAGCTTTTTATGCAGCATGCACCAATATACTCTACATAAGCAAACTGTTTTCTCCCTTCTTCCGTCCTCACCTGCATAAATTCATCTTTTATTCTATTTTGGGTTGAATTAGCTTAATTATCTATCACATAAGTAGAAGAAGAAGAGCCCCAGTCTATCAAAGGTCGTCCCTTTGCCTAAACATGGTTACTCTTATGATCAAATATTCTAATAATACTATCAAATGCTACCTTTTTATTGAGTAAGATTTATATATGGATAATTGAAAATACTGCCAATTGTATAAATTATATAAAATTCAAAAATTCAAAAATTCATTGAGCAACAACAGAGGATTTTCAAAAAGTGTTCCGAATCTTTTAATCTTTAGCACGCTCTTTCTCATCATTAATAATCATTTTAATAGATACACAAATAATCATTTTCTTAGACCATTTTTTTATTTCACCTTTTCCTCTCGCTCTGTATATATTTCTCCCCTTTTCTCTCTTTATATATAATGATCCCACGAGCCGTGGGATCAAAAATAGAGGCAAAGGATCACGTGCAGTCCCTAGCAAAAAAATAATTGCCACACATCTGTCTTTACCTCTTTTACTCTTTTGTTCTATACTTCTTCTCTCTCTTTTTTTTCTTTAAAAAAAATGTCGGTTCAACTATCACCCTCAACTGCACTTGTATTCCAACGTAATTGTGGTTTTTTTTTCTGAAAAAAAAGTTTAACATTCATGCCAACAATCTATACACAAATTCTAAAATCCCTTATCATCTTGACACAGGTCCTCTCCATGTTCTATCAAAGGAAATCTTGATACTTAAGAATCCCGGTGCAGAGCCAATAATATTCAAAGTCAAGACTACTGCACCAAAACAATACTGTGTTCGTCCTAATGCAGGCTATATTGATCCTTATTCTGAAATTGAAGTACAAGGTAAAAATAAATAAATATATAGTGCATAAACAAAGAGAAGTGGCTATATAACAAGCGTAAGGAAAATAAAGAAAGAGAGAGAGAGAGAGAGAGAAAAAAGATAAAGTGGTAGACATTTGAACTTTTTGAATGTTAGTGTCATTCAAATGGCGTTCAAGCTGCACCGCAGTACACTACATTACACTGCAGAAAGAGAAATATGAACTGATTTTTATTTATTTTTGGTTGTCTTTATGACAGTCATCTTACAGCCTTTTAAAGAAGAGCCTCCGTTAGATTATCGGTGCAAAGACAAGTTTCTTATTCAAACAATTGCTCTTGACCCTTCTATCAACGAGAAACTTCCATTGGCTGAGATTGTAGGTTTCGACATGAATATATGCATATTAAACATTTAATGAATTTGGGAGCAAAAAAAAACATTATATTAACCAATCTGCTTGTAATATAGTGGCACACACTAGAGAGTCGAGACAAAGGGGCAATTCATCAGCACAAACTTCGATGCATGTTTTTGAGTCCTAAAGAAGCAGAAATCCATCGTTTGAGCGAGGCAGGAGGAGCACCAGGAGGAGAAGAGTCTCCTCAACAGTCTTCAGAACTTCCAAATGCTGTGCCAGTAGGACCACCACCAGTCTATTCACTAACAGACTCAAACCCAACGGCTGTCGTGCCAACAACCAATGGTTTGGAGGAAACAAAGGCCAAATTGGAAGAGGAGCTAGTGGAAGCAGAAGAAACTATCCGTAGTCTAATCCGTCAGATTGAGAAGCAAAGACAAGCTCCTGTGAGGTCAACGTCTTCCAAGAAACTGCCATCAGTTGTTCAGCCATTGGATGCAGTCCATCGTCATTTGGCTCAACTTGAAAAGGGCCGGACAACCGAAGGTTATCCTCCTCAGGTTGTTTTAATGTTGGCCATCGTGGTGTTTTTGATTACTTTGATCTTCTTTTGAATCGAATCTAATCAAATTGAACTGGACTGGACTGAACTGAACTGAACTGAATTATACATTGTTGTTGTTGTCGTTGTTTTCTTTATACAAATGCACATAATGCAATGATCTCACTCAACTATCACCATTACTATTAGAGCTATGTCTAATAGCTCAAAGAATATTAATTAGCCTTCTATCTAGCTATCTAGTTGTACATCTGCCTATCTATATATCTATATATCTGTATATCTATATATCTATATATCTATATATCTATATATATATCTCATTGGATCTGGATTACATTAGGGGAGCTTTTCTCACAAATCATGACAGTGCTGGTAAAATATCTTCAATCACACCTCCTCCAAGACACCAGTCTTTATCCCACACAACAACCTGTTGGCCTTGTGCCATTGCCCGCACTGGCTCATCAAACATAATCTTATATCGGCCATCATCTTCGAGCGTCAGACTAGCCTTTGCTGCAGCCTGACGGTACCGAACCTGACAATCCACTCTCTCAATTGGCTGGGGACCATTGATCCACACCCAGTTTCGGGCGATGCAGCCTTGATGAAATAACGCAGGGTGTGTTGAACCAGGCACACAAATCAAGGTGTTGGTCTTCATGTCCTTTTGAGCCACAAACCATCGGTGGGGGCCATGGTGGATATGGGATGATTGGCCGATAGTGTAGCCAAACAAGCCCTTGTGCTGTCCGATCGGTTTACCTTCCAGATCCACGGCTGGGCCTGGTGGTTGGTCAATGTACTGGGCCAGAAAGTCGGCAAACCGGCGCTTTTGTCCAACAAAACAAATGCCCATGCTTTCCTTTTTTTGTGCCACATGGAGGCCAAGTTGGGCAGCAAGAAGCTTGACCTGCGACTTGGAAGTAAATTCGCCCAAGGGGAAAATCGTTCTTTGCAAAGCTTGGGACGGCACTGTCGATAGATAGTACGATTGGTCTTTGGTAGGGTCCAGTCCACGCAGCAGACGCCCGTCTGCTTGTTGGCGGCAGTAGTGCCCGGTGGCCAGGAGTGTGTCTTGTGGGAGCTGGTCTAGCAAGGCGCCGAATTTGATTGACCGGTTGCATTGGATGTCAGGGTTTGGAGTGAGCCCGGCCTCATAGTCTTCGAGGGTTTGGGAAAACACATCTTGCCAGTACTGTTTTACAAAGTCGATCTGGCGACATTTGATTCCAATCGTGGCACACACCTGCTGGACATCCTTCCAGTCTTCTGTGCTGGTACACACGCCTCGCTCATCAGCAGTATCCCAATTGCGCATGTAGATTCCCTCAACTTGGTAGCCTTGTTTGTGTAGTAAGGCGGCTGCTACACTAGAGTCCACTCCACCTGACATGGCCATCATGACTTTTGTTGGTCTGGTTAGTGATGAATAGGGTCGTTTCTTTGCAAAGTTTAGGAATCTCGTTAGGCTAGCCATGGCTTCGGGTGGGCTGAACTTTGATTCATTTTAATTTTATTTATTTATTTATTTATTTGATTTGATTTGATTTGATTTGATTTTTTTTTAATAATTATTTTTATTATTAAATAAATATATATATATATATATACACAATATAAAAAAAAGGTATCGTGAATAAAAAGAGAGAGCAAGTGGGATTGATTAATTGATCTCAGCCACAGTGATCGTTACTATGTTTAATGCAGCCAGAATTGAAACAATAGCAGATGATCACATATTATAAGATTTTGGGTTGCATTTCTTGTGCAAAAAAGTACATTTAAGAAAATATTTACCTTAGATATTACATACATTACATGACATGGCATGACATTACATAGATAAGTGTTTATATATATATATGGATATAATAATGGTGTAAAAGTGTAAAAGAAAAAAAAAGAGATCTTTTATTATTATTGGGATTATTGGGATTATTGGGATTATTAGGATTATTAGGATTATTAGGATATAAGATTATTGATAAGTAGTGTAATGGGGAGGAATGATGAGGGGTTTTGTATTTCGAGAAATAAGTCTGGTTAGCCATCCAAAGGGGTAAGTTGACGAGGGTGAACGGAGTGATGGGGCAGTAGGTTGGTAAACCGGTAAACTGAAGGAGGAGGGATCGTGTAGGGTTCCTGGTAAGACGAGTACGGGGGTATCTACCATTATGTCGTGTAAGGTATTGTCCGGAAGGACAAAGGACATGAATATCTGAAGCCAGTGACGGACACGCATATTGCGATTTGTGCTGGAGGTGTGGAGTAGGAGAGATTCTTTGGATGGAACGCGGTAGAGAATGCGGGTTTCATTGATTTGGTCGCCAGAAGGTTTGATTTGACAGGGACTTGTGAATGGACTGTGGGGAGTAAGAGTGATCTGGTGGTGATGGAGTCTGGTTGTATAATGGGCAGGAGCACGAATTCTTTGTCGTTCGATGAGTTTGACTGTAAGGCTAGTTAGTACCAAAGGAGTATTCTTATTCTGATTATTAGATAATGATGATGATGATGATGATGATGTTGTTGTTGTTGTTGTTGTTGTTGTTGTTAAAGACAATAAGGTCTGGAGAGACAAAGAAACAGGCAACAATGCACCTGGGACAAGATTGGTAGTCTCGATTGTGACAGCAAGAGTGTGATTATTGCCCAAGACGCGGGTCAGACTGACAGAGTTCGGGCCCTCTGTGGGCGGAAGGCGGACCAATTCGACTGGGATTTTTGTGCGCAGAGGTAAGAGGCACGGCCAGGGAAACGCCCTGACGAGAGCCTGGCAATGGAGCTTGTATGAGATCCGACCGTAGCTGCACTCGATTGATTCGGACAAGGCATTTGACAAGAGCACTTCGAACGGAAATCTGTGGGTGCCCTTTCCGAGTTGTTGTGGAGTACAAGACACCTGGAGGGTTGAATCTACCAGGACTTGTTTGTCCCAGTGGTCGGCTTGTTCATAAACAATATTACTTTATTGTTTGTAAGACCAATCAACAACAGAAACAACAGAAAACAACAACAGCAGCAAAGAAAGAAAGAAAGAAAGAATGTGTGTATTTTTTTTTATTTTTTTTTTAGATTTTTTTTAGAGTGTTTTGGTCTATTACCTTCTGGCCACAGTGTCTTTGCCGTGCCAACCAACTGCACGGTGATCGCATGTACGACAATAGGACGGGCTAGTTCCAGACGCACAAAGCCACGGAGGAGATTTGTCGTCTGGGTGTCTCTTGGATGTCCACGCAAGTAAACGGTGGTTTCCAAAAGGACCAGCGACAATGACCGGCAAAACATTAATTGTTTCTACACACAAAATATATTTATTTATAAAATATATAGTCCTCTTGTAAGATAAATAAATAATTTTCTTTTTAAAAAAAAACCCTTTCATTGTCTTACTGTTGGGCTTTTTGTAGTCCTTGATTCTGCAGGAGGTTTGGCAGTCCCTTTTTATATATATATATATAAAATAAAAATAAAAAAAAAAGAATAAAGGAACCTACTCCCCCTGAAGACTGTGTGGATATCTTTATTTGGGTTTCCGCATAAAGAGATAGAGGTAGAAGCCTATTATAGTGCACAAGCCCTTTTGTACATTTACATTTACATCTACATTTACATTCACATTCATATTTTAGATACAGACACAAATATATACTTATGTGTATGTGTACATGTGTACTTGAGGATCATGACTCGCACTGTCAACAGAGCTTCTTTCAAATTACAAAATTGTGTGACGCAAACACAAAAACACAAAGCTAAGCTTTTAGCACTTGTAGAACCAAAATATTTGAAATAAGTAAAATACTACTAGTTCCCCTTGTTAAAAATATATATTATACATTAAAAATGCTCCGTCCAGCCCTCCCCCTCTTTTGTCTCATAACACAATGATTCAATTGGACTTTATAAATATATCTAATATCTAATATCTAGTATCTAGTATCTAGTATACAGTATTTAATAGCTGTATACCCTTTTGCACGATACAACACTCTGGGACGACGGTTTCACACACACACACACAAAATAAGAAAAAAAAAATCTTGACTTGCAAATTGCCAATTTTTCTAAGGATGGTATTTAAAGCACCAACTCTTTTTTCTTCATTTGCTTTATTATCATTATTATCATTATTTTAGCTTTCTCACGTCAAGGAATATATTCTACTGTATAAAGTCATTTTTGTTTTAAAAGAAAAAGAAGAAAAAGAAAAGAAAATACATACCTCTTGATTTTTGGTTTCCCTTTTTTTTTCCTTTCTTTCTGGTCTTGCGATGCTTTCGCCTGTAGTTCAGCCTGTTGGGCTTATGACTCCAGACCGTTCTGTGCCCTCTAGCCCTACGGTTTGTCCTGCTGTCGCTTCCAGAACGACACCTTCATCAGCTGCCCCAGTTGACTTGTCAGATCTCGCCCGTCGTCTACAGAAAGCCATTTCTTTTTCCAAACCACCTTCACCAGCCATTTCTTCCTCTTCCTCTTCATCATCCTCCTCTACCTCTTCAACTCCTTCGTCCCTTGCTTTACCTAGCCCGGGCTTACCTATCCAATTCATCTTCAAAAAGCCAGAGTACAACAACCACTACCATGAAACGCACTTCCACCGCCCAAAACCAAAAGATTCTCTCATCTGGTCAGACCTGCGGCAGTTCTTTAGTCCCTTGGCCGAGGAAGATCAGCGATCAGACTTTGGAAATCAATTCCGCCAAAATATCGAGAGCCGCTACGGCAAATGGGGTAAGTCATCTTGCAAACCAAACCTTCTTTTTTTTGGAAATATCATTATATATATATATATATATATATTACATTTTCAGGCACTTGATTTTTTTATATATAATATGTTATACATGGACACACACACACACACACATACAAATTTGTATATATGAATATTATATATATATATATATATATATATATATATAATGATATATATAAAAGATTATCATAGATTTGTTTTATTTTTATTATCTTTATCCTTATCATAAGATATTTCACCCTTATCTATTTTGTAAACCTCTGAGAAGATTCTTATCAAGCAAATTATATATATAAAAAAAATCTAGGTCGTTTTATTGGCAAAGGAGCTGGTGGGTCAGTGCGACTAATCCGACGTGACAATAATTCACTAGCGGTGAAGCATTTCCGAAGTCGACTGAGCCAAGAAAGTGAAAAAGACTATATAAAGAAGGTGACGGCCGAATTTTGTATTGGATCGGCACTCCATCACCCCAACGTCATTCAAACCCTCGACCTCATTCAGGACGGTCCACAATTCTACCAAATTATGGAGTATTGTCCAAACGATTTGTTCAACGTTGTGATGAGTGGAATGATGTCACGCCAGGAAATTGCCTGCACTTTCAGACAATTGCTTCGTGGTGTCGAATACCTGCACGGCCTTGGGATCGCACACCGAGATCTCAAGCTGGATAATCTTGTCCTTTCTCCCCTCGGGACACTCAAGATCATCGATTTTGGCTGTTCGACCGTATTCCGATGTCCTTTTGAGACAAACATTACCCGGTCCAAAGGTAATTTTTAAAGATGATGGGTTGATCTCGAGAAATGAATGCTAAATCAAGCCTAAAGGTATCTATGGATCCGACCCTTACATTGCGCCTGAGCAATACACTCAGCCGACCTATGATCCAAGACAGAGTGATATCTGGTCCTGTGCAATCATCTTTCTTTGCATGACGATCCGCCGTTTTCCATGGCGTGCACCTCATGCCCGAGATCCCTCCTTCCGTGCCTACTGCTCAAACCCCCAGCTCCAGAAAGCACATCTCCTTAAGCTCCTTCCTCGTGAATGTCGCCCTGCAATTGGCTCAATTATCAGTCTTGATCCAGCCGAACGAACTACCTTGCAGGATCTCATGAAAGACAGCTGGGTCCGAGATGAAGATGTCTGTACAGTGGATGCGCCTGGTGCTCACCACGTCCATCATGTCACTCACCCGTCTTCAAATGAGCGTGCCAATCTTGTTGTCCTGTCCCCCGAACCACCAGGCAGAATGGCAGAGCGTGAAAAGAGACGTCGAGGCTACTGACCAGACTGACCAGACTGACCAGACTGACCAGACTGACTTGACCACCCAAAAGAAAAACCAACCAAAAACCAAAAAAAAATGAGAGAATTAATTATACATATACATTATATATATATTTCTTCCTTGTTTGTGTGAGAACAAAAAATTATCTTACCAAAAAAAAATACTCCCTCAACTCAAAAACAAAGATAGCTTATATCAACTCATCTTATACTTCTTTATCATATTCTTAGATTTTACTTACCTTCTTGTCTTTTTATTTCATATTATTATTATTTTCTCTGTTTTATTTTGTTCTGTTTGTATCATATACTTATTTCACTTTTATCTATCAAAAAGAAAAAAGATACATTTAAATATCTGGTTTCAATTGAAACTAAAGTGTGTATATATAATTAATATATATACCTGGTCTAATTTAATGTAATGTAATGTAATGTAACGTAGCTTAGCTTAGCTTAGTGTAGAAAGAAAGAAATTCCCTCTATTACATTCATTTCATTCTTATTCTTATTCTTATTCTTTCCATTTCTTGTGAATTACACGCACACATATATGTATAGTCTCTAAAGGCTAATGGCTCAGTATGGTTAATTAACTAAAATATACATAAATATAAATATGTATAAATTTGTATAAATATCCTTTTGCTTATAAACAAAAATAAAAGCACAAAAAATTAACTTGCTTGTAAGAGAGAAAAAATAATAATGAACTTATTCATTCCATCACCCTTGTCTTTGCTTTTCTCTCCATTCTTTATAAAAATTTATCAATTATAGTCGATATTTGTTTTTATATATATATATATATTTATATATATATACACACATATATAGTCATGGCAACCATCGAGACCGCCTATTATGTACCCACACTACTTGGTCTGTCAACAACGTTTGGCATCTCATGTTCGATATCCATTGTGTGTCTTGTTTTGTTTGAGACTTTTAGACGTATTGACTCGATGCAGTATCTATTTTCCCCACGCACACAACTCTCCGTGTAAGACAAGAAACACTAAATATCAACAAGATAAAGAAAATCAAGAAGAAAAAAAAATTACACAACCCACATATACAAATACAAATACAAATACAAATACAAATACATATATATATATATATAGATCTCCGGCTGTGCCACTCTCGAAACGCCCTTTGGCATGGATTGCATCTACGTTCTGGCTAGACGAAGCATACTTTATTAGCCGAGTCGGATTAGACGCAACAATGTACCTCCGATTTCTGCGGATGGCCATTCATTTTCTCACCTTCCAGTCTATCCTCATCTGCCCAGTCTTGCTCGCTCTTCACTGGACCGGCAGTTCGTCGGCCGCAGACTGGAAACACGGACTGTCGCTCGTGGCTCTTAACGACACCTCTCCAGATACCACCACCGATCAATTCCGCAGCAACTCAACTCTCGCCTATCTCTCCATAGCAACCATTCCAGATCACCACCCCATCGTCTGGATCCACGTCTTCTTTGGCTACTCGGTTGCCCTGGGCTGGCTCTGGCTTCTGTTCGTCAACCACTGGCACCACCTCTATCTCTTACAGGCCAAAGGTCCGTCTTCGTCCATCCAGGAACGATCGATCCTGATAACAAACGTACCACACCCGCTACGGAACCCAGCCTCGCTCCAGCATCACTTCACCATGGCCCAGGTCGGCTCGGTCGAGTCAGTGACCCTGGTCAGCGCAAGGGCTAGTAAAGCTCTGGACCGGGCACTCGACCGGCGAGAACACTGGCTGGACGATTTGGAACGATCCTTGATTGTCCTTGCGCGTGAAAATGCAAAATATCCGAACGCAATGGACATCGATTCCTGGCTCAGACTCTTGCAGGATACACAGCCTCTAGGGCTCACAGAACACATCAAAACCTTGATGCTCGATATCACGCTTGCCGACACTGAGATCGAACAGCTGCGGGATGCCAATGCTTCCCCAGAATATTACCAACCCACGGGCACAGCATTTGTTACCTTTACGTACGTATGTGTTTATTTGTATTTTTTGTTTTTGTTTTATATATGTATATATTGAGCGTGATTTTCGCATGTGCATGATATTATTTATTCATTTATTTAATTATTTATTTGCACAGAAAATAATAATAATAATATATATAGATATATATCATTGTCTTTACCTTTACCTTTACCTTTATCTATATTGATATTATTTATTTATTTATATATGCATTTGATACAGATCACCACATTCCGCTCAGATATGTGCTCAAATTGTGACATCCTGGAAACCAGGCGTGTTTGATACCCGAATGGCGCCTGAACCACGCGATTTACTGTGGACGAGTCTCTTGAGACGAGGTCGAAAAGACAAGTTAATGGGAAGATTGCGCCAGTGGGCAGTGTTTGTTGCTGTGTGGTAAATAAGAAGAATCCTTGGTTTGTATTATAAAGATAAACTATAACTATAAATGCGTATATTTTTATTTGTTATTATTATTGTTATTGTTATTTTGATCTTGTATTGATTATAATATATTATATATTTATGTATATATGTACAAAATATAGGTCATTGACAGTATTCTGGTTATTTCCTATATCATTTATTCTCGGGCTGACTTCGATCGAATCACTGTCCCAGCATTTCGCTTTTCTGCGCTATTTTCTGGACAGCTCTCTTGTGGTCCGGTCGTTTATCCAGAATATTCTACCGACTCTTCTGGTGACACTGTTTATGAGTCTACTACCATGGATATTGCTAGGTAAATAAACAGAACTAAAATCAAATGGCATACCTTTATTTATATATATCCGTGTTTCTCAAACATCTTTTATTATTATTATTATTATTATTATTATTTATTGACAATTATTTTTAGAGATTTCAAAACAACAAGACTTTGTGTCTTACTCTGAACTAGAGGAATGTGTTCTTGGCCGATACTACCATTTTGCGATCTTTAATGTGCTCATTGTCTTTCTGCTCGGCACAACTTTCCTGTCAACCATGCTTGATGTACTGTACGAACCTGCTCGATTGACCCAGCTACTAGCAAACTCTTTACCCCAGGGTGCCAACTTTTTCTTGAACTATATCCTATTCAATGCATGCACACATGCCATGGAGCTCATCCAACTAGGATCCCAGCTATTCGGCCATTTCTTTCTCACCCTTCCCTGGGTGGCCAAGACCCCCCGGATCCTGCGCCGGCTCACCTCGCCTTGGTCGTTTCCGTTTTACTATTACTACCCCAACCACATCCTGGTGTTTGTCATCACGTCAACTTACTCTGTGATCCAGCCTCTGATTCTCATCTTTGCCTTGTTTTACTATATACTTGCCTTGGCATGTTTCAAGCACCAATTTGCGTACTGCTATATACGGCGGTATGAATCAAACGGAGCGCGGCATTTCAGACGCGTGGCACGCTACACCAGCGACGGCTTGATCATATTCCAATTGACAATGGTAGGCTTGCTTTATCTCAAGGGAGTGCCTGCCGCAGCCACTGCGCTCTTGCCATTGATCGTAATTACCCTGTGGGCCAAATGGAAACTCTCGAGGCTGTTCGGACGTCGGTCTAAGCATCCTTATGTAGGTCGGTTTGATGGGACAAAGCAAGCCGGCAGTTTTGGAAAACCAGGGCCGAGTGGATGGTGGGGATGGGTTGATGACATTTGGAAGATCTCGTACGTAAAGGCCTGGTGGGCGAATGGGCGGTATGCTACACCTCAAGTAGATGAAGAACGAAGGTATACAATTCCACTTCCACTACTGCCGCTGCCACTCCTATCACTGCCACCATTGCCAGTACTGGCACCACTGTCACCACTGCCAGTCCCCATCACCACAAATATGACCACAAGTACAAGTACAAGTACAAGTACAACCACAGGCACAGTCACAACCGTAACTGAGACCACAATCACACCCAAAAATGTGCTCACAGGCACAAACCCAAACACGAATGTAAATACAGCTGGGCTAGTTGTGAATGCACTTGGATGTATGGATAGTATCAAGAGTGTAGTACATTGCGTTGTCAACGATACTGGCGTCAACGGTACCAAGTGTGGTAATGGTGGTGATAGCAGTAGTGGTAGTCTTGCAAGTACGATTCGATTAGAGGCCAATGAGATTTGGGATGGTATAGCGACGTATGAACATCCGTCGTTGATTAAGCCTTTGGATGGCAGTGTATGGATGCCATTTGACGTCACACTCACCAGGTGGGATCTTGGCGCGTGTCTGAAGATTCCCCGCTCAGTGCTGCAGCAAGCATTAGCATTGACAGCGCCAGGTCGTGGCAAACCAAACGCCGCCCTCGAGGCAGAGATAGCCTAAAGGTGAATTGTTGTAATGTATATATAGATATATACATATATACATATATACATATATACATATATACATATAAAAGAATGTGTAGAGTATTTTTCACACCCGAGCAGTTTATAGCTCCCCCTGTTTTTGCTATCTGTATAGCCTCTACTTATATTTCTATTTCTATTTCTATTTCTATTTCTTTCTTTCTTGCTTGTCTGCTTTCTCTCCGCCCCTGGGTTATGTTCTTATTTGGCTGATGCCATGTTACCAGGACAGAAAAGGAAAGAGTCCCAAGCCTCTTTACTTCCGACGCATGTCATCCATTCGCAAAGCCCACGCGCATTCCCTTTTTTTTTTCTTTTTTCTTTTTTTTTCTTATAATAAAATTCACTCAAATAAAACCCATATAAAACACGCTCTCCTGGATTTCTTTTTAGTTTCTATTTCTTGTTTCTCTCTTTTTATCTCAACTTACTTTATTTCTCTACTAATCATAAATCATGGAAAAGCTCAAGGATGTAAGTTTCAAAACAAAATCATTATACACTTGAAACAATATGCTAACTGCAGTCAATAGAGAGTAACAGCCCTTCGTGGTCAGTCCGAAGCTGCCAGACAGCGTGGTGATGAACTCGAAGCCAGACAAAAGCAGCTCACTTCCGATATTACTGCCAAAGAGCACGAACTCACTTCCCTGCAGACTCGCGTCAAGAACCTTGAGAAGAAACTCGATGACACAGAGTCCAAGTTGACCGAGACATCTTCAAAGTAAGACGGAAAAGAGAGAGAGAGAGAGAGAGAGAGAGAAAAGGGGGTGGGGGTGTTTAGCTAGTCATTACCATTAAGCAAATATATATATATAAAAATGAGGAGATGATTATTGACACTGGTCCTTACACCTTGACAGCTACAACAAGGCCGATCTCGATGCAGTCAATAATGAGAAAAAGGTCGCAGCACTCGAGGCTGAGTTGATTGAAAAGGAACAAAAGTTCGAGGAGCTGACAGAGAAGTACAAGGCCACAAAGGCAGAGTTGGAGGAGTTTGCTCGCCAGTTTGATGACATGTAAAAAAAAAAGGGAAGAATATGCAACTTACCGAAATCCCTTTCTTTCTCTTTATTTTATTCTTTTAATCAAAGTACCATTTTTTTATATTATTCATCTTTTCTTCTCCTCCTTTCACATAAACCTCGCTTCCTCTTCTATTCTTTCATGTCTACAAACCTTTGTCCATTTATACTCTTCTATCTTATTTTATTTTATTTTCACCTTAATAAAATATATATAAATAATCAAACATACAAAAAAGAAAAAGGAAAAAGCAAAGAAAAGGGCGAAGCAGTAAAAGGATTGTTGTTTGTATTTTTCTTTAGACAATATTGTCTACACCTGTACCACCCAACATTGTGGTGCTTGCATGAGGCTGTTGCTTGAATCCAGCGATACCTAAGTAATCAATAGAAGAGTAAGAGTTGTGTTGTGATTATTACGATTAGTATTAGTATTGATATTGTAAATTCAGTTTCTTAATCCTACAAATCAGGGTCAGGAAAGGTCAGTTCACAGATCAGGTCAAATGAACCAGAACCAGAACCAAAATCAAAAGGCTCGACTCACCATAGCTAATTGCAGCCAAGAGAAGCGTGACACCGGGTATGATAAGGGTGGTAGTACTGATGGTACGGGACAAAAACATGACAATTGCAAAGCTACACACACACACATATATATATATATATACATATAAATTCCATATTCGTATTCGTATATACGATTCTTAATATGTTTCTTGCTCCAAAGACTTACACCAAATAAAGACCTGCTCTGAGGTAGGAATTTTCAAAGGTGGAAACAAATCCATCACTATATAAATGTAAACATTATGAGAATTACTTTATTGCACAGATTATATAATCAAGACTTACAACTTTGGACTTGTAGGACAGAACTAGATCAAGGAGTTTTTTTTTATATAGAAAAAGAAAAAAAAGAGAGAAAGAGGAGGTGGTAGTCAATTATTTATATAAATATTGGTTAAAGAAGTTCAACAACCAAGCCAATAGACTACCAATTTATTCTAGATTTTTATTGTGATTCTTTAGATTACCTTTGTACATAACGGTACTTCTACAAAAACCAATATAAATGCAATAACCCTTTTGTTTTATTTTTATTGATTATTTTTTTTGGTCATAAGAAATCGTCAAAAGATGTCAGTAATCAGACTGTTATTATTTTGACTTTATTACTCACCATCCTATAATGGCAAAGACGAGATTACTGATCAAGGAGACAACTCCAAGTGCAATCAATACTAATATATATAAAATGAATGAATAGATGAATGAGTCACATTATCAATTGTTATATTCAATTTGAAATAAAACAAAAGAAGAATCAGACGTTTAATTGGCAAAACTTACACACAATCGACACCAGTCCAAACCTAGTACGTCAATGTAGCTTTTTGTGAATATGACGATTCCTCAAACAATGTACTTTACCATTGAGCATAAAGTGAAAAGTTACGCGATGCAAATTCAGCAAAGATTCCCATTATTAAGGATAATTGTCTATAGGTTTTCTTTATTTCTTTCCTTGAGAAAAGAAAAGGTCCAAAGAAATGTATCAAGAGCAGAAGAAGAAGAAGGAAGAAGAAGAAGAGAAAATGTTACAAAATAATAATAGTTAATTAATTAATTAAAGAACAGGAGTATTGTGGTTTAGAGGGGACCAAAAAAAAAAAAGGGTGCTTATTTGATTCGAATCGATTTGATTTGAATTGACTATTTTACTTTACTTTATTTATATAATATGTATATACATATATATATACACACATTATTTTATCTTGGTCAGATAAAATAAAGACTGCATTTGAATTTGATTTACGGCATAAACCTAATTCAACCCCTCTTGGATTGTTGGTCTTTATCAGATAGGCTCTTTATATCTGTCTCTTTTTTTTAAAAAAGAAAGAAAGGATACGGTGTATCTCTTCAGCAACAAGAAGTACAAGCACTTGACACAAAGGCAATTAAAGAACATTGTCTGACCAATATTATTTCCTTTAACAAAATAAATTAAAAATTAAATGAAATTAATATGAAAATGAGAAAAAAACTAACAAAGACTATATATTATCTATCTCTTGTCTTGTCTTGATTTGTCTGTGCGTGCGTGCGTGTGCTTGTATGTGTGTGCGGCTTTACATGCTCTATATTTTCCTTGCATATTTTATTATTTTATTACTACTAGTACTAGTACTACTACTATTACTAATATTACTATCATTACTATTAAATATATAATATATATATAAAGAAGAATTTCAATTTTCCTTTTGTTGCATGGATTGATCATCCCAGTGCTTCCAGAGTGCGTCTCGAACTTGGTTATCTTGACTCAACTCTTCAGCATTAGAAAACAGTACAATATCTACAGCTGGCACTGCAGCCCTTGCAGCTGCCAGACGTTCACTCAACCTTTCGGATTCTTGTGATTTTATGATCAAATTGTCTTGATCAGACCATCTTCTTCTTATCCCTCTTCTTCTTATCCTTTCTTCTTCTTCTTCTTCTGTTTCTGATTTTGATTTTTCTTCTGTCTCTTCTAGCCAAGCCTTTGTATGCCACTCCTTGACGTCTAATAAATTTTTGCTGTTTCTGTTGTCCAATGATCTGGAGAGACCGTCGTACCTTTCTGTCAGTGTCACCCTCTCGTCCACGGGTTCAGTGAGCTTGATACCAGGCATCTGAATATTCAGAATGTGGATATTCTTTTCATCACTTTCCTTGTTTTCCTCGTTTTCCCTGTTTTTGATTCTGTTTATTTCCGCAGAAACCATGGCATCGTGATTATACCCATGCTCCTGATCATCAGAATCCTGACTATCTTCTGACATCTTTCGTTTGGAAGACAATAGGAGTGACAAAAACGAGCCTGATCGGCGTGTGGTTGATTGGATCCAGGTTTGTTTGGCAGACACTGAACTGGTGCTGGTGCTACTAGGCTGATCAAAAAACGGCGTGGTAACGTCTCGAATAAAGATCTTTAGGATGCGCCCCGGATTCTCTAGTGCAATCTGGCTGTATATCTCCAGGTCGATTTCGCCCGAATCGCCTACAAGAACAAACCGCCTGTGAGGAAAGTCGCTCATGATCAACAGGATCGCATCCCGCTTGGCCTGGCCGGCCACCTTGACCAGTCTGGAAAACAGGCTGCTGTCGGCTCGGAGGTGGATGCTGCCGGGTGGGAACTGGTTCTGGTGAATAAAGCGGTCCAGCATAGGCAGGAGCTGAAACGGACTGTTGGAGACATAGTGAAACGAGGCACCCTGGGTGTACCACCCCATGTACGCATCAGCCATGCCATCGACGTCCTTGGGCTCTTTGAAAAATGTGTTTGAAATCACGGTCCGTGCGCCGTTTAGGACCCGAGTGTCCTTGATTGTGTCGTCAATGTCAGAGATAATCGAAATACCACTGGGTCTAATCAAGCTGACCAGTCCAGTGGTCGGTAAAAAATTCGACTTTGTAGGGTTGGGTTGGGGTGATGGGTCGGATCTCAGCTGAATAAGACGAGGATCACACAGACCGTGCTGCTTGGCCCAGTTCTGGACCTGTTCGTCTGAGATTTCAAACGTGCCACCAAAAAAGCCAGTGTTTTCTGAAACAAAGCTTTCCTGTAAGGGATCTAAAGGATGCTGGGATGATCCGGTATTTAATGGCGGCGTGTTTTGGAGATAGTCAAAGTAACTTGGGCAATCATAGGTTGTGTATCGGTCGATGAGTGATCCAGACATGGCACGGGATACTATTGATGAATTCAGGACTATCGAAAGTGGGTTCTTTGGTCTGCCAAATGGGGGCGTGGTCCATGAAAATGGTCTGTTGAGGTAGCTGGCGTAGTCTATGGCTTCAGTTTCGTAAAGGCCTGGAAACTGTTCGTCGTCGTTTAGTGAAGAAGACAGACTGTAGGGATCCCTTCGACTGTCCTGCAGAGATATTGGTCCGGTGGCCTTGATAATAAAGACCTTGTTGCGTTTGTTCTTTGCCATAAAGTAGCTAAATCGTTTTTCAAACATATGAGTTGTCTTTGGATCTGTGGAGGCTGCCTTTGCAACACTTTTGGTAATTCCTGTCGGGTAAATTGAATAGATGGTGTCCAATCACACACTTGTTAGAACGATTTGCTTTCTGTATTTGTGATTTATCTCCCGCCATAATATATCTCAAAGTACAATATTACCCATCATTAGCCGTTGCTTTGTGCCGGATGTTTTGTGAGAAAGTGCCCAAGCCTTGACACGAATTATCCACAGTGAAGGATCTAATCCCAGTATGATTTATATATTTTATTTTTATTTTTTAATGTGCAATATTGAATCGAATTTAATTGAATTACATTGAATTGAATTGATTTGTAGTTGTATTATTATTTTGTATTAGTTTTATATTTATTTATAAGGAATACCCTACACAAGAAACTGACCCTTTTTTTTGTTTTTGGTCTTTTCATATATATATATATATATATATATACATATATTTAATTTCAAATTACCTGTGGGGCTTTGCATAGCATAAGTAGGAAATAATATACATTCTTTTTGTAATTCATCAGTCGAAAAGGGTTGTTCGGCTGTATCGTCGAGTAAGAGAGTGTCGAGGTCTAAAGAGGCTGGTTCTTGGTAAAGAGGTGCAGATGTGTCAAGTATGTGTGAGTAGGGTTGATGAGACACAGCTGCCATGCTTATTAAAATAAAACAGAAAGAAGAAGAAAATGTATGTATGTATGTATATAAAAATAAAAGAACAAGTTAAAGTATAAAACAAAAAAAAACAAAAAAGCAATTTATTTTATATTTATATATTTAGTGAACGCCTACTGACGCCTTTGATATCATCACAGCCAAAAGAGTAAAAAAAAAATGAGAGAAGCAAAGGCTTAAAAAGGGGGGGGGTGAGTGAGGACGAAAGGTGAATTAAGGATCTCTAAATAAGGGTTATCATCAGGCTTCTTGTACTCCAACTCTTTGAACACATATTTATTAACCCTCGGCAAAACACTTTTTAGAAGCTCAAATCTTTATCACACGTGGTGATCTTTTGCTGACCAAAATAATAAGAATAATTTGATGTGATGTGATTCAATGTCTTGCACAGGTTTTATTTTGTTTTATATATAATACACTCCTAAAGCTGTTGATTTTTATGATTTACCCAACTGATTTGTCTGTAGGATCCTCTAGTTCTTCAATTGTAGTCTTCAGGCGTCTGGTATTTGCCTCGGCTTCTTCCAATTTGGCTTCCAGACGTCGAGTCTTTTCTTTCAATTGACCAAGTTCTTTTTCGTATGCTTCAATAGCCCTCTCTCGCTCAAGCAATGTTGCATCCGATCGCTGTAAATGAAACAAACAGACGAATGAATCAATGGATAAAGATTTCATTCGAATTAATTCATTAATTGACAAATGAATATTATTGAAGGGCTCTTGGTTACCTCTAATTTGAGTTTCATAGCTCGCATTTTCTCTTCCACTTGTGCAAATGTACTTGTCATGGTTGTAATAGAATTCTGGAAATGTATGTGTGTGTGTGTATGCGCATTAGAATAATATCAAGTCTCTTTTGATTATTATTATTATTTTTAAAGAAAAAGACAAAATCCCTACAAACCAACCTTGAAAGTTTCGTTCTCTTTAACTCTAGCGTCCAATTGACGCTGGAGATGATCCAACTGCCTTTGATTATCATTGACCTCAATTTCTAGATTTGTTATTTGTCGCTTGTGAATAAGTTCGTTGTCCTCCAATTCCTGGCTACGGATTCTTTGTTGGGTTTTCAAATCTTCAACCTCTTGAACATGTTGTCTCTCCATAGACTAAAAATTATTTACCGACTTAATATAACACACACACACACACTCTCTCTCTCTCTCTCATATATATATATACATGCATATATGTATACATTTATACATTTATATATTTATACATTTTTAATTGAAAAAAAAATGTACAGTAATTTATTGATTATTATTTTTTATTGATTTTTGATTGATTTATATATATAAATATGTATATATGTATATATGTATGTATGTATTGATTTAATTAATTGATTTGCTTATATTATTTATTATTACCTGAATCTCTGCTTTCAATTCTGCTTCTCTTTCTAATATTTGCTTTGCTTCAGAAACTTTTTCTTCTACTGTTACCTCGAGGTCTTTACGAGAGCGTTCCAATTCAAGTACTATAGATTCGAAAGCCCATTAATTTATAAAGCTCTATATCCCATTCATTTATGCATTCATTCATTCTTCTACATATATATATATTACGCACATTGTTCGTGGTTCATATCAATCAATTTTTGCATATCACTGACTTTCCCCTAATAAAACTAATCGATAAACAACAACAAAAGAATATAAATGCGTGGGTGTACTAGTAGATACTTTACCCGTAAATCCCATCCTGGTCGTTTTTTAAGTTCTGCTGCTACTTGGGTTGCATTCGGCTTGGGTGCCGGCTGTTTGGGTTCGGTGGGTTCTGCTCTCCGTCCGAATGCTGTTCTTGTGGGTGCTTTGGTGGAAGTGCCAGTATTGGCAGCATTGGTGGCATTTGCACGAGCTAATGAGGCCCTTGTTGTTGCAACAACAGGACGAGGGGTTTTCGGACGAGGATTACTAGACCCAATCGCATTTTCTCTTTTGCGTTTGGTACTTGTTAATGAACTAGACATTGAATGAAACAGAGGATTGTAAAAGGTAAAGGAGAGAAAGAGGATTAGGAGGGGTGAATGCCAGAGAATGAATAAACACAATAATGATTGTAAAAACAATAATTATATATTATTATTTTAATTAAATAAATAAATAAAAGGAACTACTGGATTCGTAATGATGAGGAAGAGAGTCACAAGGTAAAATAGAATAGAATATAAAATAAAATGTGTTCATTGCAAAGTCACGAATAAGAAACGACAATCAAAAGGTGCTTTCAAAAGAAAAGTAGTAACTTTATATTTGAAATACAAATACTAAGAATAATGTATATATTTATAAGGCTGTGTTTGTTCGTTTGCTTTACAAGTGAAATGATCTATTTGCCTGTCCGTCTAAATGGCTCACTTTCAAAGATAGGTTTACATTTTTTGCAAAGAGATCAAATAATATTGCTCGGGATCATAAGGCAACTTGAATCTTCTTGTTGAGCCTATTGCTGTATTCACAGTAAGATACTAAGGAACCAAAAGAAGAATACGTCCTAGTTGAATAAAATTTAAGCCTTGTACAATGCGCATATACTTATATCTAGCTTTTTTACATTTATTCAATATTTATTCACTTGCTTTATTTTAAAGATATAGATGATGATGATTATTATTAACAAATCACATTTCGACTCTTGTCACAAATATATAGTGAATATTGAATATTGATGTCACATCCAAAATGTATATAGAATTTGCTAGTTCTATAAATAGTTCTCTATTTCTTACAACATTGTCTTTTACACATCTTGACGTCTTTTTTTTTAAAAAAAAAAAAAGAGTATAACAAAGGTGCGTCAGTGTTTTCGTCACAGGATTCTATTACTATTATACTTATATCGGTGCTATCACTGTTACTATAGCAACAGAAATAGCAATAAGTATAATGAGGTATAGTTTGAGACAAATGATATAAAGAAAATGTAATAAATAGATACTAATATAGAGGCAATCTATACTTTCAAAAGTAAATGACAATAACAGACATCTACACATATAGATCAGGACAGTTTGATGTTTAATATATTGTTTCAGGACCGTTTGAACTAGTCTGAAATTCTGCAAAAAAAATGATACTAAGAATGATACTAAAAACAATACTAGAAATCAAAGAAAATCCCTAGGTTTATATAGCACATGTGTGTCTAGAGTGCAGTACAGTCGAGAGTAATTTTAGTATGAATTGAGTGGTACACAAGGAGCTCTATATAAAAGAGAAAAAGTTTTGGGAAACATAGAAAGAGCTGCAGATTGCATTTAAATGAGGAGCAAGTGTGTATACAAGGATATTCTACATTGCAGTGCTAAACAATCCTTTGTCAGTTTCGCAAGTGACTAGGAGGGGAGGTAAAAATAAAGTACAATTCTATAGCAACCAAAAAAAAAAAGTCAAATATGTATCTAAGCGTTTTCTTCTCTCAACTCCAAAGTGGGAGGACAAACCCACTGACTCACGCCAGATGTGGGATAACTCTCCTTATCTATTTTCTTTTTAAATAAATAATAAATAATAAATAATTTTAATAATAATAATACAACAGGTTCAAGTGATTTGGATCTTGAGGTTGTTTTTGTGGTTGTGCATGTGTGTTTTTGTACTCGTATTGTATCGTACTCGTGTTGGTGGGTTTTTGGCTCTTATTACTTTATTCATATATATATAATAATAATAATAATGCAAGATATAAATTGACCCTGAAGGAAGTTTATTCAAATGTATGTTATACTTATTCAGGTATAAGAGTCCAAAAACAAACAATGGACTTCTCGGTAATCTCAGTATCCTTTAGCTTTCTACTTCTTTTACTTTTTTGTACTAGATTTACATGTGTGAATATAATGATAAAATATTAGTATCTTGTTGCGATGCCTAGTAATGTACTGCACTGTGTTTACTATACTACATTTCTTTTAGGGCTAAATGATTACCAATATAGATAATAAGGAATCAAGAGTTATAATAATACGATATCAAAATAGAAAAAGAAAAGCAAGTAACGATTTGATCGACGAATTGCACAACAAGTAATTGGTCAACTATTAATATTTGAAAACAAAGAAAGCCAAGTGATTGAATTGATTGAATTGATGTGTCAATCCTGACAAATGCTCCCTCAAAGAAAGCTATAGAAGCGAGGTTAAATTTGTGAATAGATCCGCAGTTTTGTCCATTGATACAAACACAATCCATAAAGTGAGCCTTTAATGTATTTTGAATTCACATGTTAAATAACATATATCTTTTTCTTAATGATAGCAATAAGGTGCCTTTCTTTAGAAGAAAAGAAGATTTGTAACAAAGGAGGGTTCTTGGCACTCCTCAAACTATACAAACACCCTAAATATAAACTTATATGTATAAATATGGCTTGTCTACCTTGCTGAATTGGTTGATTGATCAATAGGTACAATATAAAGTTTGTTTTCTATAATTATCTCTTTATAAGCTAAAAGACTGAAATAACGTTTAGCCAACCAAGAAACCAACGAAAAAAATACCTCTTCTTGGCATTATTGAATATTCTTTTTAAAAAAAAACATATTACAAAGTGATGTATAATGTATTTGTCAGAGGAAGCTACACAACAGATATCACAAATTATTGGCTTCTATTTTCTATTTATGTTAGTGATCAGAGTGCTTTTATTGGATATACTGAATAGAATGGAATCCATAGAATGTGATTGGGCTTATATGGGATCAACATCTTTATTTTTACAAAAAGAAAAAGAAAAAAAAAACTGGCCTGTTGGTCTGTCCCACTTGTACAATGTTATTACTATATATTTAAAAATATCACTTAGCTCCATATATAGAAGGTATTAATCTCTCTTTAAGCACAAATTAAGATATTATATAATTAGATATATATAAAAAAAAAGGGTCCAGTTAAACTTTCTTTTTTTATTATTTTACAATATTTTTGATCAATGACATTGCTATTCTTTAAATGTATATTATGTTTTCAAAGGTTTGTTTCAATTTTATTTTGAATGTTTATAAGAACTGTTTCAATATTACAAGGGCTTAAAAATAAAGCGGTCAGTCAATAGATTGATAAATAGATAGCCGAAGAGAGAGAGAGAACATGGCATAATGAATCAATGGAAATGAATTATTGAATGAATGTGTAATAAAGACAAAAGATTAGAGGTTAAAAAGACTGTGGTGTGACTTCATGATGAACAAAGCATACCCTTTTTGGGTTAAACTATGATTATTTCCCTTTTCACTATAATTTCTTGCCAAGGATTGTAACAAAAAAAAAATACGATTAAAATTTCATCTTTCTTTAAATACCAACTTCTTCTTTCTCTTCTTCTTCTTCTTGTACAAAAACACTTCTTCTATTAATTTAATATTTATATACAAAAAAAAAAGGCAATAATAAAAAATGTTTGCACCAAGCGCTAAAGGAATGTCAACCAATGGAAAGAGGATAGCCTATGGACTATTGAACTTTCGTGACGTGGGTGCATCAACCGAGAACCCAGTAACCAAGCAAAAGTAAGTTTTCTTTTTTTTTTTTTGGCCCCTTATTTTTTTTTTCTATTGTATTATATAAATATATAGATAGATACAGATATGGACAGATAGCCAAGAATATTATTAAAAATCAATAGAAACCATTACAACAAACAGCAAACAGAAAACAGCTTATCTGCATTGGTTATGTTTTTATGTGAAATATGAAATATGAAATCTTAAACAAGAACAAAATAGATATATCAAACAAGGTCTCGTATTCCGATCAGCGACACTGGACAACATGACGAAAGAAGACATTGACGGATTCATCAAGGAGCATGGCATCAAGACCATTCTTGATCTTCGAACAGGGTAAATAATTAATGCATACAGAAATTACAGTATTATAAATAAAAATAAATAAATATATTAAACTCATCACATATATCAACTATTACTATTATTACTATTATTTGATATGTAAAGGATGGAAGCCGTGGAAGGTCTTCCTATTGACAAGAGTTTTCCAACCATGACATTAGAAAATGTAAGCTTATTAAATATTATAATTTTATATATATATATCTTTGATTACCTAATATTAAGATTTTTTTTTATAATACGTAGGTCAGACCAAAGGATCTATTGGTTGACTCCAATGATTCAGGTGTTCATCCTGAGGAAGCCAAGACTGAAGTGATGGATTTCTTGAACAACTCGACCACTCTGCGGAAGAAGTTTAGAATTGATTTTGCAGGAAAGAACTTTCAGCGATACTGTGTATTTATGTCCTGTAGTTTCCGGTTAAAAATGTAAGTTTCTTTTCTTATTTGATCCATTTGATTTGGATGATTTTGTCCACCCCATCATAATAATAATATTAACAAACAATATTGCCTTTTTATTTATTTACTTGTAGTACATTGTTGGTGTTAATGTTGTTCTGTCAGAAGAAAAAGGCATCGTATCTTGTGGGGCGCGAGGTTTTGTCCCCAATGGGAGTCTCGAAAATGTACAGAAAATTCGCTATCTATTGCCAATCCGAGGTCCGTCAGGCGCTCGAAATCTTCACAGATCCGTCCAACTACCCAATTCACATCCACTGCACGCAGGGCAAGGATCGTACAGGTATCATGGCCTGTTTATTGGAGCATATCGCAGGCGTCCCTAAGGATATTATTATTGACGATTATGCAAAGACTCAGCAAGGGCTTGAACCTGTCAGAGACATGATGTTGTCAGAAATCCGTAAAGCTGGACTAACGGAAGACTTTGCAAATGCACCACCAAAGGCAAGTAATTCTTAATATATTAATTAATATTATACCCCACACTATAAGCAATTATCTTATTATCTTTTGCACATACATAGAATATGGAAGAGCTTTTAGAGTATCTGAATGGCAAGTATGGATCTGTTGACGGATACTTGGATGCCATTGGTTTTGGTAAACAATCTAGAGATAAAGTACGCAAGATAATTGCAGTCTAAATAAAGCAAATACATACAATTACTATTTTGCTTTTTTTGTACTCCGACCTTTCACCCTAAAACAGAACTATTTATTATAATATATATAAAAAAGAAAAGATAAGAATCGATTTGTGTATAAATTGTATTATAAATAAAATATATATATATAATATATATATAAAATGGCTGGAGAAGAGCGGATTTCCATTTTTGAGGGATGGTATTTGTGGCTTTAAGAAGCACAATATAAATATAGTCAGGCGCTGCGGTTCTTCTTTTATTTATTTAATGATGCCTGAGACTGATAAGATCCCTTTGGCTAGGATGATTGGCAGTTTACAATATGAGTCGCCTCATATCATTGGCCAATCGTTCCTTGATCTCCCGATTTTCCCTTTCAATAGACTATAGGAATATATTATGGCGTGTATTCGGAGATTAAACCGATTTTAATTTTTTATTTTTTTTATTTAAATACACCGTTGTAAATCACCTACTTTTTTTTTTTTTTTTTTTTTTTGGAATTTCATTTCATTTTTCTCTTAAACCTCTCCACACAACATATATATATATCTCTTTTGTGTGTGTGTGTGTGTGAATGAGTGTGTGCGCGCATATATATATATATATATATTAATATTAATATCTACCTGCCTACCTACCTACCTGCCTGCCTACCTACCTGCCTATAATACATACAATATATATTTATTTATTTAATAAAACCATTATATAAATACATAAAAATATATACACAAAAAATGGATATGGAAATGAATGGCAATATGGAATTCAATATCCCAGGATTCCTTTCGCTGACTCCAGATGAAGAAGATGCTCCTTACTTTGAATACGAAGAAGAAGAAGAACTACCTACCTGGATGGACGACTGCGAAGTCCAAGAGAACCTTTTCCAGATCTTGCCTCTGACACCCGAAGAGTCAAGGATCGACAAGGATAACCACATTGTCCAGTCAAATCCGTGTTACTACTTCTTTGAGGAGCTTGGCTATTTTACGGAAGAACCCGAACCCATCGACCCTACACGGGATTACGAGGCCGAAGCAGAGCAGCTGATCCAAGAACGCAATCGCACTCGTCAGAAGCATATCGACATCTCATCCACTCCATCCTTGGCATCTTCTCGCTCAGGCCTCTCCTCCACTTCATCGTCCATTCACCACTCTGAAGCAGCAGATCCCCGCTTCCCTCACTTTAGCCATCACAACCACCACCACAACCACCACCACCACCACCACCACCATAATCATCACAATCATCATCCTCATAACCATAGCAACCAGTATCCAAGCGACACAAAGCATATTCTACCTAGCAACAACAACAACAACAATCATCATCATAGACCTCCTCTGATGCCTCCATCCTTCCACTGCCTTTAAAGATCAACTCTTTATTTTCATTTCACTTATACCTTTCTTTCTTTTTTGTTCTTTATTTCGTTCTTTTTCTTTCTTTGCATCATGTACATAACACCCAAATCTAAATCTAAATCCCAAATATTCACATATTTAACTATTATTTTTTTCTTTTTTTTTGTTAATTTTAATACAATTCAATTCAATTCAATTTGTTATACACTATATTATATATAGATATTTTGGATATATTAATAGGGGGTAATCAACCCCAGTCTTGAAAAAAAAAATATTTACACATGTAAAAAAGTAAATAAATAAATAAATATTTACTTATTTACAATACAATATAAATTATTTAATTCTTGATTTGGGTTTTTACTTATTTTATTTATTTATTAAGAATGATAATAATATATATCTGATAGATATATATATTTAAATCATCCAATCAAAATTCAATACGAATGGCTTACAAGTGCGTGAGATTTTTTGTTCTTATTGGTAATAGTAATAATAGTAATAATAATATTCTTGTTGTTGTTGCTATGATTTGACTTGTCTTGACTTGACTTGATTTGATTTGAGCTTCTTGTCTGTACAATTGTGTATATAGTCTAATAGTTTTCCTTTGCTTCCTTTGGTAAATTCTCGCCCTTTTTCTTGATTACACCCAGATGAAGAATACGATCTCCAGACATGGCCACCGGGTTGGAACTACGGCCGATTACCTAACCAACCCAAACCCCAACAAAAGACAATGCAATAAAGTGAAATAAGATTAAGAAGGCAAGGAAGGCAAAGAGGATTAGATGTTTGTTATTATCATTATTATTTTCTTTTGTGTTCAAAACAAATAAACTCAAATAAATAATAACTTACGATTCCACCACAAGGAGCAAAATACTCGTCCACAACGTTACCAAAGATATTCTTGATACGTGCAATCAGGTCACCTTTTCTAATGATCGTATTGACTGCTGGATAGACTTCCAAAACACCACCAGTAGTAGTATAAATCTACTTTTTCCAACAATATAAATACACCTCTTCATCTCTCCGTGTCCCAAATCTCAACTTGCCCAGAATCCCTTTGAACAAAGAATAGTACTAGGTGGACTACCGATCGAAAGATCTGGCTGGCTTGTTCCTGTGTTACAAAGTGCAAACATATCAAGGTTGTCCAGAATACGCATCACACCCATAAATGACCACTATTTGTTTGTATATTTGAATTTAAATTTGAATTTGAATTAAGAATAACAATAGCATTAAATATTTTATAGAAAAAGATTAACTTGCCTCTATGTATTGGTTTTGGAATAGCTGTGGGTTACCAATCTCTACCGTCACAGCCTTTATGCCACGCGCAGATGCAGCAGATCTCAAAGTACCTTGATCACAAGGAAACATTAGTGTCTTTGTATCTATTAGCTCTCCTGATCCACTAACCATCTTGACCAGAGTTGTGCAATAGAATCTGAGGTTTCTGAAGATGAGCCATTGTAGCAGATGCTGCATCATTCTATAATATATATTTTTGGATTTTTACAGCACAATGATATTAATCTTATGTATACACAAACAAACACCCAAATATTTACCATGTCGGCCCGGACATAGTATGAGTTCACACGTCCAAAACTAGCCGTGTGTAGATCAATGAGATAGTTGAATTGTGAAATGATCTTGTTCATCAACTGGTAACAGTAAACCTGAGACGCAAACCCATCTTCCTTGCCGGGAAACAATCGGTTGAGATCCCGGCCATCGGCAAACTCTCTTGAAAACTTGAGGTATCCCGTCACATTGACGCACGGCACAGCTACCACAGTTCCATGCAACTTTTGAACATCAATCTCTGCCACAACCCTTTTATTATTATTATTATTATTATTATTATTATATAAAGAAATATCAGTAGTGAGAATCGTGCCGATAAAGCTGTACATATTTAGCTACTCATTATCTCTTTCTTTTTGGATTTACCTGTGAATACATGGCACTCCATTGAGCTCATTACCATGTACTGCGGCAGTTATGCCTACAACCGGACTGAATTTAAATAGCAGAGTTAGAATAACATCAATTAACATCAATGGTAGTAACGATGGCAATAAAAAGTAAATTTCAAAAGTATATACTATCATTCTTTATTTACCCTTCTTCAGATCCGCGGCAGATGATGACTGGTAAGCGGATCCACTCGTTCAAGCCCTGGCGTATCATCTTGATCCAGGCAGTACTCACGCTGTGCTTTGGAAAGTCATCTACTACCAAACGGTCTCTCACAACAGGCGGAGGCGTGTCGGTGTCGTACATGAGGCCAAATGTGGGTGGACTGTAGATCCGAGCACCGTGCTGTTGACTCTGAGCCGACGGCGACAGCAGCTGGTCCACACCTCCCTTTTTGGCTGTGGCTGTGGCTGTGGCTGTGGCTGTGGTTGTGGCTGTAGTTGCCATGGTTGCCGTGGTTGCTGTAGAAGATGAGTCCAATGTATCCACTGTTCCTGAACTGACCAGATCAGAGCCAGAGCCAGAAAACTTGTCTGCGATAACCAGAGAACCCTTGCGATGGGGTTCTCGGCGACGACTGGGAGTGTCTGTTGGCTCAGAGGGAGACATGGGGTGGAGGTTGTGGTAGCCTGACACAATATGGCCTGAGCGTTCGATAGCAGCACCAGGGGTAATAGGAGTACCGACCAAGGATCCTGATCCTGATCCAGAGATAGCACTGGTTCCGATAGCAGCAGTAGGTGTACGCTGAGAGATAAAGTAGTCTGATACAGTTGAAGAAGGTCCACCACCCTTGATTTCTGATATCTGGATAGTCAACACAGTTGCATCTATAATACATAACAAATATATATATAAAAGAAAAATAAGGATTGGTTGATATATTTTATTACTTTAATACTTCTTTGTTTTCTTTATTTTTTATTTGGCTTACCTAGCTCGTGATGGTTGACATTTCCAGCCATATCAGAAGCCTTGATGGTCATGCTGACCGGCGTAGACTCTTCATCATGTTCAACATAGAGTGTCTGGCCAGGTGAGAGCACATGTATGTGGTCACTCGACTGATCTTCGTCTACGCTGATCCTCACGTACCCTTCGACCACATACACCAGTGCAAATGAACCGAGAATCAGTTTCTTTCCCGTCTCGCCACTCTCGTTTGACACCGGCTGTCCTATCTTGTCCACGTCAAACTGAGCTGTTCCAAGATCCCGTTTGATCATAAACTGAAGACTTGTTACTGGTGCATCCGTGACCTTGCAGTTACTTGCCCTATTTACATATATCTTTAGATATATACATACATATATATATATATATATACTAACCATTCACCATGCCAACTGTATGGAAACAAAGGCTTGACTTTTGTGGATACTTCATCGCCTTGATGGTTGAGTAACAAGGCAGCTTTACGGTTTTGACTTGGCAATACAACCGTAGTACTTTATAATAATAAAAGAAGATAAAAATAAATTAAGGGTTGTGATGAGTAAAAGATAAGAGCAATGGACTCACCAATAATAGCCCGGAAAGAGAGTAAAATTACAATCGGCTTCGATACGATGCAGACTTAGTCTCCAGAAAAAGGTGTCCTTGCGAAAGTCCTTTTTTGGTGGATAGATACTGATTTCAGACGTAGTTCCCAGCCCATTTTTCCAAGCTTTGATCTTGTAATCACGTCTAAATAAGAACAACAATTTATAAATATATATATATATTCAAAGTATCATTATCATTAAAAAAAAACAATTACTCTGGTGATAGACTGGCTACAGTCAAAAGAGATGGTTCTGGTGAGTCGGACTCAAGAATAGAACCCTGAGGGAGATCTGATTCAGAATAATTCAACATATCCACAAAGAAGTAAAGGAAGAAGAAGAATAAAGAGAAGAAGAAGAAGAAGAGTAGTAATAAAGGCTATAAAACACCTTTGTCTCTTTTGAACAAAGTAAATATAGAAAACCGTGTTTATTTATTTATTTTTAAAAATATATATAAAAAAAAACCCCCCTTGAATCCTATTCTATTTTCTTGCTTAATCTACAAACATTATACACACGCACACACGCACACACACATACGCATAGAACCAACGTGACCTTTTCCGTTGGCTGCAAATAATTCTCTCTCTCTCTCTCTTTTTTTTTTTTTTTTGAAATGTTTGTGCGTATGTGTGTAAATAGCCAGACACATATAGACGGTCAGCTTAGACGGATAGATTGATATCATGACGTGTACTGTTGTCGGAGTGCAGTCATTTTCACGTGACATCCTAATTCTTATTCTTATTTTTTATTTGCCGTCATTTTGTATTTTGTATTTTTTTTTTTTTAAATTTTTTTTTATAATTCCTTCTCTCCCTCTCTCTCTCTTTTTCTTTCCTTTTCTCTCTCTCTCTCTTATATATACTATTATTACTATTACTATTATTTTTCTTTAAAAAGAAAGGATTGAATCAAGAGAAAAACGAAACCAAAAGGAAAAAGACATAAAAGAAAGAAAGAGAAAATATGGAGTTTCGCCTGCTGTCAAAGTACGATGATTTGTTCACAGACGTCCTGCTTGATGCTCTCCACCTTTGGTTCCCTACCATAAAAATGAACGCAGATCACAGGCACCCAAGAGTACCCTGTGCACGAGTACTTGAAATCATCCAAAAGAATCTATTGGCAACCGAGAGGATCAATGATGCAGTACGAGAACTATTAGAGTAAGTTATATCCATACTATACAATAACAAGATTAATATAAAAAGAGATAGTGAAAAGATGGGGGACGGGGACGGGGACGGGGACGGGGGGATTGTGATAAATACAATGGATCCAAACATATATATGTATGTATGTATGTATGTATGCATGTATGCATGTGGTTATTGTGTGTATGGTCATTGTGTGTGTGATTATTAATGATTTTATTAGTATTGATTACTTTAAACATTATCTGTCCACAAAAACAATCAAACAGCAGCAAGAGTTTGTCCAGCATATGAAGAGATATCTTTGCATGTAAGTTAGAGTGCCAGGACCTTTTTTTACATACCAAAGTATATCAGCGATATCCAATTACTTATAGATCCAATCTCAATTTTTTTTATAAAGGTATTTGCCGAATGCTGGATTTGAGATTGGAGAAACTCGTAGATATTCAAACGGAAGACACGCCGAGGCCTGTATATTGGCAACAAAAGATTGGCACGTTGGGGACGAAATGCGACTGTGTACAGGAATGATCGCATGTCTGGACCCCAGCGCGGATGCAGAACTCAAGCAAGACGACCGTGATTTTAGTGTGATGTGGTCGTCGCGCAAAGGGTGCAGTTGTCTCTTTCTGGGTCCAGCTAGATTTGTGAACGTAAGTCGTAAGTCACTGGTGTAACAAAACTAATCTACAATATATATATATATATATATATAAATATAAATAATCTAATAATAAAATCTTTTTTCTTTTATATATACTATATTGTATTGTATTGTACTTTTTTTACTGTGGGAAACCGTTAGAGTAGCATGACTGCAATTCAAACAGCAAGGTATGGTTATTATAGAAACAGAAATGTTGATTATCAAGAGAAGTGAACCTTTGAATCTTCTTTGGTGTATCAACTGACTCGTAACAATAATTAATCTTATCTTTTGTTAATATCAAGTTTATTGCCCTTGGACAAAACTCAATTACCTTTAAAGTCATACGTGAAATCAAGTGCGGCGAAGAGCTGACGGCATTTTACGGGAAACATTACTTTGGTGAGAATAACTGTGAATGTCGTTGCGTCACCTGCGAAGGGTAAGTTTTTTCCTTTTCCATTTTCTTTATCTTTCTCTATATACATACCACCAAAGATAACAAGAGAGATATTTCACACACCCACATATATATATCTATATCTATATCTATATCTATATATATATATACTTGTGTATGAGTGCGAGTGCGAGTGCGAGTGCTAGTGCTAGTGCTAGTGCTAGTGTGAGTGGGAGTGGGAGTATGTGAGGAATATATACATATATATATATATGTGTGTGTGTGAATTTCTCTTTAGTAATCTTGTATTTTCCTTTATTTTGCTCTTCAATATGTACATGTATTTTATATATATAAAAAAATTATGATATGATAAAAATAATAATAATAATAATTAAACACAAATTTATTACATGTATTCTATTGTATTTACATTGTGCGTCTGTATTGTGTATTGTGTATTGCGTATTGTGAATTGTGAATTGTGAATTGTGTACGTGTGTGATTATTTGTGTTTTGTGATGTGTAAAACAAAGGCGTAGTGAAGGTTATTTTGCAACACCAAACTCAAAAGATCAACTTCCTCAAGCCGAACAAAACGACACAAGCGGAAACCGACGTAGTGTCCGGAAAAGAAAGCCGACAGTCTATGAAGGTTTGACAAAAAAAAATGATACGGATAGAATGAGAGAAAGCAGTATAAAAAGGGATATGGATGGTATATCACAAACACATATTTACAATTGACTCATAAAACTCCAGATTATGTAGCTCATCCGTGTCGAAAAACAACCAGACGTCCTCCCCAACCCTGTCCAGACGCACTCGATTCACTGCTAGATGCAAAAATCCATACTCTTGGATCAACGCCAACATCATCAACCCCATCAACCCCATCAGAAACATCATCATCATTATCATCATTATCATCATCATCATCATCATTATCATTAGCATCACACTCATCAACAAAATCATTATCATTAACAACAACAACGAATAATAATAATAATAATAATAATAAAGACACACCAGAAGAAAGAAGCAATGTGATGAGTATAGGCTTCATTTGTCAGCCAACACCCGCACCAGAAACAGGATCAAGTAGTGCAAGTCCGGGCGAGAGTACAAATGCAAGTAGTCCTCTTGGTTTGCTGTGTGATGCAGTCATGGACGCAGAGTATCTCAAAGTCAAAGGCAGCTCACTCCAGACCACAAAAGAAGACAGTATTGAACCCGACGATTGCAGTGACACAAAAGCAGACTCCGCCATCGGTTTATCTCCTCGTACATCCGCAAAAGACGACGATTATATAAAGTTATTCAAACAAGAAGATGGTGGCAGGGAGAATGATGATGGCTATGACGGCGATAAAGAATCAGGCACAAACCATAAAATTAATAATAAATTAAATAATAAATCAAGTAACTGGCCAAGGCGCATTAAAGAGGAGGATGAGGATGAGGATGAGGATGATGAGGATGATGATGAGGTGAAAGAAGAGGATAACGATTGGACTTTTATGGATGAACTACTGGAAGGTGTCTCTGATCTTTCATCTTGCTCAGACGATTCTTTTTCTTCCTTTTCTTCCTCTGATAATGACGACGACGACAACGACGATGAAGACGACGAAGATGGTGAAGATGAAGAGGATGAGGAGGGTAATCCAAAAGTCAAGGCAGTCAAAGCACCAAAGACCAGAATTTCAGCTGCTGCTGCTGCTGCTGACCTGAGTTGCACCGCATGCCGGAGACCTATTCGCGAAGAAAGAGCAGCAAGGGCCAATGCGGCAGATCTGTCTGTAGCCAGCACCTTGGCCACATGGACATGGAGTCCGAGCGAAGCATTTGTGGATTGGGGTCCTGAGAGATGCGCCCGTTGTGAACGACACTTTATTATCTTTAAACAGGAATGGCCCAGCAGAAAGGCCAAGAAACCCCGGGTCAAGAAACCCAAGAAGAAAGACAAGAAACCAAAGAAGTTGGAAGTGGCCAAGTCAAACTCATTCATTCATCAAAATCAATATTCTTCTTTACCTCATTCTTCACCAACATCAACCTCAACATCAAATGTGGCTTCAATCCATCCACATCTTCCTCCTCCTGCTGCTGTTGCTGCTCCTGTTGCTATTACTGTTATCGATGCTGAACTAATGGAAGATCTCACCTTTTCTGAACACGACGGTCTCTTTACTCCTCAACCACTCACCCCTTCATCCGATGTATTTTCTGATATTGATTTCTCTTGATCGAATATCTATTTCTCTCTCTCACTAATTCACTTATAAAACATATACTATATATCTTATCTTGCTTGTACATATCTCTCTCTTATTCTCTTATTCTTTTATAAAAGCAAAAAAAAACACGCACACATTCAGTCCCCCCTTTTCCTCCAATCCCCCTTTTTATATCTTTTTTTTTATAAAAAAAAATCCACACTCTTGTATAATCCCCTTTATTTTTATTTACTTTATATATCTATATATAAATTATAATATGTATTATTCTTATATATGTATTTATTCTATTTTGATTCCTTTAATATATATATACTACTTGTGTGTAAAAATGAGTATAATTTTCTCTCTTTCTCTATTCCTTTTGTGATTTGTGATCTGTGATTTGTAATTAGAACTGTTAATGGAAATGCAGATAAAAGTGTAAATGTAAATGTGATTGTGATTGTGATTGTGATTGCAGTATAATGATCAAGTACGAAACAGAATTTATTTAAATATATATATATATATATTATATATTATATATTATGTATGTGTATATATAAATATATATAAATATATTTACAGGACAGCCCAGTCTTTGACAGCACTGTTGACATAATTCTTAATTGTGCAGCTCTTCTCGACCACAGAAACTTTGCTGGGCAGCAATTTGGTCAGGGAAGTATAAGAGGTATACTGGAGAACAAAGAAATCGATCTGGCAGCCACTGAAACTCCATCCTCGGTCGTCGACGCGTACACAGCCATTGTGGGTCATGCCGTTCGAAAGTTTGACGCCGTCGAGTTGCTTGATGTACAGCTTTGTTCCGGCTTTGATGTCGTTTGCTGCAATGCTGACCCAGGGCACAAGGTTATTGTCGTTGAATCCTCCGTGGCCGAATGGAGAAGACTTGCGGTTGACTTCCATGAAACTACTGACGCCATCATCAAGATTGACCATCTTTCCGTTTTGGAGCAAACCAGTGCCTTCCATTTGGAATTTCTATATTGATATATATATATATATATAAAGTAAGTAAATTGATTCAAACCAATATATATATATGTATTCTTTGTCTTTTGTTTTGTTTTTTGGCTTAAAATCTATAAATCTATAAATCTATAAAATTTCAAGATACTCACGTCGAATGTGTTGGGTGCTACTTTGGCAATTTCTTTTCCTTTCGATGTCTTGAGACTTTTGGTTTTGGATCCGGTGAGACTGACAATCTTTCCATTGTTGGTCATATCCTTGTCGCCTTCTTTGGGAATCCAGTATTGTGTGATGTAGGCGTTTTTGTAGCAACTGCTGATGGCTCGCTTATCCATTGGTGCAGCCGAGGTGAAGGAAAGGACAGAAAGGGTGGCGGCGAGAATGTAGATGAGCTTCATGGTTGTTGCTTTTGTATATAAAAAGATATATATGTATATGTATATGTATATATAATCAGAGAGAGTAAGAGTCCGGCTCAAAGATAGAAAGGTAGAAGAGGTGTTATGTTAAAGATTGCGATCAACGCAAAATAAACAAGACAGGTATGGAGTAAGAAAAAAAGAAAGAGTAAGAGAGGGAAAGTGAAGTAGAGAGGATCTATAATTCGAGAAAATGTCAGGGCAGGAAAGAAGGAGGGGTATTTATATGTTTTTATTTTTCTGATTGCTGATTGCTGGTTGTATTGGCTTTCATTTGTCTAATTGCCTAAAATAAGTAAATGATCGTTAATTAGACATATAAAGCAGATTGCGCTGTCTGTATATACAGTCTGTGAGTGCAGTCTGTGTGCGTATGTGCGTGTTAGTGTGTGCGTTTTTGGCTAATGGTTGTACAGGTTAAGCAACGTAAATTGCTGCCTTTTTACTTAATTCATCACATTTGGAGTATGAAAAAAATAATAATCGCAACTCCAATTAAGCCATCCAATCAAAATTCATATATGTTTTGTTCTTTATATACAAAAAAAGAAAAAAGCATTTCCGAGTTTCCCCCTTTGGATTTAAAATTTATATATATATTTATATTTTACATGGCCCTCTATTCCTTTTGCCTTTTCTTGACATGTAAGACCAAAGAAGTACATATATATATATATTTATATTACTTTATAATATTCTTATATAAATATATAAAAAATATCAGAACTCGCCTGATTTACACACACATTAAAGATATTTATTTTGTCCGATTCAAGTATATATATATATATAAAAGTCCCAGTAATAATAATAATAACAATAACAACACATAACAGGTCTTTAAAAGAGATATCCCGCTGTAATTATAGCGAATGTGCGCGTGTGCCTGTGCCTGTGCCTGTGCCTGTGGCTGTATAACTAGAATTACATCTTACAGCTACAGTTTATAGTTATAGTTTTAGTTATGGTTATAATTATCAATTTTTTTTTGTATTCCGGGTTACATCTTTATTTTTTATTTTATTTTTTTAAAAAAGAAAAAGTTATCTAAAATAATTACTTTGGCTTGCTGAGCATATTGGAAATAAGCTTCAAATCCGTATTATTATCAATATCAATATCAATATATTCAAAGAAGATATATAAAATAGCTGCTATACTTGAAAGAAAGAAAGAAATCAAGAAGAAAAGGAAGAAGAGAAAAAAATGCGATGTGTAACAGCAAAAACAAAGGGAAACAAAGGGAAAATAAAATAAAATAAGAATCACTGTAATTGAGCTTATTGATAATATTTTCTAAGAAAAAAAACGCGTATTAAACATGTATTTTACTGTATTATTCAAAGAAAAAAGATACATTCATAAGTACATACAGACAAACACGTAAAGAATACAAAAGATGCTTGTAATGATGAATTGTGAGTTTACTGATGTACGTAATTGTGTACATCTAATCTAATCCAGTCATTAAAATTAGCAACAACAGCGACAACAATAGTAACAGTAAATGGTTTGAATTCATGTATAAGATATAATAAAAAAGTGACAAAAAGAATATAACTAGATGTGGCGCAAATGTCTGACAAAGCTGGCGGATTCGTACTTTTTTGTTTAGCAAAGCCACGCCTATAATAACTATATGACTAATAAGATATAACATTTGATGCAATCTGTTCAATTCACCTGTAATTTGCCTATTGATTTTGTTTGCTGGATAAAAAGAAATTCAAGATCAAGTTTTACTGCAAATTCACAAGTGTGTATAGTATAGTAGTCTATATTATTATTATTTTTTAAAAAAAATCAGATAAAACCAATGAATTTCAAATAGGCTTTTGTGATTTCTTAAGAAAATAGTAAATAACATAGAATAGAATTGTGCTTCTGCTGATTGAGTCTCCGTGGCAATAAATGAAAAAGAAAAAGAAAAAAGGAATTCAGAATTACACAAAAAAAGAAACTGAATACATAAATAAGTATAAAATAAAATAAAGGGGGAAAATGAGACAAGAGTACGCATGGCACAATAGGGTATTGTATTTGGTGCTTGTATAATTCTTACAACAACAACAACAACAACGACAGCAGTGGCAAATATTATTTATTATTATTACTCTTATTTGTACATAAATAATAATAAGAATAATAAGAATGCGAATCAGGTACCGGTATCAAAGGAAGTACAAGAAGATAAGATGAGGAAATATTCAGGGCAGGAATGAAATCAATCGATACCATGATGTGATAGCCTATAGTATGGCTACAAATTGGCAAAGAAGGCAAAGATGAAATGGTAAAGAGGTAATTATAATTAACGTATCCCATTTTTGATCTTTTCAATTCAATAGCACGTACACCATAATTGTTCTCTTCTTTCTTTTCTTTGACTCTTCATTAAACCCACCTCCCCTTGAATTTTTTGTTTTTGTTTAAAGAACTTCAATGATGATACAAAAACTCTCTTTCTTGTCCGGGTACTCATCGGACTGGGATAGTTTCCTTTTTCTTACATCCAAAATATACTCGTCCATCGGCTCGGCACACTCTTGATATTCATCATGATTTCTTGATTGCACTACATTCGGAGCAGATTCTTTCTTATTCTTCTTTTCTTTCTTTTTTTTTATATTTTTATTTTATAGAAACCGTAAACGCCATTTGTCGGTAGATAAAATTCTAATAACCATGAATCTTTTTTTTTTTTTCTTTTTTTTTCTTGTCCGGATTTTTAAATCTGATAATCCGGAGTTTTTTCTTTATCACCAAAAGAAAATTATATTTTTCCAAAAAAGGTTATTAACATTTAACCTAGGAATTTAAAAAAGGGGGATTCAAAAGACTTTTATAAATCATTATTATTTGCTGATTATTTTATCCTCATGCACAATTATTCTTACAACACATTTCCCTTTCGTCTATACATATATATAAAGGAACATACAATAAAACCTCTTTATTTGTTAACGAGAAAAATTGGCATTGCTAGCAAAGACTTGGGTATCAGTAAACTATAAGATTATATTTTTTTAAGATACTGCAGCTTACATAGCTGAATATAAAGAGTCGTAAATTGATATCAGCATGTAGCGTGTGATCTTACAAACATAACTCTCCAGATTTGTTGTCATGATGTCACAATCATTGGTCTTCATCAAAGCTGACAGCTTTATTGATTTCTTTATTTATTGTTATAATTTTGGGAAATAAAGCATACAAATATATATTTTCATCAAGAAAAATAAAAATAAAACGTCTTTGTAAAATCCTTTTTTGCTCGGTTGTAAGTATTGTTTATCTTTCCCTGTATTGCTGTGTTTCACTGTAGATACTTTGTTGAAATACACTATATTTTCTGCAGATAACCAGTACTTCTTCTCCAGCGTTAAATACACCAATAAGAATGCCTATAACTTCAGCCAAAGATTCTCTTATATGTCTTGTTAGATAAAGTATAGTGCATTGAATTGAATTAGATATAGAAAACTGTGAAAAAAAAAGAGAGAGAAACCAGATTCCCTGCGGGGAGGTGGGGCTCAAACTATGTCATCATTCAATCTTAGCCCTATTATAATATATAGGAGAAACTTATATACATATTTTTATACCTTTGTGTGTATGAACTCAAGCATACAAATATACATGTATACATACACACGTATGCAAAGTCACTGATGCAAAAGTATGTTTCGGTATTGGTTGGACTAGAAATTGCATCAGTGATGTGCCTCTTTTGTTTTGTTGACGAATGTCGTTGCGAACTTGCTGTCAACTTTGATCTACTATTATGATCTTTATAATAGCAACTTTTGTTCTGGTTTATTATCCCTTGAAAATATACATGTTTTTTGCTTTGTTTTCTTTTTGACTTGGCTTGTATATATTCTACTTTGATTTGACGTCTTAAAAAATTAAAATTAAAATTAAAATTAAAACTGTCTATAAAGCTAATGTTATTAAACCCCCGTTTAATAGAGATTAAAGATCCGAATATGGAGGGAAAAAAAGTTAAAAAAAAAAGGATGTTGGTTAGATATTGATATACCGACTATCATGTTAGAACCCCGTCGGATGATGTTTGCGGTACACTGTACAAGTGGTACAGATAATTACAGGTTTGGTATCTTCCGCAAATTCGTCTTTTTTTTTTATATATGGAATGTATATAAATAAAGTTCAAATATAAAATCATATAAGCTTTTGTGGTTTTCTATACAACAGCAACAACAACAAAATAAAAAAGAAAAGTATAAGGACAGTACAAATCGTGTGGATTGAATAGGATCTCAGGTTAATTATGTAACCTGTATATGTTATCTTCCTCCCTCCCTTCTTTCTTTTCTTTCTCTACTCCTCTCTTGGTACACAAAGCATAGGCCATAAAGATACCCGACCGAATTGAAGCAGGGACCCGACGAGTGGAAGAAAGAAATAAAGAAGAAGAAGAAAAAAAGTGTGTACCTTTTTTTTATAGTATTATTAAGAGATCATGTATACATATAAAAGAAAAAGAAAGCTCGTTTCTCACCCACAAGAATAACTTTATAGATTTTTCTCTTTATTTACACTACTGACTCATGGCTGATGGTCTGTTGTGGTGAACTCGCATGAGAAAATCAACAGGGAGGTGAGTAGTAGAGGTCTTGTACAATTTTTGTCTTTTTTTTTTTACAGGAGAAAATGATTAAGTACTTGACAGGGTCAATGGTCATTTACAATAACCAATATGTTTGTACATTTGTATCTGGATTTGTGAATGTGTGTAATATAAATATATTTATAATAAAATAATAAAATAAAAGATATTAGCTCGCCATTTTTTAACTCAATTAACCATATAATACTTTCTCTCCCTCCCTCTACTTTACCTTACTTTACTTCAATTCAACCCAATCCAATTCAATTAATTTCGTTTCAATTCGATTCAATTCACCAAGTGCGTATGCTTGTATCTGTACAAATAGGAATATGTGCTTGTGTGTGTGCTGGTGTAGTGTATTACTATTGAATTTGTAATATTTCAAAATATCACTACAGAAGCATATTGAAATTCTTTATTCTGCAAAAAAGAATATTAATATAAAATAATACAAGGGTATATGAAAATAACATAAATTAGAAGATCAGGTGGGACTCGGTCCGTTCAGATCATAGAAAAGTGAGAAACATGGACGAAGAGGCTTTTCTCTCTTTTTCTTCTTCTTTGATGTAGAAAATGTTTTACAGAAATTCTGTTAATGAGATGTACAAAATGGAAATATGGCGATAATGAAGTCTAATTGAGTACAAAATCCTTTCCTTCTTTCTTTTCTTACTTTATTTTCTTATATACCTTTGTGCGTGCGTGTGTTTTAATTTGGTGATAATATATTTATATATATATATATACTATATACTCATCATCTTCCTTAAACTCTCTGTTATTTCTAAAAATCCATATAATTTTTCGGAGACCAATTTACTCTATTTGCAAGTGTACAAGGGAGATGAATCTCATCTTTAGCCTTTTCAAAAAATAATAAATATCAAATCAAATCAAATAACAAAGTCCAATAAGAACACACACACACACACACACATGACATTACTTTGTCCAATTAGCCCATATTATTCTGTCAATTATTCCTTTTTCATTCTCTAAAATCAAATTATTGCAATAAAACAAATGTACCAATTGAACGCCCACATTTACTACGGGGATATATATTGTATTATTAAAATAAATACCCAAAAAAAAATATTTATTTCACTGATTTTACACTATAATAAAAAAAAAGTCCAGCGTAGAGCAGGTTTACAGGATATTAAAAATACTTTTTCTTACACATATGTATATCTATTTAATTTCTTTATGTGCATGAGTGTAGTTACTATTATATTAATTTACATGTGTATATAGAAAATAAATAACTTCAATGCCCAGAGTAAAAACATTGACCAAAATTTGTTGCTCTTTTTAATTAAAAAAAAATAATTAAATGAATTGCCCACATGAATTGGCACCCAATTGCATATCTTCAAACTACGCCAAACTCAGATCATGCGGTAGAGCTTGTTCATTTATAAGAGAAATATATATGATTTCCAAGCATGATACCTTTATTTATTCATGTATTTAAATAAATAAAAAGAGATTAATATTTTATATATCCACAACTACACCTACACCTACAGATATATATATATTTTAAACAATTACTAATTATGTACAAAATGCCCAAAATACCCAAAATATATACATTCTTAAATTAGCATTTTAATTATTGAAACACCCTGACTTGACTTGACTTGACTTGACAATTACAGAACACGCACATACAGACACGCTTCTAATGTACTCTATAAAGAATATATATATATATATATATATATATAAAGATATAAATATGAGTTTGTGATATCTCCGCATAAAAGAAATTACATGTTAAATAACTATTTTTTTATTGTTTCCCGTTTACTGTTCATTTTTTTTCTTTATAATTTTACATTAGGATAATAGCTGGTAATAGTTTTCCCCATTTATTAAGACCAGAGTAATAAATATATAGAAACATATAATTTCTTTTTTCACTATCTGTTTTTTTTTCTACCTGTTATTGATTTGTTTGTTTCGCTTGTGCATTAGTGGTCGATAATAATAACACAAGAAGTACACAAGTTTCTTTCATGGACAGAATCTGTTTACATGGTGATCCAAGGCTCTAAAATACTTATTATTTTTAATTTTCTTGCTGAAATTTGTAAAGAATTGTAATGACATGCTTTATCGTGAGAATCAAATCATGCTAAGGAATTACTGAATCATATAACCCTGCAATTGATCATTTCTGTACAACATTATGATTTATCTTTCTCTATTGCACATGCAAACCACACTCTTTAACAATATGACTTGCATTTTGTGTACCTTTCTCACTCATTTTCTCTCTTTATGAATTGATTGCTAATCTATCTATCTATCGATATAATATTAAGTTGAAATTCATTAAAAGAGATCAAATGCCAAGTAATCTTTATCAGTAGACAAAGCAAGATGTACTAATCAAACCTGAATAAATGTAGTGAATAAGTAGCGTGTAATATGTAGTGTGTGTGTATGTGTGTTATCAATAAAAATAAAGAGAGTTTATTTGAAATGTTCACTTGTTTGTTTGTTGATAAATATTTCCCATGGTCTTATCAGATGTTTATCAATCAATAGAGTATCATCATGTATGTATATATATATGATTTATCCTGTTGCTTAGATACCAAACTTTTATATTTAAATATATATTCTGTTAAAAAAAATAAGTATAGTTTACCATGCCTTTTTTGGAATGGACTTTATTTTTTATTTATATACATGGGTATTTGAAAATTATTGTTACAATAGTACCAGCCTCAAACATGCGCCTCACCCAGAAAAGGTGTATTTTGCTGTGGCAGTTCATTCGTTTCTTATTTTGTAACCACGACAAATTCATATCATCTCCGACAATCGACCCTTTTCTTGAAAAAAAAATCACCCTAACCCAAAGATATGTTGTAAAAAAGAATATATATAAAGGCCAAGGCATACATACAGATTTAAACACCCACACAAGTAAAGAGAGGTAAAGAGAGTGAGAGAAAATGATGCTATTCTTCTATATTTCTTTAAAGAGAATATTCTGCCCAAGTCCTCTTTTTGTTTTAATCCATTGCTGTATAAAATGTGCAAACCCTGGCGATTTGACATGAGCTCTGAATCGATTCATTAAAAGAAACATAATATTTTGTTTTTTATTATATTTACTATGTAAGTCTCACTTGTATTTGCCATTTATTTTGTATGATCCCTTTGTATATATAAGCGTGTACATGCATAGATATATAGACACACATGCAAATGTACGAATGTATTTTGTTTGTCTACCTGTCTGTTGGTTTTTGTATGTATCTGAAGAGAGCGAACATTTTGACAGACAAGGTTGTTTCTGTTGTTATTTTATTTTATTTCATTTGTTCTTGATTGTCACGCACAAAAAGTCTATTGGGTACTCAAAACATATATACTGCAAATAAGAAATGGGCTGTGTATTCTTTGGGAAACATTCTCAAATGAACAAGGTTCATCTCCCCTTTATTCCTTCTTTTCTCTTACTCTTTTACTCTCCCCCAAAACCCAAATATAAACCTAAAAATTAAGAATAGGAAAATCAATATTTGCCGCCATCTCTACCAGAACCAACAACCATCACCACCACCCCCCCTCTATTTCTCCTTTGTTCATCCTCATTATTTCTCTTTATTGAACTAAAAAAAATTTCCCGCTCTTTTTTTTTTTTTTTTTTTTTTTTGGTTTTAAATAGTATACTTGCTCTTTCCGGTAAGGTAGAGATGCAGGGGGGAAAGGGCAATAATAAAAGAAAAGAAGTATATTTGTGTATTAGCTGTGGGGAAAATCCTTTTAAATGAACAAATAAATACTATACTGTATTGCATTATCTAAGGCCAGACCATTGTCCACATATTATACATACATACACATGTATATATATATATATAAAATAAAACAATGATTTATTTCGTCTCAATTTATAGCCCTTCTCTATTCTATTACAATAGACTAGCTCAAGTAATAAACAAACAATAAAAGCAACAGTGACAGAAGGAAAGGAAAAATATGAAATATATATATATTGAGTACATATTGGTATTTCCTTCTCTCTTATTCTTTATCATTCTATTTCATTCTTTTTTCATGTAAAAAGACAGATAGATAGACAGACATTTTGTGGTCCTTTGTATTATTTAATTATTATTTTTTGAACTTCTTTGGACCCAATTGGGCGGTGACGATTTTCTTTCTCTATAATTCTTTATTTCTTGCACTACTTACCAAATCAAAGTTAAACCTTATCGAAGAAAAAGAAATATATATAAATTAGAAACACACACTCTGTTTTAAGAATGTACAGTGAGAACGTTAACTTTTGTCACTTTGAGAAAATTAGATGTCATTTTCCAAAAAATTAATGGCACTAGCTCAAAAGTGAATGTCCTTGTATGTTCAGAAATTTTGTCCTTTGGAAATACAGTGAAGGCAACGCCAAAGGGCGGGTGAAAGAATATCCTAAATTTTGTATTCTCAATATCAATATCCAAGTCATCATTGATGGCACTGGCATTGGTAGTAGTATTGCTATTGACATCGGTATTGGTTGTAGTAATAGGGGGGTGCTCAGCCAGATTGATCGATCAAAATTGTAATAACGACGAATAAAATTTGTACGTCTTTTTGAAAGATCAAATTTCGATCAAATTTTGATCGAAAAGCATACGGCTCTCTGATTGGCCGAATTTTTGCTTTTTTTATATGCAATATGATACTGTTTTTATCTTTCTTCTTAATAGATTAATATAATACTTCTTTCTCTCCATCTTACATAAAAAAAATACAGTACAAAGTAGCAAGAAATTGATGCCTTCAAGAAATCGCGTAAAATCAACGAATTTATCGTGAAGAAAAAAAAACACTGGCAGAGTCTTTATCAGCAAGCACAGACGAGCTTATTAAAGATATCCCAGAAGTAATCGAAGAGGAAGTTAATGTAAAGTTGGAGCAGATAGCTATCGTAAAGGAGCTTGAGCAAATCCTTAAATCCAATAAATACATACACAAGGTTGACAATGTATTGCCAGATCTTGAGTCAAAGGAAAGAACACTTGGCTTCTTGGATAGTCTAGGTGCATATGGGTTCAAAGAAGAAATCAGAATGTGCAAAAGCTTATTCTATGAATTTTGTACGAATTTTGTACTTTTGTCTTTTGGTGTCTTCAACTACGAATTGATATCATTGGCTAATATTCACACAAGAATTTGATCGATCAATCTGGCTAAATACCCCCATAAATTTATTCTTTATATCCTTACTAAAAAAAAAACACCCCTAGAACAAAGAAATCAACCAAGAAAAACAAGTATAAATAAGCACAGAATACTATTGTGTACATTAAATCTATGCATGTATCAAAGTATGTACGCAAATGTGTGGGTGCGTGTGTGCGTAAATTTATGTACATGTATAGTTTAGCAAGAATGTAAATAATATTTCTCTATTTATTCATTCCCTCGTAGCAATGATGATAGTCATCAAAGCCCAAAGAAATCAAGTTTTTGTGTGGTGTATATTATGATGCAGTGTAGCAGTGTAGTGTCGGTATTTATATATGAATTTCTTTATTGCTGTTGGTACACAATGGAATCTCTTTGTGGTACGTGGTACTATACTTTTGATAATATATATATATATATATAAATTTATGATTCTAGGAAGTCTAATATAAATTTATATATCCGTGTGTGTGTGTGTGCGGATACGGCAATTTTATTTTAACTGGTTCTTGCTCTTTTTGTATGGTGCATTGGTGTCTAACCAATGTCGTGCTTTCTCAAGATCTTCCTGTTCTGTCTCGAGTGCCTTGACACACCAACCCAGATCATATTTGTCAGCGGTTGATTCGGCAAGCATCTCAGCCAAGAATTTCTTCCGAGTCGTTGCTTCGTCCACACACAAATAGAGGGTTGGTGTGATGCCCGACGCCAGTTGACGTTGCAACGGCTGAATCATGGGAATAAGTGTCCTTGCTGCCAATGTTGCTTCTTGTGGCATGTGTGTACATGTAACGCAACACTATCAAAGAAAAGAAAATAATATTTTTATTGATTAATTGATATTTAGATATTTAGATAGATAGATATATAGATATATGGATAGTATTCATACAGCTATATGCGTTTATTTATCTTACCTTGTTTCGGCACCATTCATGCTGACATCCAGTAACCAATTGTGAATGTAATTTACGTGCAATCCGTTGAACAAGTTTTATGTTATTGGGGTCATCTTCAGTTGCCCAAAATGGCCCAAAGCAGAACTGACACAGGCCAAGTTTGTTGTTTGCCCGCGGACGCACACAGTTTTGATTACTGCACAAGGGGGGAATGGCCTGTTGTTGGCGTGCAACCTCATGTATCTTTGCATGAACTTGTATCTCTTTGATGGGTATCTGTCGTTTGCACTTTTGGCAAGTGATCGTACGCGATCCACAGTAACTTTCGTGGGCAGACAATCCTAGCAATCTATCCCTTGTATCTGTAGACTTGATTCCCTGAGGCACGAGATTCTGATAACCAAAAATAAATAAATAAATAAATAACACTCTACCCATTAGCCTTTGTTACCCAAGCCCAAGCCAAAAACAAACTACACGCACTAAACGCATCATGCACACATGTATATATTAGAAGACTAAAATAAGATAAAATAAAGACTTACTCTGCAGAATCGACATGTAATAAGACGCTCAGGGCACTCTGTCCGACGATGATGTGCCAACTGCACATACGATGGATAACTAGTCTGAAGACACACACACGATTTAGGGGTATGGAAGTAAGCCTCATGCTTGGGCTGATCAGTTGACGCGCCTATGGTATCGCATTGTGCACAATGCCAATGAGTGCGCTCCTCCTCACTATTCTTCTTGAAGATCTGACCACATCCAAAGGGGCACAGAACATTGTTGCGAAGACAAAAGTTTTCGTGGAGCATCAATGTACGCTGAGGCAGCCACGCTTTGCAATTCTTGCATTGGACCTCATTATTAGCCACCCGTCGCTCCTCTTCTTCCTCTTCTTCTTCTCCTTTGTCTGCCACAGATTTTAACCCAGAATTTCCTGCCGGTGTTGGTTCAATAATTGGAGCCAGCGTAGATTCCCATTGAACCACTGCATCCGTGTAGGCATGTATACCCACCCATACCGCCTTGGTATCTAATAAGCTTACTGGCTCTATTACCAAGGTCCGTTCTTGGCTTGAAGTCAAATCACTCCAGTCATGATTATCCAAAGTGGGTTTAGGTTTAGTTGACACTACCAAATCTATCACAACGATAACAACAACCACAATAGTAACATCAATACAAATATTACATGACACTTTATTTCCTTTCTTCTAATCTCACAAAGTCTATTTTGTATCAACCTTTTATTTACCTACATCACCCGACTGTGACTTTAAAGAGATTGAGACACCCGTGGTTACTGTTCCCACGTCGAGTTTCCAATATACATACTGTCCCTGGGTAATTTTTGCAGTGTGTCTTGTGCCGATCCTAACGTCCTCAACAATGTCCGAGTGTGGGGTCGATCGAATGGATTCATCGGTCATCATATTGATTGGATCCAGATCGACTTCGAGATCTGTGTCAGTTACACCTACAGCCTGGTCTGGTTTGAGATCGACTACCAAGAAGCCGTAGCTGTGTGCACCATAACGACACGTAATCGTCTGGCCGGTAGTGAGAGTGGTATAGTGGCCGCGCAGGTGAGATTCAAGAGCTGCACGGTAGTCGGTGATCTCTAGGTAATCTTCGGACAAGGGGCGAAGACGTACCCATGTGCCCTTGGGAAGGGGTTTTGCTTTGATAAGGACATGGTCTTCGTCATTGAGGTCGATTGCGTGTGCCATCCATGCTGGCAGTTGAATATGATTAGTAAGATCGGCAAATTCCTTGACTCCACTGTGGATTATTGCGTTTGTGTGTGGATGGCGTAACTCGAATGTCAGTGGTGAGGGTAGTTGGTTGTTTCCGGCCGTAAGAAGTTCTTGGAGGGCAGAGGAGGGTAGGATGATTTTGTCACCGTCGTTGAGAGAGGGTGTTTGTTGGATACGGTATGCTTTTGACCATTGAAGTGACATTTTGTGTTTTTGTGTTTATTGTTTATTTGATAACGAAGATAATGAGAAAGAATGTGAAAATATTGGTATTAATATTAGTAGTAATTTTTTATTTTTATTTGTATTTGTAATTGAAGTGCGAGAGAAAGATATCCAATAAAGGCAGGAAAGATAAATGTAGGTTGAATAAGATATCTAGAACATTCTGAGCCAATCATTTAGACTTTTTTTACACGTGAGATGTGAAAATAAAGATTTCTATGTCAAAAGTGAGACGGATGATTTAATTTATTTTGTCTATTATAAATCAAGGATTATTCATCAAAATACTACTATCAATATAATGATCAATTATTTAAATAAACAAAGGGTGGGCGGATTTGTACTGATTGCCTTTTTATCTTTCTTTCACCATGGAAACAGCTGGACCAGGCACCTTTACTATAATTTACCGAAATCTACCGTAATGCACTGTACTGTACTATGCCAAACTGGGGGAGTACACACATTGTATTTAAATATAAATAAATAAATAAATAAGATATATAAACGTATTTTCTGGGATCTGCCATTGGTTTTCCATACTTACCAAGAATGGCGCCCAAATCACAACCATAAAAAAATGTGTGTGCTGTGTGTGTGTGTGTGGTGTGCAGTTTATAAATTCCCAAATCGTTTTAGAGTTCCGTGTTGACTGGATGCAGCCCGGACACATACACACACAGCACACACAGCACACACACAAAATAATAATCCCATTCGTAGTCAGTCCCGATGGCCATCTTTATCACACATGGTCTCTATTGGTTTCTTTATCCAAAAAAGCAATGTATATATAGGTTGTCTTTAAGGGGATATAAACAGAAAATCGAAAATTGGTACGGCTGTTGGCATTTTATCCTTTTTTTTTATTTAATTTTTTTTATGGGGGGTGTCTTTGAGGGGTTTGAGGGCAGAAGATTTATTTGTATTTATTTTGTATTTATATATAAAAGTAAAATTTCATTTAAATTTTCAACAGACAAAAAACAAACACAAACACAAAACGCACACACAAAATAAAATAGAATAAAATAAAATTATTTTTATTTATTTTTATAAACATATATAAATATAACCTTTACTAGCTCATCCACTTCAAATTACCTTTTCTCTCTCTCTTTCTTTCTCTTTCTTTCTTACTCTACTTCTTCCACTTCTTCTACTTCTCTATCTATTTATCATATATATATATACATAGTATATATATATATATATTAATATATTGTATAACTTTAGCAAACTGGATTATTTTGGCTATACATCGAATAACAAGGCCACTCAAGGCAGCGACCGTGCCCTGCCAAGGACACAGCGTTCGCCGGCAAACCCACGTTCCTTTCGAAACTCAATGATATTACCTCCTTCGCCTCTTCCGGACGATATTGGACCCGAAGCCATAAAGATTTCTCACCGCCGAACCCCATCCTCCCTCGGTTTTTCCTTGTCCCTCCCATCTCCACCCGTGACACCCTTTGCACCACCATTCAATCTCTATTCTTCCAGCACTCCCCCCGCACAAACTCCCCGTCCGTCAGCAGAAAGCAGCAAAACAGCTACCGTCATTCCGGCAAGAGTTTTGATGATAGATGATAACCCAATCAATCTCCAGATCTTGGCGCGTCTGCTAAAGATATACATGTCCCACGCTATTGGACACATGGAAACAGCCGACAACGGAATCAAGGCACTCAAAATCCTAGCCCACCACCCATTCGACCTTGTCCTGATGGATATTGACATGCCGATAATGAATGGTATTGACACCACCCACCACATACGCCATCCAACACACCACCCCATCCTGCCTTCCAACCGAGGCACCCCCATTGTAGCCGTTACTACAAACGACTCGGCAGAGTGGCAACGCACCTACACACGCATTGGAATGGTAAGCATATAAATATATATTTATTTTTTATATACATAAATATTAAACCTTTTTACTTGGTATTTACGTGTAGAATGGCTGTATCGGAAAGCCAATCTCGCCAAGTGCTCTTAGGGAGACCCTAAACTGTGTCCTTGAACTGGACAGACCACATTTTACACCTTGAGAATCAAACACACACACACACACACATACATACATATATACATACCTACATACCTACATACCTACACATACATATATAAAAAAAACAGCAACAGCAACAGCAACAGCAACAACAACAACAACAATTACCATCTCATCAGGAACCCGTTCATGCACTTCAACATACAACAATCATACCATGTTTCATTCTACCCTCATGCTTCATTATCTTATTTTATTTTCTACTCTTTACATTACAGTTATATATATATTATATACAACTATACATATAGATATAGATATAGATATAAAATATACATATATTTAGGCCTTTTCATTGTACATAATATGTCAAACAAAAATAAAGACAATATACTAGCACTAACACTAACACTAACACTGACACTAATATCAATACTAAATGTAATTGAATATAATGGAGCTCTATTTAATTCAATTCATTTCAATTCATTTAATTTCATTTCAGCTTTTATTCTTTATATTAGAGAAATCATTTTTGTGGATTTTGATTGACCATTTAATCAAAAATCTACAAAGAGACACACTATAAAGATATAAAGAAGCTTATTAAAGTCTTATCCCATTCTCTCCAATTCAATTCATCACCTCACCCCCGCCCGTTCCTCCCCCCCCCCCCCTCCGTTCTTACAACTAATAATCGGGACTTCTATCCTGTGACTGTGGTGTTGTTTTGATCAAGGCCCATTGACTTTTTTAACCCCTCCTCCAAAAAAAAACCATTTTTCTCTATCTATAGTCTTTGTAGCCAAGGTTCTCTCTCCGTTCCCTCTCCTCCCCCCTTTTTTTGTTACTTTTTTTTCTTCTCTTTTTCTCTCTCTCTCTTTTTTTTAAAAAATTTCTTTTGTATATTTACTATATATTTCTTTTTTAGAAAGCAAAACCTAGTCAACAATGTCAAAGAGCATCAAAGCCCTGAGTTTGAAAGGCAAACAGGACTGGAACACTTCCATCTATAGCTTTACTCGTAACGTACGCAACAATCTTCTCTGGGAGAAGGACGGAGCAGCCAAACAGTCCTTAAAGGTCTACTTCCAACAATACTTGACCTCCACCCCTGCATTCCGTCATGCTCCCTCAAGAGTCACCATCCAAATGTTCTACTACGCAGACCCCAACTTCTCCAACCTCCAGAACTTTAAGCTCGAACCTCTGGAAAAGCTCTTGTCGACCATGTACCCCAACAAATTCGTCGACCTTCGTTTCGTACGCGTCCACTACCCTTACATGAATGCCGAGATTCTTGCACAGTACCTCACCGTCAATGCCGAACGATCCGGCTGGTCAATGCTGACCCGCAAATTCATGAAGGGCGTACCGCTCGTAAAGCCTCCTTTACCTCACTCTATGCCATTCGCTGTAGAGTGGAACAGTCTGTTGCCTCAGGTGGCCAACGGACAGCTGACCTCGGCTATCCAGGGTATCAAGTACCAAGTATCTGGCCGTCTCGGCCGTCGTAAAGGTGCTTCCCGTACTCAGGTTATGCGCAAGTCACTCGGTACCTTCCAATTCACCAGCCACAAATCGCTTGTTGATGTCGGTCGTCACACCTTTGCCAACAAGAACGGTAGTATTACTGTCAAGGTCTGGATTGCATCAGCACTGTTTGGTGTCAATGCGCTCGCAAAGAAGATCACCCAAAAGGCAGCAGAATCAGCCAAGCTTTAAAGAAAGAAAAAGAAAAAGAAAAAGAAAAGCAAACCCAAAAGCAAAAAAAAATGAAAAATATATATATACATACATATCGAAACTGAAGCTTTTTCTTTCTATTTTTTCTATTAGAAGAAAATAATGTATGTGGAAAAAGTATACTTACATATATATATATTTGATAGTCAATAGAGATAAAGGTGTTGAATAGGTTTAATGAATTTCTTTTATATTTTTCTATATAAATGTATATGTATATATATTCAGTTTGTGGAAATACATATAAGTGCAGGAAGAAACGTTTGAACGCAAAGTCACGCATACATACACACCAACACACCCACATACGTACACATGTACATCTACATCTGTTACACGCAGGCAGTTACAAAGGAAGAAGAAGAAAAAGGAAGAAAGAGAGATGTGTATATGCTATGTTCTGTTGTGTGTGTATATATATATATAAAATAGAGTTCTTTGATACTGTTATTATTGTTTTATGCTGGAAACAGAGAAAAATGATGAGTGCATAACCAGTCCAGCTGTTGCACTAGGGTTGTGTGTCTATTGTGATGCCAAGCATGATCTTCAAATGCTTGCTGTACTCGACTACAAAAATATAAAATAAGAAGGAGAAAATCACCCAAATCCACACACACATAGAAAGAGATAGATAGATACACATTATAATATTTTATTATTATCATATTACCATGATAAGAAATTGAGTGAGTGAGTAAATAAGAGAGGGGATGGGAATGTGGGATTTCTTTTTTATCTTTTATTTTTGAATGTAGTATAATTATTCCATACCTCTGGATCTCAAGTGAGAGAGATGAATCGAGTTGAAGGACACAATGAGCGTCAGGATAGTCTGAAGGAATAAACAAAAAGAAATGTGCAAGTAGTGGATGGTTGGATGGAATGACTAGTTCAATGATTGTAACTAAGGTTGTGATACTAACAAAATAAATATATAAAGAAAAAACTTTATTTAATAAACGCATTCAACCAACTAGTTTGCCTTGTTCTCTACAGGTATATTAGCATCGAAATAAAGCAACTTACTTTGTACTTTTGTAGAATGGTCTGTACTTATTCTCAAGTTGATCTAATTCCAAGTCACGAATGGCACTTTGAAGTGAGTTTGCCATGTCATCTGATGGACAGAGAAGAACTGGATGAGGTATTTCACTGGGTTTGCCTTGGAGTGGTAGCACATGAGAAAAGACACACTCTTGGCCCGCTCTACAGCTTCCTTGGGCATAGTAACGACATGGTGTTGGGAAGCGTTTAGTGATGTGAGGAGTATTTTTGAACATAAAAAAAAAAGCTGTATAATAAATAAATAAAAAATTAATTCATTAAATAAAAATAAAAATAATAGAAATAGAAATAACGATTACTTTAATATTTTATATATACAATTACAATTACAATTAATTAATTTTTTCATACGAAATATATATACGCGTTAATCACAGTGTCAAATGGCGATTATTCTTTATAAAGAGAAAAAATATACATACATACAAGCGAACAATTAAAACCGTATTTAATTATCATCATAATCATAATCATTAGGCAGCAATTAGAAAGAGTTCAAGACTTGCACTCGCTTTATTGGAGCTTATCTTCACATTCCCAACATTTCTTTTGTTAGACTGCAATTTTGATCTTTGATCTTTGATTTTATTTTTTCATTTGACCAACTCAACGCAAAAGTTTTTTTTGTGTAAATAGATGGGCTTAATGTTCGAAAATCACAAGGAAAGAAATATTACCAACTAACATTTAGAGAAACATTTAAATAGCGAGACTGTACAATACAGGTGAAAAGGGATTGAAATAAATGTAACGCACAATCATCCAGAGAAGATAAATTCATAGATAAATCATAAATGTCTTTATGATAGTTTTGGTCAATAAAGTAATCGTTCAGCCGTTTGATCTCGAATGTCCATGCTTAGTGGTCTCAAAGGCACTCAATAATGCTATCTTATAACATATATGTTGTTCAGTAAATAAGATACTACTGTAGCTTTATGAGAATTAATTGTAATAAGAAATGTTCAAATCAGACAGTTATATTTTATATTCAAGACAGCAAACACAAATAACCCTTGAAAAGATATTAAACATATGTGATCTCCATTTTAATAATCTCGTTTTATTTATAAGAATCAAATTCACCTTTGGATCATCTATTCTTTGTGCTCCCCATCAAATAAAAGAGTCTTTAAAGAACCGTATTTAAAAGTACTGTAGCCCTTGGGAAGTACAGGTCTCCAATCGTTTTCTGATAAACTCTTTATATATTCATCAACCTGCTCTTTTGTGTCTTCTGGACAAACCGATCCGGCAAAGTTACAGAAATATTTTTCAGCCTCCTTGGATTCCTCTTCATTTAGCTTTCGTGTTATTAATTGTGAGCTTCCATTGTTTATCAACGCATCTGGTATAGAGTACACCCATGTGTTCTTTATAGGAGCCTGGAAAAGACAAAAAATACAGTTTTTTTTTTGCCTTTAAACTTAATAATATGGTATCCTTTATTATACCCCTTATATATATATATACTTACCACCGATGATGAAAGAACAAAAAGAGCAATTTGAACTCGGTTGAAAGAGTCAAAAAATTGAATGCCTTTAATATTAAGCTTTGTAAAGTGGGTGGACGACATGTCGATGCAATTGTCTCCAGTATTTCCCTGCTGTGGGCCTTTTATATTTACGAACTTTAGTCGCATGGTGCTAAGTTTCTTGCAGCAGATAGATATATAGTTGAGTGTACTGGCGGTAATAAACGAATCTTTGAGTGAAAAATGGGATAAGCCATGTTCAATTGAAAGAATAGTCAAGTCTGGCCGAAGAGTGAGATCACCACTAGAAATGCTGAGATTCTTCAATGACGGGTATTGCTCTAAGAGAACATCCAGCATAGTTGTAGTGCCCTGGATTTCGATAGTGAGATCAACTAGGCGAGGACAGTACACAAGTTCATCAGAAAATCCCGAATAGTATGAACTTATAAAATATACAATTCTGAGTTTCTCCAACGTATTCGCGAATATCTTAATTGACTGTAGGATATCTTTGTTTGATACATTGAAGCTCAAGGAATTGTAAATAGTAAGATCAATTTCCTTGATGGGAACATTGAAAAGACCAAGCCGGTTTACAAAATCAAGATATGTTTGTTCTGAGGTACTTCCAACCTCGACAGTAAGCTTCTCCAAATGTTGAAAAGGACATGAAAGCTTGGCAAGCATTTGGGACGCTTGATAAGTCTGGAAGCTAATTGTGGACTCGGTAAAACTCAAAAGCTTAAGAGAACTGATATTTGGATACTTGACAGCGATGTAATACAGCCATTCATAGGTATTCTTTTCGATAAACATGCCCAAGGTTTTTAAATAAGGTCTCGGATTAATTTCTTTAACCTTTAATAATTCATCTGGGCTCATTTTATCAAATTGAACGGTAAGAAGCAGTTTCGTTAATTCTGGTAGCTGGTCATTAAGAAGTTCAAAGTCGTCAAAGGTGCATGGAGAAAAACTATCATAGTTTAAGCCTTCGAAGTGTAACCGCTTCAGTCGATGTAGATTTGAGCGTATTGAGTCCAATATCTTTGGTAGTATATCGTAACCATAGTCTTTCACAGTTATTTCGAGATCTGTGAGGGATTCTGCCCATAAATTCCACCCATTAAAATCAGTGAGTAGGAGTAATTTGATTTCCTTGCTACTCCATTTGAAATACTGTATGTTTGGAAGATATTTTTGTAAGGCGTAGAGCTGATGATCGCCTAGAAAAGTACTTTTACTGATCTCGGGAGTCTGAGTTTTGTGGCCATATCTTTGAAGAAGGTTGTTTGCTAAATTGGTTGAATCGACCAACTTGTTGGCACCAGAATAACGCTTAATAATGACTGCTTCAAAAAGAGATTGCTGAAAAGCCGGAGTCCAAGCCTTGCACACGAGACAACACTGAATTTTATCTGCGGATTGAAGAAACCTTGCAATAAAAAGAGTGATTTCGATAGGTAGCTCTGATGCTAACATGGCGAAGACAACGATTTTGCCCTTTTATTGAAGGATATTTCTCAATAGAAATAGAAAGGGAAAGGGCAATTGAAAAATAATAATAAGAAATATAAATTTGTGAGATAACTAATTATTTATACCTGGTCTTTGGCATGGCTTGTGTTCACAAAAGATATTTCTACCAAATATTAATTGCTAAGCCTTGTAATGCTTTCAGCAAAATATGATTCAATCAAAAGCAATCGCTAGAATATCGTACACTATGATATGCTATGAGGCGGTAACTCTAGTCACTTGATAATAGGCCAGTTCCCAGACCACTTCACACACGTGTCAGCCTTATAGTATTTATGAGCACCCAATCAATAAAGGACATCATTTCTCCATTCAAATATTGCTCTTCATTATACAGCATATTAACTAGTGACACGTTGCGCTGCGAGACTTTCGGTCTTGATTAACACCAGACACATCCATTCACTTTCTCTGGTCAGTCGGGAAGCGGCCATGAATTTGTTCAACCTTTTTTCTTCTTCTCTTCTTCCCCACCTCTCTAAATTATATCTTTCGAAGTCACATATTCTTACCCTTCTTATCACTCATCCCCCCATTTTCTACTTCCATGATATTCCTTTTTTAGAAATTTACCACTTCTCACAAAATAATCCCATAAGCTTGTGAGAAAGTGGGCGTGGTGTTTGATGTTTGGTGACCACTCTTTCTTGGAGTATAAAATTAGCAAAGGAAGAAGAATGAAGTGTATACGAACATAGAGATATGAAGAGACAGTAGAGGTCATAACATAATATATCTAGCAAAGAACAACAATAAAGAGTCACTTTTACCAACTTTATTATTTTGAAAACTAGATCTTGTACGTCTAGTCAATTAAATATTATTTGATAAATTCTAATTATTGGAGCGCATATCTATTGTCTTGAGAGATTGTCATTTTGAAGTAGTTTACAGGTTTTTCGGACCCAAATGAGCTTTTTTTGCAAACTTTCGGCTTTTGGTGAAAATTAAATGGACAAAGTTCAAGTATCGAAATGGTGATATTTGGACACTTACATGAAAATAGAAATTATGAGATATTTATGATTGTTTTATTAGGGGGTTTCACCAGCTTTGGATGTTGACTGTTGAATATAGCGGTAGTTTAAGCACCAGCCAATAATAATAAGTATCGAAAAAAGACTGGTGAAACCCCCTAATGACCCTTGGTTGATATGTTTTCTCTCATATACGTCAAAATTCATATGTACAATACGCTTGATTAGAGTACCCATAAATATAGTGCCTATGCCCAAATTCCTCACAAGTAAGTTAGACTTCTATAATTTGGTATCAAGATAACTACTTTTATATAGATTAATTATGTTTTATTTTTGACTTTGCTTTTATATGAACTTCGCCATCAATCGTACATAAAGTACAAAATTTACAAAATTTCGGCTAAGTCACGACATCTAGAGTATCGAACTATTTTTTTAGATGCTTGGATGCTCGTTTTTCATTTTTTGAAGATTCGTTATAGCCAATCATTTTCCGAATTAAACTACCGCTATATCCAACAGTCAACATCCAAAGCTGGTGAAACCCCCTAATAAAACAATCATAAATATCTCATAATTTCTATTTTCATGTAAGTGTCCAAATATCACCATTTCGATACTTGAACTTTGTCCATTTAATTTTCACCAAAAGCCGAAAGTTTGCAAAAAAAGCTCATTTGGGTCCGAAAAACCTGTATCTTATATTGTTACTAAGCCTCCACTACGGATAGAAGACCTGTGCTAGCTAGTAACCCGAACGTAGAGACTATACAACTTGAACGTTCCCTCGGGCAATAGTACCGTAATTAGTTACATTGCCTTACAAGTACCCTATGTACCAGTTTCCAGGCTTTCTTAATAACCTGGCGATTTTTTTTTACAGTGAAGGCCCAAATGCAAGTGCAAGTGCAGATACTTATTTACCTTGCTCGCTTTCCACTTGCGAGTTTTCGTATACTTTTTCGCCTGGCAGGGGAATGTGATGATCCATTGTCAGGCTTATATGAGATGCGTTTGTTTGGCAAGAGAAAATTAAAAATGAAAATAAACATATAATATTTAAATACTTGAAATATTTAAGATATTTGAATATTGCTTATTACTCTGATTACTACAATGAATTTTTTTATATTAAAAATTAAAAATTAAACAAATGATATTGAAACCCCCTTATTTTGTTTTTATTTTTATTTTTAAAATTCAAGAAAATTATTTCCAGCCTAGAAGAGGCAATTTCTTTTCTTATAAAATATAATTAGATTCTTACAAATTATTATAAATCTCTTTAAGCTCAACGATATCTACAAACCCAAAAAAAACAAAATAAAAATGGGTACAGTGCAAGGTAAAGCATTGAAAATAGACAGTGAGGAGACTGTCATATGTAGTAATGAATCGGAAATTTTAGGCTTTGTAAGAAAAACGGATACTGTAATGTCCGTCCGTCCGTTTGTCTGCCTGTTTGTTGCTGATACAAAGATAAAATCCCACTCTGACTACATTTATCCAAAAGTATAAAATGAACAGCTTAAAGAAGAATGATATGAGAAAATATATCTTTGGATTGGAGACTATTTTATAGCCTGTTATGCTGTTTAACAGCATGAATATATATATATATATATATGTTTATGTTTATTCGTTTGAATGCTTTGAAAATTATGAGTCAATATTCTTGGGCTTTGTCAACTTTAAAAGACAAAGCTCCAAGAAAATATAAAGTATCTTCAAGTATAAAGAGAAAGCAAAAGGAGTTTATTGAAGGTCAAGCCAAGCCAAACCAAGCCAAATATATTTATTTTGAAATGGACTTCTCTTTCTTCCTTTTCTGATTTTTTTAAAGAAATGGAATATAATAGTAATATTATTTACAGAATATAGATAAAACAGGTAAAGGGTACTTATTCAAGTTTGTCGAGATGGTCTAATCGGGTCAATACAATATTCTTGCTTGTTTCTTCAATTTCTCCAGCCAAGAATACTTCATCCAAAATAGCATAGACCTTTATACATTCATATACACACAATTGACTTGATATTTTTAGTCGCTGTTGCTTCCAAATAGACATATATATTTATACTTATAGAATAATAATGATAATAACTGACCTTGTAAAAGTTAAAGACCAAGTCCAGCTCACATACATTCCCAAAGAATGCATCCAATACCTCTACAAAAAAGTGAATTGCTTCCAGGTACGCCAATTCATTATCGTTTGCATCCACACACACGCAAAAGAACAAGCCGGCATAACGACGATAGACAATTTTGTAATTACGAAACTAGAGAATTATGATGAGCTTAAATGTATGTATATATATACACATTTGGTGATCATCCTTTGTCATTCTTACTTCTATAAAATTGCTTTGGTGTTTCTGATCTCTGGGTGCAACCAATCGATGGACTTCTCCCTTGAGCTTGACCTTTTCGTCGTCTTCGTATGGGACATACCATTTGGATAGTCTAGTTTTCCCCTGGCGATTCTGAACCAAGATGAACCGAAGCTAAATTAAGATGTTTATTAATACAGACTCTCTTTCACTTTTTTCTTTAAAAATAAAACAAAGACTTGCCATTATGTGCAAGATGTGAGATGGTTTATTTATATGTTAAATGCTGATGTACAATGATAAAAAATGAGCGTGAGAATGAGAGTAAGAATGAGAGTAATAATGAGAGAAAGAAGACTTGGAGTTGAATAAAGAGGTCTTGGAATTAATTAATTAATTAGTATTACTATTTTTTTATTTTATTTTTTTGCTGTATTTCACAAAACCTTTTATGTATAAATACATCCCCTTTCCACCTTTTCTCTCTCTCTTAGTTTTATTTTTTCTTGTGGTGTAATATTTACATTGATTTTATACTACTCTATTTTTTGATTACCCGCTATATATTGCACACAAGTCTCTCCTCCATAAATGGATTTTATCAAAGACCAAAGGCCCAACAAAGTCAAAAGAGGAATTGGTTATAGCACACTCTATGCTTATTATTTAGACTTTAAGAAGATTTATATTGGTTTTAAATGCAAAATTTGGCGAAGAGTGGGGTTCAAGGTATAGTAGCAGTAGCCTTATTTTTAACTAATATTTATCGTACAGTAAAGAAAAAAAATACTTCTTCCAACCAAGAAGAAGTAGGAAGAAGAAGTAAAAAGAAGTCAAGAAAATCAAATTAGATTAAATTAAATCAAATTAAATTAAATCAAATTAAATTAAATCCAAGTAGTAACAAGCAATTGACAAGAACAAGGCCAGGTAAATTAGCTTGCATTAGAATGACAGACTCGATATAGAAATAAATGAATGAATGAATGAATAATGGTTATGTATTGTTCTGACGTAACTCTTTTTTTTTTTGGTTAGTGTTTCCCTTTCTTCCTTTTCTTTCTATCGTTCATTCAACCTTTTGATTTTTCCTTTTTTTGGGCATATCTACCATATGTCATCCTTCATTTTTCTCTCTTTCTCTCTCTTTTACTATGACTCCTACTGAATTAATATTCAACTTCCTCGACCCACAGACCAGAATAGACGTCTTGGACTGGCCCAGATATTGAAAACAAACTCCACTCTAGAAATATGCAAAAAATACAATATATATAATTTATTTTTATATAATAATAAAATACAATCCAGCGATCCAGCCCTTTGTACAATGGGACTAGCAAGATTATTCAAAATAATAATAATAATAATTGAAAATCCTGAAGTGTTTCATCATAGAATTTCAATAAAGAAATCTAAACAAGCAAAGAAAATATTTTGAAGAATTTGTATATTGAAGTCCCTTGACAATAAGAATTAAAGTGAAAATAAAAATAAAAATCATATATAAAAAAAGGGGAAGGAGAACAGCGTAACTTTTTTATATACATAAAAAATGAGTAAGAGAGATGTCAATTCTAAAAGCAGATTTTTACTGTAATTTTTTTTTATTCTTTCTATTGGCTTTAACCTCTATTTTATCTTTCTTATTCTATTTATTTATATAGTGAGATATATACATACATATTGCATTTGACAGCCTTTGTCCTTTATAGAAAGCATTGTAGTTTACAGGAATAATATATATATATATATATGTAAAAGAGATCGATGGGTTTCAGTCATAAATGACTGCTTCTCCTTCAAGCCACTTGAAATTTTGATGAATTTATCTTATTTGCTATATTCATATTTGATTTTATATTTCACCTGAAGGGGTTACCACTTTGAATAGCATCACTTTTTATTTATACTATTAGCTGTGGGTGTATATTACTATTATATTTATATAATATAACATAGTATATAATAGCATATATTATATATATATTTTCTATCTATTGAGAAAGAACCATAGACGCTTTATTGTCATCTTTATCCAACCACCTCCACTCCTCTCTCTCCCCTCTCTCTTTCTCTTTTACTTCTCCTCTATATTTCACGCGCACACACACTCTCTAATTTTATTTGCTGTAAGACTATTATAATTTCTGTTTTTATCAATATATATATTGTGTGTAGTGTGTGTTTATAGCGTGTACAGTATGTATAGTGCTTATAGATATTCTGTATAATTATTCATTCCAACCAAAAAAAGAAAAGAAAAAAAAAAGAAGGGCTGTTTTCAATGAATTTATTATTTTGATTAGAATTATTATTCTCAATATTGTCTTGAACTTATCCTCTTTTGCTTTTACTGCCTACACTTACCTACCTAACTACCTAACTACCTAACTATTTAATTATATATATATATATATATATATATATACATATATTTTTATATATATATTTTATACATATACATACATATATACCTATAAACACCTGTCTATTCAAAACACACACACACACACACACACACACGCACAAAATATATATATATAGATAATTATTTATACATACATACAAACACAGTTGCCAGAACCTTCTCCTATTTGTTCTTACTCTGTTCTATTTTACGTTTTATTTTTATATATATTTTTCTAGTTCCAAAAAAAATTAAGCCCTCTTTTCTATTTCTACAACACTTTACAACACCTTACGACAACAACAAACACACACACACACATATATAAATATCTAACCGAATCGAAAAATGGCCAATACAACTCCTGCCACCACTGATTCGAAGGCGTTGGAGAATGTTGAAAAGCAAACACAACAAACTAAACAAACCGAACAAGCTCCTGCATCAGCTGCATCAGCTACATCAGCAGTAAATGAAGACGAAAGTCCAAAAACCGAAAAACCTAAAGAAAAACAGGTCGTCCCTGCGCCCATCCCGGCTGTCAATGTCTGGGAAACAAGAAAACCAAAATCCGATCAGAACGGAAAGGACAAACAACCACAACAACCACAACAACAGCAACAATCACAACAGCAAGACAAACCTACCACAAATACAGGTAAAGATATATATATATATAATACATATATATAGAGAGAGAGTGTGAAATAGAGCGAAAAGAGCGAAAAAAAAAGTACTTTAGAACAAAATCACAACTTTCTCATTCTCTCTTTGTAATCATGTGAACAATTGTAGCTGACTCACAACAGTCTAAAGCTGATCAAACATCATGGCCTGCTCCTAGTGAGGCACATGAAGAGGAATCTAACGAACTAAAGAAGGAGAAGCTGGTCACTAAAGGTAAATAGCTGTTTTTTACGGGTTGGCAAGAGTGTATTCACTCTTTTCTTTCCTCCCGCTCCCCACTATTTCCCCCCTCTATCGCTCTAGTTCTAGCTTCACCTTTCAATACTTTCCCCTCCACCCCCCCCAAAATTCGTGTATATATATATGTGTGTATATATATGTATGCTTATAAAGCAATAATTCCGCAGTCGACTGACTTAGTTTGACTTGACTTGACTTGAATTGACTTGACTGATCTGTGTTACTACTTAGTTAAAGGTAGAGGTCAGTGGAAATCTTACACCCCGACCATTACACATGCCTCCTCTGCAACTAGTTCACGCCCTCGCAGTACCCGTGGTCGTGTGGCTAGCAGCCTAAAGGACAGACGTACCAGACGTTTAAGTCACTCGAGTGCAAAGGCGAAGGATGGAAAGTCAGCCATCACCTCAGCTACTACTGCTACTGCTACTCCTGCTCCTGCTTCTGCTTCTCCCCCTGCTCCTAATGCGACCACGACCGCGATCACGACTGCTACTCCTACTCCTACTTCCGCTGCTGCTACTACTGTTGCTACTGCTGCAACACCCGCGACTGCAACAGCTACCGCAGCTCCATCAACCGCAACTACTGGATCCGAAAAATCCAAAGAATCTGCTTCAAGTCCTCCCACTACTGCCCGTGCCATTCCCAATACTACTAACAACAAATCTGCCGCTGCCGCCCCTACTACTACCACTACTACTGCCACTGCCACAACCACAAACACAGCCACAAAAGCAACAAACTCCAGTACTGCTAATACTAATGCTAGCGCTAACGTTAACGTTAACGGTAATGGTAATGGTAATGCGGCTACTGACGCGTCGGAAGCTAAGCACAAGGAAAATACCGAAAGTACTCATTTCAACGGGCATTCTGGCGCAACAAGAGGTGCCTATCGTGGGCGCGGACGTGGACATGCACGCGGGCGTGGTGGATTCCATAGCAACCGCCGTGAATTTACAAACGGAACTGCCTTCGCTACCAACCGTGCAAGACCAGCCTTTGTTAACGTGGATGCTGAGACACTCAAGGCATATATTTTGCAACAAATGTAAGATTATTATTATTATTTCTTAAGAAAAAGGTCTATAGGATATTTAAGTTATTTGATCTGGGTTGCTTTCTTTTTTTTCTTCTTATTCTGCATTTAAAAACCTAATTCTTAATTTATAATTCTGTAGTGAGTACTACTTTAGCATTGACAATCTCTGCAAAGATATTTTCTTGCGTAGTCAGGTAAGACAAAATAAATAAATCAATCGATTGATTAATGGAGAGATATGTGGAAGAGAACTATATAGATAGATAGAGAGGCTGTTGTTTTGAGATGAGATATTTTGTGATAGTAATAACGGATTTATTATATTCGGTATGAACTAACTGGGTTGTTTGCTTAGATGGATGCCCAAGGTTATGTCGATCTCTACCTTCTTGCCAATTTCCAACGTGTCAAGGGTCTGACGACAGACATAGATTTAATTCGTGAAGCGTTGGCAGACAGTAAGATTCTCGAGGTTAAGAAAGACAAGCTCCGTAAAAAGGAAGGATGGGAAACATGGATTTTGCCCCCTGTTGCCACTGTCACAACCGGAACAGCTGCTACAATTACAACACCTGTCCAAGAGAAGCTGATCACTCACACTGCAACTTCTAATGCACCCGTTCCTCCTGCTATCGCTGCTGCTGCTGCCGCTGCTGCTACGATCCCTCCTCCTCCCAGTGTAGTCACTGCCCCTGTGATAACTCAACCTCCTGCAGCATCAAAGTCGTCCAAATCGTCCAAATCATCAGCAGGCGCAGAAACAAAAACAGGAGCATCGCCAGCAGCATCGCCAGTAGCTACAAAGACCACAAAGACCACTGAGCATTCAAAGACATCAGCATCTGCATCCCCATCTACTACCCACCAGCAACAACAGCAGCAGCACGGTCAGCCCACACTGGCGTCTTTGGCTGGACCTGGTGCCGCACCTACTCTCAAATTGAACAAGTCAATTGGTACGAACGGTGTCCACAGTGATCGCCGCAGCAAGCCTGCTGCTCCCAAGGAGACAACCGAAGAAGATGACATGTTTGATTTTGAGGATGATGAGGATTGGCAGGATGGAAGTCGTGCCAATACCGTTAAGAAGTATTACTTGTCTGACGACGACTCAGAGTTTGATGACGATGATGACCATGAGATTGACGATGATATGGTGGCTCGTATCATGATCGTTACTCAGCGTAAGCGAGACAAGTCCCACCAGTCGTTTGATCGTGCAAAGATGAACGATGACATCTCGGACATGATTAACGAGGGACTCTATCAGTACGAGTCTGGACTCAGCACCCACAGCAAGACGGTTTCCAAGATTGGAACCATTGACTCTGAGCACTTTGAGCAGTTGAGCTCGAGTGCCAAGCACAGAGACAACAATGAACATCATGCTCAAAAGACCGCAACTGCCAAACCGTAAGTGAACTAATTGACTGACTATTAACTAAGTGATCAGTTAAGTGAGGGGTGGAAGCTTAAAAAATCGAACGCTAACTAAATATATATATATATATATATATATATATATATATATATAATATTAGTATCAAGAGTGACAAATCAGCACCTCGTTTCTACCCTGTTCGTCCTGAATCTCTTCCTAGCAGTGCTTTCTATGGCTCTTTGCCTCGCTCAGGTTCAGGTAAAAAGGACCATCATGACCATGGCCATGTTGGATGGGTGCTTAGTGACCAGCCTTATCACTACAACCCTGCGGATCTCTTGGGCACAAGTCTGGGTAAATCTCCTGCACTCAATGAAGGCATGATGTCGAGTTCGATGGACATTGCCCACTCGTTTGGAAACTTCCAGCACCCTAGCCACGAATTGTTGCGCGAGAATGGGTTTATGCAGCATAAGTACCATAAGTATCACGCAAAGGCATTAAAAGAACGTAAGCAGACCGGTGTTGGTCAGTCTCAGGAGATGAACACCCTCTTCCGTTTCTGGTCCCACTTTTTGCGTGATCACTATAACAAGCGCATGTACAATGAGTTCAAGCGTCTGGCTGTTGAAGATGCCAACCAAAACTACCGGTAAGTTATATCTATATATTTAAAAGATCGTTGTAAATCTAATATGATATAAATAGTTATGGCTTGGAATGTCTTTTCCGATTTTATTCTTATGGTCTCGAGAAGCGTTTCCGCAAAGAAGTGTTTGAGGACTTCCAGGAATTGACTCTGGCAGATTACAACAAAGGTCATTTGTATGGTCTCGAGAAGTTTTGGGCCTACTTGTTCTTCCGCAAGGACAAGAAGAAGAGAGAGATCAAGGTTTGCGAACCTCTGAGCCAGCTTGTTGCCAAATTCAAATCTGTCAAAGAGTTTGCAAATGCAGAGCCACCGGCACCCAAGGAAGGTGAATCCTACAAGGTTCCACATCATGGTGTAAGTACCAAGTACCAAGTACCTTTTAAGTGACAGCAGTGATTTGTATTTTAATGTTAATGTTTGACTAATGATTGTGTATAAAATACTTCTTCTTCTTATAGAAACAAAGAGGTGGTAGTGTGAGTGGACCTTCTGTACCTGCTCATAGTACTTAATCGCCGACTTCTGCCCTCTTTTATTCTTATTCTTCTTTTCTTTGCTTGTGGTTATTCTCTCTCTCTATTTTTTCTCTATTATTATTTTTCCCTCAAGGTGGTCTTTTACATGCTTCTTGAGCCTGTTCTTCTAAACCTGTTCTTTATTATACTTTATTCTACCTTGCTTCACTTCAAAACCCTCAAAAATTTCTTTATACGTATATATCTATATATCTATGTATCAAGAAGTTTTTTTTAAAAAAAAAACAATTGGAAAGAGAGAAGTAGATAAATATATAGATAGGCTAAGAAAGATAGAGATGTACTTCATTTGAGTGCACATTCTTCTTCTTGCTCTTCTTCTTATCATTCTCCTTCTTTCTTTCCTCTTCTTCTTTTTTTGTTTATAAAGAAAAAATCAGCTATGATATAGACTTTCCATATTCTTTTTCTCCTTATTGTCTTTCTACTTTTTCCCTCCACCCTACTTCTACCTCCACCTCTACCTCTTCAATTCACTTTACTTTTATTCTTGTCATCTTTTATTTTTACCTTCTTTGCTATTTGCTATTCTCCATCCATTTACTTTTTTTTTCTTATCTTTTTCTCTTATATACATATAAATATATAAATATATATTTATGGAATTATCCGGTAGTTTTTTTTTTATTTTATTTTTATTTTTATTTTTTCAACTACTTTTACAAAATACAGGGTGAAAGTCACCAAAGGCTTTCGATTATCCCATTTACTGGTCTGTTTAATATTTATTTATCTATTTTCTTTGTAACAAATAATAATAATTATAATAATTATAATAATAATAATAATAATAATTGAGCCAATGAATTGAGTTATCAATTGTAAAGAAAGATATATATATATGTTAAAGATCAAGATTGCAAAAGATAAAGATTATTATTCTAATATCTAAAATTATATACATACATTTTGGAATTCTTTATAGCCTATTGTTCTTGGCAGTATATAATTAAAATAATAATAACAATAATAATAATAAAGGCATTTTGTATATACACATAATTCTGTATTGTGAAAACTATAATTCAAACCCTTGCAGATCGGCAACAGAGGCTTACACCCATTATCCTGACGAGAAATGTAAGTTTTGAGAATAACAGCTTTTCTTTATTTTTCTTTACTTTTTGCCTATAAATAAATATATATATATATATATGGTATTAAGATATTGAATACATGTAATAAAAGAGAGAAAATAACTATATATATATATATAGTGGGTTGGTATTTTATTATTCAACAAATGGCATCATAATTGTGCATAGATATATATGTATGTATATTTATAAGCAATATTCCAAATTTTTTTGATATATTTCTTCTTATTTGCTTTGTGTATTTTATTTTGCCTATCGATCAAGCAGTTTTTTATGAATCAATTTTAAAAACCAAGACAAGATATTGAACAGATGGGCTTACAAGGAATGCTATCTGAGAAGCTGGTTTATTATGCTATATTACATCTAACCAGACAATTAACATTTAAAAAAACACCATCATAATCGTCATAGCTATCATAATCAGCATGTTTTTATTTGTTTTAATTATTAAAGCCAAAGGAGATATTCGTTATTCTTTATACACAATAAGCATGCTCAAAGCTAGATCTCTATAAAATATCACTTATAAACTATAAATCGTATATTTATCCAATTAGCTAGTAATTAGACAAGACATCACTTTTATATATACAAGATTTCAATTCTAATATTTCTTCTTCTTATTTTTGTTTTCCTTTTCTTTAATTAAACCATAGCCTACCCAAAAATAACAATAGATCTATAGGCATATAGCACACCAATATTTAGTATTCCTTTAAGGTGTTTAAAACCCTGCCATTGTTGTAATTACTGATTAATCAATTTTGTTTATAAATATCTGTACTGATGCCTGCTATACAATTTAACTTGGAGTACAATTACAACATAAAATTAAAAGAATACGAGTATATTGTTTGTAATAGGTATATCTGTAGAATAACCATTGTTTTATTTAAATTATGCTGAGAGATTTTGTATTATCCCGGCTCTGCGATCAATAGATACATTTACTTATATACTCACAACAAACTTTAAGCTACAACCAGAACAAATGCATCGACAAATCTTACGATTCATACGGATAACAGTCAAATAAGCTTCTTGTAAAACCTTTTTTTTATATTTTTTTTCGATTGAGCCGAGAATATTGGCAAATTACAATTTAAACATTATATAAATGCACTCTATAAGATAAGTACTAGTTCAATACTTAATTACAAATATATATATATGTACATATGTGTGTATATGTTTCTCTCTATCTTTAATTAAAACAAAAAAAGAAGAAGAAGAATATATATATATATATATATCCAAACATGGTAGACCCAAGAAGCCAGACAAGACTTATCCCAAGAGTATATGTCAATATACCAGACAGAAATACCCCTGATGAAGCATGGAAGAGATTAACTGTTCCCTGTAAGAAGAAAAAATTACAGTAATTGATGATCATAAACTTGGTTTATTTTCTACACATCCATATACATACATATACAAAAGCTAATATTTTCTGTATTTATATTCCATAAAGCAAAAAACCCGGATTTTATTTATACTTCAAAGCGTATTCCTGAACGAGACTATAAGATTCATAATGATATTCGAGAGTATGCGATTGAATACAGAAAGAACCCTCAGATGAGCAAGACAGTGAGTAACCTATCCAAACCTTTTTTTTAGCTTTTCTTTTTAGTATATATACACACACATATTAATTAAAAGCAAAAATTAAATCCTTGCTATTGTCTTAGATGTCCAGCAGCTACCTGGAGAGGTTCATCCCTTTTAAATCATCTATAAAGTGCTATGAAGAATATTCTTCTCCAAACAAGAATATTCGCTTTGGAAAGTTACTCGAAGGTATTTTTTTATATATAAAAAGTAATAATAATAATGCTCAATTAAACCTAAATATTCTCTTCTCTCTTTTGGTTTTCTTAATTGCTATCAATTCTATATTTTCTGTGCTACTGAATACAAAGAGATCGATGATATTGGTGGATCTATCACAGGAAGGCATATCGAATGCTTAAGGTCTAGCGATATATGTTTTCCAATCACAGCTGGTGTAGAGCAAATCTACTCTAATATGCCAGACACAATAGAAGATTACAAGCTCTGTGGACATGTTGCATACACAAGAAATGCATTGATGGTTGGTTAGTTGAACATTTCGGCTTTTCTTTTCTTATTTTATTTATTTCTGTTATCATAATTCCGAGACTTTTATTTTATTATACAAAATTGCATATTTGGATAAATGTATCAATATTTCAAGTATTAACCATATTGATATTATTATTGTTTTTTTTTGGCAGTTTATATTTCATTAGAAATTGTCAGACATAAGGCTGTCATGAGTACTAGAATCATGGCTCCAAAGGTTATTCCTAAATTGGGTGTGTGGAACAAAAATACAGTGGCTGTGTTTTCAGCAACATTCCTCCAGTACAATACCATGACCGGAAGATCAGAGCCTGTTGGTCAATTGATTTACTCTACACCCCAAGAGAAGCAAATGTATGATCAAATGGCCGCCAGGCATATATTGAAGCAAAACCACTTGAAGCAAGCAAATAGAATCCTTTTATTGGCCGAACAAAATAAATATAATAATAGTATAACATCAACTGGTGTCAAGGATCATCCAAATTTCTCAAGTGATTTGGACAAAAACACCTTGTTTGAGACAGTCTACATCTCGAGTACCAAGATCGAGAACACTTTTACGGCAAATCCACAGTACCGGAACTGCAATGGAAAAGTGTTTGGAGGATATATAATTCGGGACTCGTATGAATTCAGCTGTACCGGAGTGACCTACTTCCTTCGATCGTCTCAATTCAGATTGATAAAGATAAACGATATCATCTTTCGATCGCCAATGATGGCCGGGGATCATATCCGCATGACTTTTGAGGTAATCTGCTCAAATGGTCCTCAGGGCGCAGATTTGATCACTTGCACCACGACAGAAACAAGAAATCCAAACACTCTGGAGTACAAGGTGGCTGTCATGATGTATACTACATTTGTTTCAAGAGACCCGTCTGTAAAAGTAAAGATGGTATTACCAGAGACAAATAAGGAGAAACATTTCTGGAGCATTGGCCATGAGCTGATACAACAGAAGAACGAATGCTACCTAGAATTTGTTGGTAAAACCGACGAATCCGAAAAAATGGCAAAATTATGATCAGATTTGTGATATCTGCGCGTATGTGTGCATGGTTCTTAATAATATAAAATAAAAGAAAAAGCTCACAAGAGTAAAATGCTTAATAATTGTTCTGTCAAATATCTCACAAAGTCATTCAAACATCTTGAGAAGGTGTGTGGGTAAATATGTGAGAATATGCGTGTTTGTGTATGTACGACTGTAAATTGTAACATGTTTTTAAAAATTCTTCAAGTAAACGCCAATATTAGTCTAAAGCACATAGAGACCCCTATATTATTTATTGTTTGCATCTTTTAAACCAGCAATCTTGTTTTATTTTATGTCATTTTCTATTTTAAAGCTGACAAAGATCAACTAGGTTCTTCTTGTCAATACGCTTTAGATTCTTGGGTGCGTTCGTGTCTTGATTATTTTCTTGGGCCAATATTAGCTTCCAAACTCAAACAAATACCCTGTACTGTGTTACAGGTAGCTTACAATACAAATTTTACAAGGATTACTTTCATATTTTAAACAAACAAGCGATCAAAAAAGGCCTAATATTGGTGTACTAAAAAAAACATTACACAAAAAGTAAAAAAAGAAGAAGAAAGAGAGAGAAAAGGAAGGAGTCAAGTACTTGGGAATCTTACAAAATTATGCTACTGATTTTGTCTCACATACAAATTGTTATTTACCTTTGAATGTTTATGTTTTGATTTCAATATCGCTCTTGTTTATTATTTTAGAAAACTACCACTCTTTCAAAGAAAATATAATAGTAAGTATTACTTCATTCTTTCTTATGAACTATTTAAAGGAAGAAGAACAAAGGTAGATACCATGTTGAGCTTTCTTTGTTTGCTTTAACTAGGTTGTAAATGTCGTTTGGATACATTGAGAAGCTTATACCATTCAAGACGTCCTCAGCATGTAATAAGGAATACGCATCTTTTGATAGAAGCTTTAATATCGGAAAACTTTTGAAAGGTATAGAAACATCTCAATGAATAAATAAATGAATGCTTCTGTCTTATTCTGATTTTTCTTGTGACATTAAATACTACTCTCAAGATATTGTTGAGTTGGTTCAAGAGAGCTCATCGAATCAGAGGGTCCAAAAAAGTCATGGTGAGATTAGTATCCCTTTGCTGGTTGGAACCGAACAAATATACATGAATATACCGAACACAGCCAAAGATTATAAGCTCATTGGACATTTGGGATATACCAAGGCCGCTTTTTTGGCTTGTAGGTTACAGCAAGTGGGGGTCATCTTTTGTCACAAGAATACATGTACACACAGAGAGAGAGAGACAGCTAATATTCTTATATATACATGTATAACACCTCTTAGATTTTGTAACATTGGAGGTTACTGATAAACCGACTTCCATTAATGCAACTGTCTTGAAATCCAAGTCAGGTCCATGTCTAGGCGTACCCAATCCAAGAATAGCAGCGATATTCTCGGTAGCCCTGACCCTGCGCAACAACTTGAAGGATATACCAGTGACGATAGAACATATTAAATGCACCACAGCTCAGGATAAATATATATTTGATCATTTGGAGAGAATACAATGCTCCAGACAAAAAGCTACAGAGAAAAGGGATGCTTGGAAGGAACATGCTTTCGACAGCGATGTGATGTCTCATAAGCTCAATGCTGTCCCAATGCATAAGAAAATTCACTACCCTGATTTTCATAATTCAGGCTTTAAACTTGTTCCAAATACGATAATAGAAAGCGATTTTGTAGCAAGACCGCATTTTTTTCATCATCGTAGTGGGTATGAAGGAACACTTGATGGAGATGTAGTTCAGGCAGGTTATGAAGCTGCTTGCTTGGCAGCATCAAGTTTCATATCTCCTGCACCCTTCCGAGTAACAAAAGTAAACGACATTGCGTTTAGTCTGCCAATAATGCTAGGAGATCACATTCACATAATTACGAAAATCATTTACTCGAATCCGAATGGAAATTTTGTTACTCATGTCACAGTTGAATCGCGCAACCCAAGAGACCTTGCTTACAAGACGGCCATTACAATGCATGTGTCTTTTGTTTCCTCCAATCCATCTGTACAAATCAGCATGATTTTGCCAGTAACATTCAAAGACAGACTTCTTTGGCACATTGGCCACGAAATGGTGTTTCAAAGAAATGATTATTTTGAGGAATTTATTGATAAAGTAAAACAGACTGAAAACATATGCAAGTTGTAGATCCCCTTTCTTTTTTTTACAAAAATATGTTTATATATATAAAGTATGCTTTCAATAAAGTTTTCTTTTTCTTAATTTTTGAACCAATAAACCACAAGATTTTTATACGAGGGGTTGATTTTTACCCTTGGATTCATTAGAGTATAGTGCTAATTTTAAACTAACAAAAAAAAAGATGAGACTCATCAGATCAGATGAAGGACATTTCACTAAACGATTCGCTAATCATCACAGCTCAAGTCTGGTTAAGGCCATTTGTTTATTGTTTCTTTATATTTACTGCTTTCCTTTTGGAATCAAGAGAGCCAATGGCGGTTTGGTTTCAATTGATGATGACAATGATGCTGATGCTGAAGTTGGTCCCGGTCCCGGTGCTGATGCTGATAATAATGATAGTGATAATGATAATAATAGTAATAGTAATATTAATAGTAATAGTAATAATAAAAAGTAATTTATACATATAATGTTTAGGAAATCGTTCATGATTTTCCAATATTAAAAGGATGAAAAGGAAGAAAGAAACAAGTGTGTTCAAATTGAAATGGCAAAAGTCTATAATTCCTTGAGACCACTTCTTCACAGTCTGATACAGCGTCAGTTTTTCCATGACGCATCATTATATATGACTTTTTTTTTTGGTTTTGTTCTTGCGGTATCCATATTCCTACTCATATGTGAGTGCCCCCCCAAAAAAAGAAAGAAAGATGCTGTTTGCGAACGTTGCCTTTTGGCGCCAGTCTTCTTGTTAAAGATACCAACTCTACCTTTCTTTCTCTCTCTCTCTCTCTCCCTTCCCTTCCCTTCCTCCTCCTCCTCATCCTCCTTCTCCTCGTCGTCATCCTCATCCTCATCTTCATGTGCCGTTCTCCAAATCTGCATCTTTTCATTCTATTTTAGATGCTATTGGTGTACCTCCTTTCCTCTCATCAGATAGTATCAGCCTCTGATTCAGCGGCAGAAAGTGATGTAGACTTTACATGCTGTCCCTGCTTTCGGGGAACAAGGGTGCCTGTCTCCAGGTATTCGATCGCCCACTTGCGAATCGCCTTTGGACGGTAGGTCGTCATCCTCCCCCAGATTTCAAAGGTTGCATTCTCAGAGGCCCTGACCTTCTTCCTACCACGTAACAGATGATAGAAGTACTGGCGAAGAGCGGCGTGCCGAAAGTGTTCATACGTGTTGGCAAACAATTCAGTTCCACTCTCACCATTTCTGGGCATAGCCTTTTCCACGAGTTCTTGGTACACGGCCGTAATTGCTTCAACCTCAGTACTCTTAATACCCTCTTCATCGAGACTATCGACTTCCTCCTTTTCAGCTTTTGGAGAAACAACATGCTCTTCTATTGTGATTTCAGGGCCGGTGTCAGGTACAGTCTGCTGGTGTTTCTTCTTTGTGGAAGCTTCGGCTAGTTCGGCAGCTTTACGTTTGCGCCATAGAGTAGTCCGCGAGTTCTTTGTGTAAGCTCCACGGATCTTTCGCTCAGAATTTTCTTTTGATTTAGTGCTTCCATCAGTAGAACATGACCTTTCCTCAATTTTGGGTTCTTGCTTTTCCTCTGGGGTAATATTTCTGGTTACTGCACTGGTACTTGTAAGCTGGCTTGAATCTTTGACTTCAGCTAGTTTGGCTGATTTCGGTTGGCGTGATTGACGGGCCATTCAGGTTATATATGTACGTATGTGTGATTGATGAAAAATAAATAAAAATAAAAATAAAAAAGAGCAACCTAAAAGTAGTTAATAGTGCATGTCAGTCCTAAAAGAAAGCGAAAGAAACGAGACGCGACTCAGCCGTCACACGTGATACATTTCCGTTTTTAGATGAATTTCAATGTCGATGCGTACGACACAGGGTATCACAGAAAAACTAGCCATGGATGTATTGACACCAAAAGCACGGTAATATTCATATACTAACTTACACTCTTTTTTTTTTGTCTCAGCTATCACATTGAAGTCTCAGCTTTACCAATATCAAGACGAGGTATTAGTGATTTTTGCTGTATTATTTTACCAGGTTTTCTTTTTGGTTTGGCTATTAGAAGAAGAATCAGAAACTAAATTCGATCCAATAGTTAATTCTTTATATAAATAAGCACTTATTTATGTACATATATGAACAGAGCTACCTTGAATGCAATTATATTTTAAATCCCTATTGTTTGGAAAATATATCATCTTTGATTAAAGAAGTGTAATAGCAGTGATATAATTGGAGAATATTCATAATATCCTTCTATCTGTCAGCTTAGTCAGACCTGGGTTTGTGCATTAATCTATTATTTTTTTTTGTCTTTTCATTCCACTTTTTCAACGAGTATTTTACCAAATAAGAATGAACCAAGTATAATTTGATTTTATTCACTTCAAACTATTTATAAAATAGGTGACAGTAATATTAGAAGGAACAGGACAATGTCTCCTCCTTTCTTCTTTCCTTCTTTCCTTTCACTCGGCAATCAAGGGCTTGGCACCAACTACTATAACCGCATTGAGAAACCATTTGTGCTCAATGCAATCCTTGATATAAATGTCGATAATTGAATCAAATGCTTCAGGGTTTTCAGGGCACAAGTGCGGAATCATAAATGGTTTGAATCCATCGAGGGCCTCAATCCAATTTTGTAGAATCATCTTTGACAAATTATCCTCCTCAGAAGCTACAAAATTTTGTAAGTAAACTATAGCAAGAGGATTACACTAGGGGAAAATGAAAGATGGTTCCAATAGTACTATGCTATTATTTCCTTCTTATTCTTCTTTTTACTTACAAAACATCTGCTTTTTATTATCTTCTAAGATAACATCGAATCCACTGTGTAGCAGATATGGGGCCAGCTTTTGAGGAATGAAGAAATCGTTGTTTCTTTCGGTTATGGCAAAATACACTACATTTATTGACCATCATTAGGTACTACCAAAAAAATCATACATATACTTACATGACGTGATAACCTTCAAAATACTTCCTTGCTTTGGTCCAGACTAGAATATAAAGATCAATTATTGTTTACATTAGTAAATGTCTATCCAGAAAAAAAAACGACAATCGAAGCTTACAATAAAATCATATTCCAAAAATTGGACTAATCCTCCTGGAGCTACAATACGGTATATTTCTTTGATCATCGGAATCCACTTATCTGCTGGGAAGCCTGCAATTAGAAGTCGTGTATGGACAAGGCCAAAAGTGTTGTCTTCAAATTCAGAGAGATCAGAAGCGTTCACAATCTTAAATTCAACATTTGGAGGTACATTCTCTTTTGGAAAGACATCAGCCATGTCAATTCCAATAAAAGTACAATCTGGATAAGCCTGGGCCATTTCCTATATAGATACCATTAAAATACTTTATAACTTCTGCTAAGCTGTTATTAAAGAAATTACCATAGTCCAGATTCCTGTTCCACATGCTATATCAAGAACCTTTGAACCAGGTGCAAAGTTATGCTTCACAGCAGGTACAGTCAATCTAAACGTTTCAAGAATAGATAGAATATTAGTAATGTATATAGAGTATTTGTATCCAATATACCCATCAAACATTATTTTAAAAATGTTATGTTGCTATAAGAAGAATAAAAAGAGTTTAGGTTAATATAAATGTATATATATATAACTAAGTAGATGAAGAGTACTTGAGTTACATACCAAGTTCAGGCGTTTTTTCTCATCGTCATCACAAGGAAGGATGTAAGTACCAGTCTCGGCATTATGGTAAGCACGTCCACAGGCTGTTGATCCTTTGTTTTTCAGGGCGGAGGTAGCATCGGTTCCTTTAATATTGGTAACGGATCCATTAATAGTCTCGAAGGAAATTGTGGATGAAGACATGTTTGATAGTTTCAAGGTTGCTTTGTAAGACACAAGAGATTGATGTTTTGTAACTTGTTGGAAGACGAAATCTTCTCGAGGTATATATACTAAATATTATACCAGCCCGCATATTATCAAAGTAGCCAATCTCCAGCTAATGTATGCCAAAAGATCCAAACTGTTCAGGCAATGTTCAAAATTATTATTGGTAAACACAGATATGTATGAAAAGCTTAATTTCTTTCTCTATCTTTCTTTGATATGCTGGAAAATAATCTGAAAATGCCAATAATGGAAATATAAGAACTTATCATCCACGAGTGCTTCGATGATTTCTCTCTTTGTATGCATTTGATTGGTCTTTATCACCTATTCAGGTAATCTAATGTATACATCGACCTGTCATATGATACAATGGAAGTGATTAGAAAGGAAGAAAGCCAGGAATGTCATATTCAGTAACACGTAGAGTGTGTTATACAGTAGCAAATTGTTTCTTGATTACATGATTTTATAGTTGAACTTACTTACGCATACAATTGTATAAACTTAAAAACAAAAATACAACACATTAAGATGAATATTAATCTAACTATAGCATGTTATTTCAATCAGTTGGAAATACGAGCTTCAACAACACCTAAAGATCTTAGATAGAAGAAAACTTGTAGCTATTTGAGAGAAGTAGACATGAATTAAACTACGCTCTTAGCAAACACATTATGTATAAACAGCTATACTTTGAGATTTGGTGATTTGACTAATAAACCAATAGTATTATTAAGTATTATACACAGGGAAACATATACATTTCATATTAACACATATATAGCCAAAAATTAAAGGACATCAGCGCTTGGATTTGTATTTGCAGGTGGTTCCTTTTATTTTTCCAGTTTTCATTAGAGTCATATAATGTAACTCGTGTACCAGACATATAAGAACTTATCAAATAAATAAATAAAATATACTCTAAACAATACACTGGCGTTAATATCCGCCTTCGAATACCAAAGAAAATCACTCTGGTATAGATTTTGTATCCAATATACTAAAGTCTGTATTTTATCATTGTATCTCATACTGAAAAAAAAAATAGTCTAGATCTTGAAAGAAGCCTGTAATTTAATGACAATTATCTACATGTTAAAAAAAAACATTAGTATTTTTTGGTATTGTTTATTGAAGGAATTATATACTTGAAGGTTAGGTAATTAAAAATTCAAGTTTTGTATTTAATAGAGTCTTCTAGTTCTAGACTTTTAATGTTTGAAATAGAAATAGTGGCAATTTAGCTGGTGACAAGGGGGACGTCGTTAAATATATGCTGGAAGTCTTTTTTTTGTATAGTTTATTGAGGAAATGATATGCCCAAAAGCTAAGTATTTAAGATATTAACATGTGTTCTGTGTAGAGTCTTCTAGCTCGAGACATCGAATGTTTAAGGTAGTAATAGCTACAATTCTGTTAGTGACAAAGAAAATATCATTGAAGATATACCGGAAGTGAGCTTCCCGAATAGCACCTAGTGTACATCCCAGGATAAAAAAAAATGTTAGTGTTCCTTGTTAATTCCGTTATTCCCTAAAAAAATGTACGCTTTTTTTTTGACATTTCTGCGCTTTCCCTGGATTTATTTAGGCGGCTTTTAAAAATACAGGATACTGGAATAAGAAAAAAATATTTTTGACTGGGTTGGAGTAACTTGTTTTATTTGTTGAACGTCTGACTTACACCTTTTGCTTACATACTCCACCTTCTCAGGCCCTCTTGCTAATTTGTTTATTTATTTATTTTATTTATTTATTACAAAAAAAATATTTTCTTCAACTATACAATTGTTCCTTTAATTTGTTGTACATATATAATAGAAAGATAAAAGCATAAAAGCAATCTACAATGCACTCATGCTGTTTATCTTCCGTTGCTACTTCAATGTCTCAGCATCACCATGGCCCTCCATTTCACCAACACTACTTTAACCAGCCTACTATTCCAAAACCAAATGAACCTAACATATCCTCTCATCATCATCACAGCCGATTGTTCTACTTCCTTACAGATCCTACCCTTACTAATGCACAGACCATCCTTCAAGCTCAAAGACAGTTATTTTACCCCGGAGTAACGTTGCCACACCCAATTCCTATAGCAAGACCTGCACCACAAGCATCTTCATCACAAGAATTTGCACCAAATGTTATTGCTAGACCTCGCCCAATTGCTCCCTCAATCAGCTCACGACCACAACTTACCAGTCGACCCCCTCAGCCCCAAAATACTCTTCCAGGCATCCCAATGGCTATTGCTGCCGTTGATGACTGTTGTGCCGAGTGTTGTCCAATGGCAGCCGTTGAAAAAGAGAGCGCAGCAACAAATATATCTACCCAGCCTTCTAAACCACCTTCAATACAAACACCCCAAGAAGTACAACGGCCTCCAACCCGATCTGTATCACCATCGGCGTCAGTAGCGTCAGTGTCGTCAGTGGCTTCAGCAGAATCAGTAGCCCAAATTACACAAAATACATCTCGAAAAAATGCGGTTCCCAGAGAGCATCAAACTAGTTTTACTTCACTCCCGCCTGTGACAGCAGCAGAGACGGTGACTGAGCAAACTAATGGACCCAATAGTCAGAAACGAAAACGCTCAGATGCGGACAGAGAGCAAATGCTGTGCAAATGGTTAGCTTGCTCGGCTACCTTTAGTACCCTTGATGATCTGGCACCCCATCTTTTCAAAATACACTTGAGTGGTCGTACAATTGATTTTAAATGTCATTGGGAATCTTGTACAGTGTCCACAGAAGATTCCAAAGATCTTTTTAGCCATCTCACAAACCATCTTGGCCAACTTCTTCATTATTGCCGCTGGATAAACTGTAGAGACCGATTTGAGACATTTGATGAATTGACAGGCCACTTGTCAGATATACATGTTGGCTCTGGTCGGAGTGAATACATCTGTCTTTGGGAAAAATGTGATCGTGAGGGGAAAGTGTTTTCACAGCGGCAAAAGGTGATGCGTCATATCCAAACCCACACAGGTAAACATGACTGATGTGTATCCTATCCACTTTCTAATATGCATTTTTTTGATTTCTCTAAATTTGTGTAGGGGATAAGCCATATCAATGTAGTTTGTGCAAGAAACGTTTCTCAGAAGCAAATATAATAACTCAGCATTTGCGAACTCATACTGGAGAGAAGCCGTACAAGTGCCCCGAAAAAGGCTGTGAAAAACAGTTCTCGATCTCTGGAGCCTTGACAATTCATCGTCGAGTACATTCTGGTGAAAAACCATTCGCTTGTAAATACCAAGGCTGTGAAAAAAGGTTTTCTGAGAGCAGCAACCTGACAAAACATGTAAGATCTAAATCATTGGCCTTATGATATATATATTAATATATATATATATATATCGATGAATCTATCTAGATGAGGGTTCATACTGGAGAACGCCCATTCAGATGCTCTTTTATTCCATGTGGTAAATCATTCCCTCGAGCTGATCAAGTCGCAAGACACGTTAAAACTCACTCAAGACAACAAGGCCAAAGAAACAAGTTTGGGCCAATAATACAAGTTGCTGACACTAATCAATCTACAGCAAAAGACTAATTCATCTGATGTGTTTGAATGTCCTTCTTTTTTTTTGTTTTAACCAAACCCCCCCCCCCCCCCCCCCCGCCTCATCCTCTTCATAGTATTTTTGTTTTCATTATATTAATTCATTGACTGCTTTTTATATCTTGCAATAATCATACAATACAAAGCTCACAATTCTCAAACGGCACTAAATAAGACAATAGAGATTTTTCTTTTTTAAAAAAGAAAAAGAAAAGCAATAGTTAAAACACCTGTTTCAATCTTCTTCTATTCTCTTAATCATCACTTTATGATTTCCGCAGAAGGCTTGTCTTCCCTAGAATATCAATGTCATTTCAATTATTCTTCAAGGAGATACCCGGAGACTACCAAAGAAGGAGGTCTTTGATTCTATTTTGTTTTCAAGTTACAAAAGATGAAAATGTACAGCACAAATTTAAAAGGCTCTTTTCTATTACATTAAGTTTAAAATAAAGAAAGGAAGGAACATGTTTATGCTTTGAAGATATTATTACTGTATTATGTTAGTTTGTATGAAGAATGTTAATGTTTATGAATCTGATACTTTATCATATATTTTTGCTATTGTTATCATTATTACTTTTTTGAGTTTGTTCAATTTACATATTTTTTACTAGAGCTGAACAAGATCTGTAGGTCTTGAAGCTGGTTAACCTTTGATTCTTCTTTGGACATATAAAGTTGACTTGTCAAGACCTACAGAAAACATATAAAAAATAAAAACAGATATATAAATATAGGTATATAAGAAACAAAGGTTTTCTTCTACAGCTCAAAATAACACCTACATGTTTCCTGTCTTGGATCTCTAGAATTCGTTCTTCTACTGTATCCTTCATAATGAAACGGGTCACAACCACATCCTTTGTTTGACCCAACCTGTGCACACGATCAATTGCTTGTGCTTCGACCGCAAAGTTCCACCAGGGATCCTATATTTTATTATTAAAAGATAATCAATTTTTTTTGTTAGTGAAAATAGTACAATCCTCTTTGATTACAGAATAGAAAACATTCTTACCATAAGAAGCACACGGTTAGTGCATGTCAAGTTGAGGCCTACACCACCTGCTCTTAGACTGATAAGAAGCACATCTGTCTTTTGTTCCTTGTTTTCAGAAGAAAAGTTCGATAGGACCTTTTCGCGCTGAGCTTGACTTTGAGACCCATCCAAGCGTGCGAAGGAGATATTGGCTTCTTGTAGTGCGATCTGGATTATGTCCAAGAAACTGGTGAACTGGGAAAATACGACAGTCTTTCGTCCTTCACTCTGATAGAGACGTATGTGAGATAGCATCGCGTTAATCTTTGTAGATGGTTTGTATCCACCCACTGCACGGCGAACATTAACAGCGGCGGAGTATGCACCGTTCTGTGCATCCTGGTCTGATACCTGACCGGATTCTTTTTGTACTTGAGATACTTCAAGAAGGTCATCCTGGCTTACAGGCCCTTGCCTACAGATGGGACATTCTCCCGGAACACCAGAATCCTCAAGTTTCTAGGTAATAACAAAATATGTAAAAATGCTATGAAAATCGCTATATGTATAATTACCTGGAGATAATCCATAACACATGGTCGACATGCCATGTGCGCACACTTTAACATAATCATTGAATCCACTATCTCGAAGCATATTGGACACTCGTTATCAATTTCCATTGCCGTCCCTGATTCGTCACTTTCTTGTTGGGTTCCTTTTTGACGATTCAACAAGTTTTGCAACACACCGACGCTGTAAGACGGGGTCTCTTTGACAGGCGCATCTCCCCCATCTTTACTGTATTTTTCGATTAAATCTTCTAATGAAACTATTCCCCCGTTCTCGGTCATGATTTCGCTATTCTCGCCACTCTTTTTGCTATTAAGGACAAGAGATGGATGGCAGCTTACTTGTCGAAGTCTCATCAGAAGCTGAAAGATACTTGCATAGTTGCTGAGCGCTTTTCCAGAAGCACAATAGTAGGAAAACTTCGTCTTTGAATCTTTGTAAAGTGAGTCATAGATTTCTTGTTCTTGTGGTGTGAAATCAAGGTACTCGATATTGATCTTCTTTTCTGGAAGAGACACCATTGGATCTCCATTTTGGTCTCGCATGGCTTTGGTGCGTCGTAAGACAATAGGCTCCAACACTCTCTTGACTGCAGAAAGTGCGCCAGGGTCCTTTTTCTCGAAAGGAATTGTGATGAATGTTCGCCAGAATGTATAATTTGACCTATACAGCTATTAGTTAGACTCTTTGTTTTTGTATTATTGGATGAAATAAAGAAAGTCTTACCATGGCTCGTGTTTGAGGAATTTTACAAGAGAGAATAGATCCTCTAGTTTGTTCTAATTGAAGATATATAAGTTGAGTATGTCTTAATAATATTTAATGATGAATGTTTTACAATTGGTTTGAATCATCTTCTAATTTTACCTGAATTGGTGTGCCAGATAATGCCCATCTTCTTTGTGCTTTCAGGGCACAGCATGCTTGGGAGGTTTTGCTTTGGCGGTTTTTAATGTGATGGGCTTCATCCAATACGACACGCCAAAACTCGATGTTGAATAGCTTACTGTCTGGTTTCTCCCACTCTGACATGACTGTACCATATGTGGTTACCAGCACATCAGGCGCTGAGCCATCCCAGGCGTTAAACACACTTCTCGTCCCCGAATTTCGCCCGTCGCCATAATATACATCAACTGTGAGTGTACCCGGCTTTGATCCACGTATCATTTCATCTCTCCATTGTGCTAGCAGGGTCATTGGACAAACAACGAGTGTCGTAGGTGATTTTGATTTCTTGGGTGTGGGAACGAGCATACCAGGTTTGAATCGATTTGCGTGGATCAAACTGAGCATCTCGATAGTCTTGCCCAATCCCATTTCTAATCAAGATTATATGAGAATTACTATTTAAGTAATACGCTGCGTATTATCTAACTTACCGTCTGCCAAAATGCCTCCCCTTTCTCTTGAATTTGATTCTGGGAATGTAAGACTTAATTCACCTGAGTAAGGGTTCATATAAAAGTGCCTTGTGACATTATCTGGTGCGTCAGGGTCTGTCGGAAATATATATTCTTCCCAGAGTGGGTGCATAGCCCTCATATCTACATCACCATCCTCATAGGTTGTCGACTCTTTCAAAGACATCCAAGCAAGGGCCTAGATAAAATAAAGACATGTCAACTAATCAATCTCTCGACCACTTATTCGTTTTGCTTGTTTTAATATATCTATGACACTTACTCTTTTTTGATATGGTTTTAGACACAATGACATGCTTTCTGGCTCATCCATTGGTTGTATCTGGGCATCAAACATCTGAGCTTTTTCATAAATTGTATCCAATTGCCCATCTGTCACTTCTTTCTTATCATCATCTTCATCGCAATCTTCGACTCCTTTCTCTTTTTCTTCGGTAGCAGGCTGATCCATTGTAGATACTGCTTGTTCAATCAGATCCCGTATTTGAGATTCGTCCCCATTTGTAGCCATGGTCTTTATAGCCGATCTCGATGGTCTTAATCCAACCCCACGCAAGATTCCTAATAAGGCCAATGCTCCATCTCTACTGTATTTTTCGTCTGTTTCTTTTGTGCGCATTGATACTGGTTGGAAGAACAGGTTTGAAGGGTTATTAGGTTCTTTGTCCTTAAAAGCAGACGCAGAGAAATAACAATTAAGCTGGACAATGATGTCTTCGCCTACTGTGAGGACAGGCGAGCAATAGACAACCTTGCCCTTAAATGTACACATATTTCGATCTAAAAGTCTAGCAACGTATTTCGATACATCTTTTGGTAGTCTTCCGACTTCCTGTCCATTGAGGGTGGTAAATCTAACAATGGTGTCTTCGTACACCTTTTGTCCATATCCTCGTCTTTTCTTTTGGGGATGGGCAGAGTGAGTCGATCGACTCAAAACGATGCCGTCTCCTTCCCTTATTGGGCTTTCCCCTTTGCACAGGGACCAACCTGGCAGAAATTGGAAGGGAGGATAAGAAGAAGCAAAGAAGCAAAAGACGCAAAAAAAAAGCAAAGAAAGAGAAAAAAAAGACTAAATGTTTTTTTTTTGTTCTTTATGGATTTATAATATTTTTATTTATTTATTTAATTAATATGATAAATATTTGGATTATTACTATTATATTACTTTTAAAATTGCATTAATTATTACCTGCGACTACAAGATCACCAATATAATAACTTTGAATTGCTCGTTTAGGCTGTTTAACTTTTGGTATTGTGTATTGTCTTTTATTGGCTGTTGAAAGTCTAGTTGATCTCGTAGGTATTGAGCGTAAGGTTGATGATGATTCTGAGGTGGTTTGAGATTCGACTTGTGATGATTGTGGGGATGAATCAATATCCATGCATGAAAAGTGTGCATTGACAGCCTTTTCGAGATCTCCTTTGGATTGGTTCAAGAGGTTGTATAATTGTGCATCCGAGGTCTCATTGCCAACAATGTTGCGTAATTGAGACAGCTTTTCAGCGATCGAGATCTCTACTTGAGACATGTTTATATGTATGTATATGTACTTAAGCAATTAGAATTAATGGTCAAATTAATACTTTGACTTGTGTGACTAATTTTTTTTTTAAAAAAAAAGAGAGAAAGAGATAGAAGAAGTCGATAATTATCGATACGCGACGCGTACTGGTTTATTTAGCGCGTATATTTTGCTGTCTGTCAGTCTTGTTTATTTATTTTTATTTGTGTACTTGAATTTGAAAACTTGATTATTCTAAGCCTCTGATCATATACAAGGAACACTGGATATTAATCGTTTGTAAGAAAAGAAAAACCAAGACATCAGTTAAAGAATTGCTACTTGTCTAATAAATAGATTTTAATGATAGAAAATGTATATCTGTACAAAAATATATCAATAATTTATATCACCACCAGAGATTTTTGTTATCATTTTGGGTGAAAATTGGCACCTAAGCAATATGATTGGCTTAGAGGCCAAAATATTGTAATTTGTTTTCGTACTCAATTTTTTTCATCCGAATAAAGGATAAAATTAAGTTCAGTACTACTTGTGGGCTTTTAAAGTAAGAAAAAAAACTGTTAGGGAAGTCAGAAAGTGTTCAAGTGAGACAAAGGATTTATTAAGGAAAGTTGGGGGTTGGTTTGAGTAACCAAAAAATGACTTCACAGAAATTACGCAAAAAAATTGATGTTGAGAAGAAGAAAACAGAAGGTTCAAATAATAATTATAATAATAATAAAGAAGTAGCATCATTTTATTCATCAAAAAGAATATTATTGAAAATGAACCAGTAGGAACCGAACTTGCTCAAATTTACAATGTAAAATGGGTTGCGGAAAATGTGCAAATCTAACTTACAAACGAGATTCATGTTAGCAACATCAGAATGCTCACCTGTCATTACAGCCTTGGCATAGTTATTGTTTCTGTCATTATCCGTACGAGGAACAATGCTAAGAAACTTAACAACAGAGCCTGAGACAAGTCCTATACGAGGGCGAGAGATTGGATCATCTTTAAAAACAAACGCGCCAAAACTGTTGTTTTGGACGGCGTCATCTTCAATATCTCCAGTGTCGTTGTTGTCCTTTAGCTCTCTCGAGCCGCCAAAGAAGGTGTAATAGAACAAAGATTCATTGTTGTCCTTAATGAACCTCTCTATTCCAGTTCCAGACTTCTCTCGGTTGCCAGAGCTATTAATCCACGACCCGCCGTCAATTACATGTTGCAATGCTACCTGCTTTGCAAACTTTAGGCAAACATCCCTGGAAGTGTTTTGGCGATTCGTATGAAACAGATGTTCGCGAATGTGCTTATTGAACTGTTCGCCCTTTTCTGTTTCATAATTGAGGGCTGGGCCAAAACGAATTATATCTTCCTTGAGATGTGTCAAGTAATGAACTTTCGGCTTGGTGCAATATGCCTTGTGGAGCTCGTTCTTGGTTCCTTTATCGTAGTCAAATAATGCTCTGATCAAGCGCTTCACTGCATTATCTACTCTGATAATATAGTTATCAAAGTCTGATGTCACCTGACGAACGAATACCAGAGAACACAATCGGCCAAGTTCAACAAAGCATGGTATTACAAGGTCTAGCTCATGATTTCCAGAGAATTCTGTAATCAGAATTACAGGAAGTATTTGAAGCAGAACCTTGAAATCTCTACCGAGGAATGAACCACTATGTCTCAAGTTTCGGGTGAACTTTCTTGATAGACCAGTTGATCGCGTGTAATCTGTCAAGAATTCTGAAAGTCTTGCTATTGTGGCTGTGTCATTCTTAAGCACGACCTTAACCAAGTCAATTACCATATACTTTGCAACACCAAGAAGTATCGTGTGGAGGATTTCCACTGGTGTATCCTTTTCTGGATCAAACGACTGCAATTCTAATAAGCGGCCAGTCGAACGATCTCTAAAGCTTATCTCGTTTGCAGGCGTGTTCATTCCAATTTTCGGAGCATTTGGGATCTCAGTGTCTCTGCCAGGTGACGAGTTTGCAAGAACATAGTGCTCTCGAGTTCGTCTCTCATGGCACTCACAGAAGTAGGACAAGTCCTTCACAAAGTCTTTTGCACGTCTAAGTTCGATGTAGCATCTTCTGCAAGGAAATGTGGTGGCCGGCCCAAGCAATCCGCAAAGTTCCGAATGACATGGCGTGTCAGCCTCAATCCAAAGGATGGGAGCAACAACCAGAACATACTCATTGTCTTCAGCGGAGAACATTTTTACACCTTTCTCGAGTTTCTTAAAGTCATCAACGATTGCTGGCAGAAGAGACATACCATTTGCACCATCTTTCTTAGGGATTGTAGAAAGAAACTGGATGTTTGCTATCGAATTTCGATCCTTAAAAGGCAAGGCAGCGCATCTCATTAACCAGCTTTCAAACGGATTGTACTGCTTTGAACGATTGCCGGAAGTGTCGTCTGTAAAAAGGATGATTGAAACAATCCTAACTTTGTAAAACACTGCATCGCGATCTACATTACCGGGCAAAACAGAAAGAGGCATAGGCTTCTTCATTGGATGAACTCCAAAAAGAAGAAAGTCATGAGCAGGACTCAATCTGGTAAGGCTACTTGAGATACTGTAGTAGTGATCTCTTTCAACAGGAGTGGTGTCAACGTGAGAGATCTGCTCTACTCTAAGATCGGTAACAGCAACCTCAACGCCATAGCATACAATCGAAATCGCTCTGACCAGATACCCTCTCGCAAAAATGTTTTTATTTGCCGTGTGGAACGATTCAACCAAAAAGCGGATGCTGCAATCGTTTGTCTTCAAGTAAACGATGTTTCCAAACCAGACATCTATACCATTTACAGTGTGCATAGGCTGCTGAAAGAGATGGTGGGTTCTCCACTTTTCACCTTGTTCCAAACAGATCGATTGGTTTGGGGTACGATCGGGCATGGACGAGATCAACTTGGATTTCTTTGGGTTTGCCATAAGAAATCTCAAGTGGTCGGACGGAAGGTTAATGTGGGCGAATGCGTTCCCGTTTGATCCAGGTACTGATATTCTTTGTGAAGGAAAGACAGGCATCTTGGACTTCTTTCTTGCCTGATAATTTAAAAGAGCATCCAAACGAGGTAACTTAAATGTTCTTCCTATGGGAGTTTCTTGCTGGATCTTAATGATCAAGTTCATCGCAAGCAGTATCTTCTTCAACATTCGCTGGGAGATCATGTCATTATCCCCATCGATAAAAGCGAAAAGGATCATGGTTTGAAGATCGCGAAAAGGATAACAGCTTGTAGGGTCATTTACAGCGCCAATTGTCTCAAAGACTTCTTCCGGGATCTCAGAGTCATCATCGGTCATTGATACCTCATCAGCAGCAGCAGCAGAAGAAAACATGTCAGAGAACGCGTTGAAAACTGGATTACTGTTCATTTCAATATCAAAGAAATTATCGACAATATCGTTTTCCTCGTCTACAATGTTGTCTTCTTCATCCCCGATACTGGAGGAGTCATCTTCGTCACTCGAGTAATCAAATGCATTAGCATCCGGAATAGTGTTCTCGACTATCAATTCGGCCTGCTCGGGTTCGTCGAGTACAGTATTGGTTGCCATTTGATTACTTATATGGTGAACCTTCGAATGCCTTTTCAGTAACCAAGGCTTTTCGAACTCTTTTTCGCATTCAGAGCAGGTAAAAACACCTGAATTGATGCTAAAGTTAAGTTCGCCTTGCCTTTTAGGGGGGCGAGTCTTAACGATTTTATATGTTTCTTGTCTTGTATTCTTTTGCATAATAGTAAATTGATTGTAAAAACAAAGGGGGGAAAATGACTTTGCGAAAATAATTGAATTTATAAAATGTGGAAAGATCGATATTTAATGTCAGCGGACCAATTAGAATTTTTTTTACTTCTTTTCTTTTAAGAAAATATCGCGTGTTTTTGTCTTCTTTTTCATTTTACTTTTCCACAAAATATTTATTATTTGCATGAGCTTCCATTTGTAAGATATTCCAGTATACTTATAGTATTTATAGAAGCAGAATTTTGCTTAAAGACCGTAAGCTCAAAGGTATTTATGCTATCAAAGTTTTTTATGTCATTGTGTTTATTAATCATACAATTCTAGTTTATAAATTAGTTTTTCATCATCTCGGTAAATCAATAAAGAGGTAATAACTACATGTTCCTCTTACAAAGCAACAGAAGACTAACTATTTACTCCTCACTTGCAGAGATTTGGCTGCCTTTTATTGCAAATGCCTTAATAGAGTCAAAGGTAAAATTCTGTTAAATATATATAACTAAGTTTAATTACTAATTATTAGTTCTTCTGCTTTAGCTTTTCTCGAAATTCAAATCTTTATGCTCTTTGGGTTTATTGGAATTTCTGGCACCGGGTCTCTTGGATTAGCTAGACATAGTAGTTTGCAGCAAACCGATCACGTAATTTACAGGCATAAGTACAAACAGTTATACTACTAGTGTTTCTAGTGGTACGAATATACTGGTGTGCTACTGCCTGTGGATTTTATGGTCCAGTCTAGCTTTTTTTTAGCCTAATTTTTTTCGAAATAAAAAATAAATTTTTTACAACCCAAAATTATTTGAAACAAATTAAAAATTTGAACCATTTTTGAAATTGTGCAGTACATTTTTTAATCGAAATCTATTGGCCGAGAGTAGTCCCCCCATCCCCCCACTTTTCAGTCCCCCAAAAAAATGAATTTCCTGTTATGGGCAAAATTCGCCCCGTATACAAGAATCCTTTTAAGGAACAAGATTACACAAAAAAATCTGCTGTGGTGATTATAATATTAGAAGAAAAGACCCTTTCTTTCTTTTACAACCACAGTACAAAAAAGGTAATAATATAAAGCTTTTTGGATTTGTTTCAATCTGTTACACGGAGATACATAGCATGTCGTACGAATGAGGGCCACCACATCCGTGGTTTAAAGGTGCCCTTCAATCATAATAATGAAAAAAAAAATCGTGCGTACAGTGCGTAGTTTATAGTGTATAATTCGTAGTGTATAATTCGTAGTGTATAGTTTATAGTGTATAGCGTATTCCTTTATGATGGCCACCAATCTTCTTCCTTTAATTATTTTTCATTTTTATATTATTAATACTATTATTTTTTTGCTTTAGCTATAAATGATAGTATAGGATCTCTTGAGCATTAAATATACTTTGAGTTTTTTTTGAGACTGATCGAATTAGGCTATTCTTTCGTGCACCAAAGTACTGTATTATTTTTTCCTTCATGTTTGAATGACCTATCAGATACTCAATCTACTTTATTCGGAGTATTAATTGACTTATACAATGCATGCTTGAAAAAAAAATATATACTTATATGCCTTTTTTTTTATTTTATGGTATTTAGTATTTAGTATTTATTTGCTTGTTTGTTTATTTAACTGTTTATTATTTTTGCGTTCTTTCTTGCTCTTTTGATTCCTTTGCTTTATATTTCTCTCTCTTTCTTTTTCTCTAAATAATCATAAAAAATCTAATATCAAGATGCCTTTCTCTGATGCCCAAGAAGCGACAGAAATCAAAGAGATCGGTGGATCTCCGGCACAGGAAGAATACATGAAGAATATCATCAATGAATTCAGTCTGACTACAGAACATCTTTGTAAAATCAGAACTCGATTTATGAAAGAGATGGACAAAGGTCTCGAAAAAGAAGGTTGCACAGTTGCCATGATTCCCTCTTACGTGGAAGGTCGTTTGACAGGTAAAGATATACGTATAGATACACAACATCATACATATAATCCGCATTTTACATGTAAAAACCCGAGGCGGGAGATATGCAATACCAAAGCAAGAAGAAAAAAAGGAAGAGGGATATTCTACCTAGTCTATTGTGAATGAATGATAATAAGAATAATGAATAAATTGCGTTTTATTTGCCTGGCTTGAATGATTGAATTGTTGGATGATTTATCAAAGGATTGTTTATTATTTAGGCCATGAGCGCGGCCAGTTTCTCGCGTTGGATTTGGGAGGTACCAATCTGCGCGTTGTACTGGTTACTTTGGAAGGGGAGGGAAAATTCAAGACTGTGTCGACAAAGGCCAGAGTATCTGATGCCCTTAAGAACGGTCCTATGCGTAATTTGTGTGGTATGTCGGAGAGCCGTGTGACACCTCTGGGAAGAAACCAATCCTTGACATCTGTTTGCTGTCCTTAGATTATATTGCCGAATGCATCGACACCTTCCTTACGGAGCAGGGTCTCGAAGACAAGGAATCCGAACTCCCGCTCGGTTACACATTTTCATTCCCAGTTCTCCAAACAAAGGTAATCGATCTTTATTATCATTATCTTTATCTTTATCACCAATAAGAAATACAAGGAAGAGATAGAGAAAGGAGAAAAAAATTCTAATATTTAAATTTCAATGTATTTATTTATTCTTTGAAACAAAAACTGTACTCATTTTTCAATCAATAGATCAACCGCGGTACCTTATCTCAATGGACCAAAGGGTTCGCATGCACAGGCGCAATTGGAAAGGATCCTGTCATGCTTCTTCAGGATGCTCTTTTGAGAAAGCACTTACCCGTTAAAGTATCTGCCCTCGTGAACGACACAGTTGGAACACTTTTGTCCAATGCATACAACAAACCCAACACATTGGCCGGTTTGATCCTCGGAACAGGTGCCAATGGTGCGTACATCGAAAAGATTTCCAATATCAAAAAGTGGAAGGATGGGCCCACCAAGTCGCCCGAGATGATCATCAATATGGAATTTGGTGCGTTTGACAACGAGCGCCAGGCACTTCCTCTCACCCGTTTTGACAACAAGCTCGATCGTGAATCGATCAACCCCCATAGCCAGATATTCGAGAAGATGATCTCTGGTATGTACTTGGGCGAGATTGTCCGCAATGTCTTGGTAGACATGATCGATCGCGAGCTGCTCTTCAGCCCCAAGGGTACTTTTAACCCCAATGTCTGGTCCAAGGAAATCTCAACCATGTGGGCATTCGAGACTTCGTTTATGTCCAAAATTGAGGAGGATGACACAGAGAATCTTTCACAGACAAAAGAGGTTTTGGACACAAGTCTCAATCTGAGTAATGTGTCGGTTGTTGAGTGCAGAATTGTCAAGAAAGTATCTGAGCTGGTAGGAAAGAGAGCCGCAAGATTGGCAGCAACTGCAATCGCAGGTATCGTATCCCACTGTGGAATCCCGGACGAAGGCGTGGATATCGGCATCGATGGCTCTCTTTTCGAGTTTTATCCTTCTTTCAAGACAAGAATGTATGAAGCACTTCAGGAGCTGTTCCCTGAACATTCAGATATTCGCACAAAGATTCGATTAGGCCTTGCCAAGGACGGTAGTGGTGTTGGAGCTGCTCTTACTGCCTGTGTTGCGACAAAAGCAGAGGGTACAAAGGTCGTCTAAATTATGATAAACCAATGTGTAGGAAGATCCATAGTATGTGTGTGTTTGTGTGTACCCCACTTATGTATATGTATTGAGACAAATAATAATTCACAGAACATACACATAGAAATATAAATATAAATATACATATACATATACATATAAATAAATATATATATAAAGGATAGCATTTTTTTGTATCACTTTGTCTTAATATTCGTGCTCAAAATAAAGACAAGTATAAAATCATGGGTAAGAGAGTTTTATATGGTACATCCAATATTACAATTCAAATATAGCGCTAGTCGAAGAGATTCCGTTGAACACACACGTGTTGTTAATGGGAATATATTGGCGTGTGATCAACTTGATAACCTCTTGAGCAGCAAGGCCTCCAATGAGAGCGGACAGATTTGCTGTCTCGCGATTAGCAAATCGAACACTATAAAACAAAAAGAATAAGGAAAATGTTTAGTGAGACTTTTGTTTTTCATCCTGACAAAATAACAAGCACAAGACAACTGACTGACTGACTAACTTACTAGTTTGTAATTGCATTTTCCATTGCTTGCTGTTGCAAAAGAATGTCAGATTTCTCTTTAGTGATCTGCAAGCTTCCCAATACTTTTGCGACCTCTATTCTTAAAAGCTTCACATCCTCAAGATTATCTCCACCTCGAGATCCTTTTTTTTTAATATTATTATTCAGAAATACAGTAAGGTGTGTTTAGTAATCATTTTCTCTCTGGTCGGTTTTAGTTTTAATTCTATGGTAATAATATGTATCAATTGTGGTTTAACTCACCAGGCCATCTTTTGTGCTTTTCATGGAATAAATCAGCAGCACGATACACCATGTAATAGCTCATGTTGTCTTCATTCTCTAACCAGGTTACTGCAAACATGGTTTAGAATCCAGACAATAATATATAAATAAATATATTACCAATCTTGTCTGTCTCGGGGTTTTTAACTCTTTCATCCTCAAGAGATCTGTAGCGGACTACCTTGATGTGTGCAGAGTTCTTGCAGAAGCTTTCGATCATATCTTGAGATATGCTATTCTCTGGGATATCATTTGCCTTTAGTAGAGCATTTACATGACCAATTACTGCAGCCAAATCCTTCTTTGCCTTGTCTCGATAGCTTTAAAACAATGATAACAATCAATCAATCATTCAATCGTTCAATTCGATTCAATTAATCTCTTGCTGGATTGGTCTTATATCCATATATCTAGACTTACACATTCTGGAGAGCAACATAATTTGTTGTGTCAGATTTCATATCAGGTAGCTTTCCTGGCAATGGCAATCGGCCATGTCCTTCGTTTTCAAAAAAGTCTCTCACAGCTCTTGCAACTATCCAGAAATGTTCGGACTGTGCTGTAATGTTGTTGCAAGCAGGATCTTCAAATACTTGGCGCACATCTGAAGGAATCTTATGTATCATAAAACCAAGGTTGTGAGTTACAAGTAGAGATGAACTTTTCTCCGGGTGATTTTCTTTTCTATCTCAATCTCTTCTTCTTTGTGCATGAAGATGTCTGTCTTTTTGATTTATTTTATTCATGCACACACACATATATATATATACAGCATAAGATAAAAATGATACATACACTGCTAGAAGAGGGAGCAAGTCGCCAGATGTTGGCTATGGCCTCTTCATAGTTCTCTTCGTCAGAGGTACGCATACCTTTACGAATGATTGCTTTAATCTCATTACGTTCACTGTAACTTTGAGGCTCTTTCCCATTATTCTATATAGTGTGTTAATAAATAACCGCGTATAATATATATATATATATATATAATGTTGAATGCTTCTACTGTTATTTATCTATTTATTGGCATCACTTGCCTCCTTTTTCCATTTTTCGACTGCTTGCAGGATCACAACAATAAATGGAACGTGAGCATGATCTGTTTGATCTAATTCGTCAAGGTCGAAGCTGTTTGAGTACTGCTTCAATTGAGCAAAAGGGTTTCCGAGCCGAAGATCAACAGGGTTTTCTGGATGTGTTTCGATAACTAGTAAAAATTGTATATATACCATAGTTAATTACACGCACACATGCACCTATATATATTGCCTACCTGGATGTTCAGGTCCTTGTATACGGAAAATACCAACTAACCCCTTGGATTTAACAATAACTAATGTCTTGTTGGTTTTCTCACACAAATCTGCCAATTCCATGTTTTCTCTTTCATGTAGGTTTGTAGCAATAATCATGGTAAAAGGATCAAAGAAAGCCTTGTCTTCATGAATAACATCCCTAGGTTCCTTAAGTTATTAAACAAAACACACGCACATATATATATATACATATTAGTTGTTCATATGCTTTACTTGAATAAATACAGAAAAGAAAAATGTCAAAAAAAAAAGATAAAGTTGATCAAGCGTGCTTACTTTGATAGTAAATGTAACAGAGGCATCTTCATTGAGTTCCTGGAGTAATTCAACAACTGCCTTTGCCTTTGGTTGGCCGAGACTTGCAGGCTCAAGGAAGAAATTGGTTTTCATATCTTCCTCTTGAACTAAATTGGCGTCTACCACTGTAACACTACCAACACCTACTTTACGTGTAAGTCTGATTGCAAAAGACAAAATGGCGAAGACAAAATAGGCAAGAGCAAGAACAATAAACTGATAGTAGTAGGAGGGGGAGGGGGAGAAAATATACAAAAAAAAGTGCATATATATATGTTTTTTTTTTGCTTGAATTGTGTGTTCCTGATTTTTATTTTTATTTTTATTTGTTCTTTTTACCTGGTAAAATCAGATTCTTGAGAATCTCACAACCAGTAGACGTGGCATTCAATAGACAAATGTTGGCATGTTCCAATGCAGTTTGACCAGTAACAGCCCACAAACTAAACGCAGAAATACACACACGTACACACGTATAAATATAAATATATTATATATGCTTGAAGAGAGAAATAATATAGGAAGAAACTAAAAGCAAATTGTCTGCGTCTTTTGCTTTCTTGTGTGTTTGTTTTGTAGTTTTCAGTTCTGTGTTTTCTCTATCTGCCTTTCTGTTTGCTTTTTTTTAAAAGATAGTAATGAAGAAAAATAAAAGAAAAGAGCATCTTCTTAATCACCGTAATTGTCTGTCGTATTTCTGGGTTTTCAAGTCAATCAAAGGCGCGGAAACCGACATTTTTTTTTCTTTTAAAAAAAATAAAGAAAAAGGTAGAATATATAAAGAAAGGCAAAGCAAAGCAGTAGAAAAAAAGAATGGTAGCCGTAGGGCTTTTTTTTTAATTATTATTAATATATATATATATAAGCTTGAAAATGATGTGTCCCTCTTCTGGGCACCGTCACGCGAGGTTGTAATGCTTCCAATATATATACACACACACACACACACATGTATATATATATATATATATACTTTACCGCAGCGTGTACCACAAAGGAACAAGACTCGATTGTCTTTTTTTATATTTTATTTATTTATTTAAAGAGTCATGGCGTTTTTCTCTGGTTTTGTAAAGAGCGGCCTGTCTTTTCTAGGAAAGGATTCTTCGGCATTCCCTTACACACTCGGTGACAAAGTCGAATGGTTTAAGGATCGCTCAATCTGGTCATTACATCACGGCACAAAAAAGGTAAATCTCTTTTATTTTATTCTGCTTTTGCTTTTATTTTTTTCTTGAGAGATGATGAATTTTGTATATTTATATATAGTTATATGAATTAATTGGTATCTATTTGTTGTTGGTGACTTGATTAGGAGGATGGATCCCAAGTTTCTATCTTTGTATTCGACTGCACAAAACACAGAGACAAAGTGCAATTAGCTTCAAATGGATTCAAGAGGATGCGTACTATGCGTCATCCTGATTTACTTCGATATCTGGATGGAATCGAGGTAATATTAATATATATATATATATATATATATATGATGGAGTTAAATTTCTTTCTTCTATTTCTCTTTGTAAAAATAATAAGAAGCATAACAATATAACAATAAGAATCAACTCACTAGCTAGAATCAAACTATAAAAATTATCTGGAGTCTGACCGAGTTTGATTAAATAGAACGATCAAGCAATTATGTTTGTAACCGACCCAATTGAACCTCTTTCCAACCAACTCGGCCAAGATCCTGATAGCAATCTTGTTCTTTGGGGTCTTTATAAAGTAGCAGTAAGTTTTGTTTTTTTTTTCTTTGTAATTGAAAAGTTTATCATCAATAAAAGAAAAGGAAGAACTGAATGATATAGAGAGAGAAATGTTTCTGATAGACAGAGTTTGTAGAATGCTATAAAGTTCATCAATCATGACTGTGACATGGTACATGGTAATATCCGAGTATCTTCCATCTTTACCAACAAAGCAGGCGAGTGGAAGCTGGGTGGATTTGAGCTGCTTTGTTCCATGAAAGATGAAAGCCCGATTAGTTTGGTAATATATATATATAGCATAAAGGATATTGTGCCTGTGATGCCATAAAGAGAAAGGAAAAGAAATATTAACAACAAAATGGTTTGATTTGATTTGGACTCTGATTTTCTTCTTTATTAAAACAACAAAGACATTTGGTGGTTTGGTTCCTGAAGCACAAAAATACGCCACACCTGAAATCAAAAAATCTGGCTGGACAATCATGAAAGAGTAAGTTACTCAGAAACTATGCTAAAATTGAAACCGTTTCATTTATTTATTTTCAATTTATTTAATGTTCAACAATAAAGCCTTCCTGTGTCTGCAACAGACTCTTATCATCTAGGTTGTCTGATCTATGAAGCTTACAATCTCCGTTTTGATACCATCGAACAATTATCCCGACCAGGAAATATACCGGCCAACATGGTTGAAGCTTACAAGGCTCTCTTGCGCCAGGTCATGAGCAGAGCAGATGCAGCAACTTACCTCGAGGTCGGATTGCGCCCAAAAAGTTTCTTTGACCATGATTTTGTAAAAGTGAACCTGTTCCTTGAGAACATCAGTATCAAAGAACAAAGTGAAAAAGAAGGTTTTTTCCGGTGCGTACAAATATATATATATATATATATGTGTGTGTGTGTGTGTAGAAGAGAAGGGGAGAGCTGTATTTTGGAAAGAAACCCAAAGAAAAAAAAAAGACTAAACATAAGAATTATCATATATTTATTCATTTTTATATTTTTTTGCTTCTACAAATTATAGGAAACTAGACACCCTTATTGACACCTTTCCCGGAGACTTTTCGAAATACAAGATATTGCCAGAACTTGTAAAAGCATTTGAGTTTGGTTCTGGTGAGTTTACCTCGATTAAAACAATAATTTGCCTTTCTTTTATTTTTACTAACACAGACCCCAAAAACATCAAGGTGGAGCAAAGGCATTAAATGCAATAATCAAAATCGGCCACCATCTTCAAGACAAGGAATATGAAGAAATCATCGTTGGTCCGATTACAAGGATGTTTGCATCCCCTGATCGTGCTATTCGTGTCAGTCTCTTGGAAAACATGCCAAAGTTCATCGACCACATTCCCGCAAAGGCAGTCGCCACCCAGATCTTTCCCAACGTTGCCACCGGCTTCACGGACACGGTGCCTCTGATCCGAGAACACACCATCAAATCCGTCCTGTTGCTGGTCCCTAAACTAAGCGACAAGATTATCAACTACGAGCTCTTGAAGTACCTGGCCAAGCTGCAGATGGACGACGAGCCCGGGATCCGGACAAACACCACGATCTGCTTAGGAAAGATAGCCCGGCATCTTGAGGAAGGCACGCGCAAGAAAGTGCTTGTGCCAGCATTCACCCGCAGTCTCAGGGACGGATTCCACCACGCACGCATTGCGGCCCTGATGGCTCTGGCGGCCACATCAGAATACTACGATGCTCAAGACTGTTCGACCAGAATCGTGCCTTGTGTCTCGCTTGTCCTGATAGACAAGGAAAAGCCGGTGCGTGTCCAGGCCTTCAAGACCATGACATGCTTTATAAACCGACTGCAGGACTTTGCTGACCATATGCCAGATACTGCCATCGTACCTCAGCAGCAATCTGCTGCTTCTCCTGCTGGCAGTGGTACATCAAACGGATCACAATCACAATCAGCATTATCGCCAAATGGAACACAGCCCGAAAGCTCAATGCAACAAGCAGCATTGGCATTGACCATGTCAGGAGTATTGGGTGGGGCAACCAAAGGTCTGGCAGGCTGGGCTGTGTCTTCGATCGGTGCTCGCTTTGCGTCACCAGTTGGCGATATTACTTCTCCTCCGGCTGTTATCAGCACACCCTCATTCTCTCCAACAACAGTTGAAAATTCGGCAACAAGCAACCAGCTTTTCAAACCACAGCCAGCAGTAAATTATAATAACAATAGTAGCTATGGAGTAGAAGAAGAAGAAGAGAATGGAGGAGGCTGGGGTGATGATGAACCACTGGAAGATTTACAAGACACATGGGAGCCTTTGGAGACTGCAAAGTCAGAACCACTCTATACAATGTCTGTTTCTCCTAAAAAGACAATGGGCTCATTTGGCTCAACGTCCATGGCCCACAAGGCAGGAACTTCGATGCAACTTGGAGGAGCAGGAGCAGGAGTAGGTGGATCAAAGAAGGTTGATTATAGTATAGAGCCAGACACAGATAGTTTCTTCAAGTCAGTAGCAGCAGCAGCAGCAACAACAACAACTACTACTACTACTACAGCAACAACTGTGAGAGACTCGCAGCAGGGATCAAGTGCACAGAGTGTAGCTGACCGAAAAGCGGAAATGGAACGAAGGAGAGATGAGCGCAGATTGAGATTGGCTGAGCTTCGAGACAAGAAAAAGTCTGGCATTGGGGCCAAAAAGATATAAAATCAATAAAACCAATAAAACAATAAAAATACACATTTATATGCAGACCAATCAGCACCAAAACACAAAAATACTGGCTCTTTCTTGGCCTTTATTATTATATTGTTATTAGTTGTTATTGTTGTTGTTGTAGTAGTAGTAGTAGTAATGATTATTATTATACTATGATTTTGATTTTGATTTTGATTTTGATTTTATCTGTACGATCTATAGTAGGTTAATTTGACTATTAACTAAAGAAGATCAATAAGAAAAAGAAAAAAGAAAGTATCTAAAGAAAGTGAAGATGAACAGAACAGAACATTGAAGGATGAGAAGAAGAAAGGAAGAAAGCAGGCGTGGGAAAGGAATAAGAGGACATTTGAAATTTGAGACGTGTAATGGAGGTTTTGGTTCTGATTCTCATGAACGAGAAAAGAATTATGCAAAACAGAAAGAAAGAATGATAAAATAGAAAGAAAATATGGAAAGGATGTTTTGCTCGTTTTGTTATGCGGCAAAGTTACCCAAGAGTTCGGGAACCTTGAGTTCGCCTTTTGCAATCTTATCGACTGTCTCTACCAAATCAAAGGTGATTTCTGGAGAAACAACCGAATCATGTTTGTAGGCCGGGTGGTTCATTACAAACTGTCGCAGGTATGCTGCTCCTGTCATCAGCTCACCACTAGCACGGCGGCTGATGAGTGACAGATAGCTTGAAAGTTTGCAGCGAGTCTGGACATCGATGTTTGTACTCTCGAGGTAATGGTGGATTAAAGGCACAAATCCAGTAAATCCATTTTCCTTGCCGTTGATGATCTCGTTCACAGTCATAAGTTCGTATTCATCGTCATCGTCTTCATTCTGGGTATCTGAATGAGAATTAAAGATGTTCTTTCTAAAGTAGAATTTTTCGTTCAAGACAGCTCCTCGTTTTTGAGCCGTTTGCATATTGATGTCAATCTTAAGCCCACACACACAAAGAGATGCAAAAGAAAATTGAGGTTAAAGATATTAGAACATTAAACATCCGTAAATCACGGTATAGGGTTCTACCTTTGAAATGGGGATATAAAGGTTTAGGCCATAACTGAGGATAACACGAGTCAACAGGACGATAAAGACGGAGAATGCAGCATTTTCAAAGTCTGTAAGCTGAACTTCCATACTTCTAAACTCAACGCGCCATCCGATATCAGAGTTTGGTGGTGGGGGTTTGAAGCGAACGGTCTGCCAGTTGGTTGATTGAAGATTCTGTTTGTGTAAAGCATATAAAGTCACAGATTGATGTATTTAAGCTTTATATTCATATATATATATATGAAGAAGAGGATGATAAACTATAGAGTTCCACTAATAAGGTCACTTTACTTACTTCAAAATGATCAGAAGATTTTGTGTCATCTTGATCCAACAGCTCCTTAAAGATTACCAGAGGATCACGGATAAACAAGTGCGACACATGTTTTGCCAACAGATCATCGACGTCGTTCTTTCGCAGTTTATCGTAAATGTCGTGATCGTACACCAAGTCCAGATCATTGTACTTGGGCTTGTTGATTGGATCTGTGGAGAGATAGGTGTCGATGGAGTCGTAGCGGGACTTGTTTATGACAAATCGGTTGTTTTTCAAGGGCTATAAATAAATCATTAATATTCATATCAGCCTCCTTATTTGAATACACATTTAATCCTGTTATATCACTTCAATACAGACAGCTTACTAACCTCCAATCCTCTTTCTTCGCGTGTGCGATCATCTACTGCGGCAGCAATTACATTCCAACGGCAATCTACATCGGCAAGATAGCCTCTGAAGATGGGTGCAGCAGCAGTCAAGGCCAACTAAGAAATAAATAAATAAATGTACACACAAAATTTTCTTGTATCCAAAACACCAAAACAAATATATATTTTTTTGTTACCATCACGGGAGTCATTGGGGCCAACTGGTCATAAAGACGTCTGGCCTCATCTACATTACAGGCCTGGAAAGTGATCTGGAGACAGCAGCAGCCCATTCCAAAAGCCATGGCATCCATGTAGATATGATCAGGCTTGGCAGCACCTTCCTTTGCTTCCTTGTCGTGCTTAAACAAGGTTCTGTCCCACAGGACGGTAGGATCGATAAAAGGTTTTGGGGTTTTGGTGTCATGGAAGATTGGAACATTGATCTCCACCTTTGCACCACGACGACGGCGAATATTTGCCGTTAATGTTCTGTGAATTTATTTTTTTTAAAAAAAAAGACAAGATGGTATCATTTTAAGCTCTTTGTGCTCTTATATACAAATTCATATACTCCTTTACGATAAGGATATATGTGGTGTAACTTACGGGAATCTTGCATGAGGATTGATGATCTCGTCCGGTACAAACATACTCTGGCATGCTTTACCATTGGGCTCATGAGGAGGTACTAATTCATCGGGGCAACCGAGACGAGGGTAGTTGACAAGAGTCATCGGCTTTTCATTTGGTTTCATGGCAGCCAATGCGAGACGTCTTCTGAGCTTCATGCTGGGTTCGACTGTCAATAGATCTTGGAATGTGGCGCCATAGGGCTCTCCTGGTGTGCCTTCAATCATGAATCTTCCATATTCTGGTCTCCAGAGAGCATCTGGTACTACCCTATAAAAAAAAGAGACAAGATAAAGAAGTACGGATAATATAATTATTGATAAGTTATCTTGTTTTCTTCCAATCATCCATAGTAGTAATCTCTTTTTATCTCTCTATCTGACTTGTTTTTTGTTCTTGTCTTTGTCGTTGACTATAGCTTATATCCATATCCATATCCAGTACTTACTTTGTTTTGCCTTCCAGATACTCTTGTTCTGCAACCTGAAGTTCGGCCAGTACCTCGAATACGCGAAGAGAAAGTCTTGTTCGTTTTGCCTTTTCATCCACATCAACCACAACATACTCAACCTAATACACAAAGACAAATAGATCTTGTGTGTGAGACTTTGCCAATACGCTAGGTACTCTCTCTCTCTCTTTTGTTTTATATGCTGAATTTTACTGTTATTGTTATTACCTCGTCACCCCATAGCAAGCACTGCTTCTTCTGGCCCTTTTGACTATGATAGATATGAAGGAATTGATCGATACCGTGGGAGCGGACGTGATCAGCGTGTGTTTTGGCTTCTTTCCAGTGAAGTGGTGTTCCAAGTGACAAAAGACCCATTTGATAGTTTTATATATAAATTTGTATGTAGATGCTTGTTGTTGTTTTTAATGATTAAAAAAAAAAGAAGAGTGAAGGAGAGAGAGAAAGAGAGAGAGAGAGATGCAAAGACCAGGCTGAAGAAGGAAAAAAAAATATTAAGAAAAGTAGATCTCAATTTAAAGAAGCGCCCTTAATCCACAAACAAACACACAAAAGTAAGAGCCAAAGCACAAAAAAGTCACTTTTACCTCTACAGCCAATAGAAATTTAGCAGATCATGATTTTAGACAGCGAAGTGTGTGTACGTGTATGTGCGTATTATTGCGAGCATTTTCCTGAGTGCTGACAAATACTTGCTTTCCTTTTTTTTTCTTCTTTCTTCTTTCTGCTTTAGATAAATCATCATTTGTATATCTACTTTTTTTTTTATAAAAAAAAAATTGAAAAATTAAAAAATTAAAATTCAATTATTATTCCCCCCTTCTTTTTTTTTTTTTAATTTTTTAATTTTTTTATTTTATTTTTGGTGCTGATGACTCTTTAATAGTGAAGGCTGTCAATCAAAAATATTTTTAAACTCTTACAGTTCAATCACAAGTCAATTATATTTTTGGTGTAAAGAACAAAGGTCTCGAGGATAAATGGGACAGGGGTGGGTTGGTTGGCTGTAGAGTGAGTGAATTAAAAAGAAAATCATATGTCCAAATCAAACCGTGATTCTACATACATAGATACATTTTGATGTGTGTATATAAGATAATGGTGGTTTCCAGGGAAACAGATTAATTTTTTTTTTAAAAAAAAAAGTCAAAAGACCTCTTGTGATTCCAGGTGAGCTCCTTTAACTGAACGAACGGCTTATTACTAAGTGTACCTTTTTAACTTTATTTTGAAACTAATGCAAGCTGGTTTGAAAGATGCATAAGTCGTCACTTATTCTCTCTTTATCTCTATTGTACAAGGTTAAACTACAGTCAGTATTTATATATATACATATGAATATTGTCATTCTTTGTATTTTAGTTTCTGTTTAATGATATAATTGATGGATTATTAATCAAAAGAATTATTAATTGCCATCAAGAAAATATTTCTGTTTCCAATATATAAGAATTATTATTATTCTGTTGCTGTGGTTACATAGGGTGTACTTGAATCTTACCTGTTGCTTGTCTATAGATTAAAAGTATAAATGACATTTTGACATTTAAATATCAAAGATTATATATATATATAAAGCTTTTCTGGTTTAATTTATATAACCTCGGTCATTACCATTACCATTACCATTACCAATATCAATATTTTATTTTATCTTCTCATGTAGTTGATGTAGTTCGAGTATATATATATATGAAAAGAAAAGAAAAAAGATGTAATAAATTCCAAGACTTCTTTGTAAATATATGTGGGTGTCTTTATTAGTAGATTGTTTTATATGGGAGGACTATTCTTCTGTCATGGCTTTTAGTAAGTCTTTGCTTAAATAAATATGGACTTTTTAGTTTTTGTGTCAGGGTATTTTTGTTTTGTTTTTTTTTTTTGACAGGTACAATTTCATTTGTAAGTTACTTGATACTTTGTGTACTTTACGCTCTAATATACTACAGTTCCAGTTCTAGTTAGAATTATAAAAGAAAAGTTGAGCGACACACACACATATATATATATATATACTGTCTGTACCATAGTAGTACCTGTTACTGTTATACACATTTTTGTGTTTTTGGAATACAAAATCACATACAGTGAGGGGCTTCTCAAGCGCCCGACAAGACCCAAAAGTTTGTCCAGGATTTCCTTATACAAATTGGACGGAGTTTCTATAATTAGTAATCATGGACAAAGTTTTGTCCAGGCAAAAAGTGAAATCCAAAGTTTTGTCCAGCGATTACTAATTTTGGAAACTCCGGCCAATCCGTATAAGAAAATCCTGGACAAACTTTTGGGTCTTTGAGACGGTGGGCGTGGTGGTTGGTGGCCGCCACACTGCGGAGAAAGTGAGAAGTGGCGAGAGGAGACTGAAGTGGATGTAGAGTAGGCAGGACGAAGTTGGCAGAGGAGGCCATTATCAGAGGAAGTTTAGTGAAGAATAATAAAGTAACCTTTTTACCTCGTTAAAAACGCTTTCCCATTTTTATTTCATTTTGACAACTGATTCCATCCCCATACGCCTAGTCATAAGTATTATTTGACGCCCCTAATTAAATACTGAGTGCAGTTCTATTGTCTTGAGAACGTTTCCTCTTAACAGTAGTTTATTGACCCTCGTTACCACGCATCCAATTGGGAATACAACCCTTGCTAGCTAGTAGCCCGGTCATAAACGCTATTCAACTAGAGCGTCCTTCCTCATAGTAGACTTGTAATTAGTTACACCTGCTCCCTCAAGTACCCTACGTGTCATCTTGTCGGGCGCTTGAGAAGCCCCTGAGAACAATAAATTTTGTCACTTTGAGAAAATTGAATGTAACTTTCCAAAAAATGAATGGCATTAAGCCAAAAATGATTGTCCCTTTATGTCAAGAAGTTTTGTCTCTTTGAAGTAAGAGAAATGTCACAATAAGTTAAATCAAATTGACCTAAAAATGATATTTATTTTTTGACCTCAAAACAATTAGAATGGAGTTTTATTATAACATTGAATGATTTGTCGTTTAGAACGACTGGCAAATATGTATAGAATTTCAGCAGGTACGCCGTTACATGCCTCAGCAATTCTATCAGACATTTTTTTCTTCAGTCAATAGTTTGTGGCGTTTCAATTTTTCTTTTAAGATTGCCCAAAACTGTTCAATTGGGTTTAATTCAAGTAACTTTCATCCATCTTTCATCCATCTTCCATCCATCTTTCCCACATCATAATTCTGGCCTAGGCCAAAAAACCGACTTTCACTTGATATAAAAGCACCAGCAAAAGAAAAAAAACCATTTACCTAGTCATGGAAATCTCAAGGAATTTAGCAATATGCATGTTTTTTTATGTGGACTATACTGATGAAAACATTAAAAAATACATCAATTGACTTAAAGATTTTGGTGACGTTGAAATTTGCTACAACACGGAACCAAATCAACCCATCTTGGTCTCAATGAAGCGAATCCATAATGATCCTGAAAGCTATCATTTATATTCTGATGTTACGCCTGGGATCTCCCAGTAGCTCTTGGTGTCTCTTTTGTTCTCCTCCCTTTCTTTTGTCTGTTCTTCCCTTTTTGTCTCTCTCTGTTGTTCTCTTTCTGGCCTCTGAGCACTCTAACTCACACCCCATTATTTCTACATTCGTCATCTTGTCTGATACATTTTATATTAATTATTGGAAAATAATCCCTTGGATAGCATAATATTCATTGTGATTTGATTTGATCTTTATATTTATTATATTTTCTCATTCTAAGTTCGCAACTTATAGCGTGGTGCTCACAAAACTCGATCATAACTGATCTCCTTTTACTTTATTTTATATCTTTTTTTTTATAACAAACCCTTTCTTGTAACGCTGACAATTGCTAATTTATTTTGATCTTTGAATACAATAATTTCTATTCTCAAATTTTTGTAATAGGCCATTATCTTTAACTAATCTCTCGGTGTCAAAAATAAACACCTCATTGCATTGGGCAAAGGTTTCAACTGCAATCCTTTTTAAAGAGGGATTTGCCTCAACCAAGTTAACAATATCTTCACTTCTTGTTGTTATACCAGCAAAGTCAATGGTAACCAAGCAAACATCATGATGAACAGACTTAAGGTAGACAAGCAAGTCTTGCGTGTTACCATCAACACTTAACTCGTTCATAATAACTCGTGAATTGCCTTGTAAATCACGCGATACAAGTGGCGGAGAGGCCCAACTACAAGGTGAAACGAATATTTTGGTTGCAAAAGATCGTTCTTTCAAATTTGATACCATGGATTTCAAAAGTCTTGCTCTAGAAGTAACGTCTTCACTTGGTGATTTTCGAGCATAACCTATAATTTCATATCCATTTTTCTTGAGGTTTTTTAATGATTCTTGGTACTTCGGTAAGTAAGTGCGCATGGAATTGATAAGGTTGTCTATAATTAAATACATTAGCGACCATTTTAATTCCGTCGTATCTTGGTTTACCATAATAAATGTATTCCAAAATATATAACTCTCTGGTGATACTTCGGGATTTTTTTCTTTTGCAAGTAAAAAATTCAACTTTTGATTACGACACCAGGCTGCAAATGACTGAGCTGTTTTTTCACGAAAAACAGTGGTAAAAGTCTTGACTAATTCATAAATCTCCTTGGTAGAAATAATTCCCTTGACATAGATTACATCGTTTTCTGGCTGAGACGGACAATAGACTTCGTTGATAAATTGCTTGACTTGTGCCTCAGTAACTAATTCAACTCTTTCTCTCTTATTGACTTTTTCTTCAGGAGTTTCATCAAGATATTTTTTATAAGTCAATGGATCGCCTCTTATTCTTTGTTTCAAAACCAAAATGGGATCTTGCTCTCTAATATTCCAACATATTTCAGAATCTTCAAATTCTTTGATTTTCTTTCTATAAGTATTGACGCTTTCCTCAGTAAAATCGACATAGAAAAACGCACAAATGGCTTGGTTTTTTGTCAGAATTTTTGTAAGGGAAAAGATGGATGAAAGATGGATGAAAGTTACTTGAATTAAACCCAATTGAACAGTTTTGGGCAATCTTAAAAGAAAAATTGAAACGCCACAAACTATTGACTGAAGAAAAAAATGTCTGATAGAATTGCTGAGGCATGTAACGGCGTACCTGCTGAAATTCTATACATATTTGCCAGTCGTTCTAAACGACAAATCATTCAATGTTATAATAAAACTCCATTCTAATTGTTTTGAGGTCAAAAAATAAATATCATTTTTAGGTCAATTTGATTTAACTTATTGTGACATTTCTCTTACTTCAAAGAGACAAAACTTCTTGACATAAAGGGACAATCATTTTTGGCTTAATGCCATTCATTTTTTGGAAAGTGATATTTATTTTTTTGGAAAGTTACATTCAATTTTCTCAAAGTGACAAAAATTTCCGTTCTCACTGTATCATTACCATCATCATCAGCATCATAATTTATCACAATTCATCACAATTTATCATCATATCTACAATTATTTATCTCTACAAATATCATTAAATTTCCATATATATATATATATCAAATATCAAATACCAAATAGTCTATACTATATAAAGAAATGACAAATGTACAAAGAAAAACCTTGTTTAAGAAAAATTGATAACAGCGAAGAACAAAGAAGAAGAAGGGAAAAGAATGATACTATTAACATTAAGGTTAACATTAATAATATGTGAGAAAGATATTCTGTGAATGATACTTACTCTTACTTTCTTTTGTGTATCAATGTGGTTAAAAATAAGGATCATTTAATTATCCGTTCGGTTCTGTTCCCTTGACATAAACCTCTATTTATTTTCTTTTGATTTTCATTCATTTCCAGAAAAGTTATAAAATACATTAAAAATAAGGAGAAATGTCTTGGTTTGGTTTGGTTTGGTTTGGTTTGAATTGGCTTTTGTGGTTTATATTACAAGAAGTATGTGCAGTATGTAGTATGTGTATTAGATGCTTGTCTGTGAGTTACTCCGGGAAAAATTCTTTTTAATTCGGGAAAGGAAAATCTCATGCCACGGTCTTTATTCGGAAGACAAAAAGAATTAAAGTGTAGGAAGAACAAAGGAAACAAGAATATTAAAGATACATACAATGATTATAAAGGTATTGGCTCTAAATTACTTGGTATATTTAATACTAGATATATTTTTGAGTAGGTAGTATTCTTGTTGAATACTTTAATCCTCTTCTTTATTCTGCAAATTAAAATATATAAATTAATTGATTAGATATGGTGCAGTGAAAGTTGCGATGTCGGAAATAAAAGCGGGATATATTTGTAATCTCAATAGTGATCAAAATTAAAACCAAGTAGCGCTAGTATAGATCATTAATCATAAATAATTCCAAATATTTTATCAATAAAACGAAGTATCATTATCAATATTGCTACCTTTTATGCAAGTTAACCATATGCACATATATTATTTTATGTTGATATTTTTAAGTCTAATAAGTCATTTAATAAATGAATCAATAATACTTTTTATGAAGTGCTGTAAAAGCTATTTTCTATTGCTCTTGTAATTATAACAATGCCTTTCTTTTTTCAAGGGTTATGCTTTCTGAAAAAATGAAGCTTACAACCAGTAAAGCAAGGTTCTTCTACAATTAAATAATCAAGCTGTGAATTCTGGACTTAAGTAATGTAAGCTTTCTATTTTTTTCTTACTTACTCCTTGATACTATATTAAATGACTTGCTAACTCGATTTTCTCCCTGTCTAAAAAAGGTCACATTTCACTTGTGCTTAAAATGGTTCATTAATACGTATGCAAGAGGTTGTTGCTTAAGTTCCTGATCCTAAGCTGAATTAAATGATATTTGAATTTATTTGTTTGTTCATGGTTTCCCTCATTTGCTTTTATTAAAAACAAATAATACTACCACCTCTGCCAATTATTCAAAGCTTACAACATAACACCCAACAGAACCAATAAAGTAGTAACACAATATCTAGCACACAAAGAAGATATTCCGGAACTGTGTACAACAGAACATATTGATTTTGGAGTTGCTAAGTAAAGAACCTTGGTTTTGTAGTTCTGATGGACAGATATATATTTCTCGGGCGTCTATAGGTATATATAAAAGATATTTGGAATGTTATATTGCCTGTTGATATATTATCTAATATGAAAATTTCTTTTAGCAGAATTAATTAATATTTCAAGCAGATATTTTAATATATGTTTGGCGATTACATGGCTAGACCAAGTACACAGAACAAAAAGGATAGAGTAACAGCAAAAGGGTATTGAACTTAGTTTGAACGAATTCAAGGTACCTCGTCCCACACCATTAGTTTAATTACGACAGTAATGCAGCAATGTTAATCAACATACGCTCTTTGGACCCACGGAAAGCATTCACACATGTCATAGTTATGGGTTTGCTTGGTCCGGTTTTATACTTATATATTATGACAGACATCGATGGGTTGTATTGCGCGCATAAAATTGGTATACTCTATTTGCCCAGGTCGCTGCATGCCTTACAAAATTTCCAGTTTACTTTGGACCTTTTATTTCGCTATCGATATGAAATACTGAATCGTGGGTCTAAAGCTGCTGCTGCTGCCTTGGCTAAGACGACACATAGTGTGTTGGCTATTTAATGTAGGTGTCTAACTCAGTGACAAGAAAATGAATATGGGTAAAAAGAAAGTTTTATTAAAGAACAAATAAAAAAAAGAGCTATCGAACTACTGTTGGCCATTTATACAGCTAAATCACTACTTTAAAGTTTACTGCGATAAGAGATACAAGAGTCACTGGTGGATATAGTTCACCGTATCAAAACGACAAGGTTTTCGTCAGCTTTTTGAACTTGTTGGCATAAATAAAGATTTTTTCACAACGCCTCATCATAACATATATCTCACACCAGCCCAAAATCAAACAAAAAACCACACAATATAATCCGTTAAATTAAACTTCTTTATCTTATATCATTAAAGGAAAAAAATATCAGTGATGGTTTTTTTTTTAAAAAAAAGTACTGTTTACCTTTTTATAATATCTCCTTGTTACGAAAATTGCTAAAGAATCTGGCAGAATGAAAAACAAAAGCCTTGAAATCACTTGAATATAAGCCATTACATGCCTCACTAATACTTACCATTAGCGCATCTTTTTCTCAAGACGTTTTTTTTTCAAAGTCTTTATAATGGCGTTTGACACATCTCTGCACCGCACGAACATGAATACCTAATTGTTTAATTGTGGGCAAAGTACTACAGCCTTTATTCAAAGAAGAAGACAAATAAAAGACAAATGAGAAAATCTGGTTTCCTTGTTACCAGAATAAAACGTATAACGACGTTTATTTTGTAGCTCCATATAAATATCTACATCGTTCTGCTCACCTCCAGTTGGATGCACCGTAAAATTTAAAAGGTCTATCTGGAGACTTATTATTTCGATAAAAAAAAGAAAAGCTTCTCATTGGCAGAAATATCTTTGTCTATATTTTTTAAAAGAAAATGCATATTCATTTTTGGTTCGGACTGACTGAAAAGTTCAACAAAAAAAGTACAGGCTATTGACTGGTTAATATTCTTCCATTGCCAATTGGATTGGGAAAAAACTCATAGTTTGGATGGAGGAGATGCACCACAGGGTGCAAAGTTATAGAAAAAAAAAGCTTTACAATAAAATATTTTCACCTGGCTTAAAGAAATAATATTATTTTCCTTTGATTTTTATCTAATATGGATTTGAACTAATTTTGAACATTTTTTTTTTTGACCTTTTCAATCTGTCCACACCAACTGTATGCAGATATAATTTTAAGTAATTTTTCTTTTGTAATATTTTTGAAAGTCACATAATTAACCATTTTGGGAACGATTTATAACTCAGCGGGATCGAAAGAAAAGAAAAAGAAGATTAAAATAGGGAGGATTGGTTTGGTTTGGTTTGGTTTGGTTTGTATTGGATTGGGTTGGATTGTCATATATATACATGCGTGTGTGTAGTTAGTAATGAATGTCAAGGGAGCTAGGTTAATAAGAATTCCGGTTGAGAATGAGGTTAAACGAGAAGCTGTGGAAGGTAAATGACTTGAATTTAACCAGTCAAATATATACACATACATAAATACATATATAGTGTAAACTTTGTAACCGAGGAGGATTTTTCTATTGCTATTATTCTTAATGATTATTCTTTTAAGAAAGTACCCAAGTATCTGGTTTTCGTATATATGCATGTGTGTAGGCGCTGTATGGTAGTAAGTTACTAGACAGAAAATTTTAGCTTGAATTGGCTTTTGTAGCTTATATTACAAGAAGTATGTATAGTATGTAATATGTTGTGTTTGCAATATGTGCAGTGTATGTATTAGATGCTTGTCTGTGAGTTACTCCGGGGAAAAATTCTTTTTAATTCGGGAAAGGAAAATCTCATGCCATGGTCTTTATTTGGAAGACAAAAAGAATTAAAGTGTAGGAAGAACAAAGGAAACAAGAATATTAAAGATACATACAATGATTATAAAGGTATTGGCTCTAAATTACTTGGTATATTTAATACTAGATATATTTTTGAGTAGGTAGTATTCTTGTTGAATACTTTAATCCTCTTCTTTATTCTGCAAATTAAAATATATAAATTAATTGATTAGATATGGTGCAGTGAAAGTTGCGATGTCGGAAATAAAAGCGGGATATATTTGTAATCTCAATAGTGATCAAAATTAAAACCAAGTAGCGCGAATATAAATCATTAATCATAAATACCTTACCACGAAAATGAAATATTAATATTAATATTAGTATTAATATTAATATTGTTCTCTTTTGCAAGCCAACCGTACAAATATAAATGTATGACTTTATATTGATGTTTTTAAATCAAGTCATGTCATTTAATGAATGGATACTTATTTTTTTTTATAAAATGTTGTAGAATTTTGTTTATTGTTCTTGTAATTATGACAATGCCTTTTGTTTTGTTTTTCAAGGGTTATACTTTCTAAAAAGGAAGTTTACAACCAGTAAAACAAGGTTCTTCTACAATCATATAAGCAAACTGTAAATTCTGGACTTAAGCAATGCAAGGTTTCTATTTTATGTTTTTTTTTACTCACTCCTTGCTGCTGTATTAAAGCATTGTCTTTTTTGTTTTTAATTAAAAAAAAAACATAAATAAGGATTTTGGATCCCCATGTTTTCATTGGAAGGGGAACCTTTCTTCTTTTTAACCCGTTTATTAACTGACACAAATGCCGCAATTGCATATACAACAGATCGGATCCAAATATATATATATATATATAGTTAAATAAAAAATATTTTGGTATCAAGTATAATGTTCATGAAAATACATCCTTGCATTCTTACATATATATGTATATGTATATTTATCCATAAGACAAAGACAAAGACTAAACGAAAACAATATAAAATTTAATTCGGATTTTTGATCTCAATAAATTTAAGATTCCTTTTTAAATATTTTCAGCTCATGTCGCAAAAAAACTAAAAATTAAAAATAAAAATAAGAAAATAGCCGTGTATTCTTGTGTAACTTTAAACAATTTCTCTATATTTTTTTTATATACGTATATATTTGAAAAGGTCACAGAATTGACCATTTTTGGAATGTTTTTGAACCCAGCGGGATCGAAAAATAAAATAAAATAAAATATATATATATTTGTTTCTATGTATGTATCTTCTGATTATTTGCTCGATTAACTGTTTTTGACAGCAACCATTCGAAAAGAAACTTTCTTTCTATCTACTTCTATCTACTTCTCTCTATTCCTGTATATATATATATATTATATAAATTCAAACTTTTAGAGTTTTGCATGGTAAAATAAATTTTGTTACCTTTTTGCTACAAAAAAAAAAAAAAAAAGAAAAGAAAGGGGGTGGATATTTTTTGTTGTTGCTACTAAATTCTCAAGAGATTCTTTATCTTGCATTTGTCTATAAATAGTTGTATTACAAGAAAGACATCAATTTACATCATATCTATATTATTGTTCTCTTTTTTTCTTTTTCTTTGGGGTGGAAGCTTGAGGAGCTTGTCTATTTGGTTACATATCGAATTGAATTGACTTTATTTGAGACAAGGAGGAGAATAGGAGAAAAGAAGATGAGGATGAAAAGGGGAAGGGGACTCATCTTTCAATTGACATTTTGTTTCTAGGAACAATAATGGTACTAGTAGCAATGCCACACTTATTGGTTGTTATTATTTTAAAACAAGAAAAAACCTGTATCTAAATTGATCAGAATTTCAAATATATAAAATATATACAGCATGTCTTATATTATAATATTAAGTAATGTAAAATGTTGAAAGACATGCTCGAGACTTTGAAATATTTTTATTTTATTTTATTTATATATATTTTTGATCAAAAAAAAAATGCTATAAAATATATTCAAAAGGGTTTTTATAAGCCAGGTGGAATATCATATAGCCTATACAGAATAAAGCCAAAAAATAAATAAATAAATAAAACAAACCCTAAGCCTAAAAGGCCAGTATATAATATAGTATATGTCTTTAGTTTTTATAATACTAATATACAGTAAAGATTATTTAAGTTTATATATATATATATATATATATATATTCTCTTTTAAGCATGGTAAACACTCCGGTTTATCCATGACGGACATTGAATTAGAATCCATATTAAATTTAGACTCTGCCTGCCTGCCTGCCTGCCTGCCTGTCTGTCTGTTTGTCTACCTGTCGGCTTGCTTGTTTGCCTGTCTGTCTTACTATCTCTGTATAATCTGTATAATCTGTCTTTAATATCTATAGTGTGTGTTTCTTAATTTTATTTTTATTTTTATTTTTTTATTTTTATTTTTATTTTTTTATTTTCTTTTATTTTATTCTTATTTATTTATTTTTCTATTCCTTCTTCTTGCTTCTTGCTTCTTGCTTCTTTAAACTATTACTTTATTTTATTATTTACATGACAGTAAATATTCAACAACGCTTAGGAACAGACGGGAAAATGAAGAAGAGGATGCCTTTAAAGAAGCCCAGTCCAAAAAAGACTTTCCCGACATTCAAGGAAATGGGCAAACATCTTGCAAAGAACCAAATCGGTAATTGCAAACCCTCCCCTCCCCTCCCATGCATACACTCTTTCTATTTCTACTACTATTATTATCAGTCATTATCATCGTAATCGTACTCGTAATCGTCATCATAAATTTCATCCTTAATGTCATTATCAACTTACTTATATTATCATATTTAGAAATACCGGCTCAGTTTATGGCTGTAATTCTGGCTGGATACTTTCTTGGTATTCCTTTGTTTGAAAAGTTTCTGTTTGTCTCAAACCAGAGACCGAGCGGGTTATTCGAAAAGTCAGGGTGGGACCTTACATTCTTGCTGTTCTATGTCGCTTTCTTCACTGCTGCCCGTGCAATTGCGATCAACCACATCCTCATCCCATATGCAATCCGTAAGAATGTACCTCGAAACAAGCATGAACGGTTTGCAGAACAAATCTGGTCTTTTGTGTATTATAGTATAAGCTTTACTTTTGGAATGGTAAGCGTTGTATACATTATTATCATTTTCGATTCAGAGGCTTTTTTTTTTCTTTTCTTTCTTTCTTATTTGGCTAGGAAAAGGGGATTTTTTTGGGGGGTGGAGGGGAGGAAATACCTTATTATGTCTGATCCACACATTTTGTGGTCTGTGTCTCTTGTGTCTCTTGTGTCTGTCTGTGTGTCCGTGTGTGTGTGTGTGTGTGTGTGTGTTTTGTTATACCTTTTATACTTAATATTCTTATGTATATATTTATTTTATATTGTAGTGTGTTATGTATGGATCTCCTTGGTGGTTTGATTCGTCCTACTTCTGGCGCTTCTACCCTGTTACAGAATCATCGATGGCTCTCAAATACTATTATCTATTGCAATTTGCATTTTGGGTTCAGCAGATCTTTGTCCTTCAAATCGAGGCGCCGCGTAAAGACTATCGAGAGTTGGTCGCTCACCACATTGCGACCATTATTTTGATTGGGTTCAGTTACCTTTTTAACTTTTTACGCATTGGAAACGCTGTATTTGTGTGTATGGATCTTCCGGATGCTCTACTTGCAGTAAGTCATACAGAAAAGAAAAGAATAAGCCAAGCTACTATCAGTACATGTGTTTTTAAATTTTTAAATTTTTAATTTTTTAATTAATTGATTGATTGATTGATTGATTAATTATAATGATTCTCTTCTTCTTCTTCTTTACTAGTTGGCAAAGGCATTGAACTATGTTTCTCCCGGCCCATTGTGCAATGGAACATTTGTATTGATGTTGATCTCTTGGATGTACACTCGTGTCTATGTCTACGGATACATCGTTCTCTCGACCCTCATCGAACCAGATCTGTATGTCGCAGAATTCAAACTTGATCCACTCCAGGGCCACTTTTATCCCTACATCCTCAAGTACCTCATGTTCCTCACCATGGCCTTTCTGTACGCTCTCATTCTGTTCTGGACTGCCATGATCTTCAAGGTTCTCTACAAGATGGCATTCTCAACCGAAGTTCGAGATGTTCGCTCGGATGATGAAGGTGAAGGTGAAGATGAAGATGAAGAAGTGGAAGGAAAAACTACTGGAAGGTAAGGCAGAGTAGAGAGAGAGTGTGTGTGTTTTTGGGTGTCGAATGAAAAAGTGAGAGAGTCTTTGAGAAAAAATGGATTTGGAGGTGGTTTTTGGAATATTTTTAAGTAAATGTTCTAATACAAAATCCCCCAAAAAAATGTCTATTTTGTATGTATAGAATTGTTGGTTCTAAAAAACAGTCCATAACAACAACCCGCCGTACCATCAGAGCCACAAAGACATCAAAGTAGAAGGATTTATTTGGATTTTAGAGGAATCCCAAAAAAAAAGAGAGAAAGGGAAAGTTGATTAGAAAATTGCGTTTTTTTTTTACTTATAATAATAATAATAATATACTACTACTAATAACAATAACAATAATCATATTCATCATCATCATAATAAATAATACATACACCATTATATATATGAACATTAAAATGAATGTGTTTATGCATATTTTATATACATACATTACTTAATAAGGCTGACTGATTGATTGGCTGATTGAATATATTGGTTGCATTGTGGATAAGATCAATTAATGGCTACCAAGTGTATAGCCAGGTATATAGTATCAAATAATACAATCCCCTCTTGATCAGGTTTGTCTTTATAAACATTATAATTTTTTTTTAAAAAAAAAGCAAAAGGAACTTTATAGTCAACTGTCTATGTATCTATAGATACAAAGTTATCAGTTTATTAATCGATTGATAGTGCTATTATACTTCTTTTAATTGATCAAGTTTAAAGAATAAAAACATAACAAGAAAGTCATGTATATATATATATATATATTGGTGTATTTGTACCGAAACTGAATGCCTGTACGTATGTATGAGTGAGTGTGATAATAATGAACTAACTACTAATTATGATGTGTCGAGTGAAGAGTATGCCCGACCCGGAATAGTCCGAGGTAAATTATATCACTATTTCCTCTTAACATTTGGATTTTTTGAAGCTTATTTAGTATAGGCAAGGCAATATATTAAAGAATAAAAAAAAGAGGTCAAATCATTGTTCTGATGAGAAGGTTAAATTTACGGTGTATAGATTGAGTAGAGTAGGGTCTACCTGAATAAAGAACAAAAAAATTTACTTGTCGTCTCCAACAGCAGTGAAGGATACTAAAGTCTGACATCTCAGTTGAGGAGTTCGATTGATTTTACTGTTACAGAAAATGTTGAGCCCATTATTTTACCTGAATATGCACCCTATCCAAGCTAGCAAACAAGTTATTCATTCATTCACTCATATTTTAATTTCCATAATTAGGTTTGTACACAAATCGTACGTTTTTTTTTTTTTAAAAAAAAAACACACACACACACACATTTCCTTTATTTAGCTATTTTATATTATTAAATATAGGCTTCTTTAACAATAAGAAATATATATATATATATATATATGTAAAGTATGAATATAATTGAAGAATTTAAAGACTCAATGATAGCGTGTATAATATAGTATAGTATAGTATAGTATAGTATAGTATAGTATAGTATAGTATAGTATGGTAAATACAATATGGTGTTTGGGTGATTTGGTAATTAAGTCGGATACAAGTACTACTCTAAAACCGTTGTCCAGTGACAAGATAAGTAATTAATAAAATAAAGATAAAAAAAACGAGAAAGTAAATATAGTTTTTTTTTGTTCTCGAGTAAAGACAGAGAGGAAAGGCTTGAAGATGATTGGTGTAATGCACTAACATCAATTGAAACAACTCCAAAATCACCAAAAGCAAACCACAGCCCGAACTACACTGCTTTTTGACCTTTCTCTCTCTCTCTCTACATATCTTTATTAGTGTGTGAGTGTGTGTGTGTGTGTGTGTGTGTGTGTGTGTGTGAGAACGTAGATCAATAGATCAATAGATCAATAGATCAATAGACCTATCAATGAATCTAACATTCTTTTTATTTTATTTTACTCCCTATTGTTATTATCATCGTGTGTGTGTATGTGTGGCTCTGTAGTGAAGAATAGCTTATAAACGTATGTATGTTTAAATATGTATATATCTTAAAAATAATTAATATATACTGGGTCTCCTTTATTAATCATAAAGGCACCAAACGATTCAAGGCAATTCATGTCTATCTTCCCTTAATTAAAGAAAGTAATAAAATATATCGACTTTCTCTTTTATTTTTTTGTACGAGTGTCTTAAGATCGCCAATCCCAGATCAATTGCTTCAAATTGTGTGACAAAAGATCATTTCCTCATATTCTTTTGGGAGGAATCGGAAGCAGATAATGCATTTGTCCTACAGTCAGGGCACACCTTTTTTTTATATATTTGTGTATTTGTGTATTTGTGTGTATTTCTTGGCTGCCCAATTGACTGCCCAATTGACTGACCATTATACAGCAGAATGATTCCAAAAACTTTTATGAATACTACCAACGCACACAGTATGTGACCTTTAGAATTGAAATTTGAGAAAAAATAAAGTTAGGAGAACATTACGGACAGCCTGGCAGGACAGCCTGAAAGTATGCAACGTCACTCATAATTAGTATTTTTTTGGCTGAGGGTCAAACTTTGCAGTAATCTTATGGGAACAACTTTTCCTGGTGGGGCACAACGTTTCTATCTAACCGGACTAATTAATTCTGACCACCTCTCTTTGGCCCAATGTCCTTTTCTAATCCTTCAGGGCAAAATCAGATGTCTTGAAATTAATACAATATATTCAATTAGTAACCCTATATTTAGACTTGACAATAAAGAAATAATAATTAATAGCAAATACACTATATCAATAGCCAGTTATGTAGAGGATCATAAGAGGTTGTTGTCATTAAAGTGTAGTGCAATCTCGCTAGATATCTTACTATCTATTGGCCTTTTTATGCGTACAATGTCTCTCTCTTTCTTTCACCTAAATATTCCCAGAGTTCAGCAGCACCGGCTGGTATTAATTATCGTAGTAATATTGAAACCTTGGGTAGGAAGGGGGAGCTGTCAAAGATAAATTCCCAGTGCGTACGCAAAATGGTATGAGCCGTGATGGACGCAATCGCAATCTGAAGAGAAGAGTAAACGGAAGGAAAAGGCCGAGTAATAGTGAGAAACTAGATAACATCAGAAATAGACCAATACAGACACAGTTACTGCAATACCAACGTCCATACAGGAAAATTGCGAGGGCAGGAAAAGACGAAATGTCGGAGAGAGTCTACCATAGAGAGAACCTACAAGAGGTATCTTCAAGCGACTCCCAAGGTAAGTGAAGTCGACAATATCCTCCAACTTTGTAAGTAATTTAGAGACTTGCAAATTGTACAATTTGTGAATGCAATATTTGGAGTAGATATGCAAACATACACAGATTATGAAAATCAATGTGTATTTGTGCAAAGGATATCTTTGGAATTGTAAAATTGTAACATTGTATACAGACAAGCTCAAATTGGAATCTGATTTTATCACTTCTAAACAAAAGGCGTGCATAGTCATCATAGACTATGCTGGTCTCTCCACTGACCCAGTAAACAAACATTCAACAAATTAATAATTTTTTTGTCTTTTGTCTGCAGAAGGAGACTGTGTAATCAAATAAATAAATAAATAAATAAAAGAGGGTCTGTACTGATTAAAATAATAGCAGTAGTAATTATGATAACCTTGTTTGTTTTTAATGTGTATTTAATTCGTTCATTCTTTTCATTAATATTAATATTTTCTTGAAAAATTAAAATAAAAAAAAAGGGAGGGGGGATTCAATCACTTTGATTCTTGTAAAAAATAATAATAATAACAATATAGAAATACATGAAAAGAAAGTTTGACATGAAGAAAATAAAAAATCAAAAAAATAAAAAAAAAAAAAAGTATAAAAGTAAATAAGTAAATAAATAGATTAAAAAGGTTGTGGGCATTAAAAATCAACCAGACTCAATTATTGGAAGAAAAGAAGAAGGGGAAGCGAAGGAAGGAAAGAAGAAAAGCGGACAGAGAACAAGGGACAAAAAAAAAGGGGGGAGCGAACGAGGGGTAAAACAGGGTGCGCGGACCAAAAATAATAACTAAATTTTTCAAAGTTTGAAAGCGAGATAGAGAAAGCGCACACGCGTGTGTGTTGTTGTGTGTGTGAATTTGGGAGGTGATATATATATGTATGTATGTATGTATGTATGTTTGTGTGGAGGGGAGGGAATTAAATTAAAGAGACAACAGGGCAGCAGAGATCAGCATGCCTGCAGCAGTGTAAAAAGCGGGACGAATGGCTCCAGCACCAGACTCGGGAATTGACTGAGCAGTAACAGACTTGTCAGCAAGGTTTTCAGAGACAGATGAGGATCCCTTTGATACAGAGGAAGATACAGCGTGAGAAGAGGCAGCGACAGGAGCACTAGAAGAGATGGCGACAGGAGCGCTAGAAGAGGCAGCAACGCTTGAAGGTGCCTCAGCAAGAGTGGTGGTGGTGACGGCAGGAGCGACAGGTGTGGTAGTGACGACGGGAGCAGAAGTTGTGGCGGCTTCGGGAACAGTAGTGGTGGTTTCAGCAGGTGTTTCCGAACCGGCAGGGATACCAGGACCACTGTAGTCACCGGGAATGATATGAGCGCAACCCTTCTCGGAAATGCCACGGTTACAAGTCTTGGAATCGTTCTAAAGAAAAGAAAAATAAAAAGAAGATTAATAACAATAACAATGATAGTGATATGATTTAGGTAATGACTCAATATAGTTTATACTTACACAGCATCTCATGCAGTAGGTTCCAATGGTAGGCTCTACAAGGTTGACATAGAACAGCCACCCGGCACACGATGAACCATCGGGAGCCTTGATATCGTACTGTCCACCGTCGTCTGTGACGTTGAGATTACCCTTAATAGGATCGATCTGACCGGTGACCTGAACGTATTCATCGGTGGCAAGGTAGTGGGCGGACAGGATAAAGTTGTCGTTGAGCTTACCGGCATTGGTAGCCTTTGGTGCTTTTCCGATACAGAATGCCTCTGCGTTCCACTCAGTGTCAGCGATGTTGCGGTTGACCGAATCAGCGGGGGGCATGAACAAGCAAAAGTTGCTGGCATCAACGACCTGGGCAATCTGACCAAAGGCGTGGACAGAGGGTGCAATTAAAGACAATGAAGCTACGATGGCGCAAAGACGGATAGAAAGCATTTTTCTTTTTTTGGTGTTGTTGAGTGTGTTGTTGAGTCTAGGTGGTTTGACTTTCTTAAAAGAGATTGGTAAATAGGTTGGGTAGACCTTTTTTTTTCTTTTTCTTTCTTGATTATTATTGGCTGTATTAGGTTTTTCTTATTACAGTTAAGTAAGCAGATAAAGTTGACAGTGGCTGTAGAAGAAGGAGTTGTAAAAATAATAGTAATGACTCTTCAGAAAACCAATGCAATTAAGAATTTTATATATATAAAGATATTTAAAGAAGAAGAACCAAAAGAAAAATGAGGAGGTAAATAGTTAAAGAGATGCAAAAAAGTACGAGGTTTATATAGCCAAATAAAATAATAAAAAATGGCTGTTTATTTTTATTTTTTGTATGTGGGACGGACTAATGTTACACACCAGTGGACTTGGGTGGCTCGAGTTGGGCACAGACAGCGCTTAATACCCTATAATAACACTACTACTATTGTATATGTATAAAATACAAATTCCTCCCTTTCTTGAACTTCTTTTTCATCTCCTTTTCCTTTACCTTTTTCTGTCATTTTTGTACTAAAATAATAATAATTCTACTTCCCTTGGGATTTAACGACCAAAAATATCTCGCGATTCCTGTACGCTTTTATCTCTCTCTCTCTTTATTTATTTATTTATTTATAGAATTCACTCTCATAATTGCCTTTTTCTTCTTCTTCTTTATTTTTCTTTGGTCTCTCGTTCTTTGTCACCGATATAGTTCTTTAAAAAAATAATAATCCTTATTTATCACTTTCTCCTTCCCCTTTTCCTTTGTCTCCTCTTTTCCCTCACCCCTCTATATATAATAATAAAAGCTTTATCATTGGCAGCTAATACATATATATATATGTATTTATGTACGTAGATTTATTAATAAATATTTTACTATATTCTACTATAGTATATTATATGTATATTTATGAATGTATGTATCTATGCATATGAATTATTTCCGGGTAACCATACAGTACATACTACAAAACAACAATAACAACAGCAGCAAGTAGTTGATAGATAGCCAGACTGAAATATGTCTAGTCAATCTAGTTTTTCTCTTTTATTCTATTCAATTGTATATATAAAGAAGTCTTTCTTGAATTATACATATTTCACCTTTTGGTACCAAAATATAAAAATAAATAAAAAGATGAGGCACTTTTTTTTTTGCTTTTTTTTAATATTCTCCTCCTTCCATTTTTTAATATGTATATTCTATTTTTGTCATAAAAATATATATAATATTCATACATTTACAAGTAAAGCACCGTATAAAGAATTGTAAAGAAGTGTCTAATGTTTTAGGGATCAAATGAATAACATAATACACAAAGATCATAATAAAAAAAAATCTTTATATTTGTGCCTTGAATACAGCTCATTTGTTTGTGTGGGTAAAATAATAATAATCTTTTTTTTATTTATTACCTTTTGGTATCTGAATTCCTGGACCAAAGTTGGACAGGACACCAAAAGAAAAAAGAGTATGTAGTATATATAATTATCATTATCATTATCTTACTTTTTTTTTAAAGGTCAGATATTGCATGAGCAATTCTTTCCTTCTTTTTATACATTTCTCGGCTAACACCTAAACAGACATACAATGACTCGCTTGTGAGTGATTTATTAGGTATCTTGTATGTTCCTTATGTACTCAGGATGCATAAATAGAATCACTTTTTTTGGGCTGTCGAAACATGTAGATTATGTATAGAGCAAACCAGGTCTAAAGGAAGAAATCGATAAAACAAGAGATAGACTATCAGCTAGAAAGAAGCAATGAACAGGGTATTCAATTAGATAATCTAATAGCTGTTGTGCAATTAGACAGGTACCACAATCATCCTATTGCTCAAAACAACTCCTCCAGCGATACTCTACTTTCAATATTAACCAAAATATTTATTCATCTATCTTGATTCGCTCTGATTTGATCTTTATAAAACTGTACCTTGATTATTTAGTAGGTCGAAACAGGCGCGTTTTTATCTGAATATTTATATTCCATATTTATATTTGTATTCTGTATAAGCTTGGCATTGTGTGTGCTGTGTATTACAAGGATTAAACTCGAGTTGTTGATGTTTCTTATATATATATATATTAGAGTAAGCGAACAGCAGGTAATTTAAAAACTCACCTTCATTCATTTATGTATTCAGATCTTTTTTTTTAATAGTAACATTTGGCGCGATTACAATAACAAAGCTGTTACTATACTATCAGATATTAAATAAAGGCCGTCTCAAAAAATTATGCGTTGTTGTTTATGGTCTGTAGGTTTTTTTTGAACTTGTTTTATAGCTCATATGATTATATTTATATTTATATAAATTCTTTCTATCTATTCACTATATAGAGAATCTAATAGTGTAATAAGAAATGAAAGTAAAAAAAATATAAAGGTTTCAATAGAGACAAGTTAATTGAAACACAAGGTGTGACAAAAATATTTTTATTAATTATCTAAGGGCTCTTACACGTGCAATAACCTAATTTTCCCATTTATTTTTCATTCACTTTGTATTCATACAAATGTATATATATAGATTTTTGTGTTTTCTGTCTTTTTTTTTAAAAAAAAGAATAATAATAATAATAATCGGTAATTCAAGAGCGCTTAAATGATCCTGAATAAATTCATAAACGAATGCATATCCTTAAAGGACAAAGACAACGGTTAATTAAAGCTAAAACTACATGAGCATAATTTTTCATCTGTATATAATACTTGGCCTTTTATTTTAAATAGAACAGTAATGATTTTTGAGTGAGTTTTTGTGATTAAGATATCTTGATACTTAATTATTCAGTCAGGGTCATTCAAACAAAAACAATTTTTTTAAAAAAAGTATGTTCTATATATATAACAGAATCTTTGTGTTTGATGTACAAGGGAAATGTCAGAATATTATTCAATCTGATCAAACCAATCTTTGGTGCTTTAATATACACCATAAAGATCATCACACTGAAAATCAAATGGAATACAGCCAAACCTATGGAATTTGGCATTTATATATAAAATAAAATAAAGTAAAACGCTAATTTTTTTTTTTGGTTACTTTGTGTTAAGACTGATTGTCAGTTCAGGTTAACTAGAGTTAGCAGAGAAAGTTATCTGTATCTAACTGAAGCTTATCTTGTTTTCCATATAGCTCTGACTAACATAGTATTAAAGTAATACAACAACAACAACAACAAAATTACAGTAAAGGGTCTTTTGTATTCACAAAGTTCGTTTTTAAAAAGAAATTCAAATGAACAGCTATTATTTAACTAATATTATAATAAGAGGAATAAAGCAAATATATATATATATATGAGGGGACGTATGTCATTGCGATAATTGACTTTTGGCCAAATGTGTTCTAGGTATTATGATAACATAGGTAGGTATTGACTTGATGAGCTCGTTAGAAAAGCTGTACCGATACAATTTATTCCGATAAAACCATTATTTTCTAATATACACTTTTAATGGCATTGCTAAATGAACCGTGATATGGACAAAGTCGAACAAAAAATTGAAAGTTGCGTCTACCTCGGTTCATTAGTACGCTTAAACCACGGTTCTTTATTCCGGCTAAATCCCAGTTATTTGGCCCGCTTCTAGCCCGGTTCATTTGCCCAGTTCATTAGCCTGATGCATTACAGCCAACGTTCGATATAGTAGGCAGGGTGGGCACTAAACAATTTTGCACCCCATACAACTCTATGCACAATTCTTATTCTTCAACAACATACACACAGAAAGAGAGAGAAAAACATTAGTTGAAAATCTAACATTGCCTTTTGCTGATATCTTTTATTTATTTATTTTATATTAGTCTATAAAGTATATTTCTTTCTTTCAAATATATATAGAATTTGGAACGTTATTTTGTTCTCTAGAATCCATGACTTTTGTAGCCAATATATATATATACGTGTATTTAGATAAGCTCTCTAAATTGCTTACTATTATCTACAAAATTGTTACAATAGAGATAGAATGATCGCTGGTGTAACAGGGTCAAACAACACAAATACTTTTGTATAGGCAATTAATTAGTAGTCTCTTTAGTGACTGACTGATTATGACTCGAGAAATATAGAAAACGCGCAGTAATGTCAAGGCGTGAGCATGATACCTAAACAAGCAGTTCCCGAAGAACTGTGAACTGATTTTTTCTCTTCTTCTTATTATTATTTTTGGTAAGAGAGAAGAAAAGTTGCTGAGCCATACACACTACTGAGGACTGTGGTTATTGAACGACACGCCCTTGATTCATTAGAAAATGTTGACTTTTGTCCTGTGTCTTAGGCACACAAGGCCTCCATTTTGATTGGCCTTTCTTTTGCCTTCCTCCCTCAGTCCCTCCCCCCCTTTTTTTTTTATGTAACAATCGTTGTGACTGCAACCCTATTTTCTTAAGATTCCTGCCTTTTGGGTTCTTGTCGTGACTGGCTTGGACAAAGCGTATATACCAGGGGAAACTTTCCCGATAGTTCTTTAATATTCCATTCAGCTACTCCATCAGAATGGCATCAACACAAATCGCCCTCGCTTCTATTCTTGATAATGACCTTTACAAGTTCACCATGCAGCATTGCGCTCTGCAGCATTACAAAGATGCTCAGGTTGTATATCAATTCACCAACCGCGAAAAAGAACTTTCTTTAAACCAGGAAGCTTTTAACTGGCTCCAAGAACAAATTACTAGTAAGAGCACACACATAAGACATGTAAAAGATACATTGTCAATTTGCTTATTTAATTAAATAAAATATATGTATATGTATATTTAATACTTTCAGGTATGGAGTCTCTTGTGCTTACAGCTGATGAGCGTGATTATATGGCAAGTTTCCCATTTTTCGATCAGAGCTACATAGACTACCTTGCCAAGTTCCGTTTCCGTCCTCAGGAACAAATCCACGCCCAATTTGACGCAAGTACTGAATCTCTCAGTCTGACGATCAAGGGCCTGTGGCACGAAACAATTCTATACGAAGTTCCTCTACTTGCCTTGATTTCTGAGGCCTATTTCCGCTTTGTGGACCGTGATTGGAATTACGATGGCCAGGAAGAACGGGCCAAGGAAAAGACCAGAGCTTTGTTGACCAACGGATGTCACTTTTCTGAGTTTGGCACCCGTAGACGGCGCGATTTCAAGACACATGATATTGTTTTTGGTGCCATTCATGCTGAGCATCAAGCGCTTTTGAAAGAGGATCCTGAAATCAAAGGCGGCGTCACAGGCACAAGCAACGTCCACCTTGCCAAAAAGTACGGTGTCAAAGCAATTGGCACACTTGGTAAAATACGCACAAACAAGCACACACACACACACACACACACATATATATATATACATTTCACATTTTATGCACAAGATTTTCTTTTCAAAAGAAAAGAAGAGGAAAAAAAAAGAATTGGCCACTAAATGTTCAATTTGTTTTTTTTATACTATTATTGCTGTCATCATAATTAGCCCATGAATTCTTTATGGCAGTGTCTGCTCTCGAAGGCATTAAGCATGCCAATCGTACCACACTCAAGCGTTGGTACGAAACTTACCACGGCAACCTTGGCATTGCTCTCACCGATACCTTCACAACCAAAGTATTCCTCCAGGACTTCAACAAGGATCTCGCAGATAAATACATTGCTGTCCGCCAAGATTCTGGGGATGCGATCAAGTTCATCACTACTATTGTGGACCATTACAAGTCTATTGGTGTTGACCCGAGTACAAAGATGATCGTGTTCTCAGACGCATTGGATGTCAAACGCGCTGTTCAGCTTGTTAGCTTGTCGGAGGAGGCAGGAATCAAGGCTAGCTTTGGTATCGGCACTTCGCTGACAAATGATTTCAAGAAGGCCAGTGATCCTACCAAGAAGAGCAAGCCTTTGAACATTGTGATCAAGATGAGCGAGTGCAATGGAAAGCGTGTCATCAAGTTGAGTGACGACGTACTGAAAAATAGTGCTGATGCAGAGACTGTGAGAAAATTCAAAGAGGAGCTAGGCATTTAGATAATATAAGATACATATATAAAATATTTGATAAACAACAATATCCCACACATACACACACACAAAGAGAGAGAGAGGTGTATATTATTTCCTGCTAATAGTAAAATAGACTAAAGAAGAAGAATAAAAAGACAGCGACACCAATAATAATAATATATGATATATCTATACATAAAAGAGCCAATATTTCAATAATACATCAAGCTTATAGAATAGCGTGATCTCACTTGACCACCCGATATTCTAAAATAGTCAATCTCTTGGGCCCAGGTCTGTCAAAGTCCCCACGCCCATCCCAAAGAGAAACCTTGTCTAATGGTATATTTGTCTATATACTTAAAGTCAATTGAATGCTTTCAAGCTTCATGGACAAAATAGAGAGGGGTTTTATTGACAAATTTAAACATAATGAGAAAGAGAAAAAGGATTTTATAATAAAGGGTTGACTCGTGTAGACTGGAAGCAAATGATATATAGTAAGATAGCAAGATCAACTAAGTACATCTTTGTTTTCTCGATTCTTTTTGTTGGCCAAGCGAGACACTCTCGGCTTTCGGCCACCATGAATACCCTTATAGATCTGCTCTCCCCAGTTAAAGCACTCGTTGCAGCCAACCTCTCTGTGGGCAGTGCAGGCAGGCTTTCCGTTGTAGCGAACCCATTTGTGGGAGATAACAAATGGATCGCGGTCATCGCCTTTCCATTTGGTTTCGCGTTCTTCTTTGGTAAGCCTTTCAAGTACATCGCCGATAGTTTCATTGTTGCAATTCCGGTTGTCTGTAGGACACTTGTCACAGACTTCTTTGCCATGGCGTGTACAGAAGATGAACTTGTTGATTGTCACAGTATCAGAGTCAAACTGATTTGTGGTGTCTTCCTCTTTCTCGAATTGAGAGTCCATGATGAATCAATCAAATGATAATAATAATGATAGTAAGAAAGAAATAATAATAATAATAAAAGTCGAATAAACAACGATTCAATCCAGTTTGACACGGTGCCTTTTATATTCATTTTTTTGGTCTATGAGAAAAATGATCTATGATGGCTCTTGGGAGTTTTTGAACCATCACACCACAAAATAAAAAATGCGCCCACACTCATGTCAAAAACAGAACAAAAAAAAAGAGTCCCGAAATTCATGCGGCCAACCATAATAGTTATATGTGAGAAGGGGAGGGGACCTAAACTTAGAATTCAGGTTACAACATTCCAATCTTTCTCACAAAAATAGTTCCAAGAGCATGTATTTGACCTGTCGCCAAAGTCATCATGTCTCACGCCTATGTTACATTTGCAGCTTACAAGTGCCAGACTGCATGAAGAAATCTAGATTTGTTTTTTATCCACTTCTGTCTCATAATTTTTTTTCAGTCAGCTGCTTCCCATTACGATAACCAAAAGGAAAATAAACCAATTTCTTTTTGCTTTATTTTTTTTTCTCATGGTTTTATTCCCAGTCAATATGGACCGGGTTGCCCATCTTGAAACTAAAAGATGTATAGATATAATGAAGGCAAAGACACTAACAAAGAACAAATAAAACAATAAAATATCTCCTTGGAGGATCTTGCGATAGTCTGAGCTGATACTAAACAAACCTGTTCTTGTTAATCATTTCAATGCGTATCAATTAAAAATCCCACGGATTAAAAAGAACTTGGCGCCTGGATTGCTTTGACATTGTGTACCAGTGTGTTTTCAAATGGTATGATTCACACGTCTTTTTCTTTTCTTTTAAAAAAAATGTATCGTGCTAACCCGTCTGGTTTATTTTTTACTGGATAATATATTTATATACATTACATTACATTACACACATACACGTTCAGAGATATACATACATACATACATTCATACAAGCATATAATTTTATTTGGCACGTAATTTATTTAACTGAAAATATATGCATACATTTATACATTTCAGAAAGCCTTTTCAAAGTTCTTTTTTCTTTTTTTTTTTTTTTTTAAAAAAAAAGAGCTTGGTCAAGTAAAATGAGTAAAGCATTTTTTGAACAATTGTTTTCTTCAACCAGATCCTCACTTATTAACATTAATATTTCCAAAATACTTGATACTAACAGTAATAATAAGGTCATAAATCTCTCTTGATCAATTGTTGAGCTTCTACTACTATAACAACAACATCAGTAACTAAAGCGTAGAGAGAGAAAGAGAGAGAAAAAAAAGAAAAAAGAAAAGCCCGTCAGTAGACTTTGAAGTGTCAATTTATGCAAGTCACTAAGCCACGTTTTGCTGCCATTACTTGCTCTCTACTTCAAAGATACTTGTCCGGACCATGGGTGTTACTTGGTGAGTTGGACTTCCCCCTCTTGTCCCCTTCTTTTTTATTATTATCCTCATTACTGCTTTTTACAACACAATTCAGAACGTTAATAAATGTCATAAAGTCTTGTACGATGGAAGAATGCAACCGGCATGCGTGATTTCGCATCTATTGCTGAACATGTTACCAAATCCCTTCAGGGCAAAAACACAGGTCCTTGGTCGCTATCTGTCAAAGTACATCGCGATGTAAATCAGATTATGCGACAGGCAGTAGTAAAAGACAGCCGATTTCTTTATCAAGTGGCTTTAGCACAACAGCCTGGCCAGGTTTACTGCATGGTCGATGGAAGCGTGGTTGTAGAAGCTGAAAAGGAAATGGAGATTATTCTTTCACGATTGAAGAATCTGTGGCAATTGCGTCAAAGTGTGGTTGTTGAGGTAAAGCCACTCTCATCTTGTTCGTGGAGGAGTGTAATGGAAGTAGAAGCTTATTTAATCTATGTATACCCATATCCATACACGTACAAACCTATGCCTGCAAATATTATGTGTGCGTGTGCGTATAAAGGGCACCAGTTATGAAATCGGTGATTTCACCCTCAGAGTTGCAAACATCCTACTAGGCTCAGCCTACAAGGGACTTTTACTAGAGGTAAGAGGAAATAGACCCTGTTATAATAATTTCATAGTAATATATCTTACACTCCTGTCAATCATAGATTGATTATCATCCATGCTCTGCTCCAAACGTAGCCAGCGATTTACTCCGTGAATTTGTCGAAAATATTGTACCTCCTACAGCTCAATTATCTTGTGAATATGAGTATGATTACGAGAGTGTCGGACTGAGTAATCATGAGTTTACTACTGCACATACTGGATATCAATACATGATGTTATTTAGAAATGACGGCTTGCTGTAAAGAAAAAGGCAAACAAAAACAAGAAAAGAAAGGAATCTTCTCCCTTTGATTTATTATATATACATATATACACCTATTTTATATCTTGTTTGTTTGTTTGACATGTAATTTATGCCTGAGTAATCATCGATAAAGAAGAGAGAAAGAGCAGAAGTTTATTACTATTACTATTAATTATGACTGTTTATTGGAACTTCTTTACTTTTCTCTTTCTAAAGAAGTGGAATGAAAAGAAAATAGTGTCAAATTCTTATCTTCTTTAATATTAGAAGATCCTTTTAATAATAATAATAATAATAATAATAATAATAAAAGGAAACACCAAATCAGAATATAATGTAAAAATAATGTTTTAAATAATAATTAAATGAGATATAATTCATGACACCCAAATAAAGCATTCAATGAATGATTATTGACCCTTTAGAAAAAGGCAACGGCAACAAGAGCAGGGACAGCTATAGCAAAAGCAGTCAACTTGAGGGTACCGGCAGCGCTATCAGGGGAGGCAACGTGGGAGGCAGCCAAGGAAGAGGCGGCAGCAGCAGAGCGGGAAGCAATAGCAATTGTGCCAGAAGCAGCGCTGTGAGAGGCGCTGCCAGAGGCGCTACCGGAAGCACTGTGGGAAGCAGCGTGGGAGACGGGGACGGAGGCACTGGCAACGGCACTGGCAACGGCACTTCCAGAAGCAACAGCAGCAGCCGAAGCAGCAGTGGGGGTGGAAGAGGAGGCAGCAACAGAGGCACCGGGGTTGACGTAGAAAGAAGCAGAGAAGACGGACTCACTAGATATAAAATAATAATAATAAAATATTAATGACCATAATAATGCAGGAGCAAATGCTTTTTTTTTTGTTCTTTCTTTCAAGAATATAAACTTACGAAACACCGTTGGCAGTGTAATGGATCTGGAATGCGTACTGGATAGCATTGGAGACGAGGTCAGCGGGGACCTGAAGGACGGAGACACCAAGATAGAGTAAAAAAACGTGTGAGTATATGGTTACACACGATACCCGATAATGGGTTACAGACACGAGAGTAATTTTGATATATGCTAAGAAAAAAAAACAATACTTACAACCCATTCAGCAGTACCAGAGGCACCATCAGCAGTAAAGGTCTTGCCGGTGGGCTGCATGGCAGTGGCAATAGTACCACCAATTACATCAATGGTGACCTGCTCGCTAGCACCGTTAGCCCAGGCTGATAGGAAGATAATTAAAAAAAATGTAAAGTTTAGTATTCGATCACCAGGGTAAAGTTTGTAGTCTAAGTACTGAATAGGTGCATTTCGTTTTTTAGCACTTACTAATCTTTGCACTAAAGAAATAAAATGAACAATGATAAAATTAATAATTGAAACTTTTTTTAACAAAATAAATAAACAATGGTCTACATACGTTTCTCCGGCGGTATAGGAAACACCGGGCAAAGGAGCGGTGATGTAGTAGGGGAGGAGGGAGGACTGTGCAGAGGCCAAAGAGGCGGCAAGGATTGTGAAGAGGGAGACAAAGACGGCCTTCATTTTGGGAAATTTCTCTGAAGAAAGATAGTAAGGAGTGGGTAGGTTGCTGAAGAGGGTGAAGAGATCCCAAGAAGTTGAATGTATGCTTTTTATATAATCAGTTCAGGCGCTGTTTATTCTTGTCACGGCGGTGTAGAACATACCAAAAAAAAGGGACGAAAAATAAGAGCCGGACTCGTCTAAGCATCCCGCTCGTGTACCATTAACCTCTTTTAAGTATCAGTCTTTGCTGGCTGAATACGTCTATGGCGCCCGAATCTTCCGCGTTAATTGGCAAACGGAAGAGGTATATTCAGTTGTATCCGCGGCAATACAGGTCTTCATACATTTATTAATACCTTTTTCATTATTTTTAAGCTTCAAAGTTTATTATGAACTGAATTGATAGTTTGTTAAAGATAGCTTATGCGACATATTTAGTAAGGGTTTTTGGGATTGTTTGTTTTTTTTTCGAGGGTATCAGTGCACTATTAGGAGGAGATCAAATTGTAACTTGTTTTCGCATACAAACTCATTCTGATAGAAATGTGCATCGTTATTACCTTATTTAGTACTTTATACAATCAGCATCTCTTACTTTCTTGTCTGTAAGATCCAGTCAGCACTGCATCAGCTATAGATGTGTTATCTGGATATTGTATTGTATTATATTACATTATATAATATTATAACATTAATTGTGAATTCTGGATATTACTACATTAAATATCAGAATTGGAACCTCAGACTACACAATGGAAGGATATTTTATTTTATTTTATTTTTAGTTTATAAAATATAGATATATATACATATAATTTAGGTTTTATGTATCATTATTTCTTATGGCTGTCAAAATATGCAAACTCAAATATCAGTAATAAAGTATTAGTTTATTATCATTAAATAGTCATATCATATCAATGTATTCATCTTGGCACAAGCAGCTAAAAAATATCTACTGAAATTTTCAAAGGTTGTTTCGGTAACATCGACATGCAATTGTGTATTGAATTTAGTAACTGGCCATATTCTTTTTCTTGTCAGATGAAAAGGATTTTTATCTCGAAATTGATTGGTTGCTGAGGGATTCCCAATTTCTTTAGCCGTTACACTCTAAGAAACGGCAGATTTTAAAGCACCGGCTTGGCAACAATCGTCGATAAGTTGCTCGCCTGGCAACGTTATTTATAAGCCAATAGATGCCTCTTTTTTTTTAGTATTTAGCCATTAGTGTTACCTGTTTAAGCAAATAAGAAGCGTGGATTTTTATAGATTTAAACTTTATTTTAACCAATAGCTTTAGAGAGTACCTTTATACAATGTTGCAATGGCTTTCTTGTACCTATGAGGATCAACATCCTTCTTAAGAAGTTACAAATACTCAAACCAGCAACCCTAAGAGTACAACGTTTCTATATTGCCATACTGATCAGTTGTGCCTATTTGTCCAGAGCCCGACATTTTTTCTCCAATTCTCCAGAGTAAAACGACGTGCTCTGAAATGATGAACATGACGCCGTGTTCAGATTCCAAGAAGATAGTTTCAGTTGCAATACTGAGTTCTACACTTAGCCAAAGCTAGTATACTACCTTGTACTAAAGGAGCCTTATTATGACAAGTATGAATCCTTAGGGACCAGCTATAATTATTTGATCCCTGACAGCAAGTTATCAAATGGTCGAAAAAATCAAAAGTTATCTCCCACCATATAATGTCGTCTTTCATATGAAAATATCGGCTCTCTCCCCTCTAGGCTTAGCTGTCTCCAGCATATCAGCAGCAAAGATTAATAAGAAGTTATGGCTGTTTCAGCGATTGCCAACTGGCTTAATAACCAAAATTCAACATTTTTCCATGGTAATCAACAGTGCTATAGAAAATGAAGATCATTCTTCAGTATCAGCAGCGAATCGCACAGTCCACATATTTGTACATCCCATACAGCCATTTTGCATTTAATAAAGCAAAGCATGCCCAAACAATTGATATTCGACATGATATATACCACGCTTTTATCCGAAAAAGAATACAATTTTGTCCAACAATACATACAAAAACAACGCTTTGAAACAGGAAGATTTTACTAAATGGATGAGTAAAGATGTGTTTTAGGATCCTGTAAAGCGCAGACAGACAAACAAAAATATTCGGAAACGCGATTGCATTTATAACATAGTCAAGTTTAAGTATCATGCTTTTACTTGGGTCGATATCAGCTACATCTATCAATTTCGTGTTATATTTAAAGCGACCCACTTAAAAACTTACATGATTGGATACGCAGGCAAAAATCCAAAGCTAGAAGCATTGTATATAAAGGAAAAAACACAAAAAGATCAGACTTACGAGCTCAAGACAAAACTCTTATGCGAGGATATGCTTGAATCGATTGGTACGCCGGCTTTTGATCCGATAACTTCGCGTGATTATGAACACACAGATATGATGAATCTCGATCATTATAGTGGTAACACGCAAACCATGATACAGAAAAGAAGAAAGTCGGCACACAAAGACATGCTTGTGGCGATTTATTACCGTGTCCTGACGGCTAATGTTGATAATCTACACAATTTCTTCTGAGCCAACAAAAATATTGTCGAGCTCATTGTTGATATTGGACAGACCGCGAAGGTTTACAGCAGGCATGCTATTCTGGACAACGACAGTATTATTCAAGTGTTCAGTGGTCAAAGATGATTCGTTCACTTATCACAAACATGAATCAAAACATTGGGGGTTATCTTATGTAACAGAAGATCTTTCCCATATTGAGGAACAACACCACCACATTCTTTCTTAACGCAATACAAGTAGACCAGTATGACTATATTACGAATAACAGTATAAAATGCTCTTACTCAAGCCAAATATCTTGTCATATTTTGTCACTATATAATATTTAGATGAATATAAAAAGAAAATCACTAGAATTTGTTTTTATCAGTGACAAAGATTTTAGTTTAGTTTTACTTTGAAACTCTATAAGAAAGTAACTATCTGTACATGGTATTTCAAGAAGCACTAACTAGTTATTCCTTTTTTTTTTTGAAGAAATAACCAATTCTTCCATGGCATACACAATGGGCATAAAAAGTATTATGTACTATACATGCTGTATGTGAATGATTTAATTAAACTTATAAACCTAATATTATATATATATATATAATATTAAAGACGTATGCTAATACTTTAATATTACCAAAAGTTATCCTCTTAAAATTAAATGCCCTATAAACAATTAAATGAGAAGAAATGGCAAAACTTGATTTTTTAAGAAGCCTTGTAAAAAAAACGAGGTGCAGAATAAAGTAAAATAAAAAAAAGCACGCCTCTTTTAATTTGGCTGTTTATTTTTAATAAAGGTCTCGCACAAAGGATATAAATGTAAATATACAATTGAAAATTTATTGTACTTTCATTTATTATAATACATAATTCACTCATTACATGGTACACAAATCATGTTGCCATACATGCCAAATACTCTAGTAATTTTTTTTTCAAAATCAGCCTTCAAGGTACTGTTCTCTACATGAAACAAGGTACCTTCTTTTCAAATTTTATACGTCTCTTTAAAAATTTATTAAAGCAAAAAATAAAATAAAAGAAATAGTAATACAGTGCTAATAAATTATATAAAAAGTATGTCCGAAAATTGGGACACTACTTCATCCAGCTTCCACACATCCCATTGAGAATTATCTCGAATTATACTTACGCCCCTGGATAGAGCTTCATCAAAGGCCACATTCTTTTTTACTCGAATACTTTCTAGTCGTTTAACTCGGTCTTCCAATGATACTCGTGACGGTGTGAGAGAAGACGCTCCCATTCCGGCCTCTTCTAATCGTAAAGCAAGAAAACTATCGAGAAGCAGTGAGAAATGTTGCCAGGCTAAGCAAGCCGGGAGTGGCTTAGGATCATTTATTCCATTAGGTGTAGCGTTGGATAGTGGTAGACCTGGGTTGGCCCACCGTGCAGTTGTCCTTGAGAGTGAGATTAGACCGGCTACAAGTCGGGCTTTCTTTAGAGTGTCGGCCTTGTTTTTACAAAATATCTCTGAAAATTGTTGGATTAGATAGGTCATCTTCTTGGCCTCATTTGGCTCTGACGTCTGAATCTTAGTAATAGACACAATGGCGGCAATTTCTTCAGCAAACTCGACTTGCTTAGCCTGTGCATTTTGATTCTGTTGAATCATCGCTTCACAGTAAGCACGGATGGTGAGTAAAAACGATTTATCCATGCAGTATTTTAATAACAAGGTGGTATCGACCTTAGAGTTTGTAACCACAAAAGCTACTCCATTCCAACGCACTTGTGGGATTTTTTCGTTTTTGCTGTTTTGCAAGTACTTTTCCAAACATCTTTCCATAAAACGAGTCGTTTTCGGGCTTAGTTGTATTGATAAAAGGGCTGAGAAGAGAGCCAAGAGAGTCTCTGGTTGGCTTTGCTCCGCATTCTTTACCAATATATTCCATCCTGCCTCAAACCTGTCCTGATAAAGATTATCCAACATACTTTTCATGAGATCCTTAAGTTGAGGGTCAAACGTCCCATTAGAACTGTATTCTGTGTGATTGTCGATGCTGGTCCAGATGTTGTTGACCCAGTATTCTTGAACATCTTTGGGTGGAGATTGGTCTTCCGGCGATTCTGATAAAAGTTTCATGACGAAATCACTAAAAACCTTTTTCATCCTCATCGGCGTTTCTTTCTCATCAAATCTTGTCATTTCACGGACCCATTGGACGCAAAGTGGAGTTGTCGATGTATCTTTGTCGTCTGCCCATTTACCAAGGCATAGTTTCAATCTTTCGGTGGGCATCAAGAGAGTCTCTTCAATATCTTCTGGTATTATCGTATCAATGTTATCCTTTTCAATCATAAGTTTGTATAAAATCTGGAGGGCTTCAGATCTTTCTTTTTCTACCGGCCAAATGTTGATTGAATCTTGTAAGAATATGAAGAAAACCTGAAAGTAACTCTTGAGCCACGAGCGACTAATAGAAACAGTCTCCTTCTTTTGTGTGTATTTCTTCAGCCATGATCGTAGGATGACAAAAGTAAACCCAAGGTAGACAATTCGTTTAGTGGGGTCGTCTGGTTCTAGCAATGACCAAGTATCTCTCATTCGATTGAGCTGCGCCTCGGACATTTCAAAGAAACCCCAGGGAAGCTTTGATAGTGCACTGTGGAACCGATCTAACCACAGGTCCGAGTGGTGTGTAATGATATTTTCATGATAGTAATCAAACAATACGCCCAAGAGATTTGCTTTGTAGGCAGGTGATACAAGAATTAGCATTCGTTTGATGAGATGCCCATAAGCTTCTGCAAAAAATGGCAAGTATTCTCGCTTGCTGTAGGCATGATTTGATTCACCACACGACATAGCACAGCTATCAGAGCTTTGCCACCATCCATGAAAACATTCAGTTGTGCGGGTCCAGAAAGATGGTACTGGGACAACAATGTTGGTGCTCTTATCCATGATACGTTCATCACATAGCACATTGACCATGAGGCGACAGAGTGCAGGACTGGCATAACCAAATACACCAAACAGATCTCCTGTTTCCCCTTTCTTGCTCGCAATATTTGACAAATATGATCCAAGATAGTCAACAAGTGATGTTACCTCCTCTAGTGTAGATAGCATAGTCAATCTAAACCGCATTTCGTCTGGGTTTGTATTCAATATATCTAGCACTTTTCGAGAACGACCCCCAAGGCTCTCTGTCAAACTGTCTATCATGGCTCCTGAAAATCCATCCGCCTCTTTTGTATCATCTGTTTCGGAAAGAAGATCAAGTGCATGCCCAAGTAAAGTCACGTGCTCCATATCTTGCGGTTGTTTTTCAAGCATGGCTGCCATAAGTGCGAGTGATAGTTTGTACTGCTGAATACGTATACTGGCAATGGTTGGCACATCGATTTGATCCGTCTGAGGTTCCATCCATTTTTTCAAAGACACAAATGAATTTTCATAGAATGTGTCACGGTTGTTTTTTGTTGCAAATTCTGTCGCCCCCCAAGCTGCCATATCAAATGCTGATAAGAGGTAGAGCTGTGAGCGTGCCCCGAAATTGTCAGTGCTGGAGATACGCTTGTGCATCGAAACTATATTTTTGGAATCTACATTTGGCCTAAATGCAGGGTAGAGGATAACAACTCGCCCCTCCTTTTCCGCCATCAGCTGTAATAATCTTTCTGCGGAAGACGACTGAGAGTTAAGCAAGTCGGCCAGAGATCTAGCCATTTGACGCAAAAATAAACGAAATGGTGGATAAATCTCTGTACCATTTTCAAAGCTTTCAATAGCATAGATGAGACAAGACCAACTCAGATGCAAACACCTCGTATCTTCTTGTGTCTCTTTTTTGGTGAATACTTCAGTATAATAGGTTGTGATACTTTCAATATTCTTTAGTCCAACTAGTGCTTCGTGACATACGCTTGTATCGATAGAGTCAAATATCAATTCCTTGGCTTCTTTGCGATTTTGCTCTATTTGCTGGCGTACTTCTGTATTGGTTTCAACAAAAGTGGCCGAGAGCGTGAGTTGAGCGGGCTTTTTACATATTCCCTGAGGCATCTGAACGCATGGGATAGTTAATGTCTCTGTGATAGGTGTGTTGGTATAAAGGAGCCCTAGCTGCTCTACATAAGCTTCATCCAAGTCCTCTTGGTTCTTGATACGTTCCTGAAATAATGCTGCATGATGCTGAAATTTTTCAAACGATGAACCAAGCAAATCCTTGGGAGTCATATCTATGAGCTGTTCTGCAGCCAGCGTAATGATAGGCTCGTTGAATTGTGCTATCGGAGGTGGTTGGATAGTTGTTGGAATAACCTTTGGAATAGCCCGAAACACCTCATAGCTACTATAGACAGATCCTTCATCTGCTACTGTTGCCTGAGTTTCGATAGAGCCTGGTGGTCTTTTACAAAACTTTTCCGAGCCTTCCCAAGGAAATTGGATAAATGCGTCTTGGAGCTGTTTCTTGTTTATAAGATCAAACCAGAGCGAAGTTTTCGAGTTCCATGGCTGATGCAATTCCCAGGCATCAGGTGTACTTGGCTGACGACATTGCTTGAGGCGGTTTATTGAGTAATTAGTGGGCAAAGTAGATAGATCAAAATCAGGTCGGAGTAAATCTGTATTTCCCAACCATAGCCACATGGAATAGTAAATTTGACGAAGAGCCTCATGATTATTTCCGCTGGTCTGGTTACTACTGCAGCAACTACTGATGCTGCCATTACTATTTGAATTAGAGTTTATATAGAGTTCACCCTTTTCTCCTGATGGTTGTTGTTGTCCATGGTATGTCTGGAGATAGGCGGTACGATCACGGACCTTATGTAAAAGCTCTTGCTTCTTGCTGAAGAAATATGTGCCATATAAAAGTGTCTTATCGCCTACAGTAATACTTGAATAATACAAGCAGAAGAATATCTGGAGGTAAAGTGGCAGGAGAGGGTGGTTATGTGGAAGTACTAGGATATGCTGTGCCCATCGATATATAGACAGATAATCGGACGGTTTCTTTGACTGTGCGTTAATTGTCTTGAAAAGAGCACTAATTTCTGGTTCTACAAGAGGTTCCGTCTTTCTTTGTTTTATGAGATCCAGAGCAGCATTAGCTAGTGCATACCGCTGTTCCTGATCGTGTATTGTCTCCATAACTAATACTTCATAAGCAAACCAAAATGACTTTGCCTCTACGCCAGGAGCTCTCATCAAATTATTAGCTGTAAGAGACATCATTGTCCATTCTCCTGCTAAAAGACTTGTATAGGCTGTGTCTGGCATGATGTTCTTGATAAATCGCAATGGGTTTCGATGCTGACCTCCCAATGCAGCTAGTTTAGGAGAACTCAAGAGCTGCTGACTTCTATTCTGTTCAAGCCTCATGTGCTCGCTACTAAGCATGCTTCGCACAAGGCTGTAACGTCCAAGACTAAAGGCAATCTTGGCTATACAATCAATAGCCACCACGTATTGATCTGACCACATCCATTCTTTGCGTGCGAAGATTGTTTTGAGCCAGGAGTGCAGCATTAGATCGAGATAGGAGAATCCCCCACCATTTTCATCCATCAGGTCCCCCACAGAATCAATAAAATGACCTTGCCAAGCATGAGAGCCAATTACTAATCCAATACCAGTAATTTCTTGTTTGTTCCAAAAGGTACTCTGATGATATCGTTTAGGGACACGCAACAAAGCAGCCTTTGTGAGCATAGGATCGGCTTTGAACTCCATCATCTGACGCAGGAATTCAGACAAGCTCTCATCATTGAAAAAATCATCGCCGTGCATGTAAACAAAGGCCGGGATTATGTCGCTCATAACTTGAAGAACTGCTTCTGGCTTTCCACGGCGTAAGATTAATAGCAATTTGAGCCAACCATTACTTGTCTCAAATCTTAAGAAGTGACGGCTAGTACTGGAAAGTAAGAATGATATATAGGTCAATAGAGCATGATGCATTCCAATAGCGTCGTGGTGATGGTGAAGAGCGTCTTTTAAAAATGCAGGAGTAATGGCCTTTTCGATATCAGATGCACGAGTAGTAATGGGACAATCATAAAGCTTTAATTTAAGTGCCATCTTCCATGCCCACTGAATGAATTCTGTTGCTATGATTGTGCTGGTAGCTGCTGTCCACAGTTGATCTGGAGTAACCATATAGGTAGACATGGCCGTGGCCACTATCCCGAGTACATCTGAGCTTTTGTCACTCTCTGGCAAAGGCTGGTACTTTTGACAGGCGTCCAAGAGAAGAAAGGCAATTTCTTCGTGTATCTCATATGGTAAGAATGGCATAGTACGGTTATGCCATGGTTGTGATTTTGAGATTGTCAAGTCTTCTGATCCAGAAATTGTTCCAAAATTGAGGTGCTCAATTACATAACGACCAAAGCTAACTTGAGTGCTGGCTGATGGTCCTTGACAAAGAAGCCGATGAAGAAGAACAAGATCGTCTGTCTGGGGAATCCATTTATTGAGTGGAAGAGAATGGAACAAATAGAGAGCCATGCCTTCCATCTTTGAAAAATTATCATATGTCCAGCGCAAGAGCAATGATATCACAAAAGGATGACAAGTACAAACTGGGTCAAAATTGTCCCGGACATCCTTGTAATATATATCACACAAATTAGTGTCTACAAATGCGATAATAAATAGTGTGTGGGCAACAATGGTAATAAGACAGCCAGAGAGACTGTTTCGGAAACTATCGATAGACCCCTTTGCAGGTAGAATACAAGTCGTAATATTAGAAAGACATCCGAGCATAAAGATTCCTTGTGTTTGGTTAGCTTCCAAGAAACGAAGAAATTGTGTCATGTCAGGTAAGGTGAGCTGTTCTCCAAAGTTATCTGGTTTTTTGTATTCGTCTATTTTGAGAAGACGAAGCGTGATGATCCATAGACTGTCGATTGAAACACCGTGAAAGGGTAGGATAGGAAGAAAATTATACATCGTTTTTTCCTCGACTTCCAAATAACCAAGAACCACGTTAGATACGAAATTATCAATCCGATTTTGTGATTCTTTGCGTATATTCTCATCCCCAATATTCTCGATCAATCGCTGAGCCATATGGCAAGTCGTTTGCCCTAAATGCTTAGCCAAATCCCTGTACCCTTTACTTGACATGGCCTTCATGCCAACATTCAATGCCTCCAAAAGTTCATCTGCAAAATTGAACAATGCATCGATTGATTCTTTCGAAAATGGTTGGCGAAATGCTTCCTGAATAGTCGCACAAAACGTTTGGGCCACTCCAAATTGATCCAATGCTACCAAGAAATCGTCTTCAGTCCAGACAGGCAGAGGGCATATCCGAGTATCATCCTTTGATTCATATAGACGATGATCAAATACCATTCTAATAGCAACCACGTATTCTTCCATATCAGCAACTGGGAGTTTGGCTGTAGGATGGAATGAATACTGAAGCAAGGGAATTGCCCACGAGGCTGATTTCGTTTGAAGTAAATGTAACAATAGGCATCTTCGTTCGGATGGTAGACTCAAGTCCAATAGTACAGCACCAACCTGAAGTATCCAGGTACGGACACATTTTTCAAATAAGTCGACCTCCTGTTCTTCTGTGGGTTCTTTTAACACCGAACTCCACAATGGTGCAGTGGAAAAAAGTGTGTTCAATAACCGTATCAAGGTTATACCATCGTGTTTTCTGGTTTCTTGGTCCTCCCATTCATTTGGTAATGTGTGTTTTATGATTGCTCTGGATGGCAATTCCCACAAGATTTGGTCCAGCAATGTCTGAATCTCGAGGCGAATAAGAGTTGCTTCGTAAAAACGGCGATATAGGAGTGTGTTGATTTCTGAGCGTAATCTGTGTAGTGTGAGGTTGAGACGAGCATTTTCATGTGTCTGGTACTGGGCCTGTTGGTAGTTGTATTCATGCTTGATCGCAGATTGATCACCGCATTTTGTTTCGAGTGTCTGTTTAATTGTTTCAGTCTTCCAGAGACGTTTTGCGATGTTATGCTCGGATCTCTGTGTCTTGCTGATACTTTCTTTGACTTCTTGAACTTGATCGAGACTGCTGTTGTAATTATAAAGTAATCGTTCCAACTTTGGATCTCTCATCTCGGGATTCCTGACATTGTCAATATAGCAATCCAAGAGATTTTCTTGTAGCATGGCCAGAGTGGTATGATCGTCTGATAAAAAATATTCTTGACATTTGATCGATCTGAGTAATGGTCGTCTTTGAAGTCTTGAGCGTCAAAGTACCTTTTTTGTCTGTTTCAGTGTCTTTCAGAAAGTAGGTGGACTAGATGAGTGATGAGCAACTTCACAAGTGAAGAGCTTACCTTTCATAGAAAGAGTAAAAAAAAAAAGAATATACAATAGGAGAGAAACGTTGCGTCATGGTTGGATCAAGTGTACCTTTATTTTAGTTTCTCATTCGGCATTTAGTGTTTGCACCACCAATGCAAGGTAGGCGGCTGATGGGTTCTGTGACCCTCACTAACTAGTTTGCAATTTTTATTCGCTTTGTATATTATTGAAAAAGTCAAAAGCTTGAAGGCAATGTTCAACATTTTGTAAAGAATTTGGACTATAAATGGATGATTGCTATTATACAACTGCTATCCTTATTTTGCCTTAGCTAGACCAACTCTGTTGTTTTTAAGGTCATAAACACTATAGAACTTGCGCAGGAATACATCTCCCACTATATAAAAAAGTAAAATAAATTATTGTTAGTAAAACATAAATTGGCTATATTCTTTTTTATTATTACCAATCCAGAGTGGGCCGGCGGGTTCAGGAATGTCCATGCCAATAAATCCAGAAATGCACTGATCCTGGACCTTGAGCACATAGTCTTGCCCAGTAAGACAATAATCCTTGCCGCCAAATACAAAGCAAAATTCTGGAAGATCGGGAATCTTGGCACAATCAAGTATATATTGACCAGACCAATTCTTTTCTGCGCCTAATTCCTTGTTGATCAAATCAGCTATAGTAGTAGGAGCAACTAAAAGGGAAGACCCGGTATCGATGGCTGCTCCAATAGGGTCAAGCTCAATCGATTCGCCACCAAACTTGATGTCTTCCAAATCAACTTCCCAATAACCCTTGCGTCTCACGTTTGACCATCCAAGCTCGCCCACATAATGATTACTATCTGCACCGCCAAAGATTAGCTCCCCGCCATTGGCTTCATCTTCATCAGCATTATTGATCTTAAACGAAAATATTTGCTCGTCTATAAGATCACGGTCGATCATGTGGTAAAATGGAGGGACAACATGCTTAACAGCAATGTTACTGTATCCCAGTCCAAAAATTCCATCGAATTTAGCCAAAGCAAAAGTAAATCCAGGCTCCTTTGTCGATTCTCCAAATTGCTGGCCAGGAATCTTGATCCCACCAACGCGTAAGGTATCCTATAGGTATATAAATGTTAAAAATAAGGTGCCATAACTTCAATAAGACAAGATCATCGAGATCCCATACCTGACTAATAATACCCTCGAGAGAACCAGTACCATAATGGATTTCGAATGAAGTTCCGTTCTCCTTGGCTGTGGTGGACTTTGAGGAGTCATATCGATTGTGTAGGAAACAAGCAATGGACGTGCATTTTATGGAGGGAATCCAGAGATTAGAAGAGCCAGTGTCAAAGACAACAGAGAATGTCTGAGGTGGGGTGCCGATCTCAATGTTGCCATAATACTAACGACCCGTACATATGTCTCAATTAATCTGTATCGGTAGTATATGTACGCATAATATCTCCTACCTGTGCATTCAAATAGTTTGAAAGAGGAACACCATGCTTAACACTTCCATCTGCCTCCATATAAAGAGAATCAGAAAGGTCTGATGTTTTTTGTTGGCCAAAGTACTTTTGGCCCAAATACTCTCCGGTGCGAGAGTATCTGTTTAGTGTGTCTGAAGAACTCTCTTTGATTTTCTTGATGGGAATTCTAATAAGTATTACTTTTTTTTGTTAAACAAAGGAAATTAAATTGCTTTTGAGTGGACAATACCTCAAGAGAGATGCTTCTGATACAACAGCCAGTAATGTAGCAATAGCAGCAGATAGGGCAATAATTTTCATAATTAAGGACACGTAAAATTCAGGTAAAGAGAAGAGAACAAGAATAAAGAAAGTGAAATACACAAGTAATAATTAATCTAAAAGGTTCTTGTTCTAGTCCTGGTTCTGGCTCTGGTTCTGATGTCATTCAATTACAGAAAAAAAAGGAAGTTATTGATATCTTTATCAGTCACATATATCACAACGTTCAGTTCTGTAATGACGGGAGGAAAGGAGCAATTATCAGAACTCAAAATTATAAGGACAATATATTTGTTTATTTCTCTTGGGTATCCACTTTCTACCCTATCTCTTTTTTGATTTTTTTTTGAAGACTTAATTATAATCATTGGCTCGTAAACTCATCCCACTATTACGATAGCTATTACGGTTACTGTTCATTGGACCTCCACGACCACGTCCACGACCGTCCCCAAAGTAATTCGTGGGTCTGTTAACAATAAGTCTGTTGTCACGGAGTATCTATTGAATGAAAAAGAAAAGAAAATTAATTGTCCGTTTTTGCGCATATTTGTTTACATTTTTATATTATTATTCGTATTCGTTACCTGTCCATTCCTCTGAAGGGCATTTTCAAGGGCCATAGCATCTACAAAGTCCACATAGCAGTGTGGCTTTGGGAGTTGAGTGTTCGTGTCAATGGGGAATCGTACGCTGGTCACCTAACAAATACACATTATGTTAGCTTCACTTTATACAGCAATATTTAACAGGCAGTTTGGTCTTTGGTAGACCTGTGTTGTTACTTACCACATTGCGACCAAAGTAGCTTTTGATATCTTCGTCTGTCAATGTGCTATTAGACAGACCACCCACATATGCTACATGGGGGTTTCTTGTGTACTACATATACATAGCAGTTATAGATATCTCATAAGCAATTCGATCCATCATTACGATTATCACTTACTGAAGCTGGTCTTCGTGTTTCTCTCTGGTTGTATACATCATCCCGTGAACTAACACTTTCCCTCCAGCCGTTATTTGCACCTTCATATGCATTCACTGGTGACTGGCTATTCCATTCATTGGCTCTTGGATATTGATGAGGTTTTTCTGTGTTGGTTGCTTCGGTTGGTGTATAAGTAGAATTTGGGCTGTCCACATATTGTGCCTGTTGATGTGGCTGTTGTTGTTTTTGCTGTTGTAATGATTGTTGCTGTTGCTGCTGTTGCTGTTGAGGAGGAGATTTTCTGTAGGCAAAACTAAATCCTCCACTGTGTGTCTCTGTTCCAATGTGACCATTTTGAATGTTCAGGATAGTCCAACCGTAAGCAGCATCTGGCAAATTAAAGTTCCACATGTTCTTGAAGGCTTGGTCATCCAAGTTGGCGTCTGGTTGAGATCCTGCTGGTCCTGGAGCAGAAGGTGTATATTGAGCATCTGGAGGAAGGCGGTTCACAACGTCAAGTGCGTGTTTAAGGAGCTTCTTTTGGTGGACATCTACACTGCTCTCTACTTGGCTCTGAATACTGTTCCACAAATTCATAAAGCTTTCTTTTGATGCCTCCAATCGATTTCTGTAATGGTCCTGATGAGGCTGACACGCAAACTCATTGTAACTGATACCGTATCTGAAATGGAGACCAGCAGATATGGTGAAATCAACTCTTAGGGAGAGTGCCAGCTGGGCCAAAAGGCCTTCTCTTCCAGGACTTGCATGGGTCACCAACACCCTAACCTCAGAGGGATCAAATACCTACGCACGTTTAAGTATGTTTTATGATATTAGTCACTAACCTCTTGAGCTGTCTCCACTAGTTCACCGATCTGCAGAGTTGTTGTCCACATGGTACCTGATCCACCGGCAATTGTGTCTGTGCCTATAATCCAAGTATACCAGAATGTTCATTACTACTATTTTTGTTTCCCACTAATTTTTATAAAATTTATATAGAAAGAGAAGAAGAAAGAAATGAAAATATAGGCGCCTTACCTTCACCATTGTCGAAAAGTTTGTGCTGGACACAGGCACCACCTAATCCAAACAAACGTAGGGAAACACCACCGATGTTCAATAACTCACTATTGGCCTCATCAAGAATATGCAGGTTTGGGATGCTATATTCTCCAGATCTAAACTTTTCAAGCACCGAAACATCTTCACATGCGCCCCAAACTGTATAGACTGGTACTTCCAGCCTTTGTTTTCCGGCCAAGAAGTCTGTAAACTGCGAAAGCAGGTGTTGATAGGATTCCTCAAATGCAGAGCGGACTTTTGGTACTTCGAGCTTGCTGAGATAGTTGCGGGTGGTGGCTGGAATCAAAGTGCTGTACTGAACCAAGTGACGCAGAGTCCTTTAGAGTATAATTTTCTTGTCAGCACAGGCCACCTTAACCGTGTTCTTTACCTGTCACTGATACGGTCTAAACTAGATTGTTCTGAAAGATAGAAGGATCAATACTAGAAAAAAGAAGGAAAAAGACAAAGTTGTGTTACCATAGAAACCAAAGTCACCCGTGTGAATGATGTATTGTGCGTTTGTGTCCTTGGCGAGTTTATTCAGGAGAGCGATGTTGCCTAGAGAAATGAATAAGCAAAAATAATAATGAGGTTGAGCAAAAGCGTGGAATAGTATTTTGTTTTCTCTTGCTAAGAAAAAAAGAAGTATTGTCCTAACCTCGTACATCGGCCGTGCAAAGGATTCTTTTGCCATCCATGTCAAATACCTGAGGGCTCAATTGCCCATCTGGGGTTGGGCTCATGGCAGATTCTGTGCGGGATAATAGGTGTCAAACCAACAAAACACATTTGCCTGATTCATCAATGTCCAGAAAATGTACCTTCGGTTGACTTTTCCCATTTGTTAGATAAAAGTGTCATGATGACTTGTAAGCAAGAATGGAAAGAGGTAAACCCGGGTTTCCTTGACCCATCATAGATAAAAAAAAAAGAAAAAAAAAAGAAATGGTTCGAGGTACAGAGAACCAAATAAAATATTGAGATATTAATTGTCCGCCAAAAAGACGCTTCATATAGAAACTTTACTAAGCTTTTGTTTTTTGTTTTTTCCTCATCCGAGTTATGGTATAGTTAAATACTCCTTCTTTAAAAGTATGTTTATGATCAACATAATACATTATCTTTAATAGGATATGCTACTTTGCATATCTGTTTTCTATCTTATATATCATATAAATATGACGTGAATGCTTTACAAAAAAATTAGGGTGATATCGCATAGTTTACAAGGGTCCAATTCCTCAAGTCTCCTTCAGGGTAACCAGTGTTTATATATCATAAAATAAAGCATCTCATATTTTCTGATTTATTTTCTGTATTTGGGTTTTATTTTGGGGTAGTAATAAGAGATCAAGTGCTCGAAAATGAAACAAAAACTATTTAAACTATTGGTGTGATTTTTTGTTTGGCTGACATGTAATAATAAGCTGTAGGTCTAATATTGACTTATTCATCTGTATCTCCACATCCAGGCTTTTATTTCTCTATATTTTTTGTTCGGTTATGCTCTTTAAACAAGCGTATTATAAACTAAGTTGTGAAAGTAATAAAAAAAAAAGGAACATTTTACTTTATTCCTTTGCTTTAAGGGAATATTTCCTGGTTAAAACTATATATTGATTTATCAGTAGAACAAGAATGATGAAGGGGATTATATATATAGCCAAAAGATATATGACAATCTCAAAGCAACGGCTAGAAAAAATGTAGAAAATGAAATAAAACGCACCGGAAATATAAATTCCAATCAAATATATGACTCGAGGCAGCCTATCAATCTTGGTACAACAACCGACTCACATGAAATGTGCTCCAATAAGAGACAGGGCAATGATTTTTTTTGGTGGATTTGACGCCTTTTTATGCTCCCTGTCAAGGAGATTGTCCCTGTACGACACCAACTAACTAACAAACTAAATCACTTGATTTCTCGCTCGCGTATGCACTCATCACAAACTACTCCTATTTCACAGCTTATCCGAATGTTGCATAGAACATAATTCACCAAAATTATAAAAAAATCATATAAATATATATAGAGACAATAAGAGAATCAGACAGAAGACAAAATGTAAAGTTCCATTGCATATTCAATATTTTTGGTCAGGTTATAAAGTCTGTTAAAAAAATCAAAAGGCACACTAGGCCTCTCTTTTTCATTGCTTAGAACTGCATGGCGTGGGGGAACTGACCCTTGGACAAACCAAAGGTGGAGCTCAAGTACTGACGGAGGAGGGGGGTCTTGGCAGCGGCATCGATGATGGCCTTGTCAACAACCTTCTGGTCAGCAGCCTTGGAGGCGGGGAAGGCAGCCTTCTTCTACTCGACAGAAAAAAAATTAGAAAACCAAATCCAAACAATGATCCAGAAACCATATAATTCTAAAAAAAATCTAAAAGAAAAACGAAATAAAACTATAAAAGCGATATTTACCTCGGCACCCTCGAGGAAACCCTGGGCCTTGGCACCAGCAGCCTTCTTGAAGTAGGCATCGTTGATCTTGGCATCCAACTTGACGGAGGAGACATCAATCTTGGTGGAGGTGGCAAGGACGTAGGCCTGGTTGACACGACGGAGGGGGACACCGTTGATCTTGAAGGGACCAGTGACCAACAAAAGTCCGCTGTCGAGCTGCTTCAAGGCGACAACGCGCTTTCCGCGATGACGACCGGCAAGGAGGATGACGACGGTACCGGGGGTGATGGTGGCACGGAGGGCACCAATCTTGGAGACCTTACGGGACTTCTTGGGCTGGGGGACATCCTCAGCGGGGTAGAAGCGGTCAGCCTTCTTGGCGGGGACAGTGCGCTTGGAACCGTTCTTGGCACCCTTGACCTCAACAGTCTTGTCAGCAACGACCTTCTTGGCAGGGGCAGCAACAGCCTTCTTCTGACGCTTGTGGAGAGCCTTCTTGGCGAAGGTGGTCGAGCGACTGAACTGGGCGACGCCGGGAACGAGGAAGCTGTTTCTGGGTGCGTGCGGCATGGTTGCTATTGACAAGGATCATTGAAAATGAGTTCCATGTTCACATGCTTTATAAACAAAATCCACAATAATGTTGAAGAAAAAAATATCCCCAAGAATGAACAGAAAGAAGAACCCTATTATTATGATCTTGTTGGTATTGTTCGTCGTCGTCAATGGTCGATAGTTGTCGAGTGTCAAATTCTGCGAGTCGTATTGGTTTGTTGAAGGGTTTCATTTTTTTCTTTTCATTTCCTTCATTTGCTCTTTTGGATGCAGGCGACCAATCCATTGTGAATCATCTAATTTTTGACGATCCATCCCTGTCCATCCTTTTCCAATAACTTCATCCTATCTTCTAATAAAGTTGGCCATGATGGATCGGCCGATACATACCTTTGGCAATGGCGGAAAAGAGGATGTCCTAATCTCCACTCTTCTTCGATTTTAACCCGAATTCCTATCGTCGGCCCACCTCCTCGCCGAGCGTGACGTGAATATCATCTTGTGTGACGTAGACACTTTTTTCATAGTCCAAGAGACTGGGAATCATGCCGCTTTTGGAGCAATAAAAAGACAAAGGGAAGAAAAATATGAAGCTATATGTATAGTAGAAATACTTGAGTTGTGTGTTGAAGAATTTTTGATGCATGTACTATATTAGAGTATGGCTGTGTCTACGACAGATTTATTTAACGGTATAAAAATTTATGTATATGTTGATTTTTTTACAGTACAATATACCCACATGTATATACACACACATTATATGTAGAGGTTTTTGCATAAGACATAAAGTTCTTAGTTACAGGCAAAATCAAATGCAAGTAACCGTCAGAGCCGCTAGTTTGGTATATGCGTTATTATTGAGAGCTGCGTTGTATAAGTATGCACTTTTAATGAAAAAAAAAATTCAGTGCATAGACCTTTACGTTCTTAGTTGCTTCTTTCTTTCTTTCTTTCTTCTTCTTACTATTAAAACAAGTTGATTGTTCCCTAAAATGAAAAATAAGAATTTTTTTTTCTTTATCTTGTAGCTCTCATCTAAATCCAGAATAATAAAAAAATGCAAGCTTTTATCGAAAATGCAGGAAATTAGCAATACTAATTTTACTTAATAAAGTATCTATTCAATCACTCGCAAAGTGAAATTTGGACCAATGCGATTCCCCTTGAAAGTTTGAAAGTTAACACATTGATTGAAACAGAAGAAACTGTTTCTAAATGTATTTTGTATATTTTTAAGAGAAGAAGAAAAATTAATGTAATCGCATAATATACGATTGAAAGAGAAAGACCCTGTTTTCATATAACCAAATTTAGGATTAGATATTAAAGAATGATGAAAAGAAAAAGAAAGTTTTATTATTTACATAAATGGAGAATGAGATGAAAAGATGTACAGAAAGGCACCAAGCTAAAGAGAGGAAGAGATGCTTGTATGTATAAATATATATAAATATATATAGAAGGGTTAAGGAGGGGCTGAGGGGGTGGGAAATGGTTATTACAATTTGGCTTTGGTTTACAAGAATAAGATCACGAAGCAGAAGAGTATGCGATATTTTTTTTTAATCTTTTTACAATTCTCTATGAGGCGACAGGCGTAATTTTATGGTTACAGAAGGATGGTCAAATATAAGTGTTTCGAGATCCATGGATTTTGCAGAGTGAGGGCTGGTGGGAATAAAGAACTCGTATTCTTCTTCATCTTCCGAAATACTTGAATCAAAGGATGACAGTGAAAATGTGGAATAGAATTGAGGTTGTATGTTGGCATGACTCCATTCTTCTGGACACTTTGTATTGGCTTGCTGGGAATGGGGTTTGATACCGTGAGTAATCGGTTTAAGTTTGCGGTATTGAGACGTGTTTACAGGACGTCTGGTTGGATGAGGTGCAAGAGAAGGTTCACTAGAGTAAGGGTGGTGGTGTTGGTGGCGAGTTTTGGAAAGGTGGTATTTGACGCAATTCATCATTATCAAAGATAGATAAAGGTAAGAGTGAGAGTGAGAGTAGAAGTGGTTTGTTAATGAAAGAGAAAAGAGAGGTTCACAAGAGGGAAACTTTTATATTTGCTGGATATTTCTGGTCCGTGCACAAATTATTTATATATTTTATACTTATTATTTAATGTATTCCTTAATTACTATTATATATATATTTTTACCATAATTTTACTAAAAAAAATCATACTCCTTGATCTTGTATAATACAAATAGCCTATTTAGACACTACTTTCTTTCTTTTTCATATTTGGTGACAAAGGGGCATGGCTTTGAAAGCTAAATTATCTGTTTATTTATCGGCAAATATGGCGCTTCATTCTGATTTCTACGAATAAATCCCTTGTATTACACTATATTTTACTCATCTAAAAAAGCGTTGGTTGACACAATCCATGTATTAAGCTATGTGGTTACTGCGAGAATGACGCTTATTCTGGCTACTAACGAATCCAAGAAGATATCATCTATTCTAGATTTAAATATTTAACGATGGGAATGCAGTCCTTTAAAAAGAAAGGCATTAAGAGTCGAGTAAAGTAGTGTTGTTCTTTCGTATTCTTTTGTATTTTGCTTATTTTGCTTTCCTTTTTTGATAAAAGGGAACCAATACTATGTTAGAGTTCGACTCGATTTGAATTTCAAGTAATCCAATCACTCTATCGAAAAATATTATCGCGATAATATACACATAAATATAGAGAGAAACCCTAATTTATGGATATTTAAAGGCTGGAACTTTATTCAAACGGACTAGCCCTTGAAACAGATTCAATATCTTTCAACACGTGAATTCCTTTTATTACTCCCTATAGCCTCTTTATATATGTATATCGTTCGATACCATTAATGATAGTGATATATGTATAAAAGTATATAAAAGTATATATAAATTGAATTAATATTAGTGTTGTGATCGATGAGTTTTTTTTATTCATTCATTATAGCCATTTTTATAGCCAACAAAAAAAATACAAACAAAACATAGTAATAAATATGCATAAATATATATAATAGTGTTGCTTTTGGATGAATTTTAATTCTCCCCAAAGGACCACACCACAAGTGACATGGCTGCATCAGGCACTAGAGGTCGTTTGAGAGCTACTATCTTGGTAGCATCCGAACACAGCCAGTCTATCTGCCATGGATAGTCCTCGTCGTGCTCAAGATCGAGTCTGACCAGATAATCAACTCCTTGGTGCCATTTTATCAATTGGCCACTACGATCCATAGGCACTCCTTTGGTACATGCGAGATCCCATATCCTGAGACCTGTACGATCAGCACTCACAAGCCGTCTGGCGGGCCCATCCAAAGTAAGCGCAGTAACCATGCATGTGTGGCCATATAGAGTCTGTAGAAAGACGAGATTGAAGACGTCAGGAGTAATGTCTACTCTATAGTGGCGAATCGTATTATTCGCATGAGCGGTTGCAAGGAATGGTGCATCGTATGCAATAGCAGTGATAGGAGGTTGGGTCGTATTGGTAAGGTTAGGTGTAAAGAAGAACGTATCTTGGTCAAGGGCAGAACAGTGTCGAGAAGAAATCAATGTGTGAAGCGAGACGATGATTTCCTAAATTCCAATTGTGCAGACAAAATAGCAGTCACATTAGTCTTAAAAAGGAAACAGGCTAGAAGTTCTGTTAGATTTTTATCCAGATGACTCGCACTTGCCTGTATTCCAATAGAGTAAGCATTTGTTCCGATACCCATGCCAAAACACACCAGCAGCCGCCAACGGTCCTTTATGCAACCTGCAGATGGCTTCTGTAACTTGAGGTCAAGCTCAACTGGGGTCCAATGCACAGGACTCTGCAGCTGGTAGATCAATCCTAGACGTTTTCTTTCTGTATTCTGATTGACATTAAATAAAGAGATCTTCATGGCAGCAGTGCAGATGGCTACAACAGGATATGCCATGGCAATTGATACCACACTGTCTGCTGACCGTGCCGAAGGTCGATAATCCACCCATTCTGTAGCATTATATCCGCCTTTCACAATCTCGATTTCCCACATGGCCATTCCCCCGTGTTCATATCCGGCCACAAGATGATATATGTCTTCTTGGCTAGTTTTTATCAACTTTAGGCATGTAACAGGAACCTCTTGGTGAGATAATGCCTGAAGATATCCGAGAATACGGTTTTTTTTCAGAGACCAGATTTCTATCTGAGAACCCGAGTTTGACTGGCACAAAATGGAGTCTATCGATTGAATACAAGGCTGACAGGGTGGCATAGGTTGCTTTCTCTCTGAATGGACAATTTGGCAATTACCTACATATATGCACACATAATAATAATAACAGTTATTATGATTATTATTTTATAAGAGCACAAATTAATAATCCTCATTTTAGTATATTCTATTTACAAACAAACAAATTAAGAGAAAAAGACAGTTCACTGCACTGTTAAAATACAGAATATACACAGGTACATATGCATCTTTATCTCTTTCTCCTTGTGTAGGTGAATTTAAGTAAGAAACATTATATTTACCAGAGCGCCAGTTGTGACTAATCTTGTACTTTGTTTTCCAAGGATGGACATTACAAGAATTCAATCTTGATCGATGACGGAATCTATCGAGAAAAAGAGGTCTCCAGAGCTGGTAAGGTTAATCAAAGTTCTTGCCTCCTTCTTTCTTTCATTTTTTCTTTAAAGAAGATTATTTTATTATATTTTGATGATTTAATTTTGTAAAATAATGAATGTACCAATTCATCGTTGGCTAATCGGGACCAACCTGTGCTGACCATAGCACATTGAGCAAGATCGTTTGCAGACAGATAGCTAAACACATGCAATACTATCTCATCCGACAAAAGTGAACTTGTGAAATCGATCAAGCGACTGATCTGTGGTGTTCGGCGTTGTCGTTTACGAGGCGGTTTTTGCATCGCACTGCGGCAAATACCCTTATTTTTTCTGTAAAGAAAATAAAGTAAAATAAAGTCGGATTCTGGCAACAGAAAAATAAAAATGCAGCAGGAACCCAAAAAAATGAAACACAAAAAAATGAAAATAGAAAAAGAAATGGAACAGCTCCATTATTGGAAGCTGTGATATTATTATTTATAAAAGGCATCCAATGCTACTGCTGCCCTTTTTTTTATATATTCTTGTTATATCACCTTCTATATATGTATGAGTATAAATTTTACTTTCACACAAGCATTATCAGATATAGATATAGATATATATATATATTGGGGGTATTCAGCCAGATTGATCGATCAAATTCTTGTGTGAATCTTGGCCAATGGTATCAATTTGTAGTTGAGGACACCAAAAGACAAAAGTACAAAATTCGTACAAAATTCATAGATTTTTATAGCATTTATAGAATAATCTTTGCACATTCTGATTTCTTCTTTGAACCTGTAGGCATCTAGACTCTCGAAGAAGTCAAGTGCTCTTTCCCTTTACTCAACACCTAGCAATACATTGTCAACCTTGTGTATGTATTTATTGGCTTTAAGTGTTTGTTTAAGCTCCTTCGCGGCAGCCATCTGCTCCAACTTTATATTAACTTCCTTTTTGATTACTTCTAAAATATCTTTAATAAGCTCGTCTGCACTTGCTAATAAAGACTCTACCAGTGTTTTTTTTTTCACGATAAATTCCCTGATTTTATGCGATTTCTTCTAGGCATCAATTGCTTGTTGCTTTGTACTATATTTTGGCATGTAAGATGGAGAGAAAGAAGTATTATATGACTGTTGGCAATACATTCTATGATTTATTAAGGAGAAAGATAAAAACAATATCGTATTGCATATAAAAAAGTAAAGATTAGGTTAATCAGAGCCGTACGTTTTTCGATCAAATTTTGATCGTCGCTATTACAATTTTAGTCCAATAATATCGCGTTCTGAATTCAAAGTTTGATCGATCAATCTGGCTGAGTACCCCCATTAAGAACGCTTAGCTTGTAATTCATTCATATTCAATTCGTTTCAAAATCCAACAAAAAGGTATATTTTAGCACTGTGCTAGTTTCAAAAACCAAAAAATCAATCAGTTATGTAAGGCCGTGAAATAAAAAGAAAAGGTCAAATCTAATCAGTTGCTTTATTATTATTACATGTAATAAGCTTGATCTCTTTCTTTTCCCTTCTTCTTCTTATTTTTTCCCAGGATATATAAAGGTCTTGTGGGATATCCAGTATCAGATTAAACTCCCTTTTTTTGGTGGACTGTGTAATTAATCCTGTGAGAATTGGGGGGGTCAACCGCAACTAAATAAAAAATAAATAAAAGAAAGATAGTCTGTTTCACAAGCATATCATTCTCATTATCATTATCATTATCACTATCACTATCACTATATTTATTTTCCTTATTGTATATAGCCCCTCACATTTAGATACGACATTAACATGCAAATTATACTCTTATTAAAAAAAAGCAGTAAGTCAAAAAAAGAAGCACATTATACTGACCAGAATTTTCTTTCTTTCTTTAAAATAATGCAAACAACAGTAGTAATAAAAGGTGTAACTAAGAGTATAAAATCAGGTCAATTCAGGGTTAAATTCTTTGCAGAGTTGATGTACAAGAAGAAGAAAATAAGAATGAAAAGTATAATATAGCACCATTGTTTTACAGAGTGTACATGCAGACATACGCACATATAATTTGGTTTTCAAAATATTCTATGCAGACAGCCTCTGTAGTTTAAGTAAAATAGGTACATACAAAAAGAAGATAAAGATAAAGAATACGTGCGTGAATAATACTCTCTAAAATAACTGTGCTCCTTTTCTTGGTAGATTTTACTTTTATACCTGTTATACCTCTAAAAAGAATACAATGGTATAAGCGTTAATTGTTGGCCCGGGAAGATCTTTGTACTATGGTGTACAAATATAACCAATATATCTTTTTTACCTCTTCTAGATTGATTCGTCTTAGTTACCCCCAAAATAAACGCACGCACTCAAAGGCACAAAATTCTATAGGCACATAAGCACAGACAGACAAATACATAGAATAAAGTAAAGCTGTGTAGCTATACATGGTTTCTACACTGTAAATATTTGACTCACTTTTATTTATATTTTATTTTATATATATGGGTGTGGGTGTGTGTGTAATGGTAATGATAGTAATAGTGATATATAAATATAAAAACATCTAATAGTTCTTCAAAGAAGATTCGAAAATAGCAGCAATCTGCTCGCGTCCAGGCTCTCCAGCAGGGGCCAACTTGGTAACACGGTGCTGAGGAAGGACACCTTCGACAAGGGCAGGGATATCAGAGTACTTGTAGCCGAGAGCACTGATGCCGTTGGGAACACCGAGGTCCTGGAGGAAGCGAGTCAAACGCTCGGCAAGGACTTCACCTGCAGATTCGGCCTTGATGGTAGCCCGGTCAGCACCGAAAGCAACGGCAGCATCAATGTGGCGATCAGGGCATGAAGCAGCCGTGAAACGGAAGACGGAGGGTGCAGACAAGGCAACAGACACACCTATGACAGCAAGTATTAGTTACAAATCGATCATGCACACAAGTCAAAGCTTATTGTATACACAAATATGCAGACAAGAATAACAGAGATTGTTTCAAAAAAAAAAGAATTCTTACCGTGAGGCTATAATAATAATAAAAGAGATAGAGAGAGAGATTGATTAGATATTAAAGTCCTTTTTGTTGTCGATGATGATTTTGGATCACAAAAAAAAAAGATGTGGTTTCAATAAACTTACAATAATAGAGTGGTCGACATCATAACCAGGGTGCTTGTAAGTCTTGTTGAGACCACTGATAGGATAACTCAAACCGTGGCAAAGATGGACACCTGCGTTACCGAAACCAATACCGGCAAAAGTAGAGGCCAACAACATCTGCTGTTGGGCTTCAAAGTCTTCGGGATCCTTGACAGCACGGGGCAAAAACTCGACAACCATCTTGAGAGCATGTAAAGACCAAATATCAGAGATGGGATTTGATCCTTGGTAAGCAGGACGCTCAATGGGATCTCTGGGACGAGGTGAGCGCTGGTTGTAAGGAAGAGCAGTGTAGGACTCAAGAGCGTGGCTAAGTCAACAAACCCAATTTTTTTATTAAAAAACAAAGAATATAACCATTTGATTTTTTATATAAATTGAAAAAAAGAGAGACTTACCAAAGAACATCAAGACCACTTGAGGCGTGGACCTGGGAAGGCATGCTGCGGGTGTTCAAAGGATCGACAATACCCAACAAAGGCTTGAGGGCACGGTGGGCAATACCGGTCTTGACGTGGAGAGGCTCATAGTCAAAGATGGCAGTACCGGTGGTCTCTGAGCCAGTACCAGCAGTGGTAGGTACAGCAATAAGAGGCTTGAGCTTGGATCTGACGGGAAGACCCTTGCCGATTGGTGCATTGACGAAATCGAGGAAGTCTGCCTCGGGGTTGGCACTGTAGAGACTGGCAGCCTTGGCAGTATCCATAACCGAGCCACCACCAACAGCAACAAAGGCGTCAGGACGGTGCTGGCGAGCAAATTCAATAGCCTGCTTGAAACTGGTATCGGTGGGCTCTACACGGACGGTATCGTAGAGTACGTAATTGACTTTGTTCATCTCGAGAGATTCGATCACAGCACGCATGGGGTGCAATTTGGCAATCTAGATCATAAATCATAAATCATAAATATAAATATAAATATATAAAAGAAGGAAAGGTATAAACGAAAAATCTGTGCAACTATGCTTCTGTATCTTATGTATATAATATTCTTATTATTGCAGTTGCTGTTGCAAATATACCACTCACAGTCTTGTCAGTATAGACGGCGACCTTCTTGGCGTGGAGATTGTTGAGATCCATACCGATTTCACTACACAATTTAATCCATACACGCACATCAATACATATACATACATACATACACCCATGATATCAAAAAAGTACTAGCCAATACTTTTGAAGAAAATAAAATAAAGCTACTTTTATATGTATATGATTTACCTTGTTACTCCCGGGCCAAAACGGATGTTACTGGCAGCCATCTCGAATGCATAGTCGGTAGAGTCTGCAGCATTTGCGTACTGGCGGCCGTACTTGAGGAGACTCGAGAAGGATCCTGGGGTGGGCAAGGCAGTGTGTGCGTGCGAGTGACAGGGACAAGCGTTCGAGGAGCTCTGAAGAAGACTCAACAGACGGACAACATTGGAGCGAGATGCAGACGCAGCCATTTTTTTTTCTCTTTAAGAAATTATTATGATTTGGAAAGGGGAGGTTGGAAAGAAAGAAAAAAACAAAGCAAAGCAAAGAAGAGCAAGGAGTCCCAGGCAAAGGCACCTCCTCTATTTGAGCTTTTTTTGTGAACAGCTTTCCCACACCTTGGCCCGACTTACAACTATTTGCCATTTTCTCCACGGTCACATGATGTGTCTCACCAGAACAGCCTTGAATACCCCACAGGAGCGCACGTACATTTAACCGTCAAAGCAAATAGAGTGAGAAAAGGGTCAAGTAAAGTTAAATGTTTTACCTCCACCTCCTCTCCATCATACTGCCTTTTGCATGAGTTATTTTATTTTTCGTTGATTGAATAGGGACTGTCTGTGGGTTTGGGATCGTTTCTTTCTTTTTTAAAAAAAAAACTTTGCTTGCTTGCTTGGATGTTTATAAAAAGCATTTGATTTGAAACACTTGAAAATATATGTATTTATAAATTACACACTCGGGACAGAGGACATTTTAATGAATATGTAAAAATAAGATAAGAAGAAGAGGCAATATAATAAAATATACCATAATAGAACAGAACAGAATTGGGAGATGGCGAAAATAAATGTTGATTTTTAAATAAGAGTAAAGAAAGCGAAAAATAAAGTATGAAAGTAAGATAATAGTAATAAAGAGTATATGGGGCACTTGTTTTAATATACAATGTCAAGACAAGAACCAGGTAAACCAGCCTAGGCAGTCGCGACAGCAATCTCCTCCACATTTTGAGGGATATAGTGGATCACATTGGGTACAGGGCAATAGATGTACTATAAGATGGGGTTAGTACTACATCAAAACCCAAAAAGAGAAATAAAGAAACCCAAAACCAAAAAGCTAAAGCTAAAGAGAGAGAAAAGAAATACTTACATCACGGTAGAGTTCTTCGATCTTCATACGAACCAAGCACTTTCCAGGAACCTTTGGTGTCTCCATAAATACCTTCCACATAGGATGATCCCTGGGAATCATTTGGCTCATGTGCTTTCGCAGGAGTTCCCAGCCAACACCGTTGTAGTGGAGATCAAGGACGCGGATGAGACGCTGGAGGTGAGAGTGGATAAGGGTGTGGTAGAGTAGTTTGTAGACTTCCTCGAGTGTGTCAGCCACGACGCAGCTGTCTGGCAGGACATCAATGTCAACACCGGCCGACTTGCGAAGGGTTTCACGGTGAACCTTGACTCCACCAAAATCACGGGCCACAAATCCCTTGAGTTCGCCGGTCTCCTTGTCGAAGCGAGCAAGAGTGTTCTGGCCGTGGGCTTCAAAAGCAACGCCGTTGATCAGACAGGGTGGGAGGAAGGCCTGGAGGGCAAGATCGATGTAACGATCGAGGAAGGCGATCCGCTTGGCCTCCGAATCGAGCTTCCAGACATGGGTCAGCAGAGTTTCATCAGTGTCAGGGCGCTGGATCTTTTCGACTAGTGCGGCACAGACAACAACCTTGTCCGGACACTGTTCAGCATCTACAGGGAATTCGACTGCCTCACGTAACACACAGCTGCAGTGTTTAGCGATGTCAAAGTCGGCATTGACGTGGACCGCACTGCTCAATTCACGCTCGACGGTGAGGACATTGGGATCGTAGGTGAGTTTGGGGACGACGTCGTAAGAGAATCCGGGCCCAAAGTGAGTCGAGAAGGGTGTGATGGTGCGGAGAGCAGAGGAGATCTTGATGCCAAGACAAAGCTTGAGACTGAGTCCGGGAAGAATGTCAGGAACGGCCACAGAACGGAGAGAAGTCAAGCTCTGGATTGTGACACTGTTCTCTTTGGGCAACACTGTTGCTTCCGGAAACTTGGACTCGACGTTTGGTACTTGGAGTTCATGGATAGGAATAAAGATGTGGTTGGGGTACGCAGCACGCATTTCATCAGCCGATTTGCCCTCGGACTTGCTGAGGATGGCATTGACAATAGGAGCCGACAGCTTTTCAAAATCACCACGTATCTTTAGAGAGCTTACAGGTACGGCAACCAGACGAAGCTGAGGTTGCTCGAGATTGACCTTGCCGGGAATAAGAGGGGGCATTGGAGGATAGCTCTTTCTGGCTTTGTGCATCTACGACCAACCCAAAAGAAAATATTAATGATAAGAATACAAGAGTAACATACTTTTTACAAATATGCGTATTATTATTTTTTGGGTGAATTTGTTTTTTATTTGCAATATTTGCGGCGCTATAATAATCATAATCATAATGATGATGATGATAATGATATATATATATATATATAATATTATACTTACGGGATGAGTGGCATGGCCTTCAAGGACAGACTGCTCCCAATGAATGCTTGAAGACTTGAGAGTAGGAAGTGACTTGGGGTTATCATAAGCATAATCTGTCAAAGATAATTATGTTTTTTTTAATGAGATGATATTGTTGATAGGTGAGGAATTTTTGGTTTAAAATATAAATCAAAAATATATATACGCACAAACACACAGACAAAAAGAAACAAACAAACGAAAAAAATGCAATAGAATCTAACTAAAGCAGTAGTACAGATTCAAACATTCTCATTGTAACTTACTCTGGTGTTCAATAGAGCTGTTCAACTCCAATCCAATTTCCTCGGTCAACTTGGGATCGACGCCAAAGTCATCGGCAAACTGCTTCCAGAGCTGTACGGCATCAAAGGCATCGATGAGCTTCTTGGCAGTCAACTGAATGTTGGGTTTGCAGACAGAAACCAAGAGATCATAGACCTGGTTGCGGAGGTTGTCGTCCGAGATGGTGAGGGTAGAAGGTTCTTGGCCTTGAATGGAATAGATGTGGGACAACATGTCCATAGGATCGATAAGATCAATGCGGGGACATTTGATGTCGTTGAGTACGGCACATGAGCCAGTCTCGGTCGAGAGGATTGGGACACCACGGAGAGGGATGACAGCCAGGACATCAGATAGACGGATGGTAGAGGGAGTTTCCTGGGTAGAGCTGCAGTTTGGACGGACCAAGAGGCAGATTGGGGTGCCCTGGGGTGTGTTTGCGGGAACATAGTAGGCAGATACCAGGGTTTCCATCACAAGGCAGGAGATAAGTCTGGATGTGGTAGCAAACTTTGCATACTGAAGGTTCTTTGACATGGTGAGAGAGACAGGCATTTGAGAGTGTTTTAATCAAAAGAAAAGGTATATATTATTATTATGACTATTGAAATAATAGCTTGATATTTTTATTTATATATATATATATAAATATATATATATAAATATTTTTAGTGGCGAAACAAGTGTAAAGATTGAAAGTGAATTATTTATACGCGTCTTTAAATATCCTAAAAAAAAATCCAAAAATTTATTCTATTTTATTTTTATTATATTATTTTATATTATTTTATGTACCCAATCCAAAGGTTTTCTTATCAGATCTTTCTGTCTGTCATCCAGAATATATATATTTATATCGTTATATTCACAATTTCTTTTTTTATTGATTGAAAGATCGGGATCTTTGATGTCCTGCCTAATATTTCGATACAAGAACATCACCAAAATAAGAATACATTTCTTTCTTTCTTTCTTTCTTTCTTTTTTTTTTGCAAGATCTACTGGTCTTGGTGGTACATTTATTCTCTATTACAGACCATGACGTTTCAGAACTGGTGAATGCACACACACAATTGTACACACCTGTACACATCTCCGCGGACTCAATTATGGACCCAAGGTTTCAGTAAATGGATTTTTAGACCTTTTATATATATATATATTCTATTTAATTTAAGCGTAGATTATTTATTTATACAAGAAATCTTATCTATTGTTAAAGATTATTAATATTATTATTATTTCATTCACTCAACTCCTAAACTTTTTTCTTACTACCGTATCGTGGTTTATACTCTATAGACTTTTGACGATCCCGACAAAGCACCATTCCAACAGAATTCTGGGAATTCAGTTCAATATGTGTGTGTGAGTGTGTTTTTTTTCTAGTGCGGATAAGCCAGCAAAATATTGCACAAGCTAGACTGTTAACCGGGAGCAAAATAATAATAATAATGTGAATAAAATATATTATATATACATATATATAATACATGGTTATTCTATATAAAATAAAATAAAATAAAATAATTTTTATTTTTTAAAATTAAAAAATAATAATATTATATTTATTTATTTACTATACTTTGATCCCATTGTGTATATACCATTAGAAGATTGATGTTGTTGTTTTTTGGCTCTGTTTATTCATCCTGGTGAAACAACAGTAATAATATATATATATTTATATATATTTATATTAAAGAACAAGACGATCAAAAGGGCGCTGTTTTGGACAGTATAGAAATGAATGTTGGTTGTAGGCACAAACTGAACGGCGTAGGAATGTTCATAATGCTAATGCTAATGTTAGGGCCAAGGCCAAGGCTAACGTTAATGCTAAAGCTAAAGTTAAAACTAAAATAAATAAAAAAATAAAAAATAATTCACAAGTGTGTAGATTTTAATTAACTCTTAGTTATCTGATCTTTATTTCCATTTTATCCAGCCAATAATTTTACAGCACCGATCACTTTGGAAACTGCAGTGTATTGATTACATTATAATAAATTATAAGATAAGATGAAACATATTAAATATACAGATGTATATGTGTGTGTATGTTTAAATCTACATCTATACCCATTATAAGCTAGTCAGATAACCATAGTATTATTAGTATTTCCATACATTTAGCTACATCTAATTTAATCTGATAAATAAGTAGATGCATACAAATACATATATCTGATCTACTTTATTCATTTATTTATTTTCTTGTTGCTAGCATTCTGTTACTAGGCAACTGTTGATCATGTGAGATTATCTATACTTTCCTATTTCGTATTGTTATGGAAACCTGTCTTCTCATTTGTATGTATATGTATATTTATATGTATTTCATTTTATACGCCCGCCTTCTCCGTTGCATTAACTTTTTTGTAATCTGATCGATTGAAGCGGTTTTTTCTTAGTTTCTTGCCTATGTGTTTGTACTCTGGTGATAAAAACTGTACACAAGGCACACTTAATTGACTTAGACTTGTGTAAGATCTTATCAAATTAGATCTTGTCTTTTTGTGTATGTGATTGTGATTATGATTATATGATCATTATTATTATTATTTTTTAAGAAAACAGGGATCACATAATCCAGCTGTTTGTTATTTTCAACAAAATAAGACACCATTTCAGTTTATACAACTTGTATTTTCCGCAAGTAACCAAGGCAGTTTGTTTTCTTTTGTATTAATTTGGAATGAATCGCTTCATTTGCTTTAGTGAAACATATCCACAACATACATTTACACACACACACACACACATACGGAATACATACATGTACATGTGTATGTACATGTGTACATCTATATCCAAATCTACATGTATATGTACATGTACATACGTGTACTTGTGTATGTGTGTATGTGTGTACGTGTGGATAACTTTTATGTTGATAATCTGTAATCTTTTTTTTTAATGAATTTATGTATAATAAGAATATGATGTCTTGATATATACATTTAAACATTTAAGCATTTAAGCATTTAAACATTTGTAAATCCATTTACATAAAGTTGGCTTTACATATCAATGTAGCCAGTATCTTGTACCTGGGTTCATAAATGGAAATCAATATTCATTTTAGCCACAATTATCAAATCCTTGTTGGTAAACCTGTAAGGATTTACAGAAATTGACTTTTTTTTTTTCAATAATTCAAATATATTACTCTACTAATCTTTAACTCCTTTCTATTCCTTTTTCTTTCTTCCTTTATATTATTCGAGATATGTACATATATACATATATTAAGCCCTTGTAGTTTAAGTTCAAGTAACTGAAGATAAACAGTCTCATTAGTCTTCTGGGTTATAGCGGGGGTGTTCGGGTGGGTTGACCATTGTTGAACAAAAAAAAACAAGGCAGAGGAAAATGGTATATTCGGAAAATAGACTGCGTAGTATTGACAGGCCATACGGAATGGTTCCACAGACGGTAAGCCAAAAAAAAAAAAAAAAAAAAACCAAGCCAAGCCAAGATACAGTGTCCGATACACGGACGGCCCAAGAATTTCTCTTCTCAATCTATCTCTGCCTCTTTGTGTCTTTGTTTCAATTATTATTTCTAATATATATATATATATTTAATATTTAATATTTAATATTTAATATTGTAATCATTAAAATAAAGAAAAAAAATTGGTCTTCCCTACAAAGAACTTCATTCTTTACCCGCTTAATGTTGCAATAGAAAACGAAGTCTTGCTGTCCTTTCCAATCTTGTTTTCTTTCTTTATTTCTTTCTTTCAATCATAAAATTATATGTATATGTATATATATATATATATAAAGTTGTAAGACCGCGTAAGACAAGAAAAAGGAATATGTGTGAACAGATTCATATTAACGCAACGGAAAATGTATCATCCAACGGCATAAAGGACATAATTAAAAAAGGGAGAAATGTATTGCTTTGTAATCAATACAAATCCTATTGAGATTATTCCACAGACTAGATGCCAAGTGATATGAATGTGTGATTTTATTTTATGTATGTAATTTTGCGTGCATGTGCGTGTGTTTATATCAAAGCAAGTTACTCTTATTATTATTATTTTTTATGCTTTTAGTTTTATAGACATTAAATTATAATTTCTACCTATTCTCCTTCTCCTTCTTCTTCCTCTTCTTCCTTCTTCTTCTCCAATTGCCTATTTAAGTCTTTTAAGCTTCCATTGAAAGTAGAAAGAATACCATATATATATATAGATAAAAAACATGTGCAATATTTTGGTTCATTCTTTTCTCTTAATGAACCACTTTTATCGTTAATATATTTATACTAGACAATTTCAATAATCGTCTCAGTCTCTTTTAAATATCAGCATCTTCTTTACAAAACTAAACAGAACAAAGAGAACAAGAAGAACAACCAAGAATATACTTATAATAATAATACAAAATTGTAGATCATGAAAGACTTAACCAATTGAAACCCAGTCCTTATTGGTTTTTCTTTTTCTGTTTGGTTACCCTTTCCATTTTTTTTAAAAATTCTTTTTTTTTCTCTCTGTTGAAACTTGATGCAATGAGTTCTGGTCTCACACGTCGTCATGTACAGCGACAAGAATCTGCTCCAGAAGAAACCAATGAAACTGACCCTGATGTTCAAGACCCAACCATGCCACGTCTGACTCTTTTAGAAGAAGTCCTATTATTGGGATTAAAAGACGAACAGGTACAGGCACAAATCCAACTCATCTATACATTATACATTATACATTATACATTTCATACAAAAGAAAAACAAAAAAAATTATTATAATAATAATAATAATACAAAGGCACCTTATTACTATATTCTTCTTCTTCTTATTATTCTCTTGCTGCTACTGTTGTTGCTGTTATTGTTGCTATGTGTGTGTGTGTGTGTTTTTGTGTGGGGAAGAAAGATAAATAACTAAATGAGATTACATCTACTTATATATATATATACATACATACATATATACATATATACATATATACATATATACATATATACTTTATTTATTTATTTTTTAAAAAAAAAACCCAAACAAACAAAAAAAAACTTATAAACATTAGGGTCATTTATCATTTTGGAATGACCACATCAGTTACGTTTTACGTGGTTGCATTCTTCTCGAGCTGGCATTGAGGGGCAGGATTGCCATGGTTAAGGATCCCAATAGACGACATTTTGAATTATGCGAACGGATGATCGAGGTGATCAATGACCGAAACACAGGTGAAATGTTGTTGGATGAGACTCTCAAGTTGATGAAGGCCAGTGAGCCAATGAGTGTACAAACTTGGATTGACCTATTGAGTGGTATGTTTTTTATTTTTTTTATTATTATTATTATAATAATAATAATAATAGTATTAGTAGTAGTAGACTTGAATATATATACATATACCTAAAACTTAACACCTACTACAACAACAATAATAATAATAATATACGTGGATTTGTTTAATATAATAGGAGAGACGTGGAATGTACTCAAGCTAGGATATCAGTTAAAGCAGGTCCGAGAAAGACTAGCAAAAGGATTGGTAGACAAGGGTATCCTGAGAACAGAAAAACGCAACTTCTTGCTGTTCGATATGGCCACCCACCCGCTCGCCGATCGTCATTGTAAAGAGGCTCTGCTGGACCGGGTGTGTTCATCACTAGTATCCCGCCATTCAAGTCCCCCAAACGGCACAGACATCGACAAGGTCTATGGCTACTTGCGAACGACTACTATGGTTTGTAGTGCATATGCAGCAAATGTTCTCGAGAATGCGCTGATGACACTTGACTACGAGTCGCGCGAGAAGGCGTACGCAAAAGTCGATGAATTATTAGCAGATTTCTCGGTATGGCCATTGACCGGCTCAGGTGCCCAATTGCAGATTCCAGATGGAAAAGCCCTGAGTTTTGAAGTGATCCCAGCTGTCCTAAGTGTCTTTACCAAGATGGATTCCATTGTAAGTCTAATATACATTATATGGGTCTGTGAAATGTGAATTGTGAAATGTGAAATGTGCATTTTTGTATGTGTAATATGGTATGTAATTAATTTTGACTCTATCCTTATTTTCTTTAGCTGTAAATAATTTAAAACGTATGTGCTGGTAATTGAATTAGAAGATATTGGGATGAAGAAGTATATTGTGACTGTGTGCTCAACCATTATTTTTTTAATATAATATATATATATATATATATATGTATATAAAAATGATTTCTTCATTTTTATTTTATTTCACTGCCTTTCTTTTCTTCTTCTTTTTAATACTACTTTATATATACATTTAAATATATATCTCTCTTTCTCCTTTTTTTATTACTATTTTTGGAAGGCCCTCTCTTTTTTTTTTGAAAAAAAAAAAACAAATGGCGGACGACGAATCCCCTTTTCAATTCGACTTTGATGACGATGTATTTCTGACAGAAAGAATCAGATCCAAACCTGAAACTGTTAAAGTGGAATATGAAGCTAAACAAGAAACCGATGGCGTGAGTCGATTCAAATTTCACATTTCTTTTCGCATAATGGACTACCAAAAAGATAACAACAGCAATGATAATAGAAAAACTAAAGCATAATATATATATATATATATATCTTTTCTCTTTCTCTTTTTATCGTTTTGTAAAAAAAATCGGACAAGTGGTTCCACAGCACAAAGAATTACGAAGTCTTGATGTTGGAACGTCATGGGCCTAATCAACTCAAGAGTGCGATCGAACACGATTACCTCTACAAACGATACGAGCGTGCACTCGAAGGTGCCCTGGCTTTTATTCACATTTCTGATACCAATCCTGCCTGCAAGATCAACAACACTCGTGAGATGTGTGAGATTGCGATCCATTCTGCAGTTCGATTGAATAACTATGCATTGGCTGAAAAAATACTGGATAGAAAACAGGTAATAGGCCAATATATAAATATATATATATAAAGGTACTTTTTGGCTTATTGTTGGTTTGTATTGCTGTAGCCTACAATGGAACTCGGGCCTTTACTGTTAAAAGGAGCAATCTACCCTCATTGCAATAATCGACATGGAGACGCACTTGCTAGTTTGGTAGATTACAGTCAACAACGTCGACTCGATTACGCTGCATGGAGACAGATGGCAGCAATCTTTATGGATGCCTGGACAAAAGATAAGAATTTAAATGAAAACCCCGAAGAGATGCGAATCAATATAGCATTCCTGTGCTTGCAACGTGCTCATCGGATCATGACTTCAAGCCGATGGTTCCTCAAGTCAGAGTTTGTACGTCGTCGGTATGAGAGGGAACTCAAGGTTCTGGTGAAAGAGATGGAGGCAGTCGAACAAGGAGATGCAGGCCAATTTGTGGCGTGGATCAATGGGCCAAAGCCGAATGCAAAAGCAGCAGGACTGGGAGTGTACAAATGGAAGGATATTGAGTGGATAGCTTGTGAGTGGACATCCCTCTTTGAAGAAGAAGAAGAACAAGTAAAGGTAGCTGATCTTTAGAATGAATAAAGTATATAGAGGATCTATACAGCTTTCTTCTCTTTGTAAAAATAAAATAAAATAAAATAATATATATATATATATATATATAAATAAAACACAAAATATAATATAAAATAGAAGGCAACATTTGATTGCTTGAATTGAATTGAATTGAGGAATATTGTTTTTTTTTTCATATCCATATTCAGTTGTATGTTTGTTTTTATGTTGTTCTTTAATATTATTGTGGTAATGATTTGGCTTTTTTTTTTTTGTTTTTTTTGGAAAAGCACTTCTCTTTCTCTAAAGAAGAGTTAAAAAAAAGGGGGGGTAAAGGAAGAGACGTTCAAGGGTTTGTTTTTTTTATGATTTCCTTATTAATTATTTTTTTTTGAAAAAAAAAACAGAATAAAAAGGAAAATAAAAAGCACCCCTTGAAATCACTCCTTTTGTTTATTTGGTGTCTCTTTCTCTCTTTGATGCTCTTTATAACAAAAACAAACTTCTTTAATCGCGAGCCTCATCATCCTCTGCCTTCTTGTCGTTCTTCTCGCTCTCTATATATACGTTTGAAATAAAAAAGAAAGAATTAAAAAATAATAATTAACATCAGAAATTGAAACACCCTTAATTTTTATATATATATATATTGATAAAGAAAAAGAAACAAACTTACCCTCTTGGAGGTCAGAAGTCCACAAGGTGAGGTTGTCTCTCAAGAGCTGCATGATGAGAGTAGAATCCTTGTAAGACTCCTCGGACAGAGTATCGAGTTCGGCAATGGCATCGTCGAATGCCTGCTTGGCAAGGTGGCAAGCACGGTCGGGGGAGTTGAGGATCTCGTAGTAGAAGACGGAGAAGTTGAGGGCAAGACCAAGACGGATGGGGTGGGTGGTGGCCAACTCGACCTGGGCAACATCGGTGGCAGCCTTGTAGGCATCGTGGGCAGCAGTGGCGGCTTCCTTGCGCTCGTCGCCGGTGGCGTACTCGGCAACGTAGCGGTGGTAGTCACCCTTCATCTTGTAGTAGAATACCTTGGCCTCACCCTCGGTGGCAGAGGGAATGAGGTGGTCCTTGAGGAGGGCAAGGATGTCGTTGCAGACATCGTAGAGCTCGCTCTCGATCTTCTTTCTGTATTCCTTGATCTTGGCAACCTGGGCATCGTGGCCCTTGGACTCCTCCTTCTGCTCGATGGAGGAAACGATTCTCCAGGAAGCACGACGGGCACCAATCACGTTCTTGTAAGCGACAGACAACAAGTTGCGCTCCTCAACAGTCAGATCAACACCCAACTAATATTATTATTTTTATAAAATAAAAAAAGAAAGGTGTATTAGATATTGGGTTTTAAATAAGCGTGATTTGATTTGATTTGATTTGATTAGAATATAAATATTTTTTTAACTACAATCCTTACCTTGGCGACATCCTTCATGGAGTTAACCATTTCTATTTAGTACACAGAATAGATCATGTATTTGTTAGCCACAAGAATTCCATATGATTATACAATCAAAATTGATGGTAGCAAAAGAGGGAGAAAAAAAGGCAAAGGAAATGAATGGAAATGAATGGAAAATAAAGGGGGTAGAGAAGAAGAAGAAGAACAAAAAGAGATTAAAAACAGAGGAGGTAGAATATGGGTGCGTAGGAGAGGGGGAGTAAAAGAAAGAGCGAGAAGGAAATCAAATACACACATGTATGTATGTATGTATGTATGTGTATGTGTGTATGTATATATTTATATATAATAAAATAAAATAAAATAAAATAAAAAGGCTTTCTAATTTATATTCCGCTTCATGGACTCACCATCATAACGCTCCGCCTGTTCGGCAATCTTGGCCATGTAGACCTACAAAACATGTCACTAATTTAGTCATCTTGGGTCATCACTTGCTTTTACAGCAGTGGGACACAGCCAGTATAGACCGGACACTGGTTATGTAGGTAGATGAGGTGTCCTTGGTCGGTCATCTGGTGTGACGGCAACTCAAAACGCATCTTGTTTACCTTATCTTCACGTTCCTACACGAGCACACACACACACACACACACATACAAATATTATATTTAGTAAACCTATTCATGACTCACTTGAGGGTCTTGATGGAACCCAAATAAAGATGATACCAAGACAAGAGCAATATACTTACGGTAGCCATGTCAGTTATTGAAATTGTGTGTGTAAGTGAGAGAGAGAGAGAGGGAGAGAGAGAGAGAGAAAGTGTGTGCGTGTGTGTGTACAAAGAAAGTAAGAAGCAGAGAAGAAGAAGAGGGCGAGGTCGGGGCCCGGAGCTCCGTTAAAAACTCGCTTTTTTTTTACAAAAAAAAAAAAAGGAAAATGCACGTGGTGCAAGTTGAATCGCGTGTCGTCACTAGACCGACTATTGAGATTATATTATTTTTGGTAGAAACAGAAACCAAAATAGCATATATAAATATATATATATATATATATATATATATATGTATATACAGAGATACGTATGTATGATATGTATGATATATATGATATGCTTGTATGGTGAAATTTCAGCTTGAGAATTAATCGATATCCACGGACACATTTGGTATTTTGATTTTGTGATTTTGTGTGTCTGTATCAGTTTTTGTACAAACACACAGATATATTATATATATGAGTCCTTTATTTGAATTGAATTATGTCCAAAAGAAACTATCATTTAATGAAAAGTAAAGGTATAGATATATAGGTGGGTGCTTAAAAATGCTTTCCTAACCAGCGAAAGGGAGCTTTGGCTGCTGGTAAAGTAAAGATTACAAGGCCAGCTGTGGCAACCAATCCAAGCATAATCCACATATCGGCCACTCCGCGATTTTCATATACGTAACCAGCCACTAATGCTCCTGTGCCTCCACCGACGCCATTGAAACTGACATTCAGTAGGCCTTGAGCCGTACTCTTTAAACCAAGAGGAGCCACTGCATCTGCCTGCAGAGCTGCAGCAGTCCATATCATTGAAAACATTACACCTATCAGAAAATAAAAATAAAAATAAAAAAAAAGCATTATTTAGGATTTTGATTTTAACTTTAATTTTTCTTTTTTTTTCTTTTTCTTTTCGTTTGGAATCCACAACTTACCATGAGCAAGATGGTTAATGGTAACCAGCCAAGCACCCCAGGTAATCTCCATGGCCAAGATGTAGATAATGACTCGATAGATAGCAATAAGGTGAGCTATGGTCAGCATCCACCGGACGCCCATAGCCTTGAATATCTGGTGTTTGATTTGTTAGAATCAGTAGATTGGTATTGGTATGGTTTGTTGATTTACCTGCTTGGAGAAGAAGAACACCAATAATTCAGAGAAGCCACTTAGTGGACCAAGCAGACCAATCATGGCAGGTGTGCCATGAAGATCATTGCGGATAAACATAAACAAAAAGATCTGAAAGGTGGAGAAACAGAAGCCGAGGATTGCGACTACTGTGTAGAAATGCATGCTTTCTGGCTGACGGAACAGATGCCACATCGACTTGTCTTGCTTCTCGACACCGTTTTCAGACAAAGATGGGGTGGTTGATCCTACGGCTATTAAGGTGGCAGCTGATGCAGGGTCCGGCAGAAGAGGTGTTTCTTCCTCGTCGACGGGCTTGGGGTATCGGTGGGGTGTCAGATCTATGGCTGCAATTGTGGCAATAAACCCAAGCACATACACGGCGTATACCCAAAAGAGTGCATACTGAGTCTCAAAAGTCTCCTGCAGCAGACCAACCAAAAAGATTGCAGAGCTGACTCCAATCGGACAGCCAATCTTTTGTCTTCCATATAATGCCTTGTCATCACCCAATGCCCTCAGAGTCACACAGTCGACCATGGCAGAAATCATCGGATATCCACAGAATGCATAGCCAAAGCAACCAAGAGCCACCAAAACAATTGTGGTTGATTCCTGGTTGGTTATAAAAGGTACCAGACCGATAGATAGAATAGACTTGACAAAAAAAAATTTTTTTTTTAAAAAAAAAGGTTCGACTTTATTTGCTTTCTTTCTTTCTTTTTGGGTGTGCGGGTCTTGGACTTACAAAAAGTGCGATAAACATATTGCTTATCATAATGGTCTTATAGGCATGTGTACGGTCTGCCAGATGGGTCCAGTACGGAAACGCAATGCAGGATGTAAACGGAACTGAGAAGTTGTTTAAGGATAGCTTGTTTTAGCTTAATGTGTGTTTATGTAAAAGAAACTTGTTTATTTATTTATTCTTCTTACTGATAGAAAATATCATTCCAATCTTATCTGACCCCAGCCCAAGGATGTCTTTGAAGAATAGTGGAAGAAATAGCTGGGAAGCAACAAGACTTCCGATACTAAAGACACTCAATAGCTTGAGTCCGATAAAATGAGGCATTTCAAGGCAACAACAAAAACAATAAAATTAGACTATCAAAGTAACAGCAGGAAATATATAGGAAATTAAAGGGGTTGAATAAAGCAAAATGTATATATAAATAAATAAAAAAAAGAAAGAAAGAAAGAAAGTGAAAAAGTGAAAAAGGATAAAATCGAGGGATAAAAAGAGAAAGATGCGAGGAGTTGAGAAATTGTTGTTATTATTATTATTATTATTATTATTATTATTATTATTATAGAGGGGGTTTCAATATTCCTGTACTGTACTGCACTGTACTGTGCTGTGCTGTGCTGTGCTGTGCTGTGCTGTGTACTATGTACCGTGAGCTGTGTACTATGTAATGTGAGCTGTGTACTGGTGTTGCTGTCTGTTGCACGTCAAAAATAAGAAATAAAAAAAAAGGTTATTATGGCTTATTAATAATCTGCACTCACACAAAGGCTTGTTTGCTGTGCACATAATCATGTTTGAACCCTAAACCAAAATAATAATAATAATAATAGGCAAGTGCCAGAAATAAAGCTTATCTTGCCTTATTCATGCCTTTGAGAAATGCATCAAGATCTACCATTTTCTGTTCCATTGTACATACATGTTTATTATTACTTTTATTATTATTACTATTCTTTTCACTTGGGAAATATACAGAATATACAGTATTTATATAAAGTAACCACAGCGAAACAGGCAGAGTCTAAAAGACTAAAAGCCTAAAAGCCTAAAAGCCTAAAATCCAAAGAGCCTAAAATCCAAAGAACCAAAGAGCCAAAGAGCCAGAGAGATAAAGGAATCCAGGGGGTTTGTATGTGTATGTGTATATATATATATATATATATATATATATATATATATTGTTGTTGTTGTTGTTGTTGTTATTGTGGAATTTAAAAAAGCGATTACAAAATAAAATAAAAAAAAATAAAAAAAAAGCCATAGGTATTAAACACATCTATTATTCTGAATGGCTCATAAAGGGTGGCACATTGGGTTGAATAGGCGGCTGTTGCTGTTGATGTTGTTGCTGTTGTTGTCGTGCGTAGGTGTCATAAAAGTCATCATTTGGATAGCTCATCCGATGTTGATGAACCGGACGATCTTTGTCAAATGCTTTGGTGTAATCCAACGGGACAAAGGACGGCAGTGGGCTCGGCTGGACGGCGAGAGGGTGCAGAGGATGTACAACAGGGTTCAGGAGCTGGACAAGATTGGTGGAGTCTGGCTTGGGTGAGAAGCCAAACGGTGATTGTTGTTGGGGATGGGGTTGGGGTTGTCCGTAGAGTATATCTGATCTTGGCTCACTCTCGCTGCTGCTACTGTTGCTGTTGCTGTATGGCGCAGAGGACGTTGAGGAGTGGCGTTGGTGGAATCGTTCGTGGGTGTACAATGGAGCAAAAGAAGGCTGCCGTGCCATCTCAGATTCCATGACGTGCGATTTTTCAGTTTGATAGGATCCCAGAGACAGACTACGTGGTCCACACGCCTGAGGTTTTTCTACTATAATAACTTTTTAATATCTTTATTTTGGCAACCCTTACATACAATGAAAAAGATTTCTTTATAAAATGATAAAGAAATAGAGTATTTAATTTTGATTCTTATGAAATGTACCTTTGTAATAGGGGGCCGGGACCGGTGGGGGTTGTCTCTGAGGGTTAGATTCTTCTGCAAATAGCGGAACCCTGAAATTCTGTTTGACGAGCAGGTCGGGGGAGATTTCCAATCGTGAGAGTTGTGGATTGGACGACGGTGTGCTGAGCCGATGTTGAACCACGTCAAGGGGATTGTAGTAAGACACCAGATGATGCGATACTCCATGGACTACAATCGACATGCTCTTCTTGATCAGCCCATCCGGACGAAATCTAAAGCTGTCCGAAAGACTTCCCACCAGCTGGCGTTCCCGACTGCGATGCATCGTGCCAGGGTCTGGGTTGAGGGACCAGCTTGAAGAAGACTTTTTTTTGTCTGATTTCTTGTCGATTTCCCTGTAGATCAGAAAGTTTCCCAGGATACGACTCGGACTCCAGTAACGACCGTCTGTCCACCTCTTGATTCCTTTTATTATTCATTATTCATTATTCATTATTATTCATTTATTATTAATTTAAATGATCAATATTTATTTATTTATTTATTTATTTATTCATTCATTTATTACATATACATATGTATATTTATATTTATATTTATATACATGGATACACACGCACACACACACACACACACATACACACGCACACACACAAAATATAGACATTTTTTTTTGTAAAGTTATTAAATAAATAAATAAAATAAAAGACGTTGAAATTATGATTATTACTTTTCTTTTTATTTTAAATAGCAGCTATATGTATTCTGTAAAGAAGTAGAAAAAGAAAAAGATAGGAAGGAAGGACAGTCCATCGTACCTGATTCATGTTCGTCAAATACAAACACGGAACCTGATCTAATCATGCGCCGTTCTCTTTCTTGTAAGCGACGTCCTATTCTCGGCAAAAGGCCCCTTCGACAGCCTTCAAACACGAGAAGAACATCGTGAGTGTTTTCTATAAACCCGTGGAATGTCTCGGTGACAGTCATATAAAGATAGTAGTAAAGGTATGTGGATGGATGAGTGAAGAAAAGTGAAAGAGAAGGAAAATAGAAAAAAAAGAAGAGAGAAAACCTTAAAAATATGTAAAACAAGGAGAAAAAAAAAAGAAAAAAAAATCCAGAGTCAAAATCGGCTACACACATTCTATTGGGCCCAAAAATCAAATCACAAAAAGGTTGGTGCGTCGCCAAGGTTTCTGGCTAAATAGTTCTTCCATCCTATAAGAAAGCTTACATGAGTGAGTTACAAAGTACCCAACAGATTGCACGCGTCTTAAAGAACAAAAAATATATGTCTTTAGGTCTTTATAGCTAATTGCTTTTTACAATAATGCTTTGAATTTATTAGATTTATGGTACAAAATGGCAAATAATTATGAACGAATTCATTATGGGAAAAAAAGGGGCGGATTGTGATGTGTTGATAGATTAAAGTCAAAGGTTGATGTATGTATGATGTGTGTGTGTGTCTGTGTGTGTCTGTGTTTTTTTTTATGGTATGTATTTATATATCGCTTCTGCTTTTTGTTTTTTTTTTACATCATACCACCCATACCACCCATACCACCCATACCGGGCATACCACCCATAGGAGCAGCTGCCTGAGCCTTGACAGGTGCGTCGACAATCATGCACTCAGTAGTGGTCAAGAGAGAGGCGACACCGGAAGCGTCAAGAAGAGCAGTGCGGACAACCTTGGTGGGATCAATGATACCACGCTCAATCATATCGACGTACTCGTTGCACGAAGCATCGTAACCCCAGTTGATGTTCTCGGCCTTCTCCTCCAACAACTTGCCTGCAACAACCGAACCCTCACCACCAGCATTGTCAACAATGGTACGGCAGGGAGTCTGGATAGCCTGGCGGATGATGCTGATACCCAATTGCTGGTCAAAGTTGGCACCCTTCAAGTTGTCCAAGACCTTGGCGGCCTTCAACAGAGCAACACCACCTCCAGGAACAATACCTTCCTCGACAGCAGCGCGAGTGGCGCAAAGAGCATCATCGAATCTAAGAAAGTATATTAGCATCACAATCTTTTATATATATACAAATTTTGATTCTATACATCTCTCTTTGTTTCTTACCTGTCCTTCTTCTCTCCAACCTCAACTTCAGAGGAACCACCGACCTTGATGACAGCAACACCACCAGAGAGCTTGGCAAGACGCTCGTGGAGCTTCTCCTTCTCGTAGTCAGACACACCGGTCTCGTTCATGGCGCCACGGATCTGCTCGCAACGCTGGTTGATCTGATCCTTGGATCCGGCACCGTTGAGGATGATGGTGTCTTCCTTGGTGATCGAGACCGAGCCGGTGGTACCGAACAGGTCAGGTGAGGCCTTCTCGAGCTTGACGTCGAGTTCGTCAGAGAACACGACACTGTGGGTCAAGACACCAATGTCGCCCAAGATAGACTTGCGGTTGTCACCAAAGCCAGGGGCCTTGACGGCAGCAACCTGGATCTGGCCACGGAGCTTGTTGAGGATACAGGCAGCAAGAGCCTCGCCGTCAAGATCCTCGGCGATGATCAAAAGCGGGCGGCGTTGGGTAGCAGAAGCCTCGAGAGCGGGCAGGATATCGTGGAGCATCGAGATCTTCTTCTCGGACAGCAGGATCAATGGCTTCTCAAACTCGACACGCTGGGTCTTGGTGTCGGTGATGAAGTAGGGCGAGATGAAACCGCGGTCGAAACGCATACCCTCGGTGACCTCGAGCTCGTCCTCAAGAGTCTTTCCGGCCTTGACGGTAATGACACCTTCCTTACCGACGCGCTCCATAGCCTGGGCAATCATGCCACCGACGTGGTGGTCGCCGTTGGCGGAGATGGTGGCAACCTGGGCAATCTCGGACGAAGATGTGATTTCCTTGGTGATCGACTTGAGGAAGCCAATGACAGCATCGACAGCCAACTGGGAACCACGGCGGAGATCCATGGGGTTGCAGCCGGCAGCGACGTTCTTGACACCCTCGGTGAAAATGGCACGGGTGAGGACGGTGGCAGTAGTAGTACCATCACCAGCAACCTCGTTGGTCTTGTTTGCGACGTCCTGGACAAGACTAAGAGACCCATATAAGTTACATGTTATTTAATTATTTAATTATTTTTTTTAACTCACCGTGCACCAAGGTTCTCAAACTTATCCTCGAGGACAATGGACTTGGCGACAGTAACACCATCCTTGGTGATCTTGGGAGAGCCATAGGGCTGCTCAATCAAGACATTGCGACCCTTGGGACCGAGGGTGACAGCAACGGAACGGGCGAGGATATCAACACCACGCAAGAGGCCAGCGCGACCATCGACACCGAAACGAACTTCCTTGTGGGTCGAGTAGAGACGGTTAAGGACACCGGTGGAGCGAGCGCCGAAACGGCCTTGGACAGCCTTGGATGCAATACGGTTCATGGCTAAAGAGAGGAAAGAGAAAGTGTAGAGAATAGAACAAAAAAAAAGAAAAAGAATGACAAAGAGATCGGTCTTTGTTTTATACGTATTCGCATGGAAGCCGCTAGAAACATCATCCAGTGGCTTAGGTCGCCTTGTCTGACTTCTTTTCCCCCCTGTCGACTTCTTTAAGTACAAAGAAGCTCTGTGACTCGAGACTAATTGAGTTTGGGTTTGGGTTTGGGTTTGAAGCTCAAGCGCAAGTGCAAGTCTCATTTCAAGTAAGACTATAGACCGCAAATCATTATAGAGAATTAGGACATCTATATACATAAGCTGCTTGTTTGTCTTTTCGTCTTCTTTACTTTCTTGTTTCTATAATTTTTCTTTTTATGAAACATATATATTTTATTTATTTATTTATTTATTTAGCAACGTTTATAGATTGACAAGGGTTGGGGGCACAAATATGTAAGATGGACTATCTTTTCCCATAATTTTTTTTTCTTTGGTTTGATTTGTCTGTGAAAGAACAGTACCGTGGGAGAGATGACATTAATTTTATTGGCCAAGTCGATTTTCTGTACACCTTTTTCATCTCTTTTTCTTTTCTCCACTTCATATCTACTGGCTGATGACGTACTACATAGAAAAACCTTATAAACCATTCTTACAATTCGATTAAGAAAAAAAAAAGTAATAGTGGAGGGGGAGGTCAACTGTAAAGATGTTTCTTTTTTTGTCATTAATTAGAGGAACAAACAAGAAGAAAAAAAAAAAGAAAATCTTATGCAAAGGTGGGTTGATTCATATCTTCCATACTCACACCACCCATATAGTAGAGGAAAATGAAATCAAAATTCAGAAAAGAAAAACCTATTTTTTTTTGCTGTTGTTGTTATAGGCTATTGTGCTCCTTTTTCGAGTAGTAAGAAAGAGACCTATATAAATATTATCCGTAACAATCTTCTTCTCTTACCCTGTCAGACTGTGTATTTGTCAACAAAGATCTTAAAGAAACCCCCTTTCTTTTTACATATAAAGCATATATCAATCTCCAGATTACTAAATAAATAGTCTTTTTTTTTTTGTACACCCGTTAAGAGGTGTGGGGAAATTAGCTCTGTTCCGGATAAATTTAAAGATGAACCATTTTCAGTTCTTTGGTTAGATTTCTTTTATTTACTTATATATAAAGGAAAAGAACTTCTTTATGTCTTGGGTCATCAACATTTAACTTCCTTTTTTTTGTACATACGCATAATAGAAAATGATCATTGCGAAAGAAAATAAAATAAGAAATCCTATGAGTTCAACTCTTATTCTCTTTTGCTCTTTTCTTATTGATAATATTTTCCCATGCTTTTGGAACACAGTCTGTAGTACACACATGCGTACAGTGTGGGTTGGATCAGCGATGACACCTATCAAAGTAAGCCCTGAGAGTTATTTATTAAGAGTAATAGTAAAACGGGAAATTGCTGAATAAACCATAAATAATAATCATGCTCTACAGTATCACCAAAAACTCTCCTGTTTTTTCCCTTTCATATCATCATTCAAGAGCATAATATTTACGTAGACCTAAAAGTATAGACATACCTTTTTGCTTATAAATTATCCATGAAATATCCTTGAACAGTCAACAATAAGCTAAAAGAAAATAATTAATTAATTTACATTTAAATGTCCCACTCAGAATTATTATTATTATTATTTATATTGAATATTAAAGCGGAACAAAAGAAGATGACCAGACTTTTCATATATACGGTGGAATATCATTCATTACACACCTTTGGCTGCTTTGAAAACATCCTACTATTTATTTAATTTTTCTCAAGGCACAACTTGCAAAAAAAAAGTACCATCTTTGAGAAAATATACTTCTTTAACTACAGCAAAGCACAAATTTATTATCTTTATTATCATTACATATACATATGTATGTATATTGCAATATCAAGTCATGCTTCCATAATGCTTCTAGTCGTCTTGTTGAAAACAATTGTAATGAAGAAAAGTATATCGACAGTGAATAGCTTTTATATATATATATATTTCCTAACTTTTGGTAAAAATTCCAACCCCTAGTTTGTTTTGTGCTAGACTTTTGGTCAATTATTTGGTTCTGGTAGGTAGTGATATTACTGTCTACTAATGAAAGAAGCAAGATAAAGAAAAGAAAAAAAAAAGAAAAAAAAAACGTCTGTGTTTTTCTGCTTCTTGCATGCAAAAGTCTACAGTTAGAGATAAACAGAAAATACAAGTAGCAGTAGTGATTGTGATAATAGTAAAGAAGCAGAAAAGAAAAATAGATGTGCGATATTCTTATATTTTACAAGCGTAGAAGTCTAGCAATAAATAAGTAAATAAATCAATGTACAATTACATGTTGAGACACGCATGTATTCAATATATGCATATACTTTTAGTCTACTTGCTTGCTTGCTTAACTATCTATATATATTTCTGCCTTTAAAACCAACCAATTTATGTGTGAAAGGGTAGATATCAAGGGGTGGACGGGAATGCCACTCCATATTTCAAAAAAATAAATAAACGAAATCAAATCAAATGGCCTTGTATTCTATAATAATTACACAGCTTTTATATATAAGAAAAAAATAATAAAAAGTCAAAGGAGTATTTTATAGTGTTTAAGGCTATAGAAAACACTCGCACACAAATATATATATATATATGGGTGTTGTATGATGAGGAAGAAGAAGAAGAAAAATAATAATTAATAGAGTCAATTATAAATACCCCGAGTTAAATAAGAACTTAATCCAAGAAGTTTTCATTCAAACTTTCCTAATGCTTCTCATTCCTCTCTCTCTCTCTCTCTCTCTCTTCTTTCCTAGCTCCCAAAAGCAATGGAGATTGTCTCGAGTGCAGTATCAGAGCAAGTACTTAAGCCTACATTTTGCCTAGAAGTGCATGAGCCTCTCACGACCACATCCTTCCTACCTCTACCCCAAGCCAACCACTCGATCACCAAAACCCAGGCCTCCTCCGCCCTATCTTTTCAATCTCGCCTATCGTTCCAGAAAGACCAGAAACATTATTGCAGAAGAGTGTCGTTTGACAATGCTGCAGACCAGCGAAAATCAGAGCAGACCTTTACTCTATCATTCACAACCGAACGTTTTTCGCCCAGCCATCGATCACGGTGCTTTTTATTGCCGATTGATCTGGACGTAGGCACGACCGATGCAATTCAGTATGCTATGGAGGCAAGCTATCAATCATCAACCGGCCAATTGGACAGACCAATAAGTATATACTTAGTCTAATCAAGCTAGGGTTAGACATTGATAGATGATGGAGATTCATTGGTAGTTTTGGGGGTTTATGCACCACACACAAGTAAAGGTAGGCTTGGTTATCTATGCATTATACTTGGTGGCTACTGATACTAATGCATTTGATTAAAGGCGAGAGAATATACACCCCTCCAAAAAAAATAGCCCAGGATGTTATGAAATCGATCATGAGCTTTCACCGAGAAGAACAGGCAATTAACAAGAAAGAGAAACACAAAGATATATAAATCTAAACATATAAATTACGATTCCAACTATTTCCTTTTGGCGTTAACATGTTGTGATTGTAGATTCGAGTGACTATCGAACTTCATTTCGGACGGCCAGAAACGTCACTTATCCATATGGTAAGATTATATTATATAATATAATATAATATAATATAATATAAATTTAAATGTAATTATTCGGATTGGGGGATTGCAAGGAGTATTATTTATATAAAATTTATTGTTTGGTGCGCACAGACCCTCTTTGGGTATTTCTTATATTCTATCTTTCTTTAATTAAATAGAAGGAGAACATTAATCTTGGAATATATTCTTTGTGTAGGCTGCAATGTATGAGCCATCTGTAATAGTGCTTGGGACCAGAAATCGTCCTAGACAGAAAACACCTTTTTCGGGAGCTGGTGTGTTCAAGTACAGTTTACGCCAGGTGCGTATACCGGTAATTGTGGTGCGAGACAGTCAGGACAGGATGAAAGAAACCGAGAGTCAGGTTCAATCGATTGCATCTTTTCATTTCTTACAATTCTTATCCCCACGCCGACTACTGAAGCAATTGAGACAGCAGGTGCATGCCTTTCATAATACAACTCCTTTAGCCTAATTTCTTCTTCTTCCCTCCCTTTCCCTCCTTTTAACCTACAATTAATAATTAAAAAAACCTTTTTTTTTTTTTAAAAAAAAAAAGTCATAATAAACCATAAACCATAAATAAGAATATAAGAATTCATTTATGTTACATACACAAAGACATCTTCTTTTTCTTCAAAAAAGGAAACACGAAGAAGTTACATTGTTATCAAACCTGTTACATCTCTATATAGCAGAAGCCAAGACATTGTATAAGAGAGGGAAGAAAATATACCAAAAAAATAAAAATAAATAAAAATAAAGGTATATTTTGAGAGTAATTCATTTTATTAATTTTATTTTATTTTATTTTATTTTATTTTATTATTAATTTTATTTTTATTTTATCCCCGAGCGTAGTAGAAGCACGTTCTTCTATCTCTCACTTCTTTTTCTTTTCTTTTTTCTTCTTTCCTCTACTTCTTCTTCTTCCTTCAACTCCACTCATCGTTGCCTCACTCATAATGGAGGATGCGCAGAGTTCTCTTGCGCCGGCTATCCAAATGGAGGACGATGGCCACATCAAGGTAATCTCAATTCTCAATTCTCATTATATGTATTGCATTGTATTGTATATACATATATATATATTTTTAAAAAAAGGACACATTTCTAACTACACATGTTTATTATCATTACTACTATTATGTGCAGGAAGCCTACATGGCTTATCTGAACACAGCTCAACAGTCGCTCGAGGCCCTGTTCGATATAAAATTCGTTCATTCAGGTCAGTTACATAGAAAGAGCCAAAGATAAAACAGTAACAACAATAACAATAACAATAACAATAAAGTATATATACATGCAAAAACTAAATAAATAAACTCAATTCCCAACATCCCTCTTTCTGTAGCTATCATTGGAAAACCAAAAAATTACTCAATCGTGATCAACACAATGCGATTGTGTATGGACCACATTGAAAATATGATTGAGCGCCATTCACCTGCACCACCCCGAACACTTCCAAACCAAACAAGACACCCACCGATAATAGCCCAGACAACTGGAGATTCCAAGGCACCTCCTCCTCTTCCACCAAAACCATCGTACATACAAAAACCAGTCCTTCCACCAAAACCAGCTCGCGCTATCCCCCCTCGACCACCACCACCACCTTCTATAGCCAACAAAGAAAAACCTCTTACTCCCAATCATCTCTCAAACCAAAACCAAAACCAAAGTCCTACTCCACCTCCTCCTGTAGCTCGCTCACGTGTGTTTCGGCCCGTGGACGAAGGAAGACCGTTGAGCTTACCATCCCAGTCAGAACACCGCCGACCCCCTCATCGTCCATTAACCGAATTCCCCGACACTGTGGCGCCAGTGTGGGTTGTGGCTGAGGGCGATATAGATCCTACTCATCTTGTTCCTGCACAGACAAACGCAGGCGACAGTCTGACGCCAAGCGACCACCAACCGGCTTCCTCCGACCACATCCCACTTATCCCTGCACCTCCACTACTCACCACACACCGCGCCCTTCAGGCACAACTAGACGAACTTGAACAGATCCTCAAGGAGTACCGGGCACGCAAACAAAATGTCGCGCACCGCACCAGTCTCGAGACGATGACAGAAGACGACCTCAACCAATTGATTCTTCAGGCCTCTAGACGCTTAGCAGACGTCAAACAGACCCTGAACCGAGTCCGGACTCTGTACATGAGTGCAGCCACCATACCGACCGTCATGCAGTTCCAGGCACACATCATCGCCTACCAGATCACCCTCATTGAGTCCGCCATATACATTTCCATCCCACCTCATGCTCTCCTCGAACACACCGCAAAACACCCTCATCCTCGCATTGTGGCATCCACAGACTTTTTCAATTATGTGACCCGTTTCATTGAACACTCAATCCTGCTCTCCCAGGACGCCTCGGCACGCGCCCAGCAGGTCCACTACTGGATCAAGGTGGCCTCGCGATGTCTTGATCTCAACAACTACCAGACCCTCAAGGCAATCGTGTCCGCGCTCGGTACGCCACCTGTCCAGAGACTCAGGCGTACCTGGGCATACATCCCAAAAAAGAGTCTGGTCAAGCTGGAATCCTTGAGCGAACTCATGTCCGAAGCAAGCAACTACGGCCGCTATCGAGAACACATGGGCATGGTTAGTGTGTCAGTTGTCAATGGCAAGAGTGTCGCTCTTATACGGGCCGAGCATGCCACACGCCCGACTGTTCCTTTTTTGGGCACATTTATCCACGACATTACCTATCTTTTGGCTGCCTTCAAGACACATTCCCAGGCAGGAGATTTACCCGAAGAAGAGCCTCGGATCCATGAGGTGCTGATGATAATGGCCCAGTTCCAGAGCGGGCCTCGGTATCCTTCAGTGCCACCCGCATCGTACCTCAAGCAGTCCCAGAAGCATTACTTTCGGCCAGCTCTCTCAAATGCACTTCATCGGGGTGCATCTGGAATCAGTCGCATAAGCGGTGCCGGCCTGTTTGGATTCGGACAGCCCTCGGCCTCATCCCCTGGGGAGCGTAATAGCAACAATGGCAGTAATAATGACGACGATGATGACAATAACAATGGACCCTTGGAGGAGCAGCAGCAGATGGCCACACAGTACATCCTGATGCGATCATGGGTCGCACAGTCGACGGTCGATGAGCTGAGTGCCTTGAGAGAACCTCCCCACCAAAAGTCGTCTTCGATTCCTGGAAGTCGGTCCAGCAACGGAAACGGCCAGAGTTCTGTTCTTAGTACTGCAAGTTCAGCCATGCGGTTCTCTACCGATAGTGTTTCTCTTGGCGCTCTTTCTTCTAGTGGGAATGGAAGCCGGCCAAACAGTGCAGACGACTCTTGATTTCTTTTATTTTATCTCATACTTCTTCTTCTTCTTAAAGGTTACCATTCTTTGGGCCAATGTATAGTAATTCTTTTTTTTTTTTATTTTATTTTATTTTATTTTATATTTTTATATTATTATTTCTTGTTCATCATTTTTTTTTGTTTTCTCCCTCTACTTCCCTTTTCTTATTATTTCTCCTGGGGCAGGTCACCCACAAGTCTTTTTTTTTTTACCTCTTTTCCACCCCTTCATCTACTTCATCCCTTTTGTCTGATCTCTTTCCCAAAAAAAATTCAACACAACAAGAAGTCCTTTCATTTCACTCTCTCTCTTTCTCTTCCTCCGTCTGATATTCAACACATTATATATATATATCTTTTTTTTTGTTTAAATGAGTATATCAATTCATAGTAATAAAAGCAGAAAAAAAAACAGCAAATGAATGAATGGGGCTCATTGAATGAATGTCCCATTGATTGCTCTATCGATCAAAAATAATAATAACATTAAGCTTGATGATCCAAGAGTGAATTAATTTTCAAATCGCCAGTGATTTACATATGAACCCACTAAATGCCCCTTGCTTATTTTATATACAAATACATATGAGTGATAAAGGGGGATAGTTTGATCATTGACTTGAATACCTCAACGGACCATCTGGTACATGTACTCCCCCCTTTTTTTTATTCTTTTCTTGTGCGTGCAAGTATGTGAGCTTGTGAGCTTGTGCGTGTGCGTGTGTATGTGTATGTGTAGTTGAGTATTGTACTCCTAAATTTTGTCCTTTTAATACTTTTCGACATCACAGAAAGATAGTAATACAAACAAACACAAAGGGGAGTTGGAGGGGGTGTAAATCCTCTCGCATTATTATTGTTATTATTATAATAATAATAATAACAGTTGGTTGTTTGTTGAGTAAATCTAACATCATTTGGGATTGAGCTGATCTCATTCTTCACTATCCCCCCTTTCTTTTGTGCCTGTGCCTGTGCTTGTGCCTGTGCCTGTGCCTGTGCCTGTGCTTGTGCCTGTGCCTGTGCCTGTGCCTGTGCCTGTGCCTGTGCTTGTGCTTGTGCCTGTGCTTGTACTAGTGCTAGTGCTAGTGCTAGTGCTAGTGTATGTATGCATTTATGTATGTGATCTTCAATAAAGATCTCTCCTTCTCTTCAAGGAGACTTGGACTTTCTTTTCTGGATTCTATTCTGGACTAAACTATGTACACACTAATATTAATCACAGTTGCTATAGTTATAGAGCTTAAAGTCCTGGATTTGATGTCAAATTCATTAGTATATAAAGGCAGGGAATAAAGGAAAGAAAGAAAAAAAAAACAATATTGAATACATTTCTTTCCTTTTCAAATTAAATACATACATACATACATACATACATACATACATACATACATATATATATATATAAAGATTATGCATCGATTTATCCTACTTGTAACCATTGTGTTGGCCATGATCTTGGTTACTCAGGCAGTTGAGGCTCGTTCTCTTAAACACCAGGTTAAGAAGTATGGCAAAAAGCTTTCCAAGCAAGCACCTGATCTTCTTGAACAATACACCGGACAAGGGAAGAAGGGGGGCCACAAGGACAAGAAGCACAAGAAGCATCATTAAGTACAAGTAAGAGGCATTTAAATCATGCTACCTGTAGATAAATGTGTGTGTGTGTGCGTTTTTTTTTTTAAAAAATTAATAGCCTATTAGCCGTATGAATATATGATTTAACCGATATCATCTTTCTCTCTCTCTATCTTTCCTAGAGACAAAATCACATACACACTCGCACACACAGTTATTACTCTCAAAGCATTCTACACCTGTGACTGTACATTACAATCAAATCAAATCAAATCAAATTAAATCAAATAAAAAAATATACCTGAAAAGAGCGCATACCCACACCCACATCCACATATAATATATATAATGTTGATTGTCAGACTTCTTTAAAGAATGACACACCTTGTATATTCTTCTTATTATTTTTTTGGGTTTGTTTTGTTATATATAGATATTATATATATATATATAAAAGAGGGAATATATTTGTGATTTGAATATTAAAGAAAATACGTTAAACCAGTTGATATAATATAAAAAGAAAGGAAGAGGTATAGGTTAAAGAACAAAAAAAAAAGAAAGAAATAAATAAAGAAGAAGAAAGCAGAAACTTGACCAAACCACTACCACAAAGAATAAGTTTCTTTCATTTCCACTATGCAACCATTTCTTTGCTTTGCTTGGTTTGGTTTGATCTGACTGATATATATATATATATATATATAATTTAAGCGAATGGGTTGGCAGCAAGAATACGAATAAGTGGCGGTGTTCTGATCATGTCAATACTGACAGCAACGACGATCTTGTTCAAAGCCTTGATGGTCTGAGAACCCTCTGCGATGTTGTAATCCACATTCTCTGAGAGACGGTTGTACACAATCGAAGCTCTGCGACTCATAGGACGCGATGTACGACCTCTCAGGTTGGACGAGGCTGTCACCGAGGGAGAGGGGCCACCAGCGCCACCTGCAGCAGCAGTAGCAGCATTCAAAAGCTGGGCTTCCAATGATTCGGTGACTGTTTTGAAGTTCGTCGAGTCTAGAGTATCATTGATAGACAGGATAGACATCTTGGTCACAGGTCCATCGACAGCATTCAAGTTTGTGGACAGACCATTCTTCTGTCGGTCTGCCTCGTCCTCTTCACACATGTCTTCGACCAACGCATCTTCATCAACCAGGTCATATTCATCATCCTCAATACTCCAAGGAGTCGGCTTGCCAGTAGAGGTGTCGACACCAACCTTCCAAAAGACAGTCAAGTGTCGTTCCTTTTCATCAAATCGGGAGTCACGTACAGGCAGACTGGCCAGGTGGATACGTTTTTCCATGTTCAGCTCGGGAACCATGACATCGATATATTCTCTTGCGACCGCAACAACCACAGCCTCACGGTTGACAACCGACACGGTATCAATGACCTTGGCCTGCTTGTTGAGATTGCGAGCAAGGAAGAGAAGCTGGCTCTGCTCACGAGCATATCGGGCGGCTTCTTTCTTGACATTACAGTGCTGAGCAAGCTTGTGTACCATGTCGCGGTCCAATGCAAATCTCCTTTCGGGGCTTAATGCAGCCTCCAACTGACGGTGCACAAGAAGATCAGAGAATCGGCGACTGGGTGCTGTGAAATGAGTGAAGAGCGGCACATCAAGTGCGTAATGTGCATATTTGGAGATATCAAGGGCACCAGCACAGAAGTAGCTGGGGCTCTGGAGGGTCTTGAGGACCAGCACAGACACAATCTTGCGCAAGACAGGGTCCTGGATAGTCGTAATCGAGCGCTCAAGCGTTCCTGCATCGCGAGTGTCCAACAGAACACCGAGGTAGCGAGAGCAGTACAGATGAAGGTCGTGAAGTTTGTGACTGACAGGAGGAGCTTGACGGCGCAACAAAGCCTGTTCGGGGAAAGCACTGGAAATCTTTTGGGCAACAGCCGTGTTTGCCATCAGCAGCCATTCCTTAACCATCGCTTCTGCCTTGCCCGGGCGGCGCATGGCCACACGCACCGGGATCTCTCGTTCGGCGTCAAATTCAAACAGGAGCTCGTCTCTCTTTTGGGTAAGTGTGCTGGATTCCATGCGAGTCGTATAGATCTTGTCGGCAATGGCAGACAAGCTACGGATATCTTGTTCCATCTCACGACTAATCTTGGCATTATTTGCAGATTGTTCATCCAACACAACCTGTGCCTCTTCATAAGACAGACTGGCTGACGATCTATATATATATATATATATATACATTTAAAAGAAATGTCCATTTTCAACAATAGCAAAAACAAACTGTTTACCTGACTACACTCTTTCCGATCCAAGTATCAAATACCTGGCCACGAGAGTTAACCTTCCAGATAACCGAGAATGCGAGTCTATAAACAGATACACACAGAGATTAGCAATCGTGCTAAGATGACTATCCTATTTCAACCTATCGATCGATTAATCGGTTTCATTTTCTCTCTTTTTTATTTATTTATTATTTTTACCTTGATTCTAAAGGAGTGAGGTTGGTGACTTGGGCTGTGAGACGCTCGGGAACCATTGGGACAGAATGATGGACCAAGTCTACACGCACACCACGGGCTCTGGCTTCTTTATCAAGGAAGGAGTTGATCTTAACATGAGCGCTCACATCGCTCACATGCACACCAACTTCAAAGGTATCATCTCCCAATTTCTGAATCGACAGAGCATCATCCAACACTAATACACACACATACACACATACACATAAAGTTTTGTAAGAAAAAATTAGTACAACATGAGATTGAGCGAATAAAGCCAAGCCCTAAAGTATATATATATAAATATATATATATATATATATATAAGAATAATTACGCACCAGTGGAGCCAGCAGGATCAATGGTAAATAAACGGCACTCCCTAAGATCACGTCTGTCGTCAGTGTGCTCGTAACGGAAAGGAGGGGGGACACAGCTTTCGACTGCATCTGAAAATGGTGAATCGCTGACATTATTGTCGGCAAGAATAGCTTGGGTCTGCGTGGAAAGATCATAAATAGATCCCAATTCGCGCTCAAGAGTACCAAAGGGATGGAGTGAGGTGATAGGCCAACGCTTGATAGATCCCTGTATAAATGTGTGTGTGTGTGTTGAGTGTGCCAGAATCAAATAACAATTTATTTTTTTCTTTGTTTAAATAAAATATGTATGTAGATATTACTTACAACAAACAGACGAGTGGTGTATACATCGCTGGTCTCGACGAAGTTGGCCGGGGCTTGTTCGATAGGAATTGCAATCAAAGGCACTCTCTTATCGGAAGACTTGAACCAAACAATTCGTGGGGTCTCTTTTCCGTTATTGTTGTGTCGGACAGACTCATCCTTTTGGGCACGTTTGTTATTCGGTCGCATCAAAGTAAGATTACTGTAAAGTATGGATACACAACATCATAAAGTTAGTTAGCCAATTAGTTGTTGCTTCATTGGCTCATTGGCTCATTGGTTCAATAGTTCCGTTAACTAGTTATCCAACACAGCCCAACCTACACATCACATCACATCACATCACACACAACACACACATATATATTAAAGAGAATAAAAGAAAGAAGAAAAGTCTTCCTTACCCAGAAAATACTTGGTTTTGAGATCTCTCGAGAATAGCTACCACAACACCACAGTACTTTGGCTTGACCACCTCGACTTCCTCATCTCCACCAAAGATAATCTCGTTTTCGTCTTCCTCATCTGGCAAGCGAACGCGGACTTGGCCGCCATTTCGCTGAAGTTTGACTTCTTCCTTTTCTCTCTTTTCACGCAGGATCTTGTCCACATCAGTCAGCCGAACAGCCACCACATCACCCTCGAGGGCTCTGTTGCGGTCACGCGAGCCGCACACGTAGATATCGGCGTCAAGCTCGTCGCAGTAGACATATGCATCACTTCTGTTGCGCTTGTTGACTCGCAGGGTACCACGGACCAATTGGCGGGATCGCAATAATGGAGTCAAGGCAGAAAATGGCAAGTGGGCGATAAATAATGGACGTCGCTGGTGAGGGTTGCAATCATCACGGCCGAACGACACCTTTGTGGGAGTGAAAGGCACAATGTTGACAGGACGCTGGCCGAGCAAACCAGCCCCACCCAAGTTAAATCCGCCTCCACCTCCACTTCCACTTCCACTTCCATTACTGCTGCTATTGTTGTTTCCGTTATTACTTCCTGTGCTAAAGGTAGAGCCGGTGCTGGAGCGCCAGTCGTCAAAGTTGCGAGACGCCCGGCGGCTGTGGCCTGGAGTGAGGTCAAGCGGGCTGTTGAACTGAATTCGTCTGCGTCCAGGATCAGCATCGATACTGAGGGAACTGCGTCGGGCAGTGGAAGAAGACAAAGTATCTTCGGAGGGTCGGCGTTGGAATCTACCTTCGTCTCCCACAATTCCTTCGCGTTCAGGACGGAAAGTGCCCGATAGTTTTGCGGCTGTCTCTGCAAGGGCAGCATCACGGGAAAGAGGCTCTTCAAAGGAAGAGAAGCGAGATTGGGAGAACCGATGGGAGTTCTGGCTGCCAGAAGCAGAGGTGTTGGCCAGGTCCTCGATTCTGTTGTACGACGTGCGTCGAGAAGCCATTGTTTGGCCGACGTTGAGAGAGGACATAGACTGCTGTTTGCGGTGACCGCGAGGTCTACCACCAGCACCCATACCACCCATACCATTTCCACCAATACTGACATTATTCCCACCACCTTCAGAGGGAAGGGTTTTAATGGAGTTGATCATGCTTGTGACAGCCTCGACTGTGCCCGAGGTAGAGGATCTGGAAAAGGAATTATCATCTCTTCTGCGGTGAGAAGAATCCTCGCTTTCTTCGGCGAGGGTCTGGAGACCAAAGTTGTTACGACGTGTGCCGGAACTGTTGAGCATCATATCAGAGGCATTGGCGGACATGGAGCGTTGATGGCGGCGAACATGGTTACCACCACTGCCATGAATACCTGGCCGACTGTTCTCGGGGGGAGGGAGAGTGCGTCTTCGATCGACGCTGGATGAAGTAGCAGGAAGGACTGGCTAGAATGTGATAATGAGTAAGATATAATATATGTATATGTATATATATATATATGTATTTAAATGAAAAACCTATTTGATGTTGTCTTTGTTCTTGTTTACCTTGGGTTCGACGGCATCGAACAAGCCGCGGGTGCTCTCGGGGGCCGTCTGCTGCTCGAGGGTCTCTATCGTGTCCATGGCTTGGATAAGTAAAGGAGAGGGAAGAGATGCGGTGTGAGTTGATTGTGAATTTGAATTGACCCAAATGACAATATTTCTGTCTTGTCCCACCACCACTCGGGTCCACCCACGGCTAGCCTATCTTTCACTTTCTTTTCTATTTATTGCCCACACACACATATATATATATATATATATATATTGACTCTTCTATCCATCTTGTATATATATATATATATATAATAATAATCTTGTTTTTGGATATGTAATTATATTATATGTACCTTTTATATACTTGCTTATAAGCGTATACTGTTACATTTATGTAAATCTATAGTTTTATATATGACCTAACAAAAATAATAATATATATAAATTATTTATATTACAAAAAAAATTAGAGTTGCGGTCTTGTAAAGATCATTAATTCCCCATAATTTATAAAATACAAAGTATTTATATAGTGCTTATGATTGAAGGACAATACAGATGGTAAATATTCTTATGGGACAATTGTTCTTTTAGAAACAGACATTTTATTTTCGCAAAGTAAAGATCTGTTTTATTCATGCCAAGAGAACCTTTTATTTTTATTTTTGAGTAAGGAGAAATGTCACAATACATTGCTTCCAACAAGCAAGATGGATATCGAAATGTCATTGATGAGAATTGCGGCCCTGAACCAATGGAGTATATCTTTAATCAGGATAAATGCATTGTTGAGATGTTTGCAGCTCATAGTGAATACTTGAATAATAAAATCTCGAATGAGTTTTCTCCGGCTTGTCCAACACGGATTGAAAAGCCAAAAGATAAAGACATTCGAATAAAAGAGCCCAACGTAAAGCGTGATTATGTGCGTTATACTATCCTTTCAATTAAAAAAAAATATACGGTCGAACCTAAACATTGGAATAAATCTTTTTGCGGGACTGTATTATGGATGCTTTCATATTCCCTTACCAGAACCAAGGAACAGGAACATGATAAATACTTGATCTTCGAATAGCTATCAAAAATTACGTTAATTGGAAAGTAAGACGACTTTGGTGTCTCAAAAAAAAAGCACCATTCACTTGAAAAACAATTGCTTTATTGTCAGGTTTGGCTCTTTCGTTATTTCTTTCTTTTTATTATAACTACACTTACAGTAGGTATGTTGGGTAATTCCTATACTAATGGATAACTATCTATGGATTGTCTTAACATGTAACTTACATGGCAACTAACACTGTTTATAATTAAAAGTCTATTACAACACATTAGTCCAAGTTGAGGTCAAGAAGAATACAATAAGTTACCTTTCCTTGTTAAACTCTTACTATTTTAAACATCTAGTCTTAGAGGATCCCAAAAGTGTGATATTTTAGATTCATATTTCAAAATGGCTCATTCGACCCTCATCGCCTTTTCTTTATAAGCCAAATACTCCAATAAAACGTGTTATTATATATAACTAACATCTTATAACTTCAACGTGGATAAATTACTGACTATTCCAATACATTTTTATGTTTTATCGAGTATATTTTTCAATGGATTTTTTAATTGGTATGCTCTCACACTGTTACGACGTTGGATACTGGTGCTTAAGCTTAAGAATATATGTGCTCATGCTTGTCGCTGTAATTAAACAATGCTCTAGTATGATGCGCTTTTTCTTTAAAAAAAAACTACAGTAATGATTATAACATAAATACTGCTACCAAAACTACAAGAATACTTTATAATCCATTAAACCTTATTTCTTTCTCCGGGCTCTCTTATATGCTGAACAGAGTTCCTTTTTTTTTGCTTGATAATCTGCTGCTATTATTGAACATGCTTGCTATTTCTTCGTGTTTGGAAGATAACAAAAGAGTAACTAGTGAACGTATCTGGTCATTAACACTACAGACATTATATACAGTCCTATACATTCAGTTTAACTAAATGCCTCATCGTACCATATACTCTATGCATGTTTCTGTTGAGTTTGTAATAAGAGTTACAAAAACTAAACAATTTAAAAATATTTAATATAGTAATATATGAATCGTAACCTTATTTTAAAAGAAAAATATACCAAGTCAACAGGTGCAAACAAACATATGGTGTAAGCAAGTTGAAATATATATCTATTCTGTCGCTAAATGCCATGTTTGTTGCTGCTGCTGAGGCTGTGGTTGCTGTAGTAACTGCTGCTCATAAGAAAATCGTTGCCGTGATCGTCGCACTGGTGCTTTGTGGCATGCGAAAGCCTTGCAGTCATCCCCTTTTAGCAATACTTCCTTGGAAAATGACTCGGACCTGTGAACGCAGGCGTACCAGCTTGGATTCACTGGAGTGGCTTTAACGAGTGTATCCTATTGTTGTGTACTCGTCGGCTTTGGCGCTCTTGATGAACATGTGCTCATTAAATAGATTCGCTGCTACCTGATATTTAATATTTTTTTTTTAAAAAAAAAAGCAAGATGCCATCTTACGCTGATTTTTATCTTGTGCATCTACCTTGTCTATCTGGCACCAAAAACTACATACTTCACACGAACATCTGCTTGTCATTTGTCCATTTTTGGGAGGTCAACCTAGTCGCAGATTGAAGGCTATTAGAGAGCTTTCTATCTGGATTTAAATATTGTATACCAAAAGTGGCAAAATTCTTATATCTGTGTTTAAATTATCCATCGACTTAGAATAGGGAGACTGGTTGTGATGAGAGAGAAAAAACAGACATAATGACTTTGTTAACATACATTTTTACAAATACTTGGTCTATAAAATATCTATATTAATATTTTTCTATATATATTAGAGTGGGTGTTGTGTTGTGGCAAAATCGAATCAAATTGCCATAACGCCTAAATAAGGAAATAGGGGGTTGAACTTCTCGAAGCATTCTAAACACCAGAACATTAGAGGGAAATTGTGGCAAATTGGGGTCATTTTGCCATAGAATTATGGCAAAATTGATTCTTTTGTGCTGTTGGTTCTAATGGAATTTGTTGTATTTGAGGATAGTTCACATTTATAAAGTAATAAAAGTTCACTATAATAAAACAAACAAGAAAATTTCGTATAATGAATTTTCTAGTATTGAAATCAAGTTTATAAAAAAAAATGCATGAACTTATACTATTCAATTAGCTATATAACAATAAACAGAACGCCAAATGTAATTAATTGATATAAGCAAATAAAAGATGGAGCATAATAAAGACCAGGCTTGGCCCACACGACAGTTAGGTAAGTTTTGTTAAGGTTGCTTCTAGCCTTTTATCATGACGCATGTTGTGAGTTGTTGCAATATAAGGTACAAGAGGTCTGTCAAATACAAAACGCGTAAAAATAATAGATACGCTGATAGCTGAAAGAAATAGATAATAGTGAAACAGCAGAAACATCCCTAAATATACTGAGCAAAAATATAGCTGCTCTTCAGAGATCACTTATTTATCAAAAGAAAAGAATGAAATCAGAATTGAATAATCTTTATTGTTGTAATTTTTAATGTTTTGAAGTAAAAAATAGAAATGAATGGATGGAAAGGTGCCATTGAAGGGATATTTCATGATTGGATACGTGAAAAGGAAATAGGATGTAATAGTATAAATAAAAAGTGCAATAATCGAAAGTGATATGTCAAAAAGGAAGAAAGAATATAGATACAGGGAGCTAAAAGAGGGATTGTTACAACTCCCAAATGAAGAAAGAGAGGAGTGTAGAGAAGGAGGAAAGTACTACGGGGTTTTTTCTACGTTATAATTATTACTAGTGAGATGATGGTCGAAGACAAACCCACTACTCCCCGCGTGTCACTTGCCACTGACATCTGATTCGATATTGGTCAAAATAGTACTACGTAGCCAGCAAAGTCGTTTATTGAATGGCTGAACACCTACATTAATCAGATTATTAGATCATAATAAAAAAAGAAAAGAAAAGGTTAGTACAAGATATATACGCAGCTTATGAGGCTTTTGACTTCCTCGCGTTGGCTTGGTAATCACTTACACAGGATGATTTGATCGTCCATTTAAATTTCAAAGCTTTTTTACGAGGCAATCGGAAACCCATTCCAATGCTTATATTATAGTCCAAAGGAACGAAACAACGTCCCAATGCTAAAGGTTAAGACAAAGGAATAGTAGAATGGTCGTTCAGATGGTTCGTAAACCACCCTACTAAGCACAAACATTCCGAAACAAAAGTGTCCATTTCAATGCTTATATTATAGTTCAAAGGAACGAAACAACATCCCAATGCTAAAGGTTAAGACAAAGGAACAGTAGAATGGTCGTTCAGATGATTCATAAACCAACTTATTAAACACAAGCACTACTTTTGCTGCTCAACTTTGAAAACACTTGAAAAAGAAAGATTCCAATATTGTTTTAAAAAACACCTTTTTGAGCCGATTTACTCGCGTCGAAAATAAGTGACGCAAGCACAAGGAAAAAAAAATGGCAATTTTACGGACATGCAAAAGCGAGCAAATGGAGAACCTTACGGATAGCATGAAGGTATACAACGTCACGCGTAATTAGTAAGTTATACACTCCGACAAAAGAATGTTTGGACCTCTCCCAAAAATCGCAAGAAAAAGTGATATTTTTTAAAACTAAAATCTTATTTTCTCTTTATTCTATTAATCGAACCCACAATGGAAACCTCATCTTCATCAAAAACCAAGCGTGGTTCTTATTATAAAGCTGATGACTTGAAATATGGTGGCATCATGTACTTGCATTTGGCTGAAATCGGTCCGACCAAGATCTCAGCCATAGTCCAGATGAAGTTGTCAACTGTGAAGAAGATCATTAAGAGATTCCAGAATACAGGCTCACCTTTGCCTGGAAAGAGCCCTGACCGACCTAAAATAGTTAACGAGAGGAAAGAAAGGCACCTTGTACAGATTGTTCGTAAGGACTTATTCGCCAACTATGATCAGCTGAGATTGGCATTGAGAGAGATGGAGATCTTTGTCTGCAGAGCTACAGTAATCAGCTCCCTCAGGAATCTTGGCTTTGGTTCTTATATTGCAGCTCATAAGCCAGTTTTGACAGAAAGACACAAGAAGACACGACTGCAATGGGCGAAGGATTATATCAATTGGACAGATGACCAATGGAGTAGCATAGTTTGGTCTGATGAGTCTAGATTCACAGTTGAGGGTAACGATGGAGGTGCCAGAGTGATTGGAAAAGTTAACGAAAGGTATTCAGAAGATCATATTATCCAAGGAACGAAGTGAGGTAAAGGTAGCGTCATGATCTGGAGCTGTTTCTGGACTGGTGGTTTTAGACCCTTAGCGTTACTTGAAGGCAATGTAAACCAAGAAGTATATGTCGACACTCTGTCTCAGAAATTTGTACTCTGGGTTAAAAATCTGTCAGAGCAACATCAGAAGGACTTCAAGCTCCAAGAGTATGGTGCTAGCTGCCATACTGGGGCCTATGTGAAGTGGTGGAAAGAGACCCACGAAATTAAGGGCTTTGAGTACTGGCCTGCTCAAAGTCCAGATCTAAACCCAATAGAGCATGTTTGGTGGGCTCTTGAGGTCAAATTAAGTAAAGTACGAGCCAGTATACAAAACGTCAATGAGTTGAATATTGCAATTCAACGAGAGTGGGAGAACATAGACCTCAAACTTGCTTCACAGTTGGTGGGAAGTATGTCCTCCCGATGCCGTGCAGTAATTGACGCCAAAGGTGGCCATACTCACTATTAAACCTCTAATTTTTTTGACAATTCAATAATAAATATGTATATATTTTTGTATTCGAAGTCTGAAGTTCTTAACTAGACTCATTGACAAGTGGTTGTATGTTGAATATAGGTCATGTTTTTTGGCATGATAAATTTATTCGCGGAGGTCCAAACATTCTTTTGTGAGAGTGTACAATCTCTTTTCTTCTTATTTAGCCTTGAAAGCTTTACTAACATATCTTTACTTTTAATCTCTTTTGACTGAATTTATCATAGTGACAAAGAATTGGAGCGTGTATAGTAATTCTGGTCTAAATAATCTGATTCAATTTTATATACATACTTTTATAGTTGACTTATGAAAGTAAAGATATGCAGTGGTCCTTAGGTAATTTCAATCCTCTTTAATTTCACTTCAATAATTTTTGGCTTTGGATCCTTAATGAAGAAGAATTTAGACCTATCAAGTTATGATAGTACTTGGCTGCCATTTTCTTTATTGTATGTACGGGTACTTCTAACTAAGCGTATTTTGACACTCCCTCTATCTTCACCGGGAAATACATAATCCGCACTCGTTAATTTCATTCTTCGATAATTTCAAGGCACTCAGTCACCCCCATTGGTCTTGAAATTATCGAGGGACCACTGTGCACTGTGGTTACAAAAGGCGTTTTAAAGTAATGCTTTCAAACCAAGGTAAACAAAATAAAATAAAATAAATAAGCATCATATACACCTCCCATTCTTTATTAGATCTATATATTTAGCTTGTTAAATGAGTAATACTAGTATATCCATTAAGTCAAGGTGATATTTCAATGATTCTCTCTTGGAAGTAGTGTCCACAGTTAGTTAAAGGACCTTGATATGACAACTTTTTGTAATTGCTTTTTATTGGATCATATTTTGTGGAAAGTGTACAAGGCTTAGAAATTAAGGTTCGTTAAAACCATGATTTGAAAATACAAGCGATAAAAAATATATATATTCCCCCCTTTTTTTTCTTTCTCTTGATAAATCCGCCAAAAACATTCCAGAGCTATTCTTTTTTATCATGTTGGTGTCAGAACTACCTATTGAAGTCACGCTTCTTATTGCAAAGCTTCTTCAACCCGTCGATAAAGTCCAGTGCTGTCTAGTTTGCAAGGCTTGGTTTCCGACTTTCCAGGGATCTCTTTTTGAAAAGCTCACTATTAGAAGTGATTCATCTATCAATAAGTTGACCGATTTAACCAAATCACCAAACGGCCTTTTTGGAAGACACGGCCACAAAACCCGAAAAATTGAAATCGATATACCCGATATCATGGACGATATGCAGCTTTCCATCCTTCAGAAACATCTTCCGAATGTACAGTGCTTCAAATGGACCAATACATTAGTTGGAACAACTATAAATGGACTTTTATTTCAAAAGTATTATTTACATTTACGTCGACTGTTATGCCTACTTCCGCGTGTACCTATTGATTTGCGCGGGTGGAACGTATGGGCTAAATCCCTCACAGATATTGAAATAACCGCGAACGCTTCCGATTACACGGAACTACCGAACATCTTTGATTTAATACGGTCGAATTTACGTCAACTGAAGCGGATACACATCGACTCAAGCTATAATAGACGGTCCCTGTGCACCTTTGCCGATTTCGAACTCCTTAATGATCAACTGCCCGAATTAACGTACCTGTTTCTTAATGTACAACTTGATAAAATGGGCCCCGCTGAACTATCAAAAATTAAAGAAGTAAAGCCAAGGCCTTGTCTTAAAACCTTTGGAATGTCTATCGAAGATACTGCTGGCGAGTGGCTTTACTACATCGCTGCCAAGTATCCAAACATCAGTACTCTTAAAGCCGTTAATTATACCGTGGGTACCCTTGCTACATTAAATTTTCAAGCGCTAAGCATGCTTTCCGAGCTGTCGTGTCCCTTTCAGCAGCTGGAAAACATTGATGTCAATATTGGAAATTCTACAGAAGAAGTATATCTTGCTTTTATGAGTCAACTCTGCCGTTCAAATGTCCAAATGAAAACATTTTACCTTGGCTTCACTTCAATAAACAAAGACGACATAAGATCAAGAAATACCCTAGAACCAACACAATCATGTGCGGATACATTGGAGAGAATCAAAATTACATCCTTTCAAGCCGATATGTGGTGTATGGGGAAATCTATTAACTTCGAGTGTTATCCTAACCTGGTTCATCTCGATCTCCAAATGGACCAAATTACCATCATACTGGATATGCTTCTAAGGGAATGCCCGGCATTAGAAACCTTGAGCATGGTGCACGGATTTATTGTTTGTAGGCCAGGATCATTTATCTTTCCAACGGATCATGCGCTGTGCAATTTATTCCTCAAAGATGTAGATGTTTCCGCTAAAACACTCAAGATGTTTGCCACTTCTTGCAAGAAACTTAGCAGCATGAAGTTGGAACTCGTAAGACTAGCAGTATCTTCGAGAAGGACGGATACGTTAGAAACCTTTATTGATATGTCATCAATCCACTTTTCAGAGCTCCGTTTTGAAAAGGTTAAAGTTTTCAACATTGTGAACAAATATGAGAGTAATATGATAAAATTTTCTTCATCAATGGTGAGTGCATATATACATCTAAAAACTACATTATAAAAATGATGATTAAAATCAAACATCTTATCTAGGTTCCTACCGAAAATATATGGCTGGATTGTCAGCACTCTATATATGAAAATCATAAACACTCGTCGTTAAAATTAAACAACGAAAATGAAGATGTATCAAAGAAAGTCGAAGATTTAAATAGCTCTCTCACAAGAGCTCCTGCAGAGGATGCCAATGATGATATTGACGAAAACAAAGACGTTTCTTCAGTAGCCAGATGGATAAGTGAACCTCCTGAACAACGTGTTACTTTTAAATACGGCTCTTTGAAAAAATTTGTATTTAAGGGCAAACAAAGAGCATAAATGATCCAAAGTTGAAGTCGATTCTTCTTGTAAAGAAATGAATAAAACGAGATTATTAAAATGGAGATCACATATGTTTAATATCTTTTCAAGGGTTATTTGTGTCTGATGTCTTGAATATAAAATATAACTGTCTGATTTGAACATTTCTTATTACAATTAATTCTCATAAAGCTACAGTAGTATCTTATTTACTAAACAACATATATGTTACAAGATAGCATTATTGAGTGCCTTTGAGACCACTAAGCATGGACATTCGAGATCAAACGGCCGAACGATTACTTTATTGACCAAAACTATCATAAAGACATTTATAATTTACCTATGAATTTATCTTCTCTGGATGATTGTGCGTTACATTTATTTCAATCCCTTTTCACCTGTATTGTACAGTCTCACTATTTAAATGTTTCTCTAAATGTTAGTTGGTAATATTTCTTTCCTTGTGATTTTTCATGGCTAATGCCTAACTTTTTTGGAATTCTGCGACCAATCTTGATATTTAAATACTTTTATTTTATTGTATAATACTAAAGTCTCTATTATTTCAAGATTAATGTTGTATAAATTCTAAATTAATGACTACCCTTACCTTTTGGCTTCAAAGAGTATCCACAGCCGCCTGTCTAAATAAATGTTTTAGTTGAATATTTTTCAATAATATAGAACGAATATTTAAATTTACCATTTCACTAAAATATCCAAATAGTAAAAAAACTGACTTCAGGTTTAGATAAACCGATGTGGATGCTCTAAATGATTACAGAATCTGCCCTCCATAGTGATATTAATTTTTTGGTGCATACACTTTTCATTTTCGGACTTGTAAGCAACACCTTTTAGTGGTGGAAATAGCGATATCGTCTTTTTTCAGTCTATAGATATCTTGATGAATATTTGTTTGTTTTTTGTCAAAAAGGTACTGAGCGGTGTCAATTAACTTTCTACACAACTTTACTTAATGAAAAAAAAAACAAAATTTTCAATATTTTTTCAGGTGTTGCTCTGAGGAAAAGTGGGTATCGAAAATGGACTTTTTGGTGCAAATAGCCAATTCTATTAGTAAATTGTTTTTTTTATAGTGAAAAAATAGGATGTTTTGATCAATATTTAAGCAATCAATATCAAATAAGCTTTAAATGGTGGATCGTAGCATGCCGCACCAAGTTCTTTACAAGCATTAAAACACTTTGCTTAGCCAATTTATATACATATTTGATTTTCAGTATTTAATTTGCACATCTTAAAAGTAGAGCATTTTTAATGTGGAACTTGGAGAGGCTTTTGCTCTTAATTCATTTGATGAAATATATAAGTTATGATAGCCGTTGGTATATGTCTATATATTACTATTGACAAAAAAAGAAAGGTTGCAGAGTAACCATTGTAACTATTGATATAGAGATGGTGATATGACTCTTCTTATCCACTAGTATTACGATGCCAAACTTTGGCTGTATACTTTTCTAGGTTTCTCTCATAAAAAGTGCCCAAATATTAAATATAATTCATTTACAAAAAATCCAAATTCGTTTCAATTTCAAGTAAAAAAAAAAGACTGCAGTATGAGGATTTAAGCATAATTAGAATGATCCCTCGATAATTTCAAGGGCAAGGGAGGGAGGGACCAAGTGCCTTGAAATTACCGAAGAGTGAAATTAAAGGGGATTGAAATTATCGAAGGACTACTGTACTCAGTCACATATATTGTGACAAGTTTACGAAGCTTGCTTTCCATTTACAGACGCATAAAAAAAACATAATTAAAGTTATACCATGTCCACAGAAAACGACGCAGAAGCAGGCTCTTTAGCTCCTCTCAAGTTTAAACAAGCTGTTTTTCACTTTGCTACTCATCCCAGCGAACCAATTATTGTTTCCGGTTTGATCAATGGAAAGATCAAGTGCCACCGTTATGGTGAAAAATCTCATCAAGAGCTTTGGACTGAAAAAGCATTTAAGAAGTCATGTAGAGGAGTTGCCTTTAATCCTGATGGATCTCGTAAGTATATTAAAGAAAGAGGATTTCTTCGAAATGCATATTAATGTATAAAAAAAAATGGGCAGAACTTTATAGTGTTTCAAAGGACAAGATGATTCTTTTGATGGACACTAGCACAGGACAGACAATTAAATCTCGAGAGATGACCCATGAGTGAGTGAATTAGATTCAAAACGAATCTGTTCTAAATTTTGGGATATTTTAACATAGGAACCCATTGAATTCTCTTCTCAACTTGAATGAGAATATGTTCGCCACAGGCGACGATCAGGGTGTTATCAAAGTAAGAAATTAATCAGGTCCCAGGGCAGGAAAATTGATTGTGTTTATTTAGATCTGGGATAACAGAAAGGAGGATGCTGTCATGACATACTCGGAGCACGAAGACTTTATTGCTGATATGGCGTATAGTCCTTCCCATAAAACTCTAGTGGCAGTAGGGTAAAGAGAAAAAAAGTCCGCTAATCCAAATAACGGGTAATGAAGTTAATTAACATGTTATATTTAGAGGAGATGGTTATTTGTCTACCTGGGATATTCGCAAACCAAATGTTGCAGCCATGTCTGATCAGATGGGCGATGAATTGCTTTCTGTGAAACTTGTCAAGGTGGCTTAAGAGGAACAAATATATATATATATCAAAATAAGGCGACTAACCTCACCTTTGTGCGAATAGAATGGGCGCAAGGCCGTAGTAGGATCACAAGAAGGCATATTGAGTTTATGGTCTTGGGGAGACTGGGGAGACTACAAGGACCGTATTGTTGGGCATCCTCACTCTATTGATGCAATCTGTAAAATTGACGAAGATACAATCTGTACCGGAAGTAGTGATGGTATGATCCGAGTTGTTTCTATTCTCCCTAATGCTTTCCATGGTGTTATTGGTGATCATGGTCAAGATATGCCTATTGAGCATATTGAGTTGACACACGACAAGAAATACTTGATAAGCTGTGGCCATGATGAATCACTGCGATTCTGGGACGTTGGATACTTGTTTGACGAAGACCAAGACGAAGAAAAAGATGGTGATGATGATCAGTCAGACGCAGAAGGTGAAGTCACCAGTAATTTAGAGAATAACAAAAACGAAGACCAGGATGATGAAAGTCAAGACGAAGACAAAAAACAAAAACAAGATGCAGATGATGATGAAGACGAAGAAAAGGCATTGGCAGAATTTGAAGGCTTTGAGGATGATAGTGATGATAGCGATGATGATAAGCCCTCTAAGAAGCGCCAGAAAAAGCAACTAAAGAAAGAACAGAAGAAAAAAGAAGCTGAACATAAAAAGAAGTCGAGTAGACCAAATACCTTTTTCTCTGATCTTTAATAATGAATTCACTATAGATTATACTTATTCACTGCATATTTACAATATTATTCAATTTTCAATATTTGTTAGCATTATTTATTTATTAGCATTTTGAATGCGAGAGAGAAATGAGTATAGGATGTGTGTAAAAATGTAAGATTAATAAGAAGGATAGATAAGTACAATGATGGGATGCGAATAAAGTATATAGATAAATGTCTTGTTAAACAAAGATTTCAAATGCTCTGTCAATAACAAAGTCCATGGTGGCATTCTTATAACTCATGTCTAAAAAGTCTCTTGAGGAATCTCTATCGCGCATTAAAGTCGGGGCGAATACCATGGCAAGGTTCTTTGTAGTCATTAGATTCTCACTTGAACGTCCTTTGACACTGTGAAAAGTTAAATATTAATTACCACAGAAAAACATATACAAACAACATTAACAGCTTACCGGTGTAAATGTTGCATTAATAGCTTTAAGGTATCATAATTTGCTTTTGGTAGCTGGTTCATAAGAGAAATGAACTTGTCTGTTTTTGTTTGATCGGCTTGCATTGCTATTATTTACATGAAGAGAAGAAAAAAATCAATAAAACGACTCAAATATTTTGTGGCTACTTTACCAATTGATTCGATGAATTCTTGATATACGTCGTATGTTAAAAGTGGGTCAGGGAGTTCACGGAAATATTGCTTGAGGACACTTGTGATGGCTGCTACGTCGTTGATTTCATCCGGATCTTTCAAATCGATGGTATCCCCTTGCTCAAATGCTATCTGGATAGCGCGCATTTGCGCAGCTCCTCCAGATTTTCGATAGATTCCTTCATAATCCATTCCGCGTAGCTCAATAGCCTCGATACATTTTTCTACCAGCAATGGTACAGATCGATTCTCAAGTGCCACCTGGGCAGCTAAGCTATGACCAAACAAGCTGGGGGATTTTGCGATCTCAATATCTGATCCACTGGACAAATCAAGACTTAAGTTGGAGGCACTACATATCTGGGGGACATGACTAAGACATTTTGCGTGCGCCTGATAACCGCAACCTATGAATAACAATATAATGTTTACAATGATGAGTATCTATTTGAATTTGGGATTCTTCTTTTGGGCACAACTTACAGCCGCATCGATATTCGTGCAAACCCCACATTTTTTCATTGCAAGCATTGCATTTGACAGGTCTCAAAAAGGATGTCAATTGGAATGAATGTGGGCCCGATACATAGGAGAAAGAACTGTCTATCGATGGCTTCGGATTATGGCGAATACTACGAGAAGAGCTATCGATTGCCAGACTTTGTGTGCTGGCGCTAGAATTCGACATGCCGTACAAAATACTCTTACTACTCTGAGCATAGTCGTTGCCATAAATGCTGGTGTCTGATTTGATAGATTTTCCTCCTAGTTTTCCGAACAGAGTGCTTCCTTTCTTTTTTATCTTCAACAGCTTTGGTTCGTGTTTTCCGTTAAAGCTATTACGAGAAGCTACTTTTTGATTGTTAATTGAGCTAGAGTCTGAGGAATCTCGCTGCATGGATATAGGCGACAATAGCTCAGTCGATGGAGTAGGTGAAGGAGAGTGGCCTGCCTGTTGCTCTCGATCAATGGCACGCCTGGAGAGATCATTATTCATTTTTGTCAGCTCAGCATTTTTTGTATTTAATAAGACCATTTCATGAATAATTTCGTCACGCATTTTGCTGAGGTCTTGCGTGTCAACTTTAAGTTCATCTCTTTCAAGAACAAGGGATTTGATTTCAATGCAGAGAGCGCTTTTTTGCTCTATTGGCCCAGTTGTATAATTTTCAGCACTAACCAAATAAGTCAATTACTTTTTTTTTTTTTTAGATTTTCAGGTACATTTTATATTTACCTTGCAATTCCAGCTTGTCTTTTTGTGCTCAATTGATCGATGTCTTTTGACAAATTATCTCTGAGCTCTCTGAGCTCTTTACAGGTATGTTCCAGCTCAATACGCGTTTGGGCTAGACGATCAATTTCTTGTTTTGTTGCCACACTGAAAGTATTTTCTTTGGCAGCACTTGCTTGTTGAGTAGTCCATTGGTCACGTAAATTGATTTTAGGGTCTGTTTTCTCAGGTTTGTTCATATCCTACAAACGAGAAAAAATAAAAGTAACAAATATTTAAATACACCAGTAATTACAATAAAAGAAATATACATTTCTCTCTTATTCAACAAGTACCTTTCGGTTTACTCCGGATAGCCGTTCAAGCGTCTCCTTTGGAGAGAATCCACGGTTATTAGTAGTAGCCCGTAGCCCGCTAGAAGCTTTTATGGATGCTATTGTTGTGCTTGGCTTTTTATTTTTTTGTAGGCTGCTCAAATACTTGTCTTGAGATTTGAAGTCAGATGTAGATTTTGGTTGAATTGAAAGATGAACACCGAGATTCTTGGCAAGGTCGGCAAGGTCTTCATGCTCATTATCAAAAAAGGTGAGATTAAGCGAAGGTATTTCTGGCAAACCAAAGTCAGCCTTGGCGTTTTGAGGAGCGGAATTATTTTTTATTGGAATGTCGTTTGGACGTTGCATGCTGTTGAGCGTAAATGAAGTAGGTTGATTTGATTGATGATTTCGGCTCGTGACTATGTCTGAATGAGAAGGCTTTGGACGTGCAAGGGCAGTTGGTCCCAAGGCATTGGGCCGCATTCTAGATAAACTATCGACAGAGCTACTTTGTGAGCGGGTTGGGGTTGGAAGTTGAACCTCTAAACGATCGTTTGGAGAGCGGACTTGAGGGGATATTTGTGTGTCATTCAGAGTTCGTTCTTTTTGCTCCATCATGTAATCCGCAACAGACTGAGCATTCAATAAACGACTTGTGTGACGATGAGCATGAGATTCTTTTGATTTGGCTTCCAGTGTCTGTGGAATACGTTAAATTTTTAATATTCATTATTATTTTTTAATTTTAGGTTCAAGGAACTTGCCTGTTGATTAATCTGTGGACGCAACGCGTTAGTAGAGATTGAGAGATTTGTATGTGCAGGGCGATCACCCTTTTCTTGTTTTTTCTGCTGTTTTTCAATCTTGCGTTTCTCATGACATGGTATGCAATAAATACCCTGGAGATATATATATATATATATATAATATTATAGTATAATATACAATTAGTTTAAATAATGTGTTGCAAGCCTAGGAGCTTGAATAACCCTTAATACCTTGTTGGTTTGGGTATAGACAAGATCATCAATATTCTTCTTGCATGAAATGCATTGGAAGCAATGGGTATGATACGCAGTTTGACCTGTTAAAGTTTGAATTAATTGCATTTAATTCCTCATAATTGTAAGATAAACTCGCACTACTTGGTCTCACCAGTCATGATAGCCTCGTCACTAATCGCTTTGCTACATACAGCGCAGACATATGAGCAGTCTTCACAGACAGGATTGCCATCGTCGAGTAGCAAAAGCTTGGCATTGCAGTCAACAGAAACACCACATTTCTTGCAAACAAAACTGATGATGATGTTTAGATCCAGGAACATTATAGATCGTTCAACTCACCACTCCAGATGGAATAGTGATTCTCCCACTGCGATAATTGAGCCTTCTTCTATACTTTTGTGGCAGCCGATACAATTGGCTTCTTCTGAAGTATCTGAAAGTGAAGGAGACATCATTGTACTGGTGTTACTGGAGATAAAAAAATGAATGAATAGGTCGTTGTAGTCGTAATTTTTTGCTCTTGAGAGGCTTTTTGTGTTGTTGTTGGCTTTGGAGAGGAAGAGTAAAAGGAAGAAGGATATAGGAAGAAAAGGAGATATATTAAGTTAAACAAGAGATAGGCCAACAGATTGCTTTGCGCAACAAAGATAGTTTTCCTGGTGTAGCACAGCATCTGAAAAATACTATATTTGTGTTATTTTAATCACCTTAATTCTCAACTATATCCTTTTTTTGGATGCGAACCTGAGCCAAAGATCACAGAATAGCTCGCGGACAATAAACACGGAAAACCATTTGGTCTAGTCAATAGTTTAAAAATAAAAGCTATACCTAAACGTGGTAGCTGAACAGGTTGTCTTTGACTTTCATTTGCAAGCCTCTCAGCCCAGTCTTTTGTCAAGAGGTAACTGAGGGACTCTACACGATTATCTCTCTCCTTTTAAAGCCAATTCGACCGCCCTAAGCCGAAAACTATCCTTTTACTATTTAGATTAAAAAAAAAGGCTGAAATTATACTTTTCTTTTTGTTTGAATAATGTTTATTATTTTATATATTCCATGGCCGCCAAGAACTGCACAATCAATCTTAATAGTGATCATTGCATAAAATTAAAAAGCTTGATAGTCTCGAGAACCGTGTGAAAAGGTAATATACAAAGAATACGAAAAGAAAAAAGCTATCTCGTCATACTTTAACATGGAACTCACACCTTCACAATAGGTTTATCAAGTGTGAATATAAAAAAGGTACAAAGTCAATACTTGTTACACGCCGATGTTCACCATTGTACTCTTCTCTTCAATTCTCCGCTAAATTAAACTAAGCTTGAAAATTATTAAAAGTTTGATTTTCCAGAAGAAATGAATATCAATATCTTGTATCGATATTCTTGAATTACTAATAGCATCAAAAATGCTTGAAACAGACCTCCAGAACCATTCAGAAAAGAGAAAAAATAGTAGATTGTAATAGGAGATTTTATGGTGAGATGACTATATTGAATGGTACTAACAAGAACATTCTGTTTGTACACTAAAATGTAAAATTGGGTTTAATTAACCTTTGGTAGCTACTATAGATAATCTTTAGTACTAGCAGATAATATTTTAAATGCAAAATAAACGAGTCTCTCTTTTGGATAGAGCTCCCACCACAAGATCTTTAAATCACAAGGTAAACATCTTATATAGGTTAAGTTTTGATCCTACATACATATATATACATACACACACTATATTTATATGATTATTAAATGATTGGCTAACTATATGAATTATGCTTTGAATTATATTAGATTGTTTTAATGTTATTGCATTTATATAGGTTTAATAGGCTGTGCTACTGTAGATTCAAGGGCCAAGTAAAATGGTGAACAGAAATTGAACAGAAATATAAAAATATATACTTTTTCTATGGGATTCCCCATCGTGCAGGCTTTCTATACACTCATTTAATATCTGTGTAATTTTTTTCTTATAAATTAAGGTTCCTTTTAATTACAATTATTTATAGTACATTGATTTTTCATTTCACACAAAGAAAAAGGCGTCGGTTATTCGGGCTATTTGCTGTCTTTTTGGCGTTCTATGCGTAGTTTATGGAATTAAAAATTATGAGGGAAAATGTCCACATAACAACAATAATAATAATAATTAAGCACCCCACCTGAATTCCGAGTATTGTTGGAAGCTTAATAACAAATGAGGCTATTTTAAAAGGTGTCAGCAACAGTGTTGATGCTACGGACGATCGTGTTGACGGCTTTCCATTGCTTGTACCTGATGTAGCATTTGCATGGGTTCTTTTTCCAAGATCCTTTTATAAATCGGATACTTGCTTTACTGTCAGAACAAAATTGGTATCCTAACTCTAAGCACGCTCTAAAAGTACAATAGGTATATCAAAGTAGCTGGAGAAGTATTGTTAGGTACGTCATAATAGTAGATATAATGAAATACTCAAAGGAATAAGCTTAAAATTAAATTGTTTCAAAAGCAATGTTGAATAAAGTCCTTGATAAAGTTTTTTGGGTGGAATATTTTTTAGGTAATCTACAGCATCAAGACCATATATATTGCCATTATGCTTATATAAGCATTTCATTAAAGTAAACTAGAACATTCAAGTACAGGTGGAGTAGGTGTTGTTGTTGTTTAGTTTGTGCTTTGTAAAAATAGTAATAATACATATTTGACTGACAAAAAACTGGTAAATTATAAGAATATGCTATATACTTTTTCCATAAATTATTTGGTCGGGAAATTTGCGGTTTTTTTTTTCGGAGGCTGAACGCATAATTTATGGAAAAAGTATATGGAATACCAGACGTTCTGCTGGAAGATGCATGTGATATTTATCACACGAATTTGACATACTTCAAAGAGAGAAAGTAGTTGACTTGTTGAAGAATAAGCTTGATGACTCAACAAGGACCAAAGAAAATTTTGATTGACTAAACTTTAACATCAAAGTAAGCCAGGCCAAGGGATTCCTTTCTGCAACTTGGACTTTGATTACTTTATGACAGTCTTTACTTACGACTATGAAAACTATTATATGTCGAATATAAGATATAACAGACAGGCTATATGTAGACCTAAGTAGATTGTAGCTGAAATTTCACATTTTCTGCCTTTGTTTTTTTATCAAAATGCTTCATTTCCATTGTGGTTTAATAGCACAAAATCCTTAGTAGTTTTATCCAACACAAAGAACCTTCAACATCACATAATGCAACAATATAACACTATACTTCTTAACTATCATATTAACTTGAGATAATTTGGCACTGAAGAATTATGCCGAAGCTAAAAAAAAATTGAACGTTCAAGAACCAAACCAAACTTTGCCTGCCTTTCTTGTCATAGCCATTACGATGATGATGAAGATTGTAAAAATATTTCATTTTCAATTCATTATAGATATCTCCTCACACACGGCCTGTGTACAATGCTTGGATGAATAGGAGATCATGGATACATACTTTGGCTGCAATTTTCAGTTTATTTCTTAAAGACCAAGTACAGCTTGGACTCGTAAACTTTCTGGTACAGGAATATAATCGGACCTTTCTTTTTCTAATTTTTCTCTAACGTTTTTCTGGATAACCAATAACTTTGTTAATGTCGCGAGCAATTCCGCAATCTTCAGATATTTGTGCCGCTTTTCATATGCTACTGGAATTTCAGCAGATCTAATTTCCTGGTATATGTAGCGACCAGTGGCACCGTCAAGTTTGGTTTTCGTGAGAGTTATATCTTTCTTCACACAATGAAGACCAAAAGTTTTGACTAGGCATATCGTAGAGAAAGCTGAATTGCGGTAGTTGTTAATGTCCACTTTTAGCATCATTATTGAACTGTGGATTTGCTTCAATGTATCATCCTCAGTGTGATTGGGTTTTTCTTTATACTCCCCACTTGATGATTCCATCACTAGTCTTTCGTTTTCTGACTCATCTAGACCAAGACCGTCCACGTATCGTACTGCCCCAGGATTTGTATCCGCATGAGATTGTAGGTAGATCTCACACCATCTAAAATTCAGAAGGCCAGTCTGATCCGCAAATGCATCGAATATTGGAATCACATAACTGATCCAGAACGCCCGTTCAGAGTTTGTGCTGTCTCTTTTCTTTCGTTTGCATTTTCCAGCAAAATGTGTAAGTATTAGCTTTAGAGCTTCCAAAAATTCCATTTCCTGATCTTCTAAATCTTCAGGGCATTCATGTCGCCATAGAAATTGTATGATTTCGTCAATTGGCTTATTCAGTGCATCTTTAAGCATCGTATATGTAGTATGATTATTTTTTAAGTTAATAAAAGTATTGCCTGCTTCTTGTTCTTCCTTCAGAAGTTGGATTTGAGACTCTGAAAGGTGTTGATTAAAGCGTGCAATGATCCGGACCATATCTTAAAGTTCGTTGATGGATTTTTCTGTAAGTTTTGGTCCGCCTGTCGAGTACATTCCAGCTTTGTAGTTTATGAATGTTAAAATTGCAGTCTTTTCTTTAAGTGCAAGAGATACTTTCTTGGCTGCAAGAGGTGTCAATTCAGGTTCATCTTCCCGTTGCCTTTTGCCTTCCTTATTTCTTTCACCCATATGCGAGCTGTGGACATGAGATTTCAAATCTTCGTAATCATCGAAATGGTCATAACATGAAGGACACGCAAAGCTTGACTTAGTTTTCGAATGCTCGCTTTTTGAGCTGTAGCAGAATTGATCAGTCTTAAATCGTCTCGATCCAACAGGACGACTGGGAAGTATGGTGTCATGTTGTTGCAGAATGTGATGAAGGAGCTTCTTTGTATCAGATAAAGCTCTTTTACATTATAAGCAATGATGTTTTAAGGTTACTAAGGTTTTCATATTATTAAATTATAATTAAAATAAAGAGTGTTGTGGTTATTGAAGTTCTTGAGGAAAGAGGTTAAAGAATATTTGAAATGAGGAGACGAAAATTCGTGAGAACTTGTGTAGGGTTTGTTTATTAAAGAAATTGGTTGTATCAAAATTTGACAAGGTTCCTACAACACCACAGAAATTATAAGCCAAATATGGTAGTGCATGGTACCCAAGCAATATGATTGGCGTAGAGATTTTTTCTTTATGTGATTTCATAAGTTGAATATTCTTTCTTCCAAATAAAGGAGGAGAAAAGGTTTGGTCCTACACTGTAGGAAATGGCAAAAATTAAAATCCCGGCCTGGTCAAAAGGCACTGTCTTTAGCCAGGTCGACCAGGTTGTTTAAGCCAATGAAAATAGAGAAATATGCTGTTTGTGCTACCTATTTAACCAAATAAAATGTTCAGATTTATAGGTTCAAACCTTATGTCAGCCAATAACATTAGAGAATATTCTTTTTGTGTAGCACTGTTTTTCTTCTACTTTTGGGGAGCAATACCCTTATTAGGAAGTTACAAATACTCAAATTCATTGAAAAAAGGACGATTAAGAGCATCTCCAGCAGTATCTAAACCCAAATACTAAATATCCAAATTAGGATTTACCGCGCTAGTACAAATAAAGCAATTTAGTATGAAGAATATCAAGGTCACTCCAGCAGTTTCTTAACACAGATTCTAAAGAGCTGATGATTTTGGTGAGGTTTTTCCTAAAGTCTGAGATTTAAAATTGAAAATTCAAAGTCACAATATAAAAAATGGAAATTTAGTAAATGATAGAATCTAAACAAATTCTGAGAAAACCTACAGAAGTTTAGATTTTGATTCAAAAAGTTTAGATCTAAATTCCGGATTTGGGTATTTAGATTTTTGTTTAGAAACTGCTGGAGACGTTTTTTTTGGAAAATCTAAACACCAGTTTCCTAATTTGGATATTTAGTATTTGGGTTTAGATACTGCTGGAGATGCTCTGTGTTTACTTTTTTCAGAAGTAAGCACTAAGCCGCAATTCAACAAATGAATATCAGCATAAAATCATCGTACATTCTGTTAAGTCGTTTTTTACTACTAGAGAATTGCGCTATGATTTTGCTTATGAGTGGTTGTACGTCAAAACATGCCTTATAAAGGTTTTTATTTTTTAATAAAAAATGGCAGAGGGATATTCAATAATCATTAGTTTTACCGGACCAATAATATAGTTTATGAGTCTTTGACTTCTTAATATAGCTTTAATAGTCTTCTGTGATAAACTTTTATTTCAACATCAGTGTCAGTGTGCCTAATTAGAATTTAAACAAACTAAATATGGTAAAGCACGTAGGCGATTAAAAAATCTGCCAGGCGTCGCCAGGTTTTCTCAAAAAACTGGTCAATATTTTCCTACAGTGATATAACTACTGCAGATGCTCTAAGTGATTGAGCTGTCAGACAACAGAATAAGGTTGTGGTAAAAAAATATGTATTTCTGAGGAAATCCTGCTGCTTTATCTTGTCAGAGTGTACACTATACACTACAATGAAGCACGACAAAGCCACCTTGGACAAAAGTGTATAGCTCTCTTTATCTGCTATAAGAGGTAAGTAATCGATGACCAATATTTTTTTTTCATGAGTGTAAGAAAAATACACTGTACAATGAGATTATTTTCTCTCTCTAGTTTAGAGTGACCAGTTGCCGGCACAGATTGAACTATTTGTTGTTCCGACCCGGTCAACTCTTTTAAAAGAAATATATATCTATAATCCTGCAACTCGGCAGTTGACCCCGATTAACCACACTTTGTCCAAAGAGCAAAATTTCTCGACTCCATTGATACATGTGAGGGAAATTAGAGCTTAACAAGCAGCTTCGATAATAAAGCTGCTTAATATATCTTCGTCTTCTTTCATTTATGAATTGAATAATGAGACGCTAATTTCTTCTTTTTGACTTGAATTAACATGGGTCGTAATGGTAACAATTTAATTTCAATCCAATGGAGACTTTATATAAATGTCAAGAGAATTCTAAAAGTAAAAAAAGCTTCATTCTTATGACCTATCCAGAACGTCCCCTTTTAAGGTTGATATTGTATCTCACCAAACATTTTTCTCCTTGTTCGACCACTCTTTTTATTAAGAAAAGAGAAGAAAACTAACTACAAAGTTGTTGCTGTAAACCTGACTTTATCTACCCGAAAGAATGAGCAGCCAGATAATAACAAATGTGTATTTGAGCAAGCAGTTATCTTTCAAGGTGTATTTGTGTGTGTGTATATTTTTTTCTTAGAAAAAGTTTGATTTAACCAACAAACTATAAGTTCATGCACGCAAATAAAGAATGTTTGGACAGAGAACCACTGAGAGGGAATGACTTGTTACGAAAGCCAGTTTGGTTAGTTTTTTGTATAAGGCAGGAGTTTTCGGTGAATCCTCAGGAGAAATTCCAGTCCTGATGGTACAGATTCATGAACTCAAAACGGGGGCAATTTTGCAGTACATCAAGGCAGGTGTAGATCTTCATGCATATCAAGCTCGAGAAATCCTTCAAGTGAGCTGTGTCTGCAGAAAAGCACTGCAGGCCTGGCCTAAGTCAAGAAATTACGGAGAAAGGCAGAGGCATTGCCAAAGTTACCAGGACCATTCTCTGCATAGCGCCCAAGATCGAATATACAAAGTATGGAAACATACTACCTTACATCTCTTCTCCAAAAGTCAATACATATTATCAATGGCTTCTCTGAAAAGAAGGGTCAACTCTGGATACCAAGAGCAAATGCCTGTCCAACCGAGAGTCTCCAAAAGAAGGTTTTTTCAAGAGCAGATAGACTTTCACAAAAAGTCAGAGAAGGTATAGTCTGTGAGCAGTCGATATCCAACCAAGCTTTTCTCCAGATGTTGAAGAATATGCGCAAAATTATCTTGCAAGATGGTGTTATGTTTCGGGTCGAGAATAGGGTCAACCAATTCTTCAACCATAGCTTTTTCAGTGATCCCGAGCTTTTTTCTTTGAAAATGCCATACACGCTGCCTGTTAGATTGCGCAGGAACCTGAAGACATTATTTTACAAAGGGCCATTCCAGTTCTATCAAGACAGCGTCAAAGTTTAAACGCAAAAATTGACGGTAACCAAGCAATACTTCAGGGGAGTATGTTTCAGAAACAGGACAGCCAACCGAACCAATGACATAAGTGGCATCTATGGGAAGAAATTCGAGAGGACATGCAGCGGTTGCATGAAGAATATTATTATTATTATTTTGGCTCCGGAAATGTACCACAGCAACGATGCTTAGTTGAATAGACCGTGAATATTGTCGAAAGACAAAAAACTAATGACAGCTAGTCCCTCAGCAAAATCTCCATTGAAATAAAAAATACAGTAAAGCCATATATGCTTCATTTATTTCGCTTTTTTTTATAATATTTTGGCTAATGTTTGATACATAGTTTGATCTTCTAGATTACATCTAGTGCGCTATGTAAATAATTAAAATCTTGAAAAATTATTGAATTCCACCATATTTTTTCTTTAAAAAAAAGATACTGTTAGTTTGATTTGATCAATTAATGCTACTGTTTTTTTTTGCTTTACTAGCCTTACACCCATATTTTATATGTAGACTTCTGAAGAAAAATACAAAGGTACAAAGTTAATTTATGCCAAAGCATGATTATCTTCAAACGTGTTTCCTGATCTCTTATTTTTCATTGTAACGTTCGGATTTCAAAAAAAGGGTGATAGCAATATTAACTAGAAATTGAAACCAAAGCCTTGCTCGGAAAGTCTTTAAAGAATCCAAAATATCATTGACTTTGAGAAAATATATAGTGTCTGTTTTAGTGTTTCTGTTTCTGTTGCTGCAGATGTTATTGCTACTATCAACATTAATATTAAGATATACTCATTCTTGATCTCGTTTATTTGTGACATAAATTTTGAGCAGGGATAACAATACTTTAAGGAATAGTGTGTGTACCCACAATGTTACCATGAGGCTAATTTTTGTTGCTGTGGCAAACATTGATTGTGCTACAGAATGTTTTTATCTTTATATCTACATCTACAGGCTCTTTTTTTGAGTGGCTGACTTATTTATTTCTCTGATGTTGTAAGTAGCAAGGTTGCTCAATACATTAGGAGAGCTTAGGCTATTAAAATATCTAAGTATTCTTGTGATCTACCTTATATATTCTGTGACTACTAATATTGTAATATACTATAGCATCTAAGACCAACAATATTCTTTGATTCATTGAATCCATTGCTTTATTCGAAGAAGTATAGATACAGTTTCTAGGAAATCTCAAAAGGTTTTGTTGATTAACGTTTTATGAGAATGTTACTTTTCACTTGTAATCAAAATTTGCTTAATATCACGAGATCCACTCCTTGCTAAACACACTATATTATTATCAGATAAAATTCACAGTCTACTAGCAGAATACAATAAAAATAAGAGTAAAAAAGGTACATGACTTTACTCTGTTAACAAACAACCTCTCTATATATAAATGTATTCAAAATAAAAAACAACAAAATATTTTATAATAAAATGTAGCCAATGTTATGTGTGTAAAGAAGGTTTTAACTCACAAATATTTATACTGACAGAAAGAAAGAAAAAATAGCGCTAATTAATAAAACAATCTTTCAAAAAAGAAAAGCTTCATGAATATTGTATAAAAAATGCGCACACTGGCAAAACTTAACTACAGAAAATAAAGCTATTTTGTATCCCCAAACTGCTTTATTTCTGTAGTTAAGATTTACGCCACTGGTTTGATTAGCATATTCCAAAATTATTGATCCGGTGCTTTGAGCATTTTGATGAATTGAATTCGCCTTCAACCCTTTTTAAATAATATATTAAGTTGTTTAATTATCCTTTGTGTATACAGAATAATAAGAAGCCATATTCAAGCATTATGGTATCCTGTTGGATCAAACTCATTTAAGTCGATACCACACAAACTTTAATCCCACAAGATTTTTTTTTGAAAAACCTAATAACTACATATAATAAGAAATACATCACAAAACACGTTAATTTTGTCTGTAGTACATCCAACCAATATTTCACGGAGCACAACTAACATGTAGCTATATAATCCCATAGATAACCTACGTTGGAAGAAAGTGACACTTGTTGGATCCTTTGTTTTCAAGCTCTATATTATTATTTAAAAACAAAAAAGTCATTGGTCTATAGCTTGTTGGATATTCAAATCTTCAAAATGCTAAACAAAAAAGACATTTTAAAGTATTCAATCGTATTATCAACTACACTATTCTCTCTGACAGTCGAAGCTGAACCCAAATGGAATCAAGGTAAGATTAAATATCTAATATAGTAAGTAAAGCCATTGAGAAACCTGACTCTAATTTACTTCTTTCTTTTTTCTTTAAAACTTTTTACAAATAGTCAATGCCTTTGATGTAAATGGTGGTCTGTGCCCTACCGCAGATTACAACTTCTATTCCTGCCCTCGACTTTGTGTTCGAGATATCAGCCTTTGTCCTAATACCATTTCTCCAAAATGCCCTTCTGGAACGTCTTACTGCATCGATGGTTCTTGCCGCACAACTTGCCCCGGCTCGCTGGTCTCAATATGCTCATGTCCTGGCGCACCCGCTATTGATGGCCTAGTCTATCCGTGTTTAGATGGCCTTTCTGTAATAATACCCAGCTTTGATATCCGCAACAAGGATTTGCAGAGTATGGAAGCTTGCTCAGCCATGACTGGGCTAGTCAATGTCTCGGCCTGGGAACCTAGCTCTACTTCGAGCATGTGGAATATATGTCCTAATCCAGACTATGGGTCTCTGACTTTTACTGAACCTGCGTTTATCTCCCTCTATGTATTCTACAGTTCTTGCGTTGTATTCTTGGTGCTATGGACTGTATATAAAAGGTGGCAAGAAAAGGTGAGTAATAATAACATAAAGGGGGCTATTATTAGTACCATAATCTAAATGAATGTCTATACCTAGCCCTTTTCTCTAAAAGGTCAAAAAGAGTTCGATAAGCTTGATCAGAGCCCATCAATAGAAACCGAAGAGGACATCAAAAACCCTCACGACACAATTCAATTCGAAACTTTGAATCATTATGGGGAAAAGAATATTGCCGTAAAGGGATACAAGAAAAGCTACCTAGGATCGGCTATATTCACTATATACATTATCCAGTCTTTTTGGATGCTTGGCGAAATTATTATGATGACATATGACTACTACAATGGATTTCTTATGTTCAAAGGGGAACGCCTTGTCCAGCTTAGCACTTTTATTGGAATGTGGTATATATTCGTCATCTGGTTTGTATGCCTAGTCACTTTCAAGGACTCTTTGTCAAATTTCTTTCGAATCCGATGCGAATACTCAAAAGCACAATATGTTCAAGTTGAAAAGAGTGAATCAGGCAAGTAGAATATCTCATAACAAGACAAAAAATTCAACGGTGTATACTAACCCTGTGATAAATAGCTACAACTTTCATGCAGGTCGATGACAAAATAACAAAATTTGCTCAGAACATAGAAACCAAACTCAAGACATTATTTGATTTCAATGTATCTTCCTTGACTTGTAAAATACATACCACCAGTGTTGGAAAGAACTACTTTGTCTATCAGTACACAAGATTCATTTATTGCCCCAAAACTGAATCTTTCTTACAGTACAAACTCGATCTTGGAAAGTCTAATAGCGAACTTGGTCAACTTGATGCAGGTTTAACAACGGAAGAAGCCAAGAAAAGGGAGGAAATGCTCGGTCCAAATTTTATCGGTGTTCATGTTCCAAGTATACCAATGGCTGTTATTCGTGAATTTGCGTCATTTTTTTATGTGTACCAACTCACTTCTCTTTGGCTATTCTATTACACCAACTATTGTAAGTTGGATGATTACTATACTTTACTTGTTTGGTGTGCGCCGCTTTGTAAAAGGTCTCAGAACTCACCCCCTTTTTTTGCAGGGAAAGTGGCTGTTGCGCAGACATGCATTATTTTGGTGGCAGCTTTTGTCAAGGTTTTGTTTACGACAAAGTCTGAAAGACGAATCAAGTCAATGGCTGAATTTAGCGATGAGGTTACAATCTTACGTAATGGATCGTGGGTGTCAATGACGACTGTGGACTTGGTTGCTGGTGATGTTTTTGAACTAAAGGAAGGCAAGACCGTACCATGCGACTGTGTTATTTTGAGTGGCAATATTATGGTTGACGAAAGCTCTTTGACTGGAGAACCTCTCCCTATCCGCAAATTTCCCATTGATAAGCATGACACTACTGTATATGATCGTGTGGGTTCCGGAAAGATAGCTACGCTGTTTGCTGGTACAACTCTTTCGCAGGTCCAGAGCTCCCACACCAAACATATTCCGTCGGCACTCGTAACCCAAACAGGAACAGCAACAGACAAGGGAGAACTCATAAAGAAGATCTTGTTCCCGACTAAAATGTTATTTATTTTTGATGAGCACATCAAAGTTGTATTTTTTATTCTTGTGTGCTGCTGTGTTTTATCTCTCGTCCTTGCCCTTGTGTTCTTTACGACCGGTATAGAAGCTTGGTTTTATAGCTTTGGCACTATATCTCAGCTCATTTCACCTCTGCTTCCAGTCTCATTGGTCGTTGGCCAATCAGTTGCTACAGACCGTCTCCGTAAAAAGAAAATCTATTGTGTGGATCTTCCTCGCGTATTAATGGCCGGAAAAGTACAGTTGTTCTGCTTTGACAAGACCGGTACATTAACCAAAGAAGGGCTTACATTCTATGGTATCAAGTCCGTTGAAGTCAACATGGAAACAGAAAAACCATCTTTTGGTGAACATTATCAAGAAACCAAAGACATGTCTATGCATACACAGTTGGGACTTGCTACTTGTAATTCAGTCACAATGCTGAATGACCGGTTGGTTGGAAATCCGGTTGATATCGAAATGTTTAGATTTTCTCAGTGGACAATGTCTCCCAAAAGCGGCTCTGGTAATATCTATCTCGAAACTCTGGTTCCACCAATGGATGTCCCTGGGTCAGTCAGTACCTCTGTACATGTTATCAAGAGATTCGAATTTGTTCATGCCCGAATGTTCATGTCCGTGGCCATATTAGATCCTCAGGCAAACAAAGTCCATGTTTTTACAAAAGGTGCATACGAAAAAATCAAAGAATTATGTGATTCAGAATCTATCCCAGCCGATTACGACCTCGTCACTTCTGACTTTGCACACTATGGATGCTATGTTCTCGCTCTTGCTCATCGAGAAATTGATTTGGATGCTATTGGAGGGTTGAATGAATTTCTTCAGTGGGACAGGAGTCAGATAGAGGAATCAATTAAGTTGATATCTCTCGTCTTGTTCAAGAACCAGCTCAAGGAAGACACTTCTGAGAATATAAGAGAGCTCAAGCACGGTGGTATGCGTACAGTTATGATTACAGGCGATACGGCCCTCACGGGGGTTTACATTGCGCGTCAGTGTGGGATGAGTAATCCTGGAACACGAGTTATCTTGGGTGACATGAGTTTGAGCACTGGAAGAGTAGTTTGGACCGATGTTGATGAACCCGAGAAATTCGGCAATGTCAACGTAGACAGTGCTTTACTTAACAAAGAACACACACCAGTTGATCTTGCGGTAACCGGAAGAGCATTTAACTGGCTTGATGAGCAAGGCACTCTACGCAATTATTTATTGGATATTCGTGTATTTGCGCGCATGGTTCCAAATGACAAGGTTAGGTGTGTTCAAATGCACATGGAACATGGTATAACGGCAATGGCTGGAGATGGTGGAAACGACTGCGGCGCACTGAGGGCAGCTCACGTTGGTATTGCAATGTCCGATGCAGAGGCTTCTATTGTTTCGCCATTTAGCACAAGTGATCGAAGTGTGAGATCGTGTGTCGAGCTAATACGCCAAGGAAGATCCGCTTTAGCAACTTCAATTTCAGGCTATAAATTCCTAATTATATATGGGCAGATTATAATGACAATCAACATAATTAGCTACTATTTCTCGGTTGCCTTGTCACAGTATGTTTGGATGGGTATAGATCTAGTGATTGTTATACCTATGACATGGACACTCTCTCAATCCAAGGCAGCTACTAATTTATCAGACCAAAGGCCGACAGCAAAGCTTTTTGGATACCAGACTCTTGCCTCTTGTATTGGACTGATAGCTCTCAACTGGCTATTTCTCATTGCTGCCTTAATTATGCTGTACAAACAAGGTATATTTTATGCTTCATGATGTTTACTTTTTTTCTATATACTAAAGTTTCTTCTTCTTCTTAAGATTGGTTCCGCTGTCATGAATTTGATAGTGCAGCGGTTGATTTGTTGAAGTGGTGGTTATTGTCAGATAATTATGAAGCAGAAATCACAAGTTTCGTTACAATGTTCCAGTTTGTCAACAATGGAGCCGTGCTCAATTTCGGATACAAATATCGCCAGAGCTTGTGGAGAAATTATTTGCTTGTTTTTCTTTGGGTGGGCTATAATATCATATTGTCTTATTGTCTTTTGGCGGATCCAAACCGGCTCGGGTGTCTCCTTCGTTTGAATTGCGGGACAAAAGAAGTGCTAACAGAGCTTGGATACTCGGTACCGTCATCATATATTGAGCCATACAACATCCCTCTAGGTCACAATGTTATTCCGTGGGTGTACCGATGGAAGTTATGGGGGGTCTGTATGGGAAATATGATGGCAGCGGTGGTCTATGAGCGAGTGGTAGTTGTTGGGCCTGTACACGACTGGCTCTCAAAGAGATATTCTACCAGACGTCTTTTGTTAAAAAATTAAATATTTTGTTCTGCTTGCCTTTTATTCAAGTATATACCTTCAATATCTATAAACATATACTATCTCTTTAATATCACTGTAGAATTTTAATCCTGTTCTTATTTCAACTAAAAGTATCGACATATAAGTATATGTTTGTTTTCAGATGTGTGTTTTGCTTTATTAGGTGTGCCTGGATAGTAGATAGCTTTGGGTTTTTTTAAGACACTATTAAGTATCAGAAATAGCGTTAGACATAGCAAAATCTACGCCAAACAAAGTCCAGATATTTTGGTTGTTTGCGTATATATATGTGTGTGTACTGAGCCAGTTCCATGAAAAGAGAAATGTTTATTATGATGCTTTTATTTGTTATACCAACAGCTAGAAACCGGCAGGAGGTAGGCTTTTTTTTGCATACAGTGCAAGTCAAGTTAAGAATTTTTAGGAATAATTTTAATATTCAAATTCAAACCTCTGCCATCTTCTTTTAGTATTAAAACACCAATATATTAAATGCGAAACAAAAGAAAGATGCTTAGAGAGAAAGCTATATCTTACTATCTAATAATAAATAGAGAAATATTAATAACAAAATGATCTTTTTGTTTCTTTGAGAATAATATATTCTGCTAAAGTAACTGCTTTACTTTTTTGTAAGCAAAATCCTCAATACAATTTTAGATATATACCCCAATGAGATACCAGGTATTTAATGCTGTAGAATCGGCATTACCTTTGTCAATTACTTAACTCTCTTCATTACCGAGTCGACATTGATATTGAGTAAGCTAAAGGTATAGTTAGACTCTTTCATAGCCAAATCCTTAGAAGAACTTTGTTGAGTCCTCTTAAAAAGCAAAGGTTTCGGGACGTTCGTTATGCTCTACACAATCATCACCAAACATATAATAGTAATCGCTTATTCTCTTGGGAACCATCTTGACACTTTCAACTATTGGTATAGCCTCATTTCAATAAAACTCAACCTGGAATTCAAAATTCCACCACCTATCATACTGTGATAATTCAGACAATATACATATATACTTTTTATTTTTATTTTTTGTCTTTTACTTATTGCTTAATATTGCTTTGTAATTTATGTGGGTTTTTTTCTAGTGAATTTTGGGTTCCTTTTGTATTTACTTAGTACAAGCAAAAAGAAAAGGAAAGAAAAAGGCTTTTTCTTGTACTCTTGAACAAAAAACGCACAGACCACTTTAGAGTAACCTACAAATCGCCTTTAGAAACTTGTACTCCACTTTGAGAGTTGTTGCTACACCAATCAATACCGAACCTTTCCTTACTTCTTTGCTTCTTTGCTTTATTTTAGTTTGCAGAATATTTTCACACAGTCTATAAATCGTCTCGGTGGCTGTTAATCCTGTCGTAGAACAGTTACACAACCTCAGTAAAAGGAATATACAGTCATATCACGTTTGCTCTGACGTGAATATCTAAGCCCGACAAAAAGCGCAGTCCTAAACTTTAATCGCAGATGAAAATTTTCTGTTACTTATAGAACCCCTCCAACGCGCATCGTTTGTTTTCTCCTTGAGCAACAACAGTCCCGGTTTCATAGTGAGGCGTCTCTTGCGACTGTTGCAGGGAGATTCTTCCATGCTACAAGCATCGGAAAGTGAAAGTTGTTACTCGCCAGCTCAGTTAATTCTGAGAAGTCGTGAGGCATTGTCTCTTTTCATTTTTGGAAGGACTACTGTGTACATCGCATCGCCAATGTGGAATCATGATGCTGGGGGGAGGGAGGTCTAACCTGTGGTGAGATGTGCTGGCTCTTCACTGCTAACCTGACTGAACTCTTTAACGGCTGACGGTGAAGCTACTGGTAGTCGAATGAGCTGGACCTTATCACCTAGTGGTAAGTTCTCTGGCGAGTTCGCACCCACATTACTCGGTGACGAGATGTGGGGCTGGATGAACGGGTGCTTCCCGTTGGTTTGCCACCATTCCAGCAACTCCTTCGCTACCAAGTCAGGTTTACGTCCTGAAGGAGATTGAGCCGCGTAATGCGGGGACAAAGAACTTGGTGTCATGCTTTTTATTTTTTTACTCATGTAAAAGAACATTAAGTGAAATTAAATCAAATCAAATAGAATGGTTTCTTTGTGTATATCTTTAAATAAATAAAGTCTTTCTTAGCTATTGTCAACTTTAATAAAAAAAACGCGTTTAGACTTTTTTTTAACTTGATTGAAGAGGTTAATGTTGTAATTAAGAAGTCTCATTTATAAGAAGAAATTAATCTAATTGAATAAATCTGAAGATTAATATAAAATATAATATGTATGCTCTTTTTATTATGTTGATTGCTGTGTTTGATTGTATAAGTTCTTTTTTTTTGTCTAGAAAGTCTAAGAAAAATTCAAAATGATTCTTGAGAATGCCAATGTCGTGAAAATTATAACTGAATTTTGCTAATCTGCATGGAGATTGTAAAGGATTTGCATTGGAATGAGAGAGAGAGAGAATAAATTAAAGATGCGAGATGCGAGATGAGAAGGAATGAGGAAACGTGTGTTTGAAAGAAAGAAAGAAAAGGCGTCGTGTGGATTAAATACACAAGTAATGCGTTCATTGTATTTACACAAACTGTACACAAGAAGTTCAATTTGGGAGTATTTATAAAACAATAACCAACATCTACAAGCCTTTTTGTACTTAGAATATCAATGAATGATTGGTGCTTTCCTTTTTTCATTGCATACACATATGCGCAATAATACTCGCCAAATATGTACAGACAATTGATATATTATTGCTATTAAAGATAAGTTGAGAGACGTGGTGTATATTGAGTAAGCAAGGTATGGACATCGTAATGAGGTATGTTCTCATATTGAACTGAATTGCATGGAGGAAGGTATGATTTTGATATATTCTGGTTATTACAGCTGATTTATTGATATAGTTGCTTTGTATGTACGCATGTCTGCGTGTTTTTGTTTTGCTTTGTTTTGTTTAGGCGCAAGTGCTCAAAAGATACTATGGTTTTGGCATTTCAAAAACATCAATTTTCTTTAAAATACTACCAAAATTTTGCTCGATTTTTTCACTGAATCATCGAAGAGATTGATAAAAAAAAAGAAACTCTTGTACATATTGTCATATAGGAATCATTGAGTGAAGGTGATTTTTTGCTTAATAACTGCTAAGAAAAAGAAAAGAAAATAACAAGAATATGTCTTGTATGTATTTGAATCTATAATCGAATCAAACTCTATGATCGAAATCTCTATCTTTTATATATATATATTGAAAATAAGCTTTAACTTGTCTTCATTTATTTCTTTATTTTACTTGATTCTGTGGTCATTCTCCAGTATACTTTACTATTATACAATTATTATTGTTATTATTATTGTTATTATTTCGCCTAATTTATTTGTTTGTATTTGGTTGAAATTTCCTACAAGACTTCAATTAGTTGGTGGAACACATTTTAATTTAAGGTTAAAACAAACCTATATAAATATATGTATATAAAGGCTTCTTTAGACAAAATGTCTATGTGACTGTTTAAATATGTTAAAGTACAAAAGTTAAAGATCTTGTAATTCACATTGATCCACACACAGACATAAACAAAAACACAAGCACACAAGCCCATAGACACATAGACACATACTCTCTCACACATACATACATACATACACAAAAAAATATTTTTACATTTACAGCATAATGCCAGGCGCAGTAAAACTTAAGGACTCGGACTCTAAACGACCCGCAATTTGTAAAGAGGAATTGATCGATTTTCATGATTACAACCGATTAGCAAATCAATTGCTTTACAGAAGCGATTTGACAAAACAACGCATCAAAGTCTTGTATTCTTCAAAGATCCAACCAAAGATCCGATGGCCCAATAAAAGAATGATGAATTCAAGATTGCAAGTTATTATTTATTTATTTTTTGTAGTGAAAGAAAAATATTATAATTATTTTATTTTATTTTATTTTATTTTTTATTTTATTTTTTTAAAAAAAAAAAAGATTTTGTGGCTAATATATACATACATGTGCTTGTATATGTGTGCATAATATTATTTGTATTTTAGGGGACCTGTACCCTACATTATTCCAAGTGGAAAATCCGGGGACATTAGCCCTGCTATCAAAGGAATCAATAACAGGACTTATCTTAAAGCTTCTAAACATTACGATCAACCCATTAAAGAAAATTTCTCGGCTCAAATCTATTCGATCATGGAGCAGGCTAAAAAAGTCGATAGCAGTAGGAACAGCAGTAGTAGCTGTAGTAGTACTTTAGAGTTCAACTCAGACCTAGAGGATGTGGACCAGGATCCTCAGTTGGTCATGCGGCTCAATCTACAGATGCTTTACACTGTTTTCGACAATATCAGACAGAATATCCAGACGTCTGATATCCCTCTAGATGACAAAAATCCAAAAGAACTTCCAGCCTATGGTTGGGAAGACATTCTTTTGTCTGCAATTGAAACCAAAATCCCAGTAAAGTAAGTAGACGTTAAAAACAGTAAAGCAAAAAAAAGGGATCTTTGTAAGAGAGTGTTAATATTATCCTTGGTGTACCACTTTTATGTAACTTTAGCGTGATCGAGGGTGTCTATAGACGATTATCTGCCCATTATAAAATGACACTACCATGTAAGCAACACTTTAGTTGGCCATCAAAGATATAAGAGAAGCTTTATACATTTTTTTTGGAAGCCTTCATCTAAACTACAATTAATTTGACTTTATTTTCTTCTTCTTGTTTAGCTATCGAAAGTCACTTGTCTATTCCTGCCCTGCCTACTCCTGCCTTACCTTCAAGTCCTTTTGAAAGTGTGTTTCTTTTCTCTTCTTTTCAAACGGAATTTTTCTGTCTATCATAGATTTACCACCGTCACTAACCTGTATTTTTTTTAAAAAAAATGACGATTCTTTATAAGATTTGGTAAAACAAAAAATAAGAAAGTTGTATAGGAGCAAAGACAAAACAATTTGCCCAGGATGTGCTCAGGATTTCTGGACGGACGAAGAGACTCAGATGAGAATTGTAAAGGATATCGAACGCAAGTTTACTTTGATTCAAGAGCAGATCGAGAACAAAAGCAAGTAAAGATTATTATTATTTTTAAAAAAAGGTAATGAAACTATTTATATAAAAAAAAGGAAAAACCATAGCCAAATCTCTTTTTTTTTTTACTTATTTGTTTTATTATCATCATAGAGACAATAGTTATCAACCCTAGGCAAGGTTAATACGGAAGATATCATTGATCACATAGTAAGACCCATTCTCAGGGACCAGTTGGAAAGTCTGGGTAAATAGTTGGGGATTGCTCTCATTGTCAAACTAGAGGAATCATTAGTCTTGTGGGATTCAACCATGTACATATACACACACAGACACACACAGACACACACAGACACACAAAATACATATACATATATTACATAGAGAAGACCGGTAACAGTGACAATGATAGTAGGACGCATGGGGCTTCCTGGTTGGGCATCGACGGTGCTGATTTTGTGATGAACTCGTTGGAATGGTAGATTCTAAAATGCAGCTTGTTTTGAGTAATGACAAGAAAAGATGTGGGGGTGGTTTGTAAAGTGCTTACGGCAAGTTTGTTGATGATTGCAGCTGTACCAGCCACTTGATTGCCCTCAAACGTGAGCATGGAATGGTCACGCTATTAAAGAAAATATGTATATAAAAAAGGGGGGATGTGTAAGCAAAGCATAAAAAAAACACGTTATATCTGGTTAGTACTACTTGCATAGATGGGAGCAAGAAGCTGGCGATTAGAATCAAAGGTGGTATAGTAAAAGTCAAGGAACTGCTTGGCAATGGTATCAATCTCAGACATAGTTGGAGTGTAAGCTTTACTTGCTGGATTTTTCGCGATGGGCAAATTCGTACCTTTTCAAATAGTTTTTGCGTCACAAAAAAAAAGAAAAAAAAAGGGAAAGAGTACCCTTCACGTCCCCCCCAAAAAAAAGAAAAAGAAAGAAAATTTGGCCCAATGATATAGATATATATATATTGTGATGTTTGATAGGATATTTTTTGCTTTATTATCTAAAGAACTGTACCTACAAAAAGCCTTTTAAGTTCAAACATTTGATAAGAGAAAATATATATGCTTGCATAGTGTGTAGAGTTTATTAGTTTGTATTGGAAAAATACTAGACAGTCAGAGATTGAAACGAAATCTACAAAAAGGACAGCAAGAAACTTACTGCGGTTGTGGTGCGGTTCGGGGAGGGGAGGAAACAAATGAGGGGGGTGAACAAGTTGTTAGTATAATCGTGTCCTTGGTACACGTACACTCACCAATTATCTTTCGCTTATTATTATTGTTTTTATTTTTATTTTTCTTGTAAGCTACAGTAAAATCACAGGTAACCAAGTTTCTTTTAGGTGAATTCTTTTTTTTTTGATCTTTACTTGTTTCATGGTTTAACTTTTCCTTTTTCTTTGTCTTTATTTCTGCTTAATGTGCCCTTGGGTGATTATCGAGATAAAGGCGTAAATTATGGAGTTTGATGCGTCAATGTGTACATTGAGTTTTTTAGCTGTAAAATAAAATCGCTGTAAAAAGGCGATTGTTATTTCAGGCGCAGTGAAATGGTATGATTTTGATTGGCTAATTTGTGGCTACTGCATTAGTAAAATATTATAAAAAAAAAGGAGAATAGGGCCAATCGACATCAGGGCAGGGAGAGAGAAAGAGAAAGAGAGAGAGAGGTGTCTGTGCGGGATTGAGTCTCCGCCTTGGTGGTTTGTACTTTTTTATTTTGGTGTGTGTAAAGGGGGAGGTTGTAATGCCAGCGTAGAGAGATTCTAGTTGCTACTGTGCTCGTTGGAAATATAACTTATCTTCCTAAACAAGAAGTGAAAAATAATAATAAAAAAAAGAGAGATCTTTTTTGGCTTGTGTGTGGGGGGGTATTGCATCACCCACTTGGCCAACAGACAAGAACAGGCCAAAAAGTCATGCGACCCTCGTTAGGGGACAGACCAACCGATAGAAGGGCTAAAAAAAAAGAGAGACAGAGATAGATAGATAGCTGGAGACGCCTTTTTTATTTTTACTTCTTCTTCTTCTTCCTCTTCTTTCTCCTCAAGTACAATTACCACAAACGACACAGAAATAATGCCCCTTCCACCCAACATTGTCTGCTCAGAGACGCGTCCGGCTCTCCAACCAAACAACGTTCCAGGAATCCAACAGATCATTCATCGCTTAAAGACCCGTCTTGCCTTGGCTAGATTCAAGCACCAACATGGTTACGAGCACTACGATTTGGTTACCTTGGAGTCCAGTCTGCTATCAAGTCTTCTCAAGTCCCGTCGGCGGCCAGTAATGGTTCCTCATCGCTACTACCCATCCCATCCAAAATCCAAGCCATTTGTTCGGTCTACGGCCTCTTTTGCACACGCGCCCACGCCGACCTGTATTCGGTCCCCTTTATCGGCCAAGCGTAATACATCACCGCGACCATCCCTTTCATCAGACGATGAAGATGCTGCGAATCTATTAGTAATGCTTCATCGAATGGCCAGCTTGGATAAATAGATGTAGTCTTTAGAAGTTCCATCCAGCAGTATATACACACCTACAGTCATATCTATACAACCACATCGACACACGCATATCTACATCTATATACACATATACACATACAGACATACATACAAGCCTACATATATACATACATACATACATACATACATACATAAATCCATTCATTCATTCGATCATCCATTCATTCATTCTTTCATTTATATATATATACATATATAATTATATATACATTGCGTGCGTAGGTGAAATAGATTAGATATAACTTTCTTTGTTTCTTTCTTTTATTGCTTGGCTGTAAAACAGCTTGTAGTTTTATTGGAATGCCTTATAATCGATAGTGGTTGTGGTTTTCTCTTGCTTCACCCTTATTATTGTTACTATTATTATTCTTATTCTTATTATATTTTCCTCCTGTTGCTCAACACGGTAGCCCCATGACCAAATCACGGACGCGCTTTCGTATCAAGGCATTGTCACAGAACACGCTGGTGGCCGTGTAGGGTGTCTCTACACGTGCACAACCCAAGACGTGAATTGCAGAATCATCTGCAACCTCACTAAATGGAATATGGTGCTGTCAAGCCAATCATAATAAATAAATAAATTCATATATATATATCACTTACTGCTATTCTTATTTCTAATGCTATTGTTATTGTCTTACTTTTTCGAGGTATTTGATCATCTTTGCTCGGCGATCTTCTAACCAAGATGCCTCTACACTAGGCATTTCCATAGACTCAAGAGGAATCTTCGACTCTCGATCAACTGTTTAATTATATATATATAATATACATATATATATATATATGTGTGTGTGTGTACATAGTTATATATATACATGTATACTTGTATGTTCCTTTCTTTCTTTTTTATATTTGTTTGTGTGTATGTGTGTGTGTGTGTGTTTTAAATAAGCCTTGGACTTACTATCAAGAGTGGCAATGTAATGCCCCATGACCACTACTGAATGTTGATCCTTCTGGAGAATAACATTGCCTGATGTGGGATCGACTGAATGGAGAAATCCTTCCCGTGAGCTATGACGCGAATCCTTTAGTGTGACGATGCAATGATGACCCAAGAGATCATATAGGTCATCGAGTGTGTACGAATAAAGACTGTCCATTGATTTCTGACAAGAACCACACTCTCTTCCCCCCCAAGAAAAGAATAAAGTGAATAACAATAACAATAACAATCGAATAAGCCCTAATGAAGCTCTACAGCTATCTGAGATTAAATCCGTGCCTTTCTTTTTTTTTTCTTTTTTTTTAAGGATAAAAAGAATTGAATTATATTTGGTCGAAAATGCACATGCTTATGTAGTCTATATATATGTGTGTGTGTGTATATAATAATAAATTACTGTATTACTTGTTCTCATTTTTCACTACAGGAACAATTACTATTTTGTTCATAAAACCAAAAGGATCATAAAGAGTATGTCTCTTTAAAGAAGTACAAAGAACCTACAAAGAACCTATTGTTTTCATTATGCTTAAAAGAAATGTGCTATATACTGGTATATGGCTCTTATCAGCAAAATAAGATATGAAAATGTGTTTTAATAGAAAACACATTCTAAAATATTGGTAACCCACACACACACACACACACACACACAGGTGATTTTCTCAAAAGGTTTTATGATAATATATATATACCCAATGAGTTAAATTGGATAATGACATGAATTTGTATTCCGCTAAAGAAGTAGTGACATGATAAACACTCTCATATCCATAAAGCAGAATATATATATATACATATATTTTATTAAAGGTAGGAGTCTTGATAAGATTTTCTGAGTATTGGCATATTCTTTTGTTGTTGTTGTTGTTGCGCCTGTAATATACAGCGATTATTTATTGAGCTCTGTAGTATAATCTACAAACTCATTGTGTGTCTGTGTTTTTCGTCAAGAAGACTGGTGAATATAATGTAGGTAAATTTTTTCTTGGGTAGAGTGAGCCAATAATATACGTATATTACCTAAAATTCAAATTTGTGTTATTCATTATTCAACCTACTTCTGATTATGAGGCTGTGCTTGTTTGTCTTGTTAAATGATATTGATCAATCCTATCCATTTCACTCATTGACTGTTTAAGCCTAGTCAGATCCCTCATATCAGGCTTGGTCTCAAACTCCGTCCTACAAAACGTTTGTTTGCTCATTTACCCCACAAGAGAGCATGTTCTACCTCCCCCTGGTGATCAGTTCAGCCAAAATCTCCGTTATAGTCACTGTAACTATATACACATGCACACATCCTCTCTTTGCCGATCTGAATCTGTGCTTAGCAAATACACATGCATATTATATAAAAATACATAAATACATTTTACTGCTGTGTATTCTTGTCTCATTAAAGAATCCTACGAGTCTTTCTTTTTTTTTTAAAAAAAAAAGTATGTATACTTCTTTGGTGCTCTGATCCATGTGGATATTTGCTCCTAATATTAACTCTAAACTTTATCTCATTTTTATGAATAATATATACTGCTGTGTGTGCTAAGTTTTGTGCACTTGTTGAGAGCTGCAGAAGAGACTGATGGATGAGCGGTCAGGGGGGGGGGGGACTGATAACTCGAGTACTTGCACCAAAAATAAATAAAAAAGAAGTATTCACTTCCCCTCACCTCACTTTTTCTCTCCCTTCTTCTTTTTGTGTTTTTCTTTTATATGACTTTTATCAGTATTACAATAGACACTTTCTAATAGCCGAGAGAAAAAAGAAGAAGAAGAAAAGAGATGTTCGAGAATCTTTGGTATGAACGTGCAAGCATCCTTGGAGTGAAGCTTTTCTGATATACGAACACAATTCTTTTTGAAGACTTTTGGTCATTCATAAAAGAAACCAAAGCAAAAAAGGGTGATATAAGCTGTTTTATTATTATTACAAGTAAGAGGAGCTGACTAGAGATGAGGAGATGGGTAAAGTTCAAGAGAGTGAGTGAATGAGTATGAATAAAGGCTTAGGACTGAATTTTTTTTGTCACTGTCTCTATATTTCTCTCTTCTCTACTGGAGGGGGTTTGATACCAAAAGAAAATTACGGAAGCAACCAATAGTATCAAACCTTTTTTGAGCAGTGGCAGAATATCCGTTTGATATCTGATTCTGAAAGACATTACAGAAACACATTAAGCACACACACACCCACACACACACAAATATTGAAAACATACAAGCATATTACTGAGTTTCGCAGAACATTCAACGCTCCAATTGCATGTCACTGTGATTTATTTTCATGCAGATTTATGTAATCAGTTTTGTACCTTACGTCTGTTTGTTCTCATTCTTTCTACTTGCTGCCGTGCGATGATTTTAAAATAGTGAGTAGCTAGTAGAGTGGCTAGTAGAGTTTAACAAACGCTACCTTGACACTAAAATATTTGCAAAATCTTGGGATCTCATCAGTAAGCAGACCGTAAACCCATTTGAACCCAGACTATCATACTTTTCTTCTTCCAAAGCCGCTCAATTATATTCAACTCTGGAAAATAGAGTGAGAGAGATACTCAAAGAAAGAAACTAATAGTGATAATATATCCGATCTTTCCTATATATATGTATATGCGTGTGTGTGCTTGTGGAGATCCTTCATATTGCTCAATAGGCGAATTTTGTACCACAATATAATTGGTCTGCAATATTTCATTTCTGTCTAGGACACCCATTATTGTATTTGAATAATAGGTTAAAGTAGTGGACCAATGAAAGTTACAAGACTTACTCGTTGTATCATCGTCAATTATGCTACCACTGGCTCTATTTATATGCTTATCTATCTATAAGGATAGAGTCATATAGTTCTTAAATGTCACACGGAAATTCTCACAACACCAAATGGAAACATTTCACCGAGAATATTATAGCTCTTTTTGGTTTTGGTTCTCATCGCTCTGTCGTGACACCTTGAAACCTGTACAAGAGCACTCTCTTTTATATATATATATGCTGATGTGGAACGCGACATTGTCTACAAACAGACCAAATATTTCTTAAACAAGTCTTGTATTAGCTTTGCAGCCACTTTGTCATTCAGCCATTTTGAGCTTTGGTTTTTAGGATTAAATTTTTTGTTTAAATGATTAAATACGGGTCCGCTTCAGGATAGTCTTAGTCTTAGTCTCATTTTTTTTTGGATAATGAAATCATATAATGCATTTTGTTTCTTTCTTAATTTCAAAGTCACCAAAAAAAAAGAAGAATCAAGACTTCTTTTGTTTCCCATTCTTGTAATATTGATATAATTTGGAGTTTGATGATATAGAGTAATCTAGCTTTAATGACCACCAGTTATTTGTAAAGGTGGTTTTTTATGTATCTAATGTTTTTATTTCTTGCTGTTGTGATTTCATTATTATATATTTTATGACATGTGCAAAATAAAGAACAAATATCAATTGTGATATGTCAAGCTGTTTATCTATATATATATATATATATTTTAAATTTTGTGCCTTGGCGTAATAGGTTACACCAATGCAGTACAAGAAAGGTTTGTCTTTACATTTTGGAAAGAGTGTGCTTCAATTGTGCTTAAAATGGTATACACGTGAGCACATATATATATATACAACAGCAAAGAAAAGAGCAAGCAAACAGAATTGATTGGATAGATTGATCTTATTATTATTTAAATTTGATTTTTTAATATATTTATTAAAGAAATATAAAAATCACTGGAGCCTTGGAACATATATATATATAAGTTTTATCACATAGTTGTAGATAGAAAATACAAAGAGAAAATAAAGAATAAAGAATAATGATGAATATGTATATACATATGTATATATGTAGATTTTGGGATGTGCTATATGTATAAATGTGTTGGAGTTGGTTTTACTTGGAACCAGGTATATCTACAAGTGGAGTGATGTAGGCCTTCATATTTTTTTTTGTATGAAAAAAAAAATTAAAAAGCTGAAAAAAAAAATCAAGTTCAGGAAAGAAAAGGAAGAGCTCAAGTGCACCAAGAAGATGAAAGGATCTGATCAGCGCTGAATCTCTCAAGAGGGTTCATGGAAAGACAGCCATTGAGGAGAGAGTGGAATTCGGGGGAGAGATTAAGAGAGTTAGGTAGTGGTTCCAATTGGCCAGACACGATCTTCTCCTGAAGACGGCCAGCATATGAATCTGTAAAAGGCAATTGTCCAGAAACAAGGGCGTACAAGACAATACCCAAAGACCAGATATCAGTTTTTGGACATCCGAGCGCAGTACCGGACCGGATCTGTTCCGGTGATGCATAGGCAAGTGAGCCACCCGCAACTTCAGAGTCACTTTTCATTGATGGCTGCTGTGCCATGGCCAGTCCAAAGTCACACAACTTGACAGTGTTGCATTCGTCGAGGAGCACATTTTCAAGCTTAATATCTTTGTGGCACACCTTGGCTTGATTGTGGAGGTAGGCAATCGCTCTCACTAGAGGCACGAAAATCTTTTTGGCTTCTGGTTCAGACAGTTTGGTTTTGGAGTGGACAAAGTCAAGTAGGTGGCCATTGGCACAATAGTCGGCGACAATATATGTTGCATAATCTGTCTCGAGTACATTCTGAACCTTGACGATGTTTGGGTGTTCTAGAGACTTCCAGATGTTAATTTCGCGTTCAGTGCGAATCTGGTCGTCATCGTCTGCCGATTTCTTGATGATCTTGACTGCCACTTTCTGGCCGTCCGAAATACGGTAGCCTTTGCGAACAGTCGAGAATCCTCCGTATCCAATTATCTTGTCGAATACATAATCATCCATCTCATCGCCTTCTTCCTCTTGGGTGATCTTTGGAGGGTTGCTGAACGAGGCTAGAAATGAGGCAGCTGGTGAAGGGCGAGACCATGTGGTTGCTTGAGAGGATGCAAGAGAGGTAGAGCGTCTGGTGAGGCATGTTTTGCGAGTACATGGCAGGGTTGATGAAGGTGCAGACGAGGCAAAGTAATGGGTTGCTTGAGATGAGGGTGAGGGTGAGGGCATTGGCGAGGAGTAAGGCGAGGGCTTTGGAGAAGGAAGGCCATATGTATTATATTGGTCACTTCCACGCCGTGGCTTATCCTTTGTAGATCGGATGAGATGGTCGAAAATCGTACTGAATTCTTCTTGGGACTGCTCGATTGGCTTTTTAGGGAAGTTGAACATTTGAAAATAATTGTTAAAAAAAAAGTATGAAAATAATAAAGTGTAAAAAAGAAAAGAAAGAGAGACATGAATTGAGGAAAACTTGGACCCTCATATAGACAATTCGGTGTTTGAAATATGTGCAGAAGAATCAAGAAAACAGGATATCAAGAGACCGTTCTTTATTCCGGTCCCATCCAATGGTAATTGAGGAATTCTTATCTCCATCAGTACTATAAAAGGATGTACTTATAGATAACTTACTTTTTGTTATTTTTATTTTTTAATCCGCCAATCAGATTGAATATGTTGTCCGCCGATAAGCCAAGATAACAAACCTATGGAACCATGCACGATCAAAGCATCTCGTTGGTGGATTTGATCAAATTTTGGTTTACAAAGCCAGACTAGGTTATATATAAAGACGCTTGCCCTTGAGTGCAGGGTATCCTTACCTAATAATTCTCCATTAGCAACCTCCTTGTAAATAATAAGAGAATATTTGAGATGCGGGAAGACGAGGAATATTCTATTATGTGCCAATAGATGCTTCCGGTCTTTCCCGATACCCTCTTTAGGACAAAAAAAAATATACACACACACACTGTCTCTAAGAGAGAAAAGCCAAATAGTGAAAGAGAGAAATATAGAGAGAATTAGTGTCTCTGTGTGTAATAGGGTGGTATGATTTATTTGTCTATTCTTTTGGTATCTTGTACAGCATATTGCACACTGCATATTATATAAATATATAAACGTACAGTATGTCTATAGGCATGTGTATACATGTGCGTATAAGAATGTATTTAAGTGGGTTGAAATCAATTTGGTTAATGACAATAAGAGGAATTCAACAATGGCCAGCAGCTTTATTTCCTAATCATTAGGACTGGGATCCTATTCCTTTTCTTTTTTGTATTAATTTATTGCAGTTACCCTTTGGTCAAGATCCCATTATTTAAAATCATCTGTTGCTCTAACCAGTACCCTTGTTTCTTCACTTATTCGTTATGTTTATTGACTGCTGTTAATGAATGATATCAGAGTGATTGTCTTTTTGGATATGTTCACATGTATACACTAACCATAGTATTCTACAATATACTAAAGAATAAAAAAAATTTTTGGCGTTTCTTTATTTAATCAAGGCCCCTAAAATAAACTATTCCACGTCATTGGATCCCAAGATCTGGGTACCACAAAAGTAATGGTACACATGGTAGCACTAAGTAATAATATGTGTATCTAAACTGTACACACAATGCTTAGTAAACGAGTATAATATATTGAAAATATACATGCAAGCAGATATATCTGTGGTTGTGGTTGATTATCCTTATCTATTGAACACAACACACCATTTGGGTCCTTATCTATAATTTCATAATCGTTTCATGTTTCCTATTGGCACTCGTAATTCACAACCTTTTATTCTGTCTGACCACAAACAAAGTTTAGGGTGTCAAATGGTGGGAATAAGCGGGTTGTATCAAAGAAAATCCCGAATCTAATGTGGTTCAAAAAACAAATATAACAGCAAGACTGCCAAAATCAAAGAAAATCAAATAAATCATTCACACAAATAACACAGAAAAGAGTCCAATCCAATTCTAGTCTTTATTTCTTATTGGGTTTTTATCTCATCTTATTTCAGAAATCCTACGGGTACGACATTTCTATCTAACCAGACTAATTAATCCTGACTGTCTGTCCGGGGTCCGGTGTCTCTCTTTAATCCTTCAGGGCAAAATGATGTGTCCTAAATAATACAATATATTCAATTGGTAGCCTCTACATCTAGACTTACTTGGCCATAATATATATATATATATATATTATATCAATAGCCAGCTATGCAGAAGCTCATAAAGAGTTGTTGTCATTCAATTGTAGCACAATCTTGTCAGATATTTTATGTATCGGTCCTTCTTGCGCGTATCATGTCTCTCGATTTCACCAACTGGCTAATAATCCCCACCCAACCTTGTGCTTTTATTCTCTTTATGAATATTCTATACCTGGGGACCATATGTGATCCGGTAAAATCAAAATGACATCTTCCACCAGGAAATATTGTCTGTCTCAGATCGTACTAAAAGATATTCGAATGTACCAATAAATCGAACCTCGGTGCCACTCTCAATGAAATCGACTTTTCCAGCTCTCAAGTTGGATCATCGCTCATAGAGCTGGCGGTCATGAAACTCTATGTACCAAATATTAAACCAAGACAAAACATAAGGCTGGCTGTTTAAGAGAAAGCGCACTCCGCCATTGGTCTAGGCTCCTTCCTTACGAAGAATGCACCTAGCACGTTTGTGTTTTGTCATGCCATTTCAACAAGCTAAATCTGCGAATAATGGATATTAAGCTTGTAAATAAAATAATAGTCCATTCTTGCCCTCAAAGAAATATACGTATCTTCCTCTATTAGACACTAGTGGTGCTGGGATCATTGAGTATCTGGCTGCTGCCATTTCTTTGGCTGCAAGTAGAAAAATATTTATTATAATTTATCTATAATATAATCAGTTACTTTTCTACAGAGTATGGTCACTTGGAACTCTGAAGTTATCCAGCTAATGATACAGTATGTGTTGTTTTCTTGACAAGATATTGAATTTGATTTATCAGGTTATTTAGCTTTATTAAACAAAGTACAAGGACCAACTCGTGTGATGTATATTACTCTTTAAATCAATAGGATATTATATGTTAATAATCAAGTACTATAGTACTCTGAGCGAGTACATATAATAATAGTAGTAGTAGTAATATGGCCTTGATTCGGTGATAATATAGATCTTATAATTCAGAGCAAATATAACAGCTTCTTGACCTTGTCACTAAGGGAGGACTCTGAGCAAGAAAGGTTGGAATGATGGCCAATATTGCTGAGAGAACAGCCCAGGATTATGTGGAGTTTTATAGAGACGAAGAAAAGTGTTTGTCTGGTTTAAGAAAGACTCGAATCAAGTGCCACATGAAGTTCGAGCCACAAACATACCAGACTTTCTCTGGTAGACAAGGGAGTTCATTAATTTAGGATTTCCTCAAAAATTGGACCGATTTCTTCTTCTTTTCTCTCTGGTCTTCACAAACATCTAGTCCAGCACGTATCATTAACACGCAAAAAAAAATTGGAACGAGTTTCAACTGCAAGAGAAGCTCACAATTATAGAATTATCTCTTTATTTTTTTTTATTTTACTCGCTAAAACCAGGTCGCCTATTAGTTTTCTTGTTTAAATATAGCATATAAAAATAAATAAAATCTGGTGATTTTTTTTCTCATACATATTTGTTGCCTTTCTTGCTTGCTGTCTTGCATGTCAAAAAATTTGGCATAAAAAAAAATCACCTTATTTCAAACACCTTACTTTGTGTCTTTAGTATAGCGGACGTTTTATGCTAATTATTTAAACACAGTCAGTGCACACAGAAAGAAAGAAAAAAAGAACAGAATATTATTTTCTTCACTGACCGGTAAAATTATTTCATGCGTACTCTGTCGGAGTATTAAAAGATAAAAGAATGATTTCATCGCTCACAAAAAAAAAAGTTATCTCAACGCGTTTGGATTCCTTTTACTCTTTTTCATATTTATCTTTTTTATCTTCTTTATCTTGCCAAGTAATATACGCCTCTAAACCTACAATAGAATTACAATGTCTCGCAATATATTTATCCGTGCGTTCTCTGGAGTGATTCCCTTGACAGCACCTTATCAGCGACCAATCTCTTCTCGCTTGACTTTCATTCCACGAACACGCTTCATGACGACCAAAGCCTCTTCATCTATGCCTAAACATACATCTAAATCTACACCTACGCCTATGCCTACGCCTACGCCTACGCCTTCAGCTTCAGTGTCGTCTTCGTCTTCACCTTCTCCTCCCCAGGGAAAAATAAAGCAGTTTACGAAGAAATATGGTCCAATGGGCGTAAGCGTCTATTTTGCACTCAGTGTAATAGATCTCAGCCTCACAATGGCCGTAATCAGTGTCAAGGGAGCCGACCAAGCAAAGCAGGCTGAGGAATGGGTACTTCAGAAAGTAAAAGGGTGGTTGGGAATGTCGCACACTCCTTCCAAGATAGAGAAGGGGGAGCCTTCGTTTGGGTCTCTGTTTGTGATTGCCTATGGAATTCATAAAACAATCCTGTTGCCCATCCGTCTATCTCTCACTGCAGCCATTACACCCATAGTAGCAAAGCGATTCAAACAGTGGGGATTACAGAAAGCAAGCAAGCAAGTTAAATAGAAAAGAAGTAGATATTTGGACAATACAATAAATTCAAATTTTAGAATTCCTAAAAAAAAAAGAAAAGAAAAAGAAAAATAACAATCAAGTTCGAGTTGCTCTTGTTTCAAATGGAAGCAAGACAACACATAATCCCACCAGTCCAAAGCCAACAACGCTGATGTGGAGTGGCAATGTAACCCAGAATGTGTACAGCCAACCCGAGGCAAGAGGACTCAGAATACCTGCGATTCTACCCAGTCCAGAAGCAGTCCCTACAGCAGTTCCGCGCACACTGGTATCGAATACTTCGGGAGTATAACCATAAATGACGGCGTACAAGAGAGTTGCCAGAAATGAAACTGTCGAAGAAGACAATACCATTGTCAGGTGCGAGTCAATAATTGAAAATATAAAGAGTGCAAATGCGGAGCCAAATGCGGACAGAGCCATTGTTCCCTTTCTACCCAGCCTAGTTTCAATCATATACGAAGCCACCTATAAATACAGTTCACAAAAAAATTCAAATGAAATGAAATTCACATTCATAAAAATATAAATACATACAGATGTACATATTTGTGTGCAGATTAGATTTGATAAGAATAGTAAAAAGATCTTACAAGTGAACCAGGAACACCCGCGATAGAGTAAACCATGTAGTCCCAATAGACACTCTTGCGAGAAGATGGGGTTTTCTCAAACCCAAGGGTCTCGAGGTACTTGGGCAGGAATACGTTGAACATTGTATAGGCCATTGATGTCAAGGTCCAGATCCCAAAAACCAACAGAGTCGTCCGTCTCCACTTGGGAACAAATAATTGTCGCCAGTTGTTGGACAATGATTCGCTGGCTGGAGATAGCGATTCTGCAGCCGAGATCACATCGTCCCCATCTTCATCCAAGAAAGCTTGCTCTTCTTCTGGGATCGATTGGGGTTGAGAAACAGGCCGGGCCGGAAGATCTCTGGCAGTGATCCTGACATCTTCACCATTGATTCTTGCGATGTTCTCTAGCACGATGATCGTCTCCTTTGTTCTGTACTGGCTCATCAGGAACTTTGGTGTCTCGGGCAACTTTAGCCAAAAGGTGCGCACAAACGACATCAAGAGGGTAAGCACGCCTATGGTCAGCAAGACAAGGCGCCATCCGTAGTTCTGGTTAGCAAGGTCACAGTCAGGGATCATGGTGTCAGCTGTTGGCTCAGGGCAGCTGGTGCTAGGTAAGATGATGTATCCGATTATTGAGGCTGTAACTGCCCCAAACGAGAAGAAGACGGACATGAATGTCAAGAGATAGTGCTGCTCCTTTGGTAAGAACTCGAGATAAAGTGCACCTGCATTTATTTATTTATTTATTTATTTATTTTTATGAGCGAGGTTTGGATAATACAAATCTTATGTCTAACAAGGACTTTTCTTACCATCTGTTGGCATATTTCCACCCACGCCAAATCCAACAAAGAATAACATGAGACACAGACTCCAGAAGCTAAACGATGCGCTCGAAAGGATCCCAAAGAAAGATGTTATCGCGAGTGTCATGGTATAGGGTGTCTTTCTGCCACGAGCGTCTGAATAAGTCCCCCAGAAGAATGCGCCTCCCATCATTCCGGTGAATAGTGAGCTCGATAGTACGCCAATCCATTTATCAGAAATAGAAAAGTGTTCTATTCCATATGTTTAGCTTTAGTAGTCTATCAAACGCCCTTGTTTATTCTATTCATCTAAAGAAGATCTAGCTACTAGCCAATTAGCCAATATCAATATCATTAACCTTGTACTCTTGGAAGTATAATTGCCACTGCCTAAGTGGATCCACATGAAAGCTCCCCATCAGATTTATGAAATATGTGTGTGTATGTATTTTATGGTTTAATTCTAAAGAGATGTGCTTTTTATATCTGTACCTGTAACCACATCTATTAAAGTTTAATAGGCTTTGTTTGTTAAAAAAAAACGTAAAAAAAAAGGAAATACTAGCTTTGCAAATCACAATACAAAGCGCAAAGCGCAAAAGCGCGAAAGCTTACATTATCAGCCAGCCATCCAAACCCACACAGAATCTATAGATATCAAAAATAATATATTATTATATGTAAAATTAACTTTCTTCTTCTCCTGCAACATCTCTGAATACACATTCTTATGATATTAGTCATCCAAATATATATATTTAAAAAAAAATCAAAATCAAAGCCAAAGTGTTGTTACCAGTAACTTCTTTTGGAAACGACCATAACCAACTTTAGTCAATAGACCATCAATAATTTGCTCATGGCTCTTTCCGTTGTGCATGAGATTCTGGTCATCATGATCAAAGTCATCGCCATTGACTTGGTGGAATGATGTCATGATGAAACAAAGAAATAAAAAATATATATATATATCAAAAAAAAGGTCTTGTTTTCAATGCCAGGTTTATAAAAAAAAAAGAAAGAAAGAAAGTAAGAAAGGGCTCTCGATATGGCTTAGGCTATTCGGTTAGGTTTTGTTTTTTTTTTCTTCTTGTTTTGATTGTCATTAATATTGGTATTACTATTGTTATTCAAGTGAGAAGAAAAGGCTATAGTATTTCTATGTGCAGATGCGCAGAAAATACAATAATGATAAGAAGATGATGTAGAGATGTTGTATGTATTTATGGCATATTATGAAGCCCATCAAGATTCTATTCAAAAAGAAAGAAAGCAAAGACTCTATCATGGTACATGCTATAATAGTAGTGCTAATAATAATAATGATAATGATACTAATTGTACGTAGCTGTTGTAAAACTATAATTAGGTAAGAATTACAGTAGACAGAAAGAAGATGAAAATAATGTATATATATATATATATATATTTAAAGGCTTTTGATTAACACAATCTCACTTGGCTTGTACTAGACTTCAGCTGAACAGCGCGTGTGAGAGTGGCCAGCTGGATGGTCATGCCCATGGGAGTAATATACCGCTCATTATTATTGCTATTATTTGTAGAAGGCTTCTTTTGTGGTTGGGTCTTGGCTTGCTGAAGGATAAGCGAGAGCCGAAAGGTAGGGGAAGTGGCAACGGAATAAAAGAGTTTCCAGGGCGAGGCCACGAATGTCTTTTGTTTGAACCCTAACCACGATTTAACAGTCATCTCATGAACTCCACACGTCCGGATACTCATTCGACGCTGCTTTCTGTCGACACAGTAGGTGAGAGAGTCATTTGCCTTTGGACTCAAGTCTAAGAGAGACAAAGTCCGAACCACAGGGGCTGCGATAGTGGAGCTGCTCTTGTATCGCCGTGCAGGGGTCATCGAAGACGTCGTAAAGGTAGCTCTGGATGTGTGTTGATCGAGACCGCTGAATCTGTGGACCGCTCTCCATTGGCCATGGCCTTCCTGATCAATAAGAGTTACCAGCTGGATGTGCGGCAATGCATAGTGCTCAAGTGCATAGAATGCAAGCTGTCTAAACCGACGCGAGATCTGAACGAGTCCATAGAGGGTGTGGAAATCAAGATATTCAAACACACGCAGCAAAATCTCGTCCGGAAGACAGTCTAAAGTGGGAGCCGCATTAAGGGCCTGTCTAGTCACAGAAGCAGATGTTGGCGAGCCGGTCTTCTTCCATTGTCGGGCAAATATACTCTTGAGTTGTTTTGCCCAGCTCATTGTTTATGTGTGTAGGATTTACGAGAGAGAAGGAGAATAGAGGAAAGGCGTCTTTGAACGTTTGGAGGGCATTTGATACGAACAAAAAAAATTAGATATAGAGATGCATTCTAGAGCTCATATTTTGAGGATATAAAAAGACATAGTTGTTATCTGGAAGGGGTATCTTACAAAATGCTACACAGCGTCACAAATATAGGAGGTGTCAATGTCATTCTTGATTATCTTTTTTTATTATTATTATTATATATTGTTTGCTCTTGTGTACCAATCGTTCTTGGAAACGGCTTGGAAGACGACGTAGAGTTTTGTTTTTTAGAATCTCTTGTTAGTATACCTATACAATGAAGAACGATTGTTAAAAACAAAGGCTGTGAGGCCAACCTAAGAGCTATAAAGAACATAAGATGTTGTAATTGTGTTATTCAAAGAGGTTATATAGACTTTCTGTGATTTAATATGATAGTTCAAGTCTCATTTTTATTTAATTTTTAATAAGCTATACATAAGAAATGAGATATAGGGCCAATAGATATATGTTTTAGCTCAACTAATTGTGCTTATTCTTCTTTTTTCCAAGGCTTTGAGATAATAAAAAAAAAGATAAATGGCTTATAGAGCTTGATATTAAAATTGTACATTTTTTCTTAAATTTTACCAGAGTCTCTTACAAGAGAAAAGTGATATTGTGCTTCTTTCCTTCCAAGAGATAGAGATGCAAAATGAAATACACCTAATTACAGTATAATTACTGTCACATAGCACCCTGCTTTATTTTAATCCAATAATAAAGTACCCTGCAGTAAGCTCTTACATAGTATTTCTATAATATGGAATGAAGGGTATATATACATATATATTTAATATCAATAGCAAATTATTCAAACATTTAAGAAGAAGAAAAGTTATAGTTTTTATCTCATATATGGTTTGTAATAAGAAAATTATACAAATACGATCAAAGTATCTTGTAAAAAGAGAGCCTTTCAGCGCAAGGACAATAAGCTTTATAGACTTGCACGGCTAAGCACAAATTCTTGCAGTGCAAGACATTTATATATGATGTTTGAACATCAACAACAAGTTGTTTGTTTTAGCAGCTTATGAAAATAGGACAAAAAAAACTATGGTATATTGTAGTATCAAGGAAGCATATTATTTGCGCGAAACCTTATGCTGGATATTGACAAATGATATCTAGCAACGGTCCATGCGAGGAATTCCCTCAATTCTCATGCCTCGACAAATGTATCTTAATCCCCCTCACAAAAACAAAAACCTAAAAAGAAAGAAAGAAAAGATCGGAATTTCAGGGGTGTTGCGTTTTCTACAGCCGCATGTAAGGTAGCTCCTATCCATACCTTTTTATATCTATGTATATACTCATCACCAAATAGTAATAATAATAATATAAGATATAACTATAGTTTTGAGTATCCTTTATAGTTCCCATTGCTAGTATAGCATTATAATTCTAAATGATACTTTGGAAGAAAGAAGCTCGAATTATCGTCCTTGTTTCAAAGAAAAGTCTGAAGTAATAAGTTGTATACATTGGGGTCAATTCCAACTATTGGAGCCTTTTAATAGCTTGGCAGTAGCTTGATAAAAGTCAACAATCCTGTAACATTTGGGATTTCAAAAAGAAAAATCAAATAATTAATGCCCTTGAACCAGGTTAATGTTGTGTATAGAGCAAAGTCTAGTGGATAAGACCAATGGCAGAATAAAGTGATATTTATCTCTAGTTTGAGAAACAAAAAAAAGAGAGAATTTGTCTTTTGCATTATTTTTGATAGATTAATACAATACACTCAATAGAATGCTACATCAGTAAACTTGAGACCAGGAAGAGAATGATTGGTTACGTCTTTTATACTCTTGCAATCACTATGCAGAAACAGACTATTTGATTTCATGATGAGATTCCAATCAGGAGATTAACATGCTAAATTATGCCATCTTTTTCATCTGTTTTTTCTTTTCTTTTGTTATTTATTCAATATTATTTTACTGAATATTTCTGACACAATAAGCGTACCAAGTACGACTGTGAACAATTAGCAATCCCTAATGACCACTTGAATATTAATTCACAAAAAGATACACTAATCATGTAAATAACTCGTGTTACATGATGAATCGGAGGTTACTATTTAACTCATCATGTTCAACCATTCTACACACATCTTGTACTTGTTTTCATATTTTTGTGTTGAAAGAAAAAGGCATTTCAGTGGCTTCCCATATAGCTTTATCCAGCTTGATTGCTAGAAGATATAATCCTAAAAGAAGAACAAGAAGATTTTGAGAATCTTTTGTGCTTATACTACATGGTCTTATAGACAAGTCGAAAACTTGTATAGTATCTGTTTTTAAGTTGGATGATCTATTATCCTTTTTTTCTTTTTAATAGCTTACTGAGACAATATTGATAGTAAGAACATTTGGCAGTCAGACACTTTCACTTGAACCACACCACTCTACCTGAGATTGCGTCAAGGGTTATTTATGAGAAACAGTATATTTGCGGCACTTAAACAGTAGGAGTAGCTCTTTCACATTCATTTTTTTTTTGTACATTTTTATCATACACACAATTTCATAGGAAGGCAAAAAATAAAAAAAAAGACAACGTTTCGCTTTCAATACAATTAATTACTAATTCACTATTTTTCTTTGTTTTTTTTTTTGGCAATAAACTTACCGTATATTTTAATCGAATGGAATTACGTCTTTATTTAAAATTAAAAGCCCTTGCTGTTTATCTCAAGAATTGTACGTAGTTTAGTTGGTTCATCAAAAGAAAAGAGTTTCAAATCTCTTTACAAGTAAATCCACTACTTGTTCCAGAGATACAGATTTTGGTGTCCTACACCCACATAAATTGATTAGACAATTTTATGAGTATCATGCAAATTTCATTCGTTCATTGTTTTTCTTTCTATAAAACAAAGAAAAGGCTGGTAGGATATTCTTGTAATTGTTTCATCAACGTTGAATAATACGCGGATATGTACTCTACTTTCTTGCAATTGGAACCGTCCTTTTCTTGTTCTTTTTTGTTTGGACATTTTGAAAGCATCTTTAAATAAATAAAAATAAATTGAGGCTTTTAGAGCCAATATCTTGGGCTTGCAAAAAATAAAATAAATAAATAAAAGCTGTTACAATGAACATAATTATCCAAGGAGGTTTTGAATCTGTGATACCACGACAGTCATTTAAAGAAAAGAAAAGAAATAATAATAATAAGGATTGTTCGTGTCTCTTTGAGCCTCCTTGGAAATCGCAACCTAACCTCACCAAGATCAACAAACGGCATTACACCTTTTATAGCCCACGACTCACACAAACACACCTACATAAAATAAGATCGGCTGGATATTGGAGATTCATCGAGTAATACCAATTGGCCTTTTATTATCATCTATATACATAAATTGGTACTGATCTTTAAAGTCATATAGAAAATTAATGCCACTCTTCTCGGCTTATATACATACTCACAATCATACATTTAGCACAAGACAGAATCTATTGCTTGTCAACTAACAAAGCGAGTTTTGTATATTGATATACAGATAATCGGTCGATTGTATTTTCATTATTTTCTTTATTTGTATTCTTAAGAAAATAAATAGATGTATTTATATACATTCATTACGGTCAGAAATAAGGAGGTGTCCCATTCAATATGAACGAGAAGGTTTGCTCAATTCAGTCCTTCTGTATTTATTCTCCCTTGCTAACAAAAAAAAACACAGGATGCCACTGCCTGCAATGGTTCTATCTTTCTTATAAGAAAATAACTTTTTTCTTTCTTTCTTTCTTTAGGGATTTAAATAAGACATGATCCCCATCTTTCCATTGGTGCTCTATAGACAGGTGTCATTCCAGAGCAAATTGGAGCATCAAATCGATTTTCAGTCTTGACGACAGACGCCGTGTAACCTCCTACAGAGGCATCGTAGTGTGCCAGGGTCATACCCAACGGAGGGGTGGTCGATCGAGGAGGAAGGTCCGATGGCGAGATACTAAAGGTCTGGTTGTCGCAAAGGTCCATCACATTGTCACCACACTCCTCCATAGTCACGGTAGTCTCCGATGGATGAACTCGCTTAGGACTTGGCGCGATCTAATAGAATAGAATAAATTTAAATATTATATATATATATATATATAAACCGAATTGGTTAACAAGAAAGAAAAAGAAAATACTAGTGCCAAAAGGTAACTGGTTAGATTCTTTTTTTTTCTCTTTACCTCTTCTTCTAGATTCTTGCGCTTCAATTGAGCTGGCAAATTGGTGTTTGTAGGCATATTGATGGTGTGGTTTGTGTGGAGAAATAAGAAGGACCTTATTGTTCATCTACATCTGGCTCCAAAAAGCTGGCTGTCTTTTATGGACAAAATATACAAACTCAGACACCCACGGTCACACTATGTGACGATGTTCTCTAGGCAATTAGCTCTTTTTTTTTTTTTCTTGAGGATATCTCTTTTTTTTTTTTTTATTGGGTCTGTCCTCAAAAAACAACAACAACATTAAGCATGCCAAAGTTAACTACCAAGCAGACCAAAAAACAAGAGAGTGGAGCCGACATGCGAGCATTTGGACCTCTGTTCAACAAAGATCTCGGTCAGCACATTCTCAAGAATCCTCTCGTAGCTCAGGGAATTGTAGACAAGGCAAGAAAGAACAAACATAAAACGACAAAGTAATGATTAAGCAAGAAACAAAAAACGTATTAACCAAAGAATTCTTTTTAATAAAAAAAATATTATATTTTATTTATAATAAATAGGCTGGTTTACTTGGATCGGATACTGTGCTTGAAGTTGGACCTGGTACTGGTAACTTGACCGTCCGTATTCTTGCTCAGTGTAAAAAAGTAGTCGCTGTTGAATTCGATCCCCGTATGGCTGCTGAACTCCAGAAGCGTGTAAATGGAACGTAAGTAAAGACGATGGATAAACACACCAAATTTTCGACAAGAAGTAAAAGGGAGAAAATGAATGGGCTTATTTCTCCTTCGGTACATTTTCTTTTGTTGGTAATTGAATTAATTGTAGTAAATCTTGCTTGCTTTACATAGACCCGATCAGAGAAAGCTTCACATTATGTTGGGCGATTTCATGAAGACTGAACTGCCATATTTCGACGTGTGCATCAGTAACACACCATACCAGATTTCCTCTCCTCTAGTCTTCAAGCTGTTGGAACACCGTCCCTTGTTCAGGTAAAAAAAAACATTTGTTTAAATATTTAAACAAAGAATATGGTTGGGATTCTTATTCTTTGTTATAGATGTGCAGTACTCATGTTCCAGCGTGAATTTGCTCTACGTCTGATTGCAAAGCCCGGAGATACCCTTTATTGTCGATTGACTGTAAATGTACAGCTGTATGCAAAGGTGGATCATATTATGAAAGTAGGAAAGAACAACTTTAGACCTCCTCCTCAAGTCGAGTCTTCTGTTGTCCGCCTTGAACCCAAAAACCCTCCTCCTCCTGTTGATTCCAAGGAGTTTGATGGTTTGTTGCGTATTGCGTTTGTAAGAAAACACAAGGTAAATAAATAATTATATATATAATAGGGTGCTATTCTGAAAACAAGAAGAAGCAGAGAAACTAATATTATAAAAAAATTGTTACATGGATTAGCATTTGGTGGCCAATTTTAAGCAGACAACCGTACTTCACATGTTGAAACAAAACTACAACACATATTGCTCCGCTCACAATATAGTAAGAACACACCGTATATTGATACACAGAAAGCATGATTGTTAACCATACAATGTGATTTTAGATGTTAGAAGATGACGTTGATATCAAGGACAAAGTTGTTGAAATTCTTGAGTCTATTGGTATGGCAGAGAAGCGTGCAGCCAACTGCGATATGGACGATTTCTTAAAGTAAGACAAAATTTTGATTTCTTTATGACTATAAAATAAGTGATCATTAACATCTTTATTTCTTTGCTTTAATAGGATTCTTCTCACTTTCAACAATGCCAACATTCATTTCTCATAAAAAAAATCAATCTTCATCTTTATATTCTTTTCCACCTATCTCCCTTGTACTTTTTTTTTCTGTCATACATTAATACACACGCACACACGCACATCTTCTATACATTGTACAAAAAACTCTTTTGTATTTTAAATTTTACCTTATTTTATTTTACTGTTGCCAAAAAAAAAAGCCAAAACACAATTGGATCCGAGTAAGAGTAAGAGTAAAGAAGTAATGTGTATTTAATGCAGGTTTTTATGATGAACTTGTCGTCAAGGGCTTTAATTGAGCTTTTTTTTTTAAAGAAATATATATGTTGATGATATAATATGATGAAACAGAAGCATTTGGTAAAAAAAAATTAATATCTTTAAATAAATAAATTACAGCAAAATTATTATCAGTCATTAACTAAAGAAGAAGAAGAAGAATGTCCATTACTGAAGAAATCGCTTTTTTTTTTCTTATATAAATCTTATTTGCATAAAATGCCTATTTTACAAGTCCTACCTTCACAAGGTCTATTAATATAAAAATGTGATACTGTAAATGTTGGGTTTTTCTAAATTTTTTTTTTGGGAATTTTGATTTGATTTTATAATATTATATATACACAAATTCCAACATTTCAATAGAAGAAAAAAACAAGTGGGAAATATGAAGTCATACACGATTTTTTTGAATGATTTCTTTTTGAGCAAATCTAATTCATCCTATAAAAATCGTTCAATTGAAGTTTGAATCTTTAGTTTTTGGCTTACACTCTCTAGTTCTTCTTTAATCCCGTGTCAATTATCAACCAATACTATATAATTTCAATTATACTCCTTGATGTCAGTTCACAAGAAAACAAGGAATAAGATACCAAAGTCAGAATTATATATTAAGTGTACTGTATATTTATATTTTATGTGTGTGCGTAGTATGTGCGTGTGTGTGTGTTTGTATATATATATTTGTGTGTGACGATGTAGTAGAGAATGGACAAAATGACGTTTGTGTATGCGGTGTGATTTGGATGGGTTGTGTTTAGCTGGCTGACTGGCTTAACTTGCTAGCTACCTTGCATGCCTTCCATTCTCGGGCTTGCATAGGTAGATCGAAGCCCGGTTCCAAAGTCCATGTGGAGGTGAGAGCCAAAAGGCATACAGCCTTCGAGTGCAGCCTCTGAAAAGAGGTTACTAAATGTTTCTGTTGAATTTGTGTCGTTTTCTATCAGATGATTTGTCAGACGGCGCAGATGGTGCCATACTGTAGCCAATATCGCAGCAGATGTAGAGCTACCAGGAATTGAAGGGTGGTGGGTTGGAATGCTAAACCGATAAAGATGTTTGTGATAAGCTTTCAAATCATACGTATTTACAAAATCAATCATAGCACAGCATAACATAGCATAGCACAGCATATCATAGTATATGCCTTGCTTTTCTTTTTCTTTTTCTTTTTACCTGTCGAGGTTGCGATGCTTCCGTCGTGTAAATTTGATGTCATCATTATCTTGAGTACTCTTGGAACACTCGCTTTCAGATAACCCTTGAGGGAGAATTAGTGCAGAATGCAAACTCTGGATCTTCTCTTTTCCTTCTTCTACTTCTGCTTCTACTTCTGCTTCTGTTTCTGCTTCTGCTTCTGCTTCTGCTTCTGCTTGTGGTTGGCTCGCAAATGAAGGTGGGGCGATACCACCATTTGGTAAAAGGATGTTTGGCATAGAGGGTGAATTGGGTTCAAAATCGTCTTCATAAGTTGCCCATGTGGCTGGTTGGGGAGAGTGTAGAATACGACGGACTACCCGTGCAAATGCGATAGGTGAATCAGAGTCGAGTTGGGAATCAGAGTCGTCCAGGAACGTGCCTGTGCCATCATGGACAGGCAGATTGGCGAAAACAGGCACAAACGTAAGAGCATTAGGAATGTCGATATCAGATATAGATTCAGTATCCGAAGGTCTAAATGAAGAAAATGATTCTGGTTCGGATGGTTCGAGAGAAGGTGATACGGCTTCAGGCGAGGGATGTGAACGGGGAGAGGATGGCAATGCAGAACTGATGACATGCCAATCATTGTCAGATTCAGAAAGGGTGGACGATCGGGTTAGCTCCCGTGTGCGTTGAGAAACAACTGGCTCGTCAGAAGAGAGACGGGACCGGCGAGGTTGTCGATGTTGTTGTACAAAAGCCATTGGGAGAGAAGAAAGAGCATGAACTTGTGAGCAAGAGAGAGATAACGCACTTTTAAAGATGTTTGTGACTGCTTGAGTAGCATGAATTAGCCCTTTCTGATCCCGTCCCGCCCATTCTAATCTTCTTTTTCCTTTTTCTCCTGACGATAATGACCTATCAGCCACCCGCCCCTGGAGACAAGATAATCATTGTTGGTGGAGGGTGCTTTGGTCTTTCTACAGCCTATGCCCTCTCGCTCAAGGGAATATATGACGTGTGGGTGTATGATCGCCAGACCATTCCAGCTCCCGATGCTGCTTCTACAGGTTTGGTATATTCACAAGATATTGTGTGATTTAAGCAATTAAACACATAATTTGTATTTATTTATTTATTTATTTATTCTCTTTTGTTGGTTTTAAGATATAAACAAAATTGTTCGCATGGACTATGCCGACGACACTATTTATATGCACCTTGCAATCGAGGCTATTCAAATGTGGCATCAGTGGAACAAAGAGAGGGCAGACATGGGACTTGAGCCAGTCTTTCATCCCTCGGGTGTCCTTTTATTCTCCAGCAATGGAGAGTATTCTGATTTTGAGAAACAGAGTTTGAAGCACATTCGAGAAGCCGGCTATGGTCATGTGATAGAAGAACTAAAGAGTCCAGAAGAGATCATTGCACGCTATCCTTATTTTAAAGATGCTGTTGATAATGGATACAACATTGCCTATCTCAACAAAGAAGGAGGTAAGGGATATCGAAATGGGGCCCAACAAGGCGGATATACTAAATACATTACACAATAGGTAATAAATCATAGATCTCAATCAAATATCTAAATCTAAAATCTCATTTTGTTTGCAAGGCTGGTGTAACTCCGCCGAAGCTGTCAAACATTTGTATGGCAAATGTGTGGCCAACGGTGTTAAATTTGTCCAAGGTGCTAAAGGAGAGCTTGCTCAAGTTCACTGTGATCCCACACAGCCAAAGAAGGTCATTGGCATCCAGACAAAGGATGGCTTGATTCATTATGCTGACCGTGTTGTCTTGGCAACCGGCTCCTGGACTGCCGGTCTAGTAGACATGTCCGACCAATTGGTTGCTTCTGGACAGGTTGTTGTTCATTTTAAACCTCCTCAGTCGTTAAGCAAACAGTTGAAGAATCAGCCAGTATGGTGTGCTGATCTTTCACGCACTGGTTAGTTACCGCTAGATGTAATGGCCACTTGATCGTTTGGCTATTTGACTTCAAACAAATAATGGTCTATTTGTTTTTTGTTTTTTGTTTTTTACTTGACCGGCAATAATGTTTCCTAACGATGACAATTGATGGCATTTGACAGGATACTATGGATTCCCGACCAATGGCGATGGAAAAGTCAAGGTTGGACGACACTTTAGCGGTTACCTTAATCCTCGTGAAGACGGCATCTCCATTCCTCGTACTCAACTTGCACATGTAACAGACACTATTCCAATCAAGGATCTTAGAGAAATGCGTGGGTTTTTGAATGAGTTTCTGCCCAGTACTTCCAGCCTTGACGTCAGCTATGCTCGTGTTTGCTGGTAAGTAAAAGAAAAAAGAAAAAAGAAAAAAGAAAAAAGAAAACAGGAGTCGCTCCGATTCAATTACTTGCTCTATTTTTCCTTTCTTTCTGACAGCCACACCTTGTAATAGGTACAGTGATTCCATAGACGGAAATTTTCTCGTTGCACCACACCCTGAATTCAGTAATCTTATAGTTGCCTCTGGTGACTCTGGTCATGGAATGAAGTAAGTTTTGTATACAGTATAACATCCATTGAAGTTGAAGCACTGCTGGTACGTAAAGATGCCACCAATCTGATAACATTTTTTTTTAGGTTTATTACAAACTTGGGATTCAAGATTTGCCATGTTATTGAAGGCATTGACTCTGAATATTCGCGCAGTTGGGCATGGCATCACCTTTCCAGTGAAAATGTGAGATTGGACGGACTTCGTGCAGATGTGGATCAGAGACGCGCGATCCTTATCGAACAAGACAACGAAGAGGCTAGGATGGCGCTTGCGGAGGAACTCTTGGCTGCAAAAGCACGTCTCTAATCGATTAAAGCATATGTATTTATAAAAGGGACTTTATAAACCTGTATATGTACATTACACAAAAATTATCTTTTATAGCATTTATTAGTTCAGGCTTTGTAAACTGAGGTTTAGTTCGAAATCGGGATGTGCTACAATCCTGGCCTTCGTTTTCCTGTATCTGTAGCGTATCTATATTTATATCAATTTACCCCCTTGCTCTTCTTCAAGACACGGGGATTAGCAAATGAAAGTATGTGCTGTGTGTATGTGTGTGTGTACGACACCGATTCAAGAGATAATATATATATATACACTCGTGTTGGGAAATTCAATTTTTTTGGGGGGTGTTGTTACAATACCTTTGATGCCAATCAATCCTTAATAAAATGACCAGAAAGTAAGGAGGCTCAGAAAAAAAAGAAGAAAACTAGCTACTTGTAGAAGCACCTTGTACATTAAAGATAAAGCGATGAACAAGATAGGCTATTATTGCCCTTTGTACTGTTGTATTCATTGTTTTGTTTTTAGATATATAAATATATTTTATAATCAAACAACCAATTAATTTCTGAACCGAGTCAGATGTATCCAAGCAGTACAAGCTTTGAGCAGTTGTTAGTTTTAAATTTACTACAGTAATGGTATGTATTCTAATTCAATTGAATGACAAGAGTCACTTAACTATGTCACCCACACTCTAATATTATAATTGAATTCTGTAAATCATTTCTCTTGAAAAAATAATACAAGCCATATCCCAGCAGCTAATAACTTGCACGGCCTTTATGACCATTAAAGTATTAACTCCTTGTATTTAATTTGGCTTATAGAATTTCGGTATAAAACTATTTTATATATACTTTAACTCAACTAATCAGATGACTGGTAAAAATAAAGTATAGCTCATATATAAACAAGAGCTTAGATGCCGTAGTTTGGGAATCATGGGATGGCTATCTTTGTGTAATGATAAACTCAACCAGATACTATAACTTTTAGTATTTTGATCTCTATCTGAAAACTATACCTATCTAGCATCAAATTGAACCTCTTTTTTTTTAACCAATTTATATTATGAAATTAGAGTGTACTATATCTTTGTAAAGTCTAGTCTTTGAAGGCTCGGATCAAAATACCGACAGTAACTCTATTGCTTATACATGGTTTTAACCAAGTGTTGCATTTTACATTTTCTCAAAATCTCAAGACAAATCAATTTGTTCAATAATAAAGGTTACAAAACGATAATCACAGTCTCTGAACAAAATATTGTACATTAAAATGTGTATTTGGTCAGCAGGAAGTGCAGTACTCTTTCTTTCTCTCCTTTTTTTTTAAAGAAAAAAATGGCAGTATTCACACAACAAAGGATGCAGATATTTATTTAATGAATATTTATATCTTACAGGAATATTCCTTTTTCAGATAAAGGTCACTGTCTTTCCTGATAATATAATGCCATGTCTCACAAAACAATAATATACATAAAAGCAATGCAAGACAGACCTTGATATAAATGTTTCAGGAAAGACCACCGGACAGGCCTGGTCAGAGTACAATTGAAAACAATTTTAAAACTTCTTGATGATCATGTGTACTTACTATCTTATCCATATAGTATTCTAAAGCAGTTGGTAAAATATAAAGAAACAAAGGGAAAGCTTTTTGTGAAGTTTGAGAGTAAAATAGTCCAAACACGCCTACTTTATTATTATTTTCTTTTTTTTTGGATTGCGGTTTAGAGAAACAAATATGTTATTATTCATGGCTAAACTGGTGCCAAATTTATGCCAGCGTATACTGTTGAACTCAAGAGTACCAGAAACAAATATTGAGGTTGTGTGTATGTGTGATATTCATGCGTGAATTTTGGTCTTTAGCCAAGCTTGCGTTTAAACAGACATCTAAACTTCCATATACCATTAAAAAAACATACTCTATTATTATTATCATCATCATTATTTTCAAACAAAAAAAACACACTTTTAATATACTTACAAAAGTAAAACCAAGAGCTTAAGCAAATCCGAATTTGAAAAAAAAGTTTATGGCAACCTTTCAGAGATTACTTCCAGTTGTCAAATTTTGCCGCTTCTTCAAAATACAAGACATCTACTTTTTCTACAGTGTCATACTGCAGTGCGAGGTCTCAGATTTCTTTTAACAAAAGGTGGTGTAGCTTTGTTTTTTCCATAATCACTGTCAATGTAAACGTCACTGTCACTGTCACTGTCACTGCCACCATTATTATCATCGTCATCGTCATGGTATTCATCGGATTGTGGTTCACTTTTAATATTGTTTTCAGATCCTTCGCCGTAAGATTTTTTTCGTTTCGAGGGTACAAGAGATCTACTTTCTCCAGTATCTGACTCTGAAGAGTCTTTATCTGTAGGATCTTCCAAGGGAATATCTAGTGTGTTATTTACGAGTGGGGAAGTATCATCCAATTCCTCTTCGTTTGAGAGTTCACCAGAATCTTCTTCATATTCGTCCTCAGAGCTAAGACAAATTTCTGTGTACAGTTCGGTTTTCTTTTTCATAATTTTTTTCCTAAACAAATCTTGAAGTTCGACTATGATATCTTCTTCGGTACGCCCACCACTGCTTTCGTAGCGCCTGCGCGCCTTATCCTTTTCTGGTGTATCGTCCTGCATTTCCTCCCATACTTCACCCTCAATTTCGTTGATTATAGGAGATAAAAAGGGGTCTGATGTTTCTGTGGGTACATATTCTTCAGGTTCCGGGTTTCGAAGAGCTTTATAATGCCATCTGAACATAGCACAATATTCTAGAATTTTCGCAATTTTCGCAATTTTCGGATTCCCTATTTCATGCGGTTCATCTTTACAAATATCAATGAGGCGTACAAGAGGCGTTTCCATATCACGATTACAGATGTCTTCCAGCAGAAATTCTGTGATATATTTCCGTTCAGAGTAACGAGGGAGTTTCTGCATAATGCTATATAAAAGAATAAAATTAATAATAAACCATTTTCGCTCGCTCTCTCTCTCTCTCTCTCTTTCTCTTTTTTTTACATGTAAAATTCGACTATCTTGAGTGTATAGTGAAGTGTCCACTTGTCGGTTGAACCATGCGCCAATCTATCCAGTAACAAGTGAAATGACATGATCCATGCTGACACTTCAGCAAAGCATGCCCTTCTAACAGCACTTTTATACTCTTTAAAGAATTATACGCACCGATAAATAAACAAACATTAATGTTATGTGTTTGAGTATTATATATAAGAGTAGTTGATGTCTTGTTCTTACGATTTTTATCAGATGAGTTTTGCAAGGTTCTCGGATACTTGTGCACCAAAAACTGATTTTTATGACTGCTATCCACATGAACATGTTTTCCTGGTAGACACTTCTTGAGATTCTCGATAAGTGGTCGAAGGGCAACGTTTACATTTGCAATTGGATCCCAATTACACACTGAAACGGCTACTCTTTTCCATTCTGATGATCCAATTTCTGTTTCAGGCCAATAATAAAGTAAAAGACTGGCAAGATAATGTCATTAGTTAGTAATCATAGTAATAATAATAATAATAATAATAATAATAATAATAATAATAATATGTTGTTTTAGAAAAAAATGGCGTATTTTTTTTTATTCCTTACCTCATCTGGCCTGGATCTCTTCTACTTATAGCGTATCTGTAGATTCTCCTCATTAAGTTTGTCTTGTTTTTAAAGTCTTTTAGATATTGCAATAGCTAAACACACAGTTGTTAACATTATTGCTCTTTAACTCTTTATTGATTTACTACAAGGTCATTAATTACTTGCCTCCAATTGAGCACCTCTTAGCTGTGTATCTCCCGGTACCATTTCCGAGGCCTTGCTTACGATGCTTAAGAGGCGAGTAGCAGCAGGGTAATTCAAACGTTTTTTTCTATCTTCGATGTCCTCATCATCCTCTTCCTCGTCTTCGTCTTCGTCTTCGTTTTCATCTCCAGAGTTTGTTTCGGACTGAAATTTTATAGCGTCAGCTTTTTCCTTCCACTCTGTGAATTTCAACATGGCATATATCCTCCACAACTCAACATTTGTGTTGTAAGGTTGGATGTCAATAAGTCTAGGAATAAAATGATAATAATTAGTTGTTCGCCTTATTCTTGCTTATATCTAATATCAATTTACCTATCTAATTCTTCAAGTGCCTCTTGCGTTCTATCTGAATTCAAAAGACAGTTTATCCATGTTTCAAGTATAACCATTCCCTTGATACACAAACCAGAAAAAGAAAAGAAAAATTAGATTTATTTTCTTTCTTTTAAAGAATAGACTTAATCGTCTTACATTTGATGCTGAAGATGATATGAATGCTGCATAAAGAAATCCTGCCAAGTCATATGGAGCCAAATGCTGAACAATTTCTGCACAAACCTATTGATGATTATGATGTCAGTAGATTACAAATTAAAGAATGACAGAATGACATACTTTCCAAAAGGCCTTGGGTTTATAAAATCGAATTTTAAGTAGTCCACGCAAAAGTTGAAAGGCTTCCGAGTACCGTTGTTTACTTAATAGAAGTTTAAGCTTTTCTTTGGCTGCAAATGTGATCAATCTAGATCCAAAAGGCAGATGTGTTAATGGATTCTCAGGATTGAATTGCCTGCTAAATAAACAATCATTCTCAAGTAGGCGAGGCAAGCTTGGCATTTTAGAATGTACTTGGAGATTGTCAAGTAATGTATGATTGTTTGTTTATAAGTAGATCAATTAAAGAAATAAATAAATATTTTTTCTAAGAAAAGAAAAGACATGTACAGCTGAAGTTGATTTTTTTTTATTCCCTTGATAAAATTCTATCCAGTTATGGCTGCCTTTAACAATTCAGCTTATTTTTCTATGAAAGACCCTTTATATTATATATATATATATATATATCACTTTATGCGCATGTACGTGTTTTTAACCTGGTAGGTATTCCTGTGTCCTACCTGGATAGTGTCTAGGACTGTCAAAGAACGCCACACAATACAAAAGAAAAGTCCAATGTGGTGACCCAGACACTCGGATGTTGGATTTATCACATATAAGAACATATTCATATTGGGATAGCGTAGTAGCTATCATCTTGTCAGTATAAAATATATATAAACGATTAAGTAATCAGCCCAATAATTATTACAGTTAGTACTGTAGATAATATCTTAAAGATTGTTAAGATAATTATATCATACTGCCGGGTAAACTGTGTCAGATCGATATGGAGCTAATTTAGTAGGAAGTCCTAAAGCTCTAGTATAAAAGAGAAAAGAATAGCTAAGAGCTAAAGAAGTACGATTTATGACTTGATGTCATAATTGTAACACCGACACTAGTTAAGCAGTAAATACACTCTAATAACCAAATATAGTAAAGGAAGAAAGCCTTAAGAAACTAAGACGTAATGACAAGAGCAGATTGTGTTTTCTTATAAAAAGGGACACTTTTTATTTATGAATAAAGACAACTGATATACAGTCTCAAAGTATTTCTATACGTCTCTATTATCAAATATTTTATTTTTCTATTGTTTCGTACCTGAAATACAACATCCAATCTTCTGGTCTCTCAAATCTTAAATCGATCAAGATTATAAAGCTGTCTCTTCTAAACTTACTTATTCGCCCTTTTCTTTTTGTAATTTATTCTAGTATTCTCAAATCGTAAACTATTTGTGCATGACTTTAATTGCTTAAAGAATATCCAGTGTTTTACAAGCATGTTTAGAGGCTACCCTTTTTCTCTTCTTCTTATATAAAATTTTAGACTTGATTTGCTTGTATCTTAATATATATAAAAAAGGCGTGGGTAAGGTATAACAATGTCATCCTAGAATACTACAAGATTCGATTACACTTGGACATAAAAGTTATGATTTTAACAACTACGCAACATATAAACCAGTTTAAAAGGGTATAAGAAAATAAAATTTAAAAATGCATTTATTAATCATGAAGGTGGGGAGTAAAAGGGCCCAAAACCTGGCACTACATTGCCTTCTTCTTTTGTTAGCTTTAGAATTATCAGATTTATGATTTCACTCTGAAGCACAGGCATATCAGAGCTGTATCTGTATTGCTTCTTTTTGAATTGATTTCATTTAAGAGCCACAATATCAACTACATACTGCTCAATGATGCTCTATTTGACAATAGTGTTAATGTTGCTATATACGTTAGAGTAAATGACTGCAAATTACCTGGAGCCCCACAGCAGAAACTTAACAAGGTCAGGAATGAAATTCCCTTTGGTCTGGAAGTCTGGCTTTATAGACAGAGAGGATTCTCTCTAGAGATGAACAATAAGGACAAGCAAAGTGGCAAGAATATTTTTTAAACTAGCTTGGTATTTAAAAGAGATTACTTGGTGACTTTTTGAAAGGTATGAAGAAAGTGGTTCACTGACTAAAATGATTTCTTCATTTGAGAAGAATCTAATGGTATTGTCTAACAACTTGGAAATGTAAAGACTTTAAAGCCTTGGAAGATTCTAGATGATTTGAGGGCAATGAGGGTTATGAGGGTTATAATGACCCTAATGACTCTAAGGGCTCTAGGTGCTTCAGGTACTTTAGGTGTTTTTAGGGCTTTAGAGACTTCAAAGATATCAGATATTTCAAATGGTTTAATGATATCACAAACATTCTTGTTATTATCATATACATATTATTGTCCATAGACTATATACGATTGTAATTGTGCGCAATTAAAATAAACAGTAAAAAAGTAAGTAAAGTTAGGGATAAAAATATACACCATATAGCAATTGAATTTATACAAGAGAACTTTTAACTATCAAGACAGTTATAGAAATTTGAAAGGCTTTCATAAGTTTAGACAAACGGGTAGGGCAAATGGGCAGTGAATACTTAAAATTGATAACCAGTAATTTTACGGGGACGACGTTACTATCTAACCAGACTAATTAACTATGACCACCTGTCCGGGGTCTGGTGCCTTTTTCTAACCCTTCAAGGCAAAATGGTGTGTCCTGAAATTGCTGCAGTTTGTAAAGCATACTGGCACACAATTTTTAATAATGTACCTTTCTTTCATGGCAATATAGTAGCTTCTGTGAACACATCCCTTCAATTTTTCTTTCAGTCCGCTAATCTCCTAGACTAACTTTTTCATTGTTGTGCTACTCTTGCTTTCTAATTTCTCTTGTACTATTCATTTAATCTCTCTTCTTTTATTTTGCTTCCTTCATTTGTACGTATTAGTGTACTACTTTGTCTCCACACATTGTGTGCTCATCAATCTTTCACCAGGCACCTAACTTTCATTCTTTTAATAGCCACAATCTGCATTTGGGAAATTTAATAATAAAATTCTGTCTCATGCAAAAATCAATTCCTGTATGTTCATTTAATAGCTGTTTGCGTCCTAAATTTAGACTTGATAATAAAGATACTATAGTTAGCCACAAAATACACTATATAGATAGGCAGCCATGTAGAGGATCATAAGGAGTTGCTGTCATTATAGTGTGACGCAATAGTGTTTGATACCTTACTATTTATCGGTCTTCTTACGCGTATCATGCCTTTCTCTTCCTTTCACTTCCTTATATTCCCAGAGTCTGACAGCACCATCTGGTAAGTAATCCTCACTTATCCCTTTTTTTCTGCCAAGCACAAAAGAAAGTCTTTATACGAATATTCGGTATCCTTAGGGACCAGATAGAATCATTCGATGCTGGCAAAAAGGCCACGATTTGTGGTCCGGTAGAATAAAAATGCTGTCTCCCACCAGGGAATGGCGTGCATCATCAGGAGACATAGTCCCTCCTAAAGCTAGCGTCTGCAAATTTTTTACGACCATGATAAAGCAAAAGCCAGGAGAATCCAGGGACTAAAGAATACGGCTAGCAACGTCTTGGATAGCCGGGATGCACTATTGCTGGCCAGACGATAGTTGAAACAGGTAAGTTAGGTAGGACTATAGGGACCTTACGGTATTAACTATATTTTTGTATAAAGCAAGAGAAAGAGCTTTATTAAAGCGCTGCTATTACAAGTGTGCACAAAGACAAGACGGCTTTGCTTCCACAAACAGCACTTTTGATCCCGTCTCTAAAAGAAATTACCAAAAACAAGGCATCCCACTTTAATTGTAGTACAAATACCGACATTTTTGAAAGACCGGAAAAAAGATTAAGGGCCTCTTTGCTAAATAACTTGGCAATGCACAAGTAACTTACGACCATAATTAAAAAAAATAGTAAGTGGTATCGTTAAAGATAAAATATATGTATTTACTGCTAATAGTCTTGATTAGTGGCCAAGAGAATATTTTAACTTTAACATTACCAAGAATTATACCAGAAAGACTGGGTTTAAAAGTAGGGAATATCGAGGCATTATGCTTTCCATCTCGTCCTTGCTGTATCAAGGAGCGAGCACAAGATTTTGCAAAAGGTCAGAAACTGCACGTCTCTCATGGACATCTCACGAGTAATTGGCTGCATACCAATTTATGGTTCCGCACCAAGAATGTCATACATTCGATTAGCCTTGACCAAACTGTAAGCACAGAATAAAATCTACGAGTATTACTAGCCATTTTAATATCCCCTCTTTTTTAATTATTAGAGCAATTCTCTGGCAGTCTAGAGTGTTACTAGACGAGACTCATAAAGAAGATTGGTATCAAATAAACCTAGCATCTGACTTATTTGATGCCATATTTTTTTTTAAAATAATATAAAGTAAAAAGGTAAACATTTGAATAGATGGGTTTACGACAAAAGAAAGAAAGAAATTTGCTTATCTCGCATTGCGAGATCAGAATGTCACTCAAACATGATAAAAAGCTTGAAGAAACTTGGCGTCCTTCCCCAGTCAGAGAAAGATGTCAAAGTTGATATGATTTTGTGCTTCTTTTCCGACAAAAAGAACGTGTTTACTTGCGAGGACAAGCTACCTAATCCTTCAAACAGTACAACGTTAACTCTGAACAAAAAAAAACCATCAAGACTAGTTGTCTAAACCTTAACCTACCGGAAGTCTCTCTTGACAATACAAGCCTATATTGAACATCTTGAGGCAATTAGTACTCAGTTTATTTGCAGAGAGCTTATTGTACTAGGTGCCAGGGATGAGAATAGTGTTGAATCTCTAAGATCACCTTGGTCTGAAGAGGCTGTGCTGAGGAATTACTCCCCAGGCGAGAGTAACACTGATGATGAAGATGACAAAGATATCCAGCCAAGCCAGAAGGAAGAAAAGAAGCTTGAGTAACTGAAGGAGGAGATAGACAAGCAGCTGAAAATAATTTCTTTCGGTGAGGATGTCATTGTTTCTGACAATTTGGAACAGCTCTACAACATGAACGATGATCGATTATAATAAATCTTTCTTTTCAAGCATTATATTATTAGTAGTATTGCTGCTTTTAAATGATCTCAGCTGTAAAATTGTCTGCAGCAGTTAAATCTAAGTCCAACGTTGGATCCTATTAGACAGTGTTGGTAAATGTCGTGATTTGTGGTTTCCAAAAAAAAAACAGATTTGCTAATAAAGTCAGATTTTATCACCTAACCAGCAGCCAGTTTGTCAGTAACACCCCCAAAAACCAATTGTAGGTGATTTTATGCTTAATTCTTCGTGTTGGTCTCTTTTGCATGTCCTTAAGGTTCACCTTTAAAGACGCGCAAAAAAAAAGAGGGGTAAATTAGCATTGCTGCAGCTTAGACGGACTCAGACTTGCATGAACTAATGCAGTTTGACGTTAATTAACCAGCGATGTATATGTGTCTCCTAATCGCTTATGTAGTTTGGTTTGATCGATTGGATCGAACAATATCAGAGTAAATAGCTAATAGCATCTCTTCTATAAGCATCATCTTTTACGAGCTTAAATCACTTTATTCTCTTGTTTTTCCTCAACTACTGTTATCCAAGCCAATATTATCACACTCCAAGGACCATTGATTACTATACCAAATTGTGGTCATTTCAGACAAAACTTATAAAGCTTAATAATAAAAGGGATACGACATACTTTTATAACACAGGGCATACTCTATTGTTTTGTTTAGCACTGCCAATTAAATACTTAGACAAGTTATGTTTAATATTGCGGCCAAGCAAATAAACAACACGAATAAACAAAAGGTACAAAAAATGGTCATATTGAATACCCAAAGACATCTACTATATCACAGATGACTACTAACAAAAGAAAACATCCTAAAAGAGAAAAGAAAGTGACAATAGCTTAATGAGTGGCAAACGCATTGAAAGTATTATATGTTTGTCAAGAGGTCTATAACCTCATGACAACGCACTGCAACCTGTCCATTATGATGAAATTGACAGATATTCAGAAATAAAAGGGCATTATCTTGACATGCATAACGCTCCTATCCACAATTAAACCGATATAGGTAAGAATATCAATTCTCGGGGATACTAGTATGTGTATCTTTCTCCATATTCTTCTGTAATGAATCCAATCGAGCAGTTCTGGTTAGTCGTCAAGAGTAAAGTAAAACGATTAGCGCTTTTAGAAAAAGAATTACTCAAGTCTAGGATTAGCAAGGCATGCGATATTTTATATTCAAGTGGTTTCAAAGTGTTTGTTTCCCATTCTGTTAAATGCTTTGACAACTGTCTTAACAAAGAGAGGCTCTAAAATATCCAATGAACAAATAAAATATGAAAAAAGAGGACATTTGCAGATCAATTTGCCGTGCTTTTTATTTTGCTAAGCACTAGTCTTGTACAAATGGTAAGAGGCAGTTATGTTGGACCATGGATGTGGGTATGGAGGTTAAACAAAAGTGAACAAATACAAAACCCAAACACCCGTAATCACTCGACAGAATGATTCCAGTGGTACTTACATTTACCAAATGTATTTTTGTCAATATCTACAATGATATCTTTGCTTTCTTCTCCCCTGAGTGCCTAGCATATAGCTTAACAAAGTGCTTAATGAAGTGCTTGAGAAATACTGTGAGGGTATTCAGTATTCAAAATAGATTTTTCTTAAAAATATATGCTGAATTTTAAATAAGTTAAACGGCGAAAACAAACTCGACTATACATATATAGTAATGAATAAATTGCTACAAGTCCACACCTCGTTTCTTTTTTTTTTTTGAAAAAAAAAAGAAACAAATATATTGGTTGGGTCGATCCGGTCAACAGCATTTGAACAGGCACAAAAATAAAATAAAAACGACAAAGGATTTCATATACATATATATTTTCTTTATAAAATAAAAGTAAAAAATAAAATTAAAATTAAAATAAAAGAAAAAAAAAGGAATAAAGTAAATAGAATGGCCTTCATTATAATAGGCTATCATTCCTTTATCCGGATATGTGAAAGGTAACCAAAGCATTTACAGTAAATAGAAGAAAAAAGAGACGTGAAAGTACAGTTAATGGGGTTTGTGAGTTTGTTTAAAGATACTGGATATTTCTTTTCTGTATACATATACATATACAATGAAGGAAAGACTTATAAAGAAAAATTGTGCTTATGTGCTTATGTGCTGTTGTTGTTGTTGTTGTTGTTGTTGTTGTTGTTATCGCCAATGAGATTTTCGTCGATCAAGCGAACCAGCCGGAGAAGGATCATAGTCCATTACATCTTTTGAAAAATCATATTGATGATCTATTCCCCCACCTCCACCTCCACCTCCACCTACAATACTGTTCCCCCCAGTAGCTGCTGCTGCTGCTTGTGTGGCTTGTTGTAGCATCATCAATTGCTGAAGTTGATCTGGGGTAAGGTGGAGAGGAAATGAAGATGGATGTAAAGAAGGCTGACTAAATGAACCGATTTGTGTTGGAGTAGTAGGCCAGGGATTCTGGTGGGTCACATGCATTTGGGGTTCAATTGACACAAATGGCGGCTGTCTTCTCGGTAAAAGCACCTTACCGAACCCTTCATTACCACCACCACCACCACCAAAAGGAGATTGGTTAGGTAATGATCCGGGAGTAGTAGGTGACTGTGTCTGAGACTGCAGTTTAGATTGTTGGCGTTTATCACTCAGAGACCTACGTCGTTGGCGTTTGTTGAGTGTTTCTGAAGGCCACTGGGCAGGAGTGACAGCCAGTGGTCGACCCCCAGAACCTCCGCCGCTTGTAATACGAACTGAGGTGTGTGGAAGTGATACCGAAAGTCCACTGACAGGCGTGGGGTCAATTGAAATAGGCTCAGCAGTAGTTGAAGAAGCAGGGGAAGGTGCGGAATATACAGCTTGGAGAAAAGCAGGAGTCTTGCCTTTGTTGATCTTATTCCCAACCAAAATACTATTGTTATTGTTATTATTATTATCATTATTATTATTATTATTATTATTATTATTATTATTATTGCCACTACTGTTACTACTACTAATATTAATACTACCAATACTACTGATATGACTAATATGACTAATATTTGTGGTGGTATTATTAGTATTCACTGCAGCTGTAGATCCACTCCGGTTACGTTTTTTGATGATATCTGTCTTGAGACTCAAAGGGCGAACAACTCCGTGCAGTTTGAGAAATAGTCCGCATGCATTACAAAGTGGAAGTCCTTCGGGGTTACGTCGCCACAGGGGAGTTGTGGTGGTTGAGCAGTTTGTACATCTGACAGCAGCAGATGGATCTCTTTTACTGTCATCTGGCGAGGTATTTGACGGGGGGTCGAGCGCACGATCAGGAAGATGACGAATAGGACGTAAGGAGGGTTCGTGTTCGACAGGTGATTGAGAGATACGAAATGCACTCATACTTCCTACAGACCGCTGTCGGACTCCCTCTGTGGTTATATTTGACGTATTTGATGAGATTGTTATTGGTTTTGGAGGCTGTGGTTGTGGTTGTTGTGGTTGTTGTGGTTGTTGTGGTTGTTGTGGTGGTGGTGGTGGCGGTGTTTCCACAGAAGGTGATTCTGCAATGGATGGTTTTGGAGTATTATAGTATATATTGAGAATTTCTTCAAAGCTAAGAGCACCGGCATGAACAGGTCCATTATATTTTTCTGCGGTGACTGACTGTGTAGGGTACAATGTGTTGGGTTGAGATGGCTGGGTTGGTGTGAGCGGTGTCTGAGAAAGTCCAAATTGCTGACCAGATGAATGATAAGAGGGGTAAGAGGGATGGCTGGAAAGATCGATAAAAGATTCTGGCTGATAATCCATATCCGAGTCTGCTGGAATAGTTATACTGGAAGTGCCACCTCCATGGGAATAATAAGGTGTGCTCTAGAATTTTTTTTTAAAAGAAATGTAAAGAGAATGTGTGGGTTAGCTAAAGAAATATAACGAAAAGGCTTACAAGGGACGAGGCGCGTGCAGATCCATACACCAGCACATTTGGATCATGCTTTGGATACCCTAGCATTTGCTGTCCATAAAGAGGTGCAGAAGAAGACAGCAGAGCTGTGGTGTCATCTGGAGGCGGGGGAGAGTCTGTACTGTCAGCCTGAGCCTGAGCTGTGCGTTCGGCCTTCTTTTTGAGCGTCATAGCCATCATCCGCCAGGTCAGGTTCTCGAGTCGGGAGCCGTTCGGTAGGTTGTCCTTTGCCTTGGTGTACAATCGCCAAACTTGTGTTGCCAAGGGATCCTCTTTCGGACGGCTGTCTGATTCCTCGTCGTCTTCGTCGTCTTCATCGTCTTCCACCATTCCTTTTGGTTTTCTAGGTGGGAAAAGTGAGTCGGACAGTAGGGCTGCAGCGGCTGACGAAGGAGAGGCTGAAAACGAGCCTTCTCTTTCCATGTGTTGTTCAGTAGGACGGAATGAATTGCGAGATGACCCAAAGGAGTGACTCATGGCATCGCTCTTCAGAACTAACAGACTTGAAGACAAGGAAATAAAGAAAAAAATAAAAAAAAAAGAGAGAGAGAGATAAAATCAGGTGAATGAACAAATCAACCAGTGTCGGTATTCAGAAATACCAGGCCAATCATCAAGGCTGTGTGACTCATCTCCAGCATGAAGCCAACCTGCTCTAAACCCCTTTTCTTTACAGCCTGTCTCTTTTCCTTCTTTCCCTTATTTTCTTTGTGCCTTTCTTTCTTTCTTTCTTTCTTTCTTTTTTGGCTCTATCCATTTTATCCTTTCCTCTGCGCCCTGGCGCTAAGTTGTGCTTGTAGAATAACCTCTTGTACTTTCAATACTCACCATCATCATATTTAGAATCACAACAGTTTAACGATAATAACTATACGGCTGTGTTTATTTATTTATTTGTTTTGTTTTGTTTTATTTTCTTTATTGGTCTGCTTGTTTGTTTGCCTGCTTGCTTATTTGTTTGTTTGCCTGCTTGGTTGATTGGGTTGATTGATCGATTAATTGATTGATTGATTAATTGATTAATTGATTAATTAATCGATTAATTAATTAATGAATGAAATTTCTCGAGAGATCAATCGGTTGATTGATATTTGTCGAAACTTGTTCGACTTGTGGGGGGGTTTTTTTAGCGTTGATTGATTTATTGAGTAATCTCTTCGTATAGCATCTCTGTTATATACATATTTATATATATATTTTGAGTCAACCTCTCTTTCTTTCTTTTTATAATGTGAAAAAAAAACTTACGTTTCAATTGCTCTTTTGTCAGCTGATCCTTGTACTTGTCAAAGTCAAAAAAGCTTTCGTGGATTGGTGTTGCGTTGGGTTCATCATCAGGATCATGGTACTACGTGCATAAATTATAGCGTGGGTAACCATTGAATGAATAATAGTAATAATATCAATAAGAAAAGAAAAGAAAAGAAAAGAAAGAAAAACTCACTGCTTCAAGGTATGGGTGTTTCAATGCCTCTTCAACCGTAATACGACGGTCTGGATTGAATGATAATAGCTTCTCCAGAAGATCAACAGCTTATTTAACAACAATACAATACAATACAATGAATATACATATTTGGATAATAATAGTAATACCTGACAATCAATGATCGTTTTGATTTATTGATTCTTACCTTGTGCACTTGCTTCTGGGAAAAGTCGTGCAAACGGGATTCGCTTCTTGAACGGAAGACTTCTAATGTAATCACGGGCCTATACATAGACACATACACGTATATGATATGATATGACATGATATGATTCCAAATGAACATACATACACACACACACACACACAAATACGCTTCCTTTTTTTAGTCCAATGTAATATTATATTATACCACCTTTTGAGCCTAAGAAAAAAAGTAAAAATAAAAAATAACAGCCAGCCTCTTAACTTACGCCTCGACTCTTGATGCCATAAAAGTCATCCATTGTAGGTGTACCGAGTACATCGAGAATTAGGGTGAGCTGATGATGGTAGTCACGACCGGGGAACAGTGGTTTCCCACTCAACATCTCGGCCAGAATACAGCCCACAGACCACACATCAATGGCCTTTGTGTATTCTTTGAAAGTCAACATGATTTCAGGTGCTCTGTACCAGCGAGTAGCTACATATTCAGTCATAAATCCACTGTTCTCGTCAGCAGAGTTGGCTGACCGGGCCAAACCAAGATCACAGATCTAGTAGTAGATTAATCAAAGTAATTTAATATCCAATATATATATATATATATAAATAGAAGGAATTACACAACATATAATGATATTAATTGTTTTGTTTGATTGTACCTTGAGGTCACAGTTGGCGTTCAACAAAAGGTTACTGGGTTTAAGATCACGATGAAGTACATTTGCCGAGTGCATTGCCTTTAAGGCACGCAATGTTTGGTAAGTAAAGTACTGGCAATGGTCATCCGACAAGTCCTGCGTGCGGATGACTCTGTGCAGGTCGGTCTCCATGAGTTCCTGAATAAGATATCTGGCAGGAACGTCAGCCTCAAAGTGTATAAGGTTGCGCTTTATTTCTTTCTTTCTTTTTAAAATTATCGAAAGAGAGAAAAATAAATAAATAACCGAACCACTGACACTTCGGTAAACTCATCATAAGATTTTGGTTTGACAATGTCAAGAATCGATATAATCTATTAAAAAGCATATTAGAGAAAAATATATATAAAGTAGGTAAAATACTTTATTCTATTTTGCTTACATTCTCATGATTAAAGTATTTGAGTAGTTTGATTTCGCGGAGAGTACGAAGGCAAAACATAGCATGGTCAAATGGAAGAATTCGCTTAATTGCCACTGTTTGCCCGGTAGGTTTGTGAACAGCAGAACTACAAGAATGGTTATTGTATTAGAGTATTAAACCAGACAAAGAAATATACATATTTAACAAAGGTATTATTTACCAAACTACACCATAAGCACCTTCGCCTACAATGTCTACAATTGAGTACTGTTCTCCAGCATCAAATTGCTGGAGACGAGACATATCATTACGTCTAGATGGTTGTGTCATGATGATGAAGAGAAGAGAATATTAATAAGAATAAGAAATATATATATATATATTATTTAATAATAATAATATAAATATATATATAAATATATATATTAAATATTTAAATGAAAGTGGTGTGTAAAGAACGGGTTACGCGGGGCCTGTATTGGGAAAGTTACTTCTCTGTTCCTCTCCCTCTTTCTCTCCCTCCCTCTCTCCCTCCCTCTCTGTGTACGTGTACCTATCTATCTATACACACACACACACACACATATATATATATATATATATATATATATATAATCTGGGCGATCGAGAAGTGCCGATTCGGAAGGCACTGTATTGTAAGCATTCGGCCAATAATCGTTCAGGGAACATTTTTTTTTGTCAATTTCCTTTTCACGCATAAATACTTGGTTTTTGTAATTTTAAATAATAAATAATCTACTTCTTCTTTTGCATTTTTTTATTTTATTTTTATTTTTATTTTTTACTTTTATATATATATATACATACATACATATATTACAATGCCTCAGTACTGTGACATATCTACTCTTACACTAGAAGAAGAGCCAGTATGCATGCCAGCCTTTGAACTATTCGACGAAACAATTGCACCTCTTGAAGTACAAGCTGCCCCTGTACGAACACCATCGGCTCCGATAGCAGGCGTCTATTCGAATTCAGGATTTGATATGATTCAAGTTCTCTCAAGTCTTGCGAACAGGTAATATAATATCGAATAATATATATCTATATATCTATATATATATATATTATCTTTATTGAACAATTGTGAACATTTCTCTTTTTTTTTTTTTAGACCTAACCCTGAAATACATTTGGGTCCGATTGACTTGTCTTGTTCATTTTTGGTATCCGATGCTCGTCAATACGATTGCCCGATTATTTACTGCTCGCCAGCATTTGAGACCCTGACAGGCTACAGTTCAAACGAAATCTTGGGGAAGAATTGTCGATTTCTACAGGCACCAGATGGTCTTGTAACCGGAGGATCACGAAGACGCCACACAGACAATCAGGCTGTCTACCACCTAAAAGCCCAGTTGATTCAAAATAGAGAACATCAAGCAAGCATTATTAATTATCGTAAAGGAGGCCAGGTAAGCACAAAAAAGAAAAAGAAAAAAAAAAAGAAGCAATTTTAGGTTTATTGTTTTGACCATAGAAGCTAATGGAAGTAAATCTCCAAAATCAAAAATGTAGGCTTTTGTAAACCTCATTACAGTCATTCCACTCCTTGATAATCAAGGTGAGGTTGCCTATTATGTCGGATTGCAGGTGGATTTGGTAGAGCAGCCAAATTCTATTATGGAGAAAATGAAGGGTAAGTAATCATAATTCAACCCCCCCACAGACATAAAGGCTACCTTTTTTTTTTTTTTTTTTTTTAAAAAAAAAAGCTGCTGTTATTTGAAATGGTAATAATTTATTATATTTTTCGTATTAAAAAATAAAAAAAAAAGATGGCACATATATGATAAATTATCAGCAAAACCCCTTGCCGCTCCAATTGCCAGACAGTAAGTTACAATTGTCGACCCAATATGATTTGACTAGTGACTAACAATCCAAGTCATTTTGCAGAGGCCATATTGGACCAAATGGATGATTATTTTCGTGAGCTTCCTAGCCTGGGAAGCACTTATAGTTTCCTGACTAATCCCGAAGTCATGGCACTCGTGAAATCCAAGTCGGCTAGGTCCAGATGCGATTCAGAAAATGAACAGAGTTATCTGCTGGAATGGAACAAGTTGATATTAGACCAATCAGACGACTTTATCCATGTTGTGTCTCTCAAGGGCTTCTTCCTCTATTGCTCCGGAGCGGCCAAGAATCTGCTGGAATACGAACCTGAAGATCTGCTCGGGAAGTCTCTCAGCTCGATCTGCCACCCATCGGACATTGTGCCGGTGATGCGGGAAATAAAAGAAGCGGCTGCAAGTGGAAACAGTGGAAAGGTGGTCGACCTTTTGTTTCGTGTACGACGCAAGTATTCTGGATACATGTGGATGGAATGTCGTGGAAGGCTGCACATGGACCAAAGCAAGAGCCGCAAATGTCTTGTGCTTTCAGGCAGACAGAGGCCGGTTTACAAGCTCCACTGGCGAGATATTTGCTCGACTTCTTTGGAAGGAACAGAGTTTTGGGCAAAAACCAGTCTGGCCGGTCTGTATCTACATGTGGCAGCAAAGTGTCAAGAAACAATTGGATTTTCTGCAGAGTCACTAGAAGGAGCCTCGATTTACCAATATATTCCAAACCATGAGATCCCGGACATGAGCCGTGCATTTGACCTGGTCCGCCAAGGTCAGCGAGTCAATCTCCAGCATTCGATTCTTAACGAAAAGGGTAACTACTCTACCGTAACTTCCACATTCTATCCCGGAGACGTGTCTTCTTTTCAAAGCGAGCCTGCATTTGCGCTGGTCCAGACACGGCTTGGCAGAGAAGAAATGTTCAGGACAGATAACAATCTCCAAGAGAATGTATTTTCCGAGATTGAGCCCACGCGTGGAACCAGTTGGCAATATGAGCTCCATCAACTTCAGTTGGCCAACAAGAGACTTCATGAGCAAATAGAATCTCTCTCTGGGCCCAAACGCAAGAAGGTTTGTAATCATAATCATAATCTAATTATATATATATATATATATATATATGTGGTTGGCTAAGGGTATTAATGCTTTGATATGTATGCATGTATATAGCAAAGAAAGAGAAAACATATTCAGGAGATTTCCAAGATGTGTGCACAGTGCCAGTCCCAAGACTCACCTGAATGGAGAAGAGGACCAAATGGTCCAAAAGAGCTGTGTAATGCATGTGGTTTACGTTATGCTAAAACCATCCAGACAAGGCCTAAAATCACAGCCATCTAAATCTAATCCATATACACTAACTTACCTTGCATCACATATACTTTCTTTACATACCTACATCTTTTCTTTTCTTTGTTTTTTTTTCTTTTGGTTTTGCATAAACTCATATTGCTCATGCTATGATATAGAACATACTCATTATTATTATTTTTGTTATCTAATCATACAGAATTGCCGGGATAATTAGATATGTAAAGACTAATCGGTACTGTATGATAATGGTGGTGATGATGACAGTGTTGGTTTTATTTAAAGGAGGGAAAGTAGTCCATGTGAAGTGTGCTCAGGATCGCGGAGATATGATTGGCCTACACACACGTCTTGACATACCCAAAACCTTGAAGTTCTTTTTTTCTTTTTCTTTACTAATTGAAACATCAAGGTTGTCAATTATTATTATTATTTTGTGAGCCAAATAAGAAAAAACCTTGATTTATTCCTTTTTTTGGAAGGGGTGGTCATTTTCGTTGTTGTTCATTTATTTATTTATTGATATATAAGAAAGGCCTTGATGAGCAATTGACGATCGGGCTCTGTTCCTTTTGGGAAATAAAATCTCTCTTGCTTGTGCTCTTGTTTTTCTTGTACCTCCTCATCTTTTCTCCTCCAAACTCTTCCGGGCGTTCAAGTGTAACGGCCTGTACTTTAAATAAGATACTAAAAACAGACGAAAATATGAGCAAAATGACCGAGTTTTCCAAGATATTCGAATCCATTCTTTTCATTTTCTTTCTTGTCCTTTTTGCCTTTCTTTACTCTGCTTCAAAGTGGACACACAAATACATATAATACATATATGATAAAAGCTTTACCATAATGATGGGCTATTCAGAACCTCTTTCAGAAGGTATAGATCCAAAAAGTCGGCCGCTCAAGTCTTCTCCCAATATTGGTCTTGATCAATGGGTTCAAACACACCTTCAAAACTCCACCTACCAACCAGGTTACCCTTACGTTATACGCTCAGTGACCACTAGAGTCCAGGGTAGCGAACGAGAACACCTTGAAATTCCAAATGTAAAGTACTGCCACCAACAACAACAACAGCAAAAAAAAACATTTATATATTTTCAACAAGTCCTTATCCCCTCTTCCACAAACAAACAAAAAAAAATACGTACACACATACTTTAATAGACTCCAGAGAATCTCGCAAACAGCCAGCCACACCATATTATCCGACGCCAAACTAGCCGAGAAACAACAACACGGTCTCTGTTTCAACCTGCACCCTCAAATGCCCTATACACTTCCACCAATTCACAGTACACCCGTACACCCGTACCACAAAAATACAAATCCTCAGACTATCGGCAGCACCAACAGCATCTTCGGACAGTCTCGCAGCACCGGTCAGTTGTCTACGGCAGAGACGCGGTCTCACCATACGCATGCCTTTCCTGTCTTAGAGCCACGTTTATAAAACGTATCCGCTTTTATCGTAAAACTCGTCAGCTAAATTGTGACGACATTATAGAAAATGCCTTTACAGGTGATGAAGCAGTGGTAAGAAATATAAAAAAAAGAGCTACCAAAGAAAAAAAAAATAGATAGTTATATAACCCCCCCTCTGGTGCTTGTATAACTATAGTCAGCCCTAGTAAAAGTGTTTGCCGATCGGGTATCCAAGCAAGACTGTACTGCACTCGTCAACTTGCTCTGGCACAGCCCAGCGCCCGTTTTCTTACCCACACGACTATCCCCACGTTCGGTCAAGGCCAATTCGGTTATCGAGTCAAAGGACGAAATCTTTACGCTCATAGACAGCGATGACATAAGTAGCGACCCTAAAAAAGCGTCCAAAATAAAAGGGGTAATTACTGCCCTTACTGCGTGCTATGTCCCGACTTGTACACCTAAGCAGCCCGGCATATGCTATGCGCCAACTTGTCCTAATAGAGAAGGAGACAAGAGAGCGCTCGTGAGTGCATTTAAACCACTAATGCAAGTCGTGAGCATCGTAAGTATAGATGGGGAACTACTGTGTAGGTTAAAGAGCATATCTTATTCATATGATTTCTACAATCATTAGACTATACTATACTATAGGATTATATAATTAATTAGATGATGGTGTGACTGGTTTTAACTATTTATTTTGTGTGTGTGTGTGTGTGTGTGTGTGTGTGTGTGTGTGTATCTCATTTGTAGTTGCAGCCCCTGGTTCTCAATGTTGATCCAACTAAAGAAGACCCGGACGATGTAAATTGATACACATATTTGATTAGCTTAAATATACATACATATACTGATATTAACTCGCCTTTACTCCTCCTCTTTCCACTTCCCCTTCCCCTAAAGTACAAGAACCACAAATCATGGGTTAAGCTAGCCCCAGAAGAACTGGTCAAGAGTTTGCCGGCAGAAGAGATTACACGGCAAGAACTCATGTTCGAACTCATATACACCGAGAGAAACCACCTTAATTTATTGAAAGCTATTGATCAGGTAAACAATAAATAAACTTTTAACAATAACCCCCAAAAAAAACAAGGCTGACATTTTTATTTTATTTTTTATATTTTTTGCACAAACACTCAAACTCTTCCTCCTCTCTTCCATTTGTCCCCCCCTCTATTCCTCATCCCCTCTCCCCTTAGATAATCATTCCGGAACTTGATGGAACAACCTTACTTTCTGCAGAAGAAAAGAAAGATTTTATGCGGATTATGTTTCCAAACTACAAATGGTTCCTTGATAGGACCTCTGCAATGTATGACGAGATGCACAGACGTCAGGAGGAGTACGAAGGCGAGTGTCTGCCCCGGATAGACGATATCCTTCTCAAGTATTATCTTGAGTTTGAAGAGCCAGTCAGGGCATACTCCAAAAGCATTCCGTTCATGACCCATGCTATCAAACAATACAGCCAAAGAAACGAAGAGTTTGGGCTTCTTATTGAAGATCTTGGATCCAGACATGCCCTCAATCGACTCGGATTCCGAAACATCCTCCTTCAACCTGTCCGACGCAGCGTCAATATCATCCTCATTCTCGAAAGTCTTGTCAAAAAGACGGCCAAGTACAACTCCACATACGAGGACCTCCTACAGTGTGTCGCGGTCGTAAAGAACCTGGCCCGCATAAATGACGAGGAGGTCGCGGCTTCTGAGGATATCATCAACCTCCAGGCACTCGAAATCGGGCTTGGTTCTAAGACCAAAACCCACTTCCTGACCCCTCTCCGCCTTTTGGATCCGGAGCGCAAGCTCCTGCGACACGGAAATGTCAAGATAAAGAATTCAAGTGATTCGGTCGACACCAAGATGTTCGTGCTCGACAATTTTCTGCTGCTCGTCAAAGTCAAACACTACGCTCTTGAAGAAGAGTACCGGCTCTTGAGAAGACCCATCCCGATCCTGTTGGCCAATTGTCGCGAACTGCCCCCGGTTTCGTTATCTAGCTCTCTGCGTGGCTCAGCAGGCAACGGCACCAGCAGCGGTGTGTCGTCTCAGGCTGCCGATTATGTCTTGGCAATCGGAAGCAGCGGACAGCGTGAAGCGGACACCTGTCTTGCCTTCAAGACATCAGAGGAAGTCTGTAGCTGGATGGCGGTGATCGATAAAGCCAAGGAAGAAGTCAGGAAGCGTTGGGAGGATGTGAAGTTCTGTGATTTGGTATGCATTGATGACAAATCATTCCAAGTTGGAGACATTCTTCCTAAGCGAGGAGAAGGCACAATTCGATGCACTGCTCCGTTTGGTAAATTTTGACAGTGTTGAATAGTGCCAACTATGTTTATTAGCCAAAAGAATTACTACTGACAGTTCTTTTTTTTATATATCTATATTAGAAAACATTCGTAGACAAAAGTGTATTGCCATTGGTACAGAGAGTAGTATATATTTGATGAATTGTGTAGATGGCACCTTGCGTCGTACTCTTTTTATCAAGAATGTGACTCAGATTGCCGTGATGCATAAGCACGGTGTTCTTCTAGTACTTGCAGGTAATACTAGATAGACATATAGATACATTCACTCTAATACTTGCTTACACTTTTTTTACAAATATGATATGATATGTATCTTATTTAGATAAAGTTCTCTTGGGTTATCCTCTCGCTGCATTTGGCGATACTGGTAGTCCCAAACCGCTCGAGCGCCTGGTGAAAGAAATAGACAAACACGTCAACTTTATGAAAGTGGGCCAGTACAACGGACAAGATTATTTGATCTACAAGAAACGCAAAGGAAACAATAGTATGTTTTTCCCTCTTCGGCCTAAGCCAAACATCAAGGAAATCATGCTGGCACCAAGCGAACGACGGTTGATTAATTCTTCAAATTCATGGTTTGACAGTGACAAGGTAAATAGACTATACACCCATACTTATACTCAAGCTCACACAGCTAAAAACAAAATCTCATGTTCTAATAAATCAAATCAAATCAAATCAATAAATCAAAATCAAATCGAATCAATGGATCAATCAATCAATCAATATAAATATAAAAAAAAATGATATAGGTCTTTTGTGTCGGCGCAGAGTGTTTCAATGTTCAATTCTTCAACACGAGATTGTTTATTGCGTGTGAACAAGGGTTTGAGATGATCAACCTCACGAATCTTACTGTAACCGAGAATTTGATAAACGACATAAGTTCGCCCGCACTAAGTACATTCAATAAGCACCTGCTGGATAGCAAACCGTTGGCTATCTTTTTGGCTTCAGAGGATAGAGCGCTGGTGTGCTACAACAAGGTGGTATTTTACATCACCAAAAGTAGAAATGTCGTATTTCAGGATGATACGTAAGTTTGATTTTGATTTTGATCTTGCTCTTGCTTGTAAACGAATGCTAATGATAACACACACACACACACACATATATATATGACTTTTTACGACCATAGATCACCCGTGTTATTTGATTGGGAAACCCCGGTGGATCATGTTGTTTATCGATATCCATTCATAGCTGGATTCAGTGAGAATATGATTGAGATTCACCACGCCGATACTGTAAGATACTCAATTCAATTATCATTGTTTTTTAAAGAAAATGCTGGTTAAGAGATATATGTAGTGTTACTAAACAAGAGCTTTTTTTTTTTCTTTTTCATCTTGTAGGGCGAATTGCTTGATGTTTTGTTTGGTGATTCTATTCGAGTGACGCATGACTATGAACTTAATGAGGTTCATGGTTGTAAATTAGATTTCAAAGCAAATGTACAGTTGATATTTTCGTTTATTCTGCGGCCATCTTAAGTAAATTCTTGAATGGTTTCCAACGATTGTGAATCTATATGTGAAATATATACATATTTATATAATTTTTCTGTAAAATTGAGAACGAAGGTCAAGGTTGAATTTGTACACAGCTAAAGAAATAGATAGAGAGACAAAAGTAATTGACTGACTTTTGCATGCGCGCACGCTCTCTCTCTCTCTCTCTCTCTCTCTCTCTCTCGTTATTTCTCTGCATGCCTGTCTATATATATATGTCTGTCTGTCTGTCTGTTTGGAAGCAATAATAATATTATTATTTTTACTCGAGTGAGAAAGGGCGGGTACCTAAATGGCTGGCTGTGTTTGCACGTGTATGTACCTGAGATGGGTCACTTTCGACATGGTTTTGATTTGTAGCTTCCCTAAACAAGAAACAAGCCCAGAGTTCGTGGCTGAATTTAGCCCACACACCGCGCGGGTCTGTGCAACTCTCTAAGTAGTTCATTGAAAAGCAATTGAGTGCAAGTGACGGATATATAGAAGAAAAGAAAGGCTCAAAATATATGTATAATATATATATATATATATAATATATATATAATATATATAATATACAAAAAATGAAATACAAAAGACTAATAGCATATCAAAAAATAAAATAAAATAAAATAAAATAAAAAATAAAGGTGTGAGACCAAGAAAGACGGATGAAATCTCCCTTTTTTTTTTTTTTTTCACCCCAATCTCTTTCCATCACCCCTCCCAGTCCTTCTACAAATCACACAACCTCGTTCTTTTTTAATTTTTTTTTATTCATTCATCTCGCTCATCTTTACACAAGAATCCTCTTGCAGAAGACCCCAAACATCTTTCACTTCTTCTTCTTCTTTTATAGTAATCTTCTCTCATCATCATGTCTCATTACGACTGGATAGAGATTCCCGACAGCCAGTCCACAGACTCCTTGTATGCAAATCCGGTAAAGCACCCAAGATACAATTATCACTATTATGATTATTATTTTGAAGTAAAATAAACTCATCATTAAATATCTATCTATCTATCTATCTATCTATCTATCTATCTATATACACATACATACATACATACATACATACAAATGTACATACATACACGCATACATATAAATGTTATATAGTCCACAGGCGAATGTATTTTACAAAGACCGACGAGCGGCACCATGTGAGTGACGGATCGATCTGCTTGTCAACCAAAGAAACCTGAAAAACTCAATCGATTGGATAGAAAACCAGCAAATCCAGAAGGAGATTGCTGGGAACTGTGGGATGAGCAGCGCCAGACGACCTATTTCTTCCACCCTTTGACCGGTGTCCTTGATTGGCATCATCCTGTAGATGTGTCCATTATATCCATGATCCGAGTCCAAGTAAGATTTGGTGTATATGCAAAACATAATAATAATAATTGAGGGGTGCAAGAAAATCCATTTAAATATATATATATATATGTGTGTGTGTGTTTCCCCTTTATATATATATATATAATAATAATAATAATAATAATGTGAAGAATAATTGACTGACATGAAAAGGATCTATAGAAATCGGCTGTTTTTAGAGAACGTCTCTCTCTCCCTGTCATTCTGACGCCTGACAACACACCCTGCCGCACCGGGGCTAGTTCTCCAGAAACGAAGCGCAATAGTCGATCGCTCGATCTCGCTCCTCTCCAGACACGGCCCCGGTCATCGCTCCATGTTCGATCCACGTCGGATGGCGGCAAAGACCCTGTTGCTGTAAGCAGTGACATTTCTTCTCACACAAGGATATCCGAATTAGCTCTTTCAGATACCCCTGCCACCGGATTCCCTTTCAATCTCGGGAAGCTACTCAACCCACCAACTCGCAAACAAAGTCTTCACAGCACAGACACTCAAGTAATTTTTTTTAAAAAAAAAACACACTGATAATAAGTGGTCTCTTTGTGTGTGTGTGTGTGTGTGTGTGTGTATCAATACATAGACACAATGTGTCTTACATATATATATATATATATTTGTATCTTAGAACTCTTCTCTCGGTGATCGTTCCCGCCGCCTCTCCCACTTCTCGGCCTTTAACTTTAGTCGCTCCCAAAAGGCAACCTCTCAAGGCTCAGGGGCAATGGGCAATCCCCTCAAAAGCCTCGTCTCTCGTTCGGGTGTCTCACCTGCTACAAGTCGCTACTCAATTGCTATCAGTGCACCAGTAAACACTCCTGGTATGAATTATTAACCTTTTTTTTATTTTATTTTATTTAAAGAAAAATTCAATTTTATATATCTTTTTTTTTTCTTTCCTCTCTTTCTTCTTTTATTTATTTACTTAGAGGCTGCTGAATTAATGAATCCAATGAAACAACAACAACAACAGCAACAGCAACAACAGCAATCACAACAACCGCAGCAGCCACAGCAACAGCAGCTACAACTTCAACTGCAAACGCAACTACAATCACAATCACAATCACAACAACAACAACAGCCACAACTATCTCCTATTCCTGGTCCTCTTGCATCGTAAGATATATTAATACTTGTTTTTATTCTAAAAACACATTTGTGCTATATTCACATTTAAATTATCTCTGTGTCTGTATGTGCTGTGGGGGGGTTAGGCCAACTCTTCCAACTGGTCTTCGCCAGGATATCAATCGATTCGCTATTGACGGATTTGCCCAAAAATACTTTTCCACTCACAAAAGAGGGCTCTTTAGACGCAGAGTTCCTATGACCGAGATGCTTCAATGGACAAAGGTAAAAAAAAAAGTATATGAATATATATATATATATATGTATTGTGTAGAGGAATGAGGTTACTCTTTAAAATAAAGCAAAATTAATGCTAGATCAACAGGATTCACTTCGACAACCTCTGATAATGCTCAACAAAGAACTCTACAAAGACGCCCTTCGATGCTTTAAACTAGTCCAGACAATTATGGGAGATAGACCACGTCCTAGAAGTATGACAGAAATTGAGGATTACCAGAGCATTCTTGTGTGCGGCATTACCAAGGGACAGATGCGAGATGAGATCTATGTACAGGTCTGTAAACAGATTCGTGATAATCCTAGTGGGTAAGTTTTATTATACAGATAGTAAAGTATAAATTGACCTTAAATATTGTTTCTCTTCTTCTACAACTATTTTTTTTTTTTCATTTATTTATTTCAGAGAGAGTATCAAAAGGGGATGGGAAATCTTGTGTGTTATCAGCGTCACATTTCCTCCCTCAAAAAACCTTGAAGGATATCTTGGCCACTTTGTTGAACAGCACCACCACACCAAAGAAAATCAGACTGATGTCATGAGCCGACATGTGTCAACAAAACTAAAGCGGATCTGTATCAGAGGAGCCAAGGGTAAGGTTCTCACTCCACCTGAAATCGAGCGTGCAAAGGTAAGATAGAATTACACACATAAATATATCATCTATAACTATATATATATATATATAAACACACAAATAGGAAGCACCTTTTAAACCAAGTGTATTTGGAGAATCACTTGAATTCATCATGGGGCTCCAGAAAAATAAGGAGCAAGTCAAATCTCTCCAATTGCCTCAGATTGTACCATTTTTAGCTGAAGCAGTCCGTGAAATGAATGGCCAGAAATCTGAAGGCATATTCCGAGTATCTGGAGACGCAGATGCAGTTACAGATCTGGTAATTAATATTCTCTCTCTCTCTCTCTCTCTCTCTCTCTGTGTGTGTGTAGAGTAACTCATGTATAAATCAATTATAAAATGTTATATTCGATAGCGTATTCGCATTGAAAACGGCAACTACGACACCTCTCTAATTACAGACCCCAATGTGCCGGCTAGTTTGATTAAGCTTTGGCTGAGAGAACTATCCAGTCCACTCATCTTGCCAGAGTTTTATGATGGCTGTATTCGATGTGCCGAAGATCCTGCAAAAGCACTAGCGATCGTGAATGCCCTTCCACACATCAACCGACGAATTGTGCTGTACATGATCAGCTTCTTGCAAGACTTTACTGACCCGGTCATCACCGAACACACACTAATGAACATCTCTAATCTTGCCATGGTGTTTGCACCAAACTTCTTGCGCTGCCCTTCAGAGAGCCTGACGACCGTCTTTGAGAACTCTAAATACGAACAGTCCTTCCTCAAGACCCTTATTACTGAAATATCTGTCGATCGTAATATGTGTCTTTACGATGAAGATGCTAGCCTAGTCACCGGCCAACTAATGAAAGGTTAAAGTTTTGACTCTTTGGGAAGAGAGGAGAGGAGGGAAAAGAGAAATAAAAAGAGAGAGAGAGAGAGACAGAGAGAGACAGAGAGAGGTAGATAGAGAGACAGACTTCTTTAAGCTTTTGGATCTCTTTTCTTTTCTTTTCTTTTATATTTATTGGATCGATTGATCCCCTTATCCCCTTATCCCCTTACCCATCCTCCTCTTTGTCCACTTTCCATCTTTCTATTGCATTTCACCCCTCCTGTGTAAATAATACCCATCTCCTTCCTATTGCCCCCTCCTCCATTATTTCCCTTTCCTTTTCTTTCAATTTCACGCTATCTTTTTTTTCATTTTTTTTCATTGATAGTTATAGTATTATTTTTCAGTCTGCAAAGATGAACGCAGAGTTTAATAATATCCACATATACTACACACACACACACACATACGCTTTGTACTGTGTGCGCAAAACCTTAAATATTATGTATATGGGTTTGTTAATCATGTGCCAGAAAATATTATACACTTTAGTTTGTCTACATACATATAGCCTTTCTTTCCCTTTTTTGTCTATACACATACATTCTTGTTTTTCTTGTTTTTTTTTGTTTCTAGTTTTTGTACGCACGGACCCCATTGTGCAAAAAAAAAACAATAAAAAAAAGATCTTGGTGATGGATGCTCATCCTCACTCACCAACCCATCAATCTCCAGTAATGGGCCAACAATCCTTGGCTGGTATTGCCTTTCAAGACTACGCCGAAAAAGATCAAATCAAACGTCTGGGATACCAGGACCAATCCATCAAACAATCTCGCATTCCACTTTCGTCTATCGGAAGTGAGGCCAGCAGCCATCGAGTTTTTACTGATTCCAACGGTATCTCTCCACACTCCAGTCTGTTTGGCTCTGCACTCTCTATAGCTGACCTTGAACCCCATGGTCATCAAGATCTCTTGGTTGAATTAGCCATGGCCAGTCAGCAATTATCAATCGATGACCAAGACAATCAAACCAACTATACTGACAACGAAGCCGATGAAGATGACGATGACGAACGACGAGGATACCGAAAGGACGATTGGCTAGATAATATTACTGAAAGGAGCACAAGCACATCTCATCAGTGGAACATATGGGAAGGTAGAAAAAAAATAAAAACAAAAACCCCAATCCAATCCAATCCAAACCCACCTTTTATATATATATATATATTATTATTCTTTTTGGGAAATTTTAGTTAGCGGTCAATAAAGAAAGGCTGTAATAAGCTTGTTAATTTTTTTATTTTATTTTTTTTTATAATAAAATCATAATAGAATATGAACCAGAATACCGAATGTTGAGTGAAAGCTTGGAAACAATGAAACAAGGTAAGCTTATTATTTACTTGTATAAGCCTTGTTACGACACACATACTTATATCTTATATTTTTTATTCAGCTATATACAAAGACATTCAAAACACTCTAAATGAAATCAAGGCCCTCGACAGCAGCTTTGAAATAACAAAGGCAGACTTTCATGAAAAGATGGAAGATGCCTATAGTGATATGGCCCTGTCTCTGATGGAACGTCGCGACCGTTTATTGAAACAAAAAATGAAATTTTCAAAAGAATCAAACATGGATACCCAAGGTAAAATAGGATTATAATTAGATGTATGTGTGTAACTAACATCTAATTCTTAGAAACTATCCGATTTCAAAGTGAAAAGGTAGCGTATATCCCAGAAGACTATCACTTGGTTTGAACACATAAGTGATATATACCTATCTATCTGTTGTAGGTGCGGTTGAATGTTGGAGGAGGTATCTTTGAGGCAAGTATATATGCACATCAAAATCATTATATTTACTTATCTACTTTGAACAGACATCCCTTGGTACATTAAGGCGGGATCCAGACAGTCTTTTGGCTACAATGTTTTCTGGAAAGCATGTATTAACACCTGGAGGCGATGGATCATATTTTATCGACCGAGATCCATCACATTTTAGACTTGTCCTAAATTACCTTCGTGATCTTCGAGTAAGCCATCAAATACATACATACATACATACATACATACATACATACAGCTCTTTGATATATTATTACGATTATTATTATAGATTCCTCCAACAATCCTTCAAGACAAGACAATGTAAGCTTACCATTGAGTCGACTATACATATATTTTTTGTGATCTACAAGCTTCAATTTTAATTTCCATGTCTTCTCATTATCTTTCTTTAGCCGTCAAGAACTGTTACAAGAAGTAGGCTTAAACTTGAAATGGTTTACATATCGCGTATTAATTTTGGTTTTGTGATTTTGTGATTTTATGATTTTTAGGCAAAATATTACCAGATTCAAGGTCTAATTGACCTGCTAAAGTAATACACTTATACATGTATTTTCTTTAATGAAAAGGAAGAAAGATTGAACAGAATCCTATATAAGAATGATCCCCACTCTTTCTTTTTTGAGGGCATGATATGAGTAATAAAGAAAAGCAATAAAAATAAACTAAAGAGGTACTATTTTTGTTTCTTTATTTAGATAGACACACAGACCGCACAGACTGCCTTGACAGCATAAAACTGAGTCACTTCTCCCATAAATATACCTCTTTTTTTTTTGCAAAACTTTTTCTTGCAACCTGATCACCTTTCTTTTCAGAACATGAGAAGAGGAAGAAAAGGTTATGAACAGTACATCATGTTTATATTCTGAAATGGTGCTAGCTGTCATACTGATTCCCCTACACGATATGCTGGAATCCACATTGGGAAATCAAATGCTTTGACTAGTAGCCATCCCAAAATCCGGCCCCAAACTCAATCGAATACAATTAGCATGGTCTAAGAGCCACAGCTCAAAATAGAAAGGGATCTACATATTAGACTTTTTTTTTAACTTATAAAATATATACTGTTATTTCTGAGAAAATGAATTCTTACCTTATTCAGTAGAGTTCCTTAAAAGATGCCGCATAAGGATGTGTAGTTTATTCAAGACTAGAGATCAAGAAATCTGACAGTGGTTTCGCTGAGGAGTGTGAGTGTGTGTGTGTGTGTGTGTGTGTGTATATATGGTATATTTTGCTTAGATCTCACTGGAGTTACGCAAAGACCCTTTATGTTCCACAAGATGATCAGGAAGAAAAAAAGCGGTGCCAAAGTACAATCTCCTGGTTTTTTTTTAAGAGATCTTGTTAAGACTCCGAATTTTGATGGCCCAAAGAGAAAATGAAAAAAAAAGTATATATATATATATGGTGCGTAGATTTCATATATAAAAGATCTGTTTCTTTTGACTTGACCTCAACTTTGGGCACTATGAGAGACCTTACCTGGTACTCTTGTACTATCTTATTACTTTCCTTGGCTGTTTCGACTGTTTTTGGTCAAGACGCTTCATTCGACACTTCAGTCAACCATTACGAATCTATTCAAGGTGTTCTGAATGGTGCGTTTGAAACATATACATGAAATTATTATTTTATTTTTTTATCAAATTTGAATTTTACACTGTATATCATACCATTATATATGATTTATAAGAAAAGAAGTAATAGCAGCAACAGCAATGATAATAATTCCTGTATATTTGTTCTTGTATCAAATAGATACTGCAAACGGATTTTCAGTCGAATATCGCAATTGGTACAAGGTTGTTCGTAACCTGGTAACTGATGAAAGCTATGCAGTCGTGTGCTGTAACCAAAACACTACTACCTTGAAAGGCTTTACTGCTGTTGTGAACGAACCCCTCCAGGATGTGGGTGTCAGTGACGCTCAGAGTGTGTTATCTTTTATTGAAGTAAGTAACATATATAGAATATACTAGCAGAATATATATATAAATATAAATAAAAATGGCGTTTCAAGATCTCCTTCCCTTTTCCGGCCCGACCATTGGATAGATAAACTAAATCTTTTTTTTTCTTTTATTTTTTGAAATACAACAAAAACAAAAGTTGCTTGGGTTAAGCGACGTTGTCAAGTCTGCAAATTCCTACAAGGCAATCACTTCTCCCTGCTATGTCAATCTCACTGCAACTCCCAATACTGTTAGCGGAACAGTCGACGCTGTATTTGCAACAAAAGCAAATGCCAATCCTTTAACAAACACTGCCTATATCAGTTTCTCTGCTGACAGCGATACATTAACACCTCTTCAGGTAATTTACACCTTTTTATTTTTCTAGAAAAACAAAACGAAAAATGACCAACTCTTGTGTGTGTATGTGTTTATGGATATATAGAAGGCAAGCTGGCTAGTATATGTTGGTCTCTTTTTTGGAAAGGAAGCCGAAGCAACGACTGCGTACCACAGTATAGAAAACACTTACAATTGTCACAAGACCAATCTCGAGACTACGGGAAACGTGTCGATTGCCTGGGCGTATTATAACACAACTACGTCCCATTGGAATATTCCCCAAGATGCTTATCGCACTCAATTGATCCAAGATGCTGGCATGGATCTTGTCAAGCCAGACAGCACTAGCAGCGGCACTTCATCGGAATACAGCTCTATTTCTGCTTTCCAAAACGCAATCAATAAAGTGGATTATGTAATCGATGATACCGATCTTGATGGATTCAAAGATCCTTCCTACACCGCTTGGCTCAACTTGACAGGATTCAGTCTGGCCAAGGACGCCAACAAGACATTTATTGCTGGGAAACACACTTTCCGTAATGATCGTCTTTTAAGCAAAGATGGCTTCTCTGGTAAGTAAAATAAACTATCATTATTATATTCAAGTCCTAAGGGTATTGATTGATTTTTTTTAAAACCATAAAAAATCATGTAGATTGGACCGAAAGATCACCTGCCAGACCCGATCTTGCCTTGACTGGTAATACTTTCTTTTACATTTGTTGCTGTGAGCTGGTTCATTAATACAACTTCTTATTATTATTATTTTAAAAAAAAAAAAAAACAAAAAACAAAAAACAAACAACCGGTTGATAGATATTATTCATATGGTATATCCCACCTATCAAAACTCCTATTCTTTTGTGTGGTTCAAGAACTTTGCCAAGGGTGACCCGTCTCACTTGGTGTCTAGCGATACATATCCCAGCTGCACAGACACGAGCGTGATGCTGAATCAATTGGCCTGCATTTCAGGAAAATTCGTTCCTCCTCTATCAGGTGCAAACTCAAGTAGCAGCAGCAGCAGTAGTAGTAGTAGTAGTTCTGGGGATACAAGCATGACCAAATCATCTGGTTTGTCAACCGGCGGTAAGGTTGGAGTAGCAATTGGCGTACTGGCAGGTGTTGCTGCGGTTGTAACGGCTGGATACGTTACTCACAAGCGCAGATCAAGTGGACCTACAGGAACCTTTTACAAAATGAATGATGTATAAAAAAAAAACTTTAATAAGCAAGCAAGCAATTGATTAATGCTACTTGTTACTGTTATTAACTCTATTCACTTTTTAGTATATCAAATTATTTTTATTGTTATTTTTCTTATATATATATATATATATATATATACACTCTATAATCATAATATCCATTCTTCATTCTTAATAATATCAATATAAATTGCAATGATTTTGAAATACACGCATATAATATATATATATATATATAAATTTTTAATTAAAAAAAAAGCTAGGGTCAAAAGTGGCTGGGTGGATTATACGGTTTACAGTCACACAACCAACATGTTCGCCTGTCCTTCAAAAAAAAAAGTGGGTAGCGGGTTTTTGACGAGAGAGCACCATCGCTACACACAATGGAGTCCAGCAGTCGTAATGAAGTAACCAGATTGTGGAGAGTATACCGCACATCTCACCAGATGGTTCACGATCGAGTACGCATTTAATTCTTTTCATTTCAACATGTACCCAACTCTACCTTTTTCTTCTTCTTTCCTTTTTATTTCGTTATTTCTGTCTTACGAAAAAGAGAGAAATAAAGAAATAAAGGAAGAATAGTAGACGATTGACACTCACACTCACACTCACACTCACACTCACATTCACATTCACATTCACATTCACGTTACTTACCATGCGTGTATTTGGGCTCTTTTTTTTTTCTTTCTTTCTTTCTTTGGCATGCTATTTTGTTGTTGCTGTAATGTTAATTAGGGCTATCTCGTATCTCAAAATGAGATTGACATGGAACTTGAGGTTTTCAAGCGTACATTTGCACCCTCCGGTGAAGTTGAGTACGTATTCTTTAATAATGAAACGAACAAAAAAATATGAAAGATCATTTATACATGTTTTTGGAATGAACAGTCGTGATCATTTGACCTTTGTTGTTCAAAAGAGAGACGATCCCACCCAGCAGCTTCTCGTTTTCTTCCCCAAGGACAAGTCAGTCGGTGTTAAGCCTCTGCGTGTGTAAGTATACTATTACTATAATACTATAAAACGTTCTTTGGACTAGACTTGCCTTGACTCGACTTTGATGCGAATACACACACACACAAAAAAGACAACAACAGCATTACTATTATTACTATAAAACACCATGTTAATTATTATACGTATGTAAATAGCTATGTTGAGCGTATGGCACAGCAGCAAATCCCCAAGGGTATTTGTATCTACCAGCAGAGCATGACATCTTCTGCCAACAAGGTTATCCAATCCTTGCCCACCAAGCACACTCTTGAATCTTTCCAGGAAAATGAGTTGTTGGTCAACATCACACATCATGTTCTTGTCCCAAAGCACGAGGTTCTGACACCCGAGGAAAAGGCAACCTTGCTCCAGAGATAGTAAGTCATTGTTTCTGTCATTGCTGCGGTTAATGGTTAGGGTTGTGGCTGGGAGTGTGAATATTATAAGACTGCATATATATATATATATGTATATATGTATTGAAAAGAAAGAGGGGGGATTTGGGTTTGGATATGGTTAAAATAAAATAAATTATGCCACAATACTATTTACATGTATACATCGGTCTTACTTTCTGTTCTTTTTTTCTTTCTTTAGCCGCCTCAAGGATACTCAATTACCCCGTATTCAGCACACTGACCCTGTTGCAAGATACTATGGTTTGAACCGTGGACAGGTAAATAAAACAAAAGAAAGGCAGAGATAATAACGAGCAAAAAAGGGAAAGAAGGAATGATTCTGATATATATATATATAAATTCGTATTATTATTTTTATCTATCTTTGTAGGTTGTAAAGATTCTTAGAGATAGTGAGACTGCCGGTCGCTACGTTAGTTACAGACTCTGCATCTAAAGCCCATTGTGTTTAGTAACTTGTCTTATTACTTCATATTTCTATATATTTTTTTTAATATTTTTCTTTATCTCTCTCTCTCTTTCACACCGTATATTTGTCTATCTGTCTATCTGTCTCTCTATCTATTGCACGTTTTTTTCTTCTTCCATCTCTTCTTCTTCCTTATATATATTTATGTATGTATGTATGTATTATATATTTATGTGTTTAGATATATTTATATATATATGTATATATGTATGTATATATATTATCACAAATTTCAATACATTTCACCAAAGGAAAAGATTTGATCAAATATACATACACATAGATCGAGAGATTTGTAGGGTTACTAATGTTTTCCTGTAAACAAAAGTATTTAAAGAGTATGATATAAATGACTATAAATATATGATAATAGTAATAATAATAATAATAATAATAGTAATAATAGTAATAAAAGGAATGGAATGGAATGGAATGGAATTGAATGGAATTGAATGGAGATGAAAGTAGAAAGGAAGGTAGGTGGGGTAGGATTGGTAGGATTGGTAGGATTGGTGTAGGAGCGTGTACATGTGGTAGAAATCGATCGATCAATCAGAGACAAAAAAAAAAAAAAAAAAAAAAGACTTCTAGTCCGCACTCTTTTTCTTTTTTCGGCCAGGATGAGGTGCACCTTCAACAATACGACGTTCAAGAGCATAGACACCTTCTGGCCAGACAACGATATCTAATTGTTTTGATGTTATTATTATTACTTTTTTTTTTAAAAAAAAAAGAAAAGAAAAGAAACCACATTGCAACTTACTTTGGAGCATGTTTGCCATGCAATATCCACCAAGATTGGCCTGCCAAAAAAAGAAGTCTGCAATGGGTGCTCCAGACTGATAGAGGGTTTCGAGATCGCGCTGATGCTTGTGTGTCAGAGGATGAAAGTCTTGATCTTTCATGACTCCCCACTCGGGGTGATAAGGCTTGGCTGGGGTTTGGGTAGAAGGGCCGGCCGTAGTAGAGTTAGTAGAGGTAGAGGTAGAGGTAGAAGTAGAAGTAGAAGTAGTAGAGGTGGTAATAATAGTAGTAGTAGAGGAAGAGGCAGAAGAGGCAGAAGAGCGAGCCATTGCTGGCAATGGCATGCTTTCGGTATCGACACCATTACCAAGAGATTGCTGTTGATGATGCTGATGATGTTGCTGCTGCTGCTGTTGGTGGTGGTGGTGGTGGTGGTGGTGAAGCTGCTGGTGCTGTGGTAAGGGGGAGGAAGGGGCATGGCCATAGTTTATAGGAGGGCCCGAAGGTGAGGAAGACCAGGCGATGGACATATCATTATCGAGTAAGGTGGAAGGTGCTCGGCTAGCATTTCGTCTTGCTGGAGGTGCAATTGATGGCATTGGACGGAAGGAATGGTTGGAGTCTTTGGCTTGATTATACATCATCATATTACAGTGCTTTCTTTTTTCTTTTCTTTTTTTTATTAAGATGTTAAGCTAGTATTACTGATATTATTACTTATATTATTACTGATATTGTTGTTATATATGTAGGTGAGTTAGTTAGTAATTGAGTGAGTGAGATTTCAATTGGGTTCAATAAGCATTTCTATCTTGTTGGAACAGAAGGAAAGTCAAAGGTAATGAAGCAGGAAAGGGAGATAAAGAATGGTAAAGTTGAAAAAGAAGTGTATTTAAAATATTTTGGTGTTTCTTATTTAGGCATCAAAAGGGGACAGCTCTGGAGCCCAACAATGGATTGTGGATCCCTATACTGTCCATCTCCATTTTTGTCCTCTCTTATAATTATAATTATAATTATATATAATTATACTATTGTTTTATATATATATATATATATAATTCTTGTTTTCATTGTCAATATTTTCGACTATAATTGTGTTTTTACTGTTTCTTTTTTAATTAAAGAAAAAATTTACAGTTGTTAAAGAAGCTTTTTACACCCACATATATACTTCTTCTTGTTCTTGTTCTTCTTTTTGTAATTAATTGCCATAGCAACCAAAATCTCAATAAGATAATAAAAATATTTTCGATAAATCGTAATTTTTTTTTTCGATTTTTTCTTCAAAGTACAATTGAGTATAAGGTATGGTGAGTTTAGTTGGCTGTCAATACTCACTGCTCTGTATCGCATCTTATTTTATTTATTTATTTAGTTTTGCTTTTGCGATAGGGGATGTTTAAGTGAAGAACACCTTTATTTATTTATTTTTCACCCCTGATGAACACACGTTTACCGTGTCACCAATGAGTTTCTCTCTCTCTCTTTCTATCACGACCCCTTGATTACTGCTCCCAATAAAGTATTCTCCGGCTCATCTGTTAAGAGACGTGAACAATAATACAAAATATATAATCGCTTACACGTACACCCGCGCGCGCGCCAAAGAGGTAGAAAGTCTTGGGCAATACAGAAAAAAATATATACAATTATCATTACGGATTATTGGACTCTCCTTGGTCTTTTAGTATTATGTATTAAATATTAAATCTTAGATATTAAATATTAAATATCATATATAATGAGAGTTAAAAGCTATCCGTATGGCCTTTGCTTATTACAAACTATGGCATATTGTAATGCCATCCTATCCCATACCATGCCATACCATGCCATGCCATGCCATGCCATGTCATACAGTAATCTATCATTCAATGGCACTTACATCTTTTCCCCTCCCCCCCTACCCTTTTCCTTTACCTCCTTTTTTTTCCTTTCTTCATTCTTTAGGGATTTTTGATTTCATATATACATATTATTTGTTGATTTCTCTCTTTCTCTCTTTCTTCTGTGCAAGTTAGGATCTTGAAATATCGAGATAAGAAAATCGGTATTTACAGGGTTGTTACAAGCTTTCTATTTCAACTACTTTACAGTAAGAAAAAATAAAGTCATGAAATAGTTAAATATATATATATATATATATATGCTTATATGAATATTTAAGGGGATGAACACACTTAACTGTACACATACACACGCAGAAAAAAAAAGAGTGAAATAGAGAGATATACATTGGATTTTGATGTATTCTTATTAGCAGTAATGTGTTCATAGACCGAAAAAGGATATCTGTTCAGTGTCTGTATTTCTGCAAATGCGCATGCATTGGCTATTTTGAACTGGTGGTCAGACCATGGGGCTTATTGTATCCCGACTTGTTTAATTCAACCCTAACCAAACTAAATCAAGCCAAATCTGCTCAATGATCATCCTTAATAGATATACACACACACACTACACACACTACATGTACATATATACACATCTATAATACCTTTACTCTTTTTCTCTCTCTCTTTGACTCTCTTGGTTTGGCTTCAATTCTTGTAAGATCATCAAGGCCCATAGATCAAATAGAATATAATTTTTTGTGTTCCATCTATCCTTTTTATTCTTGAGTCTTACACGTGTAAGATTCACAAATAAATAAATAAATAAAAAAAGCTATCCTATTCTGATATTTATTTTTACTTAATTATTCAAGGAGAATATAAATATAAATTCAAATATAAATATACACATCACTATGAGCGCTCAAGATGTTGAATATATGTATAATCTATTGAGAACAAAGTAAATAAATAAATTTTACTAATAAAAATTGCGTTTATCTTTTAATCATCATTTAACATTTGCGATTACTGAATTTGGGATCAATTGAATATATACATTACACCTGCACTATAGAAGAAGTAAATTTATGGACAGATAAGTGAATAAGCAAGTGAATGTGTACAGCCCAATGACTTGCCTACAAAGGTACCTTGACGTGAGGTGGTATTGAGTGTCAAGAAGATCTGTACCCTTTTTTTTTTTTTTAGATTAAAGCTAAAATTTTGGTTTTTTTTTAAAAAAAAAATAAAAAAAAAAGCAAATTCCAGTGCATGATAGAGGTGTATTATTATTATTATATTAGCAGTACTTGGTTGTTCGGGAAGCAAGCAACTATATGCGTTAATTGGAAACTATTCTGTATATGTCTTGAGGGCTATCCTTCTGCATGAACGTTGGGGGAGGGGGGGGGAGTAGGCTGTATGTTTTGCTTACATATTAAAAAAAGCACCAACCAGGTATACAATATAAAAAAAATATATATTTATATTCTATACTTGTGTATTAGATCTATCATTAGCTGTCTCCTTTTGTACGATCTGTAGTCTAAGCTGTGATGGGCAGACTAGCTAACTACAATCAATGCCCACTCATCTACTAAGCCTATTGATCAACATCGATATTCTTTTGGCTCGGTCTAGAATACTATAAAGAAAAACTATTATTGTTAATACTACTATTGTTTTTGGCAGTAGAAACTGTTGGCTACTACTATTTAAGATCACATACAGTAATAATATTCTTTTTCTCTCTCTCTCTTTGAGCTAGCTGTTCTACTTTGAACCCTTGTCTAAAAAAAAATAGATCAGGTTTATTACTTCTGAATTAAACAATCCAAAGTTAATATAGGCAATATAGGCAATACGATTGATGTTATGCTAGCCGACATATCATCCCTCCAGATCACGTATTTCCAAATCAACAGCTATACTTACTTTTGCTTTAGTTTTTGCTTTCTTCTTCTTCTGGTGTATGTGTCCAGATTAAATAATCAAGGTCTAGCTCTAGATCGTGTGTAGAATCTAATTAGAATGTAACCCGGATACTGATAATCCTAAGAAGAAGAAAAAGAAACATTCTGGGATTTCAATCATCAGATAAATTGCATTATTTTGTTTCGCTTTTTTTTTTCTTTTCAAAGCCCATATTATGTATGCTTGTCTGCTTGTCTGCTTGTCTGTCTGTCCCTCTACCCTTTAAGCTGTTATTTTGAAAAAGATAGATAGATTGTTGCTATAATTGCTAGTATTTGTAAAGTAAGCTTAAAGCCAATAAAATATTAAGCATCTGAAAATAAACACATTAATTTAATTAATTAATTTTGTTCTGATCAAAGGGGGATAAGGTCATTCAGTAGAAAACAAGTAAAAAGACAAACAGGCAGACAATAAGTCAAGTGGGCTTTGCAAGTACTGACTTGGTCAACTGAATAAGTATCTTGACCTTGAATATATAAGGCAGGCTATTAGATAATTAGAAATGGCTAGACAAATATTTGACAGCTCTGCTGAGATAAGTATAATGATAAAGGTCAAAGACCAGGGCAAAACTCTTTATTTAGCCTCAATAATAAGCAAATATGCTATGTATTATGTCAGGCTTTTGTAAAGCAACTTAAAAATATGTATATATTTATATATCGGTATGCCGCATAATTAAATCTCTGCAGACAATATCTTGCTCTTCATTTTGTACTTTCTTATTTTGTGATTACATATAATTACAGAAAAATAATCAGCATGTGATTTTTGGTACAAATATTTTTCTTTCGCCTTTCTTACTAGTATTATTATTATTTATCATAATATTTTGTACAATTTCTTATGAGTTCTTTCTTCATTAAACGTAAGTCGAAAAAGACTTCTTAATCATGTTGGCCTGGCTATCTCAAATTGGTTTAGATCAAAAAAGGGTTGTTGGTTTGCTGGTGTGGCTTTGTTCTATTTCTGACATATGTGCTCTTTAAAGCTTATCAGTTTTTAGTCTTTTTTTTTCTCACGCAGAAGAAGAAGAAGAAAAAAAAACGCCAATTTCTTTGGTGCGAAGACCTCAAATTTGTTCTTTTTTTTTGTGTGTGGTTTTTGATAGCAATGTTTGTAAGCCATGTGAATTATTTCCAATAATAGAATAAAAGAATAAGAGAAACTGAGCAAGTTTATCGGATGAATTTATATATTACCCCTCTCCCTCCCTAATATAAACATCTCCTAGAGAAGCCATCACGGTTTTGCTCACTACTTTATTTTTTATTTACGTTGTAAAATAGATACTTGTGTTCTCTATAGACAATCAATAGGAGAATACATGCGACACAGGGATATATATATATATAAATACATGAAAGACTTTTTTGTACAATTTCCATACATCTTTTTGTTCTTGTTTTTCATTAGCCTTCTATATATGGTAGCAATGTATCAACTTGCTAAGCACACTAATGATTGGCGTAAAATGTAGTAGACTAGATTATATAGCATACAATAGACAATAGAGAACAAGAAGAATGTTACTACTGGTGATAGTTTTAGTAGTAATAAGGAAAAATCAAAAGGGTGGTGGACCATAACTGAGGCTTAATTAATTAACTAATTATATGTTTTATGGATTACACATAATTTATACTGGGAACAAAACCCAATTGATTGTCAAAAGACAGAATAATCTCCATACATATTACATCTTTGGATATTATTCTTGTTTTAAATCAATCAAATATATATATACGTATATTTTCAAGTCAATCTTTTTTTTTTGGTTTTGTTCTAGATTCAACAAAAATCAAATGATGCACCAGCTAGAATTTTCCTGTGTGAAACAAGCATATGCATCTATACACATTCATAAAGAGGTACAAACGTACAGAAGTACAGATATGTCTATAAAGCAATCCAAAGGGTTACTATTTATATTATATTTTTGATTTTTTTTTTATCTGATTTGAGTACATATTTTCTTATATATTTTTTGAGCTCCAAATATTCGGTACAAATAATTGTGAATTTTGTATCTTTTTTTTTTAAAAAAAAAAACTATCTCTTTCGATAATTCACTCTCTTTCTCTACTAATATATGTATCTTTACATATATATATCTTTACATATATATATATACATGCATGGAATGAGGATATTTAGAGAATAGATTTAATGATACTCCATAAGAATGTAAATGTATTGATGATTCCGATGGTTCCGACGGTTCCGATGCCATTCCTGATTAGGAAAAACTCTAATTGCTAATGGGTTTCTACAAGTCACTGAAATTCAGCCAATCAAAAAACCGTTTTTCTTTTATATATGTCTTAAAACACACATAAAAGAGGAAGAAAGGTAGAACGATAGAGAGAACAGCCACAGTAGATATATATATGAGCTTCTCCTGCTATCAAAAGTTGACATTGTGCATTGTATAAATCTTTTAGGAGTAAAAAAAAAAATTATGGACAATTAACTATAGTTTTGGTTTATTCCTCAGCTCTTCTGTATTGTGTAAAATACTTCTTTCTTATCATCTACATAAAATTTAAATGCAGCAAAACACAAAAATGCACACTCAGTCGCCAAATTTTCTGTATAAATTGTACAATCTGTCTTTGATATGTGGCTAAAGCCTCATTTATACTTTAACTCAAGGCTTCATTTGATAAATCAACCACAGAAACTAACGGCTATTACCATATATATATATATATATATATACATGTGTGTATTATAATTCCCACCACAAAATATTTTATTAATGTATATAAACGGGTTAACACAAGAACATTTATAGACAATTTCTTTGAAAAGTAATAGGAAATACCAGACCTTTTGGACCAAGAATATGTTTACTGGACACAGAGATATACATGGTCATAAACATAGAAAAGTACTAGTAATTTTGAGGATTTCTCTTGTAGTTAAAATGGTGTTTTTTTGCTTATATGAAATGTCGGCGACTTTTGTATCATTTGTATCGTTTGTATAGTTTATATCTTTTGTGTGGGGCTACAAGAAGTCTGTCTGACCCACACATACAGCCACTTAATCAAACTCTAGCGACAAAGAACGCCAAATCTTGTGGCTATATACCAAAACGCACACAAAGAAAAAGGTACACGGCACCAGTAACAGCAAAAACACACTAGTGTACACATATATTTTGACGGAATTGAAGTCCTTTTGATTAAAGTATTCACTATTGATAAATGAATCCTTTTAAGTAAAATTTTCATAAAAATAATAAAAAGAAAGAATATGCTCGGAATAAAGATAAACTTTGAGGAAATATATATCAACACATCTTCAATAAACAAAACACGCACAAAAGACCTTTCTTCAATACGCACAAGTTATTATCCGGTTGAGCCGTCATATACCCATATATATATATATATATATATTGGGTTGTGTGTGAATTCTCGCTTCAAATTTATCCGCACTGAGTACTATTGTTATTTCTATCTATCTCTCTGTCTTTGTTTTTACATATTTTTACTTTATATATGTAAATTAGAAAGATAAGCCTGTATCTACTATACAGAAGTAAGATCGATGGTACACAGATTTTAGAGTAAGAGTATTAATGTTGAACAAAAAAAAAAGAAAAATAGAAAGCCTTTTTTGTATAAAATATGCTTTACAAAGAATATCATAGTCCAGCAAGGCATATCGCAGATCAGATCAGACCTATAAAATAGAAACATTGTTCTTTGGATCCAACCTATATATATTGGTTAACCCGATTAGTGATCCTCTAGTTAAATAGATATTTTGTACAGTCTAAAGTACACAGATGGCGATCAAATTCAATTATCTTGTCTCCATATATATAATATATAAATATGTGTGTGACTATTTTACATGTAGAAAAGAAAAACAAGGTTAAAAGAAAATATGTATATAAGGTCTAGTCCCCCAGATCTTTGGGCTATTTAAGTTTAACTCTAGCATAGAAGTTTATATATTTAAGCAATTATTTCAAATCACACGCCTACTCAACGCCCGTGAGGTTATATTAAATATAGATGATTTGTTAGACTTACTGTTTTATACTATAAAATGACTAGCGTTCTTGTAAGCAATTTATAAATGAAAATACACTAGAAATGGCGCGGTATAGGAATTAAGAAATAAAAATAAAGAATAATCTAATCTAATTTTATACTACACCGACAGCACTAGTATCACCAATAGTGTCAACAACCAGCATTTATTATTAGTTTTATTATTATGAATATTATTATTATTATTATTATTATAAAGGTTATATATAAAAAAGCATACAGAATTTTTTTTTTGAGTAAAATGAAAATGAAAAAAAGAAACATAGAAAGAGGGGTGTACAGAATAAGTTGAAAGGTATCACAGCATAAAGTGAGGTATAAGAAAAGAAAGAAATAAAGATGTGGCCAAAGAAACTCAATAGCTAGACATACTAGCATATTGTACATACATACATACAATAAATAAATAAATAAAATAGGATAGAATAAAGTAAAAGAGCTTTCATAGGACGGATATTAGAGTATATATTATTTTGGTGGGTTTGATCAAAGTAAGCAAAGAGATCTGAATCATTTCTCTTTAAGAAGAGGGCAGACAGGTCTTTTGTGGCCATACTTTCCACACCAGAAACTAAATAGAAAACAAAGATATTTAATACCAAACATACATAATTTTCAATATCCAATATTCAGTATTCAATAAACTCACCACTGGCCACCTTCAAGGTTCACTGGCTTGATTACAAAAGACATGGCAGAGATGGTAAAGATGGTCCAGGATTTAGGAAACAGAAACCAGACTTGAAAGAATTATTATTAAGAATTTAAAAAGAACCAATATTAACAACCATTATTTTTATTTTTTATTTATATATATATATATATTTTCACAAACAGCTGTAACATTTGACGTAGCATACATGTACGTGTGTGTGTGTGTGTATACGTACATATATACTATCAATAAAACAACAACAAGGTCGAAATAAGGTACAAGCTTTGAAATAGCGATTTTTGTACTAAGTATTAAGGTTAAATAAATAAGTAATATATATTTTAAAAAAGTTTCTTGATATCTTCTTGCTTTTTTTTTCTAAGAAAGAAAAAAACGTCAGTTGCTATGGTTTATCTATACAAAGCTAGAATACAAGTTACTCTTGAACCTAGAAACAAGATCAATAGGCTACGAATAGCTTATATATATTTACAAGAAGTATTCTTTGATTTGGTATAGAGACTATTAGCTAGGCTTTTTCTTCTTCTTCTAAATATATATTTTTATGTGTAATATTATATACAGAATGATCTATTAATCTATTTACTGGATTGTCAAAGAGCATGTCTTGTGAACTTTGGTGGGTCCAGAGATTACTCAATTAATTTTTATTTTTATTTTTAAAATTCAGTGGGTTTTCGAATTCTACCGAAAAGAAATAGGATAAAGTCAAATCAAATCAAATCTTCATACTTCTTTGTAGCACACTACAATACAGTAACAAAACTATTTACAGCAAATTTGTTCTATTAAAGAGCACGGTCATTATTAGTATCACTATCATTACTACTGACACTATTGTGATTAAGATATATATATATATGTATATATGTATGTGTATATGTATTTTATATTTTTTATAGAAGAAAATACGCCCTATTGGGGCTATTCCGATATGGTAAAGGTTTTAGACAGGGGCCTGAACGTGCGCATGTTGACCATGCTTGAAGGAAAAACCCTAAACAAGAATTGTGCTTCCGTTGGAATTTTTTTTTGACATGATCGTTTATAGTCAAAGTCGATCACTGTCTGAGCGAGAGAGAGAGAGAGAGGGAGAGAGCAAAGTAGACTACACATTATTTTAAATTTATTTTATTCGTTTATTTTTTTAAAGAAATAATAATACTTCTTTATCCAAAATATATATATAGAAAACACAGCTCTAGAAGCCACTATATATATATATATATTGTATATTACTACATAGCTACATACATAGCTACATATTATATATATATATACATATTAACTTGTGTATTCACTGATAATTTTATTTGTTCTTGAAACACTTCAAAAGTGGTCGGATATTCTATCTGCTTGTGTCTCGGACAAAGACAAAGTACCCGAACTTGTACTACAGACCAATATTGAGTGGGTATAACAAACTCACTCATTTAGGCTCATATTTCACAGATTGCGTTTGAGTCTATATAGATTGAGTGGGGCAATTCTTACCAGAAAAAAAAAGTATCTAGCAGCAGCTAACAGCATCAAACGAAAAATATATGGAATTTTACTATATGCTTTTGATTTTTTAATACTTTCAAAGATACTTTACAGTAATAAGTTTGCCATACCTCACCTTGCCTTGTCTTTTGTACCGAAAACTCCTCGTAAAAGAAAGGCCACTGTAGTCGTTCCCTATGGGAAAATAAATGGTGATTCCGATGTTGATTTTGGAAAATATCATCGGAAGCACCATTTATTTTCCCATACTTATTCCTTCTTCCTCTTATTATTATGATTATTATTACTAAATTCCTCTCAACCACGCTTCTTCTCTTCTTATTTCTTCTTCTAGTACTAAGAAGAAAAAGAAGCGCATGGGTCACTTTAAAAACCATACACAAGAAATAATATTTACAACCTTTTCATATTGTTTTCTTCTTATTATTCGTATTATTTCCTTTTAAAAGCTACTATCAAAATAAGCAAAAATAAATAGAACCTCAATCAATTGTAGCATAACCAATTGAAATATCTCTGACGGTAGGTCCTTATGGAACCTTCTTGGTTATTTAATATGTGGAGATGTTGTGTTATATTGTATTGTATTATTATTATTATCATCAGTATCATTTTTTAAAAAAAAACACGAGGTAGACCGGCTGTTCCCATTGGGACAGTTTAAGAAGAAATAGGCATACTATTCTAAGAAATAAAAAACTATTTGTCCAAGTTTATTTAAATATTTTATACTAAAACAAAAACAAACATAACTCATACAAAATTTTCAAAAACCTTGGCTTATATAAAACAACAATAATTGCACTTGTTGTTTGGTTTCTTTCTTCTTTATTTCATATATTTTATACTCATCTTCTATCATTTATGACAATACCTCTTCCTAAAGTTTCTTATGTGCTTTTTATACTGTTATCAATTTTAAGTATTTACTACCCATTTGCACTACCCGTTTGTCTGAATTTATGAAAGCCTTCTAAGTTTCTATAGTTGGCTCGATAGCCAGAAGTTCTCTTGTGTAAATTCAATTGCTATATGGTGTGTCTTTTTATCCCTAGCTTTACTTACTTTTTTACTGTTTATTTTAATTGGGCACACAATTACAATCGTATATAGTCTATGGACAATAATATGTATATGATGATAACAATTATGTTTGTGATATCTTTGAAGACTTTGAAGCACCTAAAGCACCTAGAGCACCTAGAGCCCTTAGAGTCATTAGGGCCCCTATAACCCTTATAGCCCTTATAACCCTAATACCCCTAATACCCCTCATAACCCTTAAAGCATCTAGAATCTTCCAAGTCTTTAAAGTCTTTAAATTTCCAAATCATTAGACAATACCATTAGATTCTTCTCAAATGAAGGAAACATTTTATTCAGTGAACCACTTTCTTCATACCTTTCAAAAAAGTCATCAAGTAATCTCTTTTAAATATCAAGCTAGTTTAAAGAAGATTCTTGCCACCTTACTTGTCCCCATTGTTCATCTCAATTGGGTGCACAATTATATCGTGAGTTTACCTGGACAAGAGTAATTCATGAACTTGTTTTAAATATAAGTCATTCGCAGAGACATCTCTCTTTCTTTCTAATAATATCTATTATAGAATATTAGTCGTAGTGATACACTCTTGCCAAAGAAGTCAGTGTCCAATTACTTGATTTTTTAATTCCTAAGAAACTACAAGTCAACTTCTTTACCTTATATCTTCCAAAAGCTATGCCGAGTAAGATAAAATTTTAGCTTATTATAGATAAAGGTGGTCAGCCTGGAGTACTTTTGAAAACATGGACTCTACAAAATTTACCGGGTATATATTACTCACACTCTTTTGTTTTATTCTAGAGTACTTTCAAAGCAATTGATGCTAGATTGTCCATAATTAATGTCAATTCCAACCGGAATAACTTTAGAACATGAGTGTGCACTCAAACTTTTATGTAAACAAGGTCGTTTAATGCCCATAAAATAGAACCGAGGCTTCATACTAGCACAGGTATATACACTTTATATGTTCTGTATATTTTGCTTGCAATGAATCTTCGGCTTAATTAAATAGATATCTTAGACATAGTAAACTGGAACTCTTGCTTACTAGTATAATTCGAAAGAGCTTTTAGATTAAAATTCTTGTAAGTTGCTATATCTATAGTGAGTCAACACAACTTTTACTTACAAAGTAAAAAAAGAAAAAAAAAAGTATGTATGTATTAGAGGATATGTGTTTTTAACTTTGACAAATCAACGGTTGAAATATCACTCAGTTTGTTTTTATATTGGCATCAAAAAGACTCGCTTATATACATACTAATCTACAAGCAATTTGTGCCTTCCTCATCGTACCATTACTTCCCAGCTTCCTTCCTCCACTTTATCCCATTGAGCTCACATCCTTCTCAGCTCGAAACTTTCTGTGCTGCTCTACTGGTAAAGCTTAGACATAATTACACCCTATTATCCTAAATATGATTATCAGTGGTGCATTATAAAAAGTATTATTGTGAGCTCGGACTCGTTTGTTCTTTCGCCTGGATTTTGGTATCTTTGGTTTTCTTTTTCTCTGTCTACCATGCAAATCTGGGTGGTTGATCCTTCTTGATCCTGAGCATCAACAAAGAGCTCTTTAATTAAGATGTATTATTCTTATCTTACACTATCCCTCCTTTTATTCAAACATTTTTTCTATTATCTAGCCTTTTTAATTCATTTACGCTTTCGTGTTCCATTTGCTAGTATCACACTCTTGTTTCTCTGTAGTGCTATAACTTGCCCGAGTTCACTTCTTCCTTTGCATTGCATTAGGCACACACTTCTTCCAGCTCTCCCTCCTATCCAGTTGTAGACTGGCATAGTCAGGGTTTTGACACTTTTCTTTGGCTTCCGTAGGGATGTGTGGGCCACATTCTGTTGAATCTTCACTAAACCTCAAAGCAATTATTTTGTTTGATGTTTATTCAGTTGAGGTATATAGTCCCTTTATCCGAAAACTCTGTGGCTCCTTCTTCCGTGTACATAGCCGTATTAGCCATTTCTTTCGATATTTCGATTCTAGAAGAATGGTATGCTGTCCTCAGTTTCTCTCTTGCATCCAACCTCGTAACTCCGTCGATCATCCTTCCCTTGAGCTTTCCTCGATCCTGATTTTGTTACAGTTGGACAACACCAGCCTGATTGAAACCTGCGCCGAATCTCTCCGACGCAACATTCACTCAAGGTCTCTTTTATCCTTCTTGGAACCTTGACGACATCTGCCTTCTCTTAACCCGAGATGCTTTCCCACAGCCTTCCTCTCATCAGGCCCTTCGGATTCTTGTTTCGGTTACCACTAACAAGGTCATATGGTGTGCTCACTTGAAGTTTGTTTTTTATGAGTGTCGTTTCCTCTTTAGATAAGTGTCGCAAAAATCATCTACCGTAATCGAAAACGCAGAGTAGAATTGGCTTATTCATTCTTCTCTCTCCATTTTTCTTTTCTCTCTATCAAGTCAACCTATTTTTTATATTTTTTATTCTCGGCCCTATAATTTTTCTCTCTCTTCATCCTGATCAATACATTCTTCTCCATTCACTTAAATCTCCTGTAATGGCTTTTAAAAGATGCATGTAGAGGGTGACAACGGGCCAATAAAGTACAAAAAAAAGTATCGTCCTCATTGGCAATTCTTTCCAAGATTCAAGAGCAAATAGAAACGCGTTGCTTTTCTCTTATGTTTGTATCTTGTTTGGGAATGCTGTCATTTAAGCAAGCCGTGTTGTTCACTAAGATTTCTTTAGCATAATGCATTTACTTTTTCCACGCACCATTGCGTATCGCTATTGTTTTAGACTGTTTTTTTTTTTTTTTTTTTGGTTTTAGGCATAGGGTAATAAGCAATTCCAACCTTCTCCAGGATATCTATTAGAAGCTTTTATTTAGTATCAAAACAATTTGTCGTCAAAAGTAATAGAAGCAAAAATTTTGCGTCTTGAATCGATTCTATAATATCAGAGATGAAAAACGAGCTATGATAAAATAAGCGATCAAGGGTCAGGTCGATGTCATTAAAAGTATACAGTATTCTAGAAGTCACAATCCATAGCCCATCTTTTAAAAAAGTATGTACATATAAGAAAAGAATGGTTTTGAATATTTTATTCGGTACCTTGAAGAAAGCTTTTTTTTTACAAGGTGAATGGTGTTAGTCCACATTCTCTAATAAGCTCATTAAGAAAAATTAGGATTTTTTCTACCTTCAATTTGGTGAATTATTTTATTGTTGTTTCCAGCAAACTTATAAAAGACAACAATTACAATAAATGTAGATATGTTGCATTATAAGATCCTAAAAAAAACTAATGGTTTATGAGAAAAGTACACTTTTGGTGCAAAAATAGAATGCACCAAATGCACCAAAAAAAATGAATTAAACAGAGAAATGGTAGAAAATTGCGCCAAATTTTATTTTTATTTTTGGACCAAATCTATTTCTGCTCGTGCACCAAAAATTTCCGGAAAAAGTATATCTGTAGTTACTAGAATGCAGTGTGTTTTTAACGCTACTCTTCCTTATAGAAATTCTGTCATTTATTCCGACATTGGACATCAACTTTTTATAATTCCAGCAGTTCCAAGTTTTCCATGATAAGCACCTTAACTATTTGTATCTCTTGCTCTTACAAAACAGAAATATTAAGTTTAAGCACCCAAAAAAGAATTAAACAATTATCCACCATGAACAATTCCTGTATAAAAAATTGTGGCTAGGAATTTTGCAAACATTTATATTAGACGCTTGAGCTTTAATTCTTATGCATGTTCCACAAGAGTTTACCAGCCCTTTGTTTTTCTTGATCCATTGTTACCCAAAAACCTATATATATATATTAATTGATACAAACGCGCCCAATAAATAAGATCCCGCTATTACACAGTATAATTTACCACAGTCATCCCGAGAAAACCGGGCAATTGTCAAAAAAAAATAATTCAAAAATGCATAAAAGGGATACAGGTTTCAATTCTTTTCATCACCTTTTTCTCATCCTTTCTTTCTTTCTTTTTTCTCACAAGCAGAGAGAGAGAGAAATCAGTTTGCGAAAGAAAGAAAGAAATTATCATGCCCAGCGTAGATGAACTGAAAGAATCCTTTGCCTTTGCTGGGAAAGACATCAAGGCGCGAGAAGACGCGGTTGAGCACTATGCACTTCGAGACTCAACGGATTGGTACTACTATTCAGGTCTTATTATTCTCCAAAGACTCGGGAATGAAATCAATTCCAAGGACAATAAAGAGCCAAGGGATCCAACACCAGAGGAGCATGAGCTTATGAACTCTTTTAGTAAACACATGACAAACTACGAAGCAAAACTCAAATTGAGTACACCCTATTTCAAGTATAACAGCAAATACAAGGCACTCAAGAGTCGTTACCATCTTCTGGTCTATCTACTAGACAAAAAAGAGTCGACAAAGTTCCTTCAAGATGCGCTTTCCCTTGATAAAATTCCTACTATACACGATGAGGACCAGGACACTCAGTCGACGGACGCACAGATACAAAAGAGTCTTCCTTCGACCCTTTCTCAGGAAATAATTGATTCGGAAGAGGTTGTTTGGAATAATATTTCCCAGATAACCAATAGTGGAGATTCTCTGGATGTAGAGTATCTTGCACTCCCTGTCCTATCTCGTCTCATCAAAAAGCCATTGACTGATTCCCAAAAAGGTGTCATATTCACGAAACTGATGGCTTTTCCTCAGACTGCACAACCATTGGGAGGACAAGGGATTGACTTTACAGAGTTTATTTGCACATATCTTAACGAGAAGGACGAAGTTTTTTTCAAAGACAATCTGGCCAGATTTCCGCTTTACAATCTAACAATTAATCAAATGGACACCATCAGAAAAAAAGTCCCTTTGGTTGTTTTGAGTGAGGGATTCTTGGTTGCATATATAAACAAAATAGTACCCTTGGAATACTCGAATGAGAGATACACCAAATCGCCAGAAAACTTCTGGGATGATGGAGACTATATATTGGAAGGTTATCTCTCTCGTCTCTGGAAATTAGTGGAAGACTTGCCAGTCATTTATCAGCCTCTAAAGGCATTGGTTGGCCTTCACAAACTACGACTAGAAATTGCTAGAGAAAACTTCACCGAAGCCTATCTCATTGAGTAAGTATTTTCCAAGACTTATTATTACAAAAAAAAAATGACAATATCAGCAGATAAATCTCACAATTATCTTGTAAATATAGATATTTAGCCCTGACTCAAGGCAGAATTCTTGAAAATAACATGTCTCCTCTCCCCGGTCGTCCAACTGATACTAAACAAAGATTGAGCAAAGATAGTACAATCTATGTAAGAAATACAATTGATGCTTTATACCTTTTTACTTCTTGCTATTAACTCTAAAGTTCCAATAATATTAGATTCCTTATCTAAAAAACTATGCTACTAACTCACGGGAAGAGAATACGGCGCTATATATATATATTACTGGTGTTCTTACAGAAAATCCTGACATGAGTCTTGATCCAATCTTGAAGTATCTGAACTTCAACGATAAGCTAAAGAAGATCTATACAACTGTGCAGTTAACCCATCCTTTGCGTCAGGGTGTTTCTTCGGAAAGCTCTGATTCTTTGACCAATAAAGAACTCGACGAGCTTATGAACGAAGTGCAACTTGAATTTACTCCCTCGACAATCCATCTTGGTCGTGTTCTTTTAGCTGATACGCCTATCAAGCTGGGCCTTCAACTCAAGAAAGTAGACCATCTTACAGTGCGAGTTTACCCTATCAATCTTTTCAACTACTGGCGGATCCGTCCCAACAAGAGAGTACTTTCAATAAACAAAGAAGAGAGCGCAAGATTGGACGGCCTGTGCCCATTGTGGGAAGAAACCATTGACTTTACCAAAAAAACTGCTCTCTGTACCTGGAAAGAATCTTTTATTTTTGGAAAAGATCACTTGGCCTCTGACTGTGTCCAAGGACGTGGTGCATGGATAATCGATTTTGTTGGAGGAAATATGCAATGCCGTGCCATGATTCAAAGAGTAATAGAAAAAAAAACATCACACTAATATTATTGAGCTTAGCGTAATAACTAAAGAATCGCATGGAATTAGGGACATTTGCGTCACTTGGTCCAAGAGATTTCAGCTGGACATTTGATTCAGATAATTGACGAGAATAATATTCCTTTGGGTCAAGATGGCAGGGTCTGGTACGCTGATTCGTACTATGAGGTAACGAAGAAATCCAAAGTAGAAAAGAAGAAAAGATGTATTTTTTATTTACTTGTTTTATAGCCTGATGCAAATGGAAACATTTTAATCCCTTATCGTGCCGACGAGACCAAGGATACAGAAATACTTCTGCTGTCAAGTGACGGGTTCTGTGAACCAGTCGCTTTTACACACAAAACAGAGACTTATGAGCTGGCTGCAGAATTTTACGTCAACCCTGAAAGTGTTCTTACAAATAAACAGGCGAAAGTAGTTGTAGTCCCACGCTTGAATATTCACAAACAGCCTGCAAATTTGGATTTGCTTGAAAATGTGACATTGACTGTGACATCCACTTCCGTAAACGGTGTCAAGAGCTCTACCGCATCACAGTATTCTTCTCTTGCGAACAATAATTCGTTTGATTATGAATTCAACGTTCCTGACCTCCGTAAGTAGCATGAACTATAAGGTAGAATCTGGGTTATTAATTCTTTAAAACAGTGGATGATATCGAGCTGAAACTGACTGCCAAAGTCAAATCCACCTCCCATCAAATTGATGGACAGGAAATTGAAGTCAGCAAGGTCCTCGAAATGAGAATTGAAGACAATCCTCTTTCAAAGCCTTATCTCCGTATAAATCAAAATAACGAATACTACATTTGTGTACTTGGAAAGAACGGTAGAGTCGCAAAAAGTATATATTTAACTTTGTTCTCATAAAATCAACGATGCCTTTTCTTAGGAGAAATTCATAAAAATAAGGAATACGTTGTCAAATTGAACCACAGTATGATAAGAAATCCCATTGTTACAAATATGCAAACGGATGAACATGGCTTGATTCATCTCGGGCGGCTTCGAGATATTCACTCAATTGACGTCAGCTCACCAGAGCTCACTTCAATCCATTGGGATCTTTTGGAAAAATCGGATGCAGTTCTTCCTACAACTCTCAACGGAACCGCAAACACTCCTTTGAAAATCCCGTTTTCTGAGGGAGCAAACCGCATGTGCTCTATTTACCAAACTGGTAATTCAAGGTAAATTGCATAAGACACAAACACACACACATATATATATACTTATTTTCCTTCTGGCCATTTATTTTATAGACAAATACTTCACGACTTTACCGATCAGCTTTCTTATGAAAATGGCTATTTAAAGATTACCGGTCTTCCAGAGGGCTGCTTTATCCTCTACCTTCATTTACCCCAAAAAACAACGCACAAAATTACCATTTGGATCTTTAATAGCCAGGTTTCTACTGCTTTAGCCGAGTGCGGCAGCCATTGGTCAAGCTGGATCCTTGGTTATAGCTTTTACGCAACGAATAGTCGATGGTTCACCCATTCTCCTCTGGTTATTTCCGACACCACTGTAATGGATCAGTCTATAGTAGTGAGCTTAAACGGCTGGTCCAAAGGGAAAACATATGCGCTTGTGACGACGACAGCCTTTATTGAGTCAAATAAAAGCTTGACCAAGAGCCTTATGACTCTTCCCACGACCGATCCTAAAAGATATGACAGTTCCCTCGATACTCGTGCTGTTTTTAGTGCAGGACAGAAGCTGAGCGATGAGTATCAATATATACTGAAAAGAGCGAGAACTGATAAATGGGTTGGAAGCTCTTTGGTAAAGCCTTCCCTGTTACTTTATCCAAAGGTAAGGTTTAATAGGCTTTTTTTTAGAATGCTGCTGTTAATAATAATTGTGCTATCATTATTACTATTATTATTATTATTATTTTAAAAAAAAACTTAGGTTTCTGCTTCAGCTACATCAGAATATTGTACTATAGTAGAAAAGCCTGGTATTGCTGTCGAAGGAGTCGGACGGAGTAAAAAAAAGTGCAGTTATTCTGCGATGCGCAAGAATCTATATAAAACCAATCGCCGTGCCACAGACTATGGTATGGGTATAGTTATTTTTTCTTTCTTTTCTCTAACATTGAGATATTACTGCAGGATTCCTTGACCATCGTTATTCAATCCTTTGCGTTGAACCCAATGAAAACGGAAAACTTGTCATTGATCGCGCTCACCTTGGGGACGGAAATATTCTTCAGTTGGCTGTAATTTCAGGCGAACAAGTTGTTACCGCTGAAATGGTACTGGATAATACAACCACTGAATTACGTTTGAAGAATCGGTGTCAGACAATTGATGAGTCAAACTCTGACCAAGCATATGTACGAAAGAAGGCTGTATCAATTCTGCGCCCAGAGAATCTTAATTCTGCTCTTCAAGGCGATCAAGCAGCATATGGGTCTCTGCAACTTGATGGCGGAGAACAAGAATTTGAGGTTGTAGACAGCTTTGAAAAGTTGTTCAATATATTTAAAGCACTCTCCAGTGCAGAAATCAACACTAGTCTTGACAATTTCAAGTTTCTGCTCACTTGGCCATCTCTTTCTCTAAAGAGAAAATTGGATATTTATAATACAAACGCTTGTCATGAACTCAACTTGTGGCTAAAGCATAAAGACGTATTATTCTTTGAACATAACGTTAAGCCGTTTATCAAGGTAAAGATCTTTAGTAGTTACTATACACTCCCAAGTTATACTCACTCTCGTATAACCTTTTCTTTACAGAGCAAGGTTACAAAATCGTTTATGGATTTGTACTTGGCTGATGAATCTTTAAATGAATATGCAGACAATCTTTATTTGTACAACAGCTTGAATGTGGTCGAGAAGGCGTTGCTGGCCAAGCGCGTACCTGGTCATCTTAAGTCTATCATTCGTTCCTTTGAGGACGCGCCTACAGCCGCCAATGAAGCGTTTGAAGATATAGGATTCGATACAGTCATGTCTAGTAACGTACTTAACCAGAAAACAGGTAATAAAGATTATACTCAAAATTCGAATGTTATAAGTCCTCGAATTACCTCCTGATACTTAAATTCAGCCATTTGTTATTCTCCAACTTCTCCAAATTATTCTCCCACTTCTCCGGGGTATTCACCTACTTCTCCGGAATACTCCTCTACTGCACCTACTTATTCAACCAACTTACGATCTAATATGCAATGCCAAGGTCAAGCACAGGTCCAGGCACATGCCCAAGCCCAAGCTCAAGCCCAAGCTCAAGCTCAAGCCCAAGCTCAAGCCCAAGCTCAAGCTCAAGCCCAAGCTCAAGCTCAGGGAAGCTCGATAAATTCTTTCTTTCAGTCAACTCTACCTAGACCGGCTGCATTTGGCTTCGGTTCGCAAGCGGGTACAGGATTGGGTAGAGGTGGTGCAGGATTGGGTAAAGGTGGTGCAAAGCGACATCGTAAGATTTTTCAGGAAAACGGTTCTGAAGATGATGAAGATATTGAGGATGATGAAGACCTTGAAGAGGACTATGTGTACCCTGAAAACCCTTTTGTCGATGAATACACACGTAATGTCATGTGCTTAATTACCATCTGTATAAATAAGCCAGCTAACTGTTTGCTCCTTTTAAAAAACAGCTGAAGATCATATTATGGATGACGATGATCAAGTCCAAGATGATAAAAGAAAGTCAGATGAAGATGCACTGCGTGCTAGATCTACTAAACAGCAGATCAAGGTGCCCTATTCATTTGTCAAGCCAACAAATGAATGGGTAGAAAAGGGTTATTACAATGGTCCTCCAAATCTTGATCAATTTAGTAACTCATTCTGGGCGGATTATATCAAGTCTGAAAGCCCTGTATTCTTGTCTAAAGTAAGTGTGATGGTAATGAGTTGTATTGTTTATTCATCTCAAAACTAAAAACTTTGCTTTATAGAAATTTTTGGTTGCTACCAATAACTTCACAGAAGTTGTGGCTGCGTTATCTGTAATGAACTTGCCTTATGCTGTGGATTCTGAGTGGAAATGCAAGAGTGATTCGAACAGTGATGCCCTTTCTATTGTATCTACAAAGCCCTGTTTAGTTTTTCATCGTACATTGAAGGTAAGCTATACTTATACACACACACACACATATATATATATATATGTGTGTGTGTGTGTGTGCGTGGGCGTTTTTATGAGGAATTTAAACGTATTAATACAACCTAAAGGTAACAAATAGTGTTGAGCCTACCAATCCAATTGTTCTGCTTGGTCAGGGCCTGTTTAGCAGATCAGCTCAGCCTAGTTCCCAAGATGTTACTATGATTGATCCAACTGATTTGAAAACTGCTACAGAATATGGCTGGCATCTTGTTGTAAGCAGTAAGTACAAAAGCCCGTCTAGTTGGTAGCAGATTAAAAAAAAAGGAAAGAGAGGAAAAAACAGAATAATAACTTTTTTTTAAATGTTTCAGACATTTCTTCCAAGCCATGTATATGTGAGGCCACCTTGCAGATTCCTTCTGGAGCTGTACCTACTACCGGAACTCCTTACTGTCAATCAAAAACGATTGTTTTACGCCCTTATTCTACATGGGAAAATGTCGTCGGTAGTTTCTACTTCCCGCACACCGGAAACTTTACGCAATTACCTATTACTATTACTGATAGCTCGAAATTGTTGAAAAAAAGTCAAGCAATAAACCTCTCAGTATCAGAGCCCGGCCTTTTGACCGACCAAAAAATAGAAACCTCGACTATTCCTTGGTCAGTTGTAGCCAGCAAAATGAAAAATGAAGATGTATTGGATTACTTGTCCCAGTACAAAAAGCTTGACGAACTTAATTTTGGTCTGATTACTTGGCGTATGTCCAACAAGGCATTTGCTCGCAAGGTGTTTGACGTTTTGGGTGGCGAGAGACGTTACCATACCAGTATACTGTGGCAATATGGTCTTACCCATGGATTTGTGGACATTATCAGACAGCTCATTCAAATACAACCTAACCAAGGCATCATTCCATACATTGGAAAATCATTCATTTCTCCGCTTTTGAGCACCAATGCCCAAGAGAAAGATACTCTAAATGTTCTCGACTATTACCCAATTATCAACGCACGAGGTAAAGAAAAAGAAAAGGAGTGTTTTTGTGTTTGTGTGATTAGTTGAAAACAATAAATAATAATAATAAAAGCGGTCTGACTAAACTTCATGTCATAAAATATTTGCAGCCCATCGTCTTGGAACAAAAGCGGAAATCCTGAATACACGATTCTCGTCACAATACACTCTTTTTCTTGACTACTTGTGCGACAAATCCGCTCCAAGTACTTCTGATCTTTTAGTTCTTGGTGTGTACTTGCTGTTACAGGACCGTATAGGAGAGGCTCATAATGTCTACAGCCGCATCTTGCAAGAACGTCTCGAAAAAACGGACAGCTCGGGTGCTGCTACATCTGAACCTAATGTACAGCTAGATTATCTTGGTGCTTATCTGCAGACACGTTTGCTGGAAAGACAGGTGTCTCAAAACCCGGAATCTGTTGATTTGAATGGAGTTCGTAACATTGCCCGAAAATATCGCACCTGTGGAAATCTGCGTTGGCGTGCACTCTTTTCCAGTTTGGAAGATTTTGTGGATGAAGTGGACGGCATGACAAGTAGCGAGGATTACACAGGTTCGAGCATTACATCCGAACGCCGGCAAGAACGAGCCCTACACACTGAGCCTCTTCTGGACATGGAAGTGAATGAAAAGGATGGTTTGGTGGTTCATTATGCCAATATAACAGACATACAAGTCAACTATTACAAAACCAATGTTGAGGTTGTGTTCTCTGGAAGTCGATTTGTGGCAAATAACACCAAGCAATCGGGGCACCAACAAGGGTCGGGTAATTCATTGGAATACGGATGGGTTAAACCTAATTACACCGAGAACTATACGTTGGATGATACTGATGAATATATTACGGAGGGAACACAAATTGACGAAGACTTTGACATGATTGGCATCAACCGAATCAAGATGAAGACAAAGATAATTCACCTTCCTCAACATCTGATTCGTACGAACGTTATCGTAGAAGTTACTGGAAACGGATTGCGCCGTAGCCAGACCTTCTTTGCCCATCAATTGACCGTTCATATTGCCGAGTCAGTTGGTATTGTTCGGGTAGCCCAAAAGCAAACCAAGCGACCATTGGCAGGTGTTTATGTCAAGGTTTATTGTCGCTATAAAGGGAAAAAGGGAGCTGAATTCTGGAAAGACGGCTACACTGGATTGAACGGTGCGTTCGACTACGTTAGTGTGACAGAAGGAAATGCATTGGTTGGAAAGGATCGATTTTCGTCTGACCAAAAGTCGCTTTCTGATGTGATAAAGGATATTGCTGGCTTTAGCATATTGTTCTTAAGTGAACAAGATGGTGCTGTGGTAAAGGAAGCTTATCCTCCCTCTTAACAGTAACAATGCTAAACTAGTAGCTTTGCTTTTCCAACATATCACCAATTAAGCTTATAAATAAAATATGTGTTTAAATGTATCATAATTTTCGTGTTTTTTTGTTTCTATTTTATGCTGCATTTTAAGCTATAAATTATTAGGTGAACTTAAAACTGAGATCCCATAATTTATCAGTTGCTTCCCCCACTCTTAATAAATGATAGATACTTAGGAGTGGATTATCGATTATAATCTTTAGAATATGGCTTTACCTAGCTGTTAACAGCCGGTTTTTATTTTCATCTATAGATAACATTGCTATTGTTATAAAAATGGATAGAATCTTAAAGAGCAATACCGACACGTAGGTTACTTGTAAGAAGCAATGTACGTTCGTTGCGGCACTATTGTGAAAAAGGACATTCGAGTTCTATAGTGTCTACAGCTGGGTTAATAGCTAGCAATGGTCTTTTATTATTAATGAAAATGTGGTAAAAAGATATAATAAGCTACTTCAAAAGGATGCGTTCTCAAGACAGTAGTTATATGAGGTTAGTTTTGTTTTGACGAATTACAATAGTAGTTTAAAAGGTTTGCTTACTTATTTTCGATAAAATAAAATTAAAAATTGAAATCAGAAAATGGAATGAATATATTAAATAATTGCTCAATCTACCTGTTAGGGTGTATTAAAAAGGTATATCAGTAACATACTAATTATGATTAATATGATGATGGGGGGGGTGGGGGGGGGGGGGCACCGGAACGGTAACAGAAGAGCCTCATTATTTTTTGCGGCCATCACATTGAAAGCGCTTTCTTTGCACTGCAATACTGTATTTAATTTGAGTAAAAGTAGAAAAGTAAAAAGGTGACTCGCCTTCTATTTTTGGATGTACCTGCTGGCTGAATTCAGACACAGATTAACAGAGTAAGCTTCTTCCTGCAAGAAGGAAAGCAGCAAGTGACAGCACCATGGATGGCCCATCGGACCAAAGAATTCCAATGCTCTACAATCTTTCGTCAGGAACCCAACACCTACTAACCATTGAGAATTTTAAGGCAAGGATTTCATCTACTCAAAACAAGATGAATAAAAAGAAAAGGCAATCCAGTCTTGTGACGTCTTTGAACATTCCAGAACTTCAAAAACTTATTCGAACGTGATGACGCTGGATTTATATAGGGTAATGTCTCAACCAACGCATTTATTGAATTGATATCCCAGGGAATCATCGATGACTTGGATGAAAAAGAACAAAAAGGTAATCTACTCGTGCACAGAAACGAAAAAAAAACACTGTTGGTAGTGTATCCCTTACTTTAATGAGCACTAAACACACATACATGTAAATACACAATTACTTTCTTTTAAATATATATTTATATAAATATTGTAATCAGCTGCATTTGACCCTAAACCTTTTATTCGAACATTCGAAAATGTCTTGGATGAGCTCAGTGTATTACGCACTCATGTACAAGAACAATGCGATGAACTGGAGTCCAGTGTTCAAGTGGCTGAACTACAATATAGAAAAAGTGTGGTTGACTTGCATGGATCATTCGATGTAAGACTATAAAATTGAATGGATAATATAAAGGAGAAAGAAGGATATATATATTATGTATTTCTGTATTGTGCTTAATAGATAAATATATATATTAGGAAGTATATCGTTCATATGATAATCTAGAAAGTCGAATCGGAGAAGTTGGAAAAACTGCTATTCGGATAGGAGAGCAATTAGAGAGTATTGACAAGCAACGTTCAAGAGCATCAGAAAGTCGTGATATTATTGAATATTATATGGAATTCCAAGAAGATAGCTCCGAGAGATTAGATTCGCTCAGATATCATGGTGGAGATGAAGGCCAGGTTAAGGTAGAGAAAATTCAAGTAACTGGTAAACTAGTTAATAATTAACTGTCATACAAGGCTGCTATAATTGCCAGAAGATTGAGTGCAGTAGCTAAAGAAGTCGATGCCAATGACGAGGTAAGAATGTATAGATAAAGTGTGTGCGTGTGTTTAGATATTGGATATTTAATGAATTGGATATATATATATATATATAGGCAAAAGCTTCTATTGAAAAGTTTTGTGAGAGTTTCGAAAAAGAAATACTCGAGGAATTCGACATGGCTTACAAAGATGGCGACCCGCGAATTATGGGGGTAAGGATGATATTGATTATACTGTATATATTTAATGATTAGAATTCTAATACATGTATCTATATATATCTATAAATTACTTAGCATTGTGCCAAAGTGCTGTTTGAATTCAATGGGGGAGCTTCTTGTATTCAAACCTATGTTAATCAGCACGAATTCTTTATGTCAAATATGAAAATCGAAGAAATGGAAGAGCTCCGTTATTCAGAAGAGTGAGAATTTCTGGTGTCTATAGAATTCGCAATGTTCGTTGCTAATTATTTTTCTATTGCACTCCCCCTTATCCGTAGTCATTCTACTTTGTCTGATCCCAATGTTCCACCCCCGGAAGTAGACACAAGTCTCGTCAAGCTCTATGATGATATTCGAATCACTGTACGCAGAGAAGCTGAGATCATCTCAAATGTATTCCCACAGCCTGCTACTGTCATGCAAGTATTCCTACAGAGAATATTTGAGCAATCGGTAAACACTAAATAATAATAATACATGAGTGCATTATGTCAAAAAAAAATCCCTAATTTTCTTTTTAACGCAGATTCAAGATCATGTTGAACGCCTTCTTATGAAAGCCGAAAGAATGTCAAATTTAGCTTATCTTCGTATGCTTGCATCAACGCATGCCGAAACAAAGCGCTTGATAGAAAATTTGAAGTTCTACTGTGATAAAGAAGCTTCGTTTGTCAATTCTGTTGACGCAAATGGTCTAGTAGCTTCGATATCCTTAGACCAGACATTAGATCGGTGTATGGCCGACTTGTTCGTTCCATACACTGAAGGAGAACGGTACCTGACACGCGAAAGATTGACACTGAACGAGTTGTTTGGAAGTATTGTTGCTGAATTCTTAAGTTACATGGTGAGTCCGCGACAAACGTTTTGTACTATGTTAAAAAGAGTTCCTTGTGTCTCAACGTTCCTGTTCTTTTTTTTTGTAGCAACAACGCAAAAAGACATCACTTCGAAACCAGTCAGTCCTAACTCGCACACTCAACCAAATCTCCGCTTCCACTTCTAGTGGGCTTTCGCCAATACCACCAGTGCCCATGGGAAGTGACATAAATGGATCAGCCTCCCCCACAAATCCTTTTGAGCGTAGTTCGGAACCAAGAAGAGCTATTTCTAACCTTGTCAAGGTGGATGACAATGGCTTTTGCTTGATTTCAAATGAGACCATCTTGCGTGCCCTCAGTATTCACGCTGAGGCTATTGTTCGGTGTGTTGAGCTTTCGGACACGCAAGACTTGTAAGTTGTTATTGGTAGAGTAGTATATATTTATCTATTTACTTTGTGTTTTCGTGTGTGTTTGTGTAGGCCTTCTTCTATCAAAAAATTATATGGGCTGTTAGTAGATTTCATGGATGTAAAATACCTCGATATTGTGTTGGACGAGTAAGTTGAATATGAATTCTGTTTGGAATATTCCATTTGTCTGACCTACTTAATGCTAGTGTTATTGAGGAGTTGGGAAATACAAAGGTTGAGCCAGAAATGACTTGTTTCCCAGTGATTAAAACAACTACCCACATGATACAACTTTTGCAAGAGCATTTCCAGACTGCAGTGGTAAGTATATATATAGATATTAAAAGAAATAAGTTAATTAAATACTACTATTGGTGTTATTTAGGTGCCCTTGGTTGCTTGTTCTCCAGCTGTACATAAAGAGATTCTTATAAACAAGAATTCATTTATGTCTCTTTTGGAGCATAAAGTAAACACACTTCTTCAAAAGATCATTGACAGTAAGGAAATTCTTGGATTTTTATTTATATATTTATTTATTTTCTTAAAAAAAAACTAAATGCAAATGATATTAGGTGCATCTTTTTGGTTGGGTGAAATTCTTGCTAGACAAAAGAAGAATGACTTTAGACCAAAAGATGAGGAGGTGGTGATGATGAGCATGGGTACTTTGGTAAGAGGAAATGCTGGAAACATGTGAACAAAAGAAAATTAGGAATTGAGGTATTTATTTGATTTGCTTTCCGTTTTAAGCCTTGTCTCCAATCTGTGGAGTTCATCACTCGAATTTACAAGGCCTCATGTAAGACCCTTCAAGGAAAGAACCTCGAGATGTTTTTGATGATTATCGGAAATGGGTTCCACGCGTAAGTAATTTTTATTTACTTTAAAATAACTTGTTATAAAGAAGTACTATCTAATACTGTCATTTACTCTTTCTTTTAAAAAAAAGCCAATTGCTGGATCACTTCAAAAAATATTTTGTGACACCAACGGGTGGGCTCTTGGTTACAAAGTAAGCTTTTTTTTTATTAGAATAAATAAGTCTAAGAAAGATGGTTGGATTTGGGTTTTTTTACACAAGGAACATTTGTGCTTCTGTAGAGACATTGCAAAATACCAAGAGGTCATTCGAATGTTCAAGATCCCCTCTTTGGATGACCGATTTGAGGTGCTCCGACAGATAGGAAACATGTTCTTGGTTAAACCAGAGATTTTGCGCTCTATTCTGTCAGAGGGTTACCTTGCTCGCCTTGACCCGAGCGCACTGTATCCATATCTCGAAAAGAGAGTTGACTTCAAGAGTGCCAAATTGGATCGCTTGCTTGGCATATCTGTGGATGAAAACGGGGCTGTCACAAAGGCAACTGGAGACACAGGTGGAAAGACACAGAGAAGATCTCTGTTTGTTAGTGACAATGTGGTATTGAAAGAGATGATGAAGAACTACAACAACAACCGTGAGTTCTTGTCAGCATTCAACCTAGCCTAAATAATGATTATATTTATATATAAATCATCTATTTTTCTTTGTTTCTTTCGAGAATTTTTCATTTGTACTTTTACAAATCGAATAATCAAAACATATACAAATATATATATATATATATATATATTAATGAAGATAATATATAAATATTGAATTTAATTAGATTTGGTGTAAATATTATTACTTTAATATAAAAAGAAAAACTACTAGTTAAATAAAGCCTAGACTATATTATATAAATGAACCTCCATACATATATATATATATATATATATATTACCGGTGGTTTTTTTTATTTGGTTTTTATTTATTTCTTATTTGTTTTTGGTATTTTGAGGTCGGTACCTTGCGATAAGAATTTATCATAAATATTTTGTGCACAACAATCTTTCTATATTCTAAGCCATTTTAGGTAAGAGTTATTGAAGATATCCTTGTTTAATCCTAAACGCCCGTGATAAGCCTCTAAATTGTAGGAAATGATCGCCTTAGCTACTAAATATAAAAATTATTATATATATTTATTTATTATGGCCTATTAACAGTTTCAGCTTAGCACTATTGAATGTATCAATAATTTTTGGATTCAACAACGCACGTCAATTTGCGGGTCTTAAAATAAAATATCGGGATTTACATTTTAAAGCGGATTTAAAATATCCAAAGAGCGGCTTTGTATATCTCAGGACTGTTTTTTTAACACCCCAATGTGCTTTTTCACAGTATCAATAAAGAATATATTTATATATCTTATTGAATTGCTAAATCAATTTAGCAATTATAAAAGATTAAGTACCTAAATCGAAAAAAGCATACCTCTGATGGAACTATCATAGTTTACTATTTAATTACTATTATTTTGCTTAGAGCAAATATATATAAAATCAATTGCACCCCTGAAATCAAAGGATGCTATTATATAGTAATAGATTATGTACCACATTTATTTTGCCAATACAATTGATACTACGGTAATGGAGAAAGGGTATGAGTGGGATTATCTTGTTCATTAGTTACCTGAGCTTAATCTGATTGACCAAATCTGGTCCATAGCTAAAACAAATGCGTTCTTTGTATATTTTTAATCTTCGTTTTAACTTTGTAGAAGCCAATCATTGGCATTGTGTTTATTGTATATAAAATATATTTATTACTTGATGAGGTCAATCAAATCGCAGAGGTCCAGGAACAACTTTAATTCCAGTCTAAAATAATTCATACTCTGTTTCTATAAACTTGTTCTATTTGATAAAAAGGTAGGAATGTACGACTGTAGGGCTAATAGATTGGGCATTCTGGCAATTCCCAAAATCTGGATTTTTGTCGGTCTTGGATTATTTAGCAATACAAATATTTCTCTTTTTTTTTCTCTTTTCTCTCTCACACTCTCACTCACTAGCAAGCGCACCTAAAGTCTTGGCATTCATGGATTTATATATAAAAATAAACAATGAAACAAATAAAGAAAGAAAGGAAGCAATCACCTTAAATAAGCTAGAGAGAAACTAAGTTTGTAGATTAATATATATAGAATATTACCTTGTATATATTGGTATTTTTTCTAGTAGATTTTACCTGGTAGGATCTAGGCTTTCCTGGATCGACGGTGTAAGCTTTCTAGCCAATAAGGCAATGCACTACATTAGCGGGGAAGAAATACACAAGAAAAGAAAAAAAGAAAAAAAAGATCGACGAGTACAGCTCAAGGAACGGAATTGGATTCTTAATTAGCATACAAACGGAATTTCTTTTTCACTTTTATTTAATAAGTCTAAAGACGAATCTTTTGAATAGAAAAGTCTCTTTCTCTTTCTCTTGCTCTTGCTCTCTCTTTTTCTACATTAGTCTCAACATACATATATACATACACACACATATATATTCATTAAAAACATAGAAATATGAGTATAAATGTGGCGCCTTCTATGCGTCTAAAGATATTCAACTATGGTGTATTATTCAGTTTTTTACTGATAATTTTTGCTTCTGTTGGCCAGTATGTCTCGAGTAAGTACAAGAGATACCATAAGAAAAGAAGTAAAATGTGTATTCTTATCTAAACCCCCACATTTTTCTTTCCACAAATAACAATAATAACAACAATAAATTAGATCCAGCCGATAAAACTAGGTGCGACACAATGTTTAACAAAGGGTGGTGGACCGACGATACTTTTCAAAAGTGGCAGCCTGCGGGTTGTATGTCACACGAATATACACCAAAAGAAATCTCTACATGTCTCAATCATTCACGAGTGCTCTACATTGGAGACTCTATCATGCGTGAGCAATACTACTCCATGGCAAAACTGTCCCGAGATTTCAAGATTACCGGCTCATTGCACATCGATCGGCACATGGTATTCGAAGAACTGGGCATGGTTTACGACTTTTGGTGGGACCCATATCTGAATTCAACTCGCACGATCGAACTTCTTGAAGGAAAGAGCAAAGAACAAAAACCTAGCTTGCTAGTCATGGGTTCAGGAACCTGGCACATGCGTCGCCTCAAGAAGAACTATTTTAAGGTGTGGAAGCCCACGATGGAACGTGTATTCAAAGCAGTTGAAAAACATCGCATTGCCGATACTGTCCTCCTCAGTCCCGTCGAGACACCAAAATATGACCTGCTCTGGCCACCTCGTTTCAAGACCATCACCGCACCAAAAATATCACAGATGAACGCATATCTTAAAAAGAGAGAAGCCGAACTTAAAACAAAAGTACCATTCAAAATTACGTATGTGTGGAACGAAATTGCGAGCACCTCAAACAACGCTACCATAGACGGTTTGCACTTTCTCCAGCCTGTCACTAAAGCCCAGGGTCTACTTGCTCTTAATTTCCGTTGCAACCAGGAGTTGCCAAAAACATTCCCTATGGACACCACTTGCTGCTACACTTATCCCAGTCCCCAGTGGTTCCAAACTGTATGGTTTTTGGTGCCTTTAGTCTGGGTTCCTTTTTGCTTTTTGGTGGCTAACTATGGTAAGAATTGATGGAGAACTTACGTACCAAAAAAAAACCAAAAACATAAAAACAACAACAAACCAAAATCACAAAAACATTAAGGTTGTAGAGGAAGATTCTAATTATGGAATGTTTGTCTGTTTTGATGTCATACCATAGAAAAGAGACAGGACCAGTTCTTTGTGAAGTATCTTGTGCCCTCGAACAATGTTCTGTATGCTTTACTCACGATGGGCCTGGGTGTTGGGTACATGTATCTCGGTGATCGGACACAACTGTTTGGAAAAATACACAAGGTATTTCAGCCTGTCGTCTTTAGTGGTCTTTTGCTCCTCTTGCTTGGCGTTGGATTGGTCACACTCCGGAAGAAAGAAAGCGGCGATCAAGGCTTCCTCAATCGCGCTCAGACAGACGAGTGGAAGGGCTGGATGCAGATTATCATCCTTGTGTACCATTTCCTAGGAGCATCGAGTGTATCTGGCATTTACAACCCAGTGCGAGTCTTGGTTGCCGCCTATTTGTTCCAGACAGGCTATGGCCACTTTTTCTTTTTTTACAAGAAAGGAGATTATAGCTTCGGGCGTGTTTTGAGCATAATGGTGCGACTCAATCTCTTGACCTTTGTCCTTCAGTACCTCATGAACACAAACTACCTCAGTTACTACTTCTCTCCGCTTGTGTCGTTCTGGTTCATAATCATTTGGGTAACGATGTACGTTGGAAACAAATGGAACAAGACTCCATCATTCTTGCTTGCCAAGATGTTTGGCATGGCTATGTTGACCACCCTGATTATCCACTACCCCGGCCTTCTCGAGTTTGCATTCAAATGTCTTGAATACACTTTTAATATCCAATGGAATCCCGTCGAGTGGCGCTTCAGACTTGCTCTCGATGCTTGGATTGTGTACGTCGGTATGTTGATCGCATACCTCAATATCAAGATTACGGAACAAAAACTCCCCTCCAAAGCCTATTGGTCTACCGCAAAAAATGCTTCCATTGTTGTTTCTTGTGTTGCCATGATCTGGTACTTTTGGTTTGAGCTCTCTCGGCCGAACAAATTCGTCTACAACACCTATCACCCCTACATTTCCTGGATCCCTGTGCTGGCATTCACCATCCTCCGTAACTGCACGCTCGGACTGCGGAACAGGAGCTCTAGATTCTTTGAGTTTATTGGAAAATGTTCTCTGGAGACATTCATCGGTCAATTTCACATGTGGCTCGCTGCAGATACCCAGGGTCTGTTGCTTATCCTGGCAAACCCAATGTGGGCCCATGGTCTGGGTTGGTGGGTAAACTTGGGCTTGTCAACTGTGTTGTTTGTGTTCGTGTCGTATCACTTGAGTCAGGCCACCGGAGAAATAACTCAATGGATCTGTTCGGGAGCCAACAAGAAGAACAAGAATAATACAAGTGGCCATATTCCGGTTGAATTGTCTACTGCCAGAGATACTACTACAAGTGGTTCGAATGCGGATGTTGAATACCAATCAGTTCCACTCCTTGCAGAAACCAAGCAAGATGAATTATCATTATCACCATCATTATCATCAGCATCACCACAGAGCAATAGTTCAAGTGATAGATTTTTGGGCAATGAAGGCAGCCGGTCTAATAACGTTGTTGTGAGCATGGACGACCAGCTATATTCCGACAAGCAATACAGTAACGACGACAGTGCAGAAGAAAGCTGGACATATGAATCAAATCGAACAAGCACCATGTCTAGAATGATGTCAAAGATTGGCCAGTTTATTGGAGATACTCGTTTCAAGACACTGATCTTCTTAATCTGTGTTGGCATTGCAAATAACTTTTGCTAAATTATAATTTATTCTTTTATTTTATTCATTTTTTATTCCTTTTCAAGTTTCCCTGCACATCCCCACCCATTTATTGAACCTTAACTTCTTCTTCTTTTGCCTTGTACCTTTCTTTCATCTTCTTTATATTCCTTACATTATTGATCGTCTTCCTATTTATCTCTCGCTCGCACACTCACAGACTTACATTCACACTCCCCCCTCTTTTTCAAAAGAAAAAAATACCACTTGCAAGTTCACTTTCTTATTTCTTTTTACTCATTTATTTATCTTTATAGAACAAAACATCCTATTCATTACTTCTACTATTACTATTGTTATTATATAAGCAAGATTTTTTGGATGAATAAATGAATAAAATATACATATTAAAATATACATACTAGACATACATAGTAGATATAAATATATAAGCATTTTCTTTTTTTGTGTGGGAAGTACAGTGTGGGGATAATAATTTCTCCGAATGTGCGGATTGGCTGGTATGCCGGATGCGCAACCACGGCTCCAAGCTCAAGTGGGCCTGAGAATCTGCTCCCCATCCCAGCCCCTCCTCTTTTCGAACACAGTCGATATGGTATGTATTAGCTACATATGCATTTTATCATGACAATGGATGGATCAGTAGAAAGGAAGAAGAAAAAAAGATAGACAATAGATTGATGGATTGATGGATTGATGGATGGCTTCGATTTTAATTTGGATACTACGTATATACACTACACTACACGCATACATACATATACATACATATACATATACATATACATATGCATATATACATATATACATACAATACTATATATTTTATATTTTATATATATATTAAAATAAAATAAAAAGAAATAGTAGTACATGATGGAATTCCATTCTCAATCTACATTCACACCGGGGCTAATAATTTGATCAATTTATGCATAAAAACAGCCTTCCAACAAGTCATTCAGAACAAAGGTCAAGCTCGGTAAGGCCCAGAAGCAGAACCGCCCTCTCCCTCACTGGTTCCGTCTCAAGACTGACACCAAGATTCGGTAAGTTCTACAATTGCGTAGAATTGGATTTGGATTATATTATACTACATTAGAATATTTTATTGCGAATGAGTCCCTTTCTTGGAAGAAGAAGGGACAGAAGAGTGGAGGGGAGTTTATACATGTGTGCTGGCTGTCTTGTTGTCTGTCTGTTTGGCTGTCTGGTAGATAATGTTATTAAACTATTGTATATTGCATATTGCATAATTATTATTATTATTAGCTGGAACGCCAAGCGTCGCAACTGGCGCCACACCAAGTTGGGTCTTTAAGTTTATTAAGATTAATGAAACCGCTACATCAATATTTGGTGTGTGTGCACATATATTTTTCTTGAAAATAAACCTACGACTGTAAAAAAAATGGAACAAACGAAACAATATAAATAAGGAAAGGGAATCAAAGTGTATACTGTGCAGTAGGGAACTGCTTATACATATATGAATGTATATTACTTAAAGATAGTATAATGATGGGATATGAAAATGAAAGAAAGAAAGAAAGAAAAAACGTGAATTGGTGCATAAACATATACCTTTTTTTCACATACCTCTATATCTTTGTGTATCCCTTTGTCCGTGCCTGTGTTTATGGTTATAATTGTGCGTGAATTTTCTGTATGATATTACATTACAATTAAATATACGCATTGCTCATAATAATCACCAACTTATTTGTGATATTTAACTCGTTTACTTTTATCTTTTTTACGTGTAAAAAAACCTATATCTCTTGTAAGAAAAAAAAAAGAAGCGCCCCCTCTTTTTTTTTGCTGCTAATGCTACTGCTAACAATGTTGATATTGGGGCGAAGGGCTCTGTCTGGTGATTATTCCAGGGGCTTAAGCACGCACAAACATTTAGGGCTTTGATATGCACTTGAGAAAGACCTGTCAAGAATACAAACTTCATTTCCAATATCTTTGTGATCAAAACACTTTAATCCCATAAGACCACCAACTAGTCTGAAGGCCCGCCTTTTAGACAAGAGCTATGAGAACTTGAGTCAATCCTTTTGAAAATTATGCATATCATCATCAAAGGAATCTGGCGTCTCCTGGTGGCATTGTCTATCGACCTAGACGCATATGTTAACTGTTTGTTCAATACCCTTAATCCATGGTATGCAAAATTAAATTAGGGGCATGATACGATGTTCATATAACAAGAAGATATTGCCAGCTATCAACACTTGAGAGGGACCTATATGTAGCGATGAAAAATCCCTGTTGGAGAAATACAGCGCTTTAACTACTAATTATTGCAGAGTTCAAATTCTGAACTCTTCTTACCACGTTTAGTCTGTTATTTATTGTAGCGATATGTCCAATAGAGTCCAAGAGGTGAGCAAAGCTCATGGCGTTTACACCATATCATTCGACTTTATTTTTTCTTTACAAATTTATAGAATAATGATCTGATGTATAGTTTATTAGGTATAAGAAATTAAGAAAGTTAATGCTGATTTCTGGTGGAAGTATAACACTTGGGTCTTGCCTTCTGGTTCGACGGTCTCGCCAATTTCTCGTCAATTTCTCTGATAATTCTAAATTATACCGTAAATTCTTAACCTTAATCTGGTGGAAACTGAAAAATTTGGACCAGTTTGGCTTGTTAATGGTTGCCCAATATTGCCTTAGTGTTATAAAACGTTTCCTTCTGAAGAAAAAAGCAATATTGCTCAAAAGTCTAAAAAAAAAGCTGATGTAGAATCGCTTGAGACAAGTTATTCGGCTAACACAGCAAGTAAGAATTTTTTACAATTAAATTATATTAATGGATAAAAGAAATCTCAACAACTGTTATAGCTTCTACGTAAAGACGATCGATTTTTAGATATATTGTGATTAATTTGTTATAAAAATCCAGTAGAAGGAATAGCAAAAGAATTTTCCCTCACTGAAAAGGACGTTTATGAAATTTTGATTGTATGTACTTCTGACTCGCCTTCCACAATGGACCGTCTAAATGACTGAATTGACACAGATTAGCACCTTTGGGTTACAAAGCAGAAGCGAGCCAAAAGAAAGAAGACCAGAGGAAGAATGCTTCATGTTGTAAAAGGAGAGTTCCACTGTAGTATAAATCGTATGAACGACTTGAAACAAAATGTAGGAATTAAATATTGCTTTAAATATAAACTTGACTGTGAAGTTTACTTGGAAAGACAATGCCTACGTAAAATAATTGAGACGCAAAATCCGTACAACGCAGGACAATGCGATTACCATAAAATATTACCAAAGCCTAAGACAAAGGAGAGCAAAAAAAAAACGACGAGTAAAAGCATTAATATTTCCTATAAATTTGTGCGACTTTTCCGCAAGTAACAAAAAGGTTCAGATGATAGTTTTAAACTATACATGGCTGTGCGCGAACCCAAATAAATCCAGAGGCTTTACCAGGTAAGTGGAAAAGTTAAAACTGTAATCTGGTTTTTTTGTAGTATATTGCCAATTTACTTTTGCAGGCACATCCATAACACGTTCTCATAACAATATGTTTTCCTTTATTCCCAATTATTCTACTTATACTATCTCTTCTATAACTCTATAAATCAAAATCTCCACTCTAGATATATGGCTTTAATATGACATCTATATCATTTTCTCTTCAATTTTATTTAAATTATTGTTAATACATTTTTGTATATTTTCCCTTATCAAAATAAACATCTATGTAATATGTACCAGTATCATCTCTCTCCTCAAAGAAACGTATAAAGAAAATAATAAACGCTCAAATCAATAAAATCATTAGTTACTTCTTTTTCTAAAAAATATTTTGCCTGGATTTTTAATTGTCTGAAACGCAGTTAACAATCATATACTGTACCCAAAAGATTGATAGCTCTGCCCTTTTTTCTCTACTATTGTATCTTTGGGTCCTCTTTTGCCTGTTTTTCTCTTAATCTTCCCTTTTTCTCGAGCTCGTTTCCTCGAATTACTCTATAGTAATTTACCTTCATATTATGTTCGCTCTTATTTGTTTCTTCTGACAAGTAATGTCATACATACAAACTCAAAACGCGTCAATGATAGGTAAATAATTCTTGCTTTTCTTCTTTGCCTAAATGCATTTTTGGGTTATGCCTTTTTATTTCATTTCAAGATACGGTAGGGCATAGAACGTATCACGTATAGGGAAATCTTGCCAATGACAACAATAATTCTTTACTTTAGCTTCGTGATTTTTGATTACATCTACAATATATCCCAGATAATGAATAAGAGCTAATGTATAAACGTCCCAGTGTTAAATAGATGATTTTTATTCTTGAAAACACATTAATACCATCCATAATGGAATGCTTTTTTCTTTGAAATATCCAAAATATTCAAGTGAATATATTCTTCTGTATAAATTTTAAAGATTAAAAAATTATACATGGTGACTGCTCCATTCTGGTACATTTTTTAATGTCAACAGCAAATCTTGCAAAGTTATAGAACCGTAAAACCCACAACTTGACATATAACTTGAGATTGAATATAAAAAACCCAAAAGACGGCAATCATATGATCCTTACTGGAGAACATAAACTTAAACGTGTGTGTGGCAAGACTCTGTCGAGCTCTTTGCACATTGTTCAACACTCTCTCCAAAGACTAAATCTCGTGCTGTTTCCACACTGAACTTCCTACTGCTAACCTTCGGGTTACGCTGTGACACGGAACAACGGTACTAATCGGCGAGAAAATTTTTTTTTTATAAAAACAAATAAATGAAAATTAACCTATTCACGAAGCATTCGATTTCTCTTGCAATTGTATACTTCTTTTCATAGCATAACTTGCGCACGAAGTTGATTGTGTGCTCGTGCGTTCGTAGGTTCGTAGTTATCGTATTTTTATTTTTGGGTTATAATAATAGAAATCCAATTATCGTAATGATTTGAGCCATATCTTCTCGGTAGTAGAGTTATCAAGTAAATTCAAAACTTTCATATAATTCGATTTATTCTAGAAGATTTGTGCCTGTATTTACTTTAATTTTAGCTGTTCAAGCGCCACTACAAATTCTGCCAAGTCTTAAAGATCTAAAAAACAAGTCACCAAATCATTTATGACTATATAGCCGGTCACAATTCCTGACAGGACTATTCACAAAACTCAAGGTTTAATTATTCGTCTTCACATTACTTCTTTTATATATATATCTTTATGATGCTGAACACATACAAGTCATATACAGAAAGAGCTGAACAGCACCCAAACGCATGTGCTCGCTCATTGTTTGAGCTTATGGAGCGTAAAAAGACTAACCTTTCTGTGGCTGTTGACGTGACTACTAAGAAGGAGCTTTTATCTATTGCTGATTCTGTCGGTCCCTACGTTTGCGTACTCAAGGTAGATTTCATAAATCATAATCCACCATGACCAATTTGTATCGCAATCTCAACTATTTGTGAAAGACACACATTGATATTGTTGAAGACTTCGACAAAGATCTCGTAGCCCAACTCGAGGCTTTGGCCAAGAAGCACGATTTTTTGATCTTCGAGGATCGCAAGTTTGCTGACATTGGCAAGTCTCACTCAACTTATCCAGAAGCTGTGTGAGAGATGTTAACATGGACAGCTGACCGTGATAGGTAATACCGTCAAACACCAATACGAAAAGGGTGTCTACAAAATTGCGTCTTGGTCTCACATTACCAACGCCCACACTGTTCCTGGTGAAGGTATCATCAAGGGATTGGGAGAAGTTGGTTTGCCTCTCGGCCGTGGTCTTCTATTGCTGGCCGAGATGTCTTCCAAAGGTGCCTTGACCAAGGGAAGCTACACTACTGAATCTGTTGAAATGGCACGCCGCAACAAAGACTTCGTGTTCGGATTTATTGCCCAACACAAGATGAACGAATATCCTGATGAGGACTTTGTTGTCATGACACCTGGTGTTGGTTTGGATATCAAGGGTGATGGTCTTGGGCAACAGTACCGCACTCCTCATGAAGTTATTGTTGAGAGTGGGTGTGATGTGATTATCGTGGGTCGTGGTATCTACGGTAAGCCAGATGAAGTGGAGGCACAGTCGAAGCGTTACCGCGAGGCAGGATGGAATGCATACCTTGAAAGAGTACGCATGCATAAAGCATAAAGCATAAAGTATAAAGTATAAATCCAAAAAATAAAATTAAAAATGAAAAGTAATGAATGGACAAATTGGGGAATACCCGGAGAATTTCTTTATTTTCTGAATGTAAAAAATCATAATGCGTCGAGAGGTCTTTATTATACACGATCGCTGCTCTCTTTATGTCTCGATCCATTCAGCAATATAAGAGAACGTTGTGAACTCTTGCTGCTCTACGCGTGTCATATTGGAGTTAATAGGTGTCAGTGCAGGACGTTCACGCGTGAACTCCTCATCGAAGTTAGACGTGTCAAGACGCCCAGTGATGGTGGGGTAGAAAGGTGGTGGTACACGTTTGTTAAGCATGTCGTCCCAGTTGACGGCCCTAAAGAAGGGATGGGCCTTGATATCAGCGGCATCGTTGGGTCCAGCACCCAATCGATTACCAGGATCACGTGTAAGGAGCTAGAGAAAAAAGTAAGTCTTGGTTGTCAAAGTATCACTTAAACTTACTCTCTGACAGATAGAAACAGAGTCTCGAGACATGTTGATAGGGTAAAGAATATCGTCTTCCAAGATTGCATCGAAGATTTCGTCTTCATCTTCACCACGGAAAGGCGACTAATTCAATGCATTTTACTATTAATACCAATATTCTAAAAGAGTTCTTTCTATTTTAAATAAGACTTACTTGACCGAGCAGCATCTCGTAGATGAACACACCAAAGGCCCACCAGTCAACAGCTCTGCCATATTTCTGCTCCAGTAAAATTTCAGGTGCCATGAACTCGGGTGTGCCGCAGAAAGTGCCTGTAGTCTGCTCGTACCACATGTTTTCCTTGCATAGACCATAATCGGCTACCTTGATGTGACCGTCCAGCCCAAGCATGATGTTGTCGAGCTTCAAATCACGGTAGACAATACCTTGACTATGGAAGTATTCAAGAGCCAAAAGTACTTCACATGCATAGAACCTATTTGATGCGTTAGAAATCAAATGTTTATACTCTATATGGTTACTTACTTTGCACGTCTCTCCGAGAAAGGTTCACGCTGGATATGCCACATCAAATCACCACCACTCACGTACTCCATAACAAAGTAAACGCGAGACTCAGTCTGGAAACACGAGTGAAGACCGATAAGGAAAGGATGGCGTTCACGGTTGGCAGCCTGGAAGATACGCTTCTCTGAACGAACACTACAAACAATAACCAGCTTAAGATAATTCTGCTCTTTTCTACATCTTTTCCATTGTTATTAATATTATTATTTAGTCATTACCTTTCAATTTCGTCATTGTCAATAATGAAACGCTTCTTCAACACCTTGATTGCATACAAGTTCTTGTCGTGCTTCTCCTCTGCAAGCATTACCTAGCGTGCAGAAAATTACACGGTTAATGATCGTGATGACAAAGAAAAAAAAAGCTTATTTACCTTGCCAAAGTTACCCTTGCCGAGAACAGCCAAGAAATTGAAATCGTCCAGACCAGCCTTGTGGGCTGCAGGCTTGACAGGCTTTGCTTGAGGCTATATAAGAGCAATAGGTAAGTTCTAAGTTCATTTCTAATTATGTGCACCCCTATACTTACTCTTGGTGCCATCTCTGTAGGATATTGTTGTTGAGGTCTGGCAGCAGGATTGACGATTGGTGCATAAGGATTCTGCTGAGGATGCTGGGGATGTTGGGGGTGTTGAGGATGCTGAGGGTACTGAAGATGCTGAGGTTGCTGAGGGGGTCTTTGATTAGCATAGTTGGGGTAACCCTGTCCATGTGTCATGGGGACGGGCTGTCCCGGGGAACTGGGCATGCTCATACGTGGAGGTGTCATTGCACCAGTTAGAAGAGGAGAACCAGGGCTAGAGGTATTAACAGGGCTCTCAGGTTCCGCTACAGGTAACTTCTGAGGTAATGTTGGAGGTGTTTCTACTGACAAGTGAGACAATTGTGTGCTCAATAAGTCAGGCTTAACAGAGTAATCGTCGTCAGCATGTTCAACAGGAGACACTTCTTCGTTGCTTTGGATACGATGGGGCTTGGCACTGGTAGCAGTCGAGGTTGAAGGGGTGATTGCACCATCGGTTGTTTTTCTTTTAGCCGCCTTGATTTCAGCTAACATCTGATTGGCCATTTCCATAGAAAGACCACAGAAGTCAGGCACAAGATGAGCGCACTTGTTGTGGCAAGTAATGTCACATTCTATTTTATCTGGTTAGCACCATCCAAAATCTATAGTAAACATCAGGTCACTTTACCAGAACATTTCTTGGCAACGCGGGAGCCAAATGGGAGCATATAGCCACAGTGGCAGCACCAACTGGCACCGATGTTTGTGAGGGGCTCGAATCGATGAGGAATTCTGTGGTTGAGCTTATCTTCGTCGTAGTCCTTAAAGTATTGCAAAGTTAGATGTAATAAATAAGATATTAAATATGAATAACTTACGGTTTCTGATACAGATCTTGAGATGCACTTAATAACAACTCGTCCGTAGCACTTCTTGTGACAGGTGTACTCGCAATCTAATCGTAGCAACATCAGCCACACTCCTCTTTTGTCTTGAAAAGTGTCTTGTTGTTATTGTTTTTCGGGAGTTTACCTTCACATTGGAATCCGCTGTTAACCAAGAAATCGCCACACAAGGCACATTTCATGATATTGTAGAACTTCTTCTCCACAAACTGATGACCGTTCATTTCATGAACCTCTTCCTTTCTCTGACGCACAGCACCAGCACGACCAAGCTTATCAAGAGGTCGACGGTTTCCAGCCTCACGTACTTTTTTTTAAAAAATTAATAAATAAATAAAAAGCACCCAAATTGCCCAAATTACCCAAATTAAAATAATTGTTCAACCACAAAAGGAAGTAATATAAACATACCAAAGTTCAGACGTAAGGCCATTTCTCCTTGAGGCTCGACATTAAACCAGGCCTCGATACCCTCTTGGCCAGACTGGGTTTCCTGGACTGGGGTAGCCTGGAGTTGAGGACTTGCCGGTCCCGAGTCATGGCCACTAATGTGTTGCTGTTGATGGAGTACATCTGCCTTGACCCAGCCGGGACCATTCTCCTGTTGAACCTTCTTCTTTCGAAGACCTTCAACAATATCGGTAATCTTGAGCCAAAAGATACCAATAGGCAAAATACGCTCGCCGGCCTGGTCGTACATGGCGATCTCAACCTCGGATGCCTTGTTCACATGTATTTCATACTCCTCAAGCCATCGATCACTACGAGAAGGTCTTGTGCGGTAAACAACATTTCCATCAATTTTGATGTGTACAACAGTATCTGGTATTTTAATCATGCTAGTGGGTGCGTGAGCCAATTCTCTGGCGCCTATAAGTTGCAACTGGAGTTTTCCGGTAACCGGGCGACGAAGATCAGGTGGGACGCGTGCCGAGGGGGCAGTTTCGAGTTCTTTTTATATGGCGTGAGTTATGCATATGGCTTGCATGTGCTTTGGCATGCATTTTCCTTACCATAGTCATCATCATCTCCTTCATCAATATACAGCTGCTTGTATTTCCGCAAAGCACGTTTAAGCAAACTCAGCTTTTCAATACTTTCTGTTAGTTGGCCCTGGACCTCCGCTCTTCTGCGCTTGTCGCTCAGAGAGGGTTCTCGGTCAAGGACTTCTGCCATGGTCTTGATTCCAGTCAGGACCTTCTTTTCCACATCCAGCTTGTATTCAAGCTCATGTAATTTTACCGACACCTTTGGCTTATTGTAAGGTGTGTCGGTCATAAGAAGGTCTATGAAGATTAAGTATTCGTAGTGTCATGAATGGGCTTGGATTGATGACTTACCGAGGTTTGTGTACTTCTTCTTTTCAACTTCGTCTTTCACAGGCATACTACTGGATCGTGGCAGCCGTATGCCTTGTACAGGGGATTGCGTCACTTCCCGGGTTGTAGGTTGTAGGTTTTCATGGGTATCATCGGACCTAGTCGAGGATTTGCTTGAGCGTGTTTCCAATCGATGAAGTTCCTCGGTGAAATAATCAATGAACTTTTGACACTGTGAGATTTCGGCTTCGCACTGAGCTATACCGTTGCGATCCCGGAGCAAGGATCGCATCTGTATGCCCTTATCCCGCATCATTCTGCTCTTCTCGATATCGGCCTTCAACTTGCGTATCTTCCCTTCTTGGTCCTAAGGAATAGATTGATGATGGGCTGATGTCCTTGTGCACATTCCTACCATGATGGCGGCTGATTCAACACAATATGAACAAGAGACGGGCTATTTCAAGGTATGTGTCAGTCTGAGATCATATCATTCGCCTTAAAGCCTACCTTTTGCACTAGGTAATCTAGAACAGTAGGAGAAGAGAAAGCAGAAATAAAGCTGTGCTTAGCAGGTAAGACAGAGTGTAGAAAAATGAAAATAACTTGTTGACTTCAAAATAGTGCGAGAGCCGTGGCACAAGCTTTCCCAGAATAAAAAAAAAGCGGGATTTCTCATTTCCTTTTTTTGTGTATTTATTAGTTTGACCGTCGCGTATAACACGCGACATTAGAGGAAGTAATAAAGGATGAAGGTTTACAGAGTTACTTTCTCTTTACATCAGCTTCTACTTTAGAAGGAAGGCTGGATACTTTCAGAGAAAGGTGGCGTTTGTTGAACACTTGGCGATAATGAAGAAAAAAGGTTATTGGGGAGGAGTTCCCAGCCCAAAGAAAGAGAGAGGGAGAGAGGGAGAAAGAAGCAGATGCTATCTCTATTGGAAGATTCACAGAAGAAATACTTAGCAAACAGAATGTTACTCTTTATTCTTATTCTGCGCATTTTTTTTCGTTTATAAGGACCTAACCACTCAACCTCACTGCCACATATATTATAAAAGTCAATTTGTTTTTGTAGTGGAAAGGCATATTTTGGACAGCGATCTCTTGTATAGCTAGTTTAATTATAAGACTAGCGTGGGTAGATATCACTATCAGGGCAGATATAGAATATGTGCTCAAGCTTGTGAAAAGAGCCTTAAGCAATCGATGTCATAGACCGGATGTTATAAATATTATCGTCATCCTCATTTTTAATAATATACTTTAACTAAAGTAAAGGCGTATCAGGGTGCCCATACATAGAATGCACTAGGTCATGCACCTAACCATCAAAGGAGGCTTTGAGACAAAAAATCGGCTACATACATATATTCATAACTATACATACATGATATATCAATATTTCTCTGTTATACGTTCAATACTTTGAGCAGAACATTTCCGTCAAGTAGACTATAATCGTTAAACTAGAAGAGTTCATATGTATATATATACTACCAATAAAAATCATTTTATTGATAAAATTAATAACACCTTTAACATTGGGCATCATTATGTACACAATTGTAAATATCACAACTTTACGAAATTTTGATCTAAAAACAAGTGTAATTGCAAAGCGAAATCAAACGGTGCCTATAAATTCTCGGAAGACAATTACAGCAGATGTTATACAAAACAGTATGAGGCTCAACAACCCAACACTAAATAGGGTTGGTGGAAATTTCAAGTTCATTACAAGCAAAAAGAAAAGGAAGGCCATTGCTTGTAACATTGATACGGGAGTTTTGTTTTTAGACAAGCTTATTTGATGGAAGGAAGGTCTTGCAAGAGTTGTGTCAATTAAGATTGCTATTAGGAGATATAGTCGACAGGATCGCTAGCAGCCAATTTTTTGGTTTTGAAGTTTATTCGTTTTTCATTTGGGCAGTATACTATTTTGGATACAGCCGCTTAAAGTTATATTTCAGAGGGTGAAACAAATATTTAATACTCTCCCTTATAAAAAAAAGTCGTTATTATGTTTAGTAGATCATGAAGTAGGTACAACTAGAGAAATAGCCCAAAATTCTCAAATACATACTAGCTTTATTTTTTTCAGTAATTCTCTGATGTAATGCTTGTTAATGAATCCTTCTATACTTCTAATAGAGAACGCCACAACTTGGATTTGGGCTTACTTTGAATTATCTAATGGTCTTCATTTATTGCCCGCACTATCTTATCTGCAAGACCTTCGATTTGTCAATAGTTCTTTTTCATAATATACTTGAAAGTACTTTTCTTTTTCTTATTTTCTTCTAGAACATATATAATATTATTTTCTTGAAAACAATTTAGCTGTAACGGTCAAACATTTGAGAAATACAATTTTTATTTATTATAGTTGAAGTGTTGTATTTTTGTAAATAAAGAGCCCATTAATGACCTTGAAAGTAGTTAACGCGGGGTTTCTAGAGTTATTTTCGTAGCAGATTTTCAATTGTGCCTAGCCACAGCTATTATATATATATATATATGTTTTATTTTATTGTTGGTTGTAAACCGTAAAGATCATTTGCTCGCTTGAATAATTCATTCTAATTCTATCCAACAGTTATTTATAATAGTAATTACTGTTAGAGAAATGGTAAGAGAGTAGACGTGTGCTGTGTTGTCCTGGAAACATCTGTGCTCAAACAGCACGTGGCTTATTTAGTGTTACAATTTCAAACATTTTATTCAATACAAGATATACTCTAAAGAAGTTTAGAGTCGGTATTGATGTGGGGACGACTAAAGGTGGATTCGGATTCCTTCTGTAGAGACGATCCAGTGCTTTCTGGCCAGGAAAGAGTCTCACTTGTCCTACGCGAGTTGAAAGCGTCTAGAGGCATATGAAGTAGGCTTTCATCTAATCGCATTCTTGAACGTGGCTCTTGTAACATGTGAATTGTGTCCTGTGCCTGACCTAACATACTTGTGTATTCTTTTATCCGCTCTTCGACATCGTATATACTACCCTTATGTTTCTTCTGACCCTTCTCTATTAAACTCAGTCTTCCTCGAAGCTGGTTATTTTCATAGGCCACCTAAACCATAATCATAAACACACACAAGCTATCTCAATACTTCACTTTCCTTACCGTAGCAAGATCAGAATACATCGATTTTATGGCCTGTGTTGCATGCACATCTTCCTCTTTTTGGGATTCCAAAGCATTTTCTAAAAGGATCTGCAAGTTGACATTCACTTCCTGCGTTGCTGTCAGATCCTGCTCAATTTCTACTGGAAATATAATCAACAAATATTAATTAAATAGACCTACACTATTTCTATTAACAAAAAAATACCAAGGCCAATGCTTCCTTACAAATTCTATTATTGGATCGGTTCTAAGGATGACTCGGTCAGAAATTTTGTCCAAATTCAACAAAAGACTCACAATATCAAAGGTCATACTGTCTATTTCTTTTGCCAGGCCGTTCATTTCATTGCGAAATTGCTTCATGTCGTCCCTGGTTTTTTGCATATCTCGGAGGAAATCAAGTCGATCTTGTGGATCTGCTTTGGTATTCTTCTCTCGAATTGTTCGAAGTGGTGTTGATTGTGATCCAGTGGGCTATGTTGTTGCAAATGTATGATATAGCTTGATTTGGATTTCAATTGACCTTTGCAGCACTTACTCTTTGCTTTCCAAAGTAAGCTCTTGAGGGTTGGGCTCCATGTACTTGACGGCCGTATTCTCCGACGGAACACAATGTAATATGAGGATAACCATTTGTATCCCTTTTTGGGGTTTCTACTATCTTCCTTCAATATCAAGTTATCCTTAAAGTTGATCTACCTTTTGTAAATTGTATACATGGCGGGGTACTGTGTGACGATTCAGGGTAACCCAACGATAGCTGAGCGAAAGAATGATGAATGTCAGCGGATGCGGTTAATGGAGACTTACCTGACCAGTCTTCTCCGGATTCATTTATGAATGCATGAAAACCAACAGCCACAGTAATGGTCAACACAAACGACGTCTTCAGAGCTAGAGGAGAGAATTGAGAGAATGACTAGTAAGAAAGGTATCAATAAGCCACCAACTCTGGTTGATAAAAAAAACCCACAGTTATCTTTTCAGGACCAGAAGCGGGAAGAAGTTGACTTGAGAACGCGGAAGAATAAAAAGGCTGTATATTCCTTTTTTGGACCGGCATTGTTCGTTTGTGGAGTGCCCAAAGACCAGTAAAAAAAACATATAGTATCCTGTGACAGCGTAGTGACGTACAACCAATGGCTCTCACCTATCTCGTACCACATGGTTGACTCGACTCTTTTGATCTCTTGGATTTGACATGCTTTTACACATTTCAAAAGGTCGGCTTTGATATATTCCAACCTTTAGTATGGGTATATCTGTATGTATGTATGTATGTATGTATGTACAGGAGATGTATTTTCTTTATAAAAATAAATAAGGAAATCTCCTGCTTACCTAATCCTTGAGATAAAGCTCTCCTGGTGTGGTTTATATTAAGGGAGATGTAGTTGAAATAAGTATCCTAACGATCAATTGATAAAGTTACATTCTTTCAAAAAAAAAAGCTATTTAATGCTACAGTATCTTGGCTAGCATTTGATTTGCCTTGATTTATCAACCACCGTTTAATGACCACTTTTCTGGTGATTTTCATAATTTTTTTTCTCTGAAAAATAAAACATTAATTCTTTAGACTGATTCTTTCTTAAAAGTAGAAAATAGTTCACGCAGTTCCTAGTACTTACGCTTGTATTGTAGAAAACAATGGTTTTGTTTGAGCAGGGATCTCAAGTACCCTGCGCTTGTGTTCGATTTAGACTTGGAAACATATCTATCATAAATACAATTTCGTTTCATATTATTCCGGGATCCCTGTAAAGTATTTGTATTCTTATAAAAGATAAACTTGATTATTAAGTACATCTCATGTTTGCTAAATTACCTTGGGATAATATCACTTTTTTCCCTAATACCAAGTCAAATGATACGTAAACAACACATGCCTTCACTGTGAAAATAAATTGTATTAAACTATAGCTGTATATGATATGACAATACAAGTAAATGCAAAATTTCAATAGGGGTTACTGGCCATTTTGTTTTGTTTTGTTTTCATGTTTGAAACAAAATGTTGGGGAGAATAAAATACAAATAAACACATATTATCTTTTCAAAAAGATGTTTTCCCAAAGAGCCCTGAATTTTATTATGGTTTTCTCCAATACCAAGTGACAGAGTCAGGCGAACTTTATAATTGATGGCAGTATTTTAGAGATAAAAATATTATATGTATATTAATGGAAGCACGAAAATTAGAAACAAATATCCGAAGGTTCCTAACAACTTTTGGGTAATAAATACAGGGTCCTGCCTTAAAATGGGGCGTTGTAGTCCATTGTTTAACGCTATATTAAAAAGGAGAAGCTTTCGAAGATGTTTGAAAGCTTTTTTCTTAGGTTTTTAAGGGTAGCTCTGGGATAGTATTGTAGTTAAAGAGCATCTTTTTTTCATTCATTTACTATTGTAGTTCAAAAATGAAGACACGTTTTTAATATCCCACTCTTGTCCCCTTTTTTCATAATATTCTTCTATTACCAAGTCTTTTTCTCTTTTCAATTGATACAACACACTCTTTAATTAAAACGCAATATAGAATATAATAAAAGCAATTTATTACATTATCTAAAAAATGTAATAGCTTATTATAATGACATTTTGGAGATATATGGCAATAACCAGATTGAACAAAATACACTCTCCTTGTCTCCAGCAATATTTTAGGACTTGGTCCCTGTCTTAAACTCATCTGACTTTTTCTCTACTTACTTTCAGTCTGAATAACATATATGAATCTTGCAGTAGCTGTGTAATCACTTTAGGATACATGAAAGGTATTTTGTAAGTTTAAGACAGGAAGATTTTGCTTCCATCAACGAATATCAAACTTTAACAAAGTCATAAAGTCCACACAGTTTAAATCGGTCCGTATAGAATAGTTTATACGAATAAGGATAACAGAAAAATAAATACTAATTGTAATATCATATTTGAAGACTATGACAAGTTTAATTTGATGTCTAAGATTAACTATGTGGGACAAGGGCTGGGAGCTCGTTTTTTCTCATGATATTAACTATGAACACTAAGGAAATTAACTTTGAGAATACTTTTTGAATAACCATCAAAAATGCTTATTTTCCTTTCCTTAGTGTTGGGTCAACCTGTTGCATATATAGTCCTATAATGCAGTATACGTCATGTGTATACTAAACTATTTATTCATAATCATTTATTACTAGTAAAATTTAAGCTCTATATGGATTCATGTACGGAATACTCTAACCATTAAAGGTTCATTTAACGAGGTTTGTTAATAAAGAAAATCAACACCCCACCTTTTATTTGTGGGGCACATTAAATTCTGTTAAATCATTATCACCGTCATCTTACATATTAAAAAGAAAGAGAGATATCTCTGTGAATAACTTACATTTGGTCTCTATATTTTTAAAGCAAGTTCATGAATTACTCTTGCACAGATAGCTCACAATGTAATTGTGTTTCCAATTGAGATAGCAAGGAGAACAAGTAAGTGATTAGCTGTGAAGGGAATCTTTGAATCTCGCACATACTATATACGATGATAATTGTGTTCTCAATTGAGATGAGAACAAGAGAGACAAGCAAAGTGACAAGAATATTTTTTAAGCTAGCTTGATATTTAAAAGAGATTACTTGATGACTTTTTGAAAGGTATCAAGAAAGTAGTTCACTGACTAAAATATATTCTTTATTTGAGAAGAATCTAATGGTATTATCTGACAACTTGGAAATTTAAAGACTTTAAAGCCTTGTAAGGTTCTAGAGGCTTTAAGGGTTGTTACGGCCCTAATGGCTCTAAGAGCTTTGGACACTTCAAAGACACCAGAGATTTTAAATAATTCAATGCTATCAAAAACATTCTTTTAATGATCGTATACGTATTATTATCCATAGACTATATACGATGGTAATTGTGTGCCCAATTGAAGCAAACAGTAAAAAAGTAAGTAAAGTTAGGGATAAAAAGACGCACCATATAGCAATTGAATTTACACAAGAAAACCTCTGGCTATCGAGCCAACTATAGAAATTAGAAAGGCTTTCATAAATTTAGACGAACAGGTAGTGCAAATGGGTAGTGAATACTTAAAATTAATAACAGTATAAGAAGCACATAAGAAACTTTAGGAAGAAGTATTGTCATAAATGATAGAAGATGAGTATACAATGTATGAAATAAGAAATAATGAAACTAAACAACAAGTTCAAATATCGCTATTTTATTTGAACCAAGGTTTTCAATTTTTGTATGAGCTACGATTGCTTTTGTCTTAGCACCAAATATTTAAATAAACATGGACGAACGGCCTTTTCTTTTTTATAATAGTATGCTTATTGCTTCTTAAACTGTCCCAAAGGAGACAACTAGTCTACCTAATATATATAAAAAATAGAGAACATTGACAGCGAATTTAAAATCTTCGACAATGCTTGACCATTGACTCAAGAGAAAAATATATGCTATTATTCTTGGCAAATATGTAATATTGTCTGATATATTCTGATTCTACTTATTAATAGACTGTTTATATATGTATTACATATTTAAGCTTGTAGAATTGTGCAGTTTGTAAAAGACTGGATATTAAAGAAATAAAAAACCTCAATTTTTTCTTCAAAGTAATCAAATATACCGTGTATTATTGTTAAAAAAAGAGTGATATATGATGACTTTAGATATTATCACTGAGTTCTTGTGTGCCTGTACTGTGTGATTATTATTTTTGCAGACATGTTCAAAATCTTTATTTGCAGAAATTTAGCCATTCATTTCATATGGACCAATCACCGGTCACACTCTTGAACTCTTACTGACTGGGTCAACCCCCGGCTTTTCTTAACCTCTTCCCAAACGAGATAAACACAAAAAGTTTAGAAATGCAGCCTTCATTGACCTTGCGCGCCGTCCATACACCTTTGATTCGTTTCGTTGGTTCCAGAGCTGCCCTGTGGAAGGGTAATTCTTTTTTCTTGCATATTAACTGTTGCTCCTATAAGATATAAAGTACTGATGTGTAAGGACAGATGCACCACACCACACCGGCCCTCATGTCATGACTCCTTCTAATCTCGAGAAGCACGTCGCCAAGGCTTCCGAGGTTGTTGCTAAGACTGCTGCACCTGCTGCACCCACAACCTTTACCACAGGCGATATGCCTGCAAGATACCGCCGTGCACCCATCACCGAACTTGAAATGGAGGCTATTGAGGTATGTACAACAAAATGTGTATGTAATCATTAACTAATAGATCAACCTTTTATTTATATACTATTGAATAAACAGAGCGGAGGAGCTACTTACTCATTCTAGAGCTAGTGAAGTCTTCACCAATTAAACCTCATTATATAACAACTTCATCGAACTACATGTGTGATCTAATCAGTCAAAATGTCGCATTCAATTTCAACATAGTCCACTCTTACGCAATCAAACAACTATATCGGAACTAAAGAAATAATTGGAGATATATATATATAATGGTGTCATACATGAAAGTATATAATTGCCATTTTTCATTTATCAGATTTTGGGTTTTTCTTAAGAACAAAAATGCAAAGTGTATGTGGGGTAATGTAGACAGGAAGAAATATACAAATATTTCCCTAGACAGAATATATCTATATTATGTAGACTTTATTATTTTAAGGGAATCAATTATAATTATGTGAAAACGTGTATTTTAAGGCTTTCTTCCCCTTCTGCCAAAGAGTATGTTGTAATATATAACACAAAGAAAACAAAAGGGCATATCTACTTCGTTAGTATTTGTAATATAGAATTCATTTTTTTTTAGTATTTAGTGACACTGAGGCAAGAAGGTACACAAGCATCCACAAATATAAGCTCAGAGTAGGCTACAGGACTCGATCCAAATAAACCATTTTTCAACATAATTCCAAAATAAAACAGAAGGAGCACCCAACTTGTATTATGAAAGAGCATTATGATAATGGTACATTATACATACTTACGTGAGAATATAAGTCACACCTTCCACTATAGACAAGCTTTCTAGTATATCATTATTATCCATTAAATAAATATAGCGTCTAATTCAATTTATATAATAAATGTAAATGTAAAGATACTTTAAAAACACTTGGAGCCAAACTACAATTATTTAAATAGTCCCTATTGTTTTTTTCTTGAGAAAATAGGATTATACAGATATTTTTCAACTACCTAAAGGAATTCAGAAAATATTAATTTCTTCTCTATTAATTCAAGTAAGCCTTTATGTAGCTGATAAGCAGGATTTGCAAAGCTGATTTAGAATATTACAGTGATGAAATATCGTATCTAGAAGTTTAAGCCTATTACTCAATTAACGAAGCTCTTAAATTATATATAAATGGTAATATACTAGGTCTCCAACAAGCTAACAGAATAATAACTAGATTATACGAGCCAATAATAATATTAATATCAAAATGGACTCTCTTATTTATCATGATGACTTATTGCATACTTTCACGTAGAGCAGTTTGACTTTCTCAGTAGATTCCATTCAGAAATTTCCTAGAAAAGGAATATAAGACAAAGAAGAAAAAGAGAAATAAAAAGTCAAATAAAAGGTCTCTTATTTATAGACAGTTTTTTTGGGGGGACTTACAAGAGTCTGATCAATTGTACATTAATATGGTAGTCAATGCTGGCATTATTTATAGAAACTGATACTCTAAAAATATAACCAAAAGACTGAATAACCATATATTCGTAGGAGACAATACAAAAAACTCAAGCCCTGTATTTTAAAACTATGCAAATTTAGATATTCTGCGTGCTTAATTTTATGTCAAACAACCATGTAATTGTATCACAGTGCTAAACTTACGTTTTAAAGCGCACATTTTCTATCAGCAATCAATTGTTCAAGTGTACGCACTTAGCAATAAAGAAAAACCAAATGTTTTGTGAATATTTTAAATTAGTACCAAATGGATATCTTAATATCAATATCTTCACACCGACAAAATTGCTCCTCTTTATATTTGGTACACTTTCTTGTGAATCCGCTAGTATTGACTTTATTGACTTTTTAAACTTCGACCCATAATATGGTTGATTATAAGAAAGATGTTCTCTTTAAAGCTTCTTTTATTGAACATTCTGTCTTTGTAAGAAGCAGAATGCGCAAATGTTGAATGTAAGCCATTCAGTAAACCATTTACCGTATTTTTCTAAGAGGTTACGCTTTGGACTTTATTTTTGTGACCAAAGAAAAAATTGGTTTATAATATAGTATATAAATTAACTGTAGACTTTCAAAATTCAATAAAAAGTAGACACACATGAACTGAAATAAGTAATTGTGTAGCTTGTAAAAAAATATACAATAATAATTTAAATAAAAGAAGACTTATGTGTGACACCAAGAGCTGCTCCTTACACTTCTTCTAATGCCAAGCTATACTTTGTTTGATATTCCTTCAAAGAAGCTATATGTTGCATCTATCGCCTTTACAAAATTGTCAAAAAGTTCCGATATAATTGCATTTACCATTTTCCGTTCGGAATGCGGCAATACCCTGGTTGTCATAAGCTTTAAATATTTTACGCTCTGTTCTTATTATTTTTGTTTTGTTTCTATAGTGATTAAATAAATGATATAAAGGAAATGGTTTTTATTAGTGATCTTCAGGTACACATCTTACTAAGAAAAAAAGAAACTTCTCAATCTCTTTTATCCTTTATAATTCATATTTTATACTTTATCTTTCTCTGCTTCTTTGTCTCCCTGTTTCATACAAATCAGTCAAACTGTGCAGTCAATTTCTTATAGAAAAACCGCTGCCTGTATATGCTACTTATTGTATATTATTATTATGTTTCTTGGTTTTCTAGATCTTAATCTGATTAGAAATACATTTTATTTTATTTTATTTTATTTTAGCTGTCGTGATCCATTGTCTATTATTTAAATTTCAAAATAACATTCACACTGTACTTGGATCCGGGTATGCGGGCAAAGACGATCAAATAAACAGTCGCTTACAACAATTTATCCAGATTCACATGCAGATATGCATTATTTTTTCAAGGCTAGGTCCATTACAGCGGATAAATCTTGACATACAATCGTCATTTATGGACAATAGATTAACATTCAAACATTTAATACCATCGATACATATATAACAAGAGTCTTCTCGGCTATTGCAGTATCAATTGGCTTGAACAACATAGGCTTTTGGATTGTTGTTCTAAACCAAAATTGCGCGGAGACTTTTGCTGGTTCGACCACGGAAAAATAATACCGATCTTTGTGGATTGACAAATATATAATTAAAATACCGGATACCATGGCTTGTCATATAAGACAGAAGAGTCGGTCAACTAAACACTACACTCGAAAGCTCACTTTGTAAGTTTAGTTAACCCAGCAAAGTAATTGGGATAAAATAAAACCAGTGAAGCTTATATGAATCTTTATGTCAGAAGAATAAATAAATTCAAAATTAAGACGTATTGTTCTTGAATATGTTTATCTTGAGTATAAAGCTTAAAGCTTAAAACTTTGAAGAAAAGCATAGAGCACGCTGTATATACCACACCATATCCCGAAAATTCATGGAATAAAGATAACCGATATCCGTAATATAGACCAGTTTTGGAAATACTCATAAAATGAAATCTGCAGCCCGGATGATCTCACTCAAAAAATTGAAAGTAGAAACATAGCCGGAAAGAGAAAAAAAAGATTTACATTGAGAGGCCTATTTAAATGGCCTAGAATATTACAAATCATTTCGTCTCTTCTCTTCAAAAATATTCTTCTTCAACATGTCCTTGGCAAAAAACACCAATACCGAGGAAATTGAGTTGATGCGTAAGCTTCACGGCAAGCTTATTCTTGACGAAAGTGGCTTCTTCCAAAAAGTGACCCAGAAGAATTCATCTCTAAACGGAAAAGCTGCGGATACCTATTACCAGAACTGGAAAGACCAAAACAACCTAAAGAACAATGAGAAGGATGTAGAAAGCCGTCGTGAACATGCTCAGACAATGACAAACTCATTCTATGACTTGGTAACAGATTTCTATGAATATGGTATGTAGTCAAACATGCAAGTAGGAAAAATGAAAGAGAATTTCTAACCCTTGAGTTAGGTTGGGGACAATCTTTCCATTTTGCAAAGCTGTACAAGGGTAAGTGTATAATGTGTAGTGTACTTCAAACCAAAAATGTATATATTGTGTGTGCTAACGGGACTACATCAATAGGTGACACATTCGAAGAAAATATTAAGCGCCATGAAAGCTTCTTGGCTCTGAAACTCGGATTGAAGAAGGGAATGAAAGTATTGGTAAGCTTGTGGTACTGAGCATGTAAAAAGAAGACGTTTTTTTGCTTATCTACTTTGTGTAATTATATTTAGGATGTTGGCTGTGGTGTTGGTAAGCTTTTTATATATATACTTATAAAATGAGGTAAATGAAGCGACAGTTACTAAGACATTATTGGGGGTTTATCTAGGCGGTCCTTTACGTGAGGTTGTCAAATCATCTGGATATGCTCATGTTACTGGCATCAACAACAACGCTTATCAGATTGAACGTTGCCGTGCTTACTCCGAAAAGTATGGCTTATCTGCATACACCGACTTCATTAAAGGAGACTTTACCAATATGCCCGTTGAGGATCACACATTTGACTCTGTATTCTCTGTTGAGGCTACTGTACATGCCCCGAAGCTCGAGATGGTATACGGAGAGATTTATCGCACACTGAAGCCTGGAGGACGATATGCATGCTATGAATGGTGTACTACTCCATCTTATGACGAAAACAACATCAACGAGAAGAAGATTATTCACGGCATTGAACAAGGAAACTCAATTTCCAAACTCTACACCACTGAAGCATGCCTTGCAGCAGCAAAATCTGTTGGGTTCAAGGTCATTGAAGAAGGGGATGCGGCTATTTTGGATGCAGCAACTGAACCATGGTACAACACCTTAAAAAAGCCAGAGGGGCTTCGTGGTATTCTTCGGTCCCCCTATGGACGCTTTTACACTAACACACTACTTACCGGCCTCAGTAAATTCAATCTTGTCCCCCCTGGTGTATTAGAGACATCTCAGCTACTCAATTCCGCTGCAGATACACTTGTGGCAGGCGGAGAGATGGGCATCTTTACACCAATGTACTTTTTCCTTGTTGAGAAACCACTTGACGCATCTTCATAATATTCTATAACTATCCTTTCTTTTTATCTTATATCACTAAACCAATTTTTAATTTTTACAATATAATATTCTGAACACTGTAGTAATAACTAGAACATATGTATGTACGGTACCTTTTCTTTTGTTCCTTTCTCTTCACTATGTATATATAAAAATAATAATAATAATAATAATAACTATACTTTCAAAGAATATCAAGCAATACACACAAATATCCTCAGGATCGTATATATGTATCGTATATAATTAACTAAACGATCGGCCGACTAAAGGACGTTCAATTGATTGACGTACTCTTCTTGTTATTATAATTATAATATTAAAGACACATATTCAAGACAAAGTTACAATATATGTAATCTACTTGGACCCTAAACTTTAAAATGACACGGGTATTGCTACAGAATTCGCGCCCTTAATTTATTGGTAAGAATCCAGTGTGGGCTGTTGTACATGTACATGCGTATGTGTAATATGTGATTCAATGGATTTGGTACTAAATACTTTATATATATACGTATATGAATTGTCAATAAACGTTATATATAGTCAAATCTTGGACCAATCATTAATCTATAGTTTAAGGTATAAAATTAGATTTTTTTTTGATAAATCCATTTACATATCAATCGTTTAGTATTTGTAACACCCTTACGTATTCTTTACAATATCAAGCACTTGTATTTGTAAGCATCTTGCGTTGCTTGCTAAATTAATACTTGAAAAGCGTTAAGGTTGATAACCACACCTCAAAAAACCGGACTGTGAAAAGTCGGTGTATCCTTTGAATTCATGCAAGGATTTCATAGGATGGGAGAGCGTTTTCAAAAGACGCACATACACAAAAATTGTTATCTACTATATTTCCACAAATTACTCATAAACTCTTGATACGGCTTCCCACTTCTCCAGATAAATATTTGGCTAGGAAAAGCTATTATGTTTACTAAAGATGAATTGCATTCCTACATAAAGTACTATATATAATAGAGTAGGTGTTGAATTGTAGAAATACTATTACTGCTGTATCTGTTAAAGATATACTTTAAATATTGATAATCCGACACATACTGTGGAAATTTCATAAAACAAAAATCATTCTGACGTTTGAGCAATAAATATACAGAGTTTGTCCTTAATATGCAGGAAACAATCTGAATAAAAATACTAATGTTTTTTGTTATTCATGGGTAGCAAATAAGACATCATTAAATGGCTATTTCTCCTTTCAAGTTAATTTAAGCTTACACTTTTCCCATGAATTATTTGCACAATTTAAGATTATTTTTTTTTAAAATTATATCCACTCAATTTCATTTTTTCTTTAAAGAAAAACAACGATCATATATACACAATGAGTTTGGACATTTAATATAAAGATTAACAGTCAATTCATGTATATGAAAGATAATCAAGGTTACCATCTACTAGATAGGGTTGTTAAATATATAAAATTTTCTTGCTTTGTGTAAAAGAATGTGTGCCAGTTTTTTCAGTGAACAAATAACAAAAACGTATATATTCTTGTGCAGGGTGCACCTTTTTTATAATAGACAATTTTTGAAAAGAGGACATTTTTTGGAATTTAAGTACCGATTCCAAAATAGTATTTTTAAAGTCAGAAATGTGATATTTATTGATTTAATCTCAGCTTACGATGAGATTTGTGAAGCTTTGAGAATTGTTTCACGATTTCAAATGCATGTTCAGCATCATGACCAAGACTGTAGGCATTGATGTAGGCAAAACTTTTGTGGAAGTATCTTCGAATCTTTTCAGGGACATCATCTTCTGGTGGGCAAACACTATCCAGAAATGAATTGATTTTTCTATTCAATGATTGAAAAGAATAATCACATTCACGTCGTGCTTCTTTCTTGGCTGCTCCCCAGTATCTTTCGATCCAATTACATTCACAGTGGTATTTTGGATACAGTTCAAATTTGTGTCCACTGCCTTCAACTATTTCTTCGAGTGCTGATTTTTTGTTGGCAAAGTCTGGTTGTCTCTCCATAATATGGATTGCACAACATCTAGAATCAGCTGTCGCGACATTATTGCAAGAACGTTTTAAAGAGTATCTCTCTGCTTCGTTTCTATACATAGAACGTTGCTGTAATATGCCGCGAAGGCCAATGAAATATTTTTTGTATTTTTTATTCTAAGTATGAATAGTTTATAGACACGTCTTTTAGCATAAAGTGATCCCTTATTGTAATTGTATAAATTATGTTTCTATTCGGATAGGATTGTATATAAATCACTTACTTTATGGAGCCGAGACTCGATTACTTCATATTCTTTAAGTTTTTCTTCATTACTCTTTTTTTGAAAAAAAAAACTTTTTGCTGTTCTGCATAGTCGTATTGCTTTCTGACATAAAATGAGCTGTCACGAAATTTTCCCTGGCCTGAGTCACTGTCTTTTACTTCAATTGCACACAAGTTCATGTTTTGTGCCAAAAGAGCGTCTTCAGGATAGGCTTTATGATTGCTGCTTTGATCAAAAAGAAAAACAGCTACTGCATTTGGGTGTATGGCATTGAAAAGAGGTATTATATCTGTAAGCTGGGCACACATATGACTACTTTTCCAATAGCCTTCGTATTGAGCTCCAGGATAAAATACCACTCGCGAAGTTTTGTACTGGTCTCCTACATATCCTCTCATTGTTCCATGACAAGGGCATTGGAACTCGGAGATCATTATTGATCTACCCTCAGACTTTGGCAAACAATAGCTTTCACCATCTTCCACCCAGGCGTACTTTTGATAGTCATTAGCATAGAATGTACTTTCGTCATGTGTGACAAATACATGCTGTTTGACACCTTCTGGCAATTGAGGATATGACACAAGAGAAGGTGTAACATTGTCATATTTCTCAGAGTATTGATAGTATTTCATCATGCGTTTGCTCCATGCATTTCTATAAGTAAGCACATCCTCGCGCTCATGCCCATCAAAGTATACAACTTTTCCTGTAAAATAAACATAAGTTATATTAATGTGACATTGTATTTTTATAGAGAAAACCACATTCTGGTTTTCTATATTTGCCTACCTAAATGCTTAAAATAAAATCCCCAAGATATCAGCTTTCGTCTTAGGCAATCTGTAGACAACGGCTTAATTGCACTACCTTCGATCTCTAACTCATCTGATATTAAGCTGCTACCAATGGCCTTAGGCAGAATGACTTCTTTCAAGTGGACTGAAAGTCCAGCAATACTTCTTTTAGCTCTTGGCTGACTTCTGAACCATTCGAGTATTTGCTGCTTGATGTCTTCATCATCAAGAACAGAGACACGTTTGGCATGCTTGCCTTGTGCACCAAGACTGATTCGTCTAGTCTCCAAATACTCTTTTGCATGTTGGCGAATCTTACGGGCTCTGTACCAAGTAGATTTTTGCTTGTATACAATGTCGCTTGCAAACTTAGAAGCTGCCATTTTCTTCATGTCCGTATTGATCAAAGTATATAAGTAATGATATGCTCCTTCGTACTTTCCCATCTCTGCTACACCAAGTTTTTGCTGCTCTGAAGTCGAACTGATGACAGGTACTACGAACTTTGACAAGTCAATGATTGCGTCTTTTACTCTGCTTTTGAACTCTTCCTTTGACTCGACTTCATCTGCACTATCACTTTCTTCATCCAATCCAATTTCTGTCTCAGCAGAAGAAGAGTTTGCGATAGGCAAAAAAAAGGAGTCAACTCTAGCACTTCCTTTTGCTGCTTCTCTTTCTGCCTTTTTCAGTCTACGAACATGTCGAGATGAGTATGATGAACGATTGCGACTGTATTTTCCATTGAGAGCATCTTCAGCTTTTTGGTCCAAGAAAGTCCGAGATTTTTGACATCACTGCCAGAAGATTCCGAAATCTCGGGGGTAGGATCAACTTCCTTTCTAGCTAACTCTACACTTTCGCTCTGAGAGTGAGAAAGTCTTTTAGCAGCAGCTTTTTGAGATAAAGCTCTCATTTTAGAATTGATTTTTGGCATTGTCGATTGTGTTTTTATCAGGAACAAATTGTTTTTTTTAAAATAGATTGTCTTATTTAGTAACGTTTTACATTATGTAAGTTGATAAAGAACTCAGTTGGTTATATTATTGGTTGAAAAATGAAGCCATCATTTTGGCCGCACTGCTTAAACACTGAGATGTTACCTTGTTTAAAAAAATATTTTTGCAGAAAAATAGTAGATGTCTCACCGCAGAGAGTTTCTAAATAGCATTAAGAGCATATTAAAGCAAACAGAACTCAAAAATATTAAGATCCCAGAAAGCCTTTTGGCTTTCTAGTTTTATTAATAAAAAATACACACTATAAAAAGATACACTATAAGTTACACAAATATCAAATTAAAATCCAGGGAGCATTATTATTGGCCAGAAAATGAGGACATTTTTTGAGCCTCCCTGCTTAAATATCGAAACTTCATCTTGCTTAAAGTTTTTTTTTTGCAGAGAAGTAAAAGAAGTCTCACCGCAGAGATCTTGTAAATAGTAAAGCAAACGACTCAGCGGTAACAAAATTCAAAAAAATTAAGATCCCATAAAGCCTTATGGTTTTCTAATTTTACATATAAAAATTGTCGATTATAAAAAAGGTGCACCCTAGTGACATATTGTCTTGGTATGGAACGTGTATTCTAATTATTCAGAGAAATTCTACTCAATCGCCTATTTCCTGAGCACCTTGTCAGTAGAATCTTACTCTATTGCCATGAATTTATTATATATTACAAAGTATCGATACTTTGACAAAAAAATAAGCCTCTTCTCGTTTGATAAAGATAAGCTTGTTGTTGTTTTGTTTTATTTTCCTTTTAAAAAAATGCTAAAAAATTAAACAAAGATTTTTATTGCAAATATTTTAATCTTGATGAGTGAATCTTTGAGTGAGAGTATGTATGAGAAAGAGAGGGAGAGGGAGAGAGATAAAGTATAATTGAGTGATGATGAGAAAAAATTAACGAAAGCAAATAATAACAGGAGAGATATATAATAAAAATCTCATTGACTTAGAATCCACCACGGCCACGGCCACCGCGGAAATCACCGCGTCCTCCACCACGACCACCACGGAAATCACCGCGTCCTCCACCACGACCACCACGGAAATCTCCACGACCACCACGACCACCACGACCACCGCGGAAATCTCCACGGCCACCGCGACCACCACGGAAATCACCGCGACCACCACGACCACCACGGCCGCCACGGCCACCGCGATCGCCACGGCTGTTGACACGAGCAGAGTCGTCTCCACCGCTGAAGTCAGTACGGACAGGGCGTCCGTTGATGGCCATACCGTTCATGCCCTTTACAGCAGCTTCGGCTTCATCGGCAGTAGAGAACTGGACGTAACCAATGCCCTTAATCTGACCGGTCTCGCGGTTGGTGGGGAGTCTGACATCGCCAACAATGGTTCCGAACTTGGAGAAAGCAAGTGCAACGCTCTCTTCATCAAGATCGTGACTGAGATTGGCAATGAAAACGGTGTCGGTTTTGGGACCGTAGTTCTCGTCGTTCTTGCGTGGTGTGGCAGTGGTGGCCTCATCAACACGGATATTGCGACCCATGAATTCGCTACCATCCATTTTCAAGGCAGCAGCCTTGGCCTTCTTGGAAACAAAGTCTACATAGCAGAAACCTCTGCTCTTGCCGGTATCAGGGTCAATGCGGATTCTGACGTCCTTAACTTCACCACACTTGGAGAAGAAGTTGGAAACATCCTCAGAGGTGGCGCTCCAGTCGAGCTGACCGACCCAGACAGTAGCACCCTCGCTACCATAAACGGGCTTGTTAACGACCTCGACAGTAACCTTCTTGGCAGGGGGCTGATCTTCGGCATCGTCCTCAGCCTTACGCTTGGTACCGGTCTTGGCAGCAGATTCTTCATCAGAATCATCTCCAGATTCTTCTTCAGCATCAGATTCTTCCTCGGCATCAGAATCTTCTTCAGCATCAGAAGATTCCTCAGCATCAGACTCTTCCTCAGCATCAGACTCTTCGTTGGCCTTGATCTCAGCGGGAGACTCGCTGGCAGATTCAAACTCGGAGGAATCTTCAGAATCGCTAGAGTCAGAAACGTCTTCCTTCTTGACAACCTTGACAGGCTTGGTATTTTTCTTGGATCCTGCAGCAGTTGATTTGGCCATTTTGTATGTTATTTTTTTGTAACTGAAGTTTTTTTTTACAAAAATGGAAACGAAAAAGAAAAAGTTTATAGGAAAAAAATCTGACTTTTGTGACTTAGTTTTATGAAAAGAAAAAAGAAAAGGGGTTCAAAATGATAGTGCTGTCAAAAAGTATTAGATTTTGAATAAGTTTCAAGTCAAACAATGCTAGTAATACAAACACGACATTTACCCAAGAATTTTGACATTTTTCTGAGCCATCGTTTTTCCTATTATTTTTTTAAAAAAATTTATTGGTAAAAAAAACTTTTGTACAGTAATAGTAAGTATTAGACATTATGTATAGCCTGTTTCTAACAACCCATAATAGCGGTTATATCTGAGGTGGTACAAAAAATGCAGCGGCCAGATACGGCACCTCAAATCATCTTCTATGAGTCTGATAGATCACCAAAAGTGTGATTAAAGAATGTATACTAGGTTACTGAAGAGGTGTCGTTTTTGTATAGTTGTTACTTTGGGTACAGATTGAAATGTACTTTACAAATAAGTTTCCTAAATTCATTCTTACACAAATGAGAGTCCCTCTTTTACTTTCTCTCTCTCTCTCTCTTTATATATAGTAGATATTTTTGATGGTTTTTGATTAAACTCATTTGATTGGGCATATGATTTATAAATGTCCAGTAAAAACCTGTTCTACTCAAAATAATACTATCCACCCGGGAATGTTTGGTGGACATGTACGGCACATCTCAGCCATATTTAATTGTCTTTTGAACAGTAGTTTGATTTCACCATTTTCTTTTCTCAAAGCAAACTATCTTATGAGCAGAGTGAAAGAGGCCGATAAGTTATTTAAAGCCATTTAAACAGCATAGAAATTTGGTATAAAAGTAAGCTTAAAGTCCATAAAAAAAAGGGGGTTTATTCACATGAACAGTATGAGAAAATAATAATATTAATAATAATACGCAAGATTCTTTACCCAGGTTGATAAACAACGGACACACAACACACGCACACGCACACGCACACACACACATACCCATATACATATATATAAATAAAATACCACCTTTCTTGATTCATTAACATCAACTACATTACATGGTGAATCTAACACTCAGTAAAACATGGCAAATCCTCGGCCCATTCTCTATTGGAATGCGTGAACAAGATTTTGGTTCAGATCCTTTAGAAGCCTATGGTAAAGTACACACGCACATACGTTTATATTAATAATACAGCTCATCTATAAACCTCTGGTCATTATTATTTTTCTTTTTTTTCTCCTTCTTCTTCTTTTGCTTAGGCGGATTCTACCGACTGCCTTATTCTGAACAAGCCAAGTACCCCTCTGAGCTGGTTGAAGGAGGTTTGGTTAGCTGGAGCTCTGTTGAGGCCATAGAAGGTCAGGTAGGCCCGATAAATTTTCCTCATGTGCGGTGAGTAAGCACTTTTTTTTGTCCCTTGTATATATTAAAATGTTAAACATATATATATATATATATATATATGTAATATGGATTGATTTGGAATAAAGTTGGCAAGAAAATACAGTTCCATTCGGATGGTCGATTGAGCAGTATCAAGCATGGGCACGTACAGTACTTGTATTGGATCAGCCGACGACGTTCTTGATGCAAGTTAAAGGAGTCTCGGAATTCTATATTAATACCACTCGCTATTCAGGAGACTGTTATGGATATGGAACAATACGCCATGTTATTAGGCTTGAAAAAGGTTTACACATGATTCAAGTGAGAATGATCCATGATGTACGAGTCAACGGTGGAGGCCATTACCCACCCCAGTGCAGCTTCCGTGTCTTTCTTGATAAGATTGAGAATTCTGAATTGGATGGGGGTGTGGTGTGTTTAAAAGATTATACATCTTTGGAGGTAGAGCATGATATACTGGTTCCTTCTTATCTGGCTGATTTGGGGTTTGCAGGCCAGTACGGAAGTGTATCGCTCCAAAACTATGGTCTGTCTCCTCTGAGAATAAAATCCATTACCGTACAATTGACCAGAGATGATCAGGGTTTGAATGGCCAGGAAGAATGTGAGGTGTGTAAAGATATAAGAATAGTATATATACACACATCATTTGAGAGCTTTACTTGGTAAAAAAAATATATTTGATATTCAAACTTCTTTGTGTATTACTGTTAGACAGTATCTGGCTTGATTGATTCCAAGAGTGTGATCATTGCACCAGGACAGGCATGCTCTGTTGGATTCAGTTTCTATCTCAAGACACCCGTAGCAGATGTGACTGATCTAAAGATGGCACTTTTGATCCAAACCGTAATGGAGACCCAAACAGCTGAAAAGATATCTATGTTGGTAGCTACTGTCAACATTAAGCCAGTAGATTGGACCAACTCTGCATTCTGTTACACTTTTACGGACTATGATGGCACAGTACAATATGGTAAATACTAGTGCTATTATTTTGTTAAAAAAAAGGAAACGTATCTTAATTTTGGACCTTTATTTTCCTTTGATAATTTAGCCATGGCAAAGAAACCCCGTATACTAGACACTGACCCCACTAAACCCATCTTGCTTGCTCTGCATGGTGCTGGTGTACAAGCAAACTCTGAATTTTGGACCGAATCCATTCGTACCCAGCAGAATTCTTGGGTAAGGCGTCTGTACCTAGCACGCAACCAAATAAAGAGATTAAAAGAAATATGACAAATCGGTTGAATTCCGAGAGAAAGAAGGAAGAAGAAGAAAAAAAAACTGACGTGTTTATTCCGGAACAAATAGATTGTATTTCCTACAGGTCGTACACCATGGTAATGCTAAAAGTTATACGTTGGTCTAACACATCTGTTCTGATTGACTGTATATATATGTAGGGGTTACGATTGGCATGGTCCTAGTATGAAGAATGCATTTAAAGCACTCGAGAGCCTCTCGTCAATCAAAGATTTAATTACTCCAGTAAATACCAGCATTGACAATAGCGATGACTGGGTCTTGGGTAATTGTTATGCTATAATATTAATTATTGTTTTATCTATTAACTCTTGACTATAGTGAGCACCTCTTTACAGGGTAATCAGACCCATAAAGATAAAGAAGTGTGGGTAGTTGGTGATGTTAATCGTGTGATTTATATCGGCAAGTAATGTCTTTTCTTTTCTTCTCAATATCTGTCGTGGTCTGATGTGATTCTAACTGAGGCATTTGTGGTCAATAGGACACAGTAATGGTGGACAGGGTGCATGGTATCTTGGATCACATTACCCTGACAAAGCAATTGCAGGTAGATCCCATAGTTTGTATTATTGAAATTCTTCTATGAAACTAATAATAAAATATTGTAGTGGTTCCTGCCGCCGGTTACATCAAGATTCAAGATTATGTTTCGTACGCCAATTGGAATGGGTCTTCCTATGCTGATCCATTATTAAGAGGAGTAAGATTTTTTTTTTTGCTTTCAATATTATATCGATGCAAAACTTACCACAAAATAGCTACTGGAATGTGCTATTGCTGAATACAACAATGATTTACACCTTAGTAATATGGTAAGTGTAAACACATAAATGATCCGCTAGCCTCTATTGATAGCGTATGTATGCTCTATAGAGAGGCTTGGCAGTCTTACCACGCGTTGGGAGTGAAGATGATAATGTACCGCCGCTACATACACGAAAATATTGTCGTCTTTTGAACGAGGTGGCCAAAGATCCTTGTGCAATCAGGTAATTAGGTATGAAGGTTGGGCATGTGAATAAAGGTAATCCTAACATTGGAGAAAACGCACGTGTATCAGTGTATCCGAAGTACCGGAGAAGGGACATTGGTGGAGCAGTGTTCTGGACGATGATATTATTCAGAAATTTCTTGACCAACAGATACAGAAGGGTACAAAAGATGTGCCTGATTGGAAGGATTTTATGGTATCGGTAATAAATCCGGCTGGAACTGGCAGTGTTAGGGGAATTGAAGTGGAGCAACTTGATATTCCTTTTAGGTAGGTTGTGAGTCTATTTATTACTTTCTTGCTATATTAAAAATGTATACAAAAATAAACATTACCAATATAACACAACGTGCATCGAGTTTAGACTTGGAAAAATAAAGGCTTCAAAGCTAGCCAGTCATCAGATTTCTTTAAAAACAGTCAATGTGTCGGCTTTTAAGATACATCCCTGGCTTGGTACATGGACCGAGCTCGTGGTGGATGGCCAGGTGTTTTATTATGCGGACACAACGACTGACTCGGTTCTGTTTGTTAAGGATTACAAAGGTAGTCCGTGGAAGGTAGGCTAGCGGGTCTTGTAAACAATATTTAAGGTTATTGGGATCAATACAACTCATTTAATTTATTTGTGATATTTTTTTTAAAAGATTGTAGATCAAGTTAGTTGGCCTCCAAGCGGGATAAGAAGCAAGGCGACATATGGGCCTATACACCGGATGTATGAGTCTAGCCGACCTTTGATCATCCGGGTGCCCAGTGATGTTCGAGGATCTCTAAAGATGATATTCAAACATACGGCTCTTCAGTTGAGCCATGATTGGTATCTGTATGGACGTGGAAATACACTGATTATTGGAGACCAAGAAGAAGTTCCGGTGACAGAGAGCTGTGAGTTATCATTCCAGATCTACCTTGGTCTCCCTAGTCAGAACCGGGCATTGAGGTGTCTGCTGGACCGAGTTCCAAGCGATATAAGCTTGACTGAAACAAGTATTGGAGTTGGGCAGCGTACATTTGATGAGCCTGGAACGGGCATACTGTCTCTTGTCCCAGGTGTGCATTCGAATGAATTGGGTATCCTGGTGGCGGGACTGGATGTGGCGGGCTTTGATGCGGCGTGCAGACTCCTACCAAGGCGCACAGGCATGCTTGTACCTGAATGGAGTAAGTAACAACATGTAATAGGCAAGGAGACCAGGCTGACTAAAATAGAATTCTCAATAGTTATCACTACACCTGAGACCAGATCAAAGGGCATAGGTGGAATTGTCGGTGGAGGGTAAGATAGAGTATAGCTTATATTTTTATATTTTCCTTTTTGAAGTATTAATTCTTATTCTACAGATACTATGATAATCGATGGCGATCGTTTGGATATTAATGAGACCAAACGCTCCAAAAGCGCGTCTAAATAGAGCATAATAAACGCGTCGTAACTATTTTCTTTATCCTCCACAAGACGGACTTGGTTGGAGGGAAACGTAGGGGGAGGGGGATGATATTGGATCAGGATCGAATGACAATTGGATTGTATAAACTCGTGTTAAAGAACTTAGTTTGTTCTGGTGTGCTGTGCTGTGGGTATATGTGGTGTTTTGCAGGAGATTCCTTTTGGTTCATATAATAGGTAGCTCTTACTGGAGCCTTTATTTCTTTTTTCTCAAAATATATTTAATAAAGGTTTGAATTTTAAGTCCTACAAGTGACTGAGAATATATATCTAACTCCACTTGTTAAACAGAAAGTGTGCATGTATGTGTATGTGCAAACCCTTTGTACACACATGGCTATTGATGATCCTTTCCTTTTTTGGATTATAATTTTATTTTAATTTTTCACTTTCAACCCTTCTGAGCTTTTGGTTGTCTTAATTCAGTTGCACAATCAGTCTGTCACTTATGAATGAGGGAGGGGGAAGCCCAATTTTATATTATTTTAGTTTGTGGTTCTCGCCTATTGGTGTGACTCTGAAAGGAACACCAAAAATATGGGGTGAATCTCACAAGTAAAACCCTCATTCTCTTTTCTCTCTTCTTACTCTCTTTCTCACCCAAACATGGCCACTCCACCTAAAACAGAACCTATTTCGATACTAAAATCTTCTGTAAGCCTTTATATCATACTTCTTTTTATTTTATATTCTTTATCGTTTGATTCACATTCACTTTTTATTTTATTTTCTTACAAAAAAAAGGCAACTAATAATTTAATGAATCAATCAATCAATCAAACCTCATTAGTCCAATCCCAGATCTGGGCCATCGGAATATGCTAATCGAACTGCCCGAATTGTTCTTAGTGACGATGAAGACGAAGACCATCACGATAACCCAAACCGTTTCCTTTCTGATGGAGAAGAAGACGACCCACCAGCATTACCCGTTTCCGACGATGCAGTTGAACTTTTGAAAAACGAAAAGGTCGTATTATCTGGATATCTTCGCAAAAAGGGCGAAAAAAGAAGAGTAAGTCAAATTATCAGATGACAACAATACAAAGATATTCATATTATCTATAGACATGGAAAAAACGTTGGTTTGTTCTCAGGACCACAAAACTAGCCATGTACAAAGATGACAAGGTAAGAAAAAAACTTGGAGATTATACATTTTTTTTAAAGAAGAAGAAAAACGCTGAGCCAGGCATTGTTTAAAGGAATACAAACTCCTGCGGATTATTGATCTACATGAGATTCACAGTGTCGTACAAGTGACCTCAAAGAACAAGTACAAATATGTATTTGCAATCATCACACCCAGGCGTATGTATTATGTTCAAGCCAAGGACCAGCACGATATGGACGTTTGGTTTGAGCAGATTGAACGAGCAAAGCAAGAATTGAAGCTCTATGACACGGACGATGATGCAAGTCTTAAAGACCGGGATCAGGACTACGCCAAAGATGTCATTAGCTCCTACCAGTCAAATCATGCCGCCAACATGCTACACCAACGTCGTTCATCTACAACTACAAACGAACACATTTCAGAAACCCCGCAGACTACTCGTTCCCATGTCCCTCCAGTCGATATTCCAAGAGTCTCCACATCTGCTCATGGTGCCTACTCCACATCTCACACCTACCCTCTCTCGCCCGGCTCAGACCAACAGGCTCAGATGCAGATTGTCGAAGGATTGGCAAGCTCAGAAGATGACGAAGAGTATGGCTACAATGAAGATATTATGAATGCACAACTTGAAGAGACCCGTAACAAGGTGCTTATTGAAGGCTATCTCATGAAACTTGGTCGCAACAAGAGCTGGAGAAAGCGTTGGTTTGTTCTTCGTACAGACACCTTGGCATATTATGAAGACGAAAAGGTATATATATATAAAGATTTTCTTACAAAATGTTAAATTCATCATCGATACTAACTTTGGTATCTAGGAATATTCTCCCCATCGTATTATTCCTTTGACTCACATTATTGACTCACTTGAAATTGAGCCAATCAGTAAAAGCAAACAGTACTGCTTCAAGATTATCATTCCAAAGCGCAGCTATGTTTTATGTGCCAGCACCGTAGTTGACCTCGAATCTTGGCTTGATGCTCTGAGTGTGGCTGTTCGACGTGCAAAGAAGGAAGAAAGTGAGACCAAGTCCAGTCCTCACACACACTCTCATCCTCATCCTCATCCTCGCCCTACTTCCCACACCCCTGACACAGCAGGCTATTCCCTCGAAAAAAGTACAACACTCTCATCAAACGAGTCCTTTGATAACTCAAGCCACATTAGTGGAGCCGGCGGCGTTGGTGGTGCAGGTGGTGCACTAGGAGGATCATCTCCAAGTGGTCTTACAAAAATTCACTCAAGACATTCTGAATTACTTGAAAGGGCAAAATAACCCAGAAAGAAAACTCAAGAAAATACACACCCACACACCCACACACCCACACACACACACACACATATATATATTCCCACTCAAGCCATTCACTTAGTCACATTTACACATACTCCCTACATATTATTACTCATTTACATTTTACATCAAAAACAAGATTTCATTTTCGTATATCTTCTTTACAAAAATAACCCATTTTTACCCTAAAGAGGTTGTGTTTTGTTCAGTCCCATGGTTTATACTATCATGTGCTCCCATTGAGCCAAAGGATTGAGTTACACTCGTACATCAATTCCTTTGGAGGGCAGTTGACTTCTTGGTCCTTTGAGTAAAGATAGAATAAGAAATAGATTTGGAAACAATAGATCAAAAGGTTTCTCAGGCAAAGCAAACAACTTTAGAATTATGTACAAGTCACCATTCACCTGGAGTCCAGGAACAAACTCATTTCTTGCCATTCTCCATCCAACAAGTGATGGATCCCGATTAGAATTACTAAAGCCTGAATGGTCATCCTTATCTAAAGATACTGGCTTTAGTTCTAGTATCATCGCAAAAGTAAATACAACAAAAAGGTACGCTATTAATTTTCTTTTACGTGCATTTATGTGTGTATGTAAAATAATTGTGTAAACATTCTTATTTATTGTTGTTATTCAATAGATGTAATGCATTGGATTGGGATAATGTTACTCTAGAACGGCCATTAGGATTAATAACTTGCGGAATGAGCAATGGGGACATTGAACTCTGGGACCCTGCCAAGATTATTGAAAAAGGGCATGTGAAATAAGAAGAAAAAGAAAAAGAAAAAGAAGTATGGTTTGGTTGAATTTTATTGAATTAACCGTCTGGATTACATAGAAACACAGTTGTATCCACACTTTCAGGTCACACTGCCGAAATTGAGAGTCTGGCCCTGAGCCGACTGGAGCCCCATATGCTGGCCTCTACAGGTGCCAAAGGAGAAGTAATGTTTTTTTTTAAAAAAATGTCGATATATACCATTTGAAGATTCTCATTAATTAGTGGTAAACATAAAGGTGTTTGTGTGGGATATGAACCATTTGGTCAAGCCGTATGTACCAGGTGTTCCATCAGTAAGGATGGATGTTGTCACAGGTGTCTCATGGAACAGCCAGGTGCCACATATTTTGTCTACATGCTCCAATAATGGCTTTACTTCTGTGTGGGATCTTCGTAGCAGGAGAGAAATAATGTCGTTAACAGCCCAGTTTACTACTAGTACTCAAGCTGTCCAATGGAATCCCCAAGTAGTAAGCTCCAAATTAAATGGATTGGAATGGGGTACAAGTTATTTTATATAAAGAGTTGTCTTAACATTATCTTTTTTTTATGTATAGGCCACACAGCTGGTAGCAGCCTCAGAAGATTTTTCTTCTGTTATTCATATTTGGGATCTTAGACAGAATCGTCGACCTTCCAAGACATTGGTGGGCCATGAGCAGACAATCATCAGTCTATCATGGTCTTATAACAGCCCTGGCCAATTATTATCGACAGACAAGGCTGGAAGGACACTCCAATGGGACCCTTCACTAGGGACGCTTGTAGAAGAACTAGGTAGCCACAATCAATATGCTTTATGGTGCCCTCAAAGACCTGATTCATTTGCATCATGTTCTCTTGACGGAAAGGTAATATATATATATAATTTTGATATTCAGGTATCTAAACTATTAGATTAACTCTCTCGTGATTTATGATATTATTATTTTTTACTACCTGAATAGATCAAATTTTGCTCTATCCAAAGCAACCTCCCAAACGTTCCTGTAAAACAAGAGCTCCCTATATCTCCTCATCCTCGGACTGATTCGCGCCCAATTTATCGATCTGTGGGTGCTTCGTTTGGATACAACGGAAAGCTTGTCATATTCCGATCACGTTTGTCAAAATCAAACATCAATACCCCTGTACCTCAAGTACATATTATGGATATCCAGCCCTTGCCAGAGGTTACCCAAAGGGCCGAGAAACTGTTTAGGTGTCTCAGTCAGGATCTTGATGGAAGTATTGATCGACTAATTGATAAGAAAATTCAACTAGAATATAAATCTCAGGAATGGAAAATGCTGGGCGCATTAGTATCAAAGGACCCAAGACAGACAATTATAGGTCTCGTGGAAGATAAGAGAGTTCCAATGGAGTACAACAAATCAGTCGATGAGATGAGCCCTGATATGATACGACGTAAAGATAGCGATAGAGATAGAGATATGGATATCAAGATATCAAGATGCGTTTCTGTGGGTGATTTTGGATCAGCCGTTGATCTTTGCATAGAATCCAATCGTATGGCGGAGGCATTATTGATGGCCACCTGTGGCGACAAAGATCTTCTGAAACGCACACAAACTATTTACTTTGAGCAGAGGGTCTGTCCACCTTCCTATTTGTGCCTGGTCAAACATATCTTACGCAATGATCTACATTCTATGACCCATCAGTCACCGGTAGAGGATTGGCCTCATATTATTGCCGCCATTTGTACGTTTGCTAGTCCTTCTGAGTTACAAGTGTTACTCAATGCATTTGGAGATCGACTCTTGAAAAGTTTTAGATCGCAAGCTCTTATCTGCTATATGGCAGCAGGGAACATGACAAAGGTTTGTGAGATCTGGTTACAGTACTACGACCCCGTACGCACCACTGCTGTCCAGCTTCAGGATCTAGTCGAGCGTCTGTCTGTGTTCCAAAAGATTACCGGATTTGAGGCTAGTAAGAAGGACCCACCTCATGTGTTTGAGCGTCTTTACCAAGTATATTGTGATTATGCTCACTTGATGGCTACCCATGGAAGACTTGATATCGCACTTTATTACTATTCAATTATCCCAAATATTTTTCACAATACGCCTCAAATGCTGGTGTTGTACGATCGAATCTACCGAGCATCTTCTTCTATTGAGGCTGAAAACCTTAGAATACCTCCCCTGGCCTTTGAATACCAAGAAATTCTATGTAAACCGGATCTACAAAATAAGCCCCCGGAAAACACCCAGTCCACAGACCCTTCTCTCAAAGCCAGAGTTTCTCCAAATAAGCCAGCCTTTGACGCATTACAAGATCCTCTCTCTCCTCACGAGTTACCTCTATTAGAAAAGAAGCGATTTCGTAAGTAAATTATTACATTGTTGTATTTCATTTGGCTTGAGCATTTTTCAGTAACCTGCGCATAATAGCAAAAGATGACAAGAGCCACATTATACCTGAACAACGAATTATATACACGGTACTAGTAAAAGAACTTCGAGAAGCTAGGCGATGTTCTCCCGTAAGTCGTGGTATTCTTATCTCTTGTTTTATTGGAAGAAATAACATTCGTTGTTGTTGTTGTTGTTGTTCTAGATTAATCATAAAAGAACATTAGATGATACTGAGCGTAGACTCAAGATACTGTTTGATCAATTGAACAATCAGCAAGTGTCAGAGACTGTTGTTGGCTGTATGTTATCTCTTGTGAAGGCCCTTGAAAAAGGAGAATATGAAGAGGCAGAAAGGATCCAGGTAGAATTAGTGGCCACTTGTTATGATGCTTGTGGGTCATGGCTTGTAGGTGTCAAACGTTTAATTGGTCATGCCAAACAATTAAATTGTGGGTAGAATTGTGAAGGACCTTTTTTTATTACTTTTATTATTTCCTTTGGTCTTTGTCTTTGTGGTTATTATTATCATTATTATCATTATTATCATTAGCATAAAATTATACATACACATATTCTTTTTTATCATTATTTTTAAAGAAAAAAATTAATACTTGTCAAAGAAGTCTGTAAAAAAGAATAACTAAGCAATTATAATCTCAAACTGCATATACAACAAACTTCAGCCTCAAACATTTCGGTGCACTTGTTTATATATATATATATTGTCTGTATGTTTATTTATTAAAAAATGCTCATAGACGTCACGATGATCCTTCTTCTTTCTTGGTTTATGATTCAATGATGGATTCACCTACTTCATTGAATGATCGTGATGATGAAGGATCTGATCCTCAATCTAATCATCATACATGGTTAACAGCCTCAATGTCAGTACAATCTCTCACTGGACTTCATGACTCTTCTTGTCCTAGGGCCACTGAAGATACAGTTGGCATGCGACGTGGAACAAGTCAACAACCAAGTGTTGAACCCTTTCATATACGAGCGTGAGTAAAAAGAAAAGTGTGGGAAGGGGGGGAATATAAACAAATGTATAAATATTACATTAATATCGGGAAAATATATATTAAAAGAAATATACCAATAATGTATAAAGATAAAGATAAAGATTAAAAGGAAAGACAAGAAAGAATGGGGAATAGTTGAATATAGATTAGGATTTGAAATGATAACAGATTTTATTAGGACAAGGGGCAGGAGAAACTCGTTTAGCAGTTTTCTCACCACCAAACATACGCCCTTACTGAGCCGATCAAGAAGGATTACCACTCAGACAGGGGATCTGAATGGTCATCAAGAACATGAAAATACATTTCGTAAAGCCCACAGACCGCGTTCTTATTCAGAGTAAGTCAAATTCATATGCATTCTTCTCGTTGATCGTTATCAAATTTAAGTTGACTTTGTAGAGTGATTCCTGTACCAACTCCTGTGGAACGCGCGCCTCCTATTTCAATTACAAACAAGACGCCAATATACGAATACTATGGATTTGTTATGTATTTGGCGTCGTTTGTTGTGTTTGGTAAGGAAAGAGAGTTTCTGAACTGACCATTTAAAGAAAAAAGGGCTTTATTTGATCTGGGCATATGTGCCTGATAGGATCTTTCATAAGCTTGGTATCACGTACTACCCTAATCAGTAAGTCTACAACTGCACAAGCAACATATAGAGATGAACTGATGTCGCATTTTTTGTTGGGAAGGTATTGGGCTCTGGCGATTCCTATCTGGATCATGACTTTTGTCTGGTTCATCTTTGTGTCTTTTATTAGCTACAATCTTATGAACACTGCTCCTCTTGATTCATATGCCTGTATTACTGGTAAAGACACACCTAAAATAAATGAAAGCAAAAAATTAAAAGAGAAAAAGAAAAGCTTAATTGTAGTAATAATAATGTTAATATATATATATATAAATAAAATACACAATAGACGACCATGCGAACATGATGGAAGCGCCTCTGCCTTTGGACAACAGACCCTCTGATTGGATGCCCGAGCTCCACGACCTCCCGATCAGTCTGGTCAATGCCCTCTTGTATAGCCCATCCAATCAATTGCCCGTATCTACTGAAGACACTGAAGAAGAGCGTGATGCACTGATGCCCCTTCGCACGTCCCGTAAATACGTCATTGGCCACTCTTAACTATGAGCTACTGATCGAAGAATCCACTTGTATTCATGGCTTTGATCTGGTCAAAAATAATTATTAAATAAAATAAGAATAATGTTATTGGTGGAGATTGAGATGCCATCTCAAAGATAGACTAGACACGTGCTACCAAGATAAGCCAAACAGAGACATCTTATCAACGATTCCCGCAAAAAGCTTATCGATTCTTTTTTAAGATCATTACCATGACAACTATATAAAAAAAACTACTCCAAGAGAAAGAGAGAAGAAAAGAGAAGGAGAAGCATTAAATCTGGGTTTCTATTACAGAGGACAATAGTATATCCGTCTATATGATATGTAGAAAACAGGACAACTATATGTCAATTAATAATAAAAACAAAAATGAAAAAAAGAGAAAACTATAATGAAAGTATAGAAGTCAAAATGAAAGAGCTATAATGAGAGCACTATAAAAGGTAAGATAGATAAGCTTATGGTTGGGCAATGATAAGTACAAGAAAGGATGCCAACTTTTTTTTCCTACTCATGATATGATAGCTGATAAACATTAGGTCTTGGGGTTTATATCAGTACACGCCCTATTGTTTGGCAGAGGTATATAAACAACTAACTTTATTTGATTTACCATTCATCACACCTCTTCTTTATCCAATATGGCTGTCGTTTCTAACTCTGCTATTCTTTCGAAATACCTTGCCCTCGAACAAAAGGGTCAAGTCCAGGTTGAATACGTCTGGATTGATGGCTTTAGCCAGCTCAGAAGCAAGACCAAGACCGTCGACAAGGTCCCAACATCCGTCTCTGATCTTTCCGAGTGGAACTATGATGGCTCTTCAACTGGCCAGGCCGAGGGTCACGATTCCGATGTCCTCATCCAGCCCGTTGCTCTTTTCTCAGACCCTTTCCGTGGTGGCGACAACAAGTTTGTTATTTGCGAGACCTTCAACCCTGGTAAGGAACAATACAGACTACACTATCCATTTTATTTTTATTTCCTAAACAGTTATTCTATTTAGATGGCACTCCCCACAAGTCTAACTACCGTTTCGAATGTGAGAAGATCATGACTTTGTACGCTGATTCCAAGCCTTGGTTCGGTATTGAGCAGGAATACATGCTTTTTGACCCAGAGACCAACAAGCCATATGGCTGGCCCAAGCATGGTTTCCCTGAACCTCAGGTAAAAATAAAATAAATTAATACACTACACTAGACTACACTATACAATACGCTATAAGGATTTGGAGTTGAACTTGAGCGGACATTATTTTCTTATATCTATCTACTTGTTGTCTAGGGTAAATACTATTGCGGTGTCGGTGCTGGCAAGATCTTTGGTCGTGATATCATTGAAGCTCACTACCGCGCTTGTCTGTACGCTGGTGTCAACATCTCGGGTGTGAATGCAGAAGTTGCCCCTGGTCAGTTTGAGTTCCAGGTTGGTCCTTGTGAGGGTATTTCCATGGGTGACCACTTGTGGGCCGCCCGTTACCTTCTCGAACGCGTTTCGGAAGACTTTGGTATCGTGGTCTCTATCCACCCCAAGCCTATCAAGGGTGACTGGAACGGTGCTGGTTGCCATACCAACTTCTCTACCGAGGAAATGCGTAATGAGGGAGGTTTGGCTGCTATCGAAAAGTCGATCCAGAAGATTGGCAAGCGCCACGCAGCTCACATTGCCGTCTATGGTGAAGACAACGATCAGCGCCTCACAGGTCGCCACGAAACCGGTCGTATTGACCAGTTCAGCTATGGCGTTGCCAACCGTGGTGCATCAATCCGTATTCCCCGCCATGTTGGCAAGGAGGGCAAGGGCTACTTTGAGGACAGACGCCCTGCCAGTAACATGGATCCTTACAGAGTCACTGCCATTATTCTCGAGTCTACCTTTGCCGACATCTAAATTCCATTCGGAAATTGAATCTCTTTTTTCCTTTTTCCTTTTTCTCTTAATTTTTTTTATGAACTTCTTTACTATCTCGAATAAGCTTGCTATGCTGTACAGTAATCCAATCAACATATTAGTCCGCTATTGTTAATAATAATACATTTACTACCATTATTTATTTAAGTTTTTATGTCTGGGAGAACTCCGCGTATGCTTTTGCATAATCGATTTGCCGGATAACGGGTTTAGCTGTAGCTTTCTAAAGGATAATGAAGTCATTAGAAGAAGAAAAAAGTCAAGCCAAGCATGCTGTGTAACTTGCCCCGCAAAATAATAATAATAATAATAATAATATAGAAAAGGAAGAATAAGAATAAGAAGAGCAAGGTCAAGAGATGCTGTCGAAAAATTGTCAAAGATTATTAATTAGATATTTGACTTTGATATTCAAAGTGGGAAGGGTTCACAGAATAGTTTTGATTTTTAATAATAAGGTATAAGGTTATGCCCTTTTGTTAAATAGAGAAATAAATACAAATTGTGATGTACAAGAATTGTATTGTAGGGCCACAGTGGCATTCTCATAATTTTGAAAGACAAAATTTGTCTTTTAATAAGATCCCGCTAGATACCAGTTTCTATAAATGAATTGCGTGTGTATTGGCAAATATTTTTCTTCGCTTAAAATATGAATACGCTGGAAGATGAGGACAAAGAGATAGAACATATAAGATAGATGAGATTGAATTGAAACAAATATGAAAAAATTAAAAAACGATTAGCCACTGAAATCAGACCAACTACCGAGAGTACTATACACCCACTACTGATTTCCATATATGGGAATGCGGGGTCATGGAATACTAGGAAAACCGTTCAATTGTCCGGGGATCTTAAGTATGGAACAAGCAGTCGTCGTATCTTTTGTGTGCGATATTTATTGGATCTGCGGTTTGAGCTGTGAGTAATAGCTGGAACCAATCGTAGCCATTGACGCACAATTTCAAACCTAAACAGACAATAATAATAATGAGACCAAGATGCGAGCCAAAAGAATTCAATAAGCCAAAAGAAAAGACTAGAGAACACAAATGGTAGTAAAGAGCATACAACAGATCGTCTATCTTATGCGCAAGTAAGCCCTGTCAACTTACGTATCAACAGGGTCCTTCTTATAACAAGCTCTTCACCGCGGATATGCTACGGTATTTGGACCTCTTATCCGTTATAGGAACACTGTGGCCCATTCGTGCACCTTATCTTGATTGCAGCGTATGGCTTCTGCATGCTTCATCAGTTTTACTCAGCAAAAGATAGATGCTAATAATAATAATAATCTTGGATAAACCACAATAGTTGAAGCAAAACAACATCAAAAGAAATACACATATGAGCTACCAGTATCATAGCAATGTGAAGCCAAGTTCTTCTTGGCTCGGTGGGGATATCACCTTCCAGGAACATAATCAAAACGTGTAACATTAGGCATTGGGGATGATGTCTCGTAACACATCAACCCCCTTTTTTGTAGATGTTGAATCCCAGCCGAATTGTGTGTCAAACCAAACCCAGACAGAAGAAGGAAAATAAAAAATTAGGAACTATAAAAGCTCTAGGATGCAACGGTTTCTTCTTGACGATCATTATTCTCTTCTCCCTTCTCTCTTTCATGACTTCCGCCGACATTGACCAAATTGTAACCCACCCTGTACCTGAGCGCCTCCTCAAGTCGCCCGATTTCCCTACTCCCCATGTTGATTCCATGGAAAAGTACAAGGCCATGTGGAAGGAGAGCGTAGAGAAGCCCAAGGAATTCTTTGGAAAGGTTGGTTATCAACACATTTTGTAGTTTAAATTCACATAACTAACTTTCGGTCGTAGCTTGCCACCGATCTTTTGAGCTGGTCTAAGCCTTTCCAAACCGTCACACACGGCTCATTTGAAAAGGGTGATGTAGCATGGTTTCTGGAGGGTGAACTCAATGCTTCTTACAACTGTGTTGACCGCCACGCACTCAAGACCCCGGATAAGATTGCCATTATCCACGAAGGCGATGAGCCTGACAAGGTCCGTCGCATCACTTATGGAGAACTCCTTCGGGATGTGTGCCGCATGGCCAATGTCCTCAAGTCTCTTGGCGTCCGCAAGGGTGACAATGTAGCTATATACATGCCCATGGTCCCTGAAGCCATTGTTGGCATCCTAGCCTGTGCCCGTATTGGCGCCATCCACTCGGTCGTATTTGCTGGTTTCTCGGCCGAATCTCTGCGTGATCGTGTCATGGACAGCTCGGCTCGTGTCATCCTTACTTCAGATGAGGGTCGTCGTGGTGGCAAGAACATTGCTACTAAGCGCATTGTTGACGATGCTCTTCGTGATCGAGAAACTCCTGTCGAACATGTCATTGTACTTCGTCGCACCGGTACACCTGTGCCTTGGGAAAACGATCGTGATCTCTGGTGGCACGAAGAAGTGGCCAAGGCACGCACTTTCTGCTCTCCTGAGCCTATGAATTCCGAGGATCCTCTCTTCTTGCTCTACACCTCCGGATCTACTGGTGCACCAAAGGGCATTCTGCACACTACTGGTGGCTACTTGCTCGGTGCTGCTGCTACCGTCAAATACATCTTTGACTACCATGAGAACGACATCTTTGCCTGCATGGCTGACATTGGCTGGGTCACTGGTCACTCCTACATTGTCTATGGTCCTCTTACTCTTGGTGCCACTACTGTCCTGTTTGAATCCACCCCTACATACCCCAACCCTTCCCGTTTCTGGAACCTTATTGAGAAGCACAAGATTACCCAATTCTACACTGCCCCTACTGCCATCCGTGCTCTCCGCCGTCTGGGCGATGAGTGGGTCGAAGGCATCGATCTCTCCAGCTTGCGTGTCATTGGCTCTGTAGGCGAACCTATCAACCCTGAGGCATGGGACTGGTACAACGAAAAAGTTGGTAAGGGCAAATGTGCTGTTGTCGACACCTACTGGCAGACCGAGACTGGTTCTATCATTGTCAGTCCTCTTCCTGGTGCTACTCCTACCAAGCCTGGATCTGCTACTTTCCCCTTCTTTGGTATTGACCCAGTCATCCTCGATCCTACCACTGGAAAGGTCATGGATGTTGTTGATGAGACTGGTGTTCTTGCTATCCGCCAGCCCTGGCCTTCTATGGCACGTTCGGTCTACAACAACCACAGCCGCTTCATGGAGACCTATCTCTCTCCTTACCCTGGCTACTACTTCACAGGTGATGGTGCTTCCCGTGACAAGGATGGTTACATCTGGATTCGTGGTCGTGTAGATGGTAAGGTTTCATAGATTTCTCGATATCACTTATTTTATTTCATTTTATATTATTTATTTTTTTGCTAAATTATATTCTATTACAGATGTCATCAATGTATCAGGTCACCGCCTTTCTACAGCAGAGATCGAGAGTGCTCTTGTTCATCATGAAACAGTTGCTGAAGCAGCTGTTATTGGTGGTTTTGATTCCCTCACTGGCCAATGTATCCATGCATTTGTTACTCTCAAGCCTCACATCGAAGCTACCGAAGATTTCCTCACCAAAGAACTTACTCTCCAGGTCCGCAAAATCATCGGTCCCTTTGCTGCTCCCAAGCGTATCTACATTGTCAACGATCACCCCAAGACCCGTTCTGGCAAGATCATGCGCCGTGTGCTGCGCAAAATTGTCGATAATGAGCACAAGCAACTTGGTGACATCTCTACATTGGCTGATCCATCTGTAGTTGCTGTTATCATTGAAAAGGTTCACGGTCCTGTCTAAAAAAGAAATAGGAAACCAAAGACACTTCTCCTATCATTCCCTCCTTTCTCCTTCCTTCCTTAGTTTCATATACACACACTATCTATCTACCTTGTACAATAACTCCATTTCTTTTCAATATATACTTCTTTTTTTTTACGTCAATAAAAATAAAAATAAAAATCAGGTCCAATCTGCGATTGCCTATTTTAAAAATAAAAATCATAGAAAGGAAACGAATCCCAAAAATTCGTCAACCTTTTCAATTTGTCATACAATTTCCAGTTCATTCTTTGTCAAATAATATTTATTCTTTTCTTGGTTTCGTTATCTTTCATTCCTTCTTTCTTTCACCATACATACATAATTTTCTAATTAAAATTTGATCCAATTCTACCACATCACACTTTCATTATATCCCCCCTCTTTACTTTTCTTTAAATATATATATATATATTTATTTATTCTATCATCATGTCTCTCTCATTCAGAATTGGCTACAAATCTAATCTCATTCCAATCACATTGCCTCTCAACGATACCGTCCTCGGACTCAAACAGCATCTTACTTCACATACCGATATCCCACCCGAGAACCAAAAGCTGCTCTGGGGAGGAAAGATACTTCAGAATGACCAACAACTGGCAGATCTCCAACTATCTCAAGACTCCAAGATCACGTTGATGGGAAGCCAACCCCGACAACTCAAAGAGGCTGCCGAGATTGATAAGAAGCTCAACGAGCGACTCACGCTTGCCCCTAGACTTCACAAAAAGACAATTAAGCGTACTCCAAAGACATCCGAAGACCACAAGTATACATTCCATCGCATCACAACTCTTCCCGAATTCCCAAACCCTGATCAAGCACACAAATTACTAGAACGACTAAGAGACGATCGTGGGGTGAGTTATATAATATTATCAATATATATATATATATATGTGTGTGTGTGTGTGTGTGTGTGTGTGTGTTTAGAAGCACAATGATGAAAATACATGGCTTTGGCTGACTCATCCTCCTTTTTTTTCTTTTCATTTCATTCTCTTTAAAAAATTGTACTTCAAATTATTGTAGGTACGCGCAATCATGAAGGCACGACAATGGTCTGTGGGAGAATTAATTGAATTGACACCATTTGAAGCGACACTTTTGGGATATAATCGGAATTCTGGGCAATTGATTGCAATTAGACTGCGCACAGATGATCTCTCGGGATTCCGACATTACGATTCCATTCGAAAAGTGCTTCTCCACGAACTCACTCACAATGTAACAAAACATATTCATATTTTATATACACAAAATAGATAAAACGATAAATAGAAAAATCAATGCAATATGATCTTCTTCTTTTTTTTTTATTATTATTATTAAAAAAAAACCATATTGTTTTCGCACCCCCTTTTATATACATATATATTAAAAAGAAGAAAAAGAAAAAACAGCAATATTAATACTAATACTACCGATTAATAATTAGGTGTGGAGTGCACATGACGATAATTTTCATGAACTCAATAGACAGCTCAATAAGGATGTTGTAGCTTTGGATTGGACAGCCCATGGTGGCCGATCGTTGGATAATGAGGCATACTATGATCCAGAAGAAAGGGAGGAAGGGACATCATGGGAATCAGGAACATATAGATTAGGAGGTAGTCGAAGTACGCCCGATTTGTCTCAGAGAGAATTGATAGCTAGAGCAGCATCTGGTCGTCTCACAAAAAAGGAAGAACAAGAAATGGATAATGGGTGTGGTTCACATCAAGGATAAAATAAATAATAATAGTAAAGCACAATATAATGGTATTTCAACAACCACCAAGAATCCACTTCCTCCACCCCCGCCTACACACACATATATATATAAAAATAATAAAATATAACCAATAATGAAGAAAGGAAATTATATCGTTTGATTTTAATAATGTGATGTAAAAAGATGAAAAAAAAGCTCGAAGGGGAGATTTTCGATCACTCTCGACAAGACCTTTAACGGTAACGGGTAAGGGAGAGAGTGTTGCGTCTCTTCCAGTTGGCAGTGCGACCAGAACCCTTGGTCTTGGTGAAGCGGTGGCCCTTGCCCTTTCCGCGACTCTTCTTGCCAATGGCGGTGAGACCACGGGCCTCGCGACGCTTGTGGACAGCGTTGACGATCCAGTTGATGCGGGGATCGCGGCGGATGGCCTTGTGGGAGGGGTCGACAAGGATGACCTCAAAGTACTTGTAGGTAGCATCCTGGTTGATCCAGTAAGAGTTCAAGACACGGAGGTTGGCGCACTTGCGACCAACACGCTCCTCAGCGGTGGAGCGGAGGGAACGCTGGTACTTGAGCTGGTTGACTCCCTCGTTGACGGGCTTACCGAAGGTAGCACCCTTGTGGACGGGTCTCTTGCGGCCACCACGACGGACGCGGATACGGTAGATGACGAAACCCTGCTTGGCCTTGTAACCGAGACGGCGAGCCTTGTCGGGGCGGGAAGGACGGGATGCACGGTGGATGACGTTCATCTGTCTGAACTCCCAGCATCTAACACGGAGCAAGAAACGGAAGACATCCGACTGCTTCTTCTTGTAAAGCTCCTCGATATACTTGTAAGCACCCATGACAAAATTAGCCCTGTACGTATATAAATAAGAACAAAGGCAAGAATATAGAATGAGTTGCTGGTCAACGACACATTGAAGGCGAGAGTAATGTGAACAGGGTCTTGGCATCCATCGATGATCAGTTATGCATTGACAATCTGCCCATGCTCAGCAAATTAAATTTTGCATTCGCATTTGGATTTTTTTTATCTTTGCATATTCATATAATATATAATATAATATAATATATATATATATATATCGTCCCAATTTGAGGTTGTTGGCGAGAATGGATTGATAGTATGATTTGACATGCTGGTATTATTCATCCATCCTCTATCAGGCGATTGATCCATCGATGGACGTCCTCTAGTCTCGGTGTATGATTATTACCTTCAAGGAGATGTCTGGTAAAAGAGGACGAACCAGGGGGTGTGTGGCTGGGACACCTTGATGTACACCTCCGGGAAGATGCTCGGCTCGAAAATTTGTGACGTGTGTTTGCATGGGGAAGGGGGAGGGGAAAAAAAAGGACATTTACGTTTTTTTTTTTTGGTAACATAGCAAATTCAAAGAGGCTTTTTCCCTGTGCTATACCTCCTACCAATGGCGTCACGCACACTCTATCAAGCTCTTGCTGGCACACGGAAACAGCTTGTTGTTGCTCCTCGCAGTAAGCTTCCTCCTTTTTCTCTTTTTCCTCTTTTTGGCTTCTCCTCATTCCTTTCCTTCATTCTTGACTTCCTTTTTTTATTTTTCTTTGTTTTAATAATAAAAAAATAAATAAAAGCATTATAAAAGAATTGTTAATGAACAAACGTCTATAGCATGGATGAGAACTCTTTCAACTGCCCAGGGCACACCTGCCGCTCCCGAAAGTGCTCCCACTCTCGAGAGTCTTGGTAAGCACGCAATGACATCTACACACACACACACACACACACACACACACTTTGCTACGATAAAACTTGCACAGCAAACAAAATTGATGTGTGCTAAATAGTGCCTCCCACTGACGCCCTTAAGAAGCCGATCAGACGTACTATCAATGAGACTGTTGAACCCATCACACCTTACAACATGACAATCGCCAAACTTCTTGCTGCTGGTCTCCACCTTGGTCATTCGACTAGTTTGTGGGAGCCTGCCACTCTGCCTTTTATTTTCGGTACACGCGAGGGCTTGAGCATTATCAACTTGGAGCAGACCCTTGTGTACCTGCGTAGAGCTTGCAATGTCGCCCGCGAGATTGCTGTTCGTGGTGGTACCATTTTATTTGTTGGCACTCGTCCTGGTTTCCAGGACCTGACCATTGACGCCGCACGACAGTGTGAGGGCTACCATGTGTCTGGAAAGTGGATCCCAGGCACGTTGACAAACGCACACCAGGTGCTCGGACGCCACGCACCACCGGATCCCGAAGATCCCGGAAGAGCACCAAAGACCTACAAGCCCGATCTTATTGTGCTTCTGAACCCACTTGAGAACAAGATTGCGATTTCGGAAGCCCAGCTCCACAAGATCCCTATCATTGCCATCACTGACACTGATTACGATCCCCGTCGCGTCACTTACCCTATTCCTGCCAACGACGACTCGATCAGAGGTGTTGAACTCATCGCAAAGGTCATCTCTAGCGCAGCCAAGGATGGTGTTTTTAGACGCAAGCACATGCTCGATCAGAAAGTGAAGGAGACCAAATTCAACCGCAACGAAAACAACTTTTCACGTCGTTAAACAACCAAAACATATAAAACAGAAGAAGGAGAAGAAGACGAAAAAAAAGGAAATCGCGACGATGGACTTTTATATATGTGTAAAAGAACCATGAAAAAAATGTATAGATATTTTTTCCCTACAGAGGAGAAAACACACTAAATAAGGCATTAATTAAAATTACCTACATCAACACCAACACCAACACCAACACCGGCAATATCAATATCAATATCAATTTCAGTATAAATATAAATAGCACCAACAACACCAAAAAAAAACAAGTGGGGGATAAGTGAGGGGTTCTTTTTTATTTTATTTTTTCAGAAGAATTGTACATGTAATAGAGTCGATATGTGTATATATATATTATGCATAGATACATGGTAAAGAGGAATAATTGACAGGATTTGGATTTTGGATTTGAATTTGGATCTATATGGAATTTTACTGAATTTATGCAATCTCACAATGCAAAATCGAGCATTGAAATGAATCCCAAATTTTCTTAAAACTCTGAGGGAGAATTGATATGTGTATCTACATACTGGGATAAATTCATATGAGTTGGATAAAGAACACATTTGAGGCTGATCGGATGGGTTTATCCATATATTGGACGTTTTTTTATTTATTTTTCATGAGCATAACTTGGTATATATATATATATAAAAGGTGGAAGAGGAGGAGGGGTGGGAAAAGTGCTTTAGTAAAATGAGGAATTAGGATAATGTTTTTTTTTATGCGTTTTAATTTTAATGTTTTCCATTTCTTTAAAATCTAAAAGATTCAAAAATTAACCTCGGTCTCATGTTGGTAACCATTACTTTTCTATAGTGATCGTTATATTCTTCTTTCTATATTTTTAAAACAAGTTCATAAATTACTCCTGCACAGATAACTCACGATATATTTGTGCTCCCAATTGAGATGAACAATAAGGGCAAGCAAAGTGGCAAGAATATTTTTTAAACTAGCTTGGTATTTAAAAGAGATTACTTGATGACTTTTTGAAAGGTATGAAGAAGGTAATTCACTGACTAAAATATTTTCTCCATTTGAGAAAAATCTAACGGTATTGTCTAACAACTTGGAAATTTAAAGACTTTAAAGCCTTGGAAAATTCTAGATGCTTTAAGGGTTATGAGGGGTATTAGGGGTATTAGGGTCAAAAGGGTTATAGGGGCCCTAATGACTCTAACGGCTCTAAAAGCTCTAGGTGCTTTAGAGACTTCAAAGATATCAGATATTTCAAATGATTTAATGATATCACAAACATTCTTGTTATCATCATATACATATTATTATCCATAGACTATATACGATTGTAATTGTGTGCGCAATTAAAATAAACAGCAAAAAAGTAAGTAAAGTTAGGGATAAAAATATACACCATATAGCAATTGAATTTATACAAGAGAACTTTTAACTATCAAGACAGTTATAGAAATTTGAAAGGCTTTCATAAGTTTAGACAAACGGGTAGGGCAAATGGGTAGTGAATACTTAAAATTAATAACAGTATAAGAAGCACATAAGCAACTTTAGGAAGAAGTATTGTCATAAATGATTGAAGATGAGTATACAATGTATGAAATAAGAAATAATGAAACTAAACAACAAGTTCAATTGTTGTTTTAGTATCAAATATTTAAATAAACTAGAACAAACGGCTTTTTCTTTCTTAGAATAGTATGCTTATTGCTTCTTAAACTGTTCCAATGTGGACAGCCGGTCTACGTCGTATACAAGGAAAATAAAGAGTGGTTAGAATGAAATCTGTTTATCCGGAATAGTCTATATAGAGAGCAAAACGTGAGATCTCTTGTTGCGCTCAGACCGAATGGTTTGACAAAGAACTAAGGTTTTTTGAAGCCAAATGTATATATGTGCAGATGTATAAAAATTAAAAGTCATCAGAGAATTTGTTTTGTTTAAGAAGAAAAGGGGTCCCACGGATTCCCATCACAATACACAGACGTATAACCTTGTCAGTTGAAGATACTTGTAAAAAGTAATAGTTATTCAGCGAGTATAAAGCATTGACTAATTAATATCATTATAGAATAATATAAAAAGAAGAAAATATTTTATTTTATTTCATTTTGTTGGTAATAAATACATGACAGTTGTCTACATACAGACATCCCTCCCGGGGCAACCTTCCCGGGGTAACACTCCCGGGGTAACACTCCCAGGTATCCCATGCACACACATTTACACACATTATATAAGCTCATGAAATCAGTGGTCTGGTCTGGTATACCAGGATAATATTATACCAAAATACCGAGAATTTCTCTCCATTTTAATTTCAATTGAAACAAAATACGATACGATATGATATACTATACGAAATGTAATGTGTTTAATTAAAGAAGTATACATGGTATTTACACAAAAGAGAGACCAATGTTAAAATTGAATACTCTTTTGTGTGTGTGTGTGTGTGTGTGTATTTGAAGACTACTTTTTTCTTCACACACCCATATGGACACGGACCTATAACACACATAGGCATTTTATAATTATATTAAATAAAAAGAATTAAGCTTTTTTTTTCTGTTACAGATAAGACATTTATATTTTCATTTCATTTCATTTCATTTCATATAATTGGTTCCCTTTTTTTTTTAAAAAAAAAGTATTATTTATTTTGTTGCTATTCTACATCTGTATTATATAATTTGATACATATTGTGAGCTGATTTAATCATATCTATATCTCTCTATCTATTTTAAAGACAACAAAATAAGAATTATATTGAAACAATGAAACATTTTATTTTTGGAAATTTGCCAAGAAGTATACAGTAGTGAGTTTGTCCCTTTATTTTATTTTATTTTGCATAAAACAAGCCACTGAAAAAAAAGGGATTGATATGAATGAAAGAGTAGAGCAAATAAACAGAAAAAGGGGGGGGGGGGGGGATTTTTTTTTGTTTGAGAAATAATACTAATTAAAAGATAGAAGAAGAAGAAGAATAGAAAAAGAAATGACAAGAGGTTGTTTTCTTGAATTACTTTAAAGAAAGCAAATTAAAAATAAATAAAAAAAAAGATGGTTTATCTACTGCCTATCAACCTTGTTGAACGGCCTAGTGGATACTTGGACATGAATTCGGTTCTCAGGATAGATGCGATTGGTCTATGTGTTTGTGTTTGTAATTGTGTTTGTGTTTGTGCTTGTGCTTGTGCTTGTGCTTGTGCTTGCAATTGTAATTGTAATTGTGCTTGGGCTTGGGCTTGTAATTGCTGTTTTTGTTGTTGTTGGTGTAGTAAGAGTAGTAATTCTTTTTCTTTTTCTTTTTGTGTTGGAGAAATTACCGCGGACACTAGGACTGGATCGCGGCAAGTTGATCCGGGAGTCGATCCGGGAGTTGATTCGGGAGCCAATCCTTCTGGTTCTTGGCTGTCGTCTCGGTTCTTTGAGCTACAGACACAGAGCTTTAGGACGATGACGGTCGTGAGGGCCCTTTTGTCGTCTCTGGGCAGATGTTCGATGCGGTGGATTATAGGCATCCGGTTTCTTGTAATCAGCATTGCAGTCAACATGAAGCTTTTAGGCTTCAGGTGGGCGTATTCGGTCACAAGAATCAGACTGTTTGTTGAGCAGGCAGAAGGAGGGCTGTCCAGACTTCCATTAAAAGCATACTTTAGAAATTGGCCGCCGACCGTCAGGTCATACAGATCGTCTTGGACAAGGACCAGCTCATCCCCGAGCGATTTGTAGCATTCGTTTGTCATTTTGCACGACACTGGTCTTGGAGGACTATAACGTTTTTTATTTTTATTTTTATTTGTATTTGTTTGTATGGCTTACATACGTTGTGTTTGTCCACAATGTAAATACCCATTCTTTCTCTGACCCAATTGATGTTTCAAGAGAGTAGAAGCTCTCTGGAGAAAAGAATCCTGTGACTTTTAAAAAGTTCATTTATCAAGCAATGGTGTATTTATTACAAGGGATAGTAAGTAAGCAATTAATGAATGAAAGAAAGAAAGAAAGAGAGAGAGAGAGAGAAAAGATATATAGATATATTTATATATATTTACAGCCAAAAATAAATAAGAAATACCAAAAAAAAAGCAAGCTCCTTAATGAGGAAAGTGCATGTTGGTTCTTGTTTGTATGAAACAGTTTGAACGTTCTCAAAACTAATCAAGACGGCAATAAACCCACCAAAAGCTTTACTAGAACATGGTTCTGTCTTGAAAGCAAAGCAAGAAAAATACAGTAGAGATAATTTTGTTCGAACCTGTCCACCCCCTTGCTCTCTCCTTTCCTTTTCATCAGGTATAATTTACTTGTCAGATAAACACTTTGGGGATCAAACAGGAGTAAAAGAAAAGAAAATACCTCAGGGATCGACCTAAGGAGCTTATCAAATCACTTTTATATAAAGAGGTTACAGAGTTGGTTTCTTGAAAATGTGCACTAATATTTATGTTCTATATGCCATTGGAATAGCTTGGTTTAATTAATTAATTAATTAATTATATATATATATATATACTTTTACTTTCTTTAAACAGATAATAATGACTAAAGAAGTATTGATTGAATGTTTGTAGAATAGCAGGAATGCTGATGATGGCGTTTAAAGGCCATGTAGATAAAATAAATAAGGTATGGTGGCTAATAAACCCTTGGGCCCTTTGAAGGAAGGGGAAAAAGGTTCTTTCTTTCTTTCTTTCTATACTTGGTATTAGTGCTCTATTGTTTTATACATCATCTAAAGATAAGGACCGGTTGATTCTTTTTTTTTATGGCTATTGCGCAAAAACAAAATACCAAAGCCTTTGGTGTTTTTCTTATTAAAAATGGATTTCATTAAAAGTATTCTTTTGGAAAATACCCACAGACTGACAGACTGACTGACTGACTGACTGACTGACTGATTGTAAAGAATAAAATAAAAAATAAAGAAATTGTCAGTGCATGCTACTTATTTCCATTCTCAGTCCATTCGAAATCCACGCTATAGAAATACACCAAAAAGATGCTTTTTATTATTAATTTTTAGTCTGGGCAAGTTTCCTTTTTTCTTGCTTATTGAATTTTAAACCTTGATAACTTTATTATTTGTTTGTTTGTTTATTTTCTACTTAATATTTGAACTTCTTTTTTTTTTTTTTTTTAAAAAAAAAAGAAGGGGATTTGTTTCTTAAATAAAAAGAAAAGAAAAGGGCTATTGGGGAATTGAAAAGATATATTGATCAAAATTTGTTGTTATTAAAATTGACTGACGCTTGAACACCCCATATATATATATATATTATTTGTACATAAAAATTGCTTCTCTTTAGATTTAGCTTTAGATTTAATCAGTTTTGGCTAGTGTAATATTAGTACACCCTGCTTGTCACCAACCAACCGACCAACCAACTAGACAAATAAACAAACGTATAATAATTATTAATAAAAAGAAAAAAAAAACATTCAAAATACACCTACACACATATAAATATATATATATATAACTTCATTCAAGTAGGCTGTCCCACCTTAAATTTGTAGGTGAGTTGAGACTTATTTGAGTTGGGAATATACCCGAGAAAGAGAATGAAATATCCCCCTCTTTTGACAAAACCCTCTGTTTATCCGTATACACGTATACATAAATATATTCAAAATTTCTTTGTGAATGAGTTAATCCAAGGAATCACCAAGTTTACTATTAAAGGATAAAGCAAAGCCTTTTTAGATATTTCACAGCTAATATATAAATTTATTTATTGGAATTATATAATATAAAGTATACATATTTGCGTCAGAAAGTAAATCAAAGAAAGGTATCTATGGTTATATAATTATATAAACATAAAGTGCATGTTATTTATACTCCGCTATTTACGTCAGAATATTTCTGCAGCAAGGTTTGATCAACATCATCATTATCATCATTATTATAGGCAATTAGTATATATAATATAAATAAATAAAGTGAAAAAAAATGAAAAAAAAAATTTTCTTGTTGTTTTATTTTGGCTTGTATATATATTATATATACACATGATTTTTTTCATTCTCAGACAGCCAAAGCAAATAAAACAACAAGTGTCGCGCCACGAATACACTCCTTGTCCCTTTCACACCAACTTATCTTTTTGCAATAATAAAAAATGGAGCAAACCTACATCATGATCAAGCCCGATGGTAAGAATATGAATTAATTAATTAAAAAAAATCAATTTTTCTAAATAAATAAAAAATCAATCACCATGGAAACACACATTAATAAAAATGTTTATATAGGCGTTGCCCGTGGTCTCGTTGGTGAGATCATCAAGCGTTTCGAGCAGCGTGGTTACCAGCTCGCCGCCCTTGAGTTGATGAACCCCACCAAGCAGTTGCTCGAGGAGCACTACCAGGACTTGAAGGGCAAGGGTTTCTTCGCCGGTTTGATCGAGTACATGGCCTCCGGACCCGTTGTCGGTATGGTCTGGGTTGGTAAGGATGTCGTCAAGGTTGGCCGCAAGATGTTGGGTGAGACCAACCCCCTTGCCTCTGCTGCCGGTACCATCCGTGGTGACTTCTGTATCGAGGTTGGACGTAACATCTGCCACGGCAGTGACTCTGTTGAGTCTGCCCAGCGCGAAATCGCTATGTGGTTCCCCCGTGGTGTCAAGGTTGCCTCCCGCAACACCTCCCTCCACGCCTTGATCTACGAGAACTAGATTAAGAATCAAAAAAGCTAAAGCTAAATTTGTTCCTTTTTATTATTCATCTAAAATCAATAAAATAAAATAAAATAAAATAAAATAAAATAAAAAACAAGTCAAGTCGAGTCGAGTCGAGTTTCTCACGCCTTCAAACGCCACATAAACGCACAATACAACGCCATGTACACAAGCACCATTGGGCAAGAATAATAATAATTTGTGTATTTGTTTTGCACACTTTGGCTTTTATATATAATATATATATATATATATATATTCTTTGTTTAATGTGTAACAAGGCTTATTCACAAAGTGCTGCTGTAGATTATTCAACTTGTACAATTACATATAATTCAATTCAATTTACAAACATTTTTCTCTCTCTCTCTCTTTTTTATATATATATATATAATATATAGTGGTAATCTAAATTTGGGGCAATAATAGTAATAGTAATAGTAATAGTAATAGTAATAGTAATAATAATAGTAGTAGTAGTAGTAATAAAGACAAAAAGTTAAATCGTAAAAATTCATCCGCAAAACAAGAGTAAAAGAAAACAAGAATTGAAACAATAATGAAAATGAAACTAGAAAATATAAGAGATATAATTTGACCTCTTTATCTTTCTGACTATAATGTATTTTTTTTTTCTTTAAAAAAAAAAAGGGGGGGGGGGGGGGTTAATGCTGTATTTTGACGTCTGCCATAGGAATGCTCATAAGATCGCTTGATGTCTTTTTAGCCATACTCTTTTCCTTCATCTCCACTTGACTATAAAAGATATTCATAGACCAAAAGTAAGGTCAGATAATTCAACTAATGAATCATAGTCATTTTCTTATGTTACTTACGTGTACCATCCACCGCCAGCCAAGGTCAACAAAATGCCAGCAAAATTTGTAGCAGTGATGTGCAATTTAAAGATCATTACTGCCAAAACAATAGAAAGAACTTGCTTTACGTTGCCTACACAACAAACCCATATGAATAAATAAAAGAGTTTATTTTTGTTTTTGTTTTGGTTCTTACCTGCAACTGTCATTGTTAATGCACTGGTCTTTTTGTTGGCTGTGAAACTGACGACGTTCAAGAAGAATGCGATGACGCCGTTGATCAGGAGCGCAAAGAATAAGGACCAGGAGAAGCTTGTTCTGCAAAAGTTGATCACCAAGGCCAGTTCGCCGGTGATGTATGCATAGGTCAGGGTCTGGACGAATGCGAGCGGAGACATGCGAAGCAAGAGATCAAGTGGGTGGAGCTTCAGTCGTCCCACCTGAACCCGGTTTGTCACGATTGTTTTCAACGCCGCCAACACAGTACCCAGAACAGTGAGGAAGAAGCCCATTGCGGTGTAGTCATAGTCACCAAAAGTTGCAAACGCAACACCCAAAACCACCTATCATTCCATTACATTTACATGTTAATATCGATATTTTGTGTACGTATATATCTATTATCTTGTTCTTATAGTCTCTATAATCCCTATAATCCCTATAGTCCATATAGTCCATATAGCCCTTTATATATATATATATTCCTTAATATTCCTTATGGTGCTTATATCCCTCTTTCTGCCTTTCTTTGTATTGATCCAACAATGAAATTATATACATAAAAAAATAAAATCCGGGTGAATAATCTATCTATCTTACCGGTAAGAGTGAAATGTAGATCATCTTTGAATATCTTTTTTTGAGGAACATGAGCGAGATAATGATAGTGAATACTGGTGTCATGGCACGAACCACTTGATGGAAAGGAACAGTGACAAGGTTCCTGAATAAAACAAAAAGAGACCAAAATGAAGAATGTCAGATTATTATTATTATTATTATTATTATTGTTTTGTTTTTTTTTCTTTGGTTAGTTGGATAGTTGAGCTATGGAATGAAATGAAATAAAACAAAAAACAAATAATGACTTACAGGGATACGTTGCTGATGGCAATGTTGATTGTGTAGAGGACAGAGAATACAAGCATGATCATGTTTTCACGCTCACCTAGATTTGCAGGAGCAAAGATATCTGATTGCCAAAAGACAAATGAGCCAACTGCACCACAAAAGGTGTGGATTGCAGTGAGTGTCCAGGGAAAGGGGAAGTCGAACAGAGACATGATGATCTTGTTGTACAAGGTCAAAGTCAAGTTGAGCACAAAGTACATGGCCAACCAGACCATGGATGAGTCTAGGCATGCGACTGAAGACCGGGATGACCGCGTTGAAAGATTAGAACTCGAGGCCATGATGAACAAAGCAAAATTACACCACACAAAATAAAATAAAATAAAAATCAAATTACAAAAATTAAAAAAAAAAAAAAAAATTAAAAAAATTAAAAAGGAAAAAGAAAAAATAAATTACAAAATTCTTTTCTTTTTCTTTTTTTCTTTTTTCTTTTTTCTTTTCTTAAAGAAGAAGAAGAGCGAAAGAAGAAATATATATAAATAAATAAATAAAAGAAGAAGAAGAAGAAGAAGAAGAAGAAGTAGTAGAAGAGAGAAAGGAAGAATGGGGGGGAGGGAGAAAAAGAGATGAGTGACGAGACTTTGGGGGAGAGATTGATACAGAGATAGAGATAGTGAGGCGGAGGAAATAATTTTCTTGTAAAATAAAATAAAATATATATATATATATATAATATATTTTTGATTCATTTTTTTGTACCTTTTATTTTTTTCTGCTAATTGTCCATATGTTTTGGCTTGTATTAGTTTAGTGGCTAATTAAAGCTGTACCTGTAAAAAAAAAAAGAGAGAGAATAATTTCATTTCAGATCAATTTCTAAAAAAGAAAGTGTATATACATCCATATTATAAAAAAATTATATATATATATATATCAAGAGATCGACAATTATATAATTAGATGTATTTTTTTATTTTATTTCTATACATCTTTAAATCACCAAGAAGTATCTTTTATTATATATATATTTATACATCTTTGTAGTTGACTATATATTATATATATACATTTTATATTTATACACGTGTGTGCCTTGAGTCTCCGAACATCTTCCTTACCTCTTCAGGCCATTTGAACAACGAACAAGTTGTCTTTACTGCTTTTATCCAATCCGGAGCACAGTTCCCTTCTTCCCGTTCAATATATTTATATATATTTTATTTTATTTTGACATTTTTCTTTCTTTTTCTTTTATATATATATATAAATATACTACACAGCTACAGGCCATAATATCATATCAATACTTTGATACCACACACCGAGTATATACAAATGTCTAGTAAATGCCAAGCCCTTTTCTTAAATAAACGTACAAGAATAATACGCATAGAATTTTGTTATTACCACTACAAAAATAAAAAATAAAAAAAATTTAAAAAAAAATTGTAGAACATCTAAAAATAGAAAGTAATTAAATCCAGAAACCTGAGATAAACATAAAGATATTCAGTACATTGGCCCAGAACTTTACTTTCTATTTTATATATTTTTGGTCTCAGAAATATTTATATCAAATACAGTCAGTCAATGAAAAATAATAGTAATAGAGATAATCAATACGAGAAAATGCATTTTTATTGGTATTGGAAACAAAAAAGAGGTGCAACAAAAGAAATTGTTTGTGGCTCTCTTCTTCTTCACTTTATTGCCATTTTAAGGTCAAGGACAAGGGGCCATCGTATCTGATGTTTGGCATCTATCGGAAAATATAGCCAAAAATCCTGATCCACAAAATCCACAGCCAAAAATCAAAATCCATGATCCATGATCCATGATTCCCCCCTATCGAGAATCAAAAACAAATTTGTCCCCTATATCAATTGATTCACATCACCTTAATTATTCTCTATGGAGACCTTTGGGTTAATCCCAATGTCTGGAAGCCTCTCAAAATTAGCCCTCCAGTTTCTACATACTACAACACCGCTAGCCAAAAAAATTCAACCTAATGAAAATATTTGGGTCGCCTGCTTTTCGTTTTGAAATACTTGAGCATCTCATAATAATAATATCACAAAAATACAATAAAGTAAAGAGAGAAAGGTATACTAGTCTATTATCATATCGCTACAAGACAGCGCTGTTTTCTCTATAGAGTTCTACTTTAACTCTTCTACTCTTTGGAGCTTGTATACCCTATAATGTATGTCCTATCATAATTTCAGGTAACTTGGCCTGGTATTTCTTTCTTTGTGCAACACTTAATTGTGTTGCAAAAGACACGGGTTGTTCAGGTAATTTAAATACTTCCTGCTAGGATTTCAAGCGTTTCAATCCAAACATAGGTTGTGTATCTTAACCTTTTTATCTTAAATGCCTAGTTTGGGAACACAAAATAGAAAAGGATCTTTGTTTGTTCAATTTGAGGCTGGATAAATCCATCTTCACGCTTGAATATCATTTTTTAGCAATAGTGGGTTGAGTCAATATCTTATGTAACAGATGAGATTAATATGTAAAATATTGTTACCAGAGCCAAATGATTGCATTATCCAAACCAAATATATATATATATATATATATATATATATATATATATATATATAGTCAATTTGGGAAGAAAAGTTGGAAAGTAAATTATAGTCCCCAACCCCCCCCCCTTTATTTCTTTCTTTCTTTCTCTCTTCTCCTTTAATCTCTATTATGATACGTGCCTGGTTGACCCAAGGGAATGATAATGAGACTACACTTCTGACTGACGGCCAAGCATTGGAATATAATTCTGTTCATACGCCCAGCATAAAAAGTGACCATTCGCCACAACTGACAAGTAATATCGTGCCTCATAAATGTGTAGTTGTAACATATATAAAAGTATAGATGTAGATAATTCCCAAACTTACATGAGAAATACAGCTACTTCTGACTCAATAAACTTGAAGGACGTGAAATTGTACTGGACCTTGTTTAGGAAGAGACTAAGATACTATATTCCTGTTTTTCAATGGGCACCGGATTATTCGGCCTCGTTGTTCAGTCATGACATTTTCTCTGGTTTAAGCATCGCATCTTTATTAATTCCCCAAGCACTATCCTATGCAACTACACTATGTAGAGTTCCAGCTGTTAATGGTCTGTACACTGCCTCTGTGTCAGGACTTATTTACGGATGTTTAGGAATGTCACCGTATGTTACTCAAAGCTTCCATTATAGTTTATTTATTTTTATTTGTAAAGTCCAAAAAAAAAACGAACGCTTACCTATAAAGACATCTTATATTATATCCTTTTAAAACAAACAGACATCTTTCTGTTGGTCCTGAGGCCACAGTCTCTCTTATGATCGGGGCAAGTATAGCCCAACAAAGCTCCCGCTACGATGGTGAAGTCAACCCAGAGACAGCAGCAGCGGTTGCCAGTCTTACCGCTTTATTTGTCGGAATCTTCACACTCGGCCTAGGCCTTTTGAGATTCGGTTTCCTCGACAGTCTGATAAGTCGTGCCCTGCTGCGTGGGTTTATTACGGCAGTTGCAGTTGTTGTAATTGTCCAACAGACAATATTAATGCTTGGGCTTGAAGAAATGGCAAGGCTTTCAGGAATTAAATCCGACTCGACGACAATAGAACGCTGCATCTTTATCTTTTTGAATATCAGGCACGCTCATCCCTTAACCACTATTGTTTCTACGAGTACGCTCATCGTCCTTTTTGGAAGCGCATTTGCCAAGCGTCAGTGCTGCTTTATCAAACGAGTTCCTGAAGTGTTACTTGTTGTGGTGACCAGCATTATTGTGTGTCGATGGAACAGATTGGACCTGGCTGGACTGAGTATCCTTGGCAGCGTCGGATCCTCTGGCATCAACTCACCACTTCCAGTTCCAAGTATCCCATATTTACCAGCCTGGGGAAACCTAAGGACAGTCCTCATGGATTCAGCAATGATTTCTATAATTGGATTTATTGAATCTATTGCTGCCTCCAAGCTTTTCGGTAGACGTTATAATTATTTTGTCAGTGCGAACCGGGAACTCGTAGCATTAGGAGTCAATAACGTCATCGGTGGATTCTTTGGAGCTTTCCCTGCATTTGGATCTGTAAGCCATCATAGAAAGTAGTTAATTCTCACAGCTGTTTCCTTCTTATTCGATTATCATATATGTATATTAATCACAAGCAAACAAAAAAGTTTCCTAGAAGCAAAGTTCATGAAACGGTCTATCCAAAAACCCAAATGTCTGGCATTATTGCTGGAGTCACAACTCTGGCCGCCACCGCATTTCTATTGCCCGTGTTTTTCTACCTTCCTAAAGCTACTCTGTGCTGTATAATATTCGTTGCTGTCACGTCGTTACTTCAAGAACTTCCTTCTGATCTTAGGTTTATGTGGAAGCTGAAGGCTTGGAAAGATGCAGCTCTTTTGGGAACAATTTTCTTCACTACGATGATCTTTTCTCTTGAGGTTGGGACTTGTGTTGCAATAATTATTAGTCTGGTTGCTACTGTCCGAAATAATAGCTGTCCTCGTATAAATGCTCTAGTAGGTATATCTGTATCATACAAACATATCTATTTCTTAATATCATTGTATCGTTTATCAAAAATACAGGGAAGAGTAAAGGGTACCAGTGAATTCTTGCCAATAAATTCCAATCAATATAGCGTTGAACACATAAAAGATACGCTAATTGTACGCATTGAAGAACCATTGCATTTTGGAAATGCGGGTAAGATATATATATAATATTTATCCGGATGGCTTAATGACTATTCTTCTTCTTAGGAAAACTAAAAGAGCGATTACGACGTATTGAGCTGTTTGGAAATCTAGATATCCATCCATCTGAAGATCCAAGCAAAAAAGATGTAAATAGTATTATTATTGACTTGGCAGGAATGGTATCTATTGATCCAAGGTAACTTGTACATATTCTACACAATCGATCGCTAACATGCATATATATATATATATATGTATATTAGCGGTGTTCATGTATTATATGAAGCTATCGAGTCTTATACTCAACAGAATATAGAGGTCTACTTGGTAAGTATTCAGTCCAATACATCGGCGCTGTTACATCGAGCAGATATATTTTGTCTAGTTCCATCGAACTACATTTTTTCAAGACTTTCCGAAGCAGTCGAGGCAGTCGAGATAAAATCTCGACCTCTTGTGTCAATCGAATAAAATAAAACATTAGAGTATTGTATTGTAATTCACGCAAAAACTATTTATCTTTGATTATAATCGTCCAGTGATGTTTGATGTATAAAATTTCATGGTTACTACTTGTTAATATGTATATACAAAGATCTCTGTCTTGGGCGTTTAGATTTTTAAAAATTCTTAAAGAATCCCTAAAAACTCTTAGGCATGCCCTTTTTTTTTTTATATATATAATTATTTCCGCACATGTACCTGCTACTTCCACCACTTCCTCCTCCTTTTAGCAGAATTGGAGTAATAGGAAAGCTATAGACATCTTTTAGGGGCTTTTGTGGTATTATCGACAGCAGCCTAGCCATTTCACTATTTTGTAAGACAGCCGGAACTACTTTGGTCGTTAATTCTGTACCAGATGAGAGCAAACCCGGCTTTATCCAAATTTTTGTACTTGACGTCATAGAATACTATTTAAGGTGTATATAAAACCTTTGGTGTATGCATTTCTCAAAGAATAAAAATTGTAGCTTGACCTCCAAATGGCTCGACCAGGAAGTAATAACGCTGGTTCATCACAGAGTACAAACCACATAAAAGAGGATCTTGATTCTCCCGAAATTTCACCTATATCATATACCTTTGACGAAAGAAGCTCCTTTGATATTGGAAATATCACGAAAAACAAAGAAGTGGAAGTACACAATGAAGATGATGATGAAGATGACCAGGATGAACAGGATGATCACGGCAATCAACCAATATTGCAACGTTCAAACTCCACCTCTCTCCGAGGATCTACATTTATTAAAGGCCGAAGTACAATATGGAAGATATTATTTTTAACTATATGTCTAGCAGGGTAAGCATACTACTTGTAAAATATATAATAATATATGTATACATAACGACGCGCTCTATAATACAAATACTTAAAGATTTAGCTTTGTGTTTTTTTTATGTATATTTTTCAGACTTCAATTTACATGCAAGTATATTTGGCAATATTTCGACGCTATATATGTACAATAGACTGAACTGCTTTATTTACTTACATTTACTCTCAGGGACTGTAGAGATGGCATACGGTAAATTCTAATTTTTGTTTTTAAAAAAATAAATAAATGATACATCTTTAGAATGTGACATCAATACTTATATACATAGCATAAACAACAGGAACCCCTTATTTGTTATCCCTTGGACTCTCGAAAGCATACATGTCATTAGTATGGATTGCTGGACCACTTTCAGGTAATAAGTTGTTTCAGACATCAACTATACATATAGAAATGTACGCATGTACACATTCTTACTTTCCTGTCATATTTAGGGCTTCTCATGCAACCAATTGTCGGTGTAGTATCAGATAGGTGCACTTCAAGATTGGGTAGACGAAGACCTTTTCTTATCGGAGGAAGTGTTTTTGTCATATTGAGTCTTTTGATTATTGGATGGACAAAAGAAGTAACCTCTGTACTGACTGGTGCACAGAGTGGAGATACGGTACATAATAGCAATAATTAACGTGTAAAAGTGCTTGATTTCACTGACTAATACTTTACATATTTGTGCATAGTTTAAGAAAGTGTCAATTGGAGTAGCCATCTTTGCTATTTATTTGTTGGATTTTAGTATAAACTGTGGTGAGTAGGTATGAGTAGGAGGAGTACTAGCACGCCAAAATAGAGACTTAAACGACCACAGTCCAAGCATCTTGTAGAGCGCTCTTGGTTGATTCTCTTCCACCTTCTCAGCAAGAGGATGGAACTGCCTGGGCAGGTCGAATGGTTGGAATGGGAAATGTCATTGGATACTTTATGTGAGTAAAATAGATACCATGGGCGTTTTTTTTATTACAGAAAAAAGTTGACTTTATTTTCTACACTTCTTCTTTTTAGGGGTTATGCTGACCTTGTTTCTGCTTTCCCATTTCTTGGAAATACCCAACTTAAAGTGCTTTGTGTTTTTGCCTCAATTGTACTTGTAGTGTGTGATGCAATCACCTGTTACGCAGTTAAAGAGCGAGTTTTATCAAAGGATTCAAGGTGTGGACAAACTTGGATAACCCCTCTCACCTTCCTCCCAAACTATTATAATAACATCACATTTGTCGTTGTCCTAACTAACTGTGTGTAACTTAAGAAAGAAATCCCGTGGATCACCATTTAAAACGTTCTCAGACATCGGTAAGCATATTTGGAATCTTCCAAAACCTATACGCCGCATATGCAATGTCCAATTCTTTGCTTGGATCGGATGGTTCCCATTTCTCTTCTATTCCACTACATGGGTCGCCGAGATCTACGATCAAGAAGCCTTGAAACGGCCAGAAAATTCCGCAGACGATGCAGTTGGCCAGGCAACCCGCGCTGGATCATTTGCTTTCCTGATCTATTCACTCGTTTCACTTGGAGCATCATTTATCATTCCATTGATCGTATCCCCCTCTTTTCGGGAAGATTACACACCAGCCCCGACATATAATCTAGAATTCAAGTTTCGTGGTCGAAAGCATGTCTTCACTCCATCAAAATACCTCAAGATCTCCTTTCTTACGCTTCCTCGCGCATGGACAATAAGCCATGTTATATTCTGTATTGCTATGCTCTGCACCATATTTGCTAAGGATGTTGTTGCAGCCTCGGTAGTAATCGGCATATGTGGAATTAGCTGGTCAATCACCATGTGGGCTCCATTCTCACTTTTGGGTGAATATATTGCACAAAACGAAGCACGCTACGGAGGAATGTCATCAGCAAGACAGTCAGAGGACCAACCTAGAGGCTCGCATCCTCTCGGAATTCATCAAAGCGCCATGTCTTCTCGAATCAGTCTAGCCGCTGGCGGTGCTGGCATTGGGACAGAAGGCGGCTTATACCATATTGTAGAACACTTTGAGCCACCAAGCCGGGGTTCGGATGAAGGTCAACTGGAAATGGGGGAATACAGCCACCCTCACACACAGGTGTACACCCCGTCGCATACAAGTGAAGCTGAAGATAGCACACAGCCCATGTTATCGGAACATAATGGGATCACAAACTCCTCAGAACAGTCTACACACCTTCCAGATCCGAATAGAAGAAATGGTGACGGACATCGTCTTGACAAAGATGATACTCCCTCTGCAGGAGTTCTCCTGGGAATTCACAACATGTATATTGTTCTTCCTCAATTCTTGGTCACTTTCTTCAGTAGTATTATGTTTCATTTCTTAGAGAAGAATCTACCAGAAGGAGAAGACGCTTCACCTGATGCCATTGGAGTAGTTCTTAGGTTTGGTGCAATTATGGCTGGTGTTGCTGCATACTTTAGTATGCGTGTCAGATAAAAAAAAAGAAATCAAAGTCTTGAGTCGTAAAACTTGCATTTGAAAGCATTTTCTTAAATAGAAGTATATTTCTTGAATAAATAATAATATTATGATATTGTATACATGATATATATAAAATAAAAGAGAAGAAAACTATAAAAAAAAAGGCATTGAATTTACAGTACAAATTAATCAAAGCTCATAAAATAATTATTCAGGTTCAAAATGGTGAATTCAAATGCAACACTTGAAAGTGGCTTGTTTGCCTAAAATGCTTGGAAATTCCAGCTGTCTTTTTTTACCTGCTCAATTATAATTAAAATCGAAATCATGGCAAAGAAAATCGTCAAGAAGCAGGAGATTTCCATCAAGAAGCAAGAGATTTCTATCAAGAAGATCGAAAAGAAAGAAGATCCTGTTGTGTCCGAAAACGAGGACTCCCAAAGCGATGTTGAATCTGTAGATCAAGAATCCGATGCCGAAGCTGAGCGTGACAGCTTCAACGGATCAGATATGGAAAGCGATGCTGACGATGAAGAAGAAGAGAATGACGAATACGAACCCATGGAAGTTGACCCTCACACAGGTACACAATCTCGGAAAGATCAATAAAATGAAGGTCAGATTTTACTTACCCTGTAGGATCTGATTATAGTCAAGCCCAAGAAGAAGGTTGTCACCGATGAGGCATTCGCAGAAGCTATGAAAAACATTCTCGGTAGTACTTTGAAAGCTGCAGACAAAAAGGTAAATAGCCATTTGCACAAAAACTGTATTAAAGACAAATAAATCAAAAGAGCCTACATATGTATTTATTTGAACTTGTATATCACTATAGCAACCAATTCTAGCAAGATCCAAAGGTACCGAGCGTAAGATCGAAGATGAAAGATTAGATCACAAGGCACGTAAGGTTCTATCAGCAGAGAAGAGAGCCCTTAAAGCCCAGGGACGAGTTGTTCCTGACTTTACCAACATGGAATATGAGAAGGCACTGAGAAAGGTTGCCACACGAGGTGGTAAGTTAATGATTAAAACATATAAAGAGCATATTCTGATGATGGCCCATATTAGTTGTCAAGCTGTTCAATGCTATCAATACACAGCAAAAGGTCACAGATGTTGCAGTAAGCAAAGCATCAGAGGTTCGCAAGGCCAAGGTGGCCATCGAAAAGGCAAAGACAAGTAAGTAAACATATATATATATATATTATATATTGGGATATAAATTTCGCTCATCTAATTATTAATTTTTTCTCTCTCTCTCTAGTGTCTGTTATGCCAAAATCAAGCTTCTTGGAGCTTCTCAAGGTCGGAAACGATTCCAAGAAATAGATATCATTTTTTTTAAAACCAGTCTTCTTCAACTATGTACAAATAAAGTAAAAAAAAAAGAAAAGAAAAGAAAGTAAGAAGGAAGGAAGGAAGGAAGGAAGGAAGGGAAGGGAAGAGAAGGGAAGGGAAAATATCTTGTCAATCTATGCAATCTCCATTAAAGAAAAGGAGGGGTTCGTGACGTGGAAATGGTTCAATTTAAGGGTGCGTCAGCAAATGTGAATGCCTTTGGTATTCATTCACTTTTGTCTCTCATGCTTTGCTCAATCGCCAGAAAGGCATCCCCAGTATTACTTCAGGCTAAGCGAGTATGTTTTCGGGATTCTACACCCAAAGAGTATTTTTAAGTTCTTGACACAAGCCGTAATATTCTTTTTATAGACCTTTATTGGTCGCCCTGACTATGGAGCTACCATTAGCAGCTGGTCGGAATCACCAGTTGCGCAATCCGTAATCCCGTTTGTTATTGAACAAACAGTAAGTTAGACTCATCCGTATAAAACAAACTGTAACTTGAAAAAAAAACATATTGTGATATATAAAAAAAGGGCCGAGGAGAGCGATCCTATGATATATTCTCTCGCTTGTTAAAGGAGCGTATTATTTGTCTCAATGGACCAGTAAGTGATCAAAAAGTAGTTGGGAGCTCTTTTTATTTTCCTTTTTCTTCTGTTTTCCGGGTTGATCGAACAAAACACTCTGGATAGGTGAATGATAATGTCGCAGCTGTTGTTGTGGCCCAATTCCTGTTCCTGGAAGCAGAGAATCCCGAGAAGCCCGTCAGTCTGTACATTAACTCACCCGGAGGTAGTGTAACAGCTGGTATGGCCATTTATGATACAGTAAGCTACTATAAGGATTTGTACTTTGTTGTTATTTCTTTCTTTATTTTTATTTATTTACTTTTTTACTTAAACGTATGTGTGTATGTGTGTGTGTGTTTCTGTTTTTTTATAGATGCAGGTAACCTGATCAATACCAATTCTGTGAACAACAATGCTTATTCTGTACTAGTATATCCAATCGCCTGTATCTACATTGTGTAACGGCCAAGCATGCTCTATGGGCTCTCTTTTACTGGCAGCAGGTAAAGTAAATGGACTTTGCTTATCTAGATATCATACTAAATAATCTTTATATATTAGGTGAGCCTGGGAAGCGATTTGCTCTTCCTAATTCATCGATTATGATCCATCAACCATCTGGAGGCGCTGCTGGTCAGGCGTCTGACATTGCTATCCATGCACGTGAAATCTTGAGGGTCCGTGAGCGCCTAAACAGGATCCTTCAGAAACATACCGGAATACGGGAGATTGAAACAATAGGTAAGCTTAAACTAAAAATATTTTGCGCAGAAACTGGCCTTGAACTCATATTGAATTTGAATACAGAGAAAATGGTCGAACGTGATTATTTCATGTCTGCTGAGGAAGCATTGAGTTTTGGCTTGATAGACAAGGTGCTTGAAAAACGAACAGAACAAAAAGATTTGTTGAAGAAGGACTAGACAGTTAAAATCGCACAAATGAAATCCACAAATGATTTTGTGGCCAAACGAAGCACGTTTTTGCTGATATTCACACCCTAAGATTTCAGATAGAATAATAAAGAAAAAATATATAAAAACAGAAAAGAAGATGCTTTGTGCGTGTGTTTGTGTTTGTATATAGACACTCAATTGGTATCATAATTGGGATAACTGATCTGGTCGGATAACAATCCGAAACCCTAGTCTGCATGTACCTACACTAATATGCAGTTTTGTAGGCATAAAATAATGCAGTTATATTTATGAACATAATTAATGAGCCTATTCAGTATATAGAGAGTTTTATTTTTGAATTTTGCTTGACAAGTTTGAGTAAATACAAAGAAGGAAAATGGAATCAAGAGGATATTTACAGCAGTTAAAGTAATTATTCATTGTGGTATTGGAGGAAAGGGTTTTTCTTTGTATGTGTGTATGTATTTTTTTTTTTACAGAATCATCATATTTTAATATCATTTTTCGGGCTTTAGGCTGCTCAATTGAGGTTGAGACATAGTAACAAGAGTGTATTGAGCTACCGTTATTTTTATACTTTTTTGTTTTAGTGACCTGTAGTATCATATTAGAGAACAAGAAATATATTCTAGCTAATGTTGAATAAAAAAAAGTATGACTTACAGCTTGAACAAGCACAATCAGGACACCAGCTTGTTTCAAAATATCGTCGGTGAATTAAGCAGTAATTTTTTCCACGACCAGTATATATTTTGATATTCATGTCGGTCTTTATGTCTGTAAAAGTATTGCTTGAACCGATAGGTGGCAATCTCCTTTCAAAAGAAGTATTTGTCATGAGCACCGCGAAGAGAAAAGTAAAGGAAGAAAAAAGAGGAATAAAGGTACACAAGAAAACATACATAGTACTTTTATAATAAGGAGCGATCGCCAGAGTATGGTGGCTTATTGTTTTCTACTGAACTACCACAATAATGGTTGTAATCCTGGACTTATAGCCACCAAGTCTCTTCTTTTGTACTTGTGTACAATTATGAGATGGACTGTGCTTAATCATTAAATGAGAGTACAAGCACAAATGCAATCAGCTGTGAAGAGATATGTTGAACACAAAGTTTATGTCATACTTCAATAACCAAATCACACGTTATTGCTTAGAGATACAATGTGAAAAGTGCACTTGATCATAAGGATGCTAAAGTGTCTAGACTTTTGCCGCAGGACTATGTGTTATTATTTCTATAGTTGGTCCAAATCTAGGCTATCAAGTACGGATAACACTCAACATCGATAAGAAGTCTGCAGTCAGAGCTTGTTTAATGAAGGATTTTAATCGTAGACCAATGTTTGCTATCTCTTGATAATGTAAACATGTATATATTATAGATTCATTATACTATAATGCGTATGATCAAATATCTCCCCATGGTGATGGTTACATGTATCTTCAAAAGGTTCATCTTTGACCATCTAGATGTTATATAAAGAGAAAATCTCTCCTTTTTCTATTGTTAATCTAAGATTAAGTTGACAACCCATCAACACAAGCCGATAAATATCTCTTATTCTGAATGTTCTGAATATATAGTAAACCTCATCGGAAGGTGACATTGTCTTGTATAAAGCAGCCCATGATTATAAAGAAGTAACCAAACAAAGTTTCTATACTTTGGATTTATGCTTCTTTCTTATAGGTACACTATATGCCGCCAATTGATATGAGCTATTATTTTTTTGCACGCTCGTTTTTATGTCACTATTTGGAATTTCTGTCTTTAAACCATTAAAAAGACAACAGAGATCATCGGTGCTTGACAACGCTTGATTGAGCTTTTATTTGGTTAATTATCGTGTGCTTCAAAAGCTTGTATTAATATGTATCTGTATCCAACTGACTTCTTCTAATTATACAAAGAAGAAGAAAAAGGTTATCAAGATGTCAATGGTCCGGATGTTTTCAGAATATTTACACAATATCGACTCAATATCCCACACTTTAATATTCTTTTAACACACACACGCACACACACATACATACAGTCAGAGCATAATATAGCGATATTCCTTCAAGCTTCTTTTTAGTCTGTTATCTGCTATTTGGACCAGATTCTGTATACAGTCATTCATTGATTGGGTATCCCCATGTTTTCTGTCTGTCCGAGTTTGAATTTTTTTTTATTAGGACAAAAACAAGCAATTGTGAATCTATACTTCATCTTCATTTTCTTCAATTTTATCAACAAAAGCAACCCTCATACCATCTTTTTCATATCAATGGAATCACAATTACATAATAGTAATATATTATAAGCAAGGAAGGCATTGTTTTTCTCTCTTAAACCAAAACATCTTTAGCAAATTCTTGCCCAATATAAAAAAAATCCCCCAGACAAGTGTAAAACCATAATAGAAATATGTATTAAAAAAGTTGAACATGTATCTTATTTTCTTGGGAAAAACCAAGCATGAACAATAGGAGGAGTAGGATAGAAATGATAAAAGAAGTATGAATTTTTCTTTTTCTTGGCCGTCTGAAGCGATGCATGTATTACAAAAAAGGGGGGTAGAGTAGAAAGCAGTTGAATGAAAAAGAGGGGTGATAAGAGAGAATGGATCTAAGATGATGAAAAAACTTTGGCAAAAAAAAAAGAATACCATTGTTTTTTGTTGGTCTCTTCCGCAATTTTTTTTATACGTAACCCTTCTTCTGGAGAATGGCTCTGTTCTCAGGGGAGATTACACTCCAAAGCTGTGTCCGTGTAGCTTCATCAACACCAGCAAGAATGACCTTGAGACTGTTCACCATGCGAGCAGCAAGGGTAGGTTGGAGGATATCAGAAGCAAGTACCTGAGCAAAAATCTTGACGAGACCAACAATGTTGTCGTTGTTGGGACCAAGGATACTTGGGTGGTGTGCTTCAAGGAGATCAAGGAGGTAAGTATAAACAAAGGGTGCTTCCTGGTCATCATTGAGGATAGGAAGGGTAGAGAACCAAGCACTCAATACTTGGTTAACATTGGTCTTGGAACCGTTATATTTGCAGATCTTTGCAATAGCAGAGATGGCGTTTTCTGTGGCATAGACCTCGCCCTCTTCGCGAGCATTTGGAGAGTTGATCATAGCAAACAAAGGCTCCAACGCGGCAACGCATGCATCAGCGAACTGGGGACCACCAAACTGACCCCAAATACCGACGCCATAAGCAGCTGCCTGACGCACCTCAAAGGCAGGATCAGCCAAACCTGCCATGACGGCGGGCAAGAAGTAGCTAGAGTAGTTGAAGGAGTTGGGTCCGGTGTATTCTACTACGTCGTCGAACACACAGATACTCCACTGGCGAGCACTTGTGTTGGGGTGTCCGAGAAACTGGGTCACCAAAGGCAAAAGCTTGTCAAAGTAAGGCAGATATCCAGCACCCTGGGATTTGAAGATGGCTTGCATGGCGCGGGCCAATTCTCCCAAAGCTTCCTCCTCAAGCTCTTCTTCCTCTGCACGCTGTTCTTCATCATCGGCCTCATAATCACCGCTCTGCTTGTCAGCCTCGCGAGAAGAAAGACGCTCGAGGAATTTCTTGAGCTGCTCCTCGTTTGCCTTGTTGAAAGCCTCGAGCTGGGCAGGAAGCAAGCAGTTCTCACCAAGAACATCTACACACTCGTAGAAGGTGGTGTAAACCTGAGACAAGAATGCGACATCGTCCTCAATCTGCATGATTTTGACAAGCTTTTCAAAGATTGTGGTCCACATGTTGGCAAGTTCAACCTGGGCTACATTGGCATCCTTGGCATCCTTGAGCAGGAGAGGAATAAGAGCAGCAGCGGCGTGGCGTACATCATCGTGGAAGTAAAACTTGAGAAGGGGAAGCGCAATTTCCAGGACAGGGGCAACGTAGGGAAGGAAACCAGCTCCAAGATCACGAGCATAGCTCAACAACATCTCAATAGCAGTGTGCTTTTCTTCCAACACAGAGGTCTTGATACCGACCTGTTGTCCGTTGATACCGACAAACTCCCAGCCATCATCAGTAGGATACTTGGCTTCGACATCGTCATCCTCAACATCGACGAGAGTGATTTCAGGTACAAGCTGAGCAGACTGGAGCAGAGGGGGCATGATGTTAGGCAAGTAAGGCAGGAAGTCCTGGCCCATCATCTTGCACATACGGGCCCAAGCAGCAAGCAAATATGTTGTCTGGGAATCATCAGCCTCAGTGGGCATCTGCTGGATTTCGGCAAGAATGTTGATAAAGGTCTGGGTGTAGGGGGTGAAAACCTCCTTTCCAACAGCAAGACCGATGAGCGAAGCACACTCGATTGCTCTGCAGCGCAAAAGGCGGTATTGCTTGTCTGTGGCCTGACGAAGGGCGTCGAGCAAGAGAGGCATGATGACACTGTGGTACTTGATAAACTTGTCTTCGGCACAGTCAGCAACGGTGGCAATTGTAGTGATAGCCTGCTCCTGGACGTAGATCTTAGGAGTCTTGAGCAACACGAGCAGACGTTCAAAGATAGCGTCGAGATAAGGATCAAGGATAGACTTATCGGTCTCCTCGCAGAAGTTGACCATTGCGGCGGCGGCATGGGCCTGTACGCGAGGCTGGGTGCTATCTTCCATGACAGGCAAAAGAGCAGTGATCACAGCCTGGTGGAAGTGCTTCTGGAGGTAGGGCGAGAAATCAGTTGACATCTGACCCATTGCGTTACAAGCAGCATAGCGAACACGGGGATGAGCGTCCTTGAAGGATGGCAAGATCATCTGGATAATGTTACCCAACTCAGGCTTCAATGCTTTGACACATCCTTCACCAATAGAGGAAATTGCCATCAATGCGGCTCTGCGCTGCTGCCATTCACCCGACTGCAACATCTGAGGAATAAACTGGAACGCAACAGGAACAATAATCTTTCCACCGAGAGTTCTAGCCATTCTGTCCAAAGTGCTTTCTCCCATCACATAGTTTTCTTCGTTATCATCCTCAGTGAGCTATAAAAAGATAGAAAGTTTGTTAAAAAAAGGTTTGCCCTAGTCTCTCTTCCAATAGGTTGCATTATGCGTATATATATATATATATATGAAACATACATCTTCAGTTGTATACCAGTCCTCATCATCTTCAATATCAGTGGTCATTTCCATAGCTACAGGGATGATTTCGGATGCAAAGTTGGGAACCTTTCGAACCATACCGGGAGCAGCCTCAGCAAGGGTCAAGAGAAGTTCAAGGGCAGTCTGACGTGTGCGGTCCTCGAACGACTTATCCTTTGCAATGCCGACCATTACAGACAAAACATTTGCGAGAACAGGACGGAAAAGACGAGGGCAGTTGTCAGCCAACTCGATAAGAACAATAAGTCCTTCAACAAGAGTGGGATCGTCACGAGCAGCGATGATGGGTGAAAGAGGCTAATGGCAATTAACCCACAGAGAAAAGAAAAGAAAAGACGAAGAGAAAGATAAGTAAGAATGAACAAGTACGATTATGATATATGACTAATAAAGCAGACCGGACCACACAACGCCGCACTACATCGTACGGCAAATGGGCACTCTTTTGTTTATCTTCAATACTTACATCCAACATTTGGGGCATAAGAGATCCAAGACTCTTCTGGGTGGGCTCATCAGCTTGGATAATATAGGCAGCAGCAGCCTTCATGGCTTCCAAGCGAACTTCCTGGCTTTCGGCATCAGTAAGACTGGCAAGGAACACAGATTTAAGGATATCGTTGTTCTGGTCAGAGATAAGTCCTGGTACGGAAGCAAACACACGGAAAGCAGATTCACGGTGGGCAGCGTGAGGAGATTGACTGCACTTGAACAGAGACTCAAGAAGATTGTCCCACTTTTCTAAAAAGTCCCAAAAACCAATTATGTTTTGTTTGTATTAGAAAAGGAAAGAAAGAAAAGTCTGTTTGGTGTATATATGTATTCGCTCTCTTTCTCATTTCTACATCATAAAAAAATTATCACTTCTATTATTACCATCATCAGCCAATTCAGACCGGGCAATCTCTGCGATAGTGTCGGCAACCTTGTGACGGGCGCTCTGGTCCATTTCGTTAGCCAAAGCCATCAACAAAAGTTCCTTGACACCACGACGGGAGTTGTCCTGGACCATATCCCATAAACGGCTTTCAGGGTTGGAGCTAGACGAGTATTGCTTAAAGGCCAAGCGACGGATAAGAATACTGCAGTGGGAACGAAGCTGTTTTGTTGTTGATTATTTAGTGTATATCAAACCAAAATAATAATAATAAAAAAAGAAACATCTTGTCAGTAAGTGCGTAGTTGTAATTTTTTTTTTGAGTTTAAGAGTTTACCTGAACTTCAGGGTTCTGGGCAACGAACTGGGCCAGACCGAGCAAGAGAAGATCAGGTTGCTGGGCCACCCATTGGTCATTTAACTGGGTCTCGGCAGCCGATCTGTAATTATTCTAAAGGGTTAATAATGGACCTTATTTTCTTTTATTTATATATATATAATGCAATCTTGTGGAAAAAATTTTCTCCTTCTTCTTCTTCTGTATCTCATTCACCTTGCGTTGTTATCAGACGAGAGAAGGCTCGCCAACATGGGAGTAAGTTGCTGGAGGACATCAGCAGAGACGAGTGCTTGTGCCATGGCTGCAGGTTGTTCCGTGTAGGAGAGAGAAAACAAACAAACAAATAAAAATCTAGAGCGAAAAATTATTCCGCCTATTTTGAAAGACAGGCGAACACAAGAGGAGGAAAAAAGTCAAGACAGACAAGTGTGACGCTTTTATTCAGACGCAGAACACCTTTGCGCGGATCAGGAACCCATGTTCACTGTCCTTGGGATCGTGAGCCATAAACAGAGGTGAAATCACCAATAATACTTTTCCCTGGGGCTTTCCTCGACCCGCAGCCTTCATTAATGTAGAATCAAATACAGCGCCTTCTGCAACTGGCACAGTCCCAATGTCAATATCCTGGCCTTTGATTGCAAGATTAAGATGGGCGGCCCTTGCGACAATTGTCTCAATCTTGCCCCGGTGCCTGCTGTCGGTATGAATGGTCGGGTACATTGACCCAAGCCCAGCCATGATGTCATCGACCAATTGAGACATGGCCTGTACGATTGCAGGTTGCTCATCGTCTGCCTGCTTGACCACCAGAGCACTTAGTTGCTGTCTTAGCCGAAGTGTCCATTCTGGATTACGAGGCTTGATCCAATCTGACAATTGTCGAAATGCATCATTAATCGATACTCCCAGATGGACAGGTTGGTTGAGTATCTCCGCTAAAAGACTCTCAAAAAGGTATTTTTCAGTTAAGAGAGTGAGGTAACTTGTCTCGAGTCCTTCATTACTGTTACTGTTATTATTGTTATTGTTATTGTTATTTTCTTTCAACATATGCTCCTCCATAATCGCTCGTTTGTCTGGCCATCTTGCAAACACAAATGCGGTTGCCTTTGTTCGATCAATACTGGACTTGAGAGACATGCACATATTATTCAGCTGACTTGAAATGTGGGTAAACTCGGACTGGATTGTTGACAGGTCGTCATCCGTTGCTCGTACAGAACGCATATAAGAATAAAAGTTTTTTTCCATCTTCTTGAACTCTTCTTTTTGGAGACTGTGTTCTTGGACCAGAGCTTGATATGATTGCTCGAGTTGCTCGTACCGCTGCTGCTGCTCTGCGAGTGCACTGTCTGCGATTTCTTTTTCTTTTTGGGTTGATAAAAGGGCATCCTTGGTTACATGTAATTCGTCCTCCTCTTGTTCCTGTCGAGCCAGGATTTCTTTTTCTTGCTGCATATGAAAGCTCCCGAGAAACTTCTTGTGGATGTGCAAGGATTCGTACAGGGACATAATGACAAGGTCCTTGTCGGCATCCGTGTCACCTGTCATGTCCAGCGGGATGTAACATGATTCATCGTCATCGACGGTTGTTTCACTCAATTGGGGATTTCGATCGAGAGATGGGTAAGAAGACAGACTGCTGCTATTGCTAGCCTGTGAGAGACGTGCAGGGTTTTGCATGTAGATTTTGTTTGTTTGTTTGTTTGCTTGCTTGTTTGTTTGTTTTGTTTTTCTTTCTTTTTTTTAAAAAAAGAAAAAAGATAAACAGAGAAATCAAAGAAAAAATAAAGAAAAGGCGAAATAAAGAAGACAAATAATAATTATTTAACAGAATAAAATCAAATAAAAAGCAACAAGAATAACGCAGAACAGATTACTTTTAAAAAGAAGCCAAGCTTTTATCTATGGTAATAGAAAGAACATCTACACAGACAGATAGACTGGAAGGTAAATGAAGAGATTAAGGAGCAGCGAGATAGACACAAGGAAGAAATATAGATATCAAGTGAGAGAAAGATTGAAGAGGACAAAGAAGACAAAGAAGACAAAGAAGAAGAAGAGGAGGTGTGGGTAGAGGATCAAAGGTGAAGTAAAAGAAGAAGAAAAAAAGAAGAATAAGAAGGGGAGAGTAAGAAGAAAAAGAAGAGGAATAAGAAAAGGGGTGGAGGTGTGGGGGAGGTTATTGGCTCTGATGCTATTGGTGTCATTTATTCTGCTTCTCAAAATACCTTGTTTTTATTTATTTTTTATTTATTTTTTGGTCATTTTATTTTTATTTTATTTTTTGCATATGAGTTTATTTTAACATCCAGGAAGCTTTTCTTGTGCCCATTAAAATTTACACCTTATTTTGTGTATATAGATCTTCATAGTAAACTAAACCTTGGTGCACTTGATATTCTTACTACAAATCCTGAAAGAAAAAAAATTATAAATGATACTGGGCCAAAAATGAACAAATTGATAGACAAGCAAAAATACAGGCACAATCACAAGCACAAGCACAAGCACAAGTACAAGCACAATCACAGGCACAAGCACAAGCACAAGTACAAGCTCAAAAAGAAAAGGAATATGGAGAAAGAGAAATACTGGCTCATGATTAATACAACACCTTGCTAATGTTTGGTTGATACAATCACCAACTGTTTTCCTTTCTTTCTTTATCTTTACACCTCTCTCTCTCCTGGTGCACGGATGGTCTTCTTTACTGAATTTGGATGAATATGGCTATCGGCGAGTAAATGCGGACCTCTAAACATGAGTACGTCACTGACGACGTCGTCTGTTTTGGCTTAGACATTGTGGTGCATATAGCGTGCTCTATTTTTTTTCAGTGTTGAAAAACGTCCAACAAAAAACATAGGCCATAGTTTCCTTTTTTGATCAAGTCATGTCGGATAACGAGAAAGAGCCTGTCAAGGACCAATTTGATGAGGAGGTAATTACGAACATTCATTAACTCCATCTCTAAAGCAGTCTCCTCACATCCACATTTTTTTGTATTTTTTTCCGCTCAATTAGTTGGATTTCTCCAAGTTGAAGAAAAAGAAGAAGTCTAAGAAGAAGGTTGATTTCGAAGAGGAAATTCCCGAACCTGTTGAAGAGAAGATTGTCGAACCCGTTCAAAAGGGTAAACATTAAAATTAATTAGCTTGGCATTCCACCAAAAACAATAAAAGAAAAAAGAAGAAAAACTGACAGATGGATGAATGGATGGATGAATGAAATCTAGATGCCGAAGCTGAGGAAGATCCCGAGGCTATGTTTGCTGACTTGAAGAAAAAGAAGAAGAAGAAGTCTAAGCCTATTGAAGTACGTATTTTTAAGTGAGATATTACTGTGTGTGTGTGGGTAATTAAACTGACCAACTTCGCGTAAATAGGAGTCTGCCGCAGAGGAATCATCCCCTGCACCTGAAGGAAAGGAGGAAGACCTTGACTTTGGAGAATTGAAGAAAAAGAAGAAGAAGAAGAAGAGTATGGCCGAGTTCGAGGCTGATCTTGCTGACGAGAATGCAGATGAGGCTTTGGAAGAAGAGGACGCACCCAAGGAAGAGAGTGGTGATTCATGGCTTAAGAGCGACAGAGACTACACCTATGATGAGCTCCTCGGTCGTGTCTTCAAGATCCTCAGACAAAACAACCCCGAGTTGGCTGGTGACAAAAAGAGATACACCATTGTTCCTCCTTCCATTCACCGTGAAGGTAACAAGAAGACCATCTTTGCCAACGTTACAGATATCGGAAAACGGTAAGTAATATATATATATATATATATATATACATTGGTTTGGCTCGGTTTGGTGCGGGAACTGATGCGTGGAACTAAAACCAAGATAAAAAAAACTAAACTCTTGTTGCGCAGTCTCCATCGTCAACCCGAACATATTATCCAGTTTTTGTTTGCAGAATTGGGTACCAATGGATCTGTTGATGGTGCACAGCGTTTGATTATCAAGGGTCGTTTCCAGCAGAAGCAGATCGAAAACGTTCTCCGTCATTATATTGGTAAACAGAAAACAACAAACTATATAGAATGGGAAATCTATTGTATATTGTGGAAAGAAAGAAAAAAATCTAACTCTTTTTATTATTTATCTAAAATTATCTACAGTTGAATACGTTACTTGCAAGACTTGCAAGTCTCCTGATACTCTTATGACAAAGGATAACCGTCTGTACTTTGTACAGTGCGAGTCCTGTGGATCTACTCGTTCCGTATCTGCTATCAAGGCTGGTTTCAAGGCACAGACCAAGGAAGACAGACGTGCATTGAGAGCATAGATGTGATGTTATGTGATGTTGTGGGTTGTAATGTGAAACACAAGATGAATTTGTCTATCTATCTATTATTATTATTATAAAAAAGGACGAACATTTGTATATCAAACAAACAAACAAAGACCATACTTTTTTTTTTGAATATTTTTCTATACATTAAAAACAAAAGAAAAAAACAAAGAAGACACGAAAACATTCTTATGGACGCGTTGTCTCGCGCTGAGCACTCTTAGGAACCCACGCTGGTGAGGCGTCTTCTCCAATCTCTACCTCCCTTACTCTTAATTTCTTCTTTTTGGTCTTGGTCTTGGTCAATGTCTTGGCTTTGCTGATTACTGGCATTGTCATTGACTTGGAAATCTCGGGCATCGTTTCTGATTGATCATCATCATCCATCTCAACACTTGTCTTTAGTGGGCTGTAACTACTACTAGGGCTTAAACTAGTAACCTTGGCTGCAATGTCCTGATCCTTCGCCTGTTCCATTCGACGAATCTCATCAACTTGTGAAAGATAGTGTTCCTTGGTTGATTTCAATTTGTCTGCTTTGAACTGAAGCTGTTTAGAACGTGCTGTCAACATTGTCATGGTAGATTGTAAGGAAAGGATCTTTGTGTGATACACAGCTACTTTGGCCATCTAACATTTCATCCAATAAGTTCATTTGCAAAAAAAAGAAAGAATTAAATGATATGGTTCCGTATATATAGTCAATTAAATCTTCTTACATTGGCCTTTATATCTGCCAACTCTTCTTCTGAAATTGCAGCCGAAACTGCCTCGGTAATTCCATCACTTAGGGTCTGTTGGTCATGCCTAAATCAGACATGTTAATAAACATATTTGGTCGTTTAGAATGAGCGAGTGAATGAGTGAATTTACATACTCTAGTTGTTTTAGCTGTTGCTTTAATCCCTTTAGAAGAGTAGTTATCTGACTTGAAAAACCTTGGCTAAGGAGAGAAGGTTCGGCAGTGGTTGACATACTTTGGAACTATTGGTGAAAAGACAGGAACTCGAGAAAAAGTCACACTTTAACCAAGAAGTGTTGTACAACAAAAGAAGAAAAAGAAAAAAAAAGAGTTGTGTCAAGAGAGAGAGAGAGAGAAAGGGGAAAGGGAAAGGGGAAGGAGAGAAGACTGCCAGTTAACGTTATTGTTGCTTTCTAGTGTTTAGAGCATGATATAGTGCATACAAGTAACTATTTGCTTGGCCTAAGATCAGGGTGATACTGTGGCATTTATAGAACACAATTGAGAATATATTAAAAGACTGCGCAAAAAGTAAAGCAAGGCAAGGGGAACTTGAATAGGAACAACATGGAATCAAAAGCAATATATATATATCCTATAAGTGCATTAGGACCTTTTTTGTCTTCTTCTTATACTATCTAGCGTATATATATTCCTTATACCCCTTGTATAATACAACTAACACGCAGAGCTAATAAAAGGATTTCATTTTCAAGCATCCCTTATAGCGATTTGAATGATATATATATATATATATATATAACTTGGTGTATTAGGAATAAGACGTCTCTTTTCTTGTTCCTTTTATGCTCACCTAAAAACTCTAATACAATAAATCTTAAATAGAAATTTAGTAGAGTTTGTTAGTCAACCTTATTTTTCTCCTTTTAAATAGCACATTGGTGTCTTTTATATACGTGTGCAAGGATAATGAATCGATCTATTTTGCTATAGTGTTTCGTTTTAGGTACATAAACTCCTTTATTATTATTATCATTTTCTTTGGCCATTGGGCTTAACCTCGTCGTATACTCTCCAATTCGCATCTATTGACATTTTCCCTTTTTTTTGCTATATAAAAAGTTGAGCTTGTATAATATATTTTTTTATAAGATATAAAGTAAAAGGCCAGTCGTTTCTCTCACCCAAAAATACAGACTGGTGTTTATTGGCTACACTACATAAATTGACGACCGGTGCCTTGGTGTACTGTTTTATTTTTACATGTCAAGAAAAGGATCCGGGAATCCGGATATCCGGTAATATATATATAGTGGTCAGAAAATGTGGTTAATGATTTTTACTATTTGAGATGTAAATAGCCTTTGAAGAATGTATGCTTGTGTGTGTGTGTATTGATTACAAATATTACCAGATTTTAGATCTTCATTTGCAAATTAATTAGGACATAAATTATATACTGCTGATTATTTTGAATTATAGCTTATCGGCTGAAAGACAATGAATAAAGTATATAGGCCATATCCATGCGTATTACCAATTTATTCTGTTTACAATATAATATATATATGTATATAGTAGATTACTGATCAGAGTGGCTTTTGAAAGTGTAAGAAAAGAGGTAATTTATTGATCAGAGTACAGCATATACTTTGAATGAACACTCTTCTTCCCCTGTCGCGCCATTGCTGACCAATTAGACGTTCTCCGACATCAATTTAAAGCAAAGAAAGATCCTGAAAATACAGCATTAAGGTTCTCATTGTGTCAGCCAAGTGAGACTTGATTAGTGGAACGAAGATAGTAGGCCAGTATCGTGTATGCTGCTAGCCAACTGAGCGATACTTGTATTGAATGATTGAAACCAACAATCTTTCTATTACTAATATAAATCTACTTACTTTGTGAGCTTTCTATAAAAATAAATAAATAAAAAACCGGTATACAATGGGACGCGTTGGCTTGCTCCGTCTGATCGGACCTTCTTCTTCTCAAAATGAAATAAAAAGCCTTTTTCGGTCATCCCCAACTTCCTTATTCTTTCATATATATATAGCTTTTTTTTTCCCTTTTTCTTCGCCGACTTCTTTGCTAGTTAATTAAGACGCGATGGCCAGATATACGTGGCCATTTTGGCTCTTACTTCTCGCTCCACTTGTAATGGCACAAACACAAGCTATCACTCCACTTGACATCGTCACTCTTCCTCGTCCTTCAGGTCTATCGGCCTCACCAAACGGTAGCCTGGCTGTCTACACGCAATCGGTCTATGACTCTAAGCAGGACAAAGTAAAGCAAGAATCAAACCGCTGGCAACATGCAATACATCTGCTGATACCATACCTTTTCTTGTCTCTTTATTGATTCCTTAGACCTTGCGCCAGCTCCTTTTGTTGGATCTTGAAACAGATATCGTGAAGTCCCTGACAGACGCCTCATCCGATAGCACCCAAAGCGAACCTTTCTTTTTGGACAATGAAAACATTGCCTACATTCAACACACTGCGGGTGTGGATGTGGACCAGCTCCATGTATTGAACCTGGAGAGCGGTGACTCGTATGCTCTGACCGAATTCCCTATCGCTTTCGGAAATATCAAATACAACCACAAAAAAAGCCTGCTTGTGTTCTCAGCGTCCGTCTACCCCGGTGGCTCGCTCGAGGATGCCAAGCAAAAGGACAAGGTGCTGAAGGAGACCAAGAAAGATACCGGACTAGTCTATGACCAGCTTATGGTTAGGTACGTTGTTGTCTCTGGTGCTCTTCAGTCCGCTTAATTATGGCTATTTTCTTTTTATATGTCTCTTGTGTGCATATAGACACTGGGATACATTTGTTCCAGAAAAGGTGAACAATATCTTTGTCGTTCAACTTGAAAACGATGGAAAGTATACCGTTGGAAACAACACCATCAACCTCCTTAAAGGCACCGCATTGGTATGCATTTTACACAAAATATATCTATTTTTTTTTTTAAAAAAAAAAAAACAGAAATAATAATAATGCCCATATATATTTTGTTTTATATTGTATATTGCAGCAATCCCCTGGATTCCCTATGGGCGATGCTTCTGATTTTGACATCTCAGCTGACGGTAAATTCCATCACTCAATTGATCAATCTTGATAATCTTTTATATAAATGTTACAAATTTACTTGCACATACATCATTGATCACTCACCCTTTTTTTTGTGTTTTTATATAGGTGAAACACTTGCATTTGTATCCAAGATCCGTAGTCCAGATAACGCCTGGGAGACATCTCAACATGTACATATAGTTCCTACCTCTGGAGAGTCTGAGCCCGTGATCATCAACGGAGACATTCCAGCCGCATCAGCCGGCCCCAAGTTTGCTCCATCTGGAGTTCTTGCCTATCTGCAGATGTATGCTCCCCAGTATGAGTCTGACCGTAACCGCATCATCATATGGGACCCTGCGACTGGCACAAAGACGACCGTTGCTGAGTCATGGGACCGCAGCCCATCCGAGCTGGCCTTTTCTCCAGATTCAAACACCCTATTTGCCGTAGCTGATGAGTACGGTCGCCACAAACTGTTTTCGATTGACTTGACTACAGAGGAGATCACTGCGCTGACCAACGAACATGCCCTGTCTGGCCTGTCTGTCTTGTCTTCGAGCCGCCTCTTGTTCAGCCTCAATTCGCTCGAGCACCCCAATATTGCCCACACCCTTGATCTCGATTCCAAAGTGCTTACTAAACACAGTGTGTCCGATGCCCTGTCGAGCCACCTGAACCGTTTAGATGTAAGCAAGCCCGACGAGTTTGTGTTCCAGGGAGCTTTGCATGATCCTGTTCATGGCTGGATCTTAAAGCCTGCCGATTTCGATGCGTCCAAAAAGTACCCCGTCGCATTTCTGATCCACGGCGGTCCCCAGGGTGCCTGGTCTGACAGCTGGTCGACTCGCTGGAACCCTCAGGTCTTTACTGGTGCCGGGTATGTGGTTGTGGCCATCAACCCCCACGGATCTACAGGCTATGGCCAGAAGTTTACTGACGATATCCAGCGAAACTGGGGCTCATATCCGTTTATCGATCTCCAGAAAGGCCTTGACTATGTGTTGGATACAAATGAGTTCCTTGACGCAGACCGCGTGGTTGCTCTGGGAGGTTCCTATGGAGGCTACATGATTAACTGGATTAACGGTCACACCAACCGCTTCAAGGCTCTAGTTAACCATGACGGCATCTTTTCAACCTTGAATGCTTATTACACCACAGGTAAGAAGAAAGAAAGAGAGAGAAAGAGAGAGAGAGAGAGAAGATCAAGCAAAGGAAATATATATATATATATATATATATGTATTATGATAACAATGGACTATTTCTTTTACTTCTTCTGATTTGATTTGTGTTTCTTTTTAGATGAAGTCTATTTCTCTGAAAGAGAGGTAAGTAAAATAAAAATAAGATATATATATATAATAATAACGAAATTTTTGAATTGGTTGTCTAGTTTGGTGGTGTTCCTTTCCACACCCTCAACCGCCTTGTTTACGAGCGTTGGTCTCCATCCAACTATGTCCAGCATTGGCAAACACCCACACTTGTGATTCACAGTATGTTTTCTTAATTATATAATTAATGCCTCGACATTTTATTCATCATGTTTTTGTATATAAAAAAAAAGGTGGTCGTGATTATCGTCTGGTTGATGGTGAGGGTTTCGCAACATTCACCGCTCTTCAGCGCCAGGGTGTTCCCTCGCGTCTGTTGTACTTCCCTGATGAAAACCACTGGGTTCTCAAGCCCGCAAACTCATTGAGATGGCACAAAGAGGGTACGTTTATTTAAATACATATCTTATGCACATAACTAAAAAAAAAAATTGGAATGCTTGTTTGGTTTATTTTAGTTCTCGAATGGATCGACAAGTATGCAAAGGTTGATGAGGTAGCTGTGCGGCCTGAATTCGACCCTCAAAGTAGCTTTACTGTTCAAACCGAACAGTTTTTGTCATCTACATTTTAAGTAATTAAAAAAATATATCAATAAAAAGACACAATTGATACATCCCAAAAACCTGGATCCCCCCCCCCTTTTTTTTTTTTTTTTTTTTTTCCTCAGCAACCCAAACCAAGCCATACAAATAATCTTATATTGTTGTTGCTTATTAACTAATTAATTCATTAATTCATTAACAAGTAGCCATATTTTTTTCTTGCTTTTGTTTTGATGGCAAAAGCGGTAGCAATGGTGTTAACTTGATGATCCAAAAAATTCATAAATGAAATTGAACCAATTTCTAATGGTTTCTTTACTGTTCGACAGCGCTTTAAAAAAAAAGGAATTTTTTTTCCCTCTTTTTTTTTTATTGAAATTTCGAGCGATGGCGATTGGACACAAGACAGTGTTTTAGCTTTCCAAATGTTTTTATTCGGCGCCTCAAACTATGCGTTAGTGGCGACCGAGAAAGAGGGAGAGAGAGAGGGAGAGAGAGAGAGAGAGAGAGCAAACAAAAATTGGAATCCATCCATCCATCCATCCATCCTTCCTTCCAGCATACTCCCTGAACAATGACTGCCGCTGCGTTCTCCAAGAACCTCTTCGATATCCTCGGAGACGAGGATGAGGTCCGTCCTCAGACCACCGCTCCCGTTAAGGAGCAGAAGAAGACTGATGCTGCCAAGCCCCAGGGCAAGACCGACAAGCGCGGTCCCTCTGCCAAGCCTAAGGATGGTGGTACGTTTTAACTGCCTGCCCTCCCACCCCTGCCCTCACACACCCCACAGAGACACATTTCGACAAACCCAATCGAAAATAAAACTTAACTTACACAATCAACTTTTATTTTTTATTGTATTATTCAGAGGCCCCCAAGCAGCGTGGTCCCCGTGGTCCCCGTCGCGAGGGTGGTGCTCCCCGTGAGGGTCGCCCCCAGCGTGGTCGTCAGTTTGACCGCCACAGTGCCACCGGCATTGCGTAAGTTGATCGCATTATAGCTGTCAATGTTGAAAACAAGGAAGAAAAAAAAGCTAAATGCTAAAATTAATTTTTTTTCTCAATCATCAGTGATTCCGAGAAGAAGGAGAAGCAGGGCTGGGGACACCCCGAGTCTGCCCAGGCTGAGGCGTAAGTTTTTCTGTTAATATTTAATATTTAGCAGTAGTAGGAATATTAGTATTATTTTTATACATATATATATATATATGTATATATTTAGCCTTATTCTTATTCTCTGTGTTTGTTTGATTACTATAGCTCTGCCGACACCCCCTCTTCTGCCGACCCCGCTTCCGCCGAAAAGGAGACTCCTATTATCCCCGAAGAGCCCGAAGAGATCGTAAAGACTCTTGATGAGTACCTCGCCGAGAAGGCCGCCAAGGCCCTCAAGGTTGCTCTCCCCGAGTCCCGCAAGGCTAACGAGGGTTCCGACGACGCCAAGTGGAAGGACTCTGTTGCCTTTGTCAAGACTGAGGAGCCCGATTTCTTCGTTGCCAAGGTGCGTTTAACATTTAAGATATTAGTATATCAAAATCAAGAGAGAGAGAAATAGAGAAAGAACAATATGGTTTTTTTTTATGTATATTAAAATAGCAGTACTGACTCTGTAATGATTTCTTTATATGTATAGGAGACCAAGACTGTCAAGAAGACCGAGAAGGTCAAGAAGGAGAAGGTCTTGATTGAGATTGAGCAGCGTTTCCAGGAGAAGGCTCGCCCTGCTTTCCGTGAGGAGCGTCGTTCCGGTCCTGCCGGTGGTGAGCGTCGCGGTCGTGGTAACGGTCGTCGCAACAACGCCCCCCGTCAGACCAACGGCCCCGCTGTCAACCTCCAGGATGACTCCCTCTTCCCCTCCCTCGGAGCATAAAAAAAGAAAAGCTTAATAAATATTAAAACGGCATCAACATTTTTTCTTTACAAAAAAAAAGAAAAATAAAACGTCAATGGAGTATATATATATATAATTCTAAAGGATCCAAAAAAGTGTTGCTATGAGAGACAAGGGAATGGAATGTACATATACATTTGATGTTTTCCATTGTTTGACCTCTAATTTCCAAGATGGATTTTTAGCAGTACAAACACATTTAAGGATAATAATTGCTGAATACTTGAATAATCAATCCAATATGTATGTATGGATTGGATTATATGGATTAAATCACAAAATTATTATGAATTGTGTATATTGATTGATTGATATAGTAGGACAATAAAACATACATGAAGAAAAAAATAATTAAAGTCAATCTTTCTTGGTTATTAAATTTATTGTATCTTTTTCGGTTTTTGTTTTATTTACACAAATTTACATATTCATATCATAATTACTGCCCTCCTTCCTTTAGTTTTCGCAGCGTTTTTTCCCTCTCTGAATTTCTCAATTGCATTAGTGTAATTGTTTCATAGTCTTTATCAGACAATTTGGGACCATTGGAAGACAACTAACAAATAATAATAAAATAATAAATTAATTACTTAATTAATAAAAGGCGACTTTTGTTGTTGTTGGGATGCACTTTTGATTATATCTACCTTGATAGCAGAAGCGGATATATTACGGAAAAACGAACTTTGTGAACCAGCTGAAAACAAGGGCTTTCCGGTAGGAATTGTCTGGCGTGTGTCATTTGCATAGTGGGCCTGTCTGGCAGCTTGCTGTTTCTGATAATCAGCATTCAATCTACCCACAATAGCAGGCTCTTTTCCAGTAGCCCAATCAATTGACTCGAACAAAGCCAGAGACTGATTGGTATCTTTGTTTGTCATGATCGCATGCTTATAAACATATGTTATTGCACAGTCAATTTCCTAATATCACTTTTCTTGAAGAAAACAAACTTACAGCATCAACAACAGTCTTGAAAACCACGAGTGCACTTCCTTTCTTCTTTTCTGAAAATGCAATCGTGTCTACTTTTCCAATTGTATTCAATAGCTCTTTAATGCTTTCTTCCGTAAAGGCATGCTTTTTCCGCTTCCATTTGATCTTGAGTGCACAGTCCAATTCAGTTGTCTCGGGCATCTCTATAAAATATCGAACATTTATTTAGTTATTTAAATTATCATACCAAAACTCTAAAAAAAAAACAAAAAAAAATCGAATTGTTACTACAAATACATATATATTATTACCTGGCACAACTTCTTCTGTCTTCCAGTCTTCTTGACGACGTTTCGCGCCCTCTTCTCTTAAACGGGCCAGCTCTTTTTTGTACTGCGCCTCTGCTTCCGAAAGATCTGTCTTGGTACGCTTGGCTGCATTCTCACGACTCTCGAGTTCTTCCTGTGCCTTTCGTCGTTTGGAATCCATCTCCATCTGTTTCTTTTTACGATCGAGACGAGCTCTGTACAGCTTGTCATATGCTGCCTTGGCCTGCACGTCTTTTAGGACCTCATACGCCTCGCTAAGTGTGTGAAAAAGAGTAGCTAAATGTGTATATAGATATTAAGCAAGAAAGGACTTGTTATCATTTGGACTTTACTGAAAAATAATAAAAAAACATGTAAGGGGACATGCCTGCATCTGGACTAGGATTCTTATCAGGATGAACTGCTAGTGCTTTTACACGATATGCTTTTGTAATCTCTTTTTCAGTCGAGGTAATCTGAATCCCAAGCAAATCATAGTAATCTACTTCTGCATCGATGCCTTTTGCGGCCATGGTAGAAGAAGGTTCAAGACTGGATTTTGAATAAGAATATTTTATATATATAAATTTAAAAATTTAAAAAAAAAAAAAAAAAGAAAAATAGTAGATTAAAACCACCTAAAGGATATTTTTGCTATAGAAAAAGAAAATTAAAATCAAATTATGAAGAAATGGCTTTAATGTCTTTTATATAATTCTATCAAGTCTTTGAATGCAGTATGTGCCTTGGTCTCTAAAAGAAAGACTACAGATTTCTATGTTCAAAATACATATTGTATAATTTTTTTATTTATTTTTTTGGTGGTTTAACACCTATGCAATATTCAATGCCTTTATGAAGTCTCATTAATGAATATATCTATAGAATAACCTTTGTTTGACAAGATTATTCTTTGAATATAAACTATTTGCTTTTGAGTATTGTGGTTGGATCTTTTTTATTAGTAAAATTTATATACACTATTCACTATACACAAAAATGCAAGTAACAAAAGAAATTATCTTACTTTATTTTATGTTATTTATATTATATTATAAATTGAAGTTGAATACAAGTTAAGACTCCAAACAAATTTAATTTAGCCAATCATTAAACGACTTTGGACTGTTATATGTTGACTCCCGCCAGAGAAAAATTTTTTTTCACTAGAAAAAAAAATAAAAATAATAATTTTTTTTTTAGAAAAAAAAAAAACTTATAAATACCCTGGAAAACGATATTATTATTTTCTCTATCCTCTTCTTGCTTGGTAAGCTATTCAACCTTTTTCTTATATTATAATATCTCTATAAGAATATTATTCAAGTCGCTTTGTAAACGTATAAGCAAAAGATGCTATATTACGTCAAACAAACTAGAGTTTCTGACTATTTAGTGCTGAGAACCCTTTAATACTGATGTTTATACGTACAAGCGCACTTGGCTTTATTTTATGATATCCCTTCCAAAAGTTGACAATACTAAATACTATTTTTATTGTTTACAGATTTACACATCATGTCTTGATGCCTCTTTACAGTTCAGTTAAATGTTTATAACAGTTTACAAGAGGTGAGAATCATTTTAGATATTAAAATTATAAAGAATAAAAGAAAGGACGCTATTGGGGAGAAAGTCAATGATGATAGAAACTTTTTGTTGGAATTACCGTCTGAAACTTCTGTGGATAAAAATTGGCTGTATACCTGAGCCTTTCTCGAAATGAAAATCCTTTTCTTTTATTCTTTATGTTACATAATGATGAAAGAGCATTTTTACTTATCATTCTTTGATTTAGATTTCTTGATCATTTTATGATATATATATTTCTTTTGTATTCTGTTACTGAAAGAGTCCGTCAGTCATGGTAAGATATCTTTTTAATTATCCTTTGTTTTTTAAAGGGGGGGTTCAATATGATGATCTATTAGATGACGAGTCAGATGAGTAATTCGGTGTTGACACAACTTTTTTATTACCATTCATGCAAAACTGAGAACCATACTTTATATAATTTTCTTTTTCATTTCCATCTATGAAAAAAATTGCATGGCTAATCATAATTTTTTGTTTAGATTTTTGATTTCCTTTTGAAAAAAGCTATAGTGACTGTTCAGTTGATTGAAAATATTAGCTCTGGGTATGTAAATACTTTTCCTTTTAAACATTTTTAAAATAAAAACATACAATTCTCTGGATTGAGATATCGTCCAGCGGATGATACAAACCAAAACCAAAGACAAGCATATGTCTGAATAATCGTGTAGAGAAGTTTACGACTGATGGACTTTATATAATCCAGAGAATCTTGTGTTTTTATCATTCTCTTCCTGAATCATAAAACTCATTTTTTTGTTTTTTTTAAAAAGCTTCTAAAAAGAGTCTAAGCCTGTCAGTTTTTTTTAAAGGTAATTATCATTTTACAATTTAATTTGAGAAAATGACAAGATAAAAGGATGATCATTATATCACGACGGTCTTCTGATAATAACTGAAGAAATCGAGTGCTACTCACCTTAACTGAATTTATCTTGTCATTCTCTTGAATGCATCATTAAAATAAACAATTTCAACTTTTACTTATTGGTTTATTTTATTAGGTTTGTAATCGTAATGTATATGTCTCCTGTAAAATATCTTTTAAAAATAAAAATAAACAATTTGAAACATCATTTTTTTGTATGCATTTTATCTCTAAGTTTTTAAAAAATAACATAAAGAACAATTAAGCTTGTTCCAAAGTTAATTGTATAAATTAAAATGTTCAAAATATTGACTTATCAAAACAGGCTCATCATTCATTTTCTAATTACAAAAAAGTAGATTAGATTATAGTGAGAAACTCTCGAAAAATAATGAAAAGAAAAGGGTAGTCACCTCATGTCAAATCAAGCCTTTTCATTAAATTATTTGAATCGTTCCAACAGGTTTATTTTATTAGGTGCATTGATATATCATGTATCTTTTTTTTTTTTTGAAAGACAAGAAATGCTTATTAATCAATTTAGCTGTCATGGTGATTTTGCTTGATATAGAGCACTCTGCAAGAAAAGGGAATATATAATATATATGTTACTTTTACTTAAATTTTTATAATTTCATTTATTCATATAATGTTATCTATATTCATGCTCATTGCACTTTTGTATCAAATGCTTCCACTCCACTCACTTTTAACAATTCCTGTGAATTAATTGAATCAAGTAAAACTCAAATTTTGCCAAATTAAAGGATACCAATACGTACATAGTTCTTCCTTCCTCTTATTCTTCTTACTTGGCATTATTTCCTATGCACTCTAGGCACAAGACCAAAGAAACAAAATAGAAACAAAACAAAAAAAAGGTGAATTCTTAAAGCTGATTTACATAATGTCTCTTTTTCAAAAAGTTTCTTAAAGTGCACGGAATTTAATATGGGAAAATAGTATAAATATAAAACAATAAAACAAATGAACAATGCAAAATAAAATATTTATGAGTAAGTGTCGACCAAAGTATCTCTAAGCTCGTTGACAATGGCACTAGGCTGGGCGTCCTGGAGCTTGAAGATGCTCTCCATCACACTCAATTCGGTAGAGGTAGTGTCCATACCAGCAAAGGCACACCAATCGTTCACAACACAGCCAGCTCCAATGACATCTGAGCCACGGTTGACAGTACCGGCCACAAGGGGGATCTGCAACAAGGACGACAACTCATCCTGGTCCTGGATCGATGTACGAGGGTGGACAAGACCACCCTGGTTGCTCAAAGCGCAATAAGAACCAACCAACACATTATCAGCCACAGTCTGTCTAAAGACCTCGACCTGAAGAATATCTGCAATAATCTCTTCGGTTTCCTATTGTTATTATTGTAAAATATTTTTTAGGAAGTGAGAAAGGTGTTCGATGTTGACGCATATTGTACTTGGTCGAATTGAATAAATTTTAACATTCTTACACGATCAAGATCTGGATGGACAAGGGCAACATAGTCATTGCATGCAATAACGTTACCAAGAGCCGACAAACGTTCCTCGACACGCTGTACGTGAACACTGTCGGGTAAAGAGTTACGGAGATGCTGGAGTTCCTGATCGGTAGTAGTGTTGGGAACCAAGAGACCATTCTTGTTACCGACAGTCAAGCGACCGACAATACGAGTGCCAGCAATAGAAGTGTGAACAATAGGAATCACATCACCTAATTCACCCTCAAATACACTAGAGTAATAATTATAAATAAATAATCAGTTTAACTCCATGCACACCCATTTCTTTTTTAAAAAAAAAATAGACAGAGAGAGCAAATGATTCTCGGGATCTTTTTTTAAATAAATAAATAAATATATATATATAAATATATCTACCTGTAAAAGTTCTCAGATCCACCCAAGGCAGTGATGCAGTAACTGTTGGTCAGACGAGAGAACACACCAATCTCATTGCTGTTTTCGAATTGTGCGCCTGTTTGAGAATCGTCAAATGTTAATTCAAAGAGCTACAAATCAATTATAGAATTACTCTTTAATTTACTTACGGACAGCCATCGTGTTTTAATCGATAACAGAAATGAAGAAGGAAAAAAAAAAGGGTGAAAGGAAGGAGATTCTATATACTTCTTTTGTCTCATAATTTTTTTATTTTTTTTTTATTTTTATTTTTTTCAATTTATTCACATATAAAATATAATTAGATTTGAATATCGTGAGTACCGTGACTGCTGGCCCTGGATAAGAAAGTTGGCATTTCACAAGAAAGTAGGACAATGAATCAAATAGATGGAACCATCATGACAACCACGTCATCTGAACCTCTTTCATCAAATTACTTTGCGAGCTACACGTCTGCCTCGTCTCTCCACAACTTTGCCCGCAGACATTCGATTTATGGTACTGAAGACAGGGTTGTACTGGATGTAGGGTCACTCTATATCAAGTGTGGGTTTTCCGGGGAATCCCATCCACGCCATATAATTCCAACATGGACTCGACTGCAGTCATCACGGACTAGCAATGGAGAGGCTCATTGTGTGGATGGACCCATGATAGAGCTGTACGACTTGGACCTGATGGCAAAGGGAAACCTGAAACAACTAGAAGAGAAATTAAAGAAATTGCTTCATGACATCTATTTCCGGTATGCCAAAAAAGAAAAACAAATTGAAGCAAAAGCAAAAAGTGTTCCTTGTCATTCTCTTTTTTCTTTATTATTCTTATAACGTATATATTTAGTTTAATTAAAATCATGGCTATTATAGATTACTATTAACTGATCCAAAGTCTCGCAAAGTGATCTTGTGTGAGTCCCCGTTGGCACCAGTTGTGCTCAAGCAGACGATTGCCAAGATCCTCTTTGATTATTTCCAAGTAGTGTACTCAAAAAACAAATACATATATATAAATAAATAATTTAACACTATGCCTACGTACTCACTATAATTTTTTTTTAAAAAAAAAATATGTACCCTAGGTGCCTTCGATTTCTTTTGTTCCCATACACCTTATGGCTTTACTTACTACTGGAATGACAAAAGGATTGGTGGTGGACTGCGGCCATCTCGAAACAAATATTTTACCCGTAAGATACAATGATCCAACAAAAAAAAAGAGGTTAAACAACCTAGACGCAAATTACTTACATTCTTTGTGTACTTAAGTTATATGATATGCGCCCATTGCTTCCTTATGTCACTACCACTCCACTAGCAGGTAGATCCTTGGGACTTCGTTTGAGAGCTCTATTGCTAGGCCATGGTCGCTATATACCCCCTTCTACCCTCCACCTCTCTCTTGCCCCTCAGAATCCTGTGCCGGTTGCTCTCCTGACATCCGATCTACTTGAGGATATGAAAACCAGGGTGCTGTTTTGCTCTCCTGTCAAAATGCCACACGAGGAAGAAGATCGCCTGGTGGAGTACAAGAACCTTAGCATTGCTACCGACCTCTATTATCCCATTGCGCTGCCGGATGGTGGGAAGGCCAATCTGTGGATCCCAGGCTGGGTCCGTGAAAGAGCAGCCGAGGTTCTTTTCGAAGGTGATGAGGATGAGCCCAGTGTAGTATACACAATTCTCGACTGTCTTTTGAAAGTAAGGAAGGATTTGCATTCGAACAGTTTTATGTATATGATATACATTCAGCTTTGCTCTGCTTATACCAAAAAAAAAAAATTATTAGCTTCAACCTGATCTCAGAAAGCACATGGTGGGATCGCTACTGATTATTGGTGGAACATCACTTTTGCCTGGATTTCATGCACGCCTTAAGCAGGAATTGCTGCAGATCATGAAAGCACCGACTGAGTCAGAGAGAAAACGCTATTCATCGCTGCTCCAGCTGTGGGAATCAGTCAAATTTATAGAGTCTCCCGAGGAAAGTGGTCGAGTGTTTATGAATAATGTTCGTGGGTGGATTGGAGGTAAATATTTGATATGTATATGTATATATGTATATTATATATTTTTAGAAAAGAAAAAAAAAAGAAAGAGACAAAATTAAATGTTTGTGATAAATAATTAACTAATTGTGAAATCTAGGATCATTAATGGGATCGCTTAAATTATCTGGAGAAGAGATGTCGCGCGAGAAGTTCGCCGGCCAGGTAATGGACTGGTCGATTGGAAACTGGAACTCAGAGGCAGAAACGTGAAGCTTGTTATTCTTGCTGTTGTTGACGGTGTTGACGTTATCGAAGAGAAGGAAGAAGAAGAGGGAAAGGGAGGCATGAAAGGGAGAGTGATAATTTTTTTTTTGCTTTTTTTTTTTTGCTTTGTGTGTGTACGTTTTTTTTTTAGAAATTAAAAGTCGACAAAAGTTATATTTTTGGCTTGAAACATGTTTTTACAAAGGAAAAAGAAGAGGAAGAGAAAGGTGGACGAAGCATAAGAGTCCTTATAAAACAACTGTACAGAATGGGAAAAGTGTGGCGGGTTTCTCCCGGACCTCCAGCTTTTAAGCTACTTTCTCTGTGGAGTGGGCGTACGGTTTTTCTTGCGTACGACAGGGGACTTGGTCTCGCTTATCGAGCTGTTTCGTTTCCCTACACAGTTCATTTCACCAATTTGTTCATTATCATCCCAAACACCTTCCCAACTTACGTGTAATGACTGGACTGGGAGCATAATCTGGCTGTGTAAAAGGACCCGGGTATGGCTGAGGGTATGGTACACTCTGTTGTGGTGTGAGTGCTGGAGTCTGTGGATGGTCAATTTGTTGCTGTTGTGCTTGTTGTTGTTGCTGTGCTTGGGCCTGGGCCTGGGCCTGAGCCTGGGCCTGAGCTTGGGCCTGAGCTTGAGCGTGTGCATGAGCTTGAGCTTGAGCTTGGGCCTGTGCGTGTGCCTGAGCCTGAGCTTGTTGATGTTGTTGCTGTTGCTGTTGTTGTTGCTGCTGGAGCTGGAGCTGATATTGCAGGTTTTGTTGATTCAAAAAGGAATGCCCTAAAGAGGCATGTTGCATTGCTTGCTGCTGCTGCTGCTGACGAATCAAAGCTTGTTGTTGAAGGGCTTGTTGGTGTTGTTGATATTGAATAACCTGTTGCTGCTGTTGATATTGAATAGGGTAGGCTCTATTGGTATTGCCCTGGGTCCTTACAACAGGCGAGGGAGCACCTGGAAATCCGACTTCACTTCCACCGTCAGATTGTGCCATTGATGGTTTAACTATGATATATATTATATTATACATCATATAATATCAAGTTACTCATTCTAGACTCTAATAAAGAGCAAATATATGTATATCTAGATATTATATTACCTGTTGCTGATTCCTTTGCTTTGGCAAGATGTTGTTTACAGTTATTTGCTATGGCACTTAAACTCGCTAAAACACACACACACAATTATTAAATATACTGGTCAAGAGTAACCTAATTTGATGTAGTCTGGTAGTGCAATCTAATAGTCTAATTCGGTTTGATATATTGTCCCGTTTATATTCAAACTTACATTTTGGTGTCTCTCCCGTCACCAATGCATGAAAAGCAACTTCTTGGAACCGCAGTGCACAGTCCGCCAACTGTATTATTTGGTCACCAAACCGAACCCAATAATATACGGATCTTTAACTTACCTCAAGGATGTTGTAAACTCGCATCGGAACTCCCCATTCATTCACAGGTGATTCCGGCAATGGCAGAGTAACTGTAGCAGGTTCCTTATCTCTATTATCCTCCTCCAGAGCCATTCGCGATATAAATTCCTCGTGGCCCTGAGACGCAAAGTCCATGTATTCAATCTTCCGGATACCTTCCGGAGTCAAAACAAATTGAACCAACAAATGTCCGGTTGACACAACCTATAAAATAAGGTTATAATCTGACAACTGATCGATTTGCAGAATTTTTGGTTTTGGGGTTTTTTTAAAAACAAAAAATTACCAAGTGCCCGTCGTCATAACGATGAATTAGTCGTGCTTGAGGACATTCGACATTAAGACCGCCAGCCATAATATATTCTGTTGTCTGTTCCAATGTGAGCTGAATAGATACAATACCACAGTCGTATTGTGTGTGGAAATATCGCACGAGGAGAGCACGAATAATCTCTGTTGTATAAGTATACATATTTTTATATATACAAATTTTATATAATATAATATATAATATAATTAAATACAATGTAATATATATATATATATACATAAATATAAAGTCATAGTTGATACGCATTGGTCAAGTTTGATAGTTGGGTTGTGTATGTAGATCAATGAGCGAATAATATACTTACGGAATTTCTTTGGAAAGGCCTCCTTAGCACTTGATAAGCGCATAGTTAGCGAGCTTGTGGTGGTGAAAAAGTCGGAGACGAAGTTTTGCCAAAATATTGGATCGCGAGCAGCCTATTACTTTGATGAGCAGAAAGTCTAAAAGGCATTTACTGGTTACCTCTACACCAGGATTTAGTTGTTCGGCAAACTGAAGAAGTCTAAGAACTGCCTGACCTGTGGTCTCTGTCCTAGTAAATCTACACGTGTCAGGCCCGGTTAGATTCTACGACCATTACCTCTGTATCGGAGTGGAGATGGGTTTGGGTCCGTTAAGTTGTCCATTCTGCTGTTGTGGTGCTGGAGATCCTTGGGCATTCATTATGGGTGTGGGAGGGAGCATCCCTGAGCGTGCCATCTGTTGCTGGTAGGCTAGAAGCTGTCGCTGGCGGAACAGCTGCTGAACCTGTGCCTGCGAGTGTGCACTAACTACAGGGTGCGCTTGCGTTTGAGCCTGTGCTTGTGCTTGTGCTTGTGCTTGAGCCTGTGCTTGTGCTTGTGCTTGTGCTTGTGTTTGTGGTTGTTGAGGTGGTGGTGGTGGTGGTGGTTGTGGCACACCAGAAGGGGGGATGGGTCCATTGGCCATTGGAAGAAAAGCAAAAAAAAAGAAAAAAAGATGGAGTAACAACCCTAACTACTCTGGATTGCCAGGAAGCCGCTCATCATGCTATGTGCACCATTGTCCAAAACACTTACGTCACTTGACATGACGTAGTCAATCCTTAAGTTTAAAGTTGCTATTTATTCATTGAATTGTTAAAAAAATAGAATGAGTGTGATTGAATTGAATTGAATTGAAAAGAATAAGAAATGTACAATTGAAGAGGAAGAAAAAAAAATCAAAATGGAATCTGGCAAAACCAGCGTGGAATGAACTTTCTGTTCTGCTTTTACTTTAATCTTTTGATCGATTGATTGAATTTGATGCCTTTGTAAATGATATTGTCATAGAGCTTATTGGGCAATAATTGGATTTATTAAAATAAAGGATGTAATTTATTTGTTTATTTATTTGTTTATTTATTTATGGTATTAGAATTAATGGCGAGTTAAATGTATTTTATCAATTGATTTACTATACTTGTTGCTTACTTTTTCTACTCTGAATTATCAACGATATTGTTTTTCTTTCTTCTTCTTCTTCTTATATTAATAGATACTATTTTGAAACAACATAAATGATAGTTTTTAAATATTGAAACACTTGCTCTTTTGTTTGTTTGTTTGCTTGTTTTATAATTATTGGCTTGGTGATTTATGCGTACATGTCTCGGGTTATAAGATAAATTGAAGCAAAATTACATGATGTTTCTGTTATATAAAACCAAGTATGAAATCATTTATTACCTACCAGCTTAAATAAAAGCTATTGTCAAAAGTACGCCGTCTTTTATTCAACAACCTATACATCTATCTGTTCTTGTTCTTAAGATTGTATTTAAATTTTATTCATTTATATATATATATATTATATATAAAGAGGTTGGATATACAAATATAAATTTAAAATAATTGTGAATAAATTTGTGATAGACATTGAGAATTTAGGCTGCTATTTTTTTTTTCAAAAAAAAAATACAAAAAAAAGGATATTTACAGTGCATTAAATAAATAAATAAAGTTATGCGTGAAAGGGTAGAGTAAGATAAGGTAGAGTAAGGAAAGGTTTACAGAGTGTAGGGTGGAAAAGTATTTGATTTTTGAAAGGGAAAGAGAAAGGGAAATGGGGGGGATCTTTTGGGGTTTTTGGGTTTCTTGTTCTTGTTCTTGTTCTTGTTGTTTTTTTTTTGTTTACTTATGTGCACTGGGTTGAAGAACAACCAAAATACAAAGTGTATGTGTGTAGAAGGTGATCTTTGTGAATAAAATAGAAAGGGTTTATTTGTTGCCGAGCCAGCTGGTACCAAATGCAGCCCCTTTCCAATCAGCTTCCTTGTCTGGCGAGGCTGGACTAGAGCTGAGATCTCCTTTTGTAATATTCAGCCCAAGAGCGCTTTTCTTTCTCTCGACTCCATTTGCTCCTGCGGCAATAGACTTGGCTCGCTTTGAGGTTCCAGTGCTGTTCGAGGATCTGAGGACAGGATAAGGAATTGGCTTGGGCTGTAGATTATTTCGTCGCTTCTCGGTTGTGGGGCGAGGGAAACTTGAAGCCGGACCATGTCTGTCAAGGTCGCTCTTCTTGCGCCGAACGGTCTGAATGGCTGGTGTGCGGAAAGTAGACTTCTTGTAGTCGTCTTCTGTCATCGATAGAGGCCTATCAGGACGAATGGTTTCGTGAGATAGAGTCCGATGAACCACTTTTGGATCATCTGCCCTCTGGAAAACACTTGACAGCCACGCAAGTGGTCCTGTAGATGCCTTTCGTGGAGGTGGTTGTTGTTTTCGAAGAGCTTCTTCTTTGACCCGTGTGTCACTCTCTTCGATTTTTTTGACATATTCCACTTGTAGGTCATTCATAGTAGACCGTAAATGACCAATTTCTCGAAGCATCTCTTGAATAAGATTAAGTAGTGGGAAAAAGTCGGCTAGAACAATGTCCTTTGAATCTTCGATTATGATAAACCGGGTTCTCAGTCCGTCAACATCCACCATTACATTCTCGATAATCGTGTTGCTCATTGCACTAAGCTCAAGCATATCGAATGTACGCTTTAGCTGACGATTGAGGGCTCGGATGTCTGTATCTTGCAGGCGTTCAAATACATGACTGGCAATTGATAGTAGGATGTGGTAAGGAGGCTTGTCTTCAGAAGTCTTACTACCAACTGTTTTGAGTGACGACGATGGTGAGGGCTGACTGATGACCTGTAATAATCATAATAATAATAATATAAAAAAAGGTTAGCGTGTATCGAAACAATAAAATAAGGTATTCATTGGTTTGAATATTGACTTACTTTTGGTGGTATTGTTTCTGTTGGATGGATCGGTTTCTCCTCTTCGGCTTGCATAATTGCTTTATTACGCTGCATATAGTAGTGGTAGTGATGGTGAATGACAGGCGTTGTGGTTGGAAGGGAGGTTGATGAGGTGGGAGAAGGAGCCTTGGCCAGCAAGGGGCTCCCTAATCCGTCTGTGGTTGTCAGGCGACGGGCACGTATCTTGGACAATTTCCGAGATCTTAGAAGATGCTTGTCTTCGTGTTGTGGTGCAGAAGTACTCATCCAAGTTGAAATGTCTTCCTTCTTGAGTTGAGTTATTGCTAGAGGACTTGCCACACCATCAGTAGACTCAGGTGTAATTTCTGGTGTGTTTTCTGGAGTGGTTTCTGGAGTGGTTTCCGGTGTGGTTTCCGGTGTGTTCTCTGGCGTACTTTCTACAGGACTGTCATTTTCACTTGCAGTATCTGCTTCAACGGCGTTGTCTCGGTAATCGAGTAAATCAGCCTTAAGCTTTGTGTTTGCGGATGCCAACTCCTTGATAAAGTTCACCAGATGACTGTGGTTCGCGGGGTCGGAGGTCGGGGATAGCAATGTGGACGTAAGCTGCACACAAAGTGAGGTCTTTTGTTAGCCCCCCTTTTTTTCTTCTTCTTTGCCTATAAACTGAACGCACCTTGAGCACATCTCTACGTAGTTTCTCGTTTGACTCCCGCAACCAGACAAGGTCGGCTTTTCTTTCTGGGCTCATTGTCATTTCTTGCTGATCTTGTTTCAAACGTTCATAGGCACCACTTATGGACTCTATAAAAAAGAAGAAATACTTGTTAAAGAAATATACTACAGCAGCGCTTTTACTTTGGCAGATACCAACCATATTTAGCCCGTAGTTTCTTGTGTTTTGATTCCAAAGAAAGCTCATTTTTTCGTGCCAAGGCCAACTCTTGCTTCGAATCTTCGAGCTGTGTCGATCACAATAACAATAGTATATGTATATGTATATGTATATATATTGTATTTCTGTTTTTTTTAGTTATTGTATGAATTGAGGTTTTGGAATACAATCATTTACCTTTGTACGTAGCGTTTCTTCTCGTGCGTCTGCCTGTCGAACCATAAACTTGAATATCCTCAGCTTCTCAATCTCTACAGTTCTGTTTTGGAGTTCGGTAGTCAATTGAAGACACCGCGCATTAGCTGTCTCAAGATCTGCTGCCGTCTCCTCGATGATCTAATTAAATCCAAACACAAAGATAGATATAGATATATAGAGAGAAATAAGGGGTGAAGTGATTTTTTTTGGTTAATTTAATTGATTATACACTTTAGTCAGATCGTTGGATAATGTAAAACGTTAAATAGACTTCTTTAATTATAATTTTATGTACCTTTTGTGTCTTTTGCCACTCCCATGTTGTTCGGTTGTTCTTTTCAACAAGATCCTGGCGAATATTATCGTTTTCTTCAAGTTGGTTTTCGAGCAACAGAACCTGATCGCGCGATTCTTCTAGCTGGCCAAACTGTTGGTTACACCCGCTCTTACCGAGACACAACTGTCTTACCTGCTGTTCCAACAGGGCACTTGTCTGACTCGACTCTCGTACAAAGGCTTCGTGTTTGTGTAATAGTCCTTGTCCGATTTCTGTGTGGGATATCTTTAAGTACTGATAACAACAAGTGATCGAAAGTTTTTTTTTCTCTTTATTTTTCTTCTTTCTTTATTTCTTTACCTGCTGCTAGGCGGGTATCGACTTCTAGCTTCCGAATTGCCTTTGTCAGGGTCGCCAAACTTTCGCAGTCTGATTTTCCACAGCAACGACATGGGTTATCGAGTAACCAACTGACGGGCGAACTAGCGGATTCTGAAATGCTTCGGGTCAACCAGTCCTGAAGCGAGTCTTCTATGTTTGGTTGGTCGTAGTCAGATCTGTTTGGAATGGGTGGATTCGCCATTGGCATTGTGTTGGCTCTGCTGGTGACGCGATTACGCAGTCTCTGTCTGTTCATCGCAGGCAAAAGAAGGTGTCTTTGTGGACGCCACTGATTTTGTAAGAAATTGAGGGGAGGGGAGGGGAAAGTAGGAAAGAAGGAAAGAAAGAGAAAGAGAGAAAAAGGATGGTGATGTTAATGTGCATAGAGCGTTTAGAGTGTTGAGCTTAAGGTTTTCACCGCCGCATTTTATAAAAACTGGTGGCACAAAGAGATGACTTGGAGCAACAAGATACCTCTGGTTAGTCAGGACTTCAACGGCTCGTGTTTGTTCCAGAAAGAGTGATTGTGCATCATTCAGAAACCTCCTTTCTTCACAACAAACTGTCGGCCCCAGATAACTGACTAAAGTTACACCCGAATAAAGAGAGAAAGAGAGCAAGAGAGTAAGAGATAGGAAATACATGGCTGTTTCTTCAATTTGTCCTTTTTGAGACATTTGCTTCATTGTTTTCTTTATTCTTTTTAGCTAGTATTTATAAATGGATAACACAAAGAAGGCTTTTTTATTTTATTTTGCCTTATTTCCTTTTGCTTTCTGTTTACGTACAAATCTAAGCTGTCATTCGGTCTTCTTGATCCGATGAATTCAAATACATCAGAAAGACTCTACTCTTATGACTTTCTTTTTATTTTTATTTATTTATTTATTCTTGATAGCTTACAAGGCTAGTATTAAATTATTATTATTTTTTTGAAAAAGCATCTTTTGTAGCCTATAAAATCAAAATTTGTCTATGATATAATTGATTTATATAACCATGAATAAAAACCAAAGAAATTAAATCTATTAAACTTCTTTCGTGAATATGGGTATGAACTCATCTGGCGTAATATAAGCTACTCTTTATTAAGAGGCTTAGTTACCCCATTGTATAGCTGGCGTCATTCTCTACTAACAGCACCAAAAGGGCAATCGAGTGTGTGTATGTGTGTGCGGAAGATAATAAAACATTGATCTAAATAATAAAGGTCAATGTTTGATTTCAAGTAACGGAATCAATTCTCTGTACATCAATCTTCAAGGTGGTTTTGGATACTATAGCTTGGGAGAATGGCTTTGATTTACATGCAACAGCATAATAGGTGTAACCTCTTAGTTAAAGAGAAGAGAAAAAAAAAAAAAAAAAACTACAACTATTACTATGACTACGACGACTGCGACTAATGTGATGAGTTTTTTTTTATCTCATGGCATGTTGTGCGACACACAGTTACGATTGACTTGTTACACTGGGTTTACTTACAGGTCTTGTTTTATCAAAGTATTTGATTTTAAGCCATTACATCACACTTGTGCACCTTTTTGCCTAGAGTGATTATGACTAGTAAACATATACTTTTGATTGACGTTTGGAATTCGAGCAATAAGGTTAAATGTCAAATATTTTGTGGTTTAATAAATCTCACTGAATAATAAGAACATTGTAAGTTTATAGCCCAAAGTGTACCCAGGACTTGAGAACTGCTTTTACATACACACATACACACATGTGAGTGTGTGAGTATGTGTGTGTGCACAATGACCAAATATTATCATGGTCTCCAAAAGGAGAATGAAAGAAAGACATATGTGTAGTGTAGATTAAACCCAATGCATAGGCAGCATAGAGTACGATACATACATACATACACATATACATATACATATATATATATATATATATTTGTGTAGAATCTCATAAGAATATAATATAAGAAAATAAATAATGTAGAGATCGCTATATTTGTCTTTAATAACCAACGGCACCAACCAGGCCCAAGTGCCAAATAGGTACGGTAGAATTATGTATGCATGCGCATTAAAGGGTGTTTGATTCAATTAGTTTCATGTCAGCCATTTGAGTGAAGATATATATGTATATATATATAAAGATTTATCAGGACACTTTTTGCTTTTTCTTTTTGTTTGATACATAACCAAGCTCTCGATGTTTCGCTTTCTAATTTTGTGGTATTGCGTTGAAGTGGCTAAATGTCACCAGTCTCGATATAGCTATTTCTTAAAACAAGAGTGTTTTACACACTCAAACATTTGTATGTTTGTTTTATTAATCTTGAAAAATAGCTTCTTGAACTATGTAGAATATACCCCTTTTTGAGTATCAAACAAACAAACCCAATGCTTTAAATATAAATATCACAAAAATATGAACAATATTAATAGGATAATGAAAAATCAATACTATATATACATATATATATAATTATTATTATTGTTTTTGGCTATCTTCTCTAAACTACAATGCACCCCTCGTTTACAGAGTGCATAAAGAAGTACATATGATGATTTAAACACTTCTTTGTAATGTACGTATATATTTGTTCCAAAAAAATACAGCCGTTTCAAACTTGATAAAATAAATGAATAAATACATCTTATACTCATTTGATCGACAGTATCACCCCCCCCCCCCCCCCCCTCTCTCTCTCTCTCTCCTCTCTCCTTCTCCCCCTTGTTCAAATGGCACACCAAGCCAAAATTAACTTGGTCCTAATAATTGTCTCGGAGACAATTGCCGTAATCTTGTTCAAGATAATTCTTCCCTTGTATTTTTTTTGGCGATATATTCTGTGCGTATCTCTTGGCATTTCTTTTCGTAGGGCTTCTAATAATGGAATCTGCACCTCTGCTTCCAATATGCACCTTGAATAATCCGCCAAAATGTCAAAATTAGCTGCTATGCACCTAAGGAAAAGAAAGAAAGAAAAAGGGCGGTCATATAAAAGGTATGGGATTCCCACGCATTTACCATAACAATAATAATAACAATAATAATAAATCAACATTTTAGTCCTCTATGCAACCCCCATTTTACTTCCTTGTTCATTAACGGTCGCCGACCCACTCACCTTATCCATACACAAATATACAAACATACAAATACACAAGCCCATAAACACACACATCGTATTCCTTCCTTTCTCCCTCCAAATACAAACACACAATTTCGCCCATTTCTTCCAAGAATCATTAC